GGAATGTGTACGGAAGATTGCTTCTTCGCATCTGCGCACGATGTATGTAGTAGTGTCATGTATTGTCACGTGCAACGTAACAAGTTTGTTCGCATCGAGTCGGTCTTTCGGATTGAGTCAACAGACCTACCTTAACTGCCTGACATTAACTTCCTAAATATTGCAGCCGAACACAATTTGCTAGCCTTGTTAGCAAGCCAGCCCTCGCATCCAACAAAAAGCCATGTCGGCAACACTTCGCGTGGTTAGCAGTCATCGCGGTATCGGCGGGCCAGCAGGGGGCTACTGCTGGGCTTCCTTTCGAGGCCCCAGCAGCACCGCCGGAGCCAACAGGAGTGCTGCTCGGCAGGTCCAAAGCTACGTGGCGAGCAGAATTGACCCAAGCAAGGCCACTTGCTGGCCGGGAGCGTCGCGCGGCGGACAAATGGTTCCGACAAACGGCTATGCTGCGATGCGTTTCGCAACGGTATGTTTGGTGTAACAAGGACAGGCGATAATGAATAGGTAAACGAAAGACCGTTGGAATAATGGTTCCCTAAAAGGAAACAACTATCTGCTTGTTTGTAAGCGCCCACGAACGACCTACAGCAGTAATCGGGCACTGTCACCAGGTTAATTTGTTTCGTATAATCGGAACCTCTCTGCTGAACACAGAGCCTGAAGGTTGCACGTCTTCCTTAAGCTTTATCACCCTTCACAACGACAACCCTGCTCTCCTCGCGCCCGCTTGCCCATTGCTTGTGTCGTACGTCTACCTACACCTGCAGGACGCCTTCCCAGCAGTGCCCCCCAGCCGCGGCTCCCGCACCGCCCTTCTGCGTTGCGGAGCTGCTGGCCCCGACCAGCGGGGCAGCAGCGGCGGGGCCTCTGCTACTCACGCTTCCTCTTCCCCTCCTTCCTTCGCTTCCTCTTCCTCTCCTTCCTCCTCTTCATCCTCCCCTTCCGCCGCTAGGCGCCCTTCCTCGTCCGCCTCCGTCCCCTCCTCCTCCTCCGCCCAGCTCCAGCTGCTGGCTTCCAAGCTGGCTGGGGAACTGCTGGGGCCCCTGAGGGAGGGGCTGAGGGAGGAGACGAGGGAGGATTTGCGGGGTCAGGTGAGGGATGAGGTGAAGGCTCAGCTGAGGGGTGAGATGAGGGAGCAGGTGAGAGTCGAGCTGAGGGCTCAGCTGAGGGGTGAGGTGAGGGACGAAGAGGCTCAGGGGCTAAGGGAGGAGCTGTTGGAGGAGATTAGGGAGGGGTTGAAGGAGGAGATCAGGGAGGGATTGAAGGAGGAGATCAGGGAGGAGCTGGAGGATGAAATGAGGGAGGGAGGGGCTGGGTGGCTGAGGGAGGAGGAGCTGTGGGAGGAGGCGGTGGAGGAGGTGAGGGGGGAGCGGCGAGAGGAGCTACGGGATCAGATGTGGGAGGAGTTGGTGGAGGAGATGAGGGAAGAGATGAGGGAGGAGATGGTGGAGGAGATGGGCGAGGCAGTGAGGGAGGAGGTGGAGAGGGAGCTGTCAATGGACCTTAAGAAGGGGTGCCTGCTGCTGCTGGTTGTGGGCAGTGGCAACTACTCCGTCAGCATAAGCAGAAGCGGTGATGATGGCAGCAGCAGCAGCGGGAGCGGGAGCAGCAGCGGAAGCGACGGCACGGGGGAGGAGAGCGAAGGGGAGCAGCAGCAGCTGCAGCTGGAGGAGGAGGAGGCGGCCGACCAGCAGCCGCCACCACCACTGGCAGGCGGAGAGGCGACTGATGACGATGTGTCGCAGCAGGTAGGCGAAGGCCTCCCAGCCGCTGGGAGCCCGCTGGCGGCGGTGGTGGTGGACATACATGCAACACATCTATAGCACCCAGCTACGTGGCATGCCTCGACCTCCTGCATTCCCGCTGCTGCCCGGCTGCGCCTTAGTGCCCTGTCTCGCTGCATGGGCTCCTTGCTTGCCTCCTCCTCGACTCCTTTCACGGTTGCAGCGCATCTGCCTGGTGCCTATGCGAGTTACACGGGTCCCTTGCCCCTTACATCTCTTCAATAATTTGCGTCCTCCCTCGGCCAAGCAAAGTGGCATCCACACTCCATCTTCTCTGTTCATATCCTCCCATCCCCCTCCGCCACTCCCACTATCTATCACCACCCCCTGCCAGCAGGTCAGCAGCTCCTACCCGCCGCCGACCAGGCCCTCTCCTGAGCAGCAGCAGCAGCAGCGGGAGCTCGAGGCGGTAGCACGGCTGCGGGAATGGATGCGGATGGAGAAACAGGCGCGGGAGCTGCATGCGGGGGCCGGCGGGGTGGGTGTAGGAATGGGTGGTAGGGGGAGTGCAGATAGCCAGCTACAAGGCGCTCGGTCTGCTGTGTTGCGTTTGCATGGGTGTATGGTCCACAGATCTGGCGATAGGTGCAGTAGCAGTGCAGCGGGTCTGCGCGTCGTGTGCTAGAAGCGTAAACCTTTTTTACGCCTCTAGCTTGACCCAGTCTTTTTATTGTAATGCACATCGTACTACTCGCCTTACACGCACACAACCAGCGCTTCCGTCCTAGACAGGTAGCAGCATGCATCGTGGGCCTCTCATCACCGTCCATGCTTGTCGTATTTCGTACTTTTTACTAAGTGTATCCGGACACCCCACCCCACCGCACCCAACCCATCAGGAGAAACGCGTACAAGGTCTAAGCGAGCAACTGCTGCGGGTGCTGGAGGAGAGGCGGGTGGCGGGTGGGTGCGATGGCCAGGACGTGTAGCAGCAGCACGAATAGCCGCTGTGCAAGCAGGCATGCAGGTCAGGGGCGCAAGGGGAAGGGCGCTGCTGGCTGCCGAAGCGCACTCTGCTGGGTCGGGGTAGGCGTCGCAGCCCTGGAGATGGATCGACCGGCGGGTGGTATGACGTGCGGCTCTTCGTCCGCGGGCTTGACGACCGTGGCTGCGATTGCGGCAGCAAGTCAAACCTTCCCGCTTGGCGTTGACCAGGGGGGTGGGGGCGCAACATGCGAGGTTATGGTTGCGGTACACTGGGGCGTTGAGTTGTTTGTTGAGCTGGCTTGAGCTTAATTACGATTCGATAGCTGTGTTGTGGCCGGCCACCGATGCGGCACTACCGGGTACTCCTTGCTTGAGGGAGCAGCCCGCCGGGTTCCGGAGCTTCAGGTGGTGCGGTGTGAGGGGGCTGGAAAGGCGGATAGCAGGGGTTGCCAGAGAGGGGTTAGCACAGAGTAGCTGGGCGGGTAGGAGACACCCCTTTTCGCCCCTCCAGACGGGAGCTGTGGAAGTTTGCCTGCGTCCTGGCTGGCTAGCGTACTTAGCTACCGGGGGTGCCGTACCAAGTGTAGCACAGGCATGGAGTAGAGGAGTACCGGTTTGGTCCGGAGAGAAGGCGGGCAACACGGGCGGTTAGTTGTGCGTATGACGAGTCAGTTGTTTGGGTCGTAGTTGATGGTTTGTTGCGGTTGTTGAGCGCTAAAAAACGCGATGATTGTGGAGAGGCTGCATGCACCCTCTTGTGCGGCCGCTGCGGGTGCGCTGCAAAGTGTATGACGCCATAGGGTACCGTTAGTCCAGGAAGCTCGTTGAACATCGACATGACTCGACAGGGTCCCATACCGTGGGACTGAAGTGGAGTTGAAGGTTGGCACTGCCATGCACAGCACTCCACATGACAACAACACCTGCTCACAACGTCGCACGGTGCGCTATCAGTCCACCTGCTACCCCACACGTCCACATGCATGCATCACCCGCCGCCGCAGCCGTACACACCACACCGCAGCACACACCTGCTGCCTCACACCCCGCTGACCAGACACAGTACCCTCACAAGCTCACACCCCGCTGACCAGCCGCTGCCGTGTCAGCGCATTCCGCTCCGACAGCAGCTGAGCCAGTGCGGCCCCCGCCTCACCCGCACCACTTACACTTCCAGGTCTGCCACCACCGGCGGACAGTGGTGGGGGTGGCGGGGACTGCGGCGCCGCCCCTTCTGCTGGCCCAATCCCTGCACCGGTGATGGACCCTTCCCGCTCCTCACCGGCAGCAGTTGTCGTACTACCGCCACCGCTACCTAAACCACCGCCACCGCCACCGCCACCGCCGCTACCGTTACTAGGAGGCCGCAACGGCATGCCACGTGTCCCTAACCCGCCTAACCCCCCGCCACCTCCAACCGCCGCCTCAACGGCCATCCTAGCTGGCGTGGCAGGCAGCAGCTTGCCTGTCGTACTCAGTCGTACACTGCTCGCCAGCGCTCGACTAGCCACCACATGCCCCAACTCCGCCAGCCGGCCGCTGCTGGTGCTGGCGCTGCTACTGCCGTCAGCAGCGCCACCAACGGGAAGGGACCCGCCCGTAGTGCCATCTGCGGCAGCCATAGCGAGGGAGGTAGCGGGCCGGCTAGCCATGGCATCGCCAGTCCCCAACCCCCCACCCCCAACCCCACCGCCCCCACCAGCCATGTTGAGCATGCTTCGCAGCTGATCCACAGTCATCGTCCTGTTACCCGCACCTCCACCGCCTCCGGCCCCTGCACTGCCGCTACTCAACCCGGCGCTGCTACGAGGAGGCCGCAAGCCACCTCCACCGCTACCGCTGCCCCCACCTCCACCTCCACCTCCACCGCCACCACCAGCAAGGGGAGGTGCTGACGGCGGCGGCGGCACACCGGCAGCGCACGCTGCCGTCCCCGGTGGCGTCACCGCGAGCAGCACCTCCCGAGGGATGAAGGGGTTGGAGGCGGCGGCGGCGGCAGCAGCAGCGGCGGCCCTCCCGCCGCTGCCCGCTGCAGCCCGCACCGGCCCCGCGGAGTGTGCCCGCTGCAGAGACTGCTGCAGCGGTCCACCTCCACCTCCACCACCACCACCGCCACGTGACATGCTGTTCCGGACACCACCCCCGGCAGTAGTAGTAGTAGCAGCAACGCTGGACCGCCCCACGTTGCGTGCTCCGCCTCCCCCTGCCTGCTGCTGCTGCTGCTGCCTGCTGCCCCCCTGCCTGCTGCCGCCCCCCTGCTGCTGCTGCCCCCCTCCCGCCCGCCCCCCCGGGTCGGGTGCGAGCTCCAGGTCTAACAGCTGCAGCCGCTCGTGGAGCAGCGCGTTCTCCCTGGGGTGGGGGGGAGTGGAGTGGAGGGAGGGTGGGGGAAGGGGACACACGTGTTGTAGCGTTTGACAGTATGGTCGAAGTTACTTGGGGGTGGATACGAGGAGCAGCTTTGAGCACGTATGGGTGATATGTGGGGCTAGAGTGGAAGGCGGCGGGCAGAATCGTGGGGACGGAATTGCGCACGGTGGTAGTGCGCGAGGCCACCTTTGCCTCCGCTGCCTCCTCATGCCCTCCTTGCCATGCTTCCCCGAACCCACCATCCCACCCACGCCCAACACCCACCCCCCCTCCCTACCTGCGAAGCTCCTCCAGCTCTATCAGCGCCGCCGTGGATGCCGTGTACAAGCCACTCCCCCCCGCCTCACTCCCCCCACCTCCCGCCTCCCCCAGATGACCCATGGGTCGCTGCATGCCTCCTCCTCCTCCCCCCGCCACCAGCGCCTCCAGCAGCGCCACCCGGTCCCGCAGCTTCGCATCCTCCGCCGCCAAGCTGTCGTATTGCACTCGTACGGCATCATGCGCCGCCGCCGCCCTGCCGTATGCTGCCCGGAGCTCCGCCAGCGCCGCGGAGGTGGCCACTGCCACCTGGCTGGCCTGCAGCGCCCAGCCCACCAGGGCCTCCAGACCCGCGGCACGAAGCCTGATGGCGGTTTCGGAGCTGGCGTCGTCGCCGTTGTTGTTGTCAGAGGTGGTGGTGGGGGTGGGGATGGAGGTGGCCATGTCAGTGGGGGTGCCATACGAGGGGAGAGTGGCGGAGGTGGCGGTGGCGGAGGGAGCAGCAGCCCCTGCCTGGCGTTGAAAGGGGAGGTTGAGCGGCGGGGGTAGCGGAAGCTGCGGCAGGGAAGGGAAGTGCAGGCCTGCTCCCCCTGCTCCTGCCTCCGCTGCTCCCCCCGCCTGCACCTGCAGCTGGCGGCGCAGGAAGGCCACCTCAGCCCTCAGCTCCCGGATGAGGCGGCTGCGGGGGTCCTCGTTGACCGTCACCTTGGGGGGGGCAGGGAGGGGCAGGGGCAGGGAGGGCAGGAGGGGCAGGGGGCAGCGGAGCATGGGTTGTTGCAGCGTCAAAGGGAGCAGGAATGAGATGTACCCCTCCCCCCCCTCCCCCACCTTGTTCCTGATCCTCCTCGCCCTCCCCCACCTTGTTCCTGATCCTCCTCGCCCTCCCCCACCTTGTTCCTGATCCTCCTCGCCCTCGCCGCGTACTCCAGCGTGCTCGCGTTCTCCTCCAGCCAGCGGTCCGCGGGCGCCAGGCAGGCCAGCATGAGCGTGAGGGAGGGGCCGCCCAGCGAGTGCTTCAGCAGGCACGTGAGCTTGGAGTCGCGGTAGGGGATGTGGGGGGGAGCGGCAGGGGGCGGCTGTACGGCAGTGGAGGAGGAGGAGGGGGTGGTGGAGGAGGAGGCGGCGGCGTCTGTGAGGGCTGTGATGACCTGCCGCAGGGTAAAAAGGGACTTGTTGATGGCCACACTCTCGTCGCGGAGGGCGCCTGGTAGGGAGGAGGGGAACATTAAATAAGTGAAACAACGAAAGAAAGGGGGGGGAGAATGAGGAGGGGCTTACAGAGAAGCCGGACCGTACCCCGGTTGCAACCGTACCCTCAGCATGCTCTGTTCTCTTTCTCCCCACCCCCCCTTCATCCCCCACAACCCTCCCCACCCCCACCCCCAACCCCCCTCACCCTCCGTGGCGCCAGTAGTCGCCGCCCGCTCGCTGCCCGCCAGGTCCACCAGGCTCAGCTTGGCTGCTCGCTGCTCCAGCGGGCAGGCGGCGGGGCAGGAGGACACGTGCAGCGTGAACAGGCAGTGCGAGCGGCTGGAGGCGGCGTTGAGGCGGTGGGAGGACATCACCTGGCAGGGAGGGGGAGGGGGAGGGGGAGGGGGAGGGGAGGGAGGGGGAGGAAGGGGCTAAGCGTGGGGGACGGTACCGGTATCCCGGGTGGAGGTGTAGGATGCCGTGTGCTCCGCTTGTCCCCTCCGCGTGCTCCTGCTCCTGCTGCTGCTGCTGCCGCCCCTCCCCACCTCCCCCCTCACCTCTCCCTACTGTTTGCCCTTACGTGCCGTACCACTGAGTATGGTCTTTCTCTCCGACCCCCTCCTTCTCCCTCCGATACCCCCCCTCCCCCCCACCTTGTTAGCCACCCCCGCTTGGAACGCCCGCATGGCCTCATCCGCACTCTCCACCTCGGGCTTCAGGGGAGGGGAGGAGGAGGAGGTAGGGGGGCGGGGAAGGGGAGGGACAGGGCAGAGGCCGAGTTCACGTGAGGCAAAGCAATGCGGTGCGGGGCAGGGATGGAGGCCCTCTTTGCTTCCCATACTTCCCATTACTCCATCCCATCCACCCCTCTCCCCCCCACCCCCACCCCTCCCTCCCTCCCCCTCCCTCCCCTTCCCCCCTCCCCACCGTGAACAGGTTCTCCAGGTAGAACTCCTCCGCAGCCGACCAACGCAGTCGCAGCGGCCCGCTCACCGCCACCCCTGCTGGCCCCGACCCGGCCCGCCGCACCCCCCCACCTCTCCCCCCGCCCCCCCCTGCTCCTCCCCCCTGCGGCCCCGCTGCTGCTGCCAGGCTGGCGGGGTTGAGCAGGTCGTACACCTGCTCGCGGTAGATCTGTACGAAGGAACACCTGCGGGGACGGCAGCAGGGGGGGAGGGGAGGAGATGGAGGGGGAATGGGAGGAGAGGTATGAGGCTGGGGGCAAGGAGGGGTGTGGGAAGGAGGAGAGCAGACCATGCTGCGGGAGGGTACGGGTGGGAGGGAGGGAGGGAGGGAGGGAGTGGAGTGTAGCGGACCCACGCGCACGCAACCCAATGTTGCTCAGCCCGCAACGACCCCCCTACCCCGCTGCAGCAGCTCACCTGATGGTGAAGCGCCGCTCCGTGTTGCGCCCCACCGCCGCGAACAGCTCCCGCACCGCCCGGGGGATGAGTCCCAGCTGCTCCGCCGGGGTGGCTCCGAAGTCGGCGTGGGGAGCGGAGGAGGCAGCAGCAGCAGCAGCACGTACGGCACCCCCCCGGCCTGCCGGGCTGCCAGCTGCTGCTGCTGGTAGTGGTGGTGAGGCTCCTCCGGGGGACGATGCTGAGTGGGAGCTGGATGAGGAGGAGGAGGATGACCCATGGGTCACGTAGCGGTAGCCCTCCATGGTGAAGGTCTTACCGGAGCCTGGGTAAGTGGGGTTGGCCGTGTGGGTGGGCGCCGTACGCGAATATGCGGTATTGGCAATGAGTGCGGAGTACAGTAAGGTACCTCGCACCTTCCAATCGGTATTGTCAGGCAGACAGACAGATCCCCGAAAAGATGTAGGGCACAGCACCCTCTCTCCTTGCAGCTGCACTAAAGGTCACGCATCGGCCATGTTAACCCGCGCATCGACCGATCCCCAACACCCCAATGCGACCCACCCGTCTGGCCGTACGCAAAGACCGTTGCATGGTAACCAGCAACGGTCGCTGCCACCAGCTCCGAAACCCCAACCTTGTCGTACAACTCGTCCTGTACGGCAGGTGACAGTGGGTTTGGAAGGGACGCGGGGAGGGGCGTTCGGTCATTCCTTTGTCATGAAAAGGGCTGATGGTCAAGGGAGGGACGGGTGGGTAGCGGTGGGGTGGGGAAGAGGGTTGCATGCCCGCAGTGCACGGAGGGGTTGGGGCTCATGTGCATCCGTCAGCCTGCAGCAGGACCGAATCCCTGGCACTTAAACGGGCATGTGTTCAGCAGACGCATCCAGGGACACGTATGGGTTGATCCGAGACGCAAGGCGCATAGGGTTGTACGGCGCATAGGGTTGTCATGTGGGGCACACGTGCCCGCGCCAGGACTAATATACCGCGCCTGGTAGGAGTCACACGCTTATCCAGAGCAGCATATCCCGAGCCGAAGCGTGGGGATTGTCTCGTTGCGCAATTACGGCACTCTAGAAGCTCGCCGTACAAGTACAGCCGTTGCAGCAAGACCAACGGCATTCCTAACCCGGCTCCTGGTCGGAACAAGCAAGGGAATAGACAGATTTTTAAGGTCATGCTGAGGAGCGTGGTACGTGCCTGGGAAACGCCGGGTCCAAACACGTGGTCAAACGTGTACCGCCGTGCCGCGCGCCGCTCATGGTTGCTAGCGAGGAGCACCTCGTTGGGCCGGGCTGGGTCCAGCTGCAGGAGGGATGTCCCGCTGGATCCATCAGTCGCAAGAAGCGGCCTCACACGAACCGCGACGCGAATGGACTTTGTTTGGCCCGCGGCGTCCATGGTTGTAAGCCAAGCGACATCGCTTGCCTTCGCTGATCAACCCCGGAGCTATGTACACAATGCTGTCATTTCTGTATCTATGTACATCTTAATATATATGTATGCTTTGACTTAAGACTGCGTTCGGCCAGCTCACAGCTCCTCAGGGACAGTAATCTAGGTACAACGTTATGTACAGTGGTGGCTTCAATACAATTACAGGTTGTGTGTTTTCTCCATATGAAACGTCGTGGGAAGCCTGCGTCTTTGGCCAATGAAGGTGGTTCGAAGGGAGTTTGGTTTAACGACAGCTTTCCCTGGACACGTTGCTCCCCGCAAGGACGCTTCTGAATGAGAACTGATTCGGTACATTTTCGCTAAGATGAGACGCGTGGGGTGTAGGGCAGGGGCCATAGATGGATGATGCAATGGCCAAGCGACGGAGTTCCAAGATTGTGGTATAAGAAGGTGGTCCAGCAAAGGGACACGGAATAGACACTGTGCAGGTGTCCCAGGAAAGCTTTATCCTCCTGTTACTTGCAGGCAATTGACGTGTGCTGGCAGGATCTGTTCCGCCAAAGTGATGCGCCTATAACGGTCGCCTCCAATCTATACAACAGCCAATCCGAAACCCTTTCATATAGTCCTTTGTAGGTCGCAAGTAAACAGAAACGTGACAAGGCCGTACACACCTGACACAGCCGCTGTACGGTGTTCCACTTATTCCAAGTTAGTGTTGCTTTCAGCGGATATGCATATGACTACGAGAAGCTTTGGCATAAGCTCCACGCATACATAGATTGTCTGCGCAACATCTTACTCAATGGCTGATATCCACAGGTAGACAATGCCGGGAAGACTGGATTACCGTGGGGCCCTACTGAAGTCTCAAAAGGCCCCCACGGCGCCGAGAAGAGAAGAGTAGACAGTGACCCACCTTCTGAGTTGGCCACATTCTCCCTTAACCCCTCCTGCTACCTCCCCACCATTGGGCTGCGTTTATGATGCCATAACCAAAGCGACAAGGCTTGCAACATCCCCCATCCGTGCTGCAGATCCCCGCTACAGTGGACAACCCGCCTCCCGCAGCCAGCTCAGCAGCGTCTCATTGCAGCGGTTTCGGAGGCACTCCGCTGAGAGCCACCCGGGCGAGCCCCAGGGGCAGCCCAGCTGCTTCAGACAGCGCAGGGTGGCCAGGTCGCCGTTGAGGGCGGCCTTCAGGTAGGGCTGCCCGTTAGCCTGCATGGGGGAGACGGCGGAGGTCATGTTAGCTCGCAGGCCGCTTCAGAACCCGCCGCCACGTACCGGTATCGCCGCACAATGCTCTCGTGTCTTACCTCGCTCACATAGGGGTGTGCCAGGCGCAAGGCACATTCCCTTGGAGGTAAGCCATCATGCTGCCCTTTTGAGGTTTCATCCACTAATGAACAACAGACAACAGGGTCCCCCCAAGCAGCCCAGCAGCACCCAACTCACCGGCAGCGGGCAGCCCTGCTCCACCAGCCACTCCAACACATCCTCGCACCCCCCTGCCGCAGCCCCTGTGAACGTGCAGTCGCCATCCCAGGGGCAGCCCCTCTCCCGCAGCCACCTCAGCAGCTCGCCGTTGCCCGACTCAGCGGCGCCCCTAAAGACCTTTGCGTCCAGCTGGACCGCCGCTGGCCCCAGCGTTTCCACCAGCCAGGCAACCACCTGCAGGTGGCCAGCACGCGCGGCAACCCTGGCTGTCAGGGCGCCCATGGGGATTCCATGGGCACGCAGCAGGGCCAGAGCACCCACCCCACCGCCTCTAGCCGCCGCCATGGCACGCATCTCAGTCCGCAGCTCAGTAGGCATCCCGCCCTCTGTTGTCAGCAGGTACTGCAAAGCTTCCAAATTGCCGGCTTCTGAAACCACACTGGCGGGGTGTTCCATGTCAAGTGGGTAGCCCCGGCCCCGCAGCCACCTCAGGCGGTCCAGAGCATCCGGGCAGTAGGCGGCTTCAGTGCAAGCCTGCTCGGCTTCCGTGCAGGGGAACCCCTGCGCCTCCAGCCAAACCAGCTTTGCCTGCCAGTCGGGTGTGAGGCTGCCGGCGGCGTAGGCCAGGACTATGGTCTTATCATGGACAGACAACTGCCCACCCCGGGCCTCACCACCACCCGCCCAAACACCATGCAGACGCTGCAGAGTAGGCAGGTCGCAGTATTGAGCCGCTGCGGACAACATTCGGGACGGCTCGATTTCCAACTCTTCTGTAGCTGATGCCACCGGCCGCTGTTGCAGCAGCCACTCCAACAGGCCCATGTCACGCCCCTGCACAGCGGCGTACACAAGTTCAGGACTCCAGGCGCAGCCGGCAGCCAGGCCCCACTCACAGATCGCCCGCTGGCCCGCACGTGCCGCCGCCTCAGCGACAGCCTCCAAGGTGTATCCCTGCTGCACCAGCCACTGACACATCTCCAGGTGGCCCGCATCCGCTGCGGCCTGCTCCACGAAGATTCGGTCGTGGTGGTGGTGTAGCACATACTCTGAGGCTGAGAGGCCAGTGGCTGTGAACGCCACCTTCAGGTTTGGCAGGCTGCCGCTGCGCGCTGCAAGCCATAACAGCTTCCACCGCTGCTTGAATGTCATGCCCCGCACGGCACCGGGGCGCTCCCAGTGCTGCTTGAACGCGTGGTGCGGCACCGGCGAAGAAAGCTGCACTGTGGTGTGAGAAGGGCCGCGGAACTGAGCGGCCGCGGCTTTGTTGATCAACCGTACGGTGCAGGCAACCTCGTTGGGTGGTAGGAAGCTGACAATGCGCTCCGCAAGCTCTGGCAGCAGCCCAGGCCAGATTCGCGACGGACTGGGATGCTGTGCGGAAGCAACTGAGGAACGCTCCCAATCCATGGGCTGTTGTTGCTGAGACATTGAGTATATTTATCGCTGTAATCTTTCGCAGTAGAGCTTATGTTCATGGCGATAGAACGGAAACTGCAGCCATTATGACCTCTGCAGTCTGCACTTGTAAGGTTGCCTAGTTGTAATCCGTGTTGTCATCTGCATCTGTGGTGTGTGGTCTAATGGAACTGAAGGCTTAGTGGCCCAGCTGTAAGGAGAGCAGGTTCCGGTAGGGTTCCGATTAAGGCAACGAATCGAAACCATGCCGTACGAGTGTATATAGCTGGCTGGGCGCCGGTGGTAGCACACTCTTGACCCCGCAATATGATGACTCGGAGGACTCGAAGGCTATGACCCGGCGGTTGAGAGGAGGGAAGGTGGTGGGGAGGTGGAAGAGTGGAAGAGAAGAAGGTGCTGCGCCGGTCGGGAATGCAGGGCTTAAGAAGAGGTAGAGGCTGCGCGTAAAGCGTAGCTCCCCTTAGCAGCACAGGAGAGTGATGGGGTTGTACTAGGCTGGAGGGAGAAGGGGGTCATGGAGCGGATTTGCACTGGCAAGGGGGAGGGAACTGGGGGGGCGCAGGGTCATGCTACCACCTGTTGCCGTAGCCTGTCAGGCCTGCCAGCGCGCCAAGATACAAATGGCCGCCGAGTGGACATCCTTCAACAGCTTGCTTACTACTGTACAACGGTGTTTAGTAGTACCACCTTGCATGAAACCTTTACAGTGATCCCAAACCGGAAGGCAAGGGAAAGCGGACGATACCCAGTCCTACACTGCAAGAGAAAGGGCAGAGCCCTCTGGAGCCCTTAGCCAAAAGGATCAGGCCCCCAAAAAAGCCTTATAGCAGACTTGCAGCCTCCCTAGTTCGCAACACCAGTGAGTGTCCCTTACCAGGCTTACCACGTCTGTTATACGGCCCGTAGTGATTCCCGAGTAGTGATGCCCATCCTACTTTCTAATCTCCATCAATAGGCTCCGCCCTTTTCCAGCTTTCCAGGGAGCTGAACCCTATTCCGCTGGCAGACACCTACCAACCAACCGGCGACCTAGCCAAAACCTAAGACGCCTAGACAGTCAACTTGGCAGGTAAGCACGCCTGGGTTATATAATGAACGAACATACGAAGCCCCGAAAACACAAAATTGTCGGGACCAAACTGAACGAAGCAAACGAAACCCGTCCTATCTAGTGTACAACCTCTTCCTATCTATCTAGCAAGAGGGTCTCACGTGGCCACGAGGGTAGATAGGGAGTCGCCGTCAGAAGATGACAAACATTGCGCCGTGCATATGCCGTTACTTCCGTGAATGGGTGAAGCAACAAGACAGCGACAACAAGACAAGCTACACACCAACTGTAAGGAAAACGGCAACAGAGCGGCTGTCTGGGCCTGCAAGTATATATTGTAGGGTTATACTTGCAAGCACTCGCAGCCGCCAACCCCCCCCGCAATCACTCCATTACCAAGGCCTGTGCACTCCGGCAAAACCTGGTCGAGCCATGCAAACGTCAAAGCACACTGCACTCCCACACTCTCATGTCACTACGGTATCACACGTGTTGGTCACGCCCCCTTCCCTTCCTCCTCTCCTTACTTATCGAGCCCCAGCCATGCACACGCGTGCTGTGCCTTCCCTGCCTCACGACCCAAACGCATGCAATGGGGCAGCCAATGAGCCGTCTGAAACGAGGCTGGCTCAAGTCCCTCGCCGCATCTCTGCGCCCGCATCCGCCCATGCAAACTGCCATGCATGCGCCCTTCACAGCTTTGAGAGCGGGAGAGGGGCCGCATCGGGCACTTCCCCAACACCTGCCCTGCCCTCTCCCTCCTTCCCTCCTGTACCACCCTCTGACAGCCCCGTCACCCCTGCAACCTCCCCCACTGCGCCAGCTTGCTGCCCTCCTCCCTCCTCGCCGCACTCTCCTCCGCTGCCGCGATGACCTCCTGCACCCATTGCACGGCCTTCGTGCAAGTGAAAACCGCTGACCAGCTCATCCTTGCCGGCTTCCATGGCCCCATGTAGCACAACCGCTAGCTCTGCTGCACCGCTCCCTGCCAACCCATCCTGGTTTCCTGCATGGCAGGCGCCAACAGGCGAAGCAGCAGCCGCAGCGGTTGCCTCAACAGTCCTCGCCGGCACCTTTCCTGTCGCAGCGACCCGTTGACCCGTGGGTCGCTGGGCTGCCCGCAAGGCTCTGCTGCTACGCGGACGTTGCTGCTGCTGCTGCTGCTGTAGCAACCGCCGTGACGCCAACTGCCACTGCCATTGCTGCTTTAACGCCAGCTCCCGTACGACAGCTGATGCGGCCAGCAGGCCGGATTCGTACGCGCCGTGTGCCGTACCGTAGTGCCGGCGGTGCGCTGCCTCCCCGGCGAAAAACAGCGAGCCCAGGATGGGTCGCGCGACGTCGTCAAAGGCGGCGCTGGTAAGGCCCGCGGGAATGTATGTGTACGACATTCTGCATGCATGTCGTACAGGTGGCGGTCGAGGCTTTAGACGGCACGTACAACACACTGACAAGGAAACTCCCTCTATCCCATCCCTCATCCCTTCCCCACCATCCCCCTCCCTCTTTCCCTCCCCTCCCCACCCTGGAGTCAGTTTCCTTTAGTTTTACCCCACCTGGAGTACGGGTCGCTGCCCCAGCGTGTCACCACTGTCTGCCGCGGCCGCCGCACCCGGCTGCTGCCGTACAGCCCCGCCAGCGCCCGCATCGCCCCGCCCAGCGTCTCCTCGTCTCCCAGCGCCTCCAGCGCCGCAGCCGCCTCCCCCAGGTTGAAGGCGATCAGGATGGGGGCGCCGGTGACCTGTACGGCAGGGGAGGAGGGAGCGGGGAGGCAGCGACGGGAGGAGAGGGATGATGTTCGTGAGGCGAAAGGAGAGGAAGGCTGGCAAGGGCTTTTAGCATGTGGCACGGGTATGACACAGGGCGACTCCTCGCAACCTGCATGTTTATGTAACGAATGCGGCTGTTACCACCAACGGTGCTATCACTGTCAGTGTTGCTTCATGCCGCAACACCGGCTGCTGCTTGCCGTTCGTACACGTGTGTCGTACGCACCTTGTGCAGGTTTAGGAAGTAGCTCCAGCGGCCCGCCTCGCAGGGCCCCGGGATGCGGTAGATGAAGGCGGTGTCGTCCCAGAACACGTCAGCAGGGTCAAACAACATGATCACCTGGAAGGGGGGGAGAAGGCGCAGGCGGCGGGGGTGGGCGCAGGGTCGCATGCAGGTGGGGTCGAGCAGGTGGGGTCGAGTGGGGTCGGGTAAGCTACCGCTCTGTTGCCCTTGGTCGCGAAACGAACCCAGCGGGTGCTCGTGCATTGCGGCCCGTCTATCGGCATTTGTAGGTTTGTAGGTTTGTTTTCCGAACCATGTTCGGAGCAGCTGTAGGTTCCCGGCTTCTCCAGTAGTGCCCATGCGCCTCAGCATGGTACTCACCCCTAAACCTTCCTCCCTCCAATCCTGGTCCCCTACCCACCCACCTCCGCCCCTCCTCCACCCCCCTCCCCTTCCCCACCTTGTTGTACACCGCGGTGCCCAGCTGCCGTACCGCCGCCGCCTTGCGCGGGTCCGCCTGCGCCAGGGCCGGCTGGAAGCACACCGCACCCGAGCGCAGCACCCCCACCGGCAGCGTCACCACCGCCGCACGAGCCGTCAGCCGCATCACCGCACCCCCGCTGCTACTGCTGGGGGCTGCTGCGGCTGCTGCGGCTGCTGCTCCTGCTGGTGTAGGCAAGGAGCTTCCTCCCATTCGCGCCGTCACGACAACCCCGGCAGCCGGCTGCTGCTGCTGCTGCTGGCCTCCTCGCCCACTGCTGCGATCACCCGGCTTCACCCCGCCTCCACCTCCATCTTCCGTACCCCCGCCGTACTGTACGGCAAGCACCTCATGCCCCAGCCGTACATCCAACCCAACCGCCAACCGCTCCACGATGCCTGCATACCCGCGTGCCAGCACCACATCTCCCCCCGGCAGCACCTCCTCATCCAGCGCCGCCACGCCCATGTGGGTCGCCTCGCCTGCCCAGTAGTGCTCCATGTGGTTTGACACGGCGAAGGCTAGGTGGGCGCGCTGTGCGGGGGAGAGGCGGCGCGCCGAGGCAAAGGCCTCTAGGGCGGTTTGGATGGGCATGAGCGCTAGGGCGGGGTCGGGGGAGTGCAGCAGGGTGTGTAGGTGCTGCTCGAAAACGTGGTAGCTGGAGGGGGAAGAGGAGTAGGGAGGGGAGGAGCAGGTGAGGGGGGCTTAGGTGGCTGGATGGTGCTGGTGTGAGTGCCGTACAGGGATTGTAATGATAAAATATGCAAGGGTCATTTTGACATGAGGCGCATATGTTGGCAGCATGGTGGTTAGGTACACGGAAGCGAGGGGTGTAGGGGCGCTGGTACAACGTGCTGTGGCAGGGCCCGACGAATCTGTAACATCTCACACGTCGGTCGGGCGATTCAACTTACAGGTTTTCTATGTCGGCGACAGTGCCGGCAGCAAGGCGGACGCCCTCAGCTGTGTACACGGCGGCGTCACTGTAGTCGGTGGGAAGGCAGCCAAGCTGGAGTTCGCAAGCCAAACTGTAGAGATGGTTAGGCGCACCGCTGCTGCCGATGCCATGGACCCAAGCTCCGCCCAGATCGACAGCCCAGGTCGGACGTCCGTTTCCCTCAGCAAGAGGGACAGTGTGGATGCGTCCACCGATGCGCTCCCGCGCTTCTAGCACAACGACACGCAAGCCCGCATTACGAAGGGTTGCCGCACAGGCAAGCCCAGAGATACCTGCTCCGATGACTATAACGTCTGTTGCTGTTTCTTCAGCTCCATGTAAGCGTCCGCGGCTGGTATTCACTGCGTTGCTAAATTGAGGCAGCTCCATGGTGTCGGAGTTCGGGGCTATAGGAAGTGGTATATATCAGAAGACCCGCCGCTTGACTGTCACGATATGGATTGCGCTCGCTAGCAATAGTCTATCCCAAGTGGCTCACGGGTAAAGGGAAGAACAGGAGGGCAATGACCGTTCCGGTGACCTATTAAAGCCTGACTAAACTAATTGCGACACTTGCCACGCTGTGTTGATCCCATCATATTTGTCAGGCAGCAAGCCACAAGCAGCAGGTGAAGGGGCCGCTTGCTCCCCATTTCTTTGCTTTGGCTATGCTGAAACTGTTACAACGGCTAGCAACGCAACTAAGGGGTCAAGGACTGAGGATAACTTTGTGAAAAAATAAGTATAATGGAAGACCCAAATGCCGTGGGTGCGTATCTATCTTTCGCGTCAGCAACGAATTTGAATGATAGGCGTAAGTTAGGAGGCAGATGCCTTTCTTGGCAAAGCCGATACTTAGATGAAACCCAATTTGCCTATGTACGTTTGTACCAACGATCAAAAAGCGTCAAATGTGCGCCGCCACGTTTCCGGGCGGCGGGTCTGCTTACGCAAGAACGAGTGGAGAGCCCGAGCATGGGGGGCCTTTGCGTTTATATACAAGGAAGAATTGAAAGGTATAGGTAAAAAGCCACTCGATGGGATTTGGGTAGGTTCAAGCGCAACACCCTAAGCTCTCTGACCATCACAGACAGACCGGCTAAGCCCTGTTAAGGAATGGAATCCTGAAGCGAAGACCTGACACCCATCTTCGGCAGGTTGACCAACGCGAATGGGAAATGCCAAAATACTTGCAGTTGGCCAACAACATACAGTAATACATGGGAGCAACAAAGGATTCGGCAATGTGTATGACGACAGAATTGTTTACAAGCGAACTGTGACGGTGGGGACGTCCTGCTCAAAAGCCGTACGGATGCTGCACTCCTGCACAGCCTGCTTTGCTGCTTTGACGGTAGTAGAGCGGTATTCTAGTGAGACAGATTCATTGCAAACACTTTGCATATGAGCACGTACCTACTACTGTATAGTTGTTCTAGAAATGGAAAGCGACGTTTACACAGTGCCTTCTGAAGTTCTCTTTCGCAACTATGCAACCAGCTCTGGCCAACAAACTAGAAATATATTACTTAAGAACAATACAAATCGGACGCTTCAAACCGTCATATCATACCCCTTCTCGCCCAGCTTCAGTCTCTTCGCCCCAGCTGACCAGCGTGCGGAGCTCAAGCCCTTCCCACAACACCTAGTGCTTGACCTGCAGCCGAACAGCACCAGCAAGGCAAGGTGGCTTTTAGTAGACAGGAATGACAGTCTTGCACCCCGCGTCCCAGAGCTGCCTACGCTGTACACCACTGCCGTACACACACTTTCTGCGCTGGTGCTGGTGCTGTAGGTCGTTGTGGAGCTCGAACCCCCAAAGGATAGCGCTGGAGACAAAAACTTACAAGGTGTTATTTGGGGTGCCTTTCTGTAGCTCCTTGAAGTCCTTTCACTTATTACCGTAAAATAGCCTGCACAGGGTCTCTTTATCGACACCCTGTGTAGGCCATTTCTCTTGCAACTGAAGCAAAAGACCGGCCGTCATTCCGTGTTGTCCAGCCCTAGCATGCCGTCCTGCCGTACCACTTGCTTGCATGTCGCTTCGCCATCACTCTTCATACCTGTGCCGCAAAGAACTTCCTCCAACTCTTTTTTGTCGTACACACGCTCATTCCCCCCTTCCCCAACCAGATGTGTTGGTGGTCTTGTTCGGCGGGGTGCGTGTGCTGCGGGTGCCCGTACGGGCGGTGTACGGCGGACAGGAGGCGGGGACGGCCGGGGCGGCGGGGACGGGGGCAAGCGGCGCGCCAGCCCTGACGTTCGGCCCCTCACAGGAGGTGCGGCTGGCTGGGCCTGGGGTGCGGGGAGGGCGGGACGGGTGGGCGGAGACATGCGCATATGGATGGCTGGATTGGTAACCGCGGCTTTGTCATGGCAGCCGCTGCCTCCTACTTGTTCCTCCTCCCGGACTACCGGCAGCATGTCTCACTGGGAAGCCCGCCCCTCGCCTCCCCCGGACGCAAAGACTCGCTTTCCCTACACCAGCCCTCCCACCCTCCATCCCACTATCCTTCACCCCCCCCACACACATGGAGCCCTGCGAAGCCTTGTCCCATATGGTTGGTTGGTGTCTTCCGCTTTACCCGCATGTCTGCCTGCCTGCCTGCCTGGCTTGCTGCTCCCTGCCGTACACCCCCTCCATCCCCCAGCACCTGGACGCGCGGTGCGTCATGTTCATGGAGGCCATGAGGGACCTGTACGGCGACGCCTTGGTGGACTGTACGGCACAGCTTCCCGAGCAGCAGCAACAGCAGCAGCAACCCACGCCAGCTGCGGAAGGCACGGGGCCCGTAGCAGCGGCAGCAGGAACAGCAGGCCCTGCCTGCGCCTCCCAAACCGCTGCGGACGAGGTTGTAGCTGCGGCAGTAGCAGCCGCAGCGGTAGCAGTAGCCAGGAGACCGCTGTCCGCGGCGGCTCAAGCCAGCACCGTAGGGCTTCTCCCTCCCGAGGGCTTCTCACAACTCGAAGCTGACGACGACGGAGAGGAGCCGGTGTTTGGCCTGGATGACGCAACCTGCATCAACGGTGACATGCAGGTTAGTAGCGCCGCTGACCCAGGGGTCGCCCCAGGCGGCACCTCCTCCTCTTCCTCTCTGCTGGCGCTGACGGCGCTGCAGCAGCCGCCTGTCGTACTGCACAAGAGCGTCAAGGTGCAGGGGCGCGTGGCGGTGGCGGTTGCAACCACCGCCACCACCACCTCAAGCCTCGACGGCAGCGGCCAAGCAGCTCCGCCCTCTGACTCTCAGCACCCGCAGGTTCCTGCTACGAGCCGCACCAGCAGCAGCGGAACAGCAGCAGCAGCAGCAGGGGGCGGCAGCACCACCAGTGCCACTCGGCCTGGGTCGGGCTCCCCTTCCGTATCCTGCTCCGGTGTTGCTGCAGCTGCTTCTGGGTCGGGTGGCGGCTCCGGGGGGCGGCTGGCGTTCCTGCTGAACGGGCAGCTGGTGGACGCGCGGGGGGCCCTGCTGGACCCTGCCGCGGTGGCACTAGGGGGCGGGGCGGGTGCGGGAGGTGGCGGTGCTGGAGGTGGCGGTGGTGTGGTGGTGGTGGACTGCGGGGAGGTGGTGGCGCCGCCCAGGATCTCCAGGTGGGTGGGTGGGTGGTGGGGGGGGGGAGAGGGAGCTGTGTGTGCGGCTTTGTGCGTTGGCAGAAGTGTGCCGGTTAGTGTCGGCCCCAGCGTCAGCGCCAGCTACTACAACACAGCCGAGTTGGGAGTCCCTCCGCCCGGCATGCATGGCAGGGTGCTGTGGTGGCACGCACACCCGCTCCCAGCTGCAGCTGGCGCCCATGCAACGCTGCAAACCGTGATGGCCGTACCTACTACGCCTTCCCTGCGCCCCCCTGCACACTAACGTCTACAATCCCCACCGCCCTCCGCCCCTCCTCGCAGGTCGGGCAGCGGCGTCCTCAGCACACCTCCTCGCCTCACAACGCCGCCCGCCGCCTCCACCTCCGCCCCAGCCGCCCCCGCCCTCCCCACCACCGGCCCGCCTGCCTCCCTGCCCGGCTCCGCCTCCCCCGCCCCCGCCAGCCGGCTGGTGTCCCTGGCGCCGCTGAAGCACGGAGGTATACCCGTGACGCCGCCACTGCGCCCCGGAAGCGCCGCCACCGCCGCTGCCTCCTCCTCCTCACCGTTGCTGCTGGGCCGCCTGTCCGTAGCACCCCTGGGACCGCCCTCTTCCGCAGGGGGAGGAGGCGGTGGTGCAGGCGGCGGATCAGGAGGAGCAGCAGCAGGGGGAGGAACAGCTGGGTCCGGTGAGGATCCGCTGCGGGCTGCGGCGCTTGCCGCTGCCATGCGTGAGCTGGGCATCACTGACCTGCCGGCGCCCTCACCTAGCGGTATGAGGAGCGGCGGAGGAGGCGGAGGTGGGTTGCTGGCGGAATGGCAGCGGCCGCCTTCCGCGGCGGCGGCGGCGGCGTCCTCGCCAATGCCGTCGTACTTGCAATACGGTCTGCCGCCGAACTACCGGCCCAGCAGCGGCAGCCGGAGAAAGCCCGCCTCCGCCAAGGGCTCAGCTGCCGCCGCCGGTGGCGGCGCCGTCGGGCGGTTTGCGGTGGATGATGGCGGCGAGGATGATGACGATGGTGATGAGGGCGCCGGGGACGTGCGGGACGACGCGGACCTTGAAGCAAAGCTGCAGCAGCAGATCGAGTCAAACGTGCTCAGAGCCACAGGGCCGGGTACAGCAGCAGCAGGAGGAGGAGGGGGCGGAGGCGGGTGTCCGGGGCCGGCACCCGTGCCGCGGGCCAGGGCGGCAGGTCGAGGCCCCATGGCGGCGCCGTCGCCAGGCTCGTACCTGCCGCCGCGAGCGGGCGCCGCATCGTCAGGGTGTCTCGGAGCGCCGTCAGCGGCGGCAGCCGCCGCCGCCGCCGTGGCGGCGGGTGCGCGATTGGGAAAGGCGACGGCGGCGGCGGCGGCTGCAGCCGCCGGCGGCAGCCAGATGACGCGACGAGCCTCCTCTGCCTCCATTACGGATAGCGATTACCCGGAGGAAAGTGAGTTTGAGGCGCGACTGCAGCGGCAGATAGACAGTGACGTTGCCAATGGAGGTGGCGCGGGTCGCGGCCCGGCGGCGGCGGGTGGCGGAGGCGGAGGCGCCCGTTGGAGAGCCTCCGGTGGTGGAAACACGTCAGCGTCATCATCGTCAGCGGCGGCGGCGGGAAGCCGTACGGCGGCGGCGGCGCCGTCGACGGCGGTAGGGTCCTTAAAGCGCTCTAACTCCGCAGCCAGCAGCGGTAGCATGCGTGCCGCCGCGGGTGGTGGGGGCGGTAGCGGTAGTACGGCAAGGCGAGGAGGTGCGAGTGGTGGCGCCGGCGGTACGGCGGGCGGGGGCGGAGTGGCGGGGGCGCGGCGGCTCTCCGCGGACTCGGCGACGGCTGACAAGGTTAGTTTACGTGCGCCTGGTCCCGCGCGCAATTGCTCCCTTTACCGGTATCCTTGTGTTGGGACCGGGTTTGTTGTGTTGCCTCTGCCCTCATCGAGTCGTTGCCGTACTTGCGACTACCGGTGGTGTGCGGGTGCGGGTGCCGTACATCCTTCTCACGACCGTGTATGTGTTTGTGTGTGCAGGGAACCGCCGCAACGCGCAGCGGCGGGGCCGGTGCTGCCGCATCTGCAGGGGTGGCCAAAGGCGGGAGCGGGCGGACAGCGCCCGCAGCAGCCGCAGGCAGGGGCGTGGGCGGGCGAACAGGTGTCGCTGCCGCCGCTGCGGGGGGCGCCACGTCAGCTAACGCGCAGCGGTTGAAGGCCAATTGGGACGCCCTGGGCTGAGAGACGTACGACATGCAAGATGCAACACCTGTTTCAGCTGCGTTTAACTTACACTGACGTATTATGTTACCTTACGTATGCAATACGAGCGGCACGGCAGCGTGACGTGGCTTAAGCGGCAGTGTGGCGTGCAAGGGGACAGGGGAGTAACGTGGACAAGGTCTGCATGCGCTTGCATGGTGCTCCTGACGGTGGCGCAGGGTTGCTGGTTGTGTAGGGCGGAAGGTGCTACGTGCGCAGGCGTGAACGCAAATGAGTTGGTTGCTCTTCTGCCGTTTGTTGTTGTCGTGCAGCAGCAATGTGGCAAACCTCGGGTGTACAGCAGCGTCTTGATGGCACGGCACGTCAGCAGTGCCGCTGACGACTCTCTGATCAGGCGGTTGGGTGGCATCCCATGTGTGGTAGCGCGATGGAGAAGGGGTCTCCAAGCATGAATAGCGTCATGCTCGCAGTTGCACCTTGCAGTGCTATGATGCCATCTGGCGCCATCCTTGCCTTCATGTACCTCTTCTTCACGGTGCCCTAGCCTACATATGCATAGATGTGGCTTCGGCTCTGCCGTACTTTTGCAAGTCGTTCGTACAACTTGCCGTTCACACAATTTCCGATTATTGTACCAGAATTGCACTGCTGTCATTTGTAATTCTACAGGTTCGGTTCAACCATCCTATACGTCACATACTGTACACGTACCGTGGCAATGCCTGCAACCTAGCTATCAACCACACCACCCCTTCTCCGCTGCTGTGGATGTTGGTCAGGGCAGCCCAGTTCTCCCTCCAACGGAGGGCAGCGTCAGCCCTTCTGCACTTTCGTCACTTTCTACCTGACGTTCCTTCTTCTGGTTCAGCCCTCCCTCCCCGAGCCCCTGGATCGAGTCCCCGCACACGTCCTAGTCTTCTCCCAACAGCGGCGGGGTTAGCCGAGGCAGTATCAGGGAAAGCAGGAGTTAGGGCAGCAGCGGCAACAACAGCAGACGCAGAGGGAGCCCGGACTCGCATGGCGCCGCCTGTGACCAAGCCATTTAGCTGGCAGGAGGTGAAGGAGATTGTTGAGCGAGGCAACACCACGGACATCGAAGCGCTTGGAATCCTCGGCCGCAGCGAGGCTGATCTGACTAAGTATCGGGCATTTCGCGCAAAGCTTCTGCAAGAGTACGCATCTATAGCAGACAACTTGAGGGCCAGGTTGTTCTGTGCACCGACATTGGTAACAGAGGATGGCAAGCTAGCTGTGCACCCCTCCGATCCCACTGCTACAGCGTTATACATCCTGGTAGGTTTGGGAATGAGCGACGTAAATGCCTAGTTTGTTTTCGTTGACTCGTTATCCACACCGTTGAACACATGGCAGGTAATGGAGAACGAATTTCCCTACTACCTTGAGCCAGGTCTATCACATTTCAACATTTGGAGCAGCAGCAGCCCCCTCAGCCCTCCGGTGGTTGAGCAGCTGATCGTGGAAAGGCTACCGTGCGACGATTACGTATGGTTTGTCAATCCGCCACAGTTCCAGTCCGTCAGGGCGGTAAGTGGTTCCAACCCAAAAAACATTGTTATGGCTCTTTGTACTTAGCTCGGCTTGCACTGTTGCACAGATCTGTACGCAAACAACGTTTTCAATTAACAAAGCGTGCATTGGTTGGCTTTGCAGATCTGGCATTGCCACATTATGATCCGAAACCTCAAGGACGGGGCCCGAATAGGGAAGCCAGGTCGGTTGGTCTTGGTTTAAGTCTACCGGTACATACATTGCCATTTAGTAGGAAAATGCTACCCAATGCTACCCAATGCTGCTAATCCGGTAAATGGACTTGCTGCGTCCTGTACTCAGGTGAAGCGGAGCTCCTCGACCTGGCGAGATATCACTCAGTGGCAAACTCTTAGAGGCAGTCGTCTCGAAAACGGCAACACGAGGGACCGAGGGGCTTCTTGTAGGTTAGAAACCTATGACATATACTTCTGTTAAAGAGGAACCGCATAATGTGCGCTTGGATGTAAGGTTTGTGGCTAACTGCCAACTTTCGAGGGTTTAGGGGCGTGGTCGTTGGTTGGCGAACTTTTGTGAATCTGGCAAGTCCTACGTTCGTCATGGTAACTACATTACTATTAATTTGAAGCATACGCGACCTCCAATGCACGCCGCGTGCTCGTTCGATGCTGAGAAGGAAGCTTTGCCGTACACATGCACGTCAGCCCTCATTACTTATCATACTGGGCTTACAATGAACTGGACAGTTCCTTCCTGTAATACTATCATTATTGGCTTTAACAACTTTGTGAACAGACAACGTTGATTTCAGGCCATTCAGAGTAGTCACAGGATCCCTCTAGACGCCACGTAAGATTTCGGACGTCCTCTCCTCAGGGTAAGATCTGGACATCTAAAGCTGGAATGGCGGCTTCCTCAGCGTAGAAATATAGAAAGCTTATTGGCTTAGAGCCAACCACTGACAGAGCGGTGTTGCGCAGGCAGTCGCCTCAGCAAGGCATGGCAGCTTCGGAAGGCAACCAGTCTACACCAATCAAGCCTGGGTCCCGCCAGGTGCGCTGCCTGACCATGTCGTCAAGCTTCATTGCACAGTCTTGCTGGCCATGCCAGGGTCTGAGTTGGCCGGCTGTAATTCTTGAGGTTGATGGTTGTTAATGCCGCCTGTTATTCCCTTTCACAATTGCGTCTTAGGGTATCACGAACAAGGTCGGGCGTAATGCAGCCGAGCTGGCAAAGCCCTGTTTCCCGGCCGGGACGTCGAGGGTTTCGCGCTCGCGAGCAACAAGGGCGCTGGGCCTTCGAAAGCGGAAGCCTGTTAGCCCTCAGTCGCCTCCAAGTCCTAACCAGGAAAGCGCAGTAAATAGCCGGACTGGCAAAGTTGCGTTTGGCCCATGGTGAGTCCCGTGACCGTTGTAAGCCTCATCGCGCATTGTAATCTCAAAAACTTATTATTATAATAATAAAAAGTATGCTTCCATGTGCAACGCCTTTAGACGCAGTCCATAATTGCGCCCACTGGCAGTTGGTAACACAAATACTCCAACCTCCGATGCCGCGTTCTCAAGCCCTGCGTGCTATTAGCTGCTCGCATGCAACCTTCCTACCAATAAAGCGCATTACATTCTTCGCAAGCCACGCCCCCTGCTTGGCAGCCACGCGCTCCTCTCTCCCAGCACACCCCTCCGCAAACATTGTCAAGCGGTATACCTTTTGACACTCGCTATTCATCACCAACCAACCACCATCACCTCCCACCACCAACCCGCCTCCCTAATCTCCCGACCCCAAGGCTGGGTCCCTTCGAGGCCAGCACCAGCGCCATGGGCCCCTCCGACCCGCTCTTCGCGGACCCCAACGGCAACACCTACAACTCCCTCAGTGCCGTACAAATGGATCCCCCCGCCGCCTCCGACGACACCACCGCCGCGCCTCATGACAAGCAGCCCCAGTCGGCGCCCTCCAAGCAGCAGCAGGCCAAGGCTGCGGCGGCCAAGGTGGCGGGCAGCGCCACCGCCGCCACGCAGCAGCTGGTGGTGATGATGAACAAGATGGTGCAGCGGGCGGCGGCAGCGGCGGCGGCGCACACGCGGCAGCCGGCGCAGTGGCTGGGTCGCAGCAAGGCGCATGGCAGCGGGCGCTGCAACACCACCATGGCCCGCGCCATCAACCAGCCGCGCAAGAGCTGAAGCAGATGCGTTAAGGGAACCGCAGCGTAAGAGCTGAAGCGGACTGCGAAAGGGTGTAGTATGGTCCTTTCAAGCGGTGTACGATATTACGGAGTTGGGAATTACCTGCGGGCTACAAGTGGGCAGGAAACAGGTGCGCAGATAACGAGTGTGGTGTAATTCTACGGAAACGGGAGGGAAGGGAGTGGATGATGTATCCTTTGTATGTACAATGCGCTTAGCAGGAATGTCGTCTGCAGCTGGAGTGTAGACGGGACGTGCGGCAACCCATGAGCATGCTGTGGGTGCGTGTATAAGCAGTAGACGGTTCGGTCGTAAAAATTTGTCCTGTAGTTTTATACTAAATAGGTAAGCCGGGTATGCGAAGCTTCAACATGGCGATTGATAGGGCAATGAAGTGTGTGTAGTTGAGCGTAAACAAGAGCAAGCAGTTGGGATAGGTTCGCATGTGAACATGTGTGTAACTGTCACTTGCTGGTTGGTTGATGTCTTCCGTACAGCTTGCATGGTAGGATGATATACTACAAATTGTACAGGTTTTTCGTCTCGCTGGGATCTCGATCCAGGTTGTTTTCATGGTTGTGTAGCGTTTATTACAGTAGCAGGCATGCCATCCACAGTATGCCAGCGTGGATGCATCTTGTGCACAACAACCCACATGGCTGTCTTGTTGTTCGAGGAGGTAGTTTTTCGACCGGTTGTTTCGGACCCGTCGTGTGTCCTTGTATGCAGTGTGAGGGAAGGCGGCTTCATGCGAGGACTCGGCACGCGGCATCCTGCCCGCTGTGCACCGGTGTCCTGGCACGTGTTGTATAAATAGCGTCGTAGTGCTGCCACGGGCGACTTGTTGCTAAGGTATACAAATGCGGCTCTTAGTATACCTTGCTCCCACGCAAGACGTCCACCATCCGAATAGGCCACACACGGTTTTTGGACACCAGTATAATCTTCTCCCTGCAGGATGGAGGACCGTAAACTACTGTGGCCGACGCGGCGGCATGTTCATAATATTGTTTGACGTTTGTAAGTTGTTGTCTGTCACCATGCGCGGGCTTCCGCTAACCGCTAATCACCAACCGCATCCACCACCAGCACTTACGACGGGCGGTACCCAGCACGTCCCACGGGTCCGTCCACTACACACGGCTGCCCTATCATGCATGTTGCATCACAACTCAGCAGCGTCGAGCACGACGTCAAGCGACATTGGGTCGCACGAATGCGCCCATGTCGCCGGCGATATTGTCGCCTAGTACACCACGTCATGTCTTGGTCATCCATCAATTGCACTGTCGTCGTTGCCAACGCAGTCTACCAAAAGCCACCATCGCGCGCGTCCCTTGGCCAACCCTTATCACAGTAACGTACACTTGACGCGACGATAAGCAGCTACCGCACAGCCCCCATGCAACCACTGTCGCATCAACCCATTCCCTCCCCAAACTCCTTCCAAAGTCTGGCCCCGGGCACTTCACAGTCTGTCTCCTCAATCCCCCGCCCCATGCGGCGCCATGGCGACGTGCATTCTCCACCCAGAGCGTAAAGGACGCATGCATGCATGGCCCAGCGTGTGGACCCCACCCCGTGCCCACCCACCCATCCCTCCGTCAGCGCTCTGTGGCCGCCCCGGCGGGAGCTGACGATGCCCGGCTAGTTGCCGGCCCCGGCCCCAGGCTGAGCTGATGCAGGGGCAGCTGGTCCACCGACGCGCCCTCCACCACCACCCGGCTGCGGAAGTCCTCAAACTCCTTCTTGATGGTGCGGATGGTGCCGCCCAACAGCTGCCGGTGTTCGTCGCTCCGCTGCAGCTGCTCTCTGTGCACGGCAGAGGTGGGGCACAGATGGTACGGCATGCAGGGTGTGTGGGTGGAAAAAGGTAAATACCAGAGGCTGAGGGTCGTAAGAATATTAGGGAAAGGGTAAGGCTGGAAAGGAAGCAGAAGTGGGCAAACGCCGCGTCATAGCGCACGCCTCAGGACACTTCCGGCGTGCTGGGACGCACGCTAGCCACCAGCGTCGCCGATGTCGCAACTGCCGTGCGGCCCCATGTTGTCCGCACTGGCTCGAAACGTACGGTGCCATAATGCGGTCTCCTGCTGCTGATGATGATGATATGCGGCAACCATATTTACTTTACTTCCATTTACTCTGTTCGCAGCTGGCAGCTGTAGTTCCCAACGTCTCGTCCGCCGCTTCCAACAGCAGCAGCTCCCCTAGTTACCCAGCGTGGTCGGACCCTTACGGCTCAGAATCAGAAATGAAATGCTAATGAGCCGGTGCCCCGAACACTCCTCCAAAGAACCTTCGCCATGGTTTGAAAACCCACCTCAAGTGCTGGTTGCTCGCCTCGTAGCTCCGAAGCCGCTCCCGCAGTACCGCCAGCTCCTCGCTCTGCAAACGGGTCGGTGCATGGAAAGGACGCGTTCATGAAGCCCACAAATGCCACTAGCTGCCTGCTTCGGACTGCCAGTTGCATGCCGCATATCGCCGCCCAGGCTTCCTAGAAAGCCCCGTCCTGAAACCCGGTGTTGACCCAAGCGCCGTGCTCCCTGTTTGCCCATGCCCATGCCGGCTTTCCGCATACCTCCCCGCTCACCTGTTTCGCAAGTTTTTCTGCGTTGAGTCGGGCCTCCGCCTTATGCTCCGCCCCTTCTCTGAGTGCCCGGTCGAGCATCGTTGTCAACTGGTCATCTGGAGAAACAGCAACGAGGAAGCAAGGGCGCCTCAAGCTCATGGGCGTTATCCAACTACCACACGAAGCTGCCCGAACTGTTCAATCTGCCCTTGTCAACCTTACAGCAGCGGCATGTGTGCATGCAGGTCTCTGGTGCCAGTAACTACGTCCTCGCAACGGTCCGCTAGCCTTGCGCCCATCCCGCCAATATGGTGCTGACTCCTAGCGTCAAAGCTGCGCCCGCAACCCCGCAGTGAACAGCCCGAGTTCCCCTGCTACACCACAGCCCACACCGTAGGACCCGAAGCAACGCACACGCGGCACACTATGCCAAGCCAGCGGTAACGACTATCAGCTAATGCAGACGTTGCTCATGCCGCTGCGGACGGCCGCACGAGGTCCACGACTGCACGGAATCCCTCCTTACCTCGTTTGCTACGCGCTAGCATGTCTTCAATCGCGGATAGCGAGAACGCTGCAAGCAAGAAGGTGGGAAATGGTGCAATCTTCAGGTAGGGATGCGGTTGGTGGTAACCATGGCGCCTGGCCCATTAACAGGAGCACACGCAGCGCACACAACCATGCATACACCATGCAGCGCAAACAACCAAAGCCCCAACCCTAGCATGTTCAGACCCCTTGCGTCATCCGAGAAACCACCCCCTGCAACCACACCAGGGAGGCTGCATGCTAGGGCGAGGGAACAATATGCCTTACTTGAGCCGCGGATCATGACGCCCACATGTGTGCAGGAGTCGGGGATGACCCCGTCGTCTAAGCGCCGCAGCTCAAAGAACTGCAGGTCACATGGCGCGATGCCTAGCTGCCGAGAGCAGCGCTGCGTGATACGGTCGCTGGTAGAGGCCTCGCTTGCGTCATGGTCCTGGTCGTTTTGGAGTACAAAGGCTGAGGAGACCAGCTCCACGCGAACGGGCTGCTGCTGGGGCCCTGAGGCTGCATGGGCGGTGCTGTGCGCACGGGAGGCTGCCTCCCGTGATGGTCCTAGGGCCGGCGTTGGGGCGCAGCTGGGCACGGGTGATGCCGAAGCGGGGTTTGCGAGGTTTAACATGGGCGGCTTCGAGGGCGCTCGTCTGGTACGCAAAGGTGCTGCTTCCTCGCTGAAGGACGCCGAGGCAGGTCGCGCTTGCCCCAGCGGCAGCGAAAGCCCAGGAGGTCTACCGCGTGACGTCTCAGGTAAAAATGCCGGCTCTGAACGCATTGCGTGCAAGCCATCTGGTTCTGAAGTCTCCTGGTCATTGGCCTTTTGTGTAGGGAGCTTGAGCTGGAAGCCTGCTCCCATACGTGCAAAGCCTAAGGGTGGGCCTCTGGTAGATAATGGAGGTTCCTCCTGTTCATAACGTCCGTTTCGTGCCATTGAAAGAGGCACATCGTCGAGGTCTTCAGAGTCTTCCAACGAGCAAGAGGCATCCTCAGATAGTGTTGTCATCGCCCAGTAGATGCTATTTAGGTAATTGCGTGCGCAGTCGGGGCATAGGCCAGTCAATACAAGTTTCGCTCTGAGGGGGCCAAACTACAACCCTCTACAAGAGAACAAATCGTGAGATACGTTGGCGTTAGTTTCAGTATGCAAACCGTGCTGAAGTGGCTGCCTTCGTCTTTGACCGGTAGAGCTGCCAAACGGGTCTTTGACTCCCATGAATACGACACTTACGCGGGAGAAAAATTTATGCCATCTATTGCTATCACAGTTCTCTTACGAAATGCTTTAATACATATTGGTAGAACTCAGCTCTGTCAGTGAATAGCGCAGAATGAGATTTGCAACAACGTCCTGCCAAGCCCTCCGGACTTTCTAGGGCTAAAGCAGCTAAGGACTATTGACATTTTGTGATGTAACGTTACGTGCAGGAATATGCACGCCCTGCTTGTCTGATGCAGAACACCTTTACTATTCCATTGGCTCATTGCCAGGAGCAGCGCCAAGCCATAAGCTGTTTCGTGATTTCGATGCATAAGCTTTGCCCATCTCTAGCGATTAAGCCTGAATGAATAATACTCGCGTGGTTGGATACGCCATTGTTATAGCCCATCGACGTGGCATGCTTACCGCTTACGGTACACAGATGGCTTGGGCATCACGGCGGACTCCCTGCATTTAGGCACGGGGCCTCAAGCATTTGCGTGGCGGGCATGCAGCAAAGAGACACTGGCAGTACGATGTGTGTTGAGGATCGCGAACCATGGGTCGCAGTACTACCGAGTAACGTATCCGAAAGCGTGGTCCTCATCCAGTACTTGGTCACTACAGTAGCGCAGGTCTACAGTACTCCGGTGTCAATGGCGCAGTAAGAAAGAATGCCCGACGAACACCGCCCTCAGCACAGAACTACACAAGTCGCCCAACCAAGTACCGGTATAGGTAACAGGCAACCAGGTAACTGTACACGGGACAGCAAAAGGAATACCCAAGGCAAGGATACACAACACTTCACCTTCAGCGCTCGGCCACTGCCAGTACGAACAAACGCGGCTTATTGCCCTCCAACACAGTCACAACAAACTAGAAGTACAAATAGCGAGAAGAGGTGCTTGTGGCATCACCAATGCACGTGATCATACTACGCAACACACTCAAATCGCGATGTCTCCTGGAATACATGTTGTCCAGCGTGCATGCTGCACACCTTGTGTGCACACTCGAATATAGGAAGAACACAGCTCACAGCCTTTCGACACGCCTCTACCTAACCCGTCAACAGCATCCCTTGCTCACTATAATGATAACCATCGCAAACGAATGCTACGGTAACCTCAAGAACAACTACATGCAGCTGTCCTACCGCCCCTCATGCAGCTCCCTCAACCCTCCCCTCAACAGCTGTACCTCCTCACGCCGCAATTTCCCTTCAACTACACTTCCGCAAAACCTCGACGCCTCAACACTCCCCCTCAACGCTGCTTCGATATCCACGCGAACAACTCGCCCCTCCCTCTAGACGCCACAGCCGCGGTGCAATCTACACCCATCAAAACCGGCTCCTCAGGCGCCCTGCCCCCCGGTGTAAACACAACCAAGAAGCTTCCGGTCAGTTGCCGTCCCCATGCCGGCCCCCGAAAACACTTCAGCGCGGAAACCCTCATTGCCCGGCGAAGCCCCGCACACAGCGTCTGCCCCCAAGCTGCGGCCCCCTCCCTGCCTGCCTGCCTCCCAGTGCTGCTGCCAGGTCCTTCCTCCCCCAAGCCGCCCTCACCGCTTGAAGTCCTCGGGTAGGCTCCCGGGCGTGAAGAACTCCTCACGCAGCTCCTGCAGGCTCACGAAGCGAACCTGCACACATGCACACACGTGCATGTGCGCCATGTGTCAGCTGTCACATGTCTTTCTAGCGAAGCTGCACACGCACACATGTGTCAGCTTTCTTAGCGCATGCGGCTTCCATGTGGCATGGCCCGCATGGGAAAATGGGGGCCGTCCTGAAGAGGCGGCTTCGGTCAGACTGAAGGGCAATCAGAGCGAGGGCTTGTTCCTCGGAAAGGGTGGAACAATCGCATATGCCGGATATCGTTTTTGTAACCGTAATGACAGGCGCGGCAATGGCACGCTGCTTGCAGTACTTTGTTGCAAGCTGGGCGGCCGACCAGTCACCAGGCACCCGCTCACCACCCCTCAGCCCCCCTCCCCCCACCTACGCACCAGCGAAGCATACTTGCGCATGAGCGGCCGGATGACCTCCCACGCGGGGAAGAACACCCAGGGCGCCTCCACCAGCAGCACCTGACCCACCCGCCGGGGGTAGTACTCGAAGAAAGCCTCTATCTGCAAGGAATGTGAAAAATGTGCGCGGATGAGGAGAGGGGTTGAGGCGGGTTTATCCAGCCCAGCTCCATGCCGGCCCCGACTCCGAAGTACCCGACTCACCATGAAGGCTGCAAACGCAAAATCCGCGTTCTGTTGGAACTGGAAGCCGCGCAGATCGAAGATGCCCACGATCTGCTCGCCGCCGGGGGGTATCCTGGAGATGGCGGTGTCGATCAGGTAGGCCGCGAAGCGCTTGCTGTCAACTATGGGGTACTGGCCTGGGGATGGGAGAGTGGGGCAGAGGGGAGGCAGCCGCCGTCGCGGCAGCAGCAGCGGGGAAGGGTGAGGACGTGGGGCGTATGACAGATGACGCATGACCGGGTATGAGTGCCCCGGTAGCACCGGGTTGGCGACCTTGCCGAAAAGCTAACAACGTGCCACGAGGGCCATCACCAGCCTCTTCCCGCCAACCACTGCACCGACGCCCATACAGTCACATTGTAGCCGTCCGGTACGCACCTTGCCCCCTAGGAGGACGGAAGTGAACAGTAACCAACCGGTGGCCGTACCAACTAGGCCCAAAGCCAACTCCGCAACCCCTCCCGGTCCATACGCCACCCAGCCCCAGCCCCAGCCCCCAACACCACTCCCCCAACCCGCCACCTGTAACGTGCAGCCGTGTCCGAATGACGATGGCGGGCCGTCCGAAGCGGTCGGGCTGGCTGTGCACGTACGCCTTGCCGCTGGCCGCCTCCGCAGCTATCTGTTCAGGCGTGGTGGCCTGAGGCCTGGCGGGGGAGCAGCGTAGCGGAGGGAAAAGGAGGGAGGAGGAGGGAGCAGGTGCACGCGGTGAGCAGCGGACGGGCGCAGGGAGGTGCGCAGTTCAGCGGCAGATGAGGGATCTCCGGCCCGCATGATATAAGAGCAACAGGGGCGTGGAAGGGGTTGGAGTGGAATGAGCAGTGCATGCAGCCGGCTGGTTTGGCTATCGACAGAGGGTGTTCCGAACGCAGCGACACCGCCCGCAGCGGTCCCCATGTCAGCAATCCTGCTGCGGAGGCGATAGGGCACACAAGCTGGGAGGCCCCTGCTGCAAGCCCGGCGTCCCTGCACGCCCCCGCTGGCTTTCACGAGGCCACCGACAGCTGACAGAGCACCTTTTGCACAACAATGTTCCCTGTGAGAGATCTCGTGTGAGCGTGCTTACTGGAAGGACCGGCGCCATTTCAACATGCCGCGCAGCTTCTGCTCCGCCTCATTGACATCGAAGTAGCGGTCGCGAAGGTACCATTTCAAGGTCGCCTCGTCCGGAGGAAGCAAGTCGTCACTGAATCGCTGCTTAAGGCTCGCGAGCGCCTGCGCATGGATGCCAACCAGTCGGGTTAAAAATCTGTCCTGCACTCCCGGCAAAGTAATGCGAAATCTCACAGCGCGTTGGCTAGGAGCGTCCGTCCAAGGCTCAGGCCGCAAACCCGGGGCATCGGGGAACGCTGTGGCCAGCTTGGGCTCCACGACGCGAACCCTGAAAGACCGTCGACGACCATCCTGTGAAAATGGTAGCCGCGTGCGCAAACGCGTTGTACACCTATGAAGGCTAGCGCCTGGATGCATCAACTGCCGCAGATTCATTCGTGCAGCGACCTGACAATACTGCTTACAACATAGTATACAGATCCCCGGCTAGAACTATATTAATTGGAAATCTGTACATATAAACGAGTCTATCAATGATACTCGCGGGAAGTTAACAAAACACGATCCATCTGCAAGGGACGAAATTCCATGTCAAGAAACGTTTCCATGGTAGCACCCATTTCGTAGCATACAATGTGGTCCGAACTTAGTATTGGATATCTTCCAGTCGTGCAGATAGGCCTTCAGACACTATGCATAATAGCCGCTGGTCGCCTTGCCGCATCGCGTGGGCTTTTCGACCCTGCAACAGTATGTCGGACGCTAAATCGATTTGTTGTAGTTGTGTGCCTGCCAGCACTGCAATTCTGGCTTCTGGCTATCAAGACCGATATGCGGAACATGGAGGTGTGTTTCCGGTGCTTCTGTGCCGAAGTGACCGGCTTCGTTACCAGGGCTGTTGCTTGTTAGTGTGATAGGAATGGTGTTAGGACAAGTCGCTGCTGACAACCAAGCCCGTCACGATTTGTCACGCAACCGCCTTACGGGAAACAACCCTAGCCCACATGCTTTCCCCTTGTTTGCGCTTAGCGAATCCCCCTACCCGGAAGCTGGGCTTTGCAAGTTCTCACACGGTGGCTAACATGATTGTGGCACAGTTATTCATCGCATACGACGTTGACCCTTGGTACATCCCTCGACTTGATACCCTACAACATGTCGCTGGCTGGGCCCGCCGTCTCCCGGTCTGCTACTGTTTGCTGCCTCCCGGGACCGCTGAATATGTGCGGCGCCTGCACCACGACAGCACTGGCGGTAGGTGTAGCTAGACGGCACAGCTAGCGAGGCGGCAAAGCAGCCTTTAAAGGAACGCCCATACACGCAATACCAGGCGGAGGTGTCCCTGAACGTGCCGCACGGGGGCAGGAAAAACCTAGACGTAGAAGCCGGGTGCATGGGGCGCACGCTTTTGCAACAGCTTCCTCCTCCTCAATCTCCTGTCGCCTTGCCGTACCCTCTTCCTCCCTCCCTCCATTCCTCCCTCAGGGCGGTGGGGGCCTTCACGCTGTGGACGCTGCTGGTGCAGCTGGCGAGCGCCGCCTGGGTCACCGTGTTTGAGGGGGGCAGGCTCAGCAGGTGGGGGCGCCCGCTTGCTGCAGCACCTGCGTAACGGGGGCCTTACGCACGCTTGTAGGCTGTGTCACTTCTGGCAGCCGCATGCTACTCCTGTGTTCTGAACCTTGTCCTCCGGTAGGCCCTGCCTCTACGCTGCCCCCACGTGCCGATACTGCCCTTACGATAGCCGCCTCACATGTCCATAACTGCAACAGTGTTTTTTGCCTGCGGTATCTCCGAATACCGGTACCCAATACCACGTGGCCCTCCCTCCCAGGACCACACCTACGCCTCTTCCACTCTGGCCCCTGTCTGTGGCACCAACCCCAACAACCAAATCCCACCCCACCACTCCACTCCCACTTCCGCCCCAACCAGGGTGGCGCTGCACTCGCTGGTCCTGGCAGCCAACAATACCGGCATCCTGGCGCCCGTGGTGCTGGAGGCGGCGGTGGGGCCGGCGGCGGCGGCGGTGGGCATGCTAGCCACCATCGCGCTGTACTTCCAGCAGCTGCCCACCGCCATGGTGCTCCTGGAGCTGGACAGGATGGGGGCGGAGGCGGCGGGGACGGCAGGGGCGGGCGGGCAGCAGGAGGCGGCAGCGGGTGCGGGTACGGGCGTGGGTGCGGGAGCGGCAGGAGGCGGCGGGAGAGGAGGAGCAGCGAGTTGTCGGGATAGGGAAGAGGAGGGGGGTGGTGAAGGTGGCGGCAAGGGTGAGCGGGAGGCGGGGCGGCAGGGCGATGGTGCGTTGGAGGCGGCGCGGGCAGCGGATGCGGGGGCGGAAGCGGTGGGTACGGCGAGGCACAGGTGGCATAGTGATGCATGGACTGGGTGGGACGTCGCAGCTTCGGACGGGGGCGACCGCATAACCGGCCATGGCGACACGTTCGTGACCCACGGGTCAGCAGCAGGGGCAGCTGCGTTATCCTCGAAAGGGCTGCAGCAGCAACAACAGCGGCCCGTGCATGGCTCAAGCGAGCAGGCCGGAGCGTCGTCATCCGTGCCCGCCGGCAATGACACCGCCAGTCCTTTCGCAAAAGAGGCGGCGTTAGGATCTGGGTTCTGGCGAGGTGACAGGAGCGATGGTGGGGGGAGAGCTGGTGTTGGGGGCGGGCTAGCAGACAGTCCGCCCACTCGGGCCCCTTCCATGCTGGCCCGGCCGGGATCTTCGCAGCAGCTGGCACCAGACGAGACGGACGCCCCCGCGGGGGCTGCGGCGGCCGCACCTTTGCGGGACCTGGTAGCGGCGGGTGCAACGGAGGCGGACAGGACGAGGACGGGCAAGGGCGGAACGTGTAGCAGCGCCTTGCAAGGAGGTGGGGCGAGGAAGGGGAGACGGGATATCATACAGCTTACGGGGGCGCGTACATTGACCATTTGCAGACACTGACATTATCGATGCACCTGATGCCTCATCACCTCTACCTTGGTGGCGTGCAAGTACCGGTAATGGCAGCACACCCTGGCTCATCAGGATGACATACCGGTATTCGCATTGTGGTCTGCTGTAACGGGGTTCAGCCCTTTCCCTCCCTCTGCTTGTGTCGCTCTCCCCAGGACCGGCGGCAGCGGCATCTCCTAGTGCGGCCCGTTCGGAGCCGGGTCTGCGCCATGCGGCTCGGCTGGTGCTAGGCAACGCGCTCATGTGGACCACGGGAGCCGCTACCGTGGTGTCCATGCTGGGGCTGCACACGCTGCTGGACCCAGCGGTGCCGTCGCACGTGCCGGCGCTTGGCTTCATAGAGGGCACGCTGTCATGGCTAGCGCGTTGTGCCGTGCCGGTGTCGTTGTTTGCCATGGGGCTGTTCACGGCGAGCCGACCGGTGGGTGCGGCACCGGCGCGGTCAATTGCGGTTTACTTGGCGATCAGGATGCTGCTGCTACCATGGCTGATGGTGTTTGTAAACAGCTTGCTAGGGTTGGGCGGGCAACTGGGCAGGTCGCTAGTGTTGTTGACGTGTGTGCCTGTGGGGCAGAACGCGTTCCTTGTTACAGAACAGTACGGCGAGGGCGCTGAGGTGGTCACAAGCGTCATGCAGCTGGGGCTGCTGCTCATGCTACCGCACGTGGCGGCAGTGCTAACAATCCTGCACTGGTTCGGATTGTACGAAGAGACAAGCATGTAAGAGCTGCGTTTGAGAACTGCGCATTGCTAACAAAGGAATGCATGTGCAAGAGGCTTCGGCTGTCGTAAAGCGGGCAAACCAACGCTTACATCGGCGATTCACTTGCTTGACCTCCATGGAAGCGGAAATGTGTTTTCCCAAAACTGTGAATATGGTTCGGCACAGGCAGACTATCGGGTCTCTCATTGCAGCTGGAGGAACGTTATCAAGCGCATACAAAACTCGTCTATCACACGGGTACCTATCCCTCACAGGGGTCTTTGCAGTACAAACGGTTTGTAAGATGCATCAGGATCACATTGATGTGTAAAATTTAGGGATATGGCAGAGAAACTAAACACTATGAGATGAATATTAAGTTTAGGTCAAACAAGAGATCACTGCGTCGAACTTGTTTGTCAAATACATACTGTCCATCAAGCACCAACCCACTAGCATGCACAAAACCTGCAGGTCTGCGAAACACGGTATCACTCGCCACTGCCGTGGCTCATACGAAAACCTGCAAGAGCGTGATTCATACATCAGCTCGCTCGCCCCTGGTGTTAGCAATATCACATACATAGCAGATGCAGCGCTGTTCGCATAGATTGCGCGCCGCATGCCGTCAGCAAGCAGTGTTGAGCGTTTACCGAGCATGCCTTAGGCGACATCTCCCTCGTCACCAGTGCCGTACTCATCATCATCTACCACCTCGCTATCGTCAGTGTCCTCCATTATGGGCTCCAAGCCTGGTACTTGGTCCACAACACCGCCGTTGTCGGGGCCTTGCTGGGCATCGTGCGCGACGGCGCCTTGCTGCTCAACCTGTGCCGCTTCCGCCTGCGCCGCCGGCTGCGCTGCATCCGCAGCGGCCTTTAATGCAGCAGCCATTTCTGCCTGCACTCGGGCCAGCAGCACCGGCGCTTGCTCAAGCTGCTCCCGGTGCATCGCCTCAGCGTGCCCCACTGCCAATTCGGCCAGCGCCACCGCCTCCATGTACTTCACGACCTCCGACACCGCTTGCTCGTCGACGGCCTGGCCGGCTTGCTGTTCTTGCGCACCACCTGCCGGAACAGCTCCATTAGCAAAGAAAGCGCCTATGCCCGCGCCAACAGCTAGCGGGCCGACACCCTGAGCGTCGTGGGCCATGCCGGCAGCAAACCAGGCACCGGGTGCCACGTTGGGTGCCGGTGGCGGCGATGGACCGAGGAGCTTCGCAGCCAAGAAAGCTATCGGTCCGTGTCCAGGTCGCACGTCCCGTGGCATGATCTCAGCATCGTCCTTGTGCATCGGCAGCTCTACATGCAGCTTTGGGGCCATGTGGGCGGCGATCTCGAGGATGATGTCAAATGGTAAACTGCCTAACAAGCCCAGCTCTTCAGTTGAAGACGCCCGCGGTGTTGCGACACTAGTCGTTTCTTGCATGCACTCGCCCTGGTTGACTAGTGCGGAAGGCAATGCAAGGCATTCCTCGTGACCTGCAACCAACAGACAAAAGGAAAGTGAATGGTGAAGCACAACGGGTGACCACGGAATGTTCGTGCGCTGTTCAATAGCTTTGGTAAGAACCCCCCATACACAACAGCGGTGCCGAGCAAAACAAAGACGGTCAACTTCAACCCAATTGGTGTCCGCAAGGGCCACGTGCACGTACTTCCCTGGCCTCAGTCCTGTGAACTCCTCACCTCTCCAATGCCACATCTTTCCTCCGAAGCAGCCCGAGAGTGCACCAGTTGGGGACGGGTCTTCTGCCATGCCACCGACACTGCTGCGGCGGCTCTTCCCTCCGCTGCGGCTGCCGCCGTCACTGCCAAGTCGGCCGGTGTGCTTCCGCTGCGCGTAGTAAGCTCGTAGCAGGTTTTGAACGTCGTGCGCAAAACCGGGAGCCCGCTTACGGAAATCAGTCGCGTGGGTCGAAGGGCTCCATTCGAGAAGGGGCGCCTCGACAACGTCTGCGAACTGCTGGACATGGCTTGGCCATGCAACCTGCAGCAGGCAACCACAGGGTAAGCTATGAGCCTTGGCAGTCCACGTACGCAGGCGCATACGTTTAGTTATGGCGCAGCATCAACGTCTCCCCTCAATTGTGCCCACAACGACTCACCGTCTTTCCGTGGACGACCAAAGCTTCTGCTCCGTCGTCTTTGAAGCGAAAAACCCAAGGGTGGCTCAGGTAAGTGTAAAGCCTAGACATGGAAACATTACGGTTACGCGGTTTCCATCAAAGCAGACAGGCAAGTGACCAAGAAACGCAGCAGCAGCGCCTATAAGTTGAAGTGATACTTACAGCAAGGTCATTCCTGGCTTCGCGATACCATAGGAGACCTCCTTGCCTTCAAAGTTTAGCCTGCAAGCAAAGGAAAGATTACATATGTACCCTCTGTAACCAGCATGCTTACTCAAAGCAAAGATTTAACTAAACAATTATAGCCAGCTGCTCGCCAGCACTTCTCCGCTCAGCCCATGGTGCTACTTCCTCCTCCAAGGCAAGCATACGCACCAGAAGGCCTCGATGTCACGGCTTGTCCGGTTCTTGAAGCACATGTTCACACGAAAGCGGCTGTTTAGCGACGCTATCTTCTCCCCGTCGGTGAACCTCCATGGTGTGGCAGTCTGGGGCTCCTCAGAGTTGATTGTGGACGCCATATTACGAAACCTGCTATAAACAGCTCCCATACACAACGCGGACGGCCTGTTCCGTGGAGTTTGCTATAATGGCAACAAAGCTGCCTAGTACCAAGCTCTTCCGGGGCGCTGCCAGCCAGCGCGATTGGCAAGAGTGCCAACCGTACTAAGGATATACATAATAAGCTAAAGCTAAAGTGTGAGCTTTTGCCGAAGAGTAAAGGCGTAGCGGTTGCTCGTACACTACGATGTGGATCCGCTGTTTAAATTTACACGGAACCGTGCTCAGGTGCGCTGCGACTGCGGCCAGTTCTTGCTATAGTAAAAGATAGCTAATCGTTTGCAGTCGAAGACACCACTTAGAAAGCTTCTTCAAAGTCGCTTGGTCATCGCCCCACAGAAACATCTGTGATTGTATGCTATCCTTACAGGGAAATCAGAACAAGTGATCCATGACTGTGCCCGCCTGTTTCTGTGCTGATCTGGCCATTTTCCAGAAATGCGGCACACACAATCCCAAGACCATTTACACAGGCAGGCAGGCACAACGACATGGCTTGCACCGGAAGACATGTAGAAATTCATCATTTGTGCACCCATCTGGCAAAACACTGTCGGGGCTCCTTGGTTCTCCGATGCAACCGAGTTGTCCTGTAACCGACATCAGAAACACCATTATCCCAACACCTCACGTATGCGGTGCTGTCCCGCCCACGCGCCGGCTTGCATACCTAACGCCACTGGGGTCCACACTTGCACAGCTGGTCCCCTTCTCTCCCCGGTTGCATAGGAAGGGGGCACCTAGATCTCGTGCCCTCGGACTACGCTGGTAGTCAAAGCGGCTACGCAACTGCGCGCATACAAGCTGGCGGCTCCTGCAGGAAGCCACGACAAGTGGGGATCAAGCGCTGTCTCTTACAACTTGCGTAACTGCGAGCTGTGCGCAGCGCCCTAGCCCGGGCGTTGCCCTGCCTAACATGAAGGCCACCTGTACGACACTCTGATGCGATACGCCGTACACGTATCTTCTGCAAGACAAGCGAGGCCCAACGCACAGGAGCCAACGCAACACCTTGTAATATGTTCAGAAGCACGTGTCGTCTTCATAACAAGCACCCCCTGTAACCATAACTTGACCGAACCGCGGGACACCTGCCACTGCCGCGCCTGCCTCTGCCGACGGATGGAACATGCCGGCCCGCGACAGTGCGTAGGTGCATCCATTCCAGCAAGTTGCGTATCTCGTACACGGAATGAAAAGGAACCCACGGCCTTCTGCACGCCTGGTGCTATAAACGACATGCCTTTGTTGGATGGCTTGTGGGCATGGTTGACTTTGGGCGGCAATGACACCCCTTCACTCCTTAACCACAGGTGGCTTGGAACATGTGGGGGTGACAGCACACAGGCTGTCCATTAGACATAGATTTAGTGGGCCGCAGCAAAGCTTACAAGTCCCTCCATGCCGAACGCGACGTGTGATGGAGTATCAGCTGCTGCGCTAGCCCTAACAAGTATACAAGGTGGTAAATGTCGGTGCGGTTCGGAGGACGACCATAACCCGCCCCTTGAAGGCACAGGCCGAAACATGTAGCGTTGTATATAGGTGTGCTAAGCGCCTCTCATAGGTACATCGCCACGGGGATCGGCGTCCGAAAAGATGCTGTACCGGTACGTACGGTTAGGGATAGTCAACCCGTGTAGCGATCCCGGCCAGGGAGTCAGTGCCAGACTACGGATACATACCTAATACAGTGTACGGACAAGACATTACCTTGTCCTGAGAATGATACGTCACCACAACAGTCCTCCTCCCAGTGGTCTCCCCTGGCCAGCTGTCATCGATGCCTTTGGGTTATCGATTATTAGCTGAATTTTACGCCTAGCTGGATATTTCGACTTAGGAAAGGTTGCTTGGTTGAGCTGTGGAGTGTGAAGCAAGGTAAGCCTGCCATGCATGGTTTGCAGCTTGGACCTCGCTCTGCCACGACTACTGCAGGGCAGATTTTGTAGTGCTTAACCAAATGAAATTGTCCACCTGGTCGTGGTGGTCTTTTTCGGTTAATACCACTACCTGGCCCTTGCAGATGTTTCCGTTGGCAACTTAGGCAGCGATGGATTAGCTCAAGTTCCTCGGCTTATGACGCCTGAACGATGTCGGATCAAAAACGGTGGGCTGCTTGGGCACCTATGAACAGCAGTTAGTGACCGAGCTAAAGTCAGAAGCGAACCTTTCTGTGCTCTTCGCCGTGCGTTGGTGGCAGCAAGGCAATAGTTACGAGTATGCGCTGGTTTTGCAAAGGGATGCACTGACTGGTTCTGTCCTTGCCGAACTCAACGCTGACGCCTAATCCATGGCTGTGAACCCCTTTTCCCCCAGAGAATTCCGCGCCACAGACGAGCGCAGCAGGCGCACCTCCTTGCCGCAGGAGGATGCTATCCGTAGCGAACGCCGCGTTGCAGATCGGGATGCCTACCAGCGCAGTAACCCTGGCTTCCGCAGCCCTCGCCGGTCCCGCAGCCCTCGCCAATCCCGCAGCCCTCGGCCCCTCCGGTCCCGTAGCCCTAGCCCCCCCAGTAGATCTCGTAACCCCCCTCCACCGTCACAGATTCCTCGCTCGCCGTACAGCGTTGGCAAAGGCGCAGCTCAGGGCAGCGACAGCTTCAGGAGCCGGCGGATATCGGACGGGAAGGGCGACAGCCACCATGTCGACGAGCGGCAGGTTCCGGACAAGCAACCTGACGGATCATTCCAAATCAGCAACCCGACGGGTCCTTCGGGCCGAGCGGGCCTCCAGCCCAGGCCACTTGCTAACAAGTCGGCGGCTGATATGGGAGCGCGCCAGGCAGCGCAAACCCTGGACGAGCATACGGCAATCCAGACGCGACCTCTCACCGGCCGAGCGCCAAAGTTCGTGTCGGAATGCCACCCGCCCTGGCAGCATCAACCGGCACAACAGTTGCCGAGGCTAAGTGACTCACAGGCAACTAGTAGCACAGCGGCCCACCGGTACTGTCCGCAGCAACCGCCGCCAACGCATATCACGCAGCTGCACGGCGATGCTCACTCTGGGTCCACAAAGCCCCAACCGGCGCCCCTGTCGGCTCACATGCTGCCGGTTGGGGCACGGAACGACCGGTCAGGCGAACCGTTGACAGCCGCCCAGCAGCTTCCTCAGCAGCTAGCGCCCTTGCCGCAGTGGCCCCCACTGCAGCTCTGCACGGAGCCTGGGTCCGAGCCGGTGCAACAGGTGCAGGCTCCCAGTCCCTCGTCTGCAAATCCTCAAGGACATGGGAGCTCACCTGCATCCAAGGGAACGCGGCCGAGGCCTAGCCGCTGGGATCAGGCGCCGCTTACGTCACAGCCCAAGCCGCGGTTGCAGCAGGAACAGGTGAACCTACAAGCCCTCCAGCCTCCGTGCCAGGATCAATCCAATCAGGTGCAGCGGCTGGATCAAGCAGGCGAGGCAGCGGTGGCGGGGACAGCCGGTCTGCATCACAGTGCTGAGAGCGCACGTCCGTTTGCGGCTGCTTGCTCCGTACAGGCTGCTGCTTCGGTACCGGAGGCATCCGTGCCAATGACAGTTCCGGTAGTGGGCCTGCCATCGGCGGAAACGGATACGGCGGTGACAGCGCGACCGCAGGGCACCTCGGGCGCTAAGGCGCATATCGATGTGACAAAGAAGTTTGGTCGCGGTGTTGGCACGCGAGGTTCACATGGATCTTTGCAAATTCCGAAGTCGCCGCCGCAAACAACCAACTTTGCCGGCGTTGACGCACAAGGCAGCGCAATTGAAGTTGAAGCACCTGCTGTACCTTCGGGCGCGGCTCCTGGGTCTGGATCTAAGTCGTCACCAGTCGGGGATGGACCCCCTGTGCCCGCAACCGGCGCAACTGCATCGTTGCCGGGGACTTCTGCCGCTGCTAAGCCACCTGTAGAGGTGGATGCAGCGGCAACGGCTGCTGCCGTTGAGACCTCAACGGCGGTGGTGGAGGTACCCAGGAATGCCGTGCAGGACGCTCACCCAGCGACAGCAGCTCCTACACCGGAGGCAGCGGCACATACAACTGCCAATGACGGCACAGGAGAGGAAGCTTCACTGGCAAGTGACAAGGATCTGCCTACGAGCACCCGTACGGCCCCCGTCACTGACGTGCCAGCAGGCGCTGACGGATTAGATCCCCGCGATGGACCCAGTTCCGTGCCGGCTGGTGAGGAGGGGGCGGCTGTAGCCATTGAGGATGCGGCGGCTCGCGCGTCGAAAGGTCATGGAGCTATGCCTGGTACCAGCGGCCCGGCTGATAACGCTCCAGCCCTCGGGCAGCACACAGACGTTGGGCCACAGCCAGAGACGCAGCCTGCAGCCCAGGCAGCCCCTCGGGCACCCTTGGAGCCAGTACTGGAGGTTATGGGGGCGGCGGCACCCGTGGAAGGGACGCAGCCCAACCGGGAGGAGGTGCCAGCCACCCAGGAGGCGGCCGGGCTTGCGGGAGAGCCGCAAGCCTCTATGGAGCCCCGGTTAGACCCCCCAAATGCGCTGGCAGGGCCCATGTTGCAGGGTGGCGAGCACATGGCTGCTGGGGTGGATGCTGCACACGGCCTAGTGGCGCGTGTTACGACCACCAGCGGTGACCAGGTTGTTGATGGCGGCATAGCTGGTGGGATCGCTGAGGAGCGCGCGCAGGTGCAGTGCAGTGGAGTTGCTCTCCTTGGCAGCAGCGGCGCGGCGGATGGCGCGCATGTGGGTGGCATGGATCAGGGGCCTTCAGAGCATGGCGTGGGCAGCGGCGGTGAGGGCGCGGCGCACGAAGCGGACGCCGCAACGGCCGTGTCCGACGGTGACGTTGGTATACCGGTCTTAGACTTGCGGCTTGACGCTCTTGTGCCAGTTGACCTTACTGCCGGATCTCCCAACTTGCCGGATGCGCCCGCTACGGATCTTGACGCTCCAACCGGAAGAGAGGTGGACTGCCCAACCGCAGCCGATGCAGCTGCGCAAGCGGACATTGCCGATGGCATCATAGACCATGGCGATGAACCGCAGCAGGGCATGCATGAGGCACCGCCGCAGCAGCTGCCGCAAGCTGACAATCAGCAGGAGCCAGCCTTGCCAGGAGAGTTGGAGGAGCGGCCACTAGTCACAGTGCCGAGCGCAGGCCAGCCACAACAGCCACCTCAGGACTTGCAGCAGCAAACACTGCAAGCAGGGATGGCGGTGGCTGGGCAAGAGCACGCTCACCTTCAGCCCCGCGATGACAGCCAAGCACTGACCCTACATTTGGAAGCCGCGGACCGCGAAGCTGCTGGCGGTGCTATCCAGCACGGTATTGCGCTAACCGGCAGCGGCTCAGGCCAACAGCCTGGCGCCGTGCTTTGCGAGCCAGCGGGGCCCAGCAACAACTACGGAAGAGCTGCCGGTGGTGTAGGGCAACATGCCGGCGGGGTTGGCATGGACGCCGATGAGCCTGGAACAGCGGAGCAGCGGGTGGGGAGTCAGCAGGAGGCTGACGAGGACCTTATACCGATAGCAGATATTGCCGCTGCTCGCAGGAGCAGCGGCGGTGGTGCTGGTGATGGCGCTGAGAAGGGCGACTCGGACGCAGCTGCTGGACGCTCCGCTGCTGAAGAGCGGCCGCAGCAGGGCCGTCAGAGCAAGCCGGGAAGTCCGGACGGCGCGAGAGGGCGGCGTCGCGGAGATCCCTGCCTTGCAGGCCTCTCCCTGTCAGACCTTTCCAAGACCGGATACGCCCAAGGCACGCGCAGGTCCTCAGCGGCTGGAAGGTCGGCACATGGTGTCACCGGAGCTGATGCTAGAGCAGTGCAAGCCGACAGGCCGCCTTTGCCACCACCGCTACCAACCGCGCCTCCGGTGGGGAACGCACAGGGCGCGCAGCGGCGTGGAGGTCGGTCGAATGTATCAAGCCCGACGGCATCGGCGGATGCGGCAGCCGCTGCAACGGGACTTGATCCTGGGCGGGGAAACGGCGGCAGCAAGCGGCTGCGGTTGTCAGACAGCGGAGCAGCTGCTACTTCTGCAGCCGGCGGCGCCGCGAGAACTGGGCCGCCAATGCGCTATCGGTCCGGCGGCGGTGTGGAAGCCCAGGCGGCAGCAGCACCAGAAGCGAGGGCGCCAGGAGGGGTATCGCCTGAGGCTGCATCGCTCGGGCGAGATGGTACCCTTGCCTCACGGCTGCGGTCCCGTGGCGCAGTGTTGTCGGAGCGAGCCTCACCTCCTGGTGAGCCCCGGACGACACATGCGGGTACTGCTCCTGCTAAGGCAGGTGGGTCAGCCGCCGCGGCTGCGGTGGCGGCGGTTGTTGGTGGCGGTGGCTCGGCGCCGACAGGACGCGGGGAGCTGGGCTCAGCTGCATGGAGGAGGAACTCACAACCTGCTTCGGAGTTGGTGTCCTCACAGTCACCCTCCAGCGAGGTCAGGCTCAAGAAGATTGGCAAGGACGTCAGGATTCCCATGGACGTGTTGGCGAGGGTCAAGAAGTCTAAGAAGCAGGAGATTACGATGAAGGTACATATGCATTAGCCGTGGTTAGGCTTTGTTTGTGCCTGCGATGGTTGCATGAGTGTGCTGCCACTTAAAGCGTTGCAGCTTGGTGGCTGGTTTATCCGGTGCATGAACTTAGCATGAACTGCCGTTATGGGCACGTAGGGATTTATTGAAGCAACTGAGACATGCTTACGCTGCGGCCTAGGGCGGCTCTGGAATACGGCTAGGACCTCTTCTCCATCTTGGCGTTTTCCCCCATAGCCATCGCCTTCTTATCAATCGCCATGCTGTCTTCTCTCTACCTGTCCTCCTTCCCCATGGCCTCACGCTTTCCTCGTTTGCGTGCCCCTTGCAGGTCTACCTAGACGGGATTCATGACGGCACACACAAGATTAGCCTTGGTAAAGATGGAAGGAGGTTCTACCTTAGCCAGTCTAGCCCTTTGTGGGTGGCATATGACAAGTGGTGTTCTTGGGGCACGGACGAGTCACAGGCGCTGCTCATGCATTTGTCAACCACTAACCCTGCCAGCTCGGAGCGTCCGCAAGATACCGGTACCCGCACACGGTCCGTCAGCGCGCCACCGCGTTCCTTGCAGCAGAGGAGGCAGCCGAGACAGGAGGCGCCTGTGACGGCTGCGGAGGAAGTGGAGCGGCAGCCGCAGCGGCAACAGCAGGGCCCGAGGCAGCTCGCGGAAAAGGCTGGAGGTGAGGATGCTGCGGAGGCAAACGCGGCGGTTCGCCGCATGCCAACGATGGTGTCCGGCATGGCTTCCACGGCCAACGCGATGGGACCTGGCGACACGGCAGCTGGTCGTTATGAAGGCGGTGGCGATGGTGGTGCCGGTGGTGCGAGGGATGCGGCGGCTGGCCAGGAGGCTGCACACGCGGAGGCAGCTGCGGCGGGAGGGGCTCCTGATGTCGCAGCCCGTCGGCAACGTGGTGAGTAGGGTTCCGTGCGGGTAGAGAGGCGCTTCTGCGAATTCATTTTGCTTGATTAGTGCTCTCCGCGCATGTCGCCCAGCAGGCTAAAGCTAAGCAAGTGTAGCTGCGGGGCATGCAAACTCTAACCGTAAAGCCATTGGGCTGTCGTTGCCTACGCATTTCTTAACTAACATCCCTTAACTCTCCTAGCTCCCACATGCCCGCTCACTGTGTGGCACCCAAGCCAGTAATCGCTCACCCTTCCTGCCCATCCATCCGCTACAGGTACTGCTGGCCCCGAGTCCTCAACCGGCGGCGGAGGGGCTGCCGCCCTGCTACCTCTCCAGGCCTCTGGAGTACTGCCGCCCGGGCATCCACCTATGCCCGGGCAGCCCGCACAGATGCGGCTGCCCAACCAGCCACCGCCGCCTCTTGCCCTGCTGCCACCGCCGCAGCAGCAACTTCCTGGCGAGCGCTGCCGAGGCGTATCTCCGGATGTGCTGGCGGAGGTGCTGGCTGCATCAGCGGAACTGGCGCAATCCTGCAGGCTTTCATCCGGGGAGCCGGAGCAGGCCCCGGGCCTGGGGCAGGCCTCGGCGCAGGAGGCGGCCCGGACGCTGGACCGCGAGCCACAAGATGTGTCGCCAGGCGTGCAGCAGGGACAGCCCCATGCAACACGCCAGGAAGGGGCGGCAGCGGGAGCGCTGCAGCGGACGGAACAGCAACAGCAGCCGCAGCGTCAGGAGGAAGGGCAGCAACCGCAGCGTCAGGGGGGCGTCGAGTTGGCTGTAGCTCTGCAGGCGCTGGCGTCGCCGTTTGGCTCACCGCCTGACGAAGCCCTGGGTGCTGCTGCTGCTGCTGCTGAACTGCCTGTTGCGCAGGAGCTGCCGCCCAGCGGTGAGGGTCAGGTGGATGCAGCGGTGGGGCCACAGGGAGCCTCCGGGACGGGGCAGGTTCCGGCCGAGACACCCGATACTGGGGTCGCCGCTGCCGCCGCCGCTGGTGCAGCTGCAAATCCGGTTCCTGCCATCGCTGCTGCTCCGGAGGAAGCCCCTGGGCGCCCCGCAGCCGCTGTAGCGGCCACCGGAACAGGCAAGCGCGGTAGCGCCATGGCATCTGGTTCTGACGGCACCCCAGCGCGCCAGCGACGGAAGGTGAACCCAGCATCGCCGGCGGCCGCCGCCTTGGTTACCGGTGACGGGGGTGCAGGTACGTCTTCCCAGCCGCAGCCTCATCCACAACTGCAACCTCAACTGCCGCGTTTGCCTGAGCCAACAGTGCAGGCCATGTCGTCCGGCAATGCAAACCACGAAGCGGCTGCCTTTTCGGACGCTTGCGCCGCAACCCGAGCCCCGCTTGACGGTCCTGATGATGGCGGCCGGGAGGTCCGACCGGAACAGGTTAATATGCCGCCGAGCGAACTGGTGGAGATGCTGCAGAGGGGCGTTATGGCCAGCAGGGGATACGCGGCGGATGCCCCAGCAAGCAACCTGCCGACGGAGCGGCAGACGGATGCGCCGTCCGGTGATCCCCGGCTGCAACGTCTGCCGGCCCCGGCAACTCCGGAGTCGGCAGCGGCGGCAGCGGCTGCGCCGCCGTCGCTATTGCCGCAACTGCCAAGCCAGGATCATGCATCGCAGCCTGGCCACATGCAGCCGCCCTACCTGCTTCCGCTTCACGCAGCCCACCCGGCAGGTTTCATGTTGTTTCCTGGGCCGCCGCTCACTCAAGCCGAGCGTGAGGAGCAACGGCTCCATGTCCTGACGCTACTTGATGGGCTACGTAATGTGGTGAATGACCCCGCGACGCCGGGGCCTGCCATGTGCGGTACCCTCATGGCGTTGTCCAATGCGCTGTACATGGCGACAAACCTGAGAGACGCTGCCGTGCAGTTGCAGCAAGCGTCCGGGATGGCAAGGCTGCCGGCGGCTGGGGCTCAGCCACCGTTTCCTACCCAGCCTGCAGCCACAGCCTCCTCCGCGGATGCGGGTGTGCCAGCGCTGCCGCCGCCGGCGCCGCCGGGGCCACCTGCCGCTGCCGCGGAGGCTGTGGTTGAGGGCCTGCCCGCATTAGCGCCCGCTCCCGCAGCGCAGTCGGTGGCACTCCTGCCGGCGCCACCCCCTTCGCAGCAGTCCGCAGCTGCGCATACCGCAGTTGCGCACAGGGCTCTAGCGGTGCTCCCTCCTGAGGCGGCGGCGGCGGCGACGGCAGCAGGGTCTGCGCCGCCTGGAGAAACCTCGGGCATGGCTGCAGCTGCCGCAGTTGCGCCGGCCTCGGTCCTGCACGGGTCCTCGGATGCAGCTCAGCAGCCATCTGCGTTGGCTGCTGGGGATGCTGCGGGGCAGCCACCCGGGCCGCGTTACATTCCGTTGGCCGCACCCATGCAACTGGAACAGGCTGAGCGGGGTGGGCAGCAGCAGGAACCGCAACAACAGGAGCAGCAGCAGCAGCGGCAATGTGTCGTGCAGCTCCCTACGCAGCAGCAGCAGCGGCCCGTATCCTCCCTGCCCCTAGCTGGCACACAGGCCACCAGTGCGGCGCCAGGGCTTCCGCCTGCGCTTGCCGGTCGGGTAGGCGTCGCAGGCAACATGGCGCAGTGCCCCCGGCTTGTACGACATGGAAGCCAGTCGCCAGTGGGCGAAATGCGCATCAACTTGCCGGAGGGCATCCCCAACCGTCCGCCTGCGGCTGCTTTAGCTGAAGATGGACGTGCCAAAAGGGAGCAGCAGCAGCAACAGCAACAGCGGGAGCAGGCGGCGGAGCCCACACGGAGGACTTCCACCCGCGCAGCTGCCACAAAGGCCCAAGAGAATTACCGGAAAGCCTTAAATATTGCACACTCCGTGGCGGCAGGAACACAGGAACAGCACCAACAACAGCAGGGGCCGCAGCAGGAGCGCATTGGACCGCCTCCGCCGCCACAGCAGCAGCATGTTGAGGCGCCAACTGCACGTTGCGCCGCTAGAGCGCACCGCAAGAGGGAAGGCGGCCCTGGTTCCTTATCGGGATCGCCTGAGCCCTCCCCTGGCTTCGCCGCACCCACGGCAGCAGCGCTTCGAGGCAGCAGGAGCCCTCCTCCCCCGCCAGCCGCTGTCGCCGCACGCCGGCACAGCGAAGGCGGCATGGCGGCGGGGGCAAGGAATGTAAGCGGCAAGCTCGCCGCAGCCGCGCATGCGCATGGGGCCCAGCCGCCCGCAAAGCGTGCTCGCCATAGCATTGCCTCCGCGCAAGCAGGGCCGTCGGCTGATGGTGCTGCTGCTACTGCTGCCGGGCGGGCTTCGAAGCAGTCGCGGCCGCTTGCTGCACCGCCTGATGTGCGCCGGAAGGGCCATGTGAGCGGTTGGGAGCAGCAGCTAGGGCACGTGGAGGAGACGGCGGTGGTGGACGAGGAGGAGGCGTCGAGGTCTTTTTTTCGCAACGGCCACTGGTACCCAAAATTCAAGCTTCCTGGCTCCCGTCCCTCTGATGAGCAACTGTATAGGCTGGTAAGGGCTGTATTTTATATTGCATGTCCGTTAATTCCGGCGTTGGCCCGCAGATTGCACATTATGGAGCTGGTTGTTCTGGGGTGAGGCATATGTCGCCGCACAGGGTTGCGTGTATATCCCTGCGCGTTTTTCGTCAAGGCCCCTGGACCCCATTTCCCCTCACCACTTATCTCCAGGCGCTCTCATCGCCCTCTCCTTTCTAGCCCTCTTCCTCCCTCCGTGCCTGCTTCCTTCCCCCAGGACGGCAAGCCCTGGGAGCCTCCTTCCCTGCCGCTCTACTACGGCATGCGTGAGGGCATCGAGCCCGGCCTGCAGCTCTTCACGCTCAAGGACCACAACCGAATCTTCGAGCCCAAGGAGAAACCTGGCGGCGGCCGCAGCAGCGCAGATGCCCCCACGCCTGGTGAGGTGGCGGCGCGGGCTGCCGAGCTGTCGGTGACGGGCACGTGCCACGTGTGCGGCGGGACCTTTCTGGTGGCCTCGTGCGAGTGGTGTGGCCAGGCGACGGTGTGCGAGAGGTGAGGCGGCTGGGCTGGGTTGGGATTGGGGTTGGGGTTTTACAGAGATTACAGAGAATGTGGCGGGGGACGGCAGTGCGGCTACATGCCGTTCGAAGCTAGTTGCCTAGTTGCACGTTGGTAGGCGCGTTCTTCGTCCCCATGTTTCAGCCACTAGAGGTTCTTGCGTCTCACCGTTGCCGCCCGCCCACTTCTCCCCCTCCCTCCACCTCCCCAGCTGCTACCAGCAGCACCACAGTCGCGACTACACGTACAAGGAGCTCATCCACAAGTGCGCCAGCTGCCGCGGCTGCTGCTGCTGCGACCGGAAGGTGTGCGGAGGGGTGAAGCACCGGCCCCGCGTGCGGCGCCTGAGAACCACCCTGGAGCTCAGAAAGGTGTGTGTGGTAGGAGAATTGGTGTGTGTATGGCGCGTATGTGTGTAAAGCGGTTGCCAGGCATGAGGGGATGGTGATGTTGGGCGAGGAGAGAGGCCGTGGTGTGGATTGGGTGGAAGAGGGACATGGATGCATGGCGGTTAGGGGAGGTGGAGGTCGGTACGGAGTAATTGGCGGCTGATCAGGCACGTCACGCAGGCGCACTTGCCTGCACTCCTGCCCCTTGGCTGTGCCCCTTGACTGCGGATACGGACTCGCGTTCGTCGCCCCCTCGCTCCCCCGCACACGCGCGTGTCACGCAGGAGTTTGCGGAACATGCGTTGCGGTACGCCACCCGGTCTTCACCTGGCAGCGACGGCGGTGGCAGCAGCAACCCCGCCGCCGCCGCCTCGAACCTGAACGGCCCTACCATCGGACGCACCAGTAACGTGGCCGGCAGTGCAGCTGCTGCTGGTGCTGGTACTGCCTCTTCTGCCGCTGCTGCTGCTGCTGGCGGTACCGCCGCTGCTGCTGCGGGCGTGCTGAGCCTGAGGGACTACCTGGAGATGGAGGCCGCGGAGTTGCGGGCGGTGGCGGCTGCGGGGGGCAGGGAGGCGGATGTGCTGCTAGTGGACATGGACAACAGCCAGGCGCTGTGCGACTTCTGCGCCACCTCCATGGCGGGCATGCACAGGTGCGGCAGGGGGGGGGGGGAGGAGGTGCAGAAGGAGGAGGAGGGCTGGAGGGTGTGGGACTATGGGTTGAATGCAGTGCGTCATAACCGCTGTAGGCTTTATTTACGGTGATATTCTGATACCGGAAAATAGCGTGGGGCAGATGGGGAGAGGGGAGGCGGGAGGCACTGTACATGAGTGCCGGCATCGGGCAGCAGCAGGAAGGGTGTGTGAGGGAGAGGGTAGGGAAGCATGCCTTCTCACGTCAATCCTCCTTCTGCTGCTCCTGCTCCTGCTGCTGCTTCCCAGATACTGCAAACAATGCAAGAAGGACTTCTGTCTCGAGTGCTGCAGCCTCGCCAGGAGCCAGGCGCGGGGCGGCGCAGCGTCTGCAGCTGTAACCATTTCCACCTTCGCAGCAACAGCAGCAGCAGCTGCGGGCCGAGGTGGCGCCGCAGGTGGCTTCGCAGGCAGGGGCCGGGCCGGGCCCGGGGGCGGCGGCGGGGGGCGTGGCGCGCCCTGCCCTATCCTCGAGTGCGGGCGCCCCACCCAGCTGCGGACGCACCTGAGCAAGAGCTTCATGGGGGTGCTGCAAAAGGCAGTCCTGGTGGGTTTCGGGAGTGGGGTTCTGGGGTCAGTGGAGTCAGGGGTCAGGAATGGGGGCACAAGGGGGGGTGCGTGGGTGCCACAGAGTGTGACAAGGGACCGAGGGTCACATGCATTCGGTGACACGGATCCAGCGTTGGGTCTGTGGTGTGGCGGGCAGGAGGAGCATGTCGGGGCAGGCGGCTGCTGTTCTTTACCAAGGGGTCTGCCAAGGGGTCAGGCACGTTCCCACATGGAAAGTCCGCCGGCCTTGCCAACCCAGTCCGCTACACCCTGCTCAAAACCCTCTCCCCCTCACCCCCCTCCCCACCTCCCCTGCTCTCCCGCATGCGCTCGCAGCGGTACGGCTCCACCGCCGACCCCAGCTCCTCCTCCCTGGGCTACTGGGACCCGCACCTGGTGGTCATGTCGTATGCCAAGCTCAGTCCGGAGGTGTTCGGCGGGCCCGAGGCGGCAGCCAGGGCGGCAGGGAGCGCCAGGGAAGCCAGGGAGCAGCTGCTGCAGCGCAGGGAGCAGGCGGAGGCAGCAGCGGCGGGGGCTGGGGTGGCAGAGGAGGAGGAGGAGGATCTGATTGTGGCTGCGGGTGAGGGGTTGGGAAGCGGGCGTTGGACAGGGGCGTGAGAGGTCTGTGGATGCTTTGAGAAATTGGGGTTTGGGGTTTGGATTAAGGCATGAGCGTGAAGAGACAATTTGGCTTCACCTCATCCCCCTTCCTCTCTGCTTGTATATGTGCACCTGTTCCCTGCGTTTCCCCTTGCCCCAACCCGCGCCTTCACGCACACACCCATCCTTTCCGTCATAGGGGGTTGCCTGCCCACCTCTCGCGTTTCACCGCTTTCCACTACCTGATCCCATTCGCACCCCACCCCACCACCGCACCCAGACCCCCCGCCCCGCTGCCCCCTCCCCCTCCAGGCATCCCCCGCTACGTGCCCGGCACCCCGCTCCCCCCCGGCTACGTGGCCGCCTGGGGGCGCTACGTGCTGCCCGCGGAGGACGTGCGTCTCGGCTGGGAGGGAGACGAGCTGGAGAGGCCTCCACTTCCAGAACACGCCCTAACCCTACAGTCCGCATCCCAGGACCAGGCTGCAGGCCCCTCCTCCTCTCTGGCACCCGTGCCGCTGCCACTCGCCTCCTCGCATCCCCGTCACACGCGGCACATCTTCACCCCGCACTACGACTCGCTGCAGCCAAGCAGCCCACGCTTCGTGCCGTACTGCCTGCTGGCGCAGCAGCGACTGGCGCGCTCGGAGCCGCTGGTGGTGCGGGAGTGCCGGGGAAGCAGTCCGGAGATCTGGCAGCCGGAGGTGGGGTGGCTGGGCTGGGAGGGGGCGGGGCGGATGTGGCCGCCTGTGAGGCGCTGTGTAGGGTTACCGGTATATATCGTGGGATGCTCTGCATCTCCGGCCGCACCATTTCACGCCGTTCCTCCCTGCACTACACCACACCCACACCACGCCCACATGCCCCGCCCTTCACGCGCTTGATGTACGTAGAACTTCCGTGATGCGGTGCGGCGGGGCCTGGCGGGCAGCAAGGGGGGCGCAGGTGACGGCGGCGGCAGCAGCAGCAGCCCTGGCAGCGACAGCGGTGGCGGTGGTGGGCTGGACGAGCTGTACGACTGCGCTGACAGCTTCCGCAAGGTGGAGGACATCAGCGAGGAGCGCTTCTTCGAGCTGTATGCGCAGGTGGGGTGGGGGTGGGGTGGGGTTTAGGGTGCGGGGTGAAGAGGGGTAAGGGCCGAGGAGGGAGGTGTGGAAAGGGGGTAAGCTTGTTTACGTACTGTTGATTCAAGGCCTCCCTAAACGCTGCAGCCCTCCATGAGTGCCCCCCCTTCCCCTCACATGCCTGTCGTTAGTCAGCCTCAGCCCAACGCACTCAACCCCCTCACGGAATATGTATCCCTGTTTCCCCCCGCCCCCTTCTTGCCGCCGCAGCCGTACGACCCCGACCGCCAGCCGCACATGTTGAAGCTGAAGGACTACCCGCGCAAGAAGCACTTCCGGGCGGTGCTGCCGCAGCACTACGAGGCAAGGAGGGCGGGGTGGTGGGGGTGTGGGGGCCGCATGTGCTGCTGGGTGCGTGTGCATGCTGTGTTTTACCCGTGTGGGGCCAGCTGGCGGGCAGACATCTCCCTGCTCACCTGCCTGACAGCGAACAGGCGTTATCCCCGGTACCAATCTCTCCATCCCCTCTTTCATTCGGATCATTCCTCGCCCATGCTGTTCGCACCCTCGCCGCCCGCTCCCTTCCCGCCCCCTCCTCCTCTTAACCCCCCCCCAACCCGCCCCACCCCCCACCCCCGCCTCCTGTCCCGTCTCCCCTGCCACAGGACTTTGTGTGCCAGCTGCCGCTGCCCTGGCTGACCCGCCCCGACGAGGCGCCGCTCAACCTGGCCACCTGCCTGCCGCCCTGGGCCAACCAAACCGACCTGGGTCCCAAGGCCTACATCGCATTCGGCACACCCGAGGTAAGCAGCCCTGCGAGGTACCGGCGCACATCCCGCTGCGGTAACATACCATCCTGCCCGCTCCCTGTCTGCTTCCCTCTTGAGTGTGTCTGCTAGCCGTTACGCTCCACCGCTGGCAGAGGGTGGTGGTGGTAGAGGGCGTGTGGGCGGAGCCGCAGTAGCAGCACACAGGCGACCTAGGGTGCCCCGGGCGGACCCCGGGATCTGTTATCGCGTGCTTTGGATGTCTGTTTGTGTGTCACCGGGAAGTAAGTAAGCTGGCTGTGTGTGTGTGTGTGTTCTGTGTGCGCAGGAGTGGGAGGGCAGCGAGGAGCGCGACTCCGTGACCAAGCTGCACATCGACATGAGCGACGCACTCAACCTCATGAACCACGTGCAGCCGCACCCGCAGCAGCGGGGGCAGCAGCAGCAGCGGGCGGTGCGGAGGGGCAACGAGCCGCCGCAGAAGCCAGGGTGAGATGCGGTGCTGGGGGGGGGGCACTGAGCCGCTTGGGGTAATGGTACCGTAGTGAAAGGGGGGAGGCGTAGGGAGTGGCGAGGTGCGGGAGTGGGGGGCGGAAATTTAAAAGGTTGGAGGGGCTGGGGTTGGGGTTAGGGTTGTTGGTGGGTACTCTTGAACACCGGGGGTTGTTACCCGGATTGGAGCGGGTCGCCGCATGGTTGCCACTCCTCTTGGACACCGTAGCGCTTTATTCAATGTATTGGGCGTTGGCAACAAGCGGGGCGTTGAAGGCTCCTCCCCAGCAGCGCCTGCAGCAGCTGTGTAAGGGATGTCATCTGACGTGCCGGTGTGCATGCCGCTGCTCCCCTCGCTGCTGCCCGGTGGCCTGATCCGCAGGTACGGAGGCGCGGGTGCCGTGTGGGACATCTACTCGCCCGGGGACACAGACAACCTCAGGAGGTGAGAGGAAGGGGGGCGGGGTAGGGCTTGGCGGAAGCGGCATTTGTTGATTGTTGGGGGCTGCAGCGAACTGTCGTCTTTGGTTGGGCCACCTGTTGACCCATATCAAACTAATCACCCCCCCTGCCTCTCCCCCTGCACCCGCAGCTACATGCGATCCCATGCAGCTGAGTTCGTACACCAGGGGGAGCAGCTGGAGGCGGGCAGGGTGAGGAGCGGGGTGCGGGGAGTGGGAGGGGATTGAGGATCCCGGGGTAAATAGATTAACTGAGCCCCCGGGGGGAAGTGAAGAGCGGGAGAGAGCCCGAGGGAGCGTGTGTCTGGTAGCTGCCAATCCTACAGAGGTCGTGGAGGGATGACCTGGCTCCTTCTCCCCTCCTCTCCCCCACCTCCCTCCCTGCCCTCCTCCCCTCCCCCCCCAGATCCACGACCCCGTGCTGGATCAGACCTTCTACCTCAACCGCACGCACCGAGAGCGGCTCTGGCGGGACCACCGGGTAAGGGCTGAGGAGGCAGGGAGGCAGGCAGGGAGGGAGGGAGGCAGGCAGGGAGGGAGGCAGGGAGGCAGGGAGGAAAGCTGCTCCGCAACCCCAACCCGGGTCCCAACGGCGGCTCCACTTGCTGCCTACGCCAGGCCCCCTTGCCGCGCCTACCGTTCTTCCCAGCCCCAGCCCCAGCCCCAGCCCCACTGCATGTTTCTACTAAACACCCCGCCTGCCCAGCAGCCCCCGGGCCCCATCTCCGCTTGCTTGTTTTATATACTGCTGTTGTGATCTGTGCTTTGCGGCTTTACCTCACGGCTTGGCCACGTCCCATCCTCCTGGCTTGACCCCCCACCCCCCGTATCACCCCCCATCCCCCAGGTTACCTCCTGGCACTTTGAGCAGTACGAGCACGAGGCGGTGTTCATCCCCGCGGGCTGCGCGCACCAGGTCCGCAACCTCACCAGCTGCATCAAGGTGGGGGCGGGCGGGCGGGCAGGAAGAGGGGCATGAGGGCAGGCAGGGACTAGAGTCTAACCTGGGGGCCAGGTGGGTACGGGGTATTGTTGCGAGCCGAGTTCTTCTTGGTTTGCCTTCTCTCTCTTATGCATTTACCTTCCCTGCTTACGGTCAACTCCCCCACCTTACTGAAACACTCTCCCCCCCAAGCCCCTTCTCCTAACCTCTTTCCCATAACCCATTTCCCGTAACGCCCTAACCCTCCGCAACCCCCTAACCTCTCCTCCCTCCCTCCCTCCCCTCCCCTCCCCTGCAGACCGCCATTGACTTCGTGTCCCCCCAGGCGGTGCGCGAGTCGCTGCGCATGGTGGCGGCGCTGCGGCGGCTGCCCCGCGACCCGCAGCACTGCGACTACGACGCGCTGGCAGACGACCGGAGCGACAAGCTGCAGGTGGGGGGGAGGGGTTAAGGCAACTGGCCGCGAGTCGGGACGTTCCCACCTGTGCCCACCCACTCTCCTCCTGCTTCCCCCACCCCCTTCCCACTATCCTTCTAACAACTCCTACATCCCAACAACCCGCCCCACCACCTCCTCTCCCCCACCCCCCACCCCCCAGGGTCTGCTGGTGTTGTTCGGGGCGGTGGTGGAGCACTACCGCACCCGCCACCCGGGGGACTTCGTGGCGGCAAGGAAGCCGGCGGAGCCCCCCAACCCGACTGCAGCCGCAGCAGCAGCCGCGGAGGCATCTGCCAGGCGGCCGAGGGGACCAACCCGGGGAGGGGGAGGAGGAGGAGCAGGGGGCAGGCCTCGGAATAGCAGCCGGGGCGGTCGGGCGCGGATGAAGCAGGATGAGGATGGCGGTGGGGAGAGCGAGGAGGAGGAGGAGGAGAGTAGCGAGGCTGAGGAGGAGGGGGTCGTCATGCGCGATGGGGTGCAGGAGGCGAGGCGGCAGAGTACCTCTTCCTCTCGCGGCACCGGCCGCAAGCGGACTGCGGCGACTGTGGTGGACAGAGGTGCTGGCGGCAGGGGAGGAAGGGCAGTGGGAGCGGGAGCGGCAGCGGTGGCAGGGAGGGGTGGCGGCGGGTTGGGTCGTGGCGGCGGGGAGGCGTCTGGCAGGCGGGGCCGCCGGGTGGTGCACCTGCAGGAGGATGACGAGGAGGAGTGAAGGAGGGGTGAAGGCGGGCGGGCGGGATTTGCGAGAAGAGGGCGGGAGGGGATCTGTGAGGCTGCGCTGCGTGCTGTGGCGGGTGTACAGGGGGGACAGCGCGGCACGGTGTGGCTCGCATGCGGGCAGTTGTATGGGTAGCAGCCAGCCACCTTGGGAGGCGGCGCTGGGGGACATCGTGATTGCTTGGCATGATGCGTTGTGTTCTTGCAGGGTTGCAAGGTAGAGAGAGGGTTTGGACGTCTTGTTTGTTTTACAGGGGCGAGTTGTCGTAGCAGTCGTGGTGGCGGTTGTAGCAGTATACCGGCAGCAACACACTGCAGTTGGTTTTGATACGCTTGCTTCACATTTGGGTTGCCGGATGATGCGTTAGCGGGTTTGTGGGTTCAAGGTAACGGGCGGGGGTTGTTTGTTGCCAAGGAGGGGTTGGGAGGACTGGTTAAGCATGCTGTCCAGAGCGACAGAGCGAGGCCAGACCGACATGACTCGTTGTCCTGCTTCCCTTGCTGAATACCATACACCGACTAAAGAGAGTTGCCTGTCTTACGAGATACGGGGGCATTGCATGTGTGATTAGAAACATTGCGTGTTGGCATTGTAATAGGAGGTCCTAAGACCGGGCATGCCGTACAGTTAAGCGCTGCTCTGTGTTGAGTTTCGCAAGGGACGACTTAACAACACCTTACCGACAGAAGGGGGGGACTTTTGTTTGGATTGCGTTGCTCACGGGTCCCAATGTGCTGCTGCATCCTTGCATTCTTGCGTAATGCTATTGCTGGTTAGCTGTATCATGGACCGTATAATGGTTCTTCACTGTTGACCGAGTCGTGGATGGTATGGCTCTGCTAGGGGAGGGGCTCGTCATTGTTTGCGCCATTTGGTATCATGGTTGACGTGCACTGGGGTTCTGAAACTGCTGAGCCATGACATCCTGGCGGTCTTTGTTGCACGGCGATGTTGTAAGTCATGCTTGCGCTCGATGGGGTCTCCCCATCGCAATCTGGCGTCAGGGGTTCCTCGGTAGGGGGCTTTCTTGGAGGGTGGGCCGGCAGCCCCCCCACAGGTCATGCCCTGCGCTTTGTCCAGGGCTGACACATGGGTATCATAAAGAGCCCCGGAAAGTCCCACAATCAATGCAACGGGACAACGGGCCACAATTGAAGCACGCATGCATAGTTATCCAAGGCAGAGCGTGTGTCTAAATTACAAGCAGACATTTTAGGACTGTCTCCTACATGCCAGGATTTGGTATCATCAGGGCAAGCACACCCATGCAATCCAAAACCAGACTCCGGGCCTTGGCGCGTCCTTCCCACGAATCCGCTCTACAATCCATACTGTCAACCCTGGTCCCTGATGTGCGCATGCATGCCATGAAACCCACGCACAGTCCTTGGTTTACCGGGTATCTGTCAGTCAGTCAGTCAGTCACCCACATGCACAATATGCGCCTGAGCGCTGAGGGTCATACCACTTTATGATTAGTCCGAAGCACCCACAAAGGTACGGCATACTTCCTTGCTCCGCACTCCTCGTCAGGAGCCTTACAGCCCCGGCGCATCATCAACACCAGCGAAACGGGTCACAGCCCTGCTGTTCCAGCAGGCATTAGCCTAGAGTCTTGGCTATACATACCACGTGCAGCCACATTTGTTTTCCTGCGAGCCCACACGCACGCACATGCCCCTGCACGATATCACACACGCGCACGGTATTGCACTGCCTAGGCCCCCCCCCACATGCTCCCTGCCCCGCATGCATGTAACCCCCCTGCGCTACTTCTCCGTGCATTTTCATGATGGTGCATCTCTTGACTTCCCCTGCAGGCTGGGGGACATGTCGTGTGACATGATGAGGGGATTCAGCCTTGTGTCTGTAGGTCCCGCCGGGCATGCGAGAGACGCTGCAGGTACCACCAACATACACACCACCACACTTCACCATAGACTAGCATTGAGGTGATATCTATTATTAATGTCATCCCATACTCGCGCAGACCTAACAGTTCTAGGAACCATCCGGGCACGCAACACTCCCCGAGGCCCCGTCTGGTCGAAACAGTCACTGACACCGTTTCCGCCCATCATAGCTTAGTTAGTTGGACAACGGAAGCTATTCATTCGTGCACGCATCCGTCAGAAATCGCTCGTGGGAAACGTTTTTTCTACCGCTCAACGCACGGTCGGCCTTCAAGACCTTATCAAGGGTTTGACAGGTAAGTTCGCGACGCGCCAAAATCTTCACTAAACAGCCATCAAGGGGACACGTTCAAAAAGCTAACATTATTAACGCACCTCTTCACTATCATCATCACACAGCATGACAAGCATGCACAGCTCGTGCAACCCCCGCCGGGCACTAAACAGCTATGCTATGTTTTTATCATACGATTAGCAGCAGTCAGTCCGTACGTTTGCCGTACATGCCCTCCCTCCTGCCCTCCGTCCGTTCGTACAAGCCCTTCCTCGTGCGTTATTCCATGGGATCCCCCCTACGTAACAACAATTTACGGACAAGGAATCCCAACACGGAGCTCACTCACTCACGCCCCAGATCTTCCGCTTTGGATAGCTGATGTCGCCCAACTTCCCTTATCCGACATCCTGCACCGCTGCCATCGCTGCTGCTGCCTGCGACGGACGCCAGGACACCCTAACCGCATGGTGCGCGGCCACAGTGCCAAGAAGCACCATATAACCGTAACGAAATGGACGCGGCTCCAAGGAGTGTCGCTCAGCGGATGCCGCTTGGCCGGCCATGTTGCGCTTGCTGCTGCTGCTCTTCCTGCTGCTGCTGCTGTTCCTAATCCCGCTGCTGCTGCTGCTGTTCCTAGTGACAACAAACTGGATGTCGCAACAACCATACTCTGTTAGCATCGCACCGCACGAGGCAACCAACAGCGCCAGCTTTGCCATTGCGAGCGCCTCACATGCCTCTCATGCACTGCCGCTGTCGTCATACCCCTGCATGCCGCCCTTCTTGACGCCTTCTACTGTGCTATTACCAACTCTCCGCCGTCCCTCTTCTCGCCAACGCCTTCTCGGCCACCCATCGCCTCCCCGCCTCCCACGGGGTCACTGTCGTACCGCAGCCGTTCGCCCAAGCATGCCGTACTCCCGTCCGGCATGAGGATGATGGCGTCAGGCGGCGGCGCCAGTGCGGTGATCCGCGCGAGGATGGCGTCCTGGGGGCTGCCGCTCGGCGGGACTGACCCGTGGGTCTGCTGCCGCTGGGATGAGGGGCTCTGCAGCTGGAGATCCCCGCTTGCTGCAGCGGAGACATGTATGGGGTCCGCTGCGGGGGGTGTTCCCGTAGCCGCAACGGAGGCGGCTGCTGGCCGGTGGTGCCACCCCTGCGGCAGCACCCTGCTGCTCCCACCACGCGGGGTGCTGCTCGCGCCCCCCGCACCCGCACCCGCACCCGCAGCAGCAGCAGCAGCAGCAGCGGCGGTGGCCTCAGTCCCCTCCGTGGGGGCCACCAGGGGTGCTGAGGGCCCCGTCTCCTCGGCCACCGGCGGCAGGACCGCAGCAGCCGCCACCGGTGCCGCTACGGGCACCAGCTCTAACACAACAGGCGGCACCGCCACCGCCTCTACCCGGGCTGCTGCTGGCACTGCCTCCACCCCACCTGCTGCCCCCGCAGCTGCAGCCGCTGCCCGCCCCTCCCCTCCCACGACCTGCACCGTCACCTTGCCGCCGCCCAGAGCGCCCAACTCAACAGTGTACAGCGGTACGGCGGGAGGGGGCGGAGGCGCGGGGCGGCGGTACCCCCCCAGCGCCATGAGCCCGCCTCCGCTCCCGAGTGCTGCGGAGGTCAGGTCGCTGGTGATGGGCCGCACTTGCGCCGCAGACATCTTGCGCACGTAGCAGAGCGTCAGGATGACGGCTACCAGTCCCAGCAACGCACCTACCCCCGCCAGGATGCCTGAGGAGGTGGGGAGGGAGGGAAGGAGGAGGGAAGGAGGAAGTGTAGAACAGACAGAGGGGAAGGATGAAATGGGTCAAGAGGGGCCGAGGAGAGAGGAGCGGCAGGAGATGGGGGCTGGGGAAGGTGTGACGGGCAGGCGTTGGGTTGGGAAGGGCTGGGGAGCTAGGGAGCCGCTGCCGTATTAGGCAGTGGGGTGGGCCTGGAGACGGCTACTGCTGTATCGGCCAATCCCGGCATTCGTGAGCTGTGTCCCCGACTTATGTTTGGACACCCAACAACCCGCCGACCGCCCACCCACCTGTGAAGATGGCCAACGCCGACGCAGAGCGGCCCGAGTGCGAGTGAGATACGCCCGGCAGCGGAGGGCTGGGGGGGGTGAGCGGCGGTCTGGGAGGCCGGGAGGGGGACGAGGGCTGACGAGGCGGCTTCGGAGATAGTGGGGGCGGGGCTGGTGGGGATGGCAGCCGGGGTGGCGGTGCAGGGGGCGGAGGCCGGGAGGGCGGATGTGGGGGCGGGCGCGGGGCCAGAGGCGGCGGCGGGGGCCTTGGTGGTGATGGTGGGTTGCATAAGCCACGACCGGACATGCATCGAGGGACTGCGGAGTTGGATATGGGAGGCGGACAAAGAGCAATTGGGGGGAGAGGCGGGCGTTGGATATGGGGAAGCTGCAAGCTGGCAATTACAGTCCGCTGGTAAAGGAAGCGCGGATCGGTGCAGGCGGAGGAGCCAGAACAGGCGGAAAGGTACCGTGCAGTCCGAATCCCGCCCCCTTTCAGATAAGTTTAACGTATTCTAGCTCGATAGCGTTATTGCGAAGCTTGCTGTCGAAGGGGTTTGGTGATGTGTACGTACCAGGCGAAAGCTCACCCCCATCCGAGCGGACATGGACAAAGTTCCCTGACATCAATAGTATGGCAAGCAGCATAGTTGGCAATCGCAGCAATCCTAAAGGCCGATAACGTGATAGGTGGGGTCTAGGCCTGTTATACGAAAGCGGAAAGGAGTTATAATGCATTTGACGTAGCAATTACCAAAAGGCAGCATACATGGCTAGTGTAGCTCGTTTGTGATGCCGGTCCGGCAATGGTAAGTGCGTAAGTCAGTCTAGCTGCAACATGCTCAGCTTCGTACTTTCCATATTCATCGCGAGCACCTTTTCCAAAGCGTGCTGTTTTGGGGAGAAACGATGTCGACTTGGACACATTTTAAGCTTACGAAGTCCTTTGGGTGTTAAGTCTGTTGAAGGCCCCCTTCCGAGCGGGATTGGGACTGAAGCACTGCGCCCATAATCGTTGCAGGGAACTAGCACCAACTGCTGGAGAGATATGCATTTTTGGATGGAACTGAAGCCATTTCAACAACTCACCTAACGTTCGAGGTAGAACGACATCCTGACGGACTGCATAGGGTACCGGCATCGTCCCTTTCCTGGACGATGTCTTGCAAGACAAGACCCCATAAGCCCAGCGCCACCCTGGTGCTGGCTAATCCCGACATGTCACCAAGCGCTTGCAAATGCGTAATTGTCAGCCGTTCGCTTTAACAGGAGGCCTCGTCGCTTGCAGCTGTGGTGGGCATAAACTTCATAAACAAGTGGAGTTTTAGCAGACCTCCTGCTACTTACGCAGGAATGCCGGTGGCAAGCTCCCCGCGTTAGGTCGCGGTCCCAACTACAAAACTATACCCCTTGACTTTCATACATAATATGCATGAAATCTGTCGCGCCCTACCGAGGACTCAAGGTACGTATTCGGCACAATGTCCGTCGACCACGTCAACATGCGCACCCAACCATCAAGGTGTGCGAGTTCGGCACACAGCGGGTCAGCGGCAGGGAAGTCCCATCGGCGTGTACTCACCGATGGGGTAAAGCCTTCACCCACACGGCACCGTAGCCATGCCTGAACTTAAGCAACACAAGAAAGAATCTACATAACCCAACGTTCCAACCTCCACCCCAACTCTCGACCTGGCGGAATAATAGGCGCCCAGCCCGAAACCCCTGTTCACCGTTGCCATATCGCAAACCACACAGGAAGATGCCTACTGCTGCCTGACAGTAGCTACCTGAAAACATGGCGCAGCACGACAGCTGCCCCCGGTCCTTCATGTTGTTGCTCATCATCTGCTGGATGTCACCGCTGCCACGTGTTGGCGGCCGGGTATAGCAACGTCACTGATCTAACCTAGAATACCTAACAACCATATACCAAAATACCTTATCTTTTTCATTCAATTCATAGAAGAAAGGGTAGGAAGGGGTCCAATTTGTACGGCATGCACACGTTGGCATGTGACGTGTATGTATCAAGCGAAAAGCAAGCCCCTCGCTAAGGCACACAACTGCACAATTATAGCCGCTACAGCAGTCTACCATGACAAGAGTGTGCTTGTATCTACAAAACAGTAGCCAAACAAAACAGCCCAAGCACCGTTTTGCACCCCAGTATCCCAAGACCGCGGATGCACCGTAGTTTGACCCCGTCCTCCTGGCCCTACCCAACCAGCAACAGGCCTCGCAAACAGTTGGTCACGACGCCACAACGGAACAAACGGATCCTGGAACCCTCGTCCCCTCGTCCTCCGCCACACTCTGCATGCACTGCCCCTCTCGTACGTTTCAATGTTTCAATGTTTGTGTACACCGTTTGGGTGACGTAGGTCCCTCAGGACGCTTCATCTTCACGACTCTTCGTCTTTTATCTTGTAATCCACACATGCCACCTTTCTGGGTCAAGAGAATGCACACCCTGTCGTACTCCCCGTTGCCGTACCAGTGCTGTACTAGCTGCACTAGCTGCCGTACGACACACCCGCTGTGCCCCCTCCGCCGGGCTCACGACAGCTCCCAGCCCCCTGCATGTACCCTTCCTTCCCTCACATGCGCGCCGCCTCCGCTTGCTGTTGGGCTTGGGAGGTCAGCGACGGCCCCACTTCAAGTCCTTCACCCCAACGGCCCCCAAAACACACCAATAAAGCAAACCAGCTCGTCACACTCGCGCGCAGCAGCCAGATCACATGTACACACAACAGCCAATACCGATACAACAGCCACCGCTACCCAACAACGTCGGCCAAGCCGCCACCCTCCAGGCCCCAGCCGCACTCCCCAGCCGGCGCCCTGCCGCTGCAGCTGCTGCTTGCGGGGCGAGGCAGCGCTGCCCCCTGCCCGCCTGCCTCCGCTAGTGCACTCGCTGCCCCAGACACACCTGCAGCCCGTCAGGCATCAGAATGATGGCGTCCGGCGGCCCCACCTGCCGAGCAGGGGCGGGGGCAGCAGCCGGACTGCTGCTGCTGCTGCCGCCGGCCCCACCGCCACCGCCGCCCCCAACACCCTGGGAACCTCCTCCTTCGCCGGCGCCGCCAGGCGTGCCAACCGCCAGTTGGTTGTGGTGGTGGTCGTGGTGGTGGTCATGCGGCGGATCATGTCGGCCGGGGCTGCTGGTGTCGTCGAGGTGCCTGCGGCCCTCCGCGGCCGGTACTGGGGGTGGTGAGGATGGTGCTAACGCGGATAACGCAGGTGAGCCCCCCGCTGCTGCTGGCGCTACTGCTCCCCTCGCCGCTGGGTGTGACGACGGCCCTGCATCCTCTACCGCCACCGCCTCTACCTGGGCTGCTGCTCCTGCTGCTGCTGGCACTGCCTCCACCCCACCTGCTGCCCCCGCAGCTGCAGCCGCTGCCCGCCCCTCCCCTCCCACGACCTGCACCGTCACCTTGCCGCCGCCCAGAGCGCCCAACTCAACAGTGTACAGCGGAACGGCGGGAGGCGGGGGGCGGCCATTGCGGCCGGCAGTAGCGGCAACACCCGAGCTACCACCACCGCCACCGCCGTCACCCCCGTTGTCCTGGCGTGTGTTGGGACCGCTGCTGCTGCTGCTGCTGCCGTTGCCGGGCCGCGCGAAGCCTGGGAAGCCCAGTCGTGCGAGGAACCGCGCGCCTACAGACCGGTTGCGCATGTGCCTCACGAAGAGGGTGAGCGCCAGCAAACCCAACACGGCGGCGAAACCTGCCAGCACGCCTGCAGGGGGGCGGGGGAAGGAGGGCGGTGAGGTCAGGTAGGGAAGGAGGGCGGTTGGTGATGGCGAGGAGGGTTACGCATATCCTTTACAGACTGGCACCTTCTTTCTCCTTCTTTCACGGTAGCCTCTCCAGCACGCACCTTGGAACACGCCCTCCAGCTGGCGCTCTACAGGGGCGGCGGCGGAGGAGGAGCCCGCATTGGCACCCGCCGGGTAGGGTAGGGGAGGCGGCTGGGCGGGCAGAGGAGGTGGCGGGGGCGGCCGCAAGCGGACCTGGGAGGGCGGCTGGGGCGGCGGGGAAGGCGGTGGTGGCGGCGGCAGGGGCAGGGGTGGAGACCGTGGTAAGGGAGGAGGCGGTGATGGGCGTGGAGGGCGGCTGGGAGAGGGCGGAGGAGGAGGCGGCGGGCGTGGCCGAGAGGGCGCGGAGGGCTCCGATGGTGGTAGCCCCGACGGCGGTGGAGGGGGTGGTGGGTATTGCTGGGGTGGCGGCGGCGGTGGCGAGGGTGGGGGAGGAGGCGAAGATGGCGGCGGTGGCGGGGGGCAGGGGACTTGGAAGTACCACGGGAATATAAGCGTATAGCATCTTGCGGAAGCTGCGAGTGTGGGGGTGGGGGCGGTTGGATGGGAGACCCCATGTTGCGTTGGAGGACAACAACGGGTAGGTACAGTATCGGGCTGTTCCATGCAGGAGAACGAGAAAAAGGGTTTCGCGGTGTGAACACAGTACGGTGGTGCAGAATGCTTTGCCCTGAGAAGATAATCCTTGGATTATGAGAAGTACTTTGTGTTTTTGTGAAAGGCATCGACTGCTTCTGAAGGCTTTCGTTGTCACGCGTGCGCTTGCGTCACGCTTAGCCTAGGTAATGAATGACGGCATCCAAGACCCAAGCGAACACCCCGAAATTTAGGTACAAACTCGGGTTCAAAGACTCGCGACGGTTCGCGAGCGACCGTAAAAGAGTATGTCAGCCCAGAGCGCATAGCCGATCATATAGGTGGAGACACTTACTTGAGGACGCGTCTTTCGGAGGAGGCGGTGGGGGCGGAGACCTCCTACTCCAATTCCCAAGCAAAGCCCGCGATGACGAACCGCCAACAATTAAGGCAAGCAAGCAAAGAACTTGAAGTGAACATGACATTCTAGCTAACTGGTAGGTCCATGCCGTCAACAGCTGGTGTGTCAACGAAGTCTGAACATGACGCAGTATCACCTAACCTCAAGTGACCTGTGTTCTTACAAGCACTTATACCTAGAGTAACACGAAAATGTATGGCATACGTAGTATCGTAGTATTTCGTGAGGGGTAGGCTCATAAAGTACAGTTTATACGAAATGGTAGTTACCCCGCTGCCGGGTCGTCCGTGGCAAGGCAACACCATCGACTCTTCAGGCCCCCGCATCTTACATGTCTCTACTTCTGTACTTGCGCTTATAAGTAAATCCACTTCTTAGGTCTTTTTTGTCGCAACAGTCATCAGTATTCCACGGTCGCTGGACCGACGACAGGACCGTAAATCTAATACGACCTCTGTTCGGCCTTCAAAAGCATATCTCTATAAAACTTGGGAGCCTGTCAATCTACATAGAGCAATGTCGGGCCTTTGCATGTCGAACCTTCGCGGGTGGTCGGACAACCGCAAGTACACATGCATCACCACACGCCTAAAGCCTGTAATCACCGTCATCACCACAGGATCCGAACGACGCGCTGCGCTGCGGAGCTCTGTGTGCAGCTGACTCTCATCTCTCAAAGGGGCTTTCCCGCTGCCGAGCTTGAGCTGGCAACGACCTATTCCGTGGGGCTGCATAGGTCCTTCCCGCCAATTACTAGCTCCTTGCCGGCTCCTTCTGTCAGTGCTACACGCACCCGGGCATGCGGTTGGCAGCTGCCAACACAGGGATGCGAGCGATGTGCACGTGGCCACGGGTATACCGGTAGCACCGAGGTAGGGTAATTAACCTTACACAACCTGGCCGGCGCCGCTCCCAGGCATGTTGGCAAGTCCTGCTGGCGGACATGCGGCATTAACCCACATGCTGCAATCGGAAAACAAGCGCCCTACATGCAACGTAGCAAAACATATGTCATATGTAACAAACATTATTAAAGTCAAATGCTACCAGCTAAAGTAATACCAAAGCCTTATTGAAGTGCCATCCAGCTCTTGCACGCTTGACAACCCGAAATACACGACCTGGAATACCCGGGGGAACCACGGACCTATCACCGGGAACCAAAAGGCGACTGGTCAACAACATATGTACATACACATACCTTTTTGCCGTCCCTGGGCACGGCACCACATGACAACTGCCACGCATTATGCGCACCGTGTGCAAACCAACACACCACTAAACCACTACTGCCGCTGCGGCTAGGATGTCTTTATGATGATGTCAACAGCAGCACGGCGCGGCCCTTCACGGCAAAACTCATCCCGGCATTGCAGCACACATCACTACGGCACGTTTTACTGCGGCAAACTTCACTCCAGTGTTTGTACGGCAACCCCCCAACCACAACACCCCCCAGCTCACAAGCGGAACCACATCCGACACTACGCTTCCAACTCGCGGCCAGTTTCCTAAACACACATACGCGCACACGCTTACTCGCACACTCCCCTTGTTAGCCCCCTTCAGGGCCCCCCCCCCCCGGGACGTATGAGCACGTCCCAGAGCCCTCCTACGTGCCATGCCGCCAAGACATGCATATACCGGCACACGTCACAGCAGGGTAAGGGGACAATTCACAATTGTATAAGAAATGCAAACAACTAAAGTCCCAATCCCATGGTAAGGGGACCAGTACCGGAACCGCCTCCCTCCCCATTTGATCTGCCGTGCCTGCATCTGACAAACGTCTCCATCACGCCCTACGGTCTTGTGATATGCCTCCCACATCCCACATGGTAGCACGATACATACGACCCTCCTTAACATACCAGTATACATGCAGGCTCCTGCGCTGCACTGCAACAACAGCTCAGCAGCTGTCTGGTAGCTCAGCAGCGGTGTGGTACCTATCTTCGCTTTAGGCCCTTAGGCCAAAGCCAACAAACAAGCTCTCTTCCCTCCTCACATCTCATTGCAACTTGGCGATCAACGTGGTGATCGAATCGGATACGAACAGGAAGCAGGGAGCAGGAAGGATCTGACCCGAAAGTGTACAACACACCGCACAACGATAACCTAATCCTGACTCCTCGCTCCTTTACCTTTGCCGCAACCAACTGCGTCTTTACCTTAAGCCGTCCATCGTATACTGTACACCCATCTGGAAAGCATTGAAAGCCCAAATAATGTGTGTTGCCGATACATACGATACCTTGTTAGAGAAAAGGCAGGAACAGCTGCCCTCTCTCAGCAGCAAAACAGCAAGGGCTAGCTGCAACCCCAAACTCTCGTACAATACCTAGACATACGTAGACATGCCTGAATACTCGTACAAGGCGGCTGTAACAAAGGAAATATAAGGCCGCACTGAAAACGAAAACAGAAGCAACATCATCACCCGACATGTAAACTTCCCAACAGATGGCTGCCTCATTCAAGACCAACAGCACTTCCCTCGCAAGCAACCCCTCCCATCCCGCCTGCATCTGACCTCTTCTCACCGATATCGACAGCCGACCCAATTCGTCCCTGCAGGAACCTCGCATCCTCGTATCACCCATTTCATCCGCTGCGCACATGCATGCACGCATGCACGCACACATGCATGCTTCTCCGCCCCAGCACCCCTGCGCATGCACCCCCCTCCCTGCCACCGCTATAACGGGGAGGAATTGCCCTTCCCCCTGCATTTTCCCCCCTCCCCGCCCCTCACGTCAGCTCCACCACGCAAGCACTGATGTCCCCCGGGACCGCCCCCGGGGCACACAGCACCCGCTCGCCCTGCTGCGCCCGGTAGCGGTAGCGCGGCAGGCGGGGCAGGCAGGCGGCGGACAGCGGGGGGACAGTGGCGTGGCGGGTTGCTCCCGCCGCCCCCCCGCCCTCCTCCTCCCTCACCAGCACGGCGGACAGCCCCGCGGTTCCAAAAGTCCCCGCTGCTGCCTCCGTTGCTGCTGCTGTGCCCTCCGTCGCAGCCAGATCCAGAAGCGCTGCCCCGGCGGCCGCCTGGAGGGGGCAGGGGAAATAGAGAGAGATGGAGAGGAGGGAGGTGGGTGAGGAGGAGGGGTGGTCCGGGTAGGAGGTGGAAGGAGGAAGTAGTGCGGGGGCGAAGGGCACAAGCAGACCAAGGAGGGAAGGCCGCAGTGGGAATAGCCTCAAGTCTCATGCTACGTTCCTTCAAGTTTCCCTCTCTACCTCTCTCTACCCCTCCCTCTCTCTCCTACCTCCCCCCTTGTCACACAGCTCATTAGTTGCTCGTCAGTTTCCCTATTTTACGTTGTTTACCCACCTTGGCCCTCTTGCTGACGGGCTCCCTGCCCAGGTACAGTCCCAGCAGCGCCTCGGCCAGCGGCGGGGAGCGGACCGCACCCAGCACCTGGCCCCCCGCGCAGGTGACCAGGTGGCCCCCGGAGCTGAGGGAGGGGGGGAGGAGGGGGAGGGGGGGAGTGGGGACAGGGGTGCTATGGCCGGGGTGATTGCAACACGCATGCCATCTGTTGCCTACCCCATGGCCCTCCTAATGCACTCACTGCATGAGTCGGGCTCTGGGATTGGGACTCTAGTTGTTTGCATTTATTAAATATATTTTTTACCCCCATGGCCAAACCCTTTACCTGCAATGCATAGCTGGACCGCAGTCTCCTCACCCACACTGCCCGCAAACCCCCCTCCCTCCCTCCCCCCCCCCGCACCCACCTCCTGCTGAAGGTGATTGCTGCGCCCTTCCGCACCGCGTCCCCGCCGCCCCCGGGCAACCCACCCGCCTCGCACTCGCCCGCACCCAACACCGCCCCCGCCCCTCCCCCTGCTGCCCCGGCCACATAATCAGCCGGGTGGCTTGATGCCAGCGATGAGACGGAGGCAGGGGTTGCTGCTGACGAGGAGGAGGGGGAGGAGGTGAGCACATGGTACGGCAGCTTGTCGCGTGAGAAGTACGACAGGAGCTCCTGCAGGGCGGGATCGTCCGCTCGGCCGCCCGCCTGGGAAATGGGGAAGGGGGGTTGTCGACAAGGGAGGGGGACAAGATTTGTCGGGTAGGAAGGAAAGGGAGGGGTGTGTGGTCCCCATCTGGGTTGCCGTTGGCGCGCCCCCTAAGCAACCCCCGCGCCCCCACCTCACCATCTGGTGTCTGCGCAGCAAGATGCGCTCGAACTCCTGCCGCAGCAGCGGCAGCGGCAGGTTGCGGCAGGCGCGGATGGTGAGGGAGACGTCCACCGGGCAGCTGGAGGGAACCAGCGCATCCGCGGGGCTCCAACCGGAACCGGTGCTGTTGTTGTCGATGGATGCTCGGGATGCCGCCAGGGCGGCCACCGCGGTTGCCGCCGCAGACCCGACTGGGTTTGCGTAGATGGCAAAGTCGTAAATCTTGACTCGCAAAAGGCTGCGGCCATCCCACCAGCTGCCAGAGTTGCCCCATTGTCGCGAGCCTACTGCAAGCAGGTGCTGGACGGAGTGATCTGGGTGCTGCGAGTTCCGACCGCTGCGCGTTGCTGAGCAGGTGTTGCAGTGCTCAGCGCCACAGCAACAGCTTTTGCTATAGTGTTGTCCATGATAGTGCGTCCATGGTCCACTATCTTGGCCGCCTAACTCTGCGCCCTCCGGCTGAGAGGTTGCGAATTGCGTAGGAGGTCGAAGAACGAGCGGGAAGCCGTTTCCAAAGCTGCGGCCGTCCGCAAACTGTAGAGCTGACAAGGCCTGTGACTCTCTGCTAGATGGCGCATAGGACCTGTTTATGCAAATTGAAGGTGTAAAACATGCATATGGGTTAGCAACAAGCATCACAGCCAAAGCCGACGGCAAGGAAGCGTTGGGCTAAGCTTCTTATCCTTAGGCTGACTAACTTACGCGCTATCACCCATTTCAATCATGCCGTTTGGCTCCAACATTGCAGCTGACAGCGATGCCAGAGGTGGTGCAGCTCTCCGGCAGCGCCCACGCCTGTTGCCCGACCCAGATGCTGGCCGCCCACGACGAAGCCCTAGTGTCCAAAGGCATGCTGCTTTGAGTCCTCTACGCACTCCTCGTAAAAGTGGAAAGCGCCGACCGCCGCGGGGTTCTGTGGCCGGTGGCTCCATAGTGCTGCCGCTTTAAACGCCTGCCTAAACTTCTGCGCCTCGGCTATCGGCGCTAGCGTGAGCCCTTAGCAAAATAAGACAATATAATTCACTCAAAGAGCCAAAGGGTAGGAAGCACACCCCAATGACAAAGGCCAACCTAGAGAATTAGGCCGTGTAATTTCAGCCGTGTCAATCAGCCGTGTCAGAAAGGATTGGCCCTTACCAAGTCATTCAACTTTGGTAAGGAAATCAGTAGATTGCCTAGTACGGGTGTACAGTACTGCATGCCATGCCGTGCGGATCAACTGCACGGGACCTAGGCGTTTACCATTGAAAGCCTTTCGCCTGGTGCACCAACACCATAGTCTTCCCCAGGCGTCATTCCTTGAGCCAACGCCATGCCATCTACCGGTAATTTGAAACAAAAATCACAGTGCTGCCATTAGCTGATACACTGCGAGCCGCACCCCAACTGCCGTTGTTTGTTTCATGGGAGGCGGGGGGGCAACCATGCAGGTGAAATTCCGTACTGCAACTGACATGTGGTGCACACATGAGCCGTCGGCCCCAGTGTTCCACGCCTGTGAGCCATTACATGCACCGGACCCGGAGTGGCCGAGTGGGTGAGTGATACTTACACAGCATGACGATTACACACTCCCATTCACCCCCATCAATTCTGCCCCCGTCGCCATCGCCTCCCTCCCAACATTCCAACTCAAGCCGCCTCCTGCCGCCCAGCCTGCTCCGCTACCGGCAGCACTCCTGCCGCCCCCGCTCCTGCCGCCCGCCCCACCTCCTGCTGTGCCTCCCGCGCCAGGGCCTCATAGGCCGCCAGCCGCTCCGGCGGCGGCAACACGATGCGGTAGTCCCCACTGTCGAAGAAACCGAACTCGTCACAATCGTCATCCACAAACCCCTGCCGCACCTCCCCTGTCGCCGCCGCCATTACTGTAGCGCCAGTGCCTGCAGCAGCAGTAGCAGCAGCGGGCTCCTGCTCCTGCGTCTGCTCCTGCTGATCGACTCCCACGCCTCCGGTTGCAATCGCAGCAGCAGCCGTAGCAGCAGCATCAACAGCGGCATCAGCAGCGGCTGCGGTGCACACCTTGAATGACGTCAGCCGGGAAGTCACCAGCTCCTGCTGGTGCTGCTGCATGCCCTTCTCCGGCCCCACTCCCACCTCCTCCACCTCGGCCCTCTCCACCTCCACCTCCATCAAGTCTAGAGCCGCAGCCGCAGCGGCCTGCCCCTCCGCCGCCTCCCCTCCCTCCTTCAGTCCTGGGGAGGCGTGCAGCGGCTGCCGTACCAGCCCGGGGGAGGAGGCCAGCTCCTGCAGCGCCCCTCGGAGCGCCCGCAACGACCCAGCCAGCGTGGGGGCGGGAGCAGCATCCACAGCAGCAGCAGCAGCAGCAGCAGCAGCAGCAGGAGGCGACGCATCCGCAGCAGCAGGAGGAGGCGGCGTAGCAGGGGCAGCGGACGTGGCACCAGCCGCGGCCTCAGCACCAGTGGCGTTGGTTGCGGCGTTGTCGGCGGCAGCCGGGGGGACGGTGTCGGGTGTGGGAGGTGCCGAGGGGGCGTCTGTGAGCATGGCATCAACATGATCCGCGGGTTCTTGGGGTTCCGGAGCGACAGCAGCAGCAGCAGCGGTGGCGGCTGGGTGCTCGACAGCACCTGGCTGGCCGGCTGCCTCCACCTCCATAGCAGCGGTGGTGGCGGGATGCTCAGCTCCGGCAGCTGCGGCGGCTCCAGTTGCCGTTGCCGAGGTCTCCGCCGCCGCTGCAGCAGGTGCAACCACCACCGCTGTTGCTGGCGGCAGTGGCTGACCGAGCTGAGGAGCGCTGCAGGTGCCGGCGGCAGCTGTGGTGGCTGGTGTGGTGGCGTGGGGCGGCGGGGAGGCTTGCGGTCGCTGGGCGGATAGGAAGTGCTGCGGGCGGGTGGGGGTGGGACAGAGGCGAGGAGGGGAAAGGGAGGAGGGAAGGTGGAGAAGATGGTTCCAGAGAGCAGGTTTGTGACGCGCCCTCCTCGCCAATTACCCCCATGATCACCTCTTTTCCCTCCGTCTCCGCACCTGCAGATGCTCCTCATCGTCGCTGTCCCCCAGGGGCGGCGGAGGCTGCAGCTGCACGGGGACCGCCTCCACAGCCTCCTCGGCAGCAGCAGCACCACCACCACCACCATCACCACCACCATCATTCCCCGCTGGCACCGCCGCCGCCGCAGCAGCAGCAGGAATACCAGCCGCTGCCTCCCTCCTGACAGCCGCCGCAGCCGCCCTCGCCTCCTGCGCCTTGGCATGCCCGTGGCACAGCGGGTTTGCCAGCGGGTAGACTGCGCGCCTGCAGGCCAGCCGAGCCGCGAGCTCCACCACCTGCGGTAGGAGGAGGTGGCAGGAACACCAGGTCGGGCGGGGAACACCAGGGACTCGTGAACATGGGGTCCACCGGGCTGTGCCTTTACTACGGTAGCAACACCGGAGCAGAGGAGTGATACGCACCCTTTCCACGTTGACCTACAGAAAAGCCCGTCCTCATGGACCCACGGGTCGCTCACGCCGCACGCAACACCACAACACCACACACTCCTCCCCACCTTCCGCGGCGCCACACGCCCCTGTCCCGGCCAGCGGATGCGGCTGCTGGGGCCCAGGCTGAGGTCCGGTTCCAACAGCGCCCCGTGCTGCGGGTCGCCCCCTGCCGTACCGCCCCCTGCCGTACCGCCCGTGGTGACTCCCCCCCTGGCGCCCGGGTGGCCGCCGCTGGGCCCGGCCCCTGCAGAGTCGCTGCCGCGGCGCACACTCTTGCTTGGCCCCGCACCACCACCATCGCCAGTACCGGCATCTTTATCCTCATCTCGCAGCTGCTGCGACGACTGGCGGTCGGCAGCGGCTGCGCGCTGCTTTGACGGCTGCTGCGGCGGCTTGCCTGCAGAGGCCGTCTTGGATGGCGGCGGGTGGGATAGCGGCAGAGAAGCTGTGGAGGGTGAGGGCGAGCGGCTGCTGCCTCCTCCTCCTCCTCCCCCGCCCTGATTGCTACTGCGCTTCCGCTTGGGGGCACCGGCTGCTGCTGCTGAGGTGGTGGTGGTGGCGGAGGTAGCGGCACCAGCTGCAGCCGGAGGGGCTGCTGCTGCACCACCACCACCACCACCACCACCTGCCTCCGGCCGTACCTTGGCTGCGGCTGCTCCAGTTGCTGCTGCTTGCGGAGCCGGCTCAGAGCTAGGCCGGGACTTGGAACCAGCAGCCGCAGCAGCTGCAGCCGGGGCGCCCGCATCCGTAGCTGCGCGTGGCTTGCCCGGTTGGGAGGGCTTCTTGGCTGCCTTTGCCTTGGCCGCATCACCTGCTGCCGGGGCGGACGAGGAGGGTGCTGCTGCTGTTGCTGCTTTAGGCGCTGCAGCTGCAGCCGCTGTGGCTGCTGTTGCTGCCGCGGGTGGCTTGCCTTGGGGCCTGGTGGGTGGTTGGGCTGGGGGCGGCTTGGGCGGCTTGGCGGCTGGCTGCTGCTGTTGGTCCTCCTGCGTGCCTCCGCCTCCTCCTCCTGCTGCTGCTGCTGATGACGGGGCCGAGGGTTGCGTCTTTGCAGTCGTGGACGCCTGCTGCTGCTGCTTCCGCGCCGGTTCCTGGGTGTTGTGTGCAGCTGCCTTGGGTGCAGTGGGTGCGCCCTCAGCCTCAGCTGCCGGCAGGCTCACAGCAGCAGCGGGCACCGTCTTCCTAGCAGCAGCAGCAGCAGCGCCAGCAGCGCCAGCAGCAGCAACAGGCGGAGGCGCCGTGCCGGCAGCAGGTGATGCCTTGGAGGCAGCAGCAGCAGCACCGCTGGCGGACTGCTTAGCTGCCCGCTGCTGCTGTTGCTGCTGCTGTGGAGGCTGCTGCTGTGGCCCTGACCGCTGCTCCTGCTGCTGCTGTCCTCCCAGCGACTTCGCAGCAGAGCCTGGCTTGGCGGGAGCATCCTGGGCCTTCCTGGTGGGCTGGCTGTCAGCGGTCTTGGCGCGCTTCGCACTGCAGTACCGGAGGGGGGGGGGCAGCAGCAGCATGGAAGAGGTATCTGTGCCAAACCCACGCATCGTCAGGACGGCATGGATGGCGGTACAGAGGCCAGCATGACTGCTGACGCAATTACAGAAGCCCGCCCACCCGCCCGGCCATTCACCCACCTCCAGCTCACCTGGGCAGCTTGGCGTCCTCTCCACTCGTGCTGCCGCTCCCTGCCTGCCGCACCACCCCAGTTGGGGCTGCAGGGGACTCCGGGGCGGCTCGCTTGGTGCCGGCAGCAGCAGGGCCGGTTGCAGCAGCTGCAGCAGCCCCTGGTTTCACGAGCTTAGGTTTCGTAGCAGCAGCAGCAGCAGCAGCGGCAGCAGCAGCAGCAGGCGCTGGTTGCGCTGCTGCCGCAGATGATCCTGGCTGCGGCTTCTGCTGCTGGTGTGACGCCTGTTGGCCGGTCGTTTGTTCCTTTTGCTGCTGCCTTGGTTGCTCTTCCCTCCGCTGCTTCTTTGCTCGCTCCTGTTGCTGCTCCTGCTGCTGGTCCCCTGCCGAAGCGGGCGCAGGTCGGGGCTGCGGGGCACACGCGGGGGGCTTCCAGGGCGGGGGAAGCACCTGCGCGGTGCCGCCCGGCGGGGGCGGCGAGTCCCCAAAGTGCACGTAATTGAGCGGCAGCAGCAGCTCCCCGTCTTCCAGCGGGTCGGGGTGGTTGTAGTCGTACTTGATCTGTGGGGTGGGGAGCAGGCAGGTTGCGCAGGGTCGCGACTCGACTCTTAACCACTTCACAAACCTCACAAACAGCTCTCAAAAGGAGCAGCCCTCGAAACCCGTCCGCGCCCGACGGGTGCCCACAACAAGAAGGTACTCTGAAAGCCCCATTAAAACCCATATACCCCCCCACATAATAAAACCCAAAAGGGGCTACCCGCTAGGCCGCTACCGCTACCGGCACATATACCCACATGTAGCGTGCAGCGCCGGGGGTCGTACCGCTCCACCCGCGCTGAGAACCAGACGCCGTGCTCAGGGTGCCTGGGCTCGTACGACAGGGGCCACCAGGTCTTGCCGCGCGCGTGCGGCTTGTCCTGCTGCTGCTGCACGTCCCACCAGAATACCAGCAGCGGGGTGCCTGGGCGCAGCCGCTGCACACCCGCCTCCTTGCACATGGCGCGACACCACTGCAGCAGCGGGGTCTGCATGCGGGGGGAGGGGGAACGAGGAGGACGAGGAAGGTACTCGACACGCCTGTACGCCCCGGTTGCCACCCACCTTCTGCAACCCATGGTGTGGAGCCCTTTCCGGTCTCATGGGTAGTCCTTCCTGTCTATCCCGCCCGCCCGGCTCTGTCCCAGCTTGTATGGTTCCTCTTTTCCCACCCATCTTTGACCAGTGACTCTACTGCTGCTCGTCACTACCGTAGTCACTTCTAGTCAACTACAGTTGCACCTCTCTCCAGGCCCCCACCCATCTCCGGCTCAATCAGCAACCCATATGGTGAAGCCTCGTCATTCAGTTCGTCAGTTTCCTTATTTGTTACCCACCTTGGCCACATGCTGGCTGCCGTACGCCACCACATGCACACTCTCCAGCGTCAGCTGCCGCTCCTGCGCGGCGCTGCGGGAGCTGCTCTCGGGCAGGCGCAGGCAGTGCTCCAGCGCCCACTCGCTGATGAGCAGCACCTGCCCCTCCGCCAGCACGTTGATGCTGTCGATGTTGTCCTCATGACCTGACGGCGGGGTAGGGCGGAGGCGGGGGTGGGGCGGAGGCAGGTTGGGGCCAGGGAATGCAAACTAGTGTGGATATCGCATGCTAAGGGAGGCTGGGACGGCAGGAGGGGGGTGGTGGAAAGGAACGATTTGGGAGCCGAGGACGTGCGCAGGGTGTGCGGTATGCTGCAAAGTGAGGGGCTGACGGAACAAGGAAGATGCGATGCCTTTACGAACGGCCCCCGGGTAGCTTCAGCTCTCATTTAGCCCCGTCCTTTTCCCACGACAGGGCTGACGTGTTGTCACTGTTCGGGCACGTGTGAGCACCCGGAAGGAATCCCCTTCGGATCCTATCCCCATCCCAGCCGCCGCCAGAAGCTGTGACTCGGGGGCTAGGGCTCCTAGGGAGCTCCCAAGGAAGGCAGCCGCTTGGCTGCACTCCACAGATGTACACACGCCATGCAGCGTTCCAGCTTACCGCCAATGAGTGTTGCACGCTTGCCTTCACATTCCAGCTCCAGGAGTGGATAAAGCTTTGAGACTGATTTCACCAACCGATTTTCCCTGGCCTGCGGCGAGGCATATACATTCAAGTCGACCGAGGCTCATGGCGCCCCTTCTTTTCGCCAAAGGGGCATACTGCAAGCTTGCTCGCTTCTATCTAGTCACTTACTATGTCCCGTGACATTGTCGTTCTTGGGCTAGCCTCCTTTTCGCCTCGTTCTACACGCCGAGAACCTCGCCTGTCCTTGGCTGCCAGTAACAAACCATAACACTTCGGAGTTCCTAACACAAAGCTGCTTTATGCAGTATGAGTGCTTCGAAAAAGGCTCTAAAGTCTGTCACACGTCGCATTATAATTAGCGACAAACGTCAGCTGAGTGCTGCAGCAAAACAACAGTTGGCTACACAGCATGAACCACATCAGTACGTGTGGAAGTTTGCTGATACGAATATCGTAGGTGACAAAGCAGGCGATGACGGTTGACGTACAGCTCAGTAATGCTAGCTGCGATTGGCCGTCTTGTGATTATAGCCAGGATCCAGAGTCGTTTCGCCAGGATTAGTACTACTAAATCAGCTCAATAGCTGCATTCAATGACTGGCGCTACCTTTATGCCTTCCGTTTACCGTTGTCACGCGCGCCTAACGGTATGAAAAGATGCCGATAGCCGCTTGTGCGACTTGACCTGTTATCAACAGTCATGGGAAAGTTATAATGCACAATGGGGCCATGTTGCGGCAAAACATAACGTTCAGGATGCTTCCGTATTGATGGCATCTATACGGACACAACTGGTACCAGGAACCAAAGACTCTGATAACGAACCTTTTCAGTCCTGCCTACTGTAACTGCCTCGAAAAGGCATGGTTCGCCACGACTAACCTGCCGACGATGCCCACGGTCACGGCAAGTATTGAATGGCCCTTCCATGGCGCGGACCTCACTTCATTACCGTGTTTAAGCCCCCACGCACACGCAAGCTATCCTCGCCAAAGACCCCAATTCGCACGCAGAGTTGTTGGAAATGCAGGTGAAAGTTATAGCTCGGCGACCTCTGCATTCACACACGAATACACGCACGCACTGCCTCAATCAAGCCGTTCCTCAGCCGTTGCACGCCCTGACATGCACGCACGTTCCCAGCGCCATTCGATGGCACAAAAGCATGGCAACCCATGCAAGCAGTTGACAAGAGCACCTAGTGGTCTCTTCTAAAGGCATTTCCTTTGGGTACACTCTTGTTTGGGCACATGACAAGAGTGTGCCCAAACAAGCAAAAATACCATCGCGCGACAAAAACTCAGTTGGAGAGCAGGCAAAACGAACAGTGCAGGAGGGGCCACTGGCTTCAAAGTACGAAGAGCCGCCGAACTCCAAGTACACGAGCACCACGGAGGAGAACACTGCACACGTCTTCCGGCAATCACAGTACGTTCCGACTCGCAGCCAGATTTTTTTAACACACAATCGCATCATCTTTCAAAGCACAACAATTAAAGCCATTAAGCATCATCCTGTAGACCCACCGCACAACGGGGACGGGACAGCCGGTGGTGGTAGGGACCTGCATGTCGACATGGTCTGCAAGGCCTCACCCTTACAGGAATGTTATAACCCGAACTCTGCGACGCCACGAAATAGGAAGCCCGTTACAACCGGTGGTGGGTTACAACAGTCTGCTACGAATACCACAAAAGGACGATCCTCCAGGCTGTGCCGGACAATTAGCGGATCACAATACTTCGTTGGTGTAGGTTGCTTGTTGCAACCATCCGCATACGTGGGTATGGAACCGAAGAGGAGAGCCCTAACACGCGACTCACAACAGCCCCATCAATGATAAGAATTGGCAAGTCAAGTAGGAACCCCGCCAAGCCAAGCCAATGACACTCATGTCACGTCTGACTGTCCATTCACACATGCAGACGCATGTAAAACTCGCGGGCGTTGCATGCAGCTGCACTTCGTCTTAAGCCGCCTTGCTCCTCAGCGCCTTCAGTGCTCCTTGCGGTGGGACCTAGAGAGGGTTTGCTGCAGCGCCCATGCAGAAACGGACACGGTCAGCAGGGGTACACACAGTGATCAGGAGGACTCCTTCCAAACGGAGACTCACCAGGAACGCATGATGCTGTGCACGTTGTGTCATTGCGCACGGTGTGTCGTGGGTGAATAAAAACCGGTAAATGTGTCCGCAACTACTCATATGTATTTACGCATATGCTCAATCCAGCCAGCCAATCCAAACCAGCCAGCCAAACCCCATTTCCCCAGCCGCTCCCCACGTGCTTTATTCCTCCCTACCCCACCCCTCCACTGCATGAGTCGGGATATGGGATTGGGACTCGTTGTTTCACATATTTAATTTTTTACCCCTCCACCCCACCTGCCGAAGGATGGACCTCTGCGAGTTCACCATGGATGCCCTGCCGGCCGCCCCTCCGCCGCCCGCCACCGCCCCCGGGGGGCCTGCCGGCTGCTTGGGCGGCCGCAGCCAGCCCAACAGCGCCGTCCATGCGCCCAGGGCCGCCTGCAGTGTGAGCGAGGCCACGCAGGGGGCCGCCACGAGGGGGAAGGCGGGGGAGCTGCCGAACAGGGCGGTGGCCAGGGCCAGACCGGGCAGCGGGTTGCGCATGGTGGCCTGGTGGGAGGAGGGGGCGGGGGGAGGGGAGATAAGGAAGAAGGAGAAGGAGGGGTGGGACAGGAGCCCTGGGATGTGGTTGTCAGGAGTCTTCACGGGCCTGCATAACGATGTGCCATGATCCCATGAACGAAACAGCACCCCCTCCCTCTCCCCCACCTGGTACGCGACAGTGCGGCAGGTCCAGCCCGGCGACCCCACCCCCGCCGGTATGAGCCAGCCCAGCAGCAGCGCCACCCAGTGCAGCGCCCCCACCATCACCACCACCACCAGCAGCGCCACCACCACCAACATCACATCCACGCCCTCCAGCTGCGGCAGCTGCTGCTGCTGCTGCTCGCCCTCCAGCACCACCCGCGGCACCACCGCCTCGCTCCTGGCCACCGCTTTCACGCCGCCCGCCAGGCCTGCGGCCACTGCGCTGCCTGCGGTTTGAATAGCGGCTGTGTAGGCGACCAGCAGCGCGGCAAGCTGGGGTCCACGGACACGCAGCTTGGCAGCCAGGCGCTGTGAGGGGAGCTTGGCGGCAAGCAGCACGCCGGCTGCTAGGGGCAGGCAGACGCCAAAGAGGGCTTGGTTCCAGAGCCCGGAGAAGACGGAGGAGGGGACGTCCAGGGAGGCGGTGAGCTGGTTTCGGATCTCCTCGGATGACTTTGCGGCCTCAGCAGAGGTTGCGGACATGGAGGAGACGACGTTTGAGAAGAAGGTGAAGACGAGGGAGAAGCCGGAGGAGAAGGGCGAGGGGCAGGGCTGGTCCAGCAGCAGCAGGAGGAAGTGGCGGAAGGCGTAGGGGAAGGTGATGAGGGCAAAGGGGGCGGCGATGAGGGACATGAGGAGGGAGCACTCCAGGGAGCCGCCGGCGATGTGGGTGTGGAGGGAGCTGATGGGGGCGCCTGGGGGGCAGCAGGGAGGAGGGAGGAGGAGAGAGGGCAGAAGGTGTGGGGTGGGAGACTCGACCGATACGTGACAGGAGGAGGAAGTAGGTTGAGAGGAAGGCAATGCGAGGCAAGGGGAGTTGCAGGGGGGAAGGGGTGAACCAAAGGTGGGCGAAGTTAGGGGGCGGGGCGGGAGGGTCGCATGTACGGAGGAAAGGAAACTGGGTACTGAGGGCTGGGCAGAGGTGATGGTTTTTCAAGCAACATGTGCCGTACGCTGAAAGGCATGGGGAACACAAGCCGCATGCACACTTACCGACTGGGCAAGCTGCTAGGATTGCGAAGCCCACCACCATAGCGAAGGGCAGGCTGTTCCGAAGGGCCAGGACGGCCGCTGTAAGGCCCAACGCTGGCCACAAGAATGTTCCGATGCAGAAACTAAAGGCGATGTTCCCTGCAGCACCGTACCGGTACACCAGTTACGAACCATGCCAATGCGCAAAAGGGCCTGACGAACATGTCCCTTACTTAGTCCAAGCTGTGTGCCAATCAACTGCTTAAAGCGTAATGTACTTGCTCCAAGCCCCAGGAAAAAGCAAGCTGCGGCAAGCGAGTAGTTGGCATCGACCTGCAAGGAATGTCATCGTCAGTGACTGGATAAACGCAGCTTTCCTTCCTCCTACTAGCGTATACCTTAATGTAGTTCAGGCAGCTAGGGCATCGGAAAGCTGTATAAAAGCCAAAGAACACCAGGCCGGTGTACAAAAGCGGCCACATGCTGCAGTGCTGCTGGCCAACAGTGGCTTACGTATGTCCTAATAATGCATGAAAACGAAAGGGGATGAAGCGCTGTCTATGCAGGCGGCACCGCCGCGCCAAGGCACATCCACTCAGTACAAGATGATGTACGGCAATCGCCACGGCATGGGCATAGGGGGCGCTCCTATGGGCGCCAAGCGTCACAACAAGTGTAACGGATGACGTTCACCGGTCGGGTGTTCAGCAGCACGAAAGCGGCATGGGGCTGCATGGGGGCAAGCTTTCGTTAGCATTCATTTAAAATGGATTGTGATACCCCGTCAGTCATACCGTTACCCTTGGCACGACGCCTCCCATACACGTCCAAACCTGCCACCGTTTACGCCGTACCGAGTTTGGCAAACAGGACAACTAGGCCAGTTAAAAGAAAAAAATATGCTAAAACACAACCCCCACGAATCGACAGCGCCAATACGGTACATCTGTAAAGCGTTCGCCCGTCACCAAGCCATCGCCTTTCGAGCTCTTCTTGTACTGTGTGCTTGATACGGCGGGAAGAGACGCCAACACATGTTGCCAGCCCTTCGACGCTCCTCATCGCATCGCAGTGAAACACCAGGTACAGCACCTTTTCTACGCCACCCATGCTGCGAATAGTCCTATTTATGATACATGATAGCTGAGATCGCAGCCAGGAAGGGATTACGAACCCCCAATTTAGCAAAGCAGCATGTTCCTAAACCGCGGTCTAGATCCCCTGGCTAACCACGGATATGCATGCGTGTACTGCACCCATAGAACCCCCCTTCGCCCCAAACACCAGCCGCCACCTGTACCCAGCTCCTTTCACCACACCACACCACACCACACCTTACAAGTAGCAGTCACATGGATCACGCGACCGATCCGTACCACCGGCTAGAGGTGCCCCGGCCCGCCCACGTTTGCGCATGGCCCTTCCGCGGCCCGCCAAATTTGGCAGAGCAGCCCCAAATGGTCGTGACATGGTCGTGATCGGCCCCGTTGCTGGGGCACGTCCATACCTTTGGCGCTGACTGCCTAACGAAAACCAGGACCACAACAGACATCCCTTTCTACCGGCGCGCGCCTCGGAACCGACCCGCGAGCAATGCCGTATTCGGGCTATTCCTCCGCTTGCTGCTGTGCTTCATAAGCCGTCCAGTGCTGTTTTTCGTTTTCCTCTGTTGCCGTAGCAGCCCTTCCGCGTCCTAGACTCGGGCCGACGCCCCAAAGCGTGGGGGCTAATTCCTAGTGCAAAAGTACCTCCTCGCTCCCCAGCTCCTCGACCCAGGCACCCCGGCGCTCCGCCACCTGCTCAGAAGTAGCCGCCGCCGGCCATGTTACGGTAGGCCTCCTGGGGTGAGCAGGTAGGGGAAAGGGAGAGAAGGTGGCAGGGTTGTTCAGCCAGGGCCGACTAGGAGGCGTATGTGGGCGCAATCCAGGTTACGGTTGTGACAAGGAACACAAGATCTACAATAGCATCTTTGGGGGTAGCTGAAGCTGCGGCCCCTGGTTGGTGCGTATGAGCTTGAAACCGGCAGTCAACTAGGCCGTCAGGGCCCGTGGGACCATACTCTTAACCAGCTAGCAAACCCCAGAGCGATGCATTGCCGGTAACTAAGCGCCGAAAGTAACATGTAGAAATCATCATGGAGTCGTCCCAAGCCAGGGTACTGCCAACATTGAAGATGGTACACCTGTGACCGCCTGGTGCCATGGCGTGCGAATGCCTAAGCTCCGTTCCTTACCTCATCGAATTTACGGTTCCGTTGCTCCCGGAGGGTCTCGGCAATGTTTCGACGAATCTCTCGTAGTCTGCAACCAAGCAAAGCACACAAGGTCTGAACCTCCTGATATGATCTTCAACGTCCCACTATTAGCAGAACTTACTGCGCCGTGCTCCGCATCATGAAGTACAGGAAGAGAAAGCCAACCAGCATGAGCGCATAGAAGACAAGGAACTGCAAGGAGATGTTGTGTGTCAAAAATGGAGGACGACAGACGGGTCATACGCAAACAACAGCAAGCACTTAGCAACCCACCTGCTGGACCACGCCCTTTCCTGTCTCTCCCCAAGTCTCGGCAAGCCATTTTAGAAGGAAGACCGTTCCAGGCTGTATCGTCTCCTCGTCCACCTGCGCCTCGCTAATCTGCTCAAGCACTTGATCACTCATTTTGCGTATAAGTGCCTAAAGCTACCTAGTCCATGGACAGCTCTACACCCGAAGGGACTCCGTCAGTTGCTATTGACACCCCCAAAGTCGAGCCTTAACCGAATTGAAGTGCACCAATGTAAGCAGATACTCCTTCAAGTCTTTATGTCTGTGTATAGTCCTGGATACCTATGCTTGCAGCCCGAGTGCCCGACTTCGCTGTACAGTGCATGCGTACGGTTCACCGGCAACATCCACGCATACCCAATCCTCTTTGCCTTCCCTGCACAAAAGGTGCAGATAATACGTTTGCCTACTTGCAATTTAACAAGGATAACGTGCAGCAAGGATTACGCGGTTGATACCCGCACCGTCGAAGACCTCTTGCCAACGGAGGACTTCCCGGCTACTGGGGGGCTGCATGAACAGCAGACACGGGAGGGCTAGAGCGAAATTGACATTGACGTTCTGCAAGGCCCAGCCACACGTTTTGGCGTTGGTTCCGGTGTCGTAAAATCTGCACCTGGGTGTTCCACAATGGATTCAACACCCGGCAAGTACGGCACCCGGGTTGCTACAAATATGGCTTACATACAGAGGAGCCTTAAACTGGCCTTGATTGCCGCATGTGCACTTAGTTGGTCATTGTTGCACCAAGCATATGCATGTGCCGGTATGTTTTAACTGCCCAACAGCCTCCTAGTCCACTATCCTCGACATCCCAGCCTAACTCTAGAAATACTGTTGCCCTCATCACCGCCCTCTACACCTTTCGCTCGTCTTCTTCCCGTCTATCCCAACTTCAGCCCAGCAAATCCCCTCGGTCATCCCTGGTTCCAGCGCCATCCCCGCCTTATAGTTATCTTGCCCTTCACCCCCCTCCAGTACGCGCCCCCGCCGCCGCCTTCTTCGCCCTCGCCTCCTTCTGCTCCTTCAGCCGCTTCCGAGCCCACAGCTGCGGCATCTGCTCCTGCCGCCAGCGCTTCGCTCGCGCCAGATCCGCCTCAAGCTGCTCCGGATCCACCCACCCGCCGTACTCGCCGTACAGCGCCTTTGCCGTACTCTGCGCCCCTCCCCCTGCTCCTCCTCCTCCTCCCGCCGGCGCCGCATCCCTGCCCGCCACCCCAACCGCCGTCAGCCGCCCGGATCTCGGATCCCGTACATACTCCGTCGGCACGCCGTACTCATTCACTGGTGCCAGCGGCGCCTCCGCCACATCCCCTCCTCCTCCTCCATTACCCGGCCCCGCTCCCGCTCCCGACGCGGCGGCGGAGGCGCCCCAGCTAAAGTTGACCACGTCCGCCAGGCTCCTGCCCGCCGCCGCCGCCATCCGAGCCAGCTGTACGGCCTCATCCTCCGGCGGCAGGCCCGCCAGCACCGCCGCCGCGTACTCCAGCATGGACTCCTCGCGGCTGCGGGCAGGAGGCGGCGGGGCGGAGGATGAGGCGGCGGAGGCGTCGCCGCCCCCCAGGTCTGTGTCTGCACCGCCGCCGTCGGCAGCGGCGCTCCCGGGCCCGTAGGGGTAGGGGTAAGGGTGCTGGGAGGGGCAGGGGCAGGGGTAGGGGTAGCCTGGGTATTGGTAGGGGTAGGGGTTGTGGGCATGGTGGTGGGCATGGTGGTGCGGGTAGTAGTGCCCCGGGTGGAACTGCTGCTGGGGGTGTGCTGCATGCGCATGAGCGGCGGCGGTGGCAGCCGCAACGGCCCGCAGCCACTGGTCGTGTACGGGCGCCGGCGGCGCGACACCGTGCGATGCCGTACGGTTGTGTGCGCTTGCAGCTGCCGCCGCCGCCGCCGTGACGCCCGGGAAGCGGCGGCGCCAGTCTGCCAGCAGGGGAGCATCCCCCAGCAGCTCCGCGAGCTCTACCCCCGGCAGCCCAGCTGAGACAGCTTCCTCCACCTTGGCGTCTGCAGCAAGCGGGGAGGCCGAGACTGCGGGAGCTGCGGGCGACACGGCGGCAGCCGCCTGCGCGGCTTCCTCAGCAGAAGGCAGGAACGGACCCATGGGTCGTGGCGGCTCGCCATCGTCGTCGTCATCCTCTGCGTCTTCTGCCGGGGTAGCTGCCGGTGCCGCCGTTGAAGCGGCGGTGGCGGGAGCGGTCGGGACGTCGGGGACGGTGGCTTCAAGGCGACGACGTGCGGCTGCAGCCGCTGCCGCCACCGCCGCCGCCGCGGCAGAGAGAGGAGGGGAAGGGCCCGCTGCCGCCGTCGTTGCGTTTACGGTGACAGTTTCCGCTTCCGCCGTCGTCTCGGCGTCGGTGCGCTGACGCTTGGGTGACCGCTCGCCTGCGTCATCAACCCCGCTGTCGTACTCCCTGGCCCCGTCAACACGGTCAGCGGCCCCAGCATTGTCGTACGCATGCGGCGCTACCGGACTTGCCGTACCACCGTCAACCGCCGGATGGACTGTATCGCCGCCAGCACCACCTTCATCCTCCGCTGCCGCTGCGCCTTGCTGGCCGGAGGCACCAGCCACCCCCGCCTCAGCCCCCTGCTCCTCCTCACCGCCGCTACCTTGCCCATGCTGCTGCCCCCCTCCTTGTCCCTCCACCTCTCCCAGCGCCCTTGCCGCTCTGTCCCCACCCGCCGCTTGCAACCCGCGCTGCTGCGCTTCCTCCACACGTCCATCGTCCTCCCCACCCAACCCATCACCACCACCCGAGCCCTGCCGCTGCTCCTGCTGCTGCCTCTCCACCTCCCCAGCATGAGCCACTGGAGCTGCTGCCACTGCCCCCGCATCTCCTCGCCGCTGCTCCGAGCCCTGACGCTGCTGAGCAGCCTGCTCCTGATCCTCCTCAACCCCCTCCTCTACCTGCTTCTCCTGATCCTCCTCAACCAGCTGCCCTTCCCCTCCCTGCTGCTGCTGTTGCTCCTGATGCTGCACCTGCTGCTGCTGCTGGCTGCCGGGCTCCACGTACCAGAGCGTGAGGTCCATGGGCAGGAAAGAGCGCCAGGCGCGCAGCTGGCCCACGTGGAAGGGGCCGTGCAGCCGGCCGGAGCGATCCCTGGGAGGAGGCGGGACGGCGAGGGGGGGCCGGGGGTTACGGCGCGCCCTCCCTGTGACCCCAGCACAGTCCTGTCCCCCTGTCATTCCAACCCCGCCTTCCTGTCCCCACACCCTTCCATCCCCCCAAACCTCTCCTCCCCCCTCCCGGCCCCAAGCGCTCCCCGCCACCACCCCAGCCAGCTACCCAACCACCCCCCGCCCCGCAGCCTCTCACCCCCCCCCGCTCCGCTCCTCTGCACCTCGGCCTCTATTCACCCTTCACCCAACAACCTCACACGCTCCTCTTCTCATCCCCAGCATCCCTCTTCGCATCCCCAGCCCCAGGGCCCGCTCATCCCCGCCCCCACCACCCACCGGTAGTACCAACCGCCGCCACCGCCGCTGCCACGGGTGCCGCTGCTGGGTCCTGCGGCAGCCGGCCCCCCCGCCTGCCCTGCAGCAGCCACCGCAGCACGACCCGCCCCTCCTGCCACCGCCGCAGGAGCGGCCGCTCCTAGCCGCCCAGCCTGGAGCAGGGCAACGGAATCCGCTGATGCTGCAGGGGCTGGGCCGCGGAGGGATGCGGGTTGCTGGCCGGAGGCAGACGCAGGCGGGGCGGCGGACTGGGGAGCGGCACTGCCGGTGGTGGTGGTGGTGGCCGCATGTGAAGTCCTGTGTGTTAGGGGCGCAAGGAGACATGGAAGGAGAGGATGGCAGGAAGAGTGGACGCAGCTGCGGTTTGCAGCACCGCAGCGATGGGCTTCGGGAGAGAAGCGCATCTATGGGCATAGCATGCTCTGGGGTTAGTCGGTTTGCAAGCAGCCATCGAATGAGGATGCGACAGCTGGGGCTCAGCCCAGGTGGGCAACGAGAGCAGCCCATAAAGTCGCGTAGCTGCAAGCACTCCACATCAGCGCAGTGTGAAATTAATACTCACGTCTCCGGCGGCGTCCAGGAGGTCACCCCCGTCGAGCGATTGTAGTAATACCAGTGGCCAGAAGCTTCATCCAATGCGCACTCCCAGCCATCTGGCAGCGCCTGCTGTAAGTGATCTGGCTGCATGTGTTTGTTGTCGAGAGCCGTGCTTCCTAGCTAGTGACCATGCATCCTATTTCTGGATACTACCAGCCTGGGCCAGGTATCTGTCACGGCAGTCTATAAGAAACATATACAGGTTGTCAAACTTTGGGCGAGAATGCTATGGCCCAACGGATAGCAGGGATGGGGCTGCAGTTATCTGTACAACTTTGCATGTGCACTTGTGCAGAGCTGCAGACGGCCGGTCAATACGCTAAACGGTACCAATACATGTATATCCAGTTTCAATAACGATAGCCCTTTTTAGGAAACTGCTTTACCTTCGTGAAGTTGCTTAACCAAACAAATCTGCCTTTATTCGGATCCGCGCCATGACCTGATATTAGTTCATAGTACCGAACTTAAAAAGCCTACTCTAGGCAGGAAATAGAGTAGCCATGGCCGCCGCGGAGGTGCCAGAGTCGTTTGCGCCGGACATCCCTGCGGAGACGAAGACTGTGAAGGCTCTTACCCTCCAATCACTTAAACGTACATACGACTTGTTTGTTAGCAACTATGGTCAGCCAACGCCGTTGGATGAGGGCAGGTCTGTATGGGATCGGGACCCCTGTACTTTTAGTGGGCTGTAATAATCTCCGAAACACTATCTAAGAGCCATTTGACTGCTGGATCTTGCCGTGATGTGATGGTTTGTCAGGGGGACGGCATGCTTGCGGGGACCGTCAAGTCATGCAGGGCAATTCAGGGCCCTAACTGCTGATTGCTGCGCACGGAATCGTGCTGAGAAGCCTTATAATGCGGTTCGTAAGCTGTTTTCTCTTCACCCCACCTATCCCAACCTCGTTCTCCCCCCTCCCCCCAGCCAACTGCTCAAGGCGTCCATCAAGTTCCGGGACGAGTACTCCCATGTAGCACACCTGGTAGCTCCGCAGCCGGCACCCAAAGCCACCGCAGCACCGCCGCCGGGGCCTGCGGCAGCAGCAGCAGCAGGTAGTGGGGGTGGTGGTAGAGGGGCGGGATTGCGGATGGTGGCTTCCCGGGGGTGGGGGATGTACGGTACTAGGGGCGGCCATGTAGTGGGCATGGAAGCGTGACGGGCTGTGCAGGGGTGGGGGTGGGGGCGCCGGCGCGGGTGCGCGCTGGGGTCATGGTCGGAGTTGAGTCACTCCCCCATGCGGCTCGAACGCACATCGGTGTGCTGTAACATGCCGGAGGGGTATGTGCGGCCTCACAACTTTACCATGCGGTACAACCCCTCATCACCTCTTCCCCCTCCCCCTCCCCCTCCTCCCTCTCCCCACCAGGCCCCAGCGCCCGTGCCGCCCCCTCCTCCGAGGAGTCCCCCTCCGCCTCCGCCTCCCGCCCCGAGTCGCGCTCCAGCCTCGCAAAGCTCATCGACAACATCCCCCCAGCACCCTCAGCAGCAGGAGCAGGCAGCAAGGCGGGTGCCGACGGGCAGCTCGTCCTCTACCAGCCCCCCGGCAGTGCGGGTGCGGCTGCAGGGGACGCGGCGGCGGCGGCTCAGCAGCGGGCGGTTGCTGCGGTGCTGTCGGACAAGGGCGGCAGCAGCAGCGCAGCGGTGTCGCGGCGGCTGGCGAGCAAATGGCCCCGACCCGTGTGGCATGCGCCATGGAGGATGTACCGCGTCATTTCAGGACACCTGGGGTGAGGAGGAGGAGGAGGAGGAGGAGGGGACTTGTGGTTCGTGCTGTGGGGTCTGGGAGGAGGGGCGACTGGTCGGGGTGGGGTGGAGGGGCGGTGGGGAGGGTGCCGGACCAGGCGTGAGCGACTGAACTCTCCCTTCCTCTTCCCTCCCTCTCTCCCTCTTCCCTCCCTGGCCCCCCTTTCCAGCTGGGTTCGCTGCGTTGCGGTCGACCCGGGTAACGAGTGGTTCGCTACGGGCAGCGCGGACCGCACCATCAAGATCTGGGACCTGGCCTCGGGGCAGCTCAAACTCACACTCACAGGGCACATCGAGCAGGTGGGGGGGGGGGGCGGGGGAGGGCGGGGGGGGGGGGGTGAACGAAATGTAAGTGAAGCAATACCAGATTCCGACAGGAGGAGGCAGGGGAGTGGTAGCAGCAGGGGCAAGGGGAGGGAGAGGGTGCGACTGAGGGCACCGGTGTCCGGGTAGCTGCGGTGGGGGAGGGAGGGGGCCGTCACAGCATGCAGGGTGCTCCCATGCAGGAGGAGGAGGGGGGTCGGGATGTGGGTTTGTGGGAGGTGGCACGTGCCTCCCCATCCCTTTTCGGAGAGTCAAGCCACCCCGTACTTTCGGTGGACCAACACTCGCTCCCCATCCCCTCCGGAAGAACCTCTCTCTCTGCTTGCAGCTACCCAAAGCGTCGTCGGACGCAATGCTGGAAACTCACACGCGCCCCCCTGGCATCCCCCCACCTCGCCTGCTAGCGCCCCTTCTCCTAACCCCTGCTGCCTCCCCTCCTCCCCCTCCTGCTCCCCCCCAGGTGACGGGTCTTGCTGTGTCCGCCCGCCACCCCTACATGTTCAGCTGCGGGCTGGACAAGATGGTCAAGTGCTGGGACCTGGAGCAAAACAAGGTGGGGGGCGGGGTGAAATAAAGGAAGCTGATGGGGTGGGGGTGGGGGTGGCATGCCGGACATATGACACCAAGTGGCCACCGGATTGGGCTATTTATGGTTCAAAAGGGGGGTCAGTGGGAGAGGAGACGAGGAGGAAGACCTCGTATGCCCTATATGCCCCCCCTCAACCAACGTTTGGTTCCTGTCCTCCTTCCCTGCCCTCTCCCCTCCTGCGAATACTACACACGCATTGCTCATAAAACACATTGGGTCCTCTCCTTCTCCCCCCTCCCTCCCCCCAGGCGATCCGCTCCTACCACGGCCACCTGAGCGGCGTGTACTGCCTGGCGCTGCACCCGGGGCTGGACGTGCTGATGACTGGCGGGCGCGACTCGGTGGTGCGCGTGTGGGACATGCGCAGCAAGGTGCAGGCCATGGTGCTGGCGGGACACGACCAGACGGTGTGCTCGCTGCTGGCGCAGGCGGCGGACCCGCAGGTGGGGCCGGGGGGGAGATGGGGGAAGGGGCAGGGGGGGGGAAGGGGCAGGGGGGGAAGGGGGGTCCAAGGACCGCACCAAACCATAGGTGAAGTGGGGGGAAAAAAAGAAATTCCAAAGTGTGAAGTGGGGGGGGGGGGTTGCAGGCTGGGTTGGAGACGATGGGCACAGCCGCTAACCGGTACCTCCGCTAACCCCGCTTCCCCACCCTCCTCCTTCCCCATCTCCCATCACCCTCCCCCCTCCTCCCCCCTGCCAGGTCATCAGCGGCAGTCACGACTCCACCATCCGCCTGTGGGACCTGCGCCGCGGCCGCGCCTCCTCCGTGCTCACCCACCACAAGAAGTCCATCCGCGCACTGGCGCAGCACCCGTCGGAGTTTGCCTTCGCGTCCGCCTCCGCCGAGAACATCAAGAAGTGGGCGCTGCCGGACGGGGACTTCCTGCACAACATGCTCAGCCAGCAGCGCGCCATCATCAACTCCATGGCGATAAACCAGGACGGCGTCATTGCGACGGGTGGGAGAGAGGGAGGGAGCAATGCAGGAGGCGGGGGGGAGGGGTGGGGTGTTGCATGGTCGGATGTGAGGCTGGGTGTATGGGGTGGTGTTGGGGAGGGGGGTTGTTGGAGTAGGTGCCTGGGCCTCCTAGCTGCTCTTCCGCCCCTCCCTGCCAACTGCCATCGCTCTCCACAAAACCTTTTTTCTGGCCATGAGCGTTAGGGTCCCTTCCGATCCTCTTTATCTCCTCCCCTTTCCCCCTCCTTTTCCCCCTACTCCTCACCCCCCCCCCCCCAGGCGGCGACAACGGCAGCCTATGGTTTTGGGACTGGCGCAGCGGCCACTGCTTCCAGCAGGACGAGACGCAGGTGCAGCCGGGCTCCCTGGAGAGCGAGGCCACCCTGTACGACATGGCCTTTGACGCGAGCGGCAGCCGACTGATTACGGCGGAGGGCGACAAGACGGTCAAGATGTGGCGCGAGGTGGAGGACGCCTCGCCGGAGACGCATCCGGGGCTGCCCTTCCGACCGCCCAAGGAAATCAAGCGGTTTTGAAGGGTGTGAAAGGCAGCACAGGAAGGCAGCACGGAAGGGCGGAAAGAGGAAGGGGGAAGGTTGCCATGCTGTGAATGAACTGGGAGGTGGGAGGTGGGATGGAGGAGGAGGGTTGGCAGGGGGTAGAGGTAGGGAGGGACTGAACAAGACTGGACAGGGCGGGGCGCGAGGAGTAGAGGCTGGCGCGGGGAGTGGAGGATAAGGACTACAGGTTGGGGGGAGTCCTCGGGATTGTGAGTGAGCTGAAAGTAGACGGAAGATGCAAGGAGGGGGGAGGGAGGGGAATGAGGATGACAGAAGTCAAGTTGGAGCTTTGGATGAATACCTAGCAGGGTGCCACGTCGGCAGTAGCGACGGCCGAGCAAGGAGTACCCAAGTTGCGTTTGTAAAGGACTGGGTGGCCGGCATATACCCTCCATATACCCTCTGTTCATTTCCGTTGTGCAAGTGGAGTGTTACAGACGTAGGACAGGAAGGCGGGAAACCAAAACAAGAAACCAGCGGGAAGAAAGAGACCCCTAGCAGCCCCCGCCGAATCCTCCTGTATGTACGATTGCTGCATCCGGTACGGCCCTCTACGGGAGCGACCGGGCCCTGCCTCCCATTTGTGCACTGAGGCGAACATGACATGCACGTAATCAGTAATATAATAATAACGCACCGTCTTCCCTCATGCATGACTGGAGTCAAAGGAGAGGATGTGCCTCGCGTCAATCAATAGCCACCAACAACGTCAGCCACCGCACATGCTGCTTCGCTTCTGCCAAGGTAGGGCCCCCCGCGCTAACCCGGACCGAAGTCCTGAGCCCTCCCCTGAGACCCCCCTCTTGGGACCCCGAGGAGAACACCCCAAGGACGCCGTAACGAAGCCGCAATGCCCTTCCTAGGCCCCTACATACATTCCAATAGTAGCCCATATTGCCAGGACTGAAGCTAACACAGCTGACGCAGCACTAACCAAGGTTACACGGCGTACCGATATACCGAAGCTAAGCAACACAGAGCTAGCGACAATGGCAATAGCAATCACAACAATACAGCGACAGCACACGAGCCGCATACTGCAAAAAGTCAGAAAGCATCATTAATTAGAAGCTCATAATGGCAATAATTGTCGTATATCGTACTGCTGCATGAATTATACGGAACAGGAAACGCGAACCCATTGCGGTCTATGCCCTGATTCACTTGCTGCCCATGCCTTGTATATATGCGAAAAAGCAATCCGATTCGATGCTCCATACGTAACACATGTCGTACTCTGAAGTCATCAGAAGTGCCAAACTTAGTCACATACTGCACTAAGGCAGGGCCGTACACATCGTTTTGCACGAACGACGGCAAAAGCGCACTACACATAACACCGCACCAGGGCCATACCCCATCTGTCGTCAACCACACCTCTTCATGAAAGGGCCCGTCAGACACGCCAACACAGCGGCGATGAGCCCGTACCTCCCCAACGGCTTCCCTCGGTTGCCCGCCCCCATGTGACCACATATCACAAGGTCAGCAACTCGAGGCTATCACCACAACAAGGGCTATCACTCTTGAGCGCTGTTCCACCCCTCTGTTTTAAAACCGCTGCGGGTCACGCGTTGCACAAGCCTCATCACGAACGCCTTGTCTCGTACCTTCCTATGCCTAGTGCTTACGCACACATAAGTTCATTTGTTCCTTGTTCATCGTTCCTTTCCAAACCTTCAATCTCGTTCGTTCAAAACCGTGCGGGTTTTTCAACAACCCCGCCGGACACAACTACACACCGTGCCTCAACACAGACGCCCCTCCTTGCTGCCCCTTACCCCCTGCCTGCCCCCCTCTTCCCTTACCACCCCTTTTCCCCTGCCCCCCGCCCTCCTCACCCTCACTCTCCTCCTCCTCCTCCTCGCTCCCGCTCTCCTCCCCCTCCTCCTCGCCCCCGCTGTCACCCTCCTCCTCCCTCTCCCTCCCCTTCCCCTCCTTCTCCCCTCCCTTACCCCCCTCCTTCTCCCCCACCCCCTCCTTCTCCCTCTCCTTCTCCATGGCTGCCACCAGCAGCTGCGTGCGAGCCGCCTCGGATCGGGCCAGCAGGCTGTTCAACGCGTACACCTCCACACGTCGCCGCTCGCGCTGGGCGGCCTGGCGGTGGCGCTCGTCAGACTGAGGGATAAGAAAGAGGGAACAACGCGGGGGGGAAAGAGATGTATAGAGGGGCAACGTGTATACGGGTATTCACAATGGACTGTGGAAACGAGGGGTGTGGCGGGGTGATGTCAGCAGGATGGCAGACAGAGAGGGGTGAGAAGAGGGAAGCGGAGGAAAGGAATCGGGGTCCAATAGGGGTGGTTCAGAGGGGTGAGAAGAGGGAAGGCGGGAAGGGGGTAGCGACCTCAGCATGCAACCGCCCCACCTGCCGCTGACGCTTGGCAGCTTCCTCCGCCTCCGCCACTCGAGCCTTCTCGCGCTGAGCCCGGCTGTAAGCCTCCAGCCGTTCCTGGGGGGAAGGGAAAGAAGATTACCCAATATGTTGTGCGACAATCAAAGAGAAGAAGCGAGGGGACGGGGGAAGCGGAAGGGTTTTCATGCCACGGCATAGCTGCAAGATGGACTATCACACACGCTCTCCGCCACAGGGAACGTTGTCCGCTGCGTCATCTTCCGTCTCTGCTTCAAACGCGGCTCCGGACCATGTTCCACACACCCTCCACACAGGGGCATACAAACGGGGAGGCAAACCCACCTGCGCCTTCCGGACGTGTTCCCCGGGATCAGCGCCACCACCACCGCTGCCGCCGCTGCCGGCCTCACGACTCGCCGTACAACAGCTGGTAGCAACCACCCCCGACAACATCTGCGACGTCTGCGAGGCACCCAGCATCCCGCTAGCCACCATGGTCGAGTGGTGGTGGCTGTGCTGCGGTGAGTGGTGGTCGTGTTGACGAGAGGGGCTGCTACTGCCGTTGTTGCAGCCGCTGCTATTAACGTTGGCGGGACGATGATGCTGGTTTTGGTGTTGATGGCGGCGACCGGAACGGTGACGAGTGCTGGCCGCGCCGCCACCGTTACCGTTACCCGCTCCGAAACCCGGCGGAAGAGCGAAAGGCGCCGCCGAGCCGCCAATCATAAGATACGGCACCCCAGGGGGAGGACAGAGCGTACGGATGGTATGGTGGTTGGCCGTTGCTACGACAGCGCCGTTGCTGGCGTTGTTGTTGTTGTTTTTGCTAGGGCTGCTACTACTTGTTGCTGCTGTGGTGGTGGCGGTGGCAGCAGTGGCGGTGGTAGGGTGATGTTGTTGCTGTGGCAGTTGGGGTTGTTGGTACGGGTTCGGGCTGGGGTGGAAGTTCCGGGCGTCGGTATTGTTGACGACGTCAATGCTGTTAGTGTAGCTGCCGGTGCCGGTGCCGGTGCTGGTGCCGCTGCTTTGGTGCTGCATCAGCTGGTGTTGGTCCCGCAGGTGCGCCACCACCCGGCTGGGGGGGCCCACCGCGCTCATGGAGGAGGAGGAGGCAGGCGCGGGAGCAGGAGCGTAGGCGGGAGATGCAGGTCCCATCACCACCGCATGCTGTGAGGGCTGCGAGGCCAGTGCGGAGAGGGCGAGCGGGGAGGGCCGGGGATCACGGTGGAAGGGCAGTGCCGCCGCCGCTGCTGCCGCCGCCGCCGGAGGGTTCTTCTCCGCTGCTGTCGAACCCGGTGACGGTGGTGGCGGGGGCGACAGGGAGGACAGGAAGCCGGCCGGCGTGGTTTGTGAGAGGCGGGTTGGTGAGGGTGTGCAGGCGCTGCCTAGGGCGGTGGAGCGGAGGTAGGGGGGCATGCAGGGGGCGGAGGGAGGGGTGCTCGGGGCTCCAGGGGCGGTGGAGGCTGAGGAGATGGAGGACGGGGAGAAGGCGGAGACGGATAGCGAGGGCACAGGGGTGGCTGCTGCTGCTGTTGGGAGGGGCAGGGGCTCCAGGGAGGGCCGCGTGTGGCCCTTCTGAGCTGGTGGGTGGTGAGGGTGGGGGTGGCTGCTGGGGGAGAGGAGCGGGCCACGAGAGCATGGGCTCTCCAGGTCCAGGGGGGTGCCGGTGGGGGTGCGATCGGCAGTGGCGGTGGTGCCGCGGGGGGAGGGTGACGGGGGCGGCGAGGAGTCCTCCTGCTGCAGGGCGGGGGCTGCCAGTGGGGGGGGGCGGGGGTGGCCGCAGCAGTAGCTGGGAAGGACAGGAACTGCAAGCGGCGGCAGCGGTGGCGGCAGCGAGTGCGGTGGCAGGCCGCACGGCGACATCGGCTTCTGCCGCACCGCCTCTAGATCCGCCGGCTGCTGCTGCTGCCGCCGCTGCTGCTGCCGAGCTGCAGGAAGCAGCAGCAGCAGCGGCAGTGAGGCTGCTGTTGGGGCTGCTGCCGCCTCGGGAGGGCGGCAGGGACGGACGCGACCTCAGACCCCGGGGCGTGGTAGCGGCGGAGCCGCCTCGGGACGGGGGCGTTGGGGCTGCTGGGGTGGTGGCGGTGGTGGTGGTGGTGGTGCCGGATGCAGTGGCTGCATGGGAGGCCGCAAATGAGCCACGCGGGGTAACCACTGTGGAGGCGGAGGCAGAAGGAGCGGAGCTGGTGCTGCTACTGCTACCGCCGCCGCTACCGCCGCCGCTGCTGCTGTTAGCATGGCGCTTGCTGGAATGGCGCCGCTTGCGCCGGCGTCTGCTACCGCTTCGGGAGCAGCTGGCCCTGCCAGCGCCGCCAGCGCTACCCACCCGACTTGCTAGCAGCAGCTCATCATCCCCAGCAGCAGGCGATACGCCGGAAGAAGCAGCAGCAGCAGCACTAGCACTAGCACTAACGTTACTACCAGCAACATCGCTGGCAGAGCCGCGACCGCTGCTGCCGCTGCCGCTGCTGCTACTGCCGTCGGGAGTGCCCGCTGCAAGCCCATGCGGCTGCTGGTCGAGCTGCCTAGAAGAATCTCCGCTTCCGGCAACCAGGCCGTCACCGACAAGGCCGGGTGTACCACCTGCGCGGGCGACCCGTGGGTCATCTGGAGCCGCAGTCGCCCCCGTTAGCTTCCGTTGCAGCAGCGGATGCTGCTCAGTTTCGCTACATGGGTCGCTACCAGACATCCCGACACCCAACCTCGTCCCGCCGCCGCCGCTGCTGCCAACATGCATCCCATGGTTCCCAGCCATGGACAGCCAGGCAGGCGCCGTCGTGGCGATGCTGCTGCTGACGGCGCTTCTACTGCTACTAGCGCCGCTGTTATTGCCGCTGTTACAGCTGCCACTGCTGCTGCCGCCCCCGCCGCTGCTGCTGCTGGCACTGCCCGCCCCGCTGCAGCTGCTGCCGGTGCTGGAGGCCCAACTGCCGTACACGGACGGCACTCCCGCCGCCATCAGAGCGAGAGCGGTGGGGCCGGCTACTGCTGTTGCGGTCCCAGCCGCTGCTGCGGCTCCCACTCCACCCCCGCCCCCGGCTCCGCCCCCGCCCCCGCCATAGCAGCTAGCGCCGCTGCTACTGCTTGTCGACGTCCTGCGATGTGAGGGAACTCGTTGCGGGTGCTGCTGGAGGTGGTAATGCAGGTGGTGGTTTGGAGCCTGCAGGAGCACCTGCGCCTGCGGTAATTGCAGCAATAGATGCTGCTGCTGGGGTGCTTGGGGGCTGGCGGGTGTGTTGGCCTGGGGCCCGGCAGTTAGGGCGCCGCGTGGCGGTTGCCATTGCCGGGTGGAGAGAGGTGCAGGGGCGGCTGCGGCGGTTGCTACTCCCAACGCAGGGTGTGGTTCGAGGGAGGAGTCGCTAGCACGATAGGGCTGGCGAGAGGCAAATGACCCCTCGGCGGCGCCAGCAACGCTGCTGCTGCTGCTGCTGCTACCGCTGGGTCTGCCGCAGGGTGATGTCACGAGGCTGAGAGGAGCTACTTGGAACTCCGGAGGCCCACTGTAGGCTGTGTTGAGGGCCTTGCAGCCGCCGCCCACCACCTGCAAAGGCTGCTGTGGCAGTTGCTGCTGCTGTGCCTGTCGGCATAAAAGTGGATGGGCGTCCAGTCCAAAAGCTTCCTCTCTGGCATTTGCAACACTTATAGTCCTGCAGGCATGTATTTAAATGGGCGAGTAAAGGCAAACGTAAATGTCAAGCTTCGCAAGGACGAGCGTATAGTGAAGCGTTCCAGCCTAGGAATCCAGCCGGAATGTCCAGCTAGGTAAGGGCAAAGGTCACGTCACAGCCAGAACAGGTAAACATGACGATTGAAATGTTTGTAAGTGCAATGGTTATTCTGTGCTTTAGTGTAAAAAGGCAGCGTACATCGACGTTATGCCATGTGCCTTATACTTTCGTGACGGCAGTGCTCAACAAGTTCTAGCACAGCCATGTAGAAGTTTAGAATATGTGGGCCAGCTCACCTTGCTACCGAGGAGCCGCGGACTTCCAGCATTGGGGACCCCATGAAGGAGATAAGGAACCGCCAACAACATTAGCGCTAAGTCAGGACCATTCGACCTAATGGCCTCTACGGCCGGCCACTTAGAATTGAAGGGCTTGTCGTCTACTGTGGCCTGTGGCTAGTAGGTAACCTTTGTCCGTCATTACGAAACCAGTTCTGTCTACCTTTTATAAGCAATTTTCACCAGCGTCATACTGCATCGAAAGCGACTGGATACTAACATGTCCCAATCGATAGATGCTATTGGCTCCGAAGCCCGTCTGTTAGGTTTGTGGAGTCCTGTAGTCAATACTGGATGCATAGCGCTGTAGGCTAAGCCATAGCCCGATAAGTATGCTCCATACAGCCAAACGTGCTGTAGGTAGCTTGCCATTGCAGCGTATCCCTTTCAGGACACTTTCATTACAACCATTCAGCGCTGCAAACACGAACTTCTCTCAACTTAGCCGGTCGTCATCCGCATTTCGCATGTACCTTGCCAACAACCAAGCCCGGGCACTCAACCCACGTCTCGCAACACCCGCTCTGTCTGCCGCATTTCACCAGAGGTACGTGATTGGGCCCTCATTGCCACTATCAGCACCATCACCATACTGGTAACATAAGAACTATGACCCTTTCGCTCAAAGCGCATGCTTCCGTGCACATATTCGTGGCTGGAAAAGGCTTGCACTTCTCCACCTCATACAGTTCCCTCTCAGACAGGCCTGCCCACACACCCCAGTCTCCCTTTATGCCCCCAAGACCCACACCTCGTCTGCACCGCACCCGTCTCCCCTCTTTCCCGATTCCCACGCTTTCCCTCAACCACTCACGGCAACGACTTTCCACTTCCAACACCGCATTCACGGACCACATGGCTTCGCCCTTTTCGATCCCAACAGAATGTCAACCGCTACCAAGATGCCCACAACGTCCGCCAACAACCCTGCCGTACAAGCCGCCCTCGGCAAATCCACAACCGTCGTACTGCACACATGCAAAGCCACAACCGCCACAACCGCCGCTTTCGGAGACGCCTCTGTCGCCCTAACCGACGTCCTAACCACCCTCAAGCCCGCCACAACCGCTCCCTCCCCCTCATCGGGCCCTTCTGAGCAGCCGACGGGAATGGTTTCGGAGGCGGCTCTCCTTGCGGCGTTCAGTGACGTACCGATTGTCAGTAGTGCAGTGGTGCGGGCGGGGGCTGCAGCTGCGGCCTCCGACCCCGGGAGCGGCGGTGTCAGTGTGACGGTGAGTGGCGGGAGGCAGCTCACCGCACCGCACCTCGCCTCGCCTCGCCTCCTGGTGCGTTGTTAAAAAAAATTCCTGGCTCGCTCCCCCTGCCCTGCCTGTCGTCGTCAAAGCAGCTCTGTGGTGTTGACTACATGCACCCCACCTTCCCCTCGTCCCCCTCGTTCCCCCCTCCATTGCTTTGCCCTAACCTTTGATTTCCTAAGGTTTGGTATGGTCTTTGAACCCCCACCCCACAGGTCCAGCTGCAGCAGCGCAACCTGCCCTCCAACAGCCAGCGCCGCTACTCCATCACTGCGGGGCTGCTGGGGGGGAGCGCGGGGGAGGGGGCAGCAGCGGGGGAGGAGGAGGGGACGGCAGCGGCAGTGGTGGGCTTGCCGCAGGTGGGGCGGGAGGAGAAGAGGGGAGAGGGGGAAACTGATGAGGGGCGGGGTGAGGTGGTGGTGGTGGGTCGAGGATTGGTGGTGGTGGGGTGAGCTGGGATGAGGTGGGGTGAGGGGCTCCTGCCAACCCTCATACACCCTTTGCCCTTGTCCTCACACCTCCCCCATCTCCTCCCCCCCCCTCCTCGCCCAGGAGGTGTCCGGGGACGTCCAGTTCATGAGCGTGGCGCCCTCGGGTGCGGGGGGGGGATCAAATTAGACCAAACCATGTGAAATAAACCACAAAAGGGCAAACTTATTGGGGAATGAGGCGGCAGGGAGTGACAAAAGACAGACGGCGGGTTACGGTAGTGGCCCGCACCGAAACCGCGTCCGTCTTGGTGATGAACTGTTGGTCGTCCAGCGGACAGCGGACCCAGCGGGTGCTGCAGACTGCCCCCCCCAACCCCAACCCGGGTGTTTCCCCCCCACCCCCCACCCCCCACCCCACCCGCAGGTCGGCAGCAGCTGGTGGCGGTGAAGGGGGGCGGCGAGGGCAGCCCGGTGCTGCTGCAGTGGTGGCGGGGGGGCAGGCTGGCGGGGGAACTGGCGGTGCCCAAGGTGGGGGAGGGGGGGAGGGGGGGAGGGGGAAAAAATTATATAAGTGAAACAACGAGTCCCAATCCCGAATCCCGACTCATGCAGTGAGCGCATTCGGAGACACTATCCTAAAAACACGCAACCCAGAGACTTACCAATTGCTTGGGGGGGGGTAAGTAAGGAGTGGAGCAACTAGGGGGTTGGGGTGGGGGGTAAATAAAAGCTAAGTGCAGCAGCCATGCATGTGCGGCAAGTTGCTACCCCCCCATACACCCCTTCTTCATCCCGGGATGGAGGTTGCAACCCATCACGGTGCAGCCTGCATGTCACACGGTTGGGTGTTTTCCCCCTCCTCTTTACCCCCTCCCCACCTCCCTTCCCCTCCTCCCTCCCTCCCCCCTCCTCCCTCCCTCCCCCCTCCCCTCCCTCCCCTCCCCTCCCTCCCTCCTCCAAGACCCTGCACGGCCCTCTCTACAATGACGGCACCTTCGCCCCGGGAGCCGCCTGGGCCCCCGATGAGAGCGCGGTGGTGTATGTGGCGGAGGTGCGTGCGTGTGTATGAGGTGCGTGTTGTGCCATGGCGGTTTGGGCACGAACCCCTTCCATCCTTACCCTGTCCAAACCCCTCCCCCTTCCCCTCTTCCCCCCTCCCCCAGACCCCCTCCCCCGAGCGCACCCCTGCCTGGTGCGGCCCCGACTCCCTGCCCCCCGACGCCGCCGCGCCCCGCTCCTGGCGTGGGGTGGGTGGTGCCGCGGAGGACTGGGGCGAGCAGCACACCGGGCGGCGGGCGCCGGGGCTGTTCGTACTGGATATCAGCGGCAGGAGGGTGGTAAAGGTGGGGACTGGGAGGGGGAAGGGAGGGAGGGAGGTGGGGGGGGAATTATATAATAAATGCAACGACTAGAGTCCCAATCCCATATCCCGACTCACTCATGCAGTGAGTGAGGTGGGGGGGGGGGTAAGCAGGGGATTGCAGGCGGGGAGTTAGGGGGGAGACTGTGGTTAAGGGCGGGGGCTTTAGATCCTGTTGTTATCGGGTTTCACGGTCCCGTCGCCCTGCAGTAGCTCATGTACGGAGTCCCCTCGTCTCCCTGCCCCTCTCCCCCCCTCCCCAACACCCCCCCGTCCAACACCCCAACACCCCAACACCCCAACCTCCTCTCCCCCAGGTCCCCGGCCTGCCCGAGGACCATTCCTTCGGGCAGGCCGCATGGGGTCCCCCACCTCCCGCCGCCACCGTCACTCCTCCTGCTGCTGCTGCTGCCGCCGCCGCTGCTGCCGCCGCTGCCGCTGCCGCCGGGGAAACAGCTACCAGCCCCAGCAGCAGCAGCAGTCCCTGCAGACCTACGGAGGGGGCAGCGGCAGCGGTACCAGCAACACCAGCAACATCAGCAACACCAGCAGGCGGAGAAGCCATCCCGGCAGTGCCTGCAGTACCGGAGGAGGGGGTGGAGGCGGGCGAGGGCGAGGGCGGAGTGCTGTTGGGCAGTCTGGTGTGTGTGGCCTGGCCGCACCGCCCCCCGCCCTCCTTCCCCCGGCTGGCGGCGGGAGGGGCGACCAGGAAGCTCGGCATTGTGTTTTGCTACAACCGCTCGGCTCACTTGTACGGCATGGCTGTACGGCGGGGGAAGGATGGGTGAGCCGGGCTGGGGTTAAGAAGGGGGATGTGCCTCCGCGCATGGCACCCACGGCTGCTCCTGCAAGCACCTCTCCCCCCAAAAATCCCTTTCCCCTTCCTTACCCCGCCCCGCTCCTGCTCTGCTGCTGCACCCCCAAATCCCCCGCAACCTCCTTTGTGTATGTCGTACGCCCCGCAGGTCCCTGCTCTTCTCCCCCTCCTGCTCCCCCCGGCGTCTCGCCCCCTCCCTGGACAGCTGCCTGAGCCCGCTGTTCGCCCCCGGGGGTGACCACCTGGTGTTCCTGTCGCATCAGACGGCGGTGGAGACGGGTGAGGCGGGGGGGAGGAGGGGGGGAGGGGGGGGAGGAGGTACTGGGGCATGTAGCTACTGGGGGAGATGGGGGGAAGGGAGAGGGACGGAGGGAGGGGCCAGGAGGGGAGGTGAGCTCCTGGACTAAATGGATTGCCGAAGCCAGCCGAAGCTGTTGAGCAAGCTTGGTCAAACTCCCTTGGGAGAACCATCTACGTACGACATCTCCCCGCCATCTCCCGTGTGTGTTTGTGTACGACAGGCACCCACGGGGGTACGGCACGCTTGTACCGCCTGGACTGGTCACCCGAGGTACGGCTCCATGTGTAGTACAACGTGTGCAGTAGGGGGCCCATGGGTGTTTTGTCGTGTCCCGGCTGGTACGGACAACCTGTGCGCGCGAGTACAGATCGTAACTGTAACTGCATTCCTCCCCCTCCCTTTCCATGTTCCCCCCCTTTCCCCTGCCAACTCCTATCCCCATTGCTTTGCCCTAAGTTGTGGTCTCCTATGGTTTGGTATGGTCTTTGACCCCCCCTTCCCCCTCTCCCTCTTCCCAGTCCAAATCCCCAGTCCAAACCTGCTTTGCTCTGCCCTAACCCTGATCCTAACCTGTGATTCCCTACGGTATGGTGTTTGACACCCCCCCCATTCCCAGTCCTGCGCCCCCGCCCGAGAGGAGCCTCAGCTGCTGGTGGAGGTGGTGGAGCGACCCGCGGGTCACCTGCCGGGGGGCGGCGCCTTCCCCGGCCTCTACACAGCCAACCTACCGGAGCAGGGGTTCGTAGGTAAGGGTGGGGTTGGGGGCGGGGAGTGGGGGTGGGGGTGGGTGCGTATGTCCGATTGGTTGCATGTACCGGTTTCCTACTACCGTACTACCGGTAACTACCGGTACGATAGTTCGCTCTGCCTCAGCCCCCCATGACCGCCGCATGTCATGGTGTCAGCACGGGAAGTACTCTCCCCCTTTGGGGTTGCCCCACTAGAAAACCCTCAACTTACTCTCTCCCCTCCCCTCCCCGTCCCTCCTCCCCCCTGCCCCCCCCCAGGCCCCCACACGCTGCTGCTGAACACCCAGTGGGGTGCGGTCAACACCGTTGCAGCCGTGGACACATCCCCCCCGCCCTCACCCTCCTCTCCGCTGCCACCTCCCACCCCCCTCACACCTGTTCCTAGCACCAGCAGCAGCAGCACCACCACCACCCTGGCTAGCTGGACGCTGCTGGGTGCAGGCGGGGGGTGGTTGGTGGCGACCCGGGCGGCGCCTGACAGGCCACCGGAGGTGTACGTGGCGAGAATGCCGGTGAGGGGGGTCAAAGACCATACCAAACCATAGGAGACCACAAGTTAGGGGGGGGGAGGGAAGTGGGGGGGAAATGTAGTGACAATGGAAGGCAATCACAAGAAGATGCAGGTGTATGGGTCTCGCCCGCATCCTACGTTAGCACCCTCCCCTCCTCCCGCTTGTTTGCTAGCATCATTAAACACTTTGGGATCTTCTTTTCCCGTTGTTTCACATATTTAATTTTTTCTCCCCTCCCGCCCCCCTCCTGCCCAGTCCGACCCCACCCGCCTCACCTGCCCCTCCGCCGGCCCGCAATCCCTCCGCTGGCGACTGCTGGATGTGGGCAGTCCGGGTGTGACCAGCCTGCGGGGGCCGCCCCCGCCTGCTGCCGCCGCTGCTGCCGCTGCTGCTGCTGCTCTTGGGGATGCTGCTAGGGCGGAGGGCGTGTCGGCGACGGCTGGAAGTTCAGTTGCTGCTGTTGCTGCTGACGTCATCAGCGGCGGCAGCGGCAGTGGCGGCACCACAACCGGGGCGCTGTACGGCGATCTGCCTGTTGTCGTACGGGAGGCGTTACAGGATCTTGAATACCAGGTATGTGTATGTGCATTGCGATAATGTACGGCAGTTGTGTTTTGCTAAGGTCTACAATGTGTTTGCGGGACCGTGTGGGTGTGCCGTACTTTGCAGCGTTGTGGTACTACGGGCGTTGCCGTACGTTGCCCCCCGCAGAATCCGACGCACCCAGTGACCCATGGGTCTGTCCCCCCTCCTTCCACCTTCCCTCACCCCGCCCCCCTCATCCCCCTTTCTCCCCCCCCCCCAGGTGCTGTCCGTGATCCCCCGGGAGGGCGGCAGTGACCCCTTCGACTGCCTCGTGTGGGCGCCCAGGAGCAGGCGGGGTGAGGGGGGGGTGAGGGGGGGGGAGTTTTCTCATCCTGTTACATTGCAAACGTCTCGTATCCGTTCCCCTTCCTAACCACCTCCCTTCCCCTCCCCGGTCTGCACTGACCAGCTCACGACGTCTGATGACGCTGTACAACCCCACCACTGTAACCCCTCCCACCCACCCTCTTCCCAGGCCCCCTCCCTGCCGTGCTGCTCCCCCACGGCGGCCCCCATGTCGCCGTCACCCTCTCCTGGTTCCCGCCGTACGCCTACCTGGCCGCACTCGGGTATGTCGTACTGGCGCCCAACTACCGCGGCAGTTCGGGGTACGGGCAGGCGGCGCTGGCGGCACTGCCCGGGGCCATCGGGAGGAGGGACGTGGGGGATTGCATGGCGGCGGTGCAGGCGGCGGTGGAGGCGGGTGAGAGGCAGGGAGGGAAGGGTAATGGGGGTAAAAAATGGGGGTAATGGGGGAAGGGATGGAGAAACCAGGTGATGGTGTTGGTTGGCGTTGTGTGTGTTCTGTGTGCGGGTAGGGATGTAGGGGTGTGGGAGGCGGGGATGGGTCAGAGGGTTCACGGAGTTGTTTGGTGTTTGTGTATGTGGTTTTTTGACGTATCCCCCCTCCCCCCTCCCCCAACTTGTATCATTATCACACCACACTTTGGAATTTCTTTTTCCCCCCTCCCTCCTCCCTCTCCCCCCCTCAGGCCTGGTTGACCCCAGTCGCGTGAGTGCGGTGGGCGGCTCCCACGGCGGCTTCCTCACAGCGCACCTGCTGGGGCAGCACCCGGACAGGTTCAGGTGGGGGGGGGAGTGCAAGGAAACTGACGGGGGGGGTAAAGAGGAAACAACTAACTGACTGAGGTATAAGGCGTCAACATGGGTTGCAACATGTGAGCCAGCCCGACCCGCCCAGCCCGAAAGAGCGAAGCCAGTACGTGTAATGCACTTACCAGAAAATTGAAGACTTACCGAAGCCAGAGCGAACAGGGATAGGGAGGTAGAAAGTAGCGTCGCCAGTATACATCGAGGTAGCCAGCAGCCGCGCCGACGGTCCGTAGGGAGCCAACTAGAACACAACCGCACACACAAAGAACAGACCCGAAACAACTAGAGACCGGGTTTGTACGGTTTGGGTGACGTTGTACGGGTATTCAAAACTTGGTCCTAATTTACATGTTCTCCCCTTCCTCCCTCCCTCCCCCACCTCCCAGGTGCGGGGTGGTTCGCAACCCGGTCACCAACCTCTCCCTCATGGTGGGACTCAGCGACATACCCGACTGGTGCTTCGTAGAGGCTCTGGGGAGCGAGGTAGGGGGGGGGGGAAATAATAATAAGACACTAACGATGCGGGGGGGGAGGGGGGGTGACATGAGGCGGAGATGGAGGGCGGCGAGGTATGGTCTACCGTACCTTCACGATATCATCGCGCAAAAAAATAATTATTTCGGAAAAAGCGCATTTCGCGCAAAATAAAATAATTGCTAAGAGGGGTGCGAAACTGGGGAAACCCCTCGGGACCGTTCCCCGCACCTCCAACATGTCTCAGCACTCCGTCAGCTCCGCTGCCCAGCCCCGGGCTGCATGCTAGTATGCCCCATGGAACACGGTAGCGGTATTTTTAAAGCTGTCTTGGCGATCTGGGCTTACATGGATGGGTCCTTAAAGTCAAAACACAGTGGTGGGCACGAGCTGCGCGAAGTTGAGAAATAATTCCTGACACCCCTGCGCGAGCTTGAAAAATAATTCCATTTAATGGGGCTGCGCGATGATCACGCGAAGGTACGGTGTTTTGAACACCCCCTCCCTTTGGATTTTCACCTCGGTCCAGTACCCCCGCTCCCCCGGCCCCTCCCCCTACCTCATCTCCTATTCCCTTCTCCTCTCTCCTGGTTTCCCACGGTTTGGTTCTACCTACTTCTTTAATTCGTTCTCCGGCCACTCCCCCTGCAGGAGGGTCGCCGCCGCGCCAGCCCGCTGCCCTCCCCCGCCGACCTGGCCGCCCTCTTCGCCGCCTCCCCCGCCGCACACGCGCACGCCGTAACTGCCCCGCTGTGCATGATGCTGGGGGCGCGGGACCGGCGCGTGCCGCCGCCTGACGGGCTGCAGTTCCTGGCTGCAGTGCGGAGCAGGGAGGAGGGGCAGGCGGGGGCGCCACCCACCCGCCTCATCGTGTTTCCCGAGGTGCGGGGGAGGGCTCGTGGCGAGGGAGGGGCGGCGCGTGCGCGCCCCCAGTTTCCTTACTTTTACCTCTCTCCCTCCCTTCCCACTCCCCCCTCCTGCTCAGGACTCTCACGGACTGGACAAACCGCAGACGGAGTTTGAGAACTGGATCAACATCGCCTGGTGGCTCAAGATGTACGGAGGGGCGGAAGGAGGAGGCAGTACGGCAGCAGGGGAGGAGGAGGGGCATGGTGGGAAGGAGGAGAGGGAGAAGGAAGCTGGGGGAGCAGCATCAGCAGCCACCACTGCGGTGGCGCAGTGAGCAAGGAGTGCTGGGCGGCACACGGGCGAGGGGGGGGGGGGGCAGGGGGGCAGCAATACAGCGATCCAAGGCTGATGAGAGGGGGGGGGGGAAATTATAGATAAGTGCAGCAAGGGAGTCCTAATCCGAGAGGGGGGATGAAGAGGAAACATCCAACTAGCCGTGTGATAAGGCTTCTATTATGCTTTGCAGCGGTAGGTGGGTGGTCGGTTGGGGTGTTGTTTGGTCTGTTACACTAAGCCGGCCACATACACTGACACAGTGTGTTGGGGGGAGTATACATGCTGGAGACATGCTGGCAGTGCTGTGAAGCCGCGCGGCGCGAAAAATCGGTTGTTCGTGTTGCTGGTTTTGTGATCTGGGCGCCACTGTTAACACACGGCGTGAAACCGCGAGCATAGACATGTGTGTCACCAGGCATGTGTCCAAGGAAACTGGCCGCGAGTGTGCCTGCGTGCGTGTGCTGCTTCGAGCACGGCATCTCAGTGATGGCAGTAGGGTACATCTTAGAAAGGAAAGAACATTAAGTTGCACAGCGTCTCATTAGTACCCCGGCATATCGCGGGGAGTAGGGTATCACATACCCTACACCGCTTGCCCTACCATTTAGTACCGCTTTCTTCTTACCGCCTACCTGGGCATCCCCCACCAACGACTGTGCAGGGGCCAGAGGTATGCGCCATTGCTGCCTTTGGCGGGCATTTAGGGGCCCTCAGTAGCTGCTTTAACTGGCAACATGAAGGGCTGGATCGTTGCCACGCACACATCTGACTGCCACGCACCAGGCTCTGCATCGCCAGTACGGCTTGGGGCGCGTTCTCGGGAGGCGCAACGCCGTTCTGGCCATCACGGAATCCTCCAAAGAAGGTCGTGAAAGTCGGGAAAGCTGCATGGAGAGCAGGGGGGTCGCCATGCACAGGTGGCAGGGATCGGGTAAATGACGATGTTCACTTCCCAAGAGCAAATCCGTCAAAGAGGTGCGTTCGTCATGTATGGAGTGGGGATATGTGCTGTGGCAACCTAGGAACGTGTAATCACGCATACACTACTGCTAACATGCTCTAAGACGTCACGCCCAGCAGAGACGGCACGCATCCATGTGTGGCTACCCACCCGCCCTCCGCGCTCGAGTGCCGGGCTGCGCTCCCACACACCACCTGCCCGACCGTGCCAGCCCAGTTCACGAAGTTCACATGCAGCCAGCTGTACAGCGCTGCACAGCGCCATCAGCTTTCACACACCCACAGGCTTTCGAGGTTGCGGCGGCGGCGAAATAGAGCAGCAAAGGAAGGGCATTTGTCGATTGGAGGCATTCCATTAATACCTACCTGACTGCTGCTGCCGCCCTGCTTCACCCAATTACATGATGCATCTAACACTCGTACAGCGCTTGCTATTCGTACAGCGTCTCGTATACCGGTATCTGTCGTACAGCCCCTCATCTAGGTTGTTGGGTGTACCCGCGCCCAGCCCTCATAGAGTACAAATACAGTACAACAAAAAGGTATAGCAGTCAAGGTTGCAAATAATATTGAATGGCCCATGCACTGCAACATGCACCGATTGTACGGCAAGACCTGCTTTGCTATACGGCAAGACCTGCTTGGCAGCATACACCCACAAACACCTGAACAACGCTGCTGTCACATGCAACCAGGGAAACACGCAGAGGACTTCAGTGGGGGCGGCACACTGCCGGTGTCTTCAATGTAGGCCCCATGTTGCTTTGGGGACAACCAACGCTGCGACCCTGCATGATACCGTAGCATGATGGCCGCAGCAGGACGCCCCCATATCCATGTACCCGCGCTGACTTCGTAGCCGTGTCCCGTACTGGCAGCCCGTACGTACTCGCCGCCCTTCCCTATCCCCCTTGCTATCCCCTTTCCTCCTATCCCCTTTGCTTTGGTTTACAGCTCCTCCCCACCACCCTCACGTTTGACGCCCCCCATCCCCCACCCGCCCCCGCTTCTCTGCCGCCTCCGCCTCCTGCTGCGGCCCCCTGCCTCCCTCCTGCAAGACTGCCTCCCACGCGCCCGAGGCCCCCACCGCCTCCGCCGCCGCCACTGCAGCAGTGGCTGCCACCGCCGCAGCCGCTGCTGCCTTGGCTCCCCCGGCATGAGTCGCCGCTGCTGCCCCTCCCGCCGCCACCGGTACTGCGGTGGGCAGCACTGTCCCCGCCAGTGGTGTGGCCACTGCTCCCGGCGCCTCTGCTGCTGTCGGGATCGTCGCCGCCCCTCCTGCTGCTGCCCCTCCTCCTCCTGCTGCTGCCGCTCCTGGTGCGCCCCTTGCAGCCGCTGCCATCCAGCGCAGCAGGCGGGAGGGGTGGTCGGTGCACAGCGCGGCGGCCCCCGCTGCCGTACACGCCTCGAAGGTGGCCTCGTCGTTGATGCCACCGAACAGTACGACGGAGACTCCCCTGCCGTACATGTCAGTGGGCGGAGGGAGGTCAGGAGGGAGCCTCAGGGCGTGTACGTTTATGCGTGTGCAGAAAGCTGGCTCCGAATCGGAACGTACTGTGAATGCCGGAAGATGGAGTCTGCGGTTCTCCGTTCAACAGGGAATGGTACGAGGTGCTGGTCTGAAACACGCAAACACCTAGTCAGTGGCTTCGATTTACAGGTGCAGAACACGCACCTGGAGTGGAGTTCCCGAAAGAAGTCGGGTAGCAACAGGCTAGGGCGCCACCAGGCTCCTTCGGACGCATAACCGAAGCGCCAAGGTATTATCATAGCGCTCTCGTAGATGTGCACGTCCTTTAGCCGACCAGCAGAATGTGCAGCGAGTAGCAGAAAGGCACGAGGGGCAGATGTGAACAGAGGAATGCTTGGGTTCGCGGCATACAGGGCGTTGCTGGTGGTGTGAATGAAGCTGCCCCAGAGCACCAGACGCTCGCGGCGGTACTCTCTTACAAGGTCGTTCACGACATTGACCAGCTGTTGCGAGGGGACTTTAAGGTCAATCTGGATGGGTATGCTGGGATGGGCCTCGAAGACTTCGCGAAGAAGCGGGATTCGTAAATCATCTTCGTCAGAGTTGTGCTGATGTACCAAAGGCTTAAGGCTGCCTTGGCTGGAATGGGCACAGCCCAGTCTAGGCAAATCCTTGTAACTGAAGTCAGCAATGCGCTTTCCCTTAAAGCCTGGCCCACAAAGCCGTCCTAGCTCACGGTCATGGAAAACAGCTGCTTGACCGTCACGAGTAAGCTGCACGTCCAGCTCCAGCAGGTCGACACCGAGAGCGACAGAATTGCGAAATGCGGGCAGCGTGTTCTCTACGAAGCGGTGCCCAGCTGCGTTGGTTTCAAGGTTGCCACCACGGTGGCTGTACACATATATTGGAAAGCTTATGGGAGGCGTCTGTTTAGGCAGCTGTCCGTTGGCTGACGGGAAAGGGCAACGGGAAGGCGCGGACCAAGCGAGATAGCGGTAGGCTAAACCCGCAAGTATAGATGTCATCCTGTACTTCGCGTTGAAATCGCTTTCTGACATAGTCTCCTTCAGCAATCTTTGACTGCTGCTCAGAAACGCTAACCGTCAAGCCAGCAGTTTCGCCGTACAAACCTACAACCGCGTCTGATCATGATGTAAGCGACCCAGTTGACAAAGGCCTCATGGGCGTCCGACCACCGCATGTTTGCGCCGCAGACGCAAGCCCCGCAGTTAATCATCTGCACACTCGCCCACCATACTTCAACCCGGCGCCCCGCAATCCACGGGTCACGTGTGAGCAGTCCGTCGATACCCTCAGAAGTGGTACTATCGCTTCAGTAGGATCTCACCGAAGAGCTTACCAGCCTTGCTTTGCCTCTCCTAAGCCAGTGGTGATTCTCTCTCCCTCTTCTCTACAACTCGTCAGTTTCCTTTTTACCCTCTTCTCTTCATCATCATCAGCAGACTCCTCTCCTACACGATATCCCCAACACCCAGGCTCTTAAGCCCCAATCACTCGACCCCCAACCGAATGACCATCCAAAGCTGCGCGCCTTTCCCCCCAACCAACAATCACAACCACCCCAACCACCACGCATTGGGTATTCCTCTTTTCCCCTCCCTCCCTCTCCCCCATGACGCCTTATCACACAGTCAGTTACCGTAGCTGTTTCCTCTTCTCCCCCATGCCACACTACGCCCGCAACGGCTGCAGGTCCGCCCCGCACCTCCGCAGGTAGGCTCGCAGGCGGGAGGGCGTGTCGGTGGCGATGGCGTTGGCGCCCGCACGCCTGGGTGGGAGCAGCATACCGGTGCATAGGGGGGTGGCGGGGGATGCGCGGGGGATGTAGGAGCATGTGAGGCTGCCGGCTGTGTAGCTGCCGGCTCCTGCCGCCCACCTGAGAGCCCGTCGCCCCCCCCCCACGCATGCCGCCACACCCTACCCAACCTCACCCCAACTGTGTTTTGCTGTCCCCAGCCCTCCTCCCCCTCTACCCCCCTTACCACCCCACACACTCCCCCCCTCCGCCTCCCCACCTGCACGCCTCGAAGCGCCCCTCCTGGTTAAGGCAGCCGAACAGCACCACCGCCACCCCCCGCGCATTCAGAGCAGCAAACCAACCCGGATCCGTGAAGTAGTACGTCAGCCGTACACCCCACCCGCTGCCGCTGCGGCTGCTGCTGCTGCTGCCGCTGCTATTATCCCTGTCGCTGCTATCACCGTTGCTGTTATCGCCGCCTCTTCCGTCATAGCTACCCCCGCTGCCGCCCCTGCTGCTTCCCTCCCCCCCGGCCTCCTCTTCCCGCAACCGCCGCGGCACTGCCAGCTCCGCGAGGTGCAGGCGCCAGGGCACCACCACCGCCGACTCGTAGATGTGCAGCCAGCGCAGGAGACCCAGCTTGTAGGCGGCCTGAGGAGGGGGGAGTAGGAGCCCGGGAGAGGGGGAAGGGCCGGAGCATGAGAGGTAAGGGGAAAGGAAGCAGGGGTTGTGGGGTCAGGGCAGAAACCCCATGAGGTGCCGGGTGAATGCCACGTCAGACGGAGGACTTCCGGGCTATAAGGCGCCACTTTGCACCGCCCATTACAGCAATCTGCAGCAGTCGTTCGAGGGCTTACGAAGCCATCCTCTCCCCTCACCTCACTTTTCATTCCTTCGCTCCTCATTTCTTTCGCCCCTCACCTCCCTCACCCAAACCCTTCGCTTTCTCTTCCCCATGCAATTTGTTAGTCCTTCCTGTTCACCCCCCCCCACTACTGGCTTGGCTCATTCGGGCTGGGCGGGTCGGGCTGGCTCACATGTTGCAACCCATGTTGACGCCTTATCCCTCAGTCAGTTAGTTGTTTCCTCTTTACCCCACCCCCCCTCACACCTTATCACACAGTCAGTTATTTGTTTCCTCTTTACCCCCCTTACCCCCCTCACTCTCACCAGCATCACCAGCGCTCGTTGCATGGATGCGAACAGCGGCAGGCCGGGGGCTGCAGCCAGGCAGCGGGCGGCGGTGCGCTGCGTGAAGGAGCCCCACAGCAGTCGGCGGGGGGGAGGAGGAGGAGTGGGAGGAGGAGAAGGCCGGAGGTTGGCGGGGTGGTGGAGTTGGGGTTGATGTGGGGCAGGTGGGGCGGGGTGGGCGGGGGGCGAGGGGACGAGGGCGGGGGGCGGGAGGTGCTGCTGCGGGAGGTGCGGGTGCTGCTGCCGCTGCGCCAGGTGCACCACTGCGGCCACCAGGCGCGGGTCATCCACCTTGAGATCAACCTGGGGGCGGGGGGGGGCGGTGAGGAGGGGGGGAGGGGGAAAAGAAGAATACCCAATGTGTTTGTGTGACAGTGAGCGGTGAGGGAGGAGGGGGTGAGGAGATAGGAGGGGTGGGGTTGCCGGTGTACGGCACGTGCGTCACCCTCCCTCACCCATACCCACCCAAACCACCTGCAGTACCACCCCCCCCCTCCCGCTTTCCCCGCTCCCCCACCTGCACGGGAACCCCCGGGAACATGTCAAACACCTCCGACAGCAGTGGAATGCGGTCGTACTCCTCCGCCGCCGCCGCATCCCCACCCTCCAGCTCGTAGCCATGCCGTACAGCACCGGTAGCAGCAGCGGCGGCAGCAGCGGCGGCAGCACTGGCTGCTACATCCGCCAGACGCCCTACACCAGCACCCCCACCCGCCTTCTCGCCTCCATCCAAGCCGACCCGGTATTCATGACGCAGCGCCTCTTCCCCGCCGCCACCGGCACTACCACTGCCATGTTGCTCCTGCTGCCGCTGCTGCTGATGCTGATGCTTCCAAAGCTCCTGCTCCTGCTGCTTACATAGCTGCCACTGCTGTTGCTGCCACTGCTGCGCCACCGGCGGAGGTGAAGGGGGTGACGGTGGCAGCGACGACTGCGGCGCCTGCACTGGATGCATCGCCGTCGCCATCACCGCCCCTGCCGACGGTGGCTCGAACCAGCAGTGAACCTCCTCACGTAGCCCCGAAAGAGGTTCTGCTGCTGCCGTACCGCCACCACCCTCCCAACGGTTACCGTTAGCCACGCCGTTACGGTTAGCGGTTAAGACCGTTGGACTAACGGTCCTTTGGCGGTCGTACCCGCATGATGATGCTCGATGGCGGGTGCAGTAATGGCGACGAATGGCGTGGTGTAGCAGCAGACCCTGCTGAGGCTCCCCGCTACTGCTGGTGGTGGTGCTGCTGATGATGTTGCTGCCTACCTTGCAGTTGCTGCTGGTGTGGCAAAAGGAGTTCACCCCACTGGTTTCACCGTTACCACCATCACCACCACCGCTGCCTCGCCAGTCATCGTCAGCTGTTCCCCGAAGGCAGCACCCGGGGGAGTGGGGGCTACTACCACCGCTGCTACCGCTGCTGCTACCTCCGCTGCCACCGGGGCTAGCCGCACGGTTGACGTTGGGGCCGCTGCTGCTACTGCCATTGCTGCTACTGTCATTGCTGCTGATGCTGCTGTCCCTCGCTAGGATGACAGTACTCACACCATCACCGCTGCGGCCGCTGCTGCTCCTGCTGCTCTTGCTGTTGCCGCCGCCGCAGCAGCAGTTGCCGCTTCCCTTGTTGCCCGGACCATCAAGACCATCACCGGGTGCAGCAGCGGTGTCTGCTGCCTCCCCGCAGCCACCACCACTGCCACTGCCACTGCTACAAACCGGCGAGGGCTGCGCAGATGATACAACAGGTAATGGCGACGACGCACACGTACCCGCCGTACAAAGGCTGTGCTGTCGTACAACCACAATCTCCCCTAGCTCAACGCTCCTCTCCTCACTGCCCTTCACCGCAATGCATGGCAGGGTTGGAAACATACCTCCGTGTCGTACGGGGCTGCCTGCGTCACCCTCCTCACCCGCCTGCGCCGTACGACAGTCCTCATCCACGCCTCGGCAACCGTTCGTACTGTCGTACATATTGCCACTACAGATGCCTTTGTACGAAGTACGGTCGGCGATCTGGATAGCCACGTGGCAGGTACCCCTGCAACCGCCGCCGCTGCTGCTCCTGCCGCTTCTGCTGGCGCTGCTAGCTGGCTTTGCCGACCTGCCAAGCTGCAACGGCCACCACCACCACCGCCGTACCGTTAGACTGCAACCACCACAACGCACGACGTCAGTCGCATCCATGCTGCTGCTGCCACTGCCGCCACCACCATCCACCCTAGCCGCGTCCTCCTCCTCCTTTCCGCCCTCCTTCTCCCTCCCCTTCCCCCTCTTCCCCTGCCTGCTACCGCAGTAGATGCTGTCAGGGGGTTGCGGCCGCAGCCTGGGCAGCTGGCTGAGGCGCAGGTCGGCCACCCGCACCCCGCGGAAGGGCGGCCCGCACATGCGGCCCAGGCAGGAGTCGTGGAACACCACCACATGGCCGTCGCGGGTGAGCTGGGGAGGGAGGTGGGCGGGGAGTTGAGGGAGGAGGGTGGGGGGAGAAGAAAAACACATGTGTGGAGGAGGGTGGGGGAGGGGAAGGGAAGCTGCATGCGTTCTGCAATGCGTCCTGCCCCGCCACCACCCCGCTCTCCCCTCCCCTCCCTTCTCCCCTCCTCTCCCACCTGAACATCCAGCTCTAGGAGGTCCGCCCCCACGGCCACGCTGTGACGAAACGCCTTTAAGAAGCCAGCAGAGGGGAAAGGTGGCGGCAGCGGTGGTAGTAGTAGTTGTGCATACCGGCAGCGGCAGGGCGGCAGGATCAGCAGGGGCAGCGATGGGGGATGGCAGGGAGCAGGGCAGCATCGTCATCGCAAGCAGCAAACAGCAAGAGGCATGGGCAAAAGACCCGTTGGGGAAAGGAGTAGACATGCAGTCACAGCTGCCTTGCGTGGTAGGACAGCTATTAAACTCCGTCCCAAAACCCAATCGCTCCATTCCCGTACAACCTAAGAGGCAGTCCAACAATTGGTCTTATAGGTGCCGGAGGGGGGACCAAGCTGCCCATGCATGCATGCATGCACAGCACGCGGCAACCCCTCGCAGCCACTCACCGGCTACCGCACCGCCCCTACTGCACCAACATCACACATACATCTGGCAAACCCGCCGGTAACAGGCCTCACCGTCAGAGTGTTTTCGATCAGGGGCAGACCGTGCAAGCAGCCGTAGCAGCTGCAGCACCCCGCTTGCAAGGAGGTTTCTGGGGAACCTGCTGCTGGTGCTGCTGCTGGTGCTGCTGGTGGTGCAGTGGTGGGAGCAGTCATACCGGCTGCAACAGCCATGGGAGCAGGTGCCGCAGGTGCTGCTGCTTGTGCCACAGCTGCTGCTGCTGCTGCTGCAGGTGATGCGGGTGTTATGGGATCCATGGGCGGTGGAATTGATGGTGCCGCCGTACAGCCGTACGACGACGAGCGGTCCAGGCAGCCTCCTCGGTGGCTGTACACGGCAATCGGGAAGCAAATGGGCGGTGTGGGTCGCGGTGTGGGGCCTAGCTGGTCAGGGCGGAGGAGGAGGCGCTGGGGCTGTTGACCCTTCAGGCTTCCACCGCCGCATGTGCTGGCGAGTACAGGGGTTGCTGGCGCATTTGCTGTCGTACTCATTTTCGCCTCCGCCTCCGCCCTTCCTCCAGTCTCCGCCGCCGCCGCCGTGGCTGCCTCCGCGGCATCCCCCTCGTCCTCAGCCGCCTCCGCCTCCGCTGCTGCTGCCGCTATTGCTGCTGCTGCTGAGGCTGGGTCGGCGGGTCGGCGGCGGAAGGCAGTTCCGATAGGGTCGGGCCCCAGCAGCAGCGGGTGCAGCAGCAGCAGGTAGAGCAGCATGCCCGAGTAGAAGAGCAGGGACCAGACCGCCTGGAGGGGAGAGGGCCGGGGGAGGGGGAGGTAGAGTGTTATCACAAGGGATGGGGTGGGGGAGAGCTGGGAAGAAGGGAATGGAGGAACATGGAACACGGGTTTGCAACCCGGCAACGCAGCGAAGCAACAGCATGGCAGCGGGAGCAACGTGATAGGCTACATGAGGTGTCTGCGCCATGCGGTGCAAACCTGGAAGCCAGCGAAAACTGGGTTCACAGCAGCTTCTACCGGGGTAGCTCCGTCCATGCAAGCATGTGTGTTAAAATAACTGGCCGCGAGGCGAAACGTACTGTGATGTGTGCATGTGTGTGTGTGTGCAGGCAGGGCACATGTGCCGGAGCGGCCACCCACCAAGAGGGGGCGGGCCAGCGGCGAGCGAAGCCAGGGTGAGTGGTTGGACAGCTCAACTACCATGGCGATCAACCGTCTGACGTGTGTGTGGGGTGGGTGGGTGGGTGTGCGGCGCTCCCAGCCTCTTCCCCGATGTGGAGTGTGTTACAGAAGTAGGACCTTTGTGGCCGGTTAGATGGGTGGGCGAGTGGGCGGGTCTCGCCGGGGGAGCTGGGTTGTGGCTTCGCGCCAAGGCCGACCTCCCAAATATGAACTGTTGGATGCTAAGGCCGAACGGGCTAGTGGTACGGCCGCATGCCGCACAATCAGCCGTGGGATGACCCGGATGCCGAGCCGACCCGTGGGTCAGTAACGCATTTGATGAGGGCTCCGAAGCCGTGCTGCGCCGTGCTGCTTAGTGCTGAGTTTACAATTCCTGGAGAGCAGAAGGAGTAAGGACGAGTGGTTTAAGGTTTTGTTGTACTGGTAGTTGCCTCTCGTTTGAGATGCAGATTGAAGTTGCAAGCTTGTCAGCAGTTGCAAAGAGCACTGTGGACTCAACGCTATCTAGCACATTCGTACGTTTCAAGGCGCCCGATTCCATTCCTTACCTAGCCCGGAACAACGAGAGACGCGAAAGCAACTTCCGTTATTGATTGTTGTTGGAAGATTTCCCACAATGCGGTAACCGCCTAAACAAGATCAAGGCGGCAAAAGGCTGTGCAAGAAAGCGCGGTACTATGCTAGCGACGATTGCTGGCAAGTGGCACCGCAGGACAGCCGTCAGTCATGCAACCTGGTAGCTACTGAGCGAGCGGAAGCTGTCATGCCTGGCACCACAGACGGATGGATGCCTTTGCGTCAACACAAGAGATGCCTTCGTGTCATCTGCGGATGCTTTTGTTCTGGGCTAGCACCTCCAATGCTGCGATAATGTCGAGATGCGAACGTGATGTCGAGTCCCCGTGTATGACTCTATTTCTCCCATTCGTAGTCGTTCGTAGGGATATCCCAGATCCGCATATTCAGTGGTTTTAGCACTTGCAAATGCATAATCGGCAGTGTCAAGGCTGCCGAGCCATGATAACGGCCACAAGCAAGTTGTAAAGCAAAATCCGGCAAGCTAGTGCCCCACGCCATTGCCTGCAGCAGCTGGCATGGCATCCTGCGATCGTTCGTAGAACCGTGTCAAGAGGAACACCCGAAAGTCATGTAACCTGCTGCCTATGTAACCAATCTCTCTCTCCAGTCAAGTCTGCAACCCCTACACCCTTGTCAAGGGACGTCGGCCGTGTTGGCTCCGTGCCCCACCCAGCTACATATGCCCCTCCGCCTCAACACCTCGTGCTGTCTGCTTCCTGCTATAACCAGCGTGCCGCCACCGTCACATGGAGAGCACAAAAGCGGCCCTACGGCTCCTGTAAGCAAATCCTCAGAAACACCTACCCACTATCCTATCCAACCACGAACAAAGCGTACCTGGCAGCCAGTCAGCCAGCCATTCCGCCTGGTTAGTCATGGCCATGCGGCCGCAATCTCCCCCACCCCCACGCAGTCACAGCAACACATACACACACGCACAGCCCGCCTAAACTCTTACACACCTAATCCCTCCCGGGAACACAGCCACGGCCCCACAGACCCCCGCCTCCACCACCGTGAAGTGCCCCGTCGCCGCAGCCGCCTCCACCTCAGACGTCCTCCGCGTCCCCGGCCACCGCATCCGACCTGACGGCGGCCACGATGGGCACCGTGACGTCCACACCGCGGCGCTGGCCGCCCATGTCCACCCCCTCCAGCTCCTCCTCCTGGTCCGCGGCGGACACGGCGGCGAAGGCGTCCGAGGGCACGCTGTACACGCGGAGGAGCTCCTTGTTGGGGTCCTGTGGGAGGCACCGGAATGCGGGGAAGGGGTACGCGGGTAACCAAACAGGAGTTAGTGAGGTGGCAATAGGGAAACGTCAGGTTGCACGTCAGGGAAGCGCTTTCCTTTTCCTTTCCCCTTCCATCCCCACCCAGCTCCTTCCTTTTCCCTTCCCTTTCCCACCTTGACCAGCAGGTATGCCCCCTCCTCCAGCCCCAGCAGCATGTCGCAGAGCGCCCGTACAATGCCCCAGCAGTTGTCCATGTCGAGGCTGATGGAGCGGGCGGCGTCGCGGGGCTTGAGAGCCTGGGGGGAGAGGAAGGAGAGGAGGGAACAGAAGAGGGGGGCGTGTTGGTCTGGTCTGTTTTTCAACAGGAAAAGACTATACCTAATGGGGAAGTCGTAGCGTGCGTGACATGGATGGCGCAGTGAATGCTGAAGAGAAGTGGCGGATACCGCGGTGCGGTTAGCGGGTAGCGATGGGAACAGGGAAGCAATGGGCTCAGGTCTTCCTATGGGTCCTCAGCACGGCCGGGATCTGTTGCCCGGATCTGTGATTGCTAGGAGATGATGTCGTTAGGGATTATCGTCACTGCCCGATGGATGCAGCATCACGGCAAGCATGCGCGCATAACTGCGAAATGATGGACAACGGCACAGAAGAGGTGCGGAAGAGGGGCTGTGCAATCATGCGGTGCTACCGGGACAGCCATGTCTACAACGGAAGCAGGGGCTCAGGTCTTCCTATGGGTCCTCAGCGCGATGGTTCGCGTTTGCTAGGAGGTGATGTCGTTAAGGGATATCGTCAACGCCCCGAGCAATCAAGCATCGAACATCACTTAAAAGATCTAATGAGAAAAGGAGGCGAGCGCATGCAAAGGAAGCTCAAGCATGGAAACAGAGAGACCGGTAAGCGGCATCTGTTGTGGCAAATGCTTCAACGGCGGAAAGGGCTCAGGTCTTCCTATGGGTCCTCATCACGGCATGGGTACTTGACCACATTGCCTTGTTAATAGGAGGTGATGTCGGTAAGGATTATCGTCAACGCCCCAGGCAATCAGGAACTGTGCTGTACAACCTTGTGCGCACATACCCCGCAAGACCGCTCACGTGCGCCAAACACATGCAACCCTGATTGCAACCATGATCGGGACAAACACCGTACACACATACACACGCGTTCCGACTCGTGACTCGCGGCCAGTGTTCTCAGCACACCCACCCACCCACACCCCGCCCATGTGCTTACGTGCATGGCCAGCACGACGTGGTTGGACACGTCACGCGGCGTGGCTCGCGACACGAAGCCCAGCTTGATCTGGTCGGCCCCGCTGAGCAGCGCCGAGGCAGTCCACTTGGCCACCTGGTGGGAGGGGAGGGGAACAAGAAGGCCCAATGGGTTGATTGATAATGGCAAACTAGGTGACAAGCCCCTGGTACAGGGGTGATGGTGTAGGGCGAGCAGGTGGACGGGGTGGGGTGGGGAAAAAATTAAATATGTGAAACAACGAGTCCCAATCCCATATCCCGACTGGTGGGGAAGGGCAGGTTGGGGTGTGCAAGGGGTAAGGGGCAACCAACTGAAGGCAACCAATCCTCCTCAGCACCGCCTTACCTTGAACTTGTTGTTCTTGGTTTCCGACAGCAGTACGGCGCCCTTCTGGTTCTCCAAGCGCTTGCGGTAGTCCTGTGTTCGTGGGGGAGGGGGGCACAGGATGAGATGCCATACCATATACAGCATGCCCATGCTAGTTACTCAATCAGGGCCCGCTGTTACCACCGTCGGCATGTGCTCTAGTAAACAACACCCAGTTCCTGGCTCACACACACACACACACCTGGCTCTTCATGTCGTACTCGTTGAGCGCCTTGATGAGCACCGTCTGCGGCGCGGCGCCCTCCGCGGTGCGCAGAGCTCCGTCCACCTCGCACCGCACCACGATCTCGGGCGCGTCGGCGCCGCCGGCTAGCCGCCACTTGCGGTACCTGTTGGGTGGGACAGTAGGGGTTGGGTGAGGGAGGGATGGGTGGGAAACACACATACAACAGGGCGACATGGAGGAAGAGAAAGCGTGCCAAGCTGTGGGGTGCAGAAAGACACAGCTGGAGAGGGGCAGCCTATTGCTCCCAGCTGCTCCCCCGGGTTAACCGTTCTCCCCCAGTTCCGACAGCGCCCCCCCTTCATCAGCAACCCCCACCCCTCAACAGCGAGTACTGCCCCAACCCACTTGTACGCGCAGCTGGCCAGGCTGCCGGCATCGCTGGGGGAGGCGAAGGGGTTGGGCTGCCCAAAGTCCATCTTGTTGCCGTCCTTGATGAGAACCTGCAGGGGGCAACAGCGGAGGAGCGGGGTGGGGGAAGGAGGCGTGATTAGTGACCGAGCAGTAGGAATAGTAAAGCAGCCTGGTAAGTGAACGGGGCCAAGTAAACAAAAGGCGACGTTGGAGGGAGGTGGGCAAGGGGGAAGCAGTCAAGGGGTGCAAGATGGGGTCGTGGGAAGGGTGTCGGGGGCTCAGGTCTTCCTATGGGTCCTCAGCGCGATGATTCGCGTTTGCTAGGAGGTGATGTCGTTAAGGATTATCGTCACTGCCCCGTGGATCGAACATCACATAAAAGATAAACATTCAATGAGATAACCATGGAAACTACAAGCATGGAAACAGAGAGACCGGTAAGCGGCATCTGTTGCAACAGATGTTTTGACGGCGGAAAGGGCTCAGGTCTTCCTATGGGTCCTCATCGCGGCATGGGTATTTGACCACATTGCCTTATTAAATAGGAGGTGATGTCGTTAAGGGATATCGTCAACGCCCTGATTATCGTCACAAAGAATAAAGAACCCAGGCAGTGCAGCGTCGCGGGATGATGAACCCATGTATGGTCAACTGGGGACAGGAAAGGCTATACGGCGAGACTGAACTGCACATGGCACATGGTGCTTACAGCACGGGCGAAAGCAATGGGCTCAGGTCTTCCTATGGGTCCTCAGCACGGCCGGGATCTGTTGCCCGGGTCCGTGTTTGCTAGGAGGTGATGTCGTTAGGGATTATCGTCACTGCCCGATGGATGCAGCATCACGGCAAGCATGCTTTCGAATTGATGGACCATGGACAACGACAAAAGAGGAGAGGTGCGGAAGAGGGGCTGTGCAATCATGCGGTGCTACCGGGACAGCCATGACTAGGGGGCAGGCAGGGGCTCAGGTCTTCCTATGGGTCCTCAGCGCGATGATTCGCGTTTGCTAGGAGGTGATGTCGTTAGGGATTATCGTCACTGCCCGTGGTGGGTGAGTCAAGTGCCATGCGCTTCAAAAAAGAAAACGTGGCATCCCCCTCCCCCTCCCCATGAGTTTGGATTCCACATTTGGATGCGTCGCTCCTACTTGAACCCGTGGTCATCACCCACTTCCCTCTCCCCCCACCTGCTGTGAGAAGTTCTGGTTGAGTGCGGTGGCCTCCAGGGCCAGATGGTGCATGCCGTTGATGTTGTCCTTGTCCTGGAGGGGAAGAAAGGTGAGGAGGGAGAGGGAGGGAAACGGAGGCGATTGGAGGGTCAAGCACATGAGGCATATCAAGTACACCGTTCCGTTGCTCCTTGACCGGAACACATACAACGCCTGCCGCTCAGCCATTGTGGACAACCTGGGGCAAGCCTGCATGAGTGTCACAGCTTTTCGCAAGGCTACCACCCTGACTCCTAGCTAGGCTACGACTCCCAGGCTTCTGCTGGGGGAACCACGCGGGAGGTGTCGCGCTCGCTCACCTCGGGCACAGCCTCTGGGGCCGTCTCGTTGACGGTGAGTAGCGTGAATTTGGAGCTTTGCCGCCAGTCGAAGAACAGCTTGTCGCCCTGAACAGCACACGAGGACAAGTACCAGCGTTCATCAGCACAGTAGGGCGCACACGACAGCAAAACAGCAGCTGTCCACCATTTCCTTTTTATGTCTCCCCCGTCGACGCCATGATGGCAGAGCACGTGTTGCACGTAAACCCGTAAACAACGCGTCAACACGTCGCGTCATGCCGCATGCATTCGACGAGCATGCATGCCATTCCCCCTCTCCTTCCCTCACCTTGCGCGTGGCTAGGAGGTCCCAGCCGTACTTGGAGGACTGCATGCACATGAGGTGCGTGAGGATGGAGTCCACCGCGAACACGCGGCCCTTGCCCGAGGCGGCCAGCTGCTGCATGATGGGGTCGTCCGAGGTGGTCACGGAGCGGAAGATGCGTTTCGTCTTCTCCAGCGGCTTCTCCTTCTTCACAGCCAGGTTGTCGAACGACTGCAAGGGGACGAGGGGTGGGTATGGAGGAAATGATGAATGAGCCGAATGTTATGGCTGCTAGAGGTGGGAGTTGAGGTAAGGGATTAAGCTTGGTGGTGAATGGAGGGCGGGGAGGCAATGGCAGGAATGGCTTGCGTGTCACAGTTTGCCCCAAAACTGTCTTACCGCTACAACGTAGGAAGCTGTCTACCTGCCCATTCCCTTCCAATCCTTCCTGTCGCATACAGAACCATAGGACCCCAGCCAGTTCAGCCCTCCAATGGCCCCCTTTCTAGCCCAGCCCCACCTTGTCGTAGTATTCGAGCGAGCCGCACGCCAGGAGGTCCTCCGGCTCGCCGGGGCTGTAGTTGAGGCGCGACAGGCTGGTGGTGGAGATCTGCTCCATGACCTGCCAGTCGGCGCCGATCTCCACACTGCTGCTGTACTGCGTTTGCTGCGAGGGGCGAAGCATGCGAGGGGGTTTACAGCGGGGCGGGGGGGAGGTGGTGCTTGGACGCAAAATAGGAGGAGGCTGAACCGAGGAACGCCCCGGCGATCAGTGAAACTGCTGATGTGCTCGTGACGTTTAAGGCGCTAACGAACGGCCTTTGGGAACAGCGGCTGCTGCAAAGATGTTGCTGAACCCATCCCAGGTGCTAATGTGGCTGGCATGCTGACAAGGCCGCGCGAATAGCGATAGCCTACTCCAACCAAGGTAGACGCATCGCCTGATGTGCAACGCTTTCGGCTCGCGTCATTCTAGCAACCCCCGGCAACCGCAAATGGCCAAACGGTCCCAAACGGCGAAGGTGCACAAGAAGGGATACCGCAACAAGCGCGGAGCGACGAACGATACACCAATTGTCGGAGTACCGGTAGTTGCCGAAAGCTTATGCACGCCGCCAAAAGTGCCATGTCCCAACTCACCCGCTGGTTGTCGCGCCCATAGAACTGCTGCTTCTTTTGCTGCTGGGGTCCACCTTTCTTCTTATCTCCTTCTGGACAACCGCGGCCATCCTTGCCATCGCGCCTCTGCTGTTGGAAGCGCTGGTTTTGCTGAAATCGTCGGGGACCGCCGAACTTAGTAGTTTTGACTGGCCGGTTGTCCACCAAATGGAATGACTCCTCCTGCAGAAAGACCGGTAGGACCTTAAAAGGAGCCGCCGAGCCGCCCCCGCCAAAATGCGCAGCACAAAGGTGCCCCAAAGTCGCACCTCCTCGTTAGCAAAGAAGTTAAACACCGGTACACCGCCCTGCTGGTAGCCGCGGCCTGCGCATGATAGGAGGAAGGAGTCCACGGCTCACTGATCTGTCCATCGCTGACGGCCGCCAGTCCTCGCCGTGCTTACCAGCATACTTCTGGCCGAAAGCACCCTGGGTCCAATCCGCAACCCTGCCTAGTTTATCCCCCTTGTTGAAGGGCGCAAAGGGAATGTCTTTCAAGTGAGCGGGGACGGTGCATGGGCCCCAGCCATCGGGGTTGTCAGTCACTGCTGGCACAGGGAATGGTGTAGCCATTGTAATGTTTTTAATAAAGTCCTAAGTAAGAACTATAAAGAACGGGATAAAGGGAAATGACTGTCGCTTCAATGTGCGCACGGACGCAGGGGGCCCCATAAAAAGCAGTACCCGATGAACACCATATGCAGCAAACACACAGTAAGCTAACACCCTTCTATTATATTCGTTAACTTCATATCTACGGTACCAGCACTTTCTTGTAATTGGGGTGAAGGTGCCTCTAGCAGGCTTGCGTGACGATCGCGGGGCGCAGGAGGGCAAATATTGAATCAGCGCTCAAAGTCCTGATCTACAGCACTCAAGATCACCAGCAGGCATTCAGCCACGACGTAGCGTACACGGGCGTCGCTTCTCCGTGCCATCCGAGTTTAAGAGCTTAGTGAACACCGTGGGCGCGCGCATATAATGGCGGCCCTCGCCGAAAAGGGCTCAGCACCATGGAGTCGCACAGCCGTTGAGGTCCTGGAGGACCTGGACGTGGACGTCAAAGTGGGCCTCACCGATTCGACGATTGCCGAGCGGAGAGCCAAGTATGGATATAATGAACTGGAAAAGGAAGCCAAGCAGAGCATATGGTCGATGATTGCTGAGCAATTTGAGGATACGCTTGTCCGTGTAAGTGTCCACAAGGCGGGAATGTAGAATGTGCATTGCTGTCCTTGTCTACAGAATACCTTCCGTTGAGGTTTACTGCTTTGCGCTGCTTTCTGTGGCCGCTTCTATTTGTACTTATAGATCCCGTTCCCTAATCGGTGTCTACCGAACACACCGAACATGGCCCTTGGCATTTGCACTTGCTTCGTTACCTGAACGCCCTGCCCTTCTGCCGTTTTGCCTACCGGTACAGATCCTACTGCTTGCCGCGATTGTTTCATTTGGGCTTGCGTGGTTTGAGGAGGACGCTCATGAGGAAGGCATCCGTGCCTTTATCGAGCCGCTGGTGATCCTTTTGATTCTGGTGCTCAACGCGGCCGTGGGCGTGTGGCAGGAGAGCAATGCTGAGTCAGCTCTAGAAGCCCTTAAGGAGCTCCAAACTGAGACAGCGCACGTAACCCGTAACGGGAAACTGGTGAGCCTCAGCCTCTTACCGGTTAGTTGGCCCTTCCATCTCCGTGTTTCGCTCCCGTCCGCACGGTGTTCATTTCCCTCAACCCCGTCTTCACAACACACTCGCCTACGCTACTCCTTACCCTCCATCTTCCCCATCTTGCGACCTTCCACATCCTGTACTGCTGCTACCCAATGCCTTCCATTTCACCACACACACCTCAGGGCCGAGCCCCCCCACGCTGACGCCTCCTGTACACTATGCCTGGCCCCACCAATATTACACCCTAACATGTGCTTTCCTATGGTTGTTTGGTATTGTCTTCCCCCTCCCCCATTACGTTCCGTTCAGCTGAGTGACCTGCCCGCGCGCGAGCTGCTGCCGGGCGATGTGGTTCACCTGCACGTGGGCGACAAGGTGCCTGCGGACTGCCGCGTGGTGGCGCTCAAGACGGCCACCGTGCGGGTGGAGCAGGCCAGCCTCACGGGGGAGAGCGTGGCGGTCAACAAGGGCACCGAGCGAGTGGCGGACCCCAACTGCGAGCTGCAGGTATGTGTTTGAAAAAAATGCTTTATGTGCTTAATGAGAAGGGCAAACACACGACCAGCTGTGTGTGGGGGGGGGATGGATGAACTGAGTTGGGGAGAGGGCTACGTCAGCGCAAGGAGAAAGAAAAGAGGGTGACATGTGTGGCGTGGGTGCGCTTGTGTCGTTGTGTGGGTGAGGCGAGGCATGAGAGCTGAGAACACGCGCTGCGTTTGAAAGGGATGTGGGTTGTGAAATGGCGCTAGCACCCGTTAACTCCTCACACAACAGGAATAACCTCTTACCCTTACCCTTCCTGATGTTGGTCCGCAGGCCAAGGAGTGCATGGTCTTTGCCGGGACGGCGATTGCGAACGGCACATGTACGGCGGTGGTCACTGCGATTGGCATGTCGACTGAGATTGGCAAGATCCAGGCGCAGATCTCGGAGGCCGCCAAGGAGGACGATGACACGCCGCTGAAGAAGAAGCTGAACGAGTTTGGGGAGCTGCTGGCCAAGGTACGGGGGGCGGGGGGTAAAGAGGAAACGACTACCCGGTAAACTAACCCTGTGTTGTGCAAAAGGGGGGCGGGGCGGGACGGGCGCCGTGGGGTAAGGGGATTCTAGAACACCCTGGAACAAGACCAGGTAAAGGGGACCGGAAGAGGCACGATGGCACGTATACTCCAAGCAGGCCTCTTTACGTCCAAAACCTGTTCGACCCACATGCATGCCATCACTCCTCCCCTTCATCGTGCGCCAACCGCCTTTCCCCAGGTCATCGCCGCCATCTGCGTGGTCGTGTGGCTCATCAACTACCACCACTTTCTCACCATCACCTTCAAGCCCGAGGGCGGCATGCCCACCTTTACCTTCAACCTATCCAAGGTGCGGGGAGGGGGAAAGATAGATTCAGAGCATCAACGGAGTCCCCATCCCGAATCCCGACTCATGCAGTGAGCGCATGACCCGGAGACCCAGGGGGGGGGCAAGCTGAGCGCGATTGAGAAGGACATGGTGTGTGGCGCTGGACTAGGCTCCTGCTTCTACCCCTTCCATTCCAAAACAACCCAACACCAACGCATGCTCCGTTACCCAATGTACCTCCCGTGCAAGTCCTTTCGTCTCATCTAACAGTTATTGCCCCAGTCAGCCGATTTTCATGCACTCCTTATCCTCTGCCCTCGTCCCCTTGCTTCCTCATGTACCCCGCCCCATCCCACCTCGCTTAGCAAACCATGGTGAAGCCTCGTCATACAGTTCGTCAGTTTCCCTATGTTTACCCCACCTCGCTATGTTTGCCCGCAGGCCACCTACTACTTTAAGATTGCCGTGGCGCTGGCCGTGGCCGCCATCCCCGAGGGCCTGCCCGCCGTCATCACCACCTGCCTGGCGCTCGGCACCCGCACAATGGCCAAGAAGAACGCGATTGTCAGGTGGGGGGAAGTGGGGGGCGGAGGAGGAGGGCCGGGGTTTATTAGACATGCCAAACCACAAAGTGAGGGCAAGATGATAAGGGGATAGGAGGAGGGGCGGGGGCTGGGGGTTTAGGGGGGTAAAGAGAAGGAATACAACGGAGGACGATGAAGGTTGGTAGGGTTTGCGACACCACGCTGTGCAGCCATCTCGCACCTCGGCATCTAGCCATTAAACCAAGCAGCATAGTCTTCCATTCACTTCCCCCTCCCTAACGCCACCTCACTCCACTCCGCCCGGCCTCCGCACCGGCCCCCCAGGAAGCTGCCCTCCGTTGAGACGCTGGGCTGCACCACCGTCATCTGCTCCGACAAGACCGGCACCCTCACCACCAACCAGATGAGTGTGGTGGCGCTGGCGGCGCTGGCGGGGCCCGAGGGAGCTGCCGTACGGCGGTGGGCGGTGGCGGGGCACACGTACAACCCGGACGAGGGCGAGGTGGAGGGACTGAGCGCACTGGACCGGGGACTGCAGGTGGGAGGCGGGGGGGTGGCGGGAGGGGAGGGCAGATGTACCGGTTTTTTGTGGGCATGTGTGGCAGTTGGGATGTGAATGATCGTGTCCAGATGGCTTCCATGCTTTGTAGTATCTGCTTGCATGCGTGGTGTCAGCGGTTTCAAGCAAGTGTTTCCTGCCGTGTCGCGCCTGTACTGTCCAAGACTGGGAAACCTAAAGAGTTTTCTCTCCCCTCCTGCCCTGCCCTCCCTGCCGCCAGACTGTTGCCGAGGTGTGCGCCGTGTGCAACGAGGCCAGCCTGGAGTTCAAGGTGCGTGTCTGTGACTACATGGGGGGAGGGAGGGAAGCGTGAATGGGTTGTTGCGAGCTTGCATGATAAGGCTTGGATAAGGCTTGGAATAGAAGTCTAGCGCCGCCCCGCTACAAGCATGCCTTTCCGTACAGCCTGTCTGGCGCATAACGCCATGCCTGGCGCCTCCACCCTCCCCTCCCCTCCCCCCCATCTTCCGCCCCCTCAGTTCAACGCCTTCCGCGCGGTGGGCGCCCCCACCGAGGCGGCCCTGCTGGTGCTGGCGGAGAAGCTGGGGCTGGCGGACGGCACGGAGACCGCAGCGGCGCTCAAGAAGCGCACCGCGACACCCGAGGAGCATCCGCAGCCCGTCACGCAGGTGGGTCGGGTGGAGAGGGTGTGTTACAAAGGACTGGAGGAGGGTATGTTGACAAAACTGGAGGGGTGCGTGTGCTCTGGGAGGGAGTGCTTTCAGGGGGCTGCTGGGCGGGTTGGGGGACCGGGTCGTGTGTTTTGAGAATTGCAGTGTCGGCAGTGATCAGTTCTTCGTTATCCATCCCTCGCAACACAACCGGCTCGGCATTCGCTCACACCGTCCCCCCCCTTGCGGCTCCCTCTGCCGGCCTGGCCTGGGCTGCTCCCTTTGCAGGCCTACCGCGAGCGCGCCCCGCTGCGTGCGCTGCTGGAGTTTGACCGCGACCGCAAGTCCATGAGCGTGTTGGTGCGCCCCGCCGGGTCGCTGCAGAACTCGCTGCTGGTGAAGGGCGCCGCGGAGTGCGTCATCGAGCGGTGCACCAGGTGGGGAAAAATTATATAAAAGTGAAACAACTAATCCCAATCCCATATCCCGACTCATGCAGTGAGCGCATTCGGGTGGGGGGGGGGTGGGAGTGTGGGGGTAGTAGACCAAACCATAGGAAGCCACAATTTTGGACTGAACCCTCAGTTGCCTCACTTCTCATTTCCATCCCCCCTTTCCCCCCTGCGCGATACACGCGCACCCTTCTTCAGGATGATGCTGCCCGACGGCCGCATCTTGCCGCTGACGTCAGCCGCCCGCTCCGCCGTGCTGGCCGCCGTGCGCGACATGGCCCGTGACGCCCTGCGCTGCCTGGCGCTAGCTGTCAAGGTAGGAGTGGGGGGGTGGACTGGGAGTTGAGGAAGAGGAGAAGGAAAGGGAGGGATCTGCGGTAGCAGCTACCCAGTCCCTGTCCCATCACGGGTCTTGCGTCTATCCTACTTCGACCGCGCAGCACCACCCTTCCGCAGCCCTGCGAGCTTGGAAGTGCACCTTGACCTGCCTTGTCACTTCTCTCATTCCCGTCCCACGCGGCCTCCTAACCTCCTGCCTTCCGCCCCTCCTCCCCCCCTCGCAGCCCGACATCCCCTCCCCGCTGGCTGACTTTGACGGCGACTCGCGGCACCCGGCCATGGCACTGCTGCGTGACCCCGCCCGCTACGCCGGCATTGAGTCGGAGCTGGTGTTTGTGGGCCTGGCGGGGCTGCAGGTGCGGGGGGGATATAAAATGGGGGGAAGCTTGCAGGGAAACGCGGGGCCAATCATCCGCGCTTCGTTGGTTTAGTTTCCGTGTTGCCGTTCCTGTGGTGCTGAACGGGTGTTGCTGCTGCTGCGGCTGCTGTTTTGGATGCGCCCCAGGACCCGCCCCGTCCGGAGGTTCGCCCCGCCATTGAGAACTGCAAGCAAGCAGGTAAGCAAACGATCGGGAAGGGGCTAGGGGGTGCACGGAAAACGTGCGCTAGGTGTGATAATTGGTGCACACGGGAGGGATGTGGAACCCCTGTGCGTACCGGTACTGTGCGTCCTCTCTTGTTCCCAGCCCCAACCTTCTCCTGTGCCTGTGTGAAGTATCACCGGCTCGCTCTGTATGTAAGGACGTGTTCCGAAACAACACACCGCAACCCTGCCATGCGCCTTGGTAACGCTTTTTTTGCATTCCATCCTGCCCTGCTTCCCGCCCGTGCGCTGCTTCCCTTGCTTGCAGGCATCCGTGTGATGGTGATCACCGGTGACAACAAGGACACGGCGGAGGCCATCTGCGCCAAGATTGGCGTGTTCGAGTGAGTGGTGGCGGGGCCGTGTGGCTGGGGTAGTGAAGGGGGACGTACCGGTAGGAGTGGTGACGGATGGGGACTGAAAAGGGAGGAAGAGCTGCCTTCTCACGAAGCCAGCAGTAGCAGCAGCAGGACAATATCGTCGGTATGGCAATGCTAGTTACCTGACGGCAATCATGGGGCTGCACGATGTTGGCGTTGTACTGGCTGTGTGAAGCGCGCGCGGTCCTACAAGACCTCCCTTTGCGTGCCTCTGGTTCCCTCCTTAAGGTTTCACATGCCCACCGCCCTTCCCCTGTTTCTCCTCGTTTCCCTTTCCCCTCCCAGGTCTGGCGACGACCTCTCCTCGCTCAGCTTCACCGGCCGCGAGTTCGTGTCGCTGCCCAAGCAGCGCCAGATGGAGCTGCTGGCGGCCGCACCCGCCATGTGCTTCAGCAGGGCCGAGCCGCGCCACAAGCAGGTGGGGCAGCGGGGTGCTGCGGAGATGGGGATAGGAAGAGGCTGCAACGGTGGCTAGACCCCATGTGTTTGTGTGATCCCAGCAAGACCAAGCTTTCTTAGCCCCCAGCCATTACATAGCAGCAATGATAAACCCTCCCAAGGAGCATTTCTTACCTCCTTTGCACGCCCCCCCCCTTAACTCCTCTCTGCCCGCCTCTCGCCGGCCCCCTCAGGACATTGTTCGGCTGCTGAAGGAGCAGGGCGAGGTGACCGCCATGACGGGAGACGGAGTCAACGACGCACCCGCCCTCAAGCTCGCTGACATTGGCGTGGCCATGGGCATTGCGGGTGAGGGCACATAGCGACATGGGTGGTGCCAATCCACTCAAGCCTGCTCCGCCCTGCCTTGCACCTCCCCACTTTTCCTGCAGGGGGTGGGACAAGGGACTGTGCTGCACTTGTTTTCATTTCTTCTCATTTCTGTTTCCCCCCACTTGCCCTTTTGCATGCAGGCACGGAGGTGGCCAAGGAGGCTTCCGACATGGTTCTCGCGGACGACAACTTCTCCTCCATCGTGGCAGCGGTGGCGGAGGGACGCGCCATCTACAACAACATGAAGGCGTTCATCAGGTAGGGGGGCGGGTCGTGCTGGGCCAGGCGGGCATCTTGGGTGCAATGTAGGGGGCCATGGGAGGTGGGGTGTGCGATGCGTGGGTTTGGTGGTTGTGTCCGCCTCTGTTTACCTGGGGCTTGTCACGTAGTTTGCCATTATCATTCAACGGGTCTTCTTCCTTTCCCTCCCGCCTCCGCCATCCCTCCCAGGTACATGATTTCCTCCAACATCGGCGAGGTGGCCTCGATCTTCCTCACCGCTGCGCTGGGACTGCCGGAGGGCCTCATCCCCGTGCAGGTGTGTGAAGCACGAGGACGGGCTGCAACCACCCTGCACATGTTTCCTTTCAGAGCTGTATTGGAACCAAAGCTTTGTAGTCTTGTAGTAGGCATGTCGCCAGCACCTGCGGCGGAAGGAGCACACATGCTGGCTTCTGCCGCTCCTGTCATGAGCAATGTGTTGTGATACCCCATCAACCTGTGCCCCACCCCCACCAAACCCTGCCCCTCCCCTCTCCTTGGGTATTCTTCTTTTCCCCCTCCGCAGCTGCTGTGGGTGAACCTGGTGACTGACGGCCCGCCCGCCACCGCGCTGGGCTTCAACCCGCCCGACAAGGACATCATGACCCGCGCGCCGCGTCGCGCCAACGACCAGCTCATCACGCCCTGGGTGTTCTTCCGCTACATGGTCATCGGGAGCTACGTGGGAGTGGCCACGGTGAGTGTGTGCATATGTGTCGGCCCTGCCCTTCCATTTCCACCTGCTGCTGCTGCTGATGATAATCCTGCTGAACCTGACTCGCTCATATCCTCGCCAACCGTTCGTTGTTCCTCCACTCCGTTAATCGTTGCTCCCCCACTCCTCCCCTTCTATTGCGGTTGTGTACGGCAGGTGGGCGCCTTCGTGTCGTGGTACATGTACGACAAGTTCTTTGGCATCGACCTGTCCGCCGACGGCCACACCACAGTCTCCTGGCAGCAGCTCACCAGCTACCAGCAGTGCCGCGAGTGGGGCAACTTCACCGCCGCACCGTACAAGCTGGCAGGTGGGGGGCAGCACTGCTGCGACTGATGCCGCCATCGGTCCACGCGGTTCGTGTATTTCATAAAGAATGTTTCGGGACCTTTTGAGACGCCGTTAAGTCCTTCCTGGTGCGAGGGAGAGGTTGTACATGTACAGGCCGAAGCGCCCGATCTAAAACGGGCCCCTCCTTCCCTCCCAGGCGGCGGCGAGGTCTCCTTCGCCCACCCCTGCGACTACTTCTCCGCCGGCAAGGCCAAGGCCTCCACGCTCTCCCTCTCCGTCATCGTGGCCATTGAGATGTTCAACGCCCTTAACGCGCTGTCGGAGGACGGCTCGCTGCTCACCATGCCGCCCTGGTCCAACCCCTGGCTGCTGGCCGCGATCAGCGTGTCGATTGGCCTGCACTGCGTCATCCTCTACGTGCCCTTCCTGGCCAACGTGTTTGCCATCGTGCCGCTGTCGTGGCCCGAGTGGCAGCTGGTGCTGCTGTGGTCGGCGCCGGTGATCCTGATTGATGAGGTGCTCAAGTTTATTGGCCGCATGGTGCATGCGCGGCAGCAGAAGCAGCGCGGCAGGAACGGCAAGGTTGCTGCTGCGAAGAAGGTTGCGTGATGGGAGATTAGATAAACTGAGCCGCGGAAACACTGACCCTGACCGTAGGTTACCGTAGGTAGAAGGCGGGGGTTTGTGAAGGGGAGGAGGTTGGGAATGCAGGAGATGTTTGGTGGGGTTTTGCGGGCATGTTAGCGTTATTGTGTGAGTTGGGCCGGGGCTTAGGAGGCTCGGGGCGATGAAGAGTATTCTTAGAGAACGTTTGCGTACGCTGTCCTTGGTGTATATCGTAGATGGTGGCGTTCAGGATGGGGACTTTTGCGTTTCCACAGCGATTGACAGCATGGGCGAGGTGTTCCCAATTGGTGCATTATATTTAGCTCTACGAGGGCTGGGGCATGGCTTTGACCTGAGAGGCATGGCGACACAGCTTTCCTCTCGCGCAGCGTGGCGACCCACGGGTCAGCGACATAGCAGCTCCCACGCTTTAAAGCCTGCACCCTTCGGCTAGGGCATGTGCTCCTGCGGCTGCTAGTTGTCACGATGGCGATGGGAGTAAGGGGCCAGAGTGGAGTGAAGAGTGTAGTGGTGTAGGTGAGAGCAGAGAGGCCCCACGTGATTGCGCGCGAACCACTGGTGAGGGGAAGAGAGTCGGGCTCACACATGAGGAGTGGCACGTCGAGCTGTTTGCAAACGGTAGATGTTAATGCAGGCGGAGTCAGGGACTAGTAGTAAAAGGGGTACCTCTTATGAAGTATGTAACTACAATCTTACAAACACTTGCCTAACTCCCTTCTTAGCTGTAGGTGATGGATCCATCGCCTTGCCATTTTCTGTATAATGCGTTCAATCTGGGCCAAACAAGCTGGAAAGCATGATCTTACAGGCATCTCTCCTACCCCGACCAGGGAGACGGTATGAACATGCCGCATGCCCTACACCATGCCGTACACCACCCTCATGTTTCACGTGCTTTATCTGTCTGTTCCTGTTCTTAACGCACCATGCAATGGCACGTGTTCGTAGTCACAATTCCGATCTGTACTAAACAATCATCTTTAACCCATATGACAACTCCACAAAGGAACCTTAGCCACCCTACTCCGAACTTTGCATAATCAGTTCCTGCATTCCCATCCTAAGCATACAGCCACACTCGGTAACAATCGGTCAACCAAATAAATTGAAACACCATGGTTAAAGGGTCATCACAACCTGCCAACAAACACTTAGTACTCACGAAGTCCATCAAGTTTCTGTGGTAAAACCCTCAAATGGCTTCCTTAGCAGAGCCAACCGGGCATTGGACCAAAGCAAGTGCAAAGATTAGCACTTCACTCGCCCTCAGCGCATCTCTCATTAATTAGCAACTTCGCTCGGCGCTCCCAACTCTCCATTCCTCTTCCACAGTTGCTGTCTAGTCAAGGGCTATGCACAACTATCGATGGGGTAAAAATGCAGAACTACTTTCGTTCAGGCCGCGCGCCGGACGCCGACCCGGTCAGTCCTCTCCGTCGACGTCCGCAAAGCGCAAGGACATTATGCAAGGAATCCAAGCTTTTCTCCATTCTTCTTTGCAAGACGAATAACTCCCTGTACTTGCTTGTTGTCAACGCCCAAAAGCTTGCAGAAATCCTTGATCACTGCGGCGCAGGGTCAACCCGGGGGGAATGTCAGTCGCTTTGGCAAGCAAAGAATGGAGCATCAGAACCATGAACAATGAGCTTCCTCAGACGTCACAATGTCCGCGGGCTATGCAAACTTCTCAACAACCACTCGATTGCGCTATCAGTGCTTCTAGATTTTACGCACGGGCATACCAACAAAGAGGATACAGAAAAAAGCGAAGACACCGTCGCGCTAAACAGCGATTAGTTACCTTGTGAATGCAGGGAGATTGCCTTGCCGCGCAGCTGGTTAAACGGCTTGTCGCCAATCGCGCCGCGGACCACAACCACCAGAGGAGCAAAGGGGCCCGTCGTCGCTTTGTTGCCCATCATCGTTGCAACTTTGCGGCGAGGAGCGTCTGTAGGGGCGAAGAAGGGTTAGGCTTCTGTGCAAGCAATGCCTACAGTGGCGTACCCTCACTCACTTGCAGCTTGTTGGAGCCTTGGAAAGGACTGGGAAAGTGCCGAAGCGGTCTGCCGTGAGTCGTCCCAGGAGGACATAGCGACGCGCGATGACACTGCCAGCGAGCGCACAGAGCACCGGCTCACAGCCACAGCGGACGCACTGGAAGCGCGCACGCTGACCGCGTTGCGCTTGGTAGCCAGCATTCTTCAAGGGCTTTAGTTGCGCTTCTCAGGAGGTATATGTGGTTCCCGTATGTAAAAGCACAGCTTTTTTTCGCTTGGGTTAACTGTGAGCGAAGGTGTAAGTGGGCTAGTTGTATAACACAATTACCGAACACCCTACGCTACTATTCGGCGGAGCCATACATGCGGCCTCCAGGGAGGGGTGCAGTTAGCGCGGTGCGCGTGAGAGTTAAGAAATAATTGGATAGTTTACTACGTGGCTTCACACAGGTCGCGCCTGGAACAAAAACGCAGGTAAAGGGGTCTAGGGTTAGAAGGTGCAGTTGCCGTACTGTTGTCGTATTCGAAGAGTCAACACCGCTCGTTTCCCATAGCACTGTCAGAGACTTGTCATTATTTACCTCGCTGTGCTGTCCTTGTAATGGTGTTGCTGCATCGCTATGCGCTTACTAGATAGTTAGCTTTGTTTTCACTTCTCTCCAAACTTAGTCTGTATCCGTCTGCGCGAACGAAAACGAAAGGAAAGGGTATAGCGAGATGTCGTCCGTGGATAGCGTTACACAGGCGCTGGCTTACCTCCAGGTCCACTCTCCTAACGATGGCACCTCGATGTATGATCATCTTGTAAAATTAGTTGGCAAGGTAAGCATCATTCGAGAAAGAAAGCACTTTATACCGAGACATGCCCATGTGTTTGCCGCGCCCCACGTCGCTTAGCGTCTTACTGGAGTTCGGAACCAGCAGTGTTCTACTTTAGTATGATCTATACGTACAGGATCGCGTTGGAATTCTTCAATTCGCCTCCATAACTGCAGATTCTTGAAGACCAGCCATCAAAGGCTGTCGACCTGCTTGAAACGTCTCTGCTGGTGAAGAAATCGACGTTTGACGCTAAGGAGTCCTCGCCGCTGGTCCCCATCCCGGTATGCAGCTGTGCGCAGGCCTGGTTGGGGCCTGTTACACCCCCATGGTGTCCCGTTCACCTTCTGCCCCCTGCCAAGCTGTGCAAACTACACTTGTCAGTCGCCGACTGCACTGCCACTAGCCATAGAAGGGAAAGCAGCGGGGAAGCTGAACGGATGACCTGGTAGTCAGGCACAGTCTGGATTACTGACCCAACTGCTCGTATCCTGCCCATGTCCGTCGGTGGCTATCCAGGGCGCCGGCTGGTGTTTTCCTTACCTTCGCACTCCCCCTGTCCCCCACTCCCAACCAACAGGTCGTCCCCGATGCCACCCAAACGCAAGCTGCCGTCAGCATATTTGGGTGCGTAACTGCCTGGGACTTTTGGAGCAGGGTGTCTAAACAGTGCGTGACTGTGGCTGCCACTAGCTGCCCCTGCTTGTTGCATGGGCGGCAGCACAGCAGCGCTTTCGCGCCCCTATGTTACATGGCAACTTCTGCCTTGTTTGCCGGGGACATGTGGACATGGCCCGAGGGTCCAGCACGCAGCAAACCCCCCACGGGCGCACCCCGGATGGGAAGCAGCATGGCTGCGAAGGCACGTTGCCATTTGAAGCCGGGCATTGAGCTGGTCCGGCCCGCAACCTGTGGGGAGAGGCCGCAGCGGCAGAGGCGGACTGCCCGTGTGGCAGGGATGCCTGCCAGGGCCGCAGCACGTCATGCGTGCACGTGCAGGGAGGCATTGCTGACCCAGTAGCAGCAGCAACAGCGCGCTGCTCAGTATGCCCTGTGTGGGGCGTAGACAGCTGTCCCCCACAGCACAGATGCGGGGAGAATGTGGCGGCATGGCCCCCTGCGCAGCTGTTGGCACGCCTGTGACGCACAGCCTTATGTTCACACGCCCGCGCCTCCAACCGGCGCCCACCCTTTCCTAGCCCCTCCGCTCACGCCGCCCAGCCCCCCACCCCGGGGTCGGGTACCGGGCATTGGGCTTCGGGTGCTTGGCTAACCTTTCTTCGCCACCGGCCCCGCAGGGACCCCGAGCTGCCCATCAATCCGCAAACCGGAGAGCCCGTGGCCGCCGACCCGCCCAACGAGGTACGCCTGTGGCCTAGACGGCGGCCTCGGACCCTAAGGGCTGCTGGTGTAAAAGTGACCCTAGCAGAGATGGTCGAATTTGTGATAGTCGGGTAGAGAAAGGAAAGAAACCACGATTAAGGCTACCCTATTTTAGGGCGAGGTGCCCCAACCGACCCCGCTCCTCTAACCCTCTACCCACGCCAAAACCCAACCAACCCAACGCCTCCCTCCCTCCCTCTCCCTGCCTTTTCCCTGCCTCCCCATCCCTCCCCCCACCCTCCCTTCCCCCAGTACGAGTGCGAGAACATGAGCGCCGCCGGCATGGTGCTGGACTGCCTGGGCGTGGGTCTGGGTCGCGAGGTGGCGCTCAACGTGGCGCTGGCCGCCAAGCGCATCGGCGAGGACCCCAAGCTGGGCGTCAGCAGCGTGCGCTTCTTCGGCAAGTTCCTGGGGCTGTACGCGGACTACTACGTCTTCGAGGTGGCCTTCAAGCCGGGCAAGCAGCCGGGGGAGGCGCAGGCGCAGCAGGGGGCGGGGCCAGGTGACGGAGGGGCTGGGCGGGTTGGTCGGGCTGTTGGACAAGGGGTTAGTGCTCTGTGGTGCTGTGTCTCTCATGACGGGGGCGGAGACATGTGCGGCAAACATGCCGGCCTTCTGTCTCCAGCCTTTAGGTACAGTTACTGTTACTTGAGGGACTGCGGGGGCTAGGAACTCCCAACTCCCCCAACACGCAGCCCATTCCCAACCCCCTTCCCTTGGCCCTATCCCTCCTCCCCCCCTCCCACAGCCGCCTCCGCCGAGCCCTCCTCCTCCTCTTCTTCCTCCTCTTCCTCCTCCGCCTCCTCAGCCCCCGCCGCCGCCGCCCCCTCCTCCGCCTCCCCGGAGGAGGTCCCCGTGGAGCCGCCCGGCACCGGCGCCAACAAGTACACCTACCTGGTCTGCAGCGCCCTGGGCGGCCCACTCACCCGACTGCCCGACGTAACGCCCGCGCAGATCAAGGCCTCCCGCCGAATCAAGAAGCTCCTCACCGGCCGCCTCACCTCCCACGTCTCCACCTACCCCGCCTTCCCCGGCAACGAAGCCAACTACCTGCGCAGCCTCATCGCGCGCATCGCCGCTGCCACCATTGTTGCGCCCACGGACTTGTTCCTGGTGAACGAGGACACCAATGAGCTGGAGCGGTCGGAGGATTGGGAGCCGCAGCCGGGGCGAGAGATGGCGGTGCCGGGCGGCTGGGTGCACATGTGGGTGTACGGCAGGGGTGGGGTGGGGCGGGGGTAAGGATGGGAGGCAAACCAAGGCGCTTCCAATACGATAACATGGAATTGGATAGGAGAGAGGGGAGGAGAGTGGGGGGGCAAGGGGCACACGGGCGTGTCATGGCCGATCCTGGTCCTGGAATGTCCAACTGGTGATGTGGTATGATGGGATGTTTTCCACTGTAGTGTGCCTGTTTTAACCTGCACGCATGCTCATACGGTGCCGCCTTCCCTTGCTTCCACGATCTACACATCCACGCACCTTCGGGTGCTGGGAATCGACTGGGTTCTTGACCCTCCTCCTTACGTTTGCGTCCCCTCTGCCCCCTCTTCCCACACGTAATCCCCCTTGCCCTCCCTCCCAACCACCACCCCTATACGCTCCCCCCAGTCGTCCGCACCTCAAGTCCCAGGGCCGCTGCGAGGTGTTCAAGCGGGAGCTGCCCGAGGATGCGGACGAGGAGGAGTTCTACAACGAGGATGAGCTGGAGGTGGGGCGGCGCGGAAGGGGACGGGGAGGTGGGGGACAAAAAGGAGGAAACTGACGAGCTGTGTGACAAGGGGGAGGAGGTGGCGGGAACGGAAAGGAGGAGAGTCAAGAACCCTCTCGATGCCCCCTACCCCTCACTGCATGAGTCGGGATTCGGGATTGGGATTGTGTTGTTGCACTTATTTATAATTTTACCCCTCTCCTTACGCACCTCGCCTCTCCATCCAAACACTCCTCCTCTCCAACCCATCCCCTCCCCCTTTCCCCCGCAGGAGGGTCCGGAGCTGCTGGCCTCCCTGGAGGATGACGCGCAGCTGCCCGGCGAGCAGCCCGCCTGGACACCCCTCTACAGCTCCGCCTCGGAGGCCGTCAAGAAGCAGGCGGGCGGGCTGCGCAGCCTGGTGTGGCCGGGCGCGGTGTGCGGCGCGCGGGAGGCGGAGTGGACCTGCTGCTATGTGGGCTGGGGCATGAAGAACGCGCCGTTCGTGCCGCTGCCGCCGCCGCCCGTGGCTGCAGAGTTCGACTGGGGCGCCGTGGAGACGCAGGAGCTGGAGCTCAAGCCGGAGACACCGCCGCCGGAGGAGGAGGACGAGGAGGAGGAGGATTGAGGAGGGAGGTTGGGGGGTGAGAGGAGTGGAGGAGGGTGGTGACGGGTGGGGAGGGCTTCCGTTGCAGGGAAGCGAGCTTGGTGTGCCTTGGAAACTAGAGGCACGGCGTGGATGCTTAAGAACTACTCTACCCCGATTGTACCTGGGGACTGGAAGGCGTTGGGAGAACATGTACATGGGGGCATGCGGAGAAGGGGCTCATGCGGGGCCTGCATGTGCAGTAGTAGGTGCGGCTTTACTGTTGTTGTTGGAGCTCCCGTGTTCATTTTGCGACATATGTAGTGAGCTAGTGACTGACTCGGCTGCACCCGCGGGCTGCCGGCCCCATGTCGGGTGTGCTACGCTGCGGCTGACATGGAGTAAGAGGGGCTACATAGGACGTTACATAACGACATACCGTCAAAGCGCCACTGGGCCCTGTAACATACCGCTAGGGTATCGCAACCTGATCAGTCCAATCAGTACTTTGTCGTACCCAAAGCTACGACAAGCCAGTCGTAGTAGCTGACCCTCATCCAAGTCAATTCGAGCCCTGGTGCAACTCCTTCGACGTACCATGGGCACCGAGTCTCCTCCACACACCAACTGCCGGTACCCCAGCCTCTAGCGCTGCTTAGTGTTCCCAGTAACACCAACCATGGCCACCTCACCCGGCACGACCTTGCTGCTGTTTCATGGTGACCAATGCAATGCACGCTGCCATGGCCAGAAGGTGCAAAAACGCACTATGGAAGGCGCTGCAGTTCAGGTGTCAGCGACCTACGCGTCTGGCTCCTCCTCCATACCCTCCACAAAGTGCCTAATCAAGCATGTCCTCTCCGTGGCGAGGCATGTATTACCCTCCATACCCTGGGTGCCTCTTGCAGTCCAGGCGCAGGTATCCGTTTGGATGAGCGAGGATGCAGAGGGTGCGCGATCAAAACCCAAAGCCCCTGCACTGTACCGAGGGCTCTGGGAGGGCTTTGCAGCATTCGATGAGGTCTTGAATAAAGTGGGCACATTTTGACTGGTTGTAGTCGTTCTTTTTCAAACACCACTGGATTGCGCATGCCTTTGGCTTACATCCCTGAGGGTCCGGTTGCTGGACGTCGGAGCGCACGCAGGTTGGAGAGTCTTCCTCTTCACGGCCGCTCATGCTTGACATATGTGGAAAACGTAACTGCTTATAATACCATAGGCTACCTAAGCGGAAGGAGGTCACTGTCAGAAAGTCGTAAGCCAATCGTCATGTTAGTTTGCAGGTTGCTATGTTGCCAAGGTGCTTCATGAGATTGTGCTTATGCATATGGCTCGTTGGGCTCATTTCTCGAGCTGCTACGCAGCTAGAAGTCGTACCAGTGCTATGCGAAGCACGGTGCCCCAGCACGATACTCCATATGCATGTACGGCTTGTTGCAATACCAGGGTCCTCCAGATTGCACCAAGGACCTCTGTTGGCGTCCTTACGATCATTTTAGCCAAACGTTCACAGCCTCAATGCACGCGCGTGTCAGGTGACACAGGAAACTCATGCCGTGTCCACGTGTTTGAGGGGTATCATAAATCAGCGGGACACAGCATTTGGCATGCCGAGCTGCATGCCAGAGACAGCGTTCCCCTGCATACTTTTCGGTTGCAGGGGGATGGTGTAACCGGGGTACGCTGATGCCCCGGGAAGCTGGCAGTCTCCTGCGAGGAGGAGGCTCACCTTCTGAACAGTCAAGTATAAAACGCAAAAGCCAAAGAAGCACAGGTTTTTGTCCACCAACAGACGAAACAGTAGTAGCAGTAACCAAGCTGGCTCTCCTAACAGCACGCGAAGTTCCAATTCTGTGCGAGTAAGCATGGCAAGACTGGCAACATCGGCACGTACATTAACGTAAGATGTAGCAGTGAAATCCAAGCACACATTCAGGCACAGAGTCTTTCTTGAGTGATCCAAACGACTGTATAGCACGACGATTGGGTGCCGGTTGCCGTTCACTCACGAACTTGTAACAATGGGGCGCAATAGTTCGCTTGCATCTAATAGAACACTGTACTCGTGAATCTTACTAGTCATAAACGTACCTTACAATTATTGTACATGAAAGTTTGCAAACTAGAGGATACACAATTTGCTGACTTTAACATCTGCGCATAACTTTGTTGTATCTTGTTGTTTCTAAAGCTACAGTTCAACGCCTAGAAGCTTATTGCTTGAGGCCTATCCTAGGCCGGAGCCATGGCCGCGGATGTGGGCCAGGCACTGGCATTCTTGCGTCAATGCAGAACAACACAAGGCAGCACCATCTACGATGGGCTTGCTGCAGCGTTAGCCAAAGTGCTAGAGGACCGACCTGTAAACGCCGTGGAGGCCTTGGAGACAGCCGTGCTCACAACGCCACCCGCATCCAGCATTAGCGTGCCCTTGGTTCCTGTTACCGTAAGTCCCTCCGCCCCGAGCACGTGCCCGATTAAGCAGCTGCAGCACTCATCCTGCTGAATGGGTTATGTTTGTGATTCTCACCCGCAGTCAGCAGCAGCAGCGGCCAAGGCTGTGGCGACAGCCAACTTATTTGGGTGAGGAGCGGCTGCCCATGCTTCTGATAGTGGCTGCTTTGGGAACCCGCTGTGGCTGACTGTGGGAACCCACAGTCTCGGCACACGTTTGGATGGGCGGGACTGTGTTGCAAGTCGTCATCTCACACGCTCATGGATGGTTAGGGTCCCCGCCCTTGCTCGCATGACATGGGTCGGCTTAGCTGCCCAACCTCATCCCGCCCTGGGATGAGGCCCACACGCTGCATGGAGGGGATTGCTGTGCACGCGCGACCACACATCCTCAGCATCAATAGCTGCATTCCCGACACTCTGTGATCCCTGACTTGCCCCGCGTGCCTCCTTCCCGTCATCATGTGTTTCCCCGCCCAACTCCCCAATGCTACTCCACCACAATGCTCCCACCCTCGTCCCCTCCCTGCACAGGGACCCCGACACGGTTCTGGATCCGGAGACCGGCGACCCCATTGAGCCCGATGGGCCCAACGACGTAAGTCTGCTGGCTGCGGTTGGCTGGCTGCGGTTGCTGTTGTTGCTGCTAGCAAGCGTAACCGGTCAGCTATGATACCGGCATTCGCGGGTTGGGGGGCGTGGGGCAAGGACAGACGATCCTTTCCTGAGTTGGATAGCAGTGCTGCCCCATAACGGCTGGTGATTGGCGGTTAGAATGGTGCAAAGTACGGCAGCGCGTGGCGGGGATGATGCTGCCTTTCGGAAGCTCAGGAAGGTCGTAGCAGCTACCATGGTCGCATGCGATCACAGTGACGGCCGCTCCGCATGGGCGGTTGGCGGTTGATTAAGCGGGCGTGTCGACCGGGCTGGACATCGGCTGGATCTGGGGATGGCCCGCGCCCGCCCCTCCATAGAAGCCCTGCACGCATGCTTCACCCACACCCCTCCTCCCTGCCGCACCCACACACCCATTATCCCTCCCTCCCCTCCCTGCTGACCCCCCAGTTCGAGTGCGAGGACGTGGAGGGCGATGGCAACCTGTTTGACGCGCTGGGCGCTGGCGTCGGGCGGGGCGAGATGTACGCTGCCATGCTGGCGGTGAAGAAGCTGGGCGAGGACGGCAAGCGGGGGGTGGCCACGGTGCGCTTCTTCGGCAAGTTCTTCGGCACGCAGGCGGACTACTACGTGTTCGAAACCACCCTGCAGAACAACCCGGACATGCCGGAGGCGCCAGGTGGGGGGGTGGGGCAAAAAAGTATATAGAAATGCAAACAACTAGAGTCCCAATCCCATATCCCGACTCATGCAGTGAGTGCATTCGGAGACACTATCCTAGAAACACGCAAAGAAACGTACCTTACCGAAGGCTTGGAGGGGTGGGGCAGGGAGGGAAGGGAAGGCGGGTGGTGGGTGGGGGATAAGGAAAACTGACGAACTGAATGATGAACAACTGGATGCGGGAGGTGGTGGGGAAGGTAGTGGGAGGCGACATGGGGAGTGGAGTGGTACATGTGGGAAAGCCACCGAGATGCTCAAGAGATGCAGTAAGCGCAACTGAACAGTCTCTTACCCCACGATGTGTGATGTAGCATCACACTCCCAAGAGCAACGCTGCGCTGATCATCCCTTGCACCTCGGGTGTCCCACCTCTCACCCCTCCTCCTCTTCCTCCCCAACCCCACCTTCCCCTCCACCCCTCCCAGAGGACGACGTGCCGTACGAGCCGTACGGCGAGGGCGCCAACGCCTACATCTACTTCGTCTCCAACTCCCTGGGCGGCCCGCTCATCCAGCTGCCCTACGTCACCCCCGACCAGATCAAGGCCTCCCGCCTGCTGCGCCGCTTCCTCACCGGCCGCCTGGAGGCGCCCGTGTCCGCGTACCCCGCCTTCCCGGGCAACGAGGCGGTCTACCTGCGCACCCTCATCGCGCGCATCGCCGCGGCCACCGTGTGCTGTCCGCGCGGGTTCTTCCTGGCGGATGAGGACACCGCGGAGCTGGGTCAGAACGAGGAGTGGCTGCCGCTCAAGGGGCGCGAGATGGCGCTGCCGGTCAACTGGAGCCACCGGTACGGCCACCTGAAGGCGCAGGGGCGGGTGGCGACGTACAAGCGGGACCCGCCGGATGAGGAGGAGGAGCCGGAGAAGGTAAGGAAGGGGAGGAAGCATGGGTGGGAGCGGTGGTCGCGGGGATGCTGTCGGGGAGGGCATACACATGGCCCATGCAGGCCTCAGCTGGCTTGTGCTTCCCCAGCTGGCGGGCCCCTTTTAGTCCTACCAAGTCCTTGATCCCACCCGCCCTCACGCACCGCCCCATCCCCCTATCCTGCCCACTCCACCGCTCCCCCCTTCCCGCTCCCCCCTCAGAACTTCTGGACTGCCGAGGAGCAGGAGGCGGGTCCGCCCCCGCTGGCCACCCTGGACACGGACGCGCCGCTGCCCAGCCGCCCCGGCGACCCGGTGCCGCCGCCCGCGTGGAGCCCGCTGCTGGCCTCCGCCTCCGTCACCACCCGGAACCAGGTGGGGGAGGGGGGGAGTGAGGGGGCCTGGAAGGGTGGGAGGGAGGCCTGAGGAGAGGTGGGGAGGTGGGGTTGTTGGTACCGGTAATCGCTGCGTGCGGGTTGACGGCATGGGTACTTAACCCACCCACCCGATAGCCATTAACAACAACACCACCAGCGCCTTTACCCTTACCCACCGCACATGCCGTACCGCCTCACACACGTAACCGCTCATTACGATGTGGCATGCATGCATGCATCTCATAACCCACCCACTCCTCCCCTCAACCTTCCCTCATCCTTCCTTCATCCTCCCCAACCCATCACTCAACCCACCCACCAACCCACCCACCCAACCCAACCCATCACTCCCTGCAGGTTGCCGGCGTGCGCTCCAACCGCTGGCCCGGAGCGGTGTGCGCCTGCGTGGGCCGCCACTTCGCCTCCCTGTACGTGGGCTGGGGGCTCAAGGCGGGAGACTTTGCGCCCGCGCCGCCGCCCCCGCTGGCGCCGCAGTGGCCGCAGCCGCTGCTGGAGAGCAACGAGCTGCCGCCCAAGCCGGAGCCGGAGGAGGAAGAGGAGGACGATTGAGCGGGAGGAGGTGGTGGTGATGGTGAGGTGGAGGTGGAGGAGCAGGAGCATGGGGGCAAGGGCGGTTGAGGGGGAGGAGGGCGGGAGAAGGTTGGGTTTGCTGAGAGGAAGACAGAGGGCTAAGGGAACGCGTGCATGTATCTAGGTAAGAGGAGGTGGAGGAGACGAGGGGTGTTGGTGTGCAAGGACATGCTTGAAGTGAGTGGGCTTGGGCTGACCAGCTTTTCAATGTGGTGTAACTGGGGTACCTCTGTCATTGCCGTACGTTCCCTATTGCTGTGGTAGCACGCTTGTATCACGGGTACGATGAGATGCGGGGTGAGCCGTCCTTGTATTGCCTGTAGCAGTATGCGACGACATGTGAGAGCAACGGTCGTAAAGTCGTTGTCGTAGCTGGCTTTTAAGCCGTACCTAGCTTGACTATTTGAGCTAACAATTGTATAAAGACGAGACATACACTGCATCCTGGATGCTCCTAGCCTTGTTGGCGTGGTTGCCACGCTACTGAAGATGTGAAAGGCTTTGCGCAGTATACGGGTGGAAGTGAACAACCCATGATTAGGAACCCGCATGCAGCGCTGCTTGCAGCACGGTTTGTAGATCCCACCGCCCCCCCTTTTCTGTCTACCCTGCGTTTGGAGGCCCCAGCCGTGTGTTGTCTCTTGTCTTCGTGCGCTTGCCCGGACTGCAGGTACCGGTACCGTCCACTGCAACTCTCTGATGTAGCAGGCGTCTTGCAGGCAGAGAACTGTCTGGCAGGTGTGGGTTGGCGGAAGCTGCATACGCACGGTAATCCAGGCATGTCTGGGAAGCCTAAATGCGGCAGCGAAATGCGGCAATGAACAAAGGCAAAACTTGCCAACCCTGAAGCGGTCTCCTCCTGGGGTCAGCCACCCCGTCCACCACACTGCATGCTAGGCCGGGGATCCTCCTGCGTGTACGCCGCAGCTCACCTTATGAGAAATTGCATATTTCAGGATGGCAGCTCTAGGCATCTTTCGCGGGTGACCGTACACTGCCGTACAGCTGCATTTCCCCTCTCGACTGTTAATTAGGTTAGATGCTAGGCCATTATCATACAGTTATTATAGCGCAGTTACTTACATTGTGGATACAACCCATTCCCAAACGTTTGGTATTGCACTTGAAGTCGCCGAAAGCGAGTCGTCCGCTTGCTGGTTGCAAGTTGCACAGACGCAGCCTCAACATCCCAGTATCTAACCAAAAGATATATAAATACCAGTATTTACCTAAGGATTTGTCTTTTATCGGACTTTCCGGACGGGTTGAAGCAAGTGAAGCCATGGTCGACGGCGGCAGCGGCACCCACGAGCGGACTTCGACGATGCCCCTGCCGTGCAGCTTTGAGGACCTTGTGCCAGAGATTGTACAAAGGATTGCTACATTCCTGCCTGGCAACGACGTCGCTTGCGGGCTTCGCTTGGTCAACAAGGCTACCGCGGCCAACCTTCGCGATCCACAACACCTCACTGTGCAGCTGTCGCAGCCAGTAATCTCCGACGAGTTTTCAAAGTACTGGGTAACAAAAAAGTCCGCGCAAAGCCTTTCGCTTGCGCAAAGGCAGCAACTGATATGTTTGACAGCAAGCAGCGGAAGCGTGCATAACCTACGCATCGCAGCTGAGGTTGCCGATTGCCCGCTGACAGAAGACATATTCAACGCCGCAGCCGCTGCAGGGCATGTCGCGGCCTGCAAGTGGTTAGTGGCCGCGAAATGTCCGTGCAATGCCTCTGGTGCGATAGAAGCCGCTGCCCAAGCCGGCAAGCTGGATGTAATCCGCTGGCTACGCTCTCAAGGCAAAAACGTTAAAGCTGCTTGGATAGCCGCAGCAAAAAGCGGTCAGCTCGCAGTCTGCGAGGGCCTGCTCACCGATGGCATTGCATGCAGCGAAGCCGCCGTGTACTACGCGGCTTCCAACGGCCACATCAGGCTATTGGAATGGCTACTGGGGCACTCAAAACGCCTGCACCTGCTCCTCCTCGACTTCACCCAGCTGCTCGCCAACGTGGCCAAGGGCTGCGACTTCGCATCCCTGCGCAAGCTGATGGAGGTGGTGGTTTGGACAGTCGCGGGGCGCAGCTGCGCCGCCCTACGCTGGCCGCCTGCGTGCTGGAGGCTGCCACGGGCTCCACACCCGACTGGCAGGCGAAGGCGGAGTGGCTGGAGGCGCGCGGGGGCTGGGGGCTCTCCAAATGGAGCCCGGAGCTGCAGCAGCAGGTGGCTTGGCTCCGGAGCCGGGGTGTGGCGCTCACGTTGCGCCCCTCGGAGGGCTTGGCGCAGTCGGGGGACACGGCGTTGCTGTCCTTCCTGCTCTCACAGCGGGAAGGTATTGACATGAGCATCGCCCAGATTGCGGAGCTGGCAGCGGGTTGGGGACAGCTGGATCTCCTGCAGCAGACGCTCGCTGTCACCTGCAACATGCTGTCTGCAGCAGCACCGGCACCAGTACCAGCACCGGCAGCAGCACCGCAAGCAGCACCCTCAGCACCCCCAGCGACACTGCCTCCCGTGAGTCGGGAGGTGGTGCTGGCGGCGGTGCGGGCCGGGCACCTGCATGTGGTGCGCTGGCTGGCGGCCTGCGATGCGGGCGCACTGTCGCTGCTGGGCGCCCTTATTGCGTCCCTCAAAGGAGGCGACACGGCCGCGCTGCTGGGTGGTGCGGGTGGTGCGGGTGCGGGAGGGCAGTCCAGCGCAGGAGGTGCAGCGGACACAGCAGCGGCTGGTGGCACTGCTGCTGGTGCTCCTGGACTTGGTGGTGATGTGGGCTCGACCTCGCTGCTGCACTCGGTCCCCTGGGAGGACCTGGCGGTGGCAGCAGTGGAGTGCGGCCACCTAGAGCTGCTGGCGTGGCTCCTGGACTGGAGGCAGCAGCAGCACCGGCAGCGGCGGCGGGGCGGTGCTGGTGGCAGTCGCAGCAGTAGCGGCGGCGGCGGTGGTGCAAGCGACGCGAAGAAGAGGGCGGCCGAGGAGAAGAAGCGGGAGGACCAGCGGTATTTTGGTCACGAGGCGTTCCTGGCTGCGGCCGAGGCGGGCAACCCGGCGGCGCTGGAGCTGCTGGCGGCGCATGGGCTACCCATGGGGGTGAGGCGTGGGGAGTGACCCGTGGGTCAGAACTGGGCGGCAGCTTGTCTGGGTAATGATCATGCCCATGTGTGTGTGCGTCACTGAGGGCGGTAGAGGTGTGACCAGAAGTGCGGCAGCCGGGGCAGTCGGGGTTGGGTGATAAGCCGGGCCACTCAACCCCCCCTGCCCAGCCCCTCTTCCTCCTCCTCCTCTTCCTCACCTCCTCATCCCCTCCCACCCAACCCCCCACCTCCCCGCCACGCCAGAAAACCGGGCAGGCCTACGTGCTGGCGGGCCGGAACGCCGACTTCACGACCCTGCGCTGCCTGCGCCGCTTGGGCTGCCCCTGGGACGCAGGCGGCGACACCTTCGACACCGCGCTGTACGAGGGCTGGTCGGGCCGCCCGCTGGTTTGCAGCTTGGCGGTGCTGCGGTGGCTGCGGCGGGAGGGCTGCCCGGTGCACTGGAACAACGCGGCATGGCATGTGGGGCAGCGGGTGGACGAGGAGGCTGCGGCGGTGGAGCAGTGGATGGCGGAGGAGGAGCCGCAGGGCTGGTTGAGCGAGGAGCTTCAGGAGGAGGAGGAGGAAGAGGAGGAGGAGGAGTGGTAGGAGGTGGATTGAGGGTTGGTGTGGGTATGGGTAAGGGTAAAGGAGAGAAGTGAGGAGGGAGGGCAAGGAGGTGGTGGTGTGGTGCAGTGGTGGGTGGGAGCGTTTTTCCGGGTAAACCCAGGTATACCTTATAGTTTCCGGGTATACCTTATCCAAAGGCGGGCTTTACGAGTACTGCAGGCGGGTTTCTGGTGCTCTCAGCCTTCGCAGGTAACTTCAGTTTTATGTTGTTGAATGGCGGTTAGGAGCTGCATACTTGGCATCGCGATTATTCAACGTCCTGAGGGTATCATGTGTTCCTTAACTGTACACCAGAACATCTCGCGCTTAATGTTAACATGTCAACAGACTTTAACGATAACCGTTAACTGCGCGCGAAAAAAACTAACGGGCGCATAGTTGCTTAGTCTTCGCCAGCCAGGAACGCCCAGAATCAGCAGGAAATAAAATATTCAGTGCTTCCGTTACTTAGCTAAGCCTTGCTGTCTCCGGTAACTGGACTTAATACTTTGTTACGACCCGATGAGAACACCTACCCTAACGCTCTTCCTTTTCCTCCAGAGCCTTCTGATCCACTTCCATCAAACAACAGCTGCAGCTGAAATTGGCCATGCCAGCATCACCCTATCCGCACCCCTAGCTGCTTCCCACCGGATTAGCACTGCTGCTGCTGCTGATGCTGCTGGCAAGCACAATGCCCTCACCAAGCGCGGCTCCGAAGCCCAACGGCACCCCCACCACCAAGCACACCCGCAGCAGCAGCCTGGCGTGCCGCAGCCTGCCACACCCCGCCGGCTGCCGGACCCCCTGCAGCACCTGCGGCGCTTCATCCAGCAGGTGCCCAAGGCCGAGCTGCATGTGCATGTGGAGGGTACTCTGGAGCCGGAGATGATGCTGCGGTTCGCGCATCGCAACGGCCTGCCCCCGCCGTACCCCAGCGCGGAAGCAGCCCGGTAGGTCTCCTAGGAAGAGGGCCCCTTAGGCAGCGGGCAGCGGGCCTCACTACCCGGTCAAGACCTCAGCCAGGTTGAGGGTGGAGGAGGGCCCTTGCTTGGCTTGGCTTTGCGGAACGGTTGATTGGTTTTGCAGTACATGTGAAGTAAGCGCGCCGGGGTTTGAGGGCCAGGGGCATGTAGTGGAAGGCGCACCGAGGCAGCGTCGTATGCGTACGTCCCCCCTGCGCACTCGTGCATGCAGGCGGGCATGTGCGCCTGCATTGAGCGACCCGTGACCCGCCTCCCCGAGCTCATGCCGTACGCCATAGGGCTCTCTCTGCCTCCCTCTCTGCCTCCCTGCAGCGCTGCGTATAACTTCACCGACTTGCAATCCTTCCTGGATCTCTACTACAAGGGCTGTTCCGTACTGCGAACACGGCAGGACTTTTACGAACTAGCCATGTCGTACTTCCAGGTGCGTACGGCAGTACAATAATACGGCATATCTTGCCGTACAGCGCACCTGTGCTTGCACCTGTAATCTCCTAGCAGTTACCATACCAAGGCACGCCTCTCCCTCGCCCCTGCCCATCCCTCACTCACTCTGAATCTCTCGCGGCTCAGGTTATCTAATCCCTTCTTTCCCTTCCCTTTCCTTCCCTCCCTCCCTCCCCCCTCCCAGCGCGCTGCCGCCTCCCACGTGCTGCATGCTGAGGTGTTCTTCGACCCGCAGACGCACCTGGCAGCCGGACTGCCCTGGGAGGTGTTCATGGGGGGGCTGGCGGATGCTGCGAGGGAGGCGGGCAGCAGACTGGGTCTGAGTGCGGCATACATCATGTGTTTCAGGAGGGTGAGAGGCAGGGGTGGGGTGCAGGTGGGGGTTGGGGAAGGCAGGTACTCCGCACACAGGTTGACCGCTCCCCGGCCCACCTCCAACCCCCGCAACCCCCCCGTCCCCCCTCAACCCCCCCCGTCCCCCCTCAGGACCTCTCCGTCGCCTCCGCCAGCGCCACCCTGACCTCCGCACTGCCCTGGCTGGCCCCCGGCCGCATTCTGGGGGTGGGTCTGGACTCCTCGGAGGCGGGCAGGCCGCCGGGCGGGTGGGCGGGGGTGTACGACAGGGCGGCGGCGCTGGGTCTGCGGCGGGTGGCGCATGCGGGGGAGGAGGGGCCGCCGGAGTACGTGTGGGAGGTGCGTGGGGTGGTGGCGCGGGTGAGGGGGGGAGGAGGGAGAGGGGGGAGAGGAGAGGGGGCTCTGGAGAGGAGGCTGCGTCCCCAGTGCGTCTCTGCCTCGTAGTTCCCTTCCTCGCCGCTTACGTAACGGCGCAAAGGTAAAACCTGAACTGCTTCAGCCATCCGCCTTGGACTCCTTGCCCCCCATTGCACTCCCCTCGTCAACCCCTTCCTCCTCGCTCGCTCGCTCCCTCCCTCCCTCCCATCCCTCATCAGGGTCATCACACAGCCAGCCCCTCCGTCTCCCACCTGCCCTCCCCATGTTTGCGCCCCATGGTGAAGCCCACATGCCGTACAGCCAGTCACTTCACACACCTACACATGCACCTGTCCTGGCCCCCCCTCGCCCCCCCCCCACTTCAAGGCGCTCCGGCTGCTGCATGTGTCCCGGCTGGATCACGCGGTGCGCGCCTCCGAGGACCCGGCGCTGCTGGCCTGGCTGGCGGCCTCGCGCACACCGGTCACCCTGTGCCCCCTCAGCAACCACAAACTCAAGGTAGGGGCGGCTAACACATTAAGCGAACACTAATAAGGGGCTGCCGTTAAGGGGCTGCCAGTAAGGGGCTGCAAATAATGCAGTGTACGGCAGTGTTGATACTGCTCCTTGAAACTCTGCCCGACCCGTTTGGCTCAAATAACTCGATTCAACATATTGTGCATCTTCTTCTTTTCTCCTCCAATGCCGGTACCAAACACGCATGTCGAACCCCCGTGCCGTACATCAGGTGTGCGAGGGGCAGCTGGTGGAGCGCTACCGCCAACTGCTGCGCAGCGGGCTGATGCTAACGGTCAACTCCGATGACGCGGCGTACTTTGGCGGTTACATCAACGACAACTACGAATGGTTCGCGGCGGCGTTGGGGCTGGGGGTGCGAGATATCGCTCAGTTGGCGGCCAACAGCTTTGAAGCGTCGTTTGCGTTGCCGGGCGGCGAGGTACGGCGGAGGCAGCTGGTGGCGCGGGTGTGGCAGCTGGCGGTGGAGGCGGAGGCGGCGGAGGGGAGGCAGGCGGAGGCGGAAGCGACTGAGGAGGAGCGGGTGTGAAGGAAGGGCGAGCGCCCGAACCATGACAAGGCACCATGCGGGAGGGCACTGTGATTGGGGTAGCGATGGAATTGGGGAGGAGGTGTATGGGATTGGGAGTCATTGGAGCACGGGAAGGGTCTGACTGGGCGGTAGGGGACGTGGAACATGGCAGCTGTGGTTTGAAGTTGAGCTCTGCGTTGCCGGTTGGGAGACTACTACCGGCACCAACATGCAGCATCTTGCTAATCGGATGCTCCAAGCCAAGCCACCAAACTATTCACAACACCTCTTCTCAACTCGAATCTCCGCAGAAGGGCCGAACCTGCAACACACCCTCCCTCTCGCGCAAGAACCCTACTTACACCAACGGTTCCGCCTCCCACCAGTACGGCACCTCCCATGGTACCCGCACGGCCCCTAACACGAACCGCACCCCTCACCACTCCCCACTACACACCCCCGCCACCACCCCTCGTGGCCACGAAATGCTGGTCATGCAGCCTACTAGCAGCCGCAGCGCCGCCTCCTCCTCCTCCACCGCCGTACGGCCCCGCCTGCACCGCCGCTCGTACAAGCTCCACCACCGCCGGCGCCGCCAGCGTTGCGCCGTACGCCTCGTCGCCCGCCGCCACCTCACCGCGAGCCGCCGCCGCCAGTGTCGCCCACAGCGCCGACACGGCGACGTAACGCCAGCTGCACGCGGCGGCGCCGGTTTCCGCACTCGCGTCGGTTAGTCGAGCGAGCAGGTCGGGTGACGTCAGCAGCTCCAGGGCGAACCAGCTGCGCAGTGCAAGTGCGGCGATGCAGCTGCGGGAGGGGGCCGGAGTGAGAAGGTGGAGGAGGGAGAGTGAGGAGGTGTGCGCTCCTGGAGGCGGCAAAGGCGAAAGGAAGCGGAGACGCAGACAGGGAGCGCATGTGTGGGCGGGATGTGGGCGTAAGGAGCGGAGAGGGGTGTAACGGCACGTGTAGCCCCTTTCTTTATCAACGACTGCATGCACCCTCCCCACTAACACCCCACCGGCCACCATGTTTGCACCCCATGGTGAAGCCTACATGTCATACAGCTCGTCAGTCGCCTTGCCAGTTTCCTCATTTCAGTCAATTGGCCCCAGCAGCCCCCCCCCCCACCGGTACGTTGCCAGCCGCAGATCCCTGAAGGGTTGGCTCAGACCCGCGGCCAGCACCTCGCCCGGCCGCCGCCGCAGCCCGCATGCGGAGAACACGCAGCGCCGCAGCAGCTCCTCGCACTGGGTGGGGGGTGAGGGTGGGGGTGAGGGGGGTGAGGGTGGGGGTGAGGGTGGGGGTGAGGGGTGAGGGGGGTGAGAGAGGATGGTGGACGGGGTGGAGGGGCCAACAACTGAGAAGCGAGGCAACCGAGGAGTCCCCCAGCCCCATGTCCTCGCGACTCATGCAGTGGAGGGTGGAGGAGGCAGGAGGCGGTGCGGCGGGGAGTGGCGCTTGGCAGCGTGAGGTAGGGGCCGTAGGTGGGTAGGCCGCGAGCTGGGGCCGCAGTAGCAAGCAGTTGCAGCAGAGGCGCTAGTTGCGCCGGCGCTGCTTCCTGCCAGCCCAAACCGTGTCACAACTCCCCATTACCCCATCCGACATCATCGTCATTACACAGCTCGTCAGTCTCCCCTTGTCAACACCCCCCCCCCCTTGCGAGCCCCCGCCCGGCGGGCCCCACCTGCTCCGGCAGCACCGCCGCCGCCCTGCAGCGCTCCCGCCCCGCCCTCTCCAGCCCCGCCAGCGAGGCGAGTGCATGCAGCGCGGCGCAGCGCACCTCGGGGTGCGGGGAGCGACCCAGAGCCCGCTCGCATGCAGCCTGGGGGGGGCGCGGATGGGGGGGAGGGGGAAGGGAAAGAAGTAGGATACAAGATCCTAGCATCATAGACACATGCAAAACTGAGGAGATGCCATGTCGCACCTCCCTCCGCTGCTCCCCCCGTCACCCCCGCCCCCGCCCGCCCGCCTCACCCGCACCACCGCCTCGTCCGTTAGGGCCAGCTGCGCCCCCGCCCGCGACTGCCCCAGCGTCCCCAGCGCGTCCAACCCGCACGCCTCCGCCGCCGCACTCGCATCGCCCGAGTCGTCCAGTACGGCTCGTACCGCCGCCAGCAGCGCCGGCGCCGCCAGCAGCCCCGTCGAGGAGGACCCCGCCGGCGCCGCCGCCGTCGTCACCCCTGCCGCAGTACCATTGCTCAGCTCCTGCTCCCCGTTGGCGGCAGCCGAGGCGTTTGCTGGTCCCTGCTGATCCGTCGCCGTTGCCGTTGCCGTACCGTTCGCAAAGGCTGCCGCCACCGCTGCCGCCGGCAGCGCCTCCGGCAGGCTGCGCCGTACAATTCCCGCTACCAGCGGCATGGCGGCGTCGGAGAGGCTGGGCTCCGAAACCAGCTGCAGCAGCTGCGGCAGTGCGATACCCGCCAGCGCCGCCGCCATCCCGTCTCCCCCCTCTTCTCCACCTCCCTCACCTCCCTCACCTCCGCCAGCTAGCAACTCCTCCAGCAGCTGTAGCGCCGCCAGACAGGCCAGTGCGTCGGAGGGGTCCGCCAGCTGCTGCAGTAACGGCTGCAGCAGTCCCGAGTCCCGGAGCAGTTGTAGCCGCTCCTCAAGACCGCCAGCGGCGGCGGCAGCGGAGGCGGCATTAGCTCCTGTCGTACGGTGATGTCCGCGGCCGGCGGCGGCGAGCTGCAGCCCCAACGCCAGCACCCGCAATCGTACAGTGCCGTACCGGTCCGCCGCCGCCGCCGCCAGCAGCGCCCTCGCCACCGTCGTACCGGGCCCCAGCAAGCGCTGCAACGCTGCGTAGCTGCTACTGCCGAACAGTTTGAGCGCCCGGGCAGCTGTCGTCGCAACTGCCGTATCCGAGTCGGTCAACAGCCGTACTAGCTGGTCCAGGCAATTTGTAGTGACATTATCGTCGTCGTCAGTGCCAGTGCTGCTGCCGCCGTCCATGGCAGCGACTGTTGTTAATGGCTGCCGCTGTTCCTGTCGTACTCTTGCCATGAGGAGGTTGCCGTACTGCTCGGCCGCCAGTCGGCGGAGCGGCGGTAGCGGGGCCGTACTGGCAGCGTCCAAGTAGGGTACGGCAGTAGAGAGCATAGAGTGGCCTGGGAGTGGCCACGGGTTGAAGGGACAAGGGGTGTGCAAAGGGGGAAGGCACGGAGGAAGTGGCTTGCAGGCACCCGCAGGAACAGTTATGTGCAGAAAGCTGCCCCAGGCTGCCCCTCCTTAGCAACGACACCAAGAGGGATTAAAGTACCACCCCGCCCCTTCGACGGCTCCAAGAAGCCATGGAAGCTGTCGTACCGAGGTTTGTTTCCAGCAGCCTCCCAAGCGAATCAGACACCAGCAAGACATCATCCCTGTCTTGAGCTGCTGACAGAGCCCTTCGGGATTCAGGAGCTGGAGCGTAAGCGGATGCGCGAAGAACAAGATGAAGTCCATTGGCATTCGTGCAACACAACATGCACACCTGAAGAGCCGCTCCAAAGAATATTCAGAGAAGAAAGCATGTGCCTGGTCGTCTGTTAGAGGTGGTGGTAAAGCATGCACTTCTTTGCATGCTTGCACCAGCGATGCTAGTTCCGTCCCGCTCAGATCCATCGCTCAGATCAACGATATGCTTAGAGATATGCTGCACGTGAATTACTTAATCCCTGATCAAACAACGGTGGCCGTCCCAGATGGAATTTACATGTTGCGACCTTTCGCATTACGTCATCTTCTCCGCTAACCCATCCGCAGAAGGAGTTTACCGGGAGTTGTATACACGCAATAAAACTGTTTAAGGAACAACTTGCCGTATTCCTATAAAGCATTTCAAGGTGTTTTAGTCCCCGAGATTACCCATCAACACGCCATCCTTGGCAGCTCAGCCCTCCAAATCATCCAGGTCTTTTCCCAACAGGCCATTTGTCGTTAAGTCCGTGCATTTCTGTGTCACTCCTGCTTCTCCCTTTATTATGTACCTTCGCTGCGTGTCATAAGCAATGATAGGTCACCAGGTGCACAAGCCCGCCGTACACAGTAACCGTACTGCGAGATACCGCAGGTTGCTGGGGGGCCTAAGGAAGGGATGCTCTGGGGCAACCGGGCAATAGAATGCGCTCAGTGGGGCATGTCGGCATTACATAGAAGCGTTGGAGATGCTACAAATAGGGCGCTTGCTGCATCAAACCCAGGTGAGACAAAGAACGAACCCAACAAAGACACAAGGACAAACGTCATCATTCCCCCAACCCCTGGCAAGTCAGCGTACATGCTTCTTGGCCGTATTCATCAAATTCCCCCCACATTTGACGTTATGTTTATGCGTAGTCAATTACCAAGCAAAATCAAAAATTTGAAACACTACAGGGTGAAAGATGGCATTAAGCAGCCATGTGCTGTGTTGATGATACGCACATCAACGTACGGAAGCAGCACACCTCGGGGTGATGAAACCCTCTTTGACACCCCCTTCCTTTGCGTCCACTGCTGACCTAGCAAAAATCAAAACTTGCAACTCAAGATTCCCGTACAAGCCATAAAACACCGGTCCGATACTTTCAATACCTTTTAAATTCCTTTCCGAAACCCCAAAACCAAATCCCCTGCAAATAGCGCATTCCTGTCGTAACCATAGCCACATTGCTTCCGCATACAAAATAAGCATACATCGACGTTGCAGTTAAGGGTTATACATCGGGTGTGTCTAACCCATGTATTGCCATGCGCCATGCTATAAGGCACCCTGATGAAACATGCGAACCATGCGCCAGGGTCCTGCCCTTCCATCCAGTCCGTCACCACCACCCCTCCAAAGGGCTTCATGCCACACCGCATCGGATCAAAATCCCTCTCCGTCCAGAATCGCCCACAATTGACAATAGGGCGTTTCCCTTCCCATGACAATGGGAGGCGGGAATAATGCAAAACAGCAGCAGGGGGAAAAAATCGCCCGCAAATAGGGCATACTCTTTCCACAGTACGGCAAACGCTTCCCTCTTAAAACACGGTACACGCTTCCCTCTTGCGAGTTCCTTTCCCGGTAATTTTTCTCTCGCACAAAAAGGAACGAATTTTCGCGGGTTACGGTCAATGCTTCCTCAGCCCGCATCCATACAACACGTCCCCAAACCGGCACAGTCATCCACAGCGCGTCTTTCGGTAGGTATCATAACTTACTTCTTCCAACGATGCAGTTCCTTTTGTCAAATTGTGCCTAAACCGGAAAAGCAATACCAGAATCACGTACAGGCGAAATGGATATTGAATTTGCTTTATAGCGTTTGTGAAGCCTTGACCATTAACTCCGCCTCCGTCGCTGACCCACGCTGACCCTGTCACGAGGGCTCGACGCGTGTTGCCACGTTTTGTATTCCCTCCAATAAACGATGAAGAAACTTTTCATGACCGTCGCGGCAGCACTTGCGCAAACCCGGCGGATACGACACATGACCCTCATACTCATACTCATCAGCATCGATATATTAGATACGTAACATCCCGCCAACTCTTTAATGCACTCCTCTAATTAACTTATACTCGCATGTAATCCCCCCTCCACCTAAGTGCGCATGTGTCCCAATTTGAAAGCCCCTTACTTGATGCATCCCTCGGTCATGTACGCATCTACATCTCTCTGTCAAGCTCTGTATGCAATTGCAACTTTGTACGCATTGCACGCGGCACGTCATATAACCATGACAGGCTCAACACGCACGAACGCAGCCGCACATGCAGGATGTGCACAGTCCGGTTCGGGCCCGTTGGTGTGGCAGGGGCTCGCCTGCTCAAAACTGTGGAATCCCATCATTCCAAGCCCCCAGGACCGCAAAGCAACCTAGCCGGCGTTACGTGGCGTGCTGCTGCTTCCAGCAGTACAATAAGCTTCGTACAAATCGCCGCCCGCTTCTTTCGCCTCTTCTCTAACCAAACCAATTGAAATGGAGCACACTGGCATGAAACCCCGGGATAATGAACTCAGTGCACCTCCTTACGCACACGCACAGACACTGACGCTGACTCAACTCGGAGCAGTCCTCGATCTAAATAAAACCACCACCAAGTAGTACGGGTCCGGTAGCGCTAAGCCAAAGATACCCCGCATTCCTGCTGCTGCTGCTGCTCTGTCGTCCTCTCCGGCTCGCTGTGCTGTTGGTTTTCCTGCGAAACCCCCACTCCTGATTTGCCGCCGCGGCACGATACACGTGCGACGTACGACATACAGTATCGCAATTCAAACCTCTCTGATCGCGGGTCGCGTCAGTCTCTCCTCAATACCATGCCTCGAGCAACGCTCCGCTCCTCTTGATTCGAGCTCGAGTTGAGTTGAGCTGAGTTGAGTTGGGTCGAGTTGAGTTCCGAGCTGTCGACGTGTAAGCCACCACCCCGGCCCGGACGTGAGGCTGTTCAGGCCCCACAGAAGAAATCAATGACATCGTATAAAGCCGTTCCGCTCCTGTCGTAATGACTTGGTAACAGCCTCCCGACGTACCCCGTCCGTATCCCAATTGCTTCTAGCCGCCTCCCTCGCAACCCGCTATGTTGCCATACACGTACATGCGTATGCGTATACTTCCGTATACAAGCACACCCCGCGTTACGTGTTACGGCGGGTGCTACTGCGGATGTCCGGAGTGTGGTCGTGGGTTGCGACGTTTGAAATCCGACAGCTTCTCCAGCTGTCGTACCAGCTCCTCCGCGGTGGGCCGTACGGAGGGCAGCGGGTGCCAGCACCGCTCTGCAAGCGCGCGGTAGCTGGGGGGCACCCAGGCGGGCAGGTTGGGGCGCAACATGGAGTGGGAGACGGCGTTGGCGATCTCCTGCGCCGACAGTCCCTCGTACAGCCGCATGCCGCACAGCACCTGGGAGCGGGCGGGGGGGGGCGGGGTGGGAGGAAGCCAGCGGGGAGGGGGGGCGGGGTTAAGGAGGAAGAAGCTGTGTGACGAGGCTTCACCATGGGTTGCTACATTGGACCCGGCCCATCCCGCCCGGATGCTGCCTTCGCTCACGCCACCCTCATCCGTTCCCGTCCCTCCCCCAGCCTACATTCTTCGTTTTCTCCCCAGCCTTACCTGGAACATGAGGATGCCGAAGGCTGTGTGACGCAGCGCCGCGTGGAGAGGGCCAGCCGTGCAGAGCATGGCAGGCAGGGCGAAGAGGGAAGTCAGTGGGGTGCATGTAGGGCGGGGCGGGGCGGGGGGTGCAGGCATGCGTGCAGAGGAGGTGAAGCAGGGGTGCTCTGCTGCGGTGAATGCAGATGGATGTGAAGTGACTGTCTGGATGTCTGGATGTGAAGAACGCACGCAACAGGTGTGTTTGGGGTGAAGCCAGCGCTGCTGCTTGGGACCTCGGGAGCGCAAAGGCGTGGATGCATTGTGTTGGCGAAGAACTACGTGTTCCGTGGGCTGGTATGGACTTCACAATAGCAGCCCCAGGGATGCTGCACGTGAGCCCACATACCGTAGACGTCTACAGCGGCTCCCAGAGTCTTCTTGCCTGGGGGTTCAATATTGGGGGGTTCCAGGACAAACCAGATTCGTTAGAAGCAGCCCGGTATGACAATGGGAGGTCCCTCTGACCCACGGGTCACCTACCCTTGACGGCACGCATGCATGCGATGTCAACATACATGTAAACGGAGGGCAGCACCTATCGCTCATCGGTGTGCACATGTACAGACAGTTCTAGGCAACAGTTCGGGACAACACAAGAGCGAGCGGACAGGAGGCATCTGACGGCACCTCTTCCCGCCCCTCGGACCCCTCCCTGCTCTGCCACCGCCACCACCCAAAAGATAGAACCACCCCACAGCAGCCTCCCCTCCCCTCCCCTCCCTGCCCTGCCACCGCCCCTCCTCACCCATGAACACCTCGGGTGCAATGTGCGTGATGGTCCTGCGACACCGGGAGAGTGGCACATGGGTGGTGTGAAGGAGGCACAGTTACACGCCCTGCTTGCTTCGGTTGCTTGCTTGTCGGGAACACCCCACCTGCGACGTGCACCTGCCGCACTGCCACCCCCAGCCCCAAGCTGTGCACCACCTCGGCCAGCCTCATGTACCCCACCGCCGGTCAGCAACCCCACCCCTTCCCCCCGATGATGCAACCCATGGAGGAGCCCTGTGACACATCTATCTTTTTCCCCACCACACCCCTCCCACCCACCCAACCCCCACTTGCCCTTTCTTCTGGTTTGGCTATGCTCTAGCACCCCTCCCCCTCCCCCTTCCCCTTCCCCTTCCCCTCTCCTCCTCTCACCCGCTGGCCACTGCCTCGTCAATCACCAGCTGTCCGTCCTCATCTCGCGCCATGGTCTTGGACAGCCCAAAGTCGCTCAGCTTGGCGGTGAAGCCGCGCGGGTCGCGGGGCGCACTCTTGAGCAGCACGTTCTGCGGCTTGAGGTCGCAGTGCACCAGGTGCAGCGAGTGCATGTGCCGCAGCGCCAGAGCGATTTCGAGGAGTGTGGAGTAGACGGCCTTGGGGGTGGGAGGGAGGGAAGGGGAAGATGGGGAGGGAAGGGAAGGGCAGGAAGGAAGGAAGGAACGGCGTGACGAGGCGTCACCGGGGGGTGTTACCGGTGCATGATGAGCAAAACCCTCTCCCGGGCAGCATGGGGCAGCAGCACTAAGCAGGGAGCAGGGGGAGCAGCGAGGGAGGGGCAGCAGCAGCGAGGGGGGAAGGCGGCGGCACCCGCCCTCACCCCTCACCCGCATGCTGACAGCCACCAGGGTGCGTCCGGCTCGGCCGCTGGGGCCGGGCTCTGCAGCGGGGTAAGGGGAGTGGCAGCGGGGTGGGGCCAAAGAAAATGAGAGCGGTGTGTGTGAAGGGGGAGGCGCAAAGGAGGAGGGAGACAAAAACTGGATCAAATTAGCCAAACAACCCAACCACACAACCCAACCACCAGCACCCCCAACCGCTGCTTACTCGACTCCAGCCGCTCGAAGAACACTCGGTTCTGGATGGCGTCTGCCAGGCAGCCCGCGTCCATGTATTCCATCACCAGGGCTACAGACACGCCGTCGCCGCCGCCTGCAGCCGGGCAGGGGGCAAGCAGCAGGCAGCAGAGAGCGTTAATGTGCGGCACACCGTCGAAAAGCAAATGCCAATTTATGTACCAGTAACATGGGTGGCAACATGAGAGGACCCATGGGTCACTGGGGCCTCAAAAAGCCAGACCTCTTGTGAAGGAGAGAGCACATGTGATCGTAGCATGTGTTAGGAAAACCGGCCGCGGGTATTTAACACTGTCCACAACCACCAATCTCATCTGTTCAGAAACCTGGCCGCATGCATGTGATCCCTTAGCACTCCCGAGCGAGCAGCGCGGTGATCCATGACGACCCATGGTTCGTTCCCTACCCGGCAGGTCCTGTCCCGGCGAGGGGGACTCCAGCAGCGAGGGCATGTGCACCAAGCGGGCTGGACCGCGCCCAAACGTCTCCTCCTGCATGCCGCCGGGGGGCATCTCGAAGCTGGCTGTGGAGTCAAACAACAGGCTGCCGTCGCGCGGCTGCAGCTTGCAGTCCGTGAAGAACGCCAACACCTGTGCATGGAGGGGGGCGGAGTGGAGTGGAGTGGAGTGGGGTGGGGTCACGCATGCAAGAGCGTGAGAGGCGGGCAGTTTGGCGGCGGCGGTGTATGCGGTTTGGGAAGGTACATGCGTGTGATGTTGGACATGGGCATGCGTGAAACAAGGAAGGGCGGCGATACCTCTCCCCCGCCCCCCCACCTGCACGATGTTGGGGTGGCTCACGCTCACACTCGCCACCAGCTCTATCGCGTCATGCAGGTGCTGCTTGTGCAGCTGCACGGAGCCACTGTGGTGCTGCGGACCACCAACACCCGGCACCTGCAGCTGCTGCTGCTGCTGCGGGTGCTGCTGCTGCTGCGGGTGCGGGTCGGCTGCTGTGCCCCCGGGTGGCAGCCCCGCCAGCCGCTGCTCCTGAATGACCTTGACCGCCACCTCCGCGCCGTGGTAGGTGCCCCTGCCGTGCGCGAGCCGGCGGGTTAGGGGCGGTTGCGGTTGCAGTCTCGTTACATTGCGGTTAAGAGTACGTGGCGTGTCCGTACCAGCCAGTTAGGGGGGCTAAGGACATTATCAGAAAGGGAGTGGAACGGTTACCGTGAACCTCCATGTCGTGCCCCTGTCGTACGTACCTGTATACGGTGCCGTACCCTGCAGCGTGCACAGGGGCGGCAGCAGCGGGGCAAAGGTCTCATTAGCAACAAGATGCCTCATGGCTTAATCACGTAAAGGAGGGAGAAACAGTCGATACAAACCCGGGCATCCGGGTTAGAGATGCACACACCCACATGGGCCAGTTTCCTTAACACACACATACACACACACTCTACTCATGTACACACACTCGTATGTTCCTACTCGCGGCCAGTTTTCTTAACACACACACTCTACTCGCGGCCAGTTTTCTTATCGTTCCTACTCGCGGCCAGTTTTCTTAACACACTTAATTGAACCAATAGCAGAACAGCAGCTATTGGTGCAGTACACTAACTCTATTCGGGCGGTGCTATCACACCCTCGCACATCCCCCACCAGCGCCTCACCCCAACTCACCTCCCTTGCCGATCTCCTGCAGCAGCCTCAGGCTCTGCAGGTCGGCCTTGCGCGCCTCGGAGCGCCCGCAGGTCATCTGCTCCGCCTGGGTGGGGGAGGAGGTATGAACGCATGATGATGATGGGGAGGCGGAGGGGGAGAAGGAAGAGATCCGATGTAAATCGCGATAGTGTGTCGAACGGTAGTTGTACGAACAGCGCGGGGCCGACAAGCACGCGAGCATAATGTTAAGATGTCCAAGCAGCATGGGGGCAGCATGGAGGACTGCTGACAGCGCCATGCAGCCACCAGTTATGAACATACCTGCCCGCCTACACCTGCCTGCATCTGCCTGCCTGCACCCTGCCTGGCACCTGCCTATACACCTGCAACCCTGCCGTACCTGAGCTGCCTTGAGCCGCTCATGCATGATGGTGATGATGGGGGCCAGCTTGGACGAGCCTGGGAGGGCCCGGCGGCGGTGACATACACACACACACGGTTCAGATGCGTGACAACACAGGGGGAGCATGCGTGGGTCGACGGGTGCGTTTGCGATGCTCCACAGGCGGGCCCGCAAGCAGGAAACGAGGAGGGGATTGCGAACAGGCCCAAGTGGCATGATTCATAAAGAAGCGCAGCCCCCATGTAAGCTCACGTTAGGCCGAGTACACCACCCGTTGCCGCCCCCCAACCAGCCGGCCCTCGCATCCCCCGCACCCCTCACCTCGCACGCTGGGTGCCGCCTCCAGTCGGAACGACACACTCCGCACCGCCAGCGCATTCAACAGCCGCAGGTTGGGCGCCTGTCGTACGGATCCCTCCCCGGCGCCGCCGCCGTCGAAGCCCAGCGCCGTCACCGCGCTGCAGCAGCCGCCGCCGCCGTCAGGCAGCCCGCTGCCGCCGTGGTACGGCAGGGATCCCTCGCCCGCCGCCGCCGCGAATGCCAGGCTGGGCAGCCGGTGCTCGGGGCTGCTCTTGGCGGCTCCGGGCAGCAAGCTGGGGCTCAGGTCGTTGCGTAGGAGCAGCAGCGGAAGCGGTAAGGGTGCGGGCGGCGAGGATGCGGCCGCCGTTGGGGCCGCGGCGGCGGCAGCTGTGGCCACATCCGTTGCCACAGCGGCGGCAGCCGCGGCGGCGTTGAAGGGCGACGGCAGGCCGGGAGCAAGAGGAGGAGAAGGCTTGGCGGACGGCAAAGCATCGCCGGCGTCAATAAACGTGCGCATGCGGGTTGGGCCGCCGCCGCCGCCGCCGCGGCCCCCGCCTCCGAGGGTGGAGGCTCTTGTGGGAGGGGTTGGGGTTGGGGCTGGAGGAGCTGCTGCGACGGCGTTAGCAGGTGCGATGGACGTGAGGCGAGGTCCGATGCCGCCTCCGTTGGGCTGGTTGAGGGCGGAGGCGAAGAGGTCTGCGTCGCCCTGGCTCGGCAGGTTAGTGAAGCTGGGAGAGGTAAGGTTCTCCACGGAGCCCTTGCGTCGCACGGATTCCTGTGCGGGTTTTAGGGAAAACGGGCTTGCCCGTGTGTTAAGAAAACTAGCCGCGAGGACGAGCGCAATGGACTGTCGAAGATGATGTGGGGGTTGTGGCGTGTGGGGAATGGCATCGCATGCAGCACCCTAGAGACAGAGGCTAGCGCGGCAGCGAATACATGCGGTGGCAGCCCCCAAGCCTGGCCAGCACTGCGCCAGGATACCCTACATACAAACGCGGTGTGGCCTCCCCGTACCTCGAGCTGCGTGCACAGGTAGTGCCACTCCGACCTGAGCGCCCCGTTAATACGCTCCAAAATCACCGGAGCGATGACCTGCGACGACAACGGAACGCACACACGAGGTGGACGAACAATACCTCGTCAACTGACAGCCTTGCTCGGATACGGTAGGGTTTAAGAGCGTTCCTGCGGACGGCAATACGGAACACCTTCCCCCTTCTTTCACATCATGAGCCTTTTTAGCCACAAACGATGATGCAACCCCAAAGGCTCCTTTTGACGCCGCTGTACCTCTCTTCAGTCACCCCACACACACCCGCACACATGCAGCCCATTTTCAGCCCATTTCACTCTCTTCTCTTCATCCCCACATGACACCCCCACAGTCCCGCACACCTGCAACAGCACTTGCAGCTCCTGCACCACGGCCTGCAGCAGCGGCTGCGGCAGGGGCGTGTCGTACGTCACGTACAGCGCCATGAGGGGCTTGTCGTACGGGCTGATCGTGGCGAGCACCAGTGAGGCGGGCATGGAGGCGTCGCGGGCCAGCACGGCATCGCGGGGGAAAGTGCGCTTGTCCTGCGCATGGAAAGGAGATTGGAAGGAAAGGAGTGCGGGAGGTTGGAAAGAGAATGCCTGGTAAAAGGTTCAATGACAGCTTTGTAGTAGGAGGACACGCATTGACACGCGGTTTGTTGGGGTTTCGCACTTCAGCTCCCAACACCCTGCTCGCACCCCTCCACGCCACCTCCAGCCCCCGCCCCGCAACTCACCTGCACATACGATGCGCAGTCGCTGACGCACAGCCCTGCGGCGCCCTGAGCCAGTGCATCCGCCAGCAGGGTGCCGCCCAGTGGCAGGGTGAGGCCCTTGCAGGCAGCACCCTGGCAGGGGTGGGGGTACGACATGGGGGGTACGGGATGTTTGGGTGTACACTGGGTGCGGCTTGAATGGGGTATGTACATAGGGTTAGCTAGCAACAGGTGCATGATGTCAGAGGGTGGACAGTCAAGAAATCAAGCGGGGAGGTCCAGGTCGGGGGGAGGACAGCGCTCGGCTCACTGTACGGCACCCGCAGCAACACCAACAGCAACTACGCACCAGGGTGAAGGACGCGTCCACCTGCGCGGCCGTGGCGGCCTTCCGGGCCTCCGTGATTGAGGTGTTGGTGCCAGTGTCGCGCCAGCTGGGGCGCCGGGAGTCATCTGGGGGCGGAGGTGGGGGTGGGGGTCAAAACGATGGGAGAAGGGGGTAAAAATAAGGAAACCACCAGAAGGGGGTGGGGGGAGGGGCATACACATCCGTGTCCACACCAAAAGGAGGGAGGTGGGAGGTGCCGTACGGTGGGAGGGCGACTAGCCACACCCACCAAACACATCATGCAGTACGACACCCAGGGTACGACATCCACCATCCCCGCCATCTCACCCACTGAAGATGAGGACCGCGCACAGCCGTTGCCGGCCGCCAGCCCCGAATCCAGACTGGACCGCGAGTAGATGTGCTTGCGGGCGCTGGGGCGCCCCATCACGTACTCGCAGCTGGCGCGACGCGACTTGGACACCAGCCTGGCCGCCACGCCTGGACTGCCGATCAGGTCGCCGGCGGAGGTCTGGTGCAAGAATATGGCGGCGGCACTGGAGTCCTGGGGGTGGGGGGGGAGGGTGGGGGGGAGGGAGGCAGGGAGGGAGGGTCGTCACGCAAACAAAAGGACAACACGTCCAGAGCAGGCGGTCACAGGTCGCAAGGTCCCCTAAGGCTCCGCCCTGTGCCCTCCTCCCCACCTGCGATATGAGGGCCAGTCGCGCCCGGCCCCTCACGTGCGCCACCGCCGCCGACACCTCAACCGCCGCCGCGCCCACAGCCGGCACCAGCTGCCCCACCGAGGCTGCTGCCGGCAGCCGGTGCAGCGGCTCCGCGAGCCCCGGGTGCACGCGGCTGAGGTGGCAGGCCAGCAACGAGGCGGCCGCGGTGAGCAGCTCGGGGGACCAGCGGGAGGGGCGGGAGGCGCCTACGGGGGGAGGGGAGGTGGAGGCAACAGCAGGGGCAGGGGCAGGGGTGTGGCGAGGTTGGAGGAGTAGTGGGGGGGCAGCGATGTCAGCCGTGGCGGCGCTACAGCAGCAGCATGGCACTGCAGGCCATGGGCTGAGGTGAAAGCTGGAAGGAAGCATGGAAAGCACAACTTCCCAGCAGCACAGAAACAGGCTCCCAGAGGGGAGATAAGGGACTCCGAGGACACACAGGGACCGCGGGGGTTGCTGAAAGAAAGGAGGGCACACTGACGCGCCAACGGCCGACACACTACTACGCATGAAGGCACAGCCCATGCAGCATGCCCCCCTCCCCCATCGATGGCAGCAACAGCAGCAGCACCCCTGAAGCAGTGACAGCAGCAACAGCAACAGCAGCAGCAGTGGTAGTAGCTGGTCTTACCCTTGGCGGCTAGCGTCAGCACGCCGATGGGCGCTCCGCAGCTCACCAGCGCCACCGCCGCAAATTGGTGACAACCGTGCTCCACATACAGCCGCTGCCACTCCTCGGGCAGCGGTTGTTGCTGGGACTGGGGCTGCTGCCGAGGGTGCTGCTGCTGGGCTGCATGGGGCCCCAGTTGTTTGGCGAGCTTGCCGCCTGCGCCTTCCCTCAGCGAGGATGTTGATGCCGGGGTGGCGGCGGCGGCGGTGCTGGTCAGCAGGGCGCTGCTACCCGTCGTGCCGCTGCTGCCCGTGCTGCTGCCGCCGCCCGCCGTACCGCCCAGCGTGGCCGTACCGGTGCCGGTGCTGGCGGCGGGGATGAGGGGCGAGTGGCTGATGATGGCGCTGTCTAGGTCGAGTGCGGAGGCGGGAAGGCGCACGTCGGCGTGGCGGAATATGATGGGCCTGCGCGGTCGGACCTGTGGGTGTAGGTATAGGTGCGTTGGGGGGGGGGGGGGACAGCAGCATGAGGAGGAGGATTAGGAGATGGGGGTGAGGTCGGGGCGAGTTAGAGGCTTGAGAGCGAGGTGCGGGTGGTGCGGATGATGATGTTAAGGGCCGTGCAGCATGCAAGTGCATGTGCATGGTGGGGTTGGGTGGGAGAGGGGGCGCATGTGCACACAGCTGCAGTAGTAGCAAGTAGCACACCGGGCACACCGGGGGCAGGAGCATCCCAACAAGGGGCAGAGGGGGGCGCATCCTATCGCCAAGCTAACAAGCGGGAAGGGGGCGGCAAACTGAAACGCGGGCCAGCGCCGCTTACTTATACACAGGCTAGCTGACCCCATGAGAAACAGGCACAGCCCGGGGCGCCTCCCCAAGCAAGCAGACAGCACCCCCACGCTGCCCCCCACGCTACCCGCCTGGAATTCGCGGAGCACCTCCCCCACCGCTGACAGGTAGCAGCAGGATAAGGAGCTGGGGCGGCCATCCCCGAAGCAGATGGGGAGGGTGGTGCGCAGGCGGCGCCCCAACGCGGCCACCCCCTGCACGCCGGCGCAGGCCACCACCGTGGCGGTGCCGTCTTCACCCAGCAGGTACACGCTGTGTGGGGGGGGGCGCGGGGTAGCGAGGCAGGGAGGGAGGGAGGGAGGGGTGGGTGAGCGCGGCAAAGGGGAAGAGCGACGTGTTTGGGAGGGCAGCCTTGCTGGTAAAGGGCGTGCTGTGATGTGCTGGTGCGTGGCTTGCTGACCCCTGGACACTCCCTCCGGCATGAAGCCCCGTTTCCGTACGCCGTCTGTGTCATGCCGGCCGGGCCCTCCCTGGGGCCCGGTGGTAACAGGCGATATGTTTGCATGTACGGCGATGAGCTCGAAAGGGCAAAATGTAAAAATCGCTCCCGCAAGTGTGGTCTTCTTGTATCTGAGCGCCGAGGATAGTCCCTAACAAGAAACGCCCCCACGGCCCTTACCTCCTAAAGCCTTAAGACACAAAACGGATATTATGACCCTACCTGGCCTGGTCAGCGGAGAGGTTTCCACAAAGTGTCCGACAAGCGTCGAAGAGCAGAGGCAGTCCACCACCTTCCAACGATGACAGCAACTGTAAGAGCTCAAGTAGCTGCTCATTATCCTGTAAAAGCATACGACACTCCATTATGATTGCAGCCGTCTCTGTTGGCATCGCGAAGGTCACAAGGCGACTGACCGAGCAAGGCTGGTGATCCCCAGCTTTAACAGGTAAACCAAGTGCTTCTACAGCTTGGCATTTTGCATCGCGCTTGCTGCCTCCAGGCCTTTGCAAGAAGCAAGAAAATAGTCTTGACATGACAGCGAGTGCTGCGCTGCCGCAAGCACAGGGCGCGTCCACTTCAAGTGAGCGCCTATTTAGTGATAAACCCTTCACAAGAAAGAACGGGCCTAAAGGTACTAGGTGGAGAAGGGCAAGGTGACTGGCGTTCGGCGCTCCATTATTCGCTTCGCACTATATGTCTCAGTTATCGTTACTATGCGATAAACGGGCGTGAAGGCTTCCTGCGTCCGGTTTGATTGTTACTTGTCGTAATTTTGCGGTTATAAAGATACGGATCCCACCCACCCTGGAAAATCCCAGGCCTCATAACCAGGAAAATCCGAAGGTAGTGAAGCACGGCAGATTTTTTTAGGCCGCAGACTGTCAAGGAATAATGTCTAGAAACGGTTAGACTCCGGTTACAAGTCGCAAACTTTCTACCTTTTGCAGGAACTTTCATTACCGGTAGCGGCGAAGGTGCAGCGCGCCTCTTCCTGAATGTACGTATGTTTTCCAGATAGGAATTCTTACCAGACCTACGATTCTCCCCTTTTGTTGGTTGGACTTCGGTGCACATGTGCCATGCGTGGAAAAATCTAAAGCAGTCTTCCGCATCTCTTCCAAACACGTGCGTATAAGAGCAAGGGTTTCCGGCTTGCCCTTTGTCCATGGTCGCCCACCACGGCGGGGATACTTGCATTGATCCAAGTGCATACTGACACATCAGCAGGACGAGCGAAGGCGTAAAAGGACACATAATATGGTTCGTTAGACCCTTTTGGCGGGCCAACCTGCACTTCGCGGATATAGCCAGTCGCGGATATCGCCAGGCGCAGATTCTGTACATGTGTAGTGGTGTGGCTGTTAAGAGTGGGGAATTTATGGTCATAGCTTTGCTTTGCCCAATCATGTTTTGCCCACTTATGCTCCCGGCGTTGCGTGGCCCCCCGCCCGCCGGCTCGCACATGCATCAGGAGCCATGCACCCGATGGGGTACACGCACCCATTGCTGCATCAATGCCAGGGAAGACCAATGGAAGTCGACTCATGCATTCTAGGGGCCGGGGCAGCCCCAAGCATGTGTTGTACGACAAAGCTATTAGTATGCTTGACCTCCTGTATCCTCCCGCAGCCTGCAATCCTCAATTTAATGGCTCTAACCGCAACCGCTCCACAGCCCTCACCAGCCGCACTCACAAGACCAAAAACCATGTAATACTCCAGCCCGCCGCCCGTTCGCAGTATGATGAAAAATCCCAAGTGTGGAGCAGACGCTTAACGGCGTCTAAGCACGCGACGTTTAACACACTCATGAAATAGGGCGTGGCAAAAAAGTGGAACACGGAGCACAAAAACAGCGCCAAAGCAGCCTACTAAGCACCAAAGAAAGCGCCCGTACACTGCAGCCGCTGCACATGCCACGCTAGGGTTTGGCTTTCCCCATCTTAACGGGTTAGATTCTCTAGTTCGGCCATGCACACCCATTACCAGGCAAGGTAAGAGGGATTAGCCAAAGCCTCCTTCCTACCAACCTGCACTCCTTCATCCTCCACAAAACGAGCGTCCGGCTTCATGCATTGTAACTTTGTAGTTGACGTACCGGTATAGTCAAAAAGGGCCTCGACGACCCCGCCGGCAATACGTCCGGAAAAATACCCAGCACACATACAACCGCGCGAAAAAATGGAGTGCATTGAAAGCGCGGATTCGCTCCACATGACGTCGCTGCGCTCTGCTACTACTCCCCGGTACGGCAATTAATAAAGCGGAGCAACACGCACGCTTGGCTACAGGTGATCAAGATTACGTGAACGCGCATACGCGCTTTCGGAACAGATGACAGGCGCATGCCGTGTGCCTGACCCCACGTCACAGTGCGTGGTCTCAGGAACTGATAAAACCCACTGTTGAAAACAGGTCACCGCCAGCCATGCCGTAGACAGGTCGCCGCCAGCCATGCCGCACACAGGTCATCGCCAGCCATGCCGCACACAGGTCATCGCCAGCTATGCCGTACACAGGTCGCCGCCAGCCATGCCGTACACCAGATATGCTCTTCTTCTTCTTTTTCCTCCGTCCAGTTGCTTGACCGTGCTTACACATCGCACGCCGCAAACCCCATATTATGATGTTGCACGAGCTGCATGCATCGGACATCTTCTCTCCCTTGCCGGCACACGGGCGTTTCCCCCCACGGGCTCCCTGCCCCCCCTATCCCTACTGTCATGCCCCAACCTGTGGTTTCCAATGCTTCGGTATGGTCTTTGACCCCCGGGGTCACAGCACATGGGACATTGCCCCCTGCAACCGGTTGCAGCAAGCGCCAACCCCAGATCACAACGACCCACCAACTAGCCACCCTGCTGCTGCAATACCGCCCGACACATGCATCAGAGCCAACCTGCGTCCCTACTCCAGAAGCATTGGAACCCCAACTGCATAGCCTGGCTTCAAAGCGGTCTCACGTTTCAGAAACCAATCCGATCGAATATTCTCACTTTCTCAGTAATTAAATGCTTAGTAAACGTGTTTCAAGCACAGCAACGCCACTACTCCACCTCGCACGCACCCATCACAACCGTCACACCCAGAACACTAACAATTGCTTTTTTCACCGCATGGCACGATATTGCATGGCAAACAGCACACGTTCACTTCGCAACCGCACCCCCGACTCCTCCGCCAGACGCCGCACCCGCCGGCACCGCTGCTGCTGCTGCTGCTGCCGCGCCCGCAGAACCCAGCCCCCCCGCCCCCGCCCCCGCCCCCGCAAGCTCCCTCCGTAGCCCCGCCAGGTCCGCCGCACCGCCCGCCAGGTCCGCCCCGATAGCGATCATGGTGGTGCTGCGCCGCAGGTGGTGCTTGCGGCCGCCGCGTACCTGGGGCGCCCCGCCAGCGGACCCCCCGGCGGCAGCTGTGCCCGTGCCTCCTGCATGGGAGCGCTGCCTGCTGCTGGCGTCCGGGTTGCCGCCAAAGCCGCCAGGGCTCAGCACTAGTGCAGACGCCCCCGCAGCAGCAGCAGCAGCAGCAGCACCGCCGCCGCTGCCGGCGCCTGTCACAATGTTGTTGCCGCAGCTATTGGTGACGCTACTGCTGACGCCGCCACCAGCCGAGCTCCCAGTACCAGCACCAGCACCGGCATCCGCCCCCGCAGCAACGACACCGCTGTTGTTGATGTTGTTGTAATGGCCCATCATGGGTATTAGGGCAGCACCTTGGTAGGAGTCAAGTCCTCCTCCTCCTCCTCCGCCTCCGCCGCCGCCGCCGCCGCCGCTTGCCCCCAGACCCGACCTGCCGGATGCCGCGCGGCTGTGCGGGCTGCAGGCCGACATGTTGGGTGCGGCGGAGGGGGTGAGCAGCACCAGGGTGGAGGCGCGGCGGCCGCGGGCCCGGGCGGCGGCGCCGGCGGGGTTGGCGACGCCGGCTGCTACCTTGATTGCGTTTGCTGCTGAGGCGGGGTCGTTGAGGGGCTCGTGCCAGCAGAAGGTGTCCATGACCCCGATGCCCTTGACCTGCGGGGGATGGGGTGGCATGGTGTGTGGGATGAGGTGTGACGTTGGGATGGTATTGGTTGAGAAGTGATGGACTGGTAGGGGTCGCTGGGGTGGGGTGGGGGGCAGAGGTGGCGTCGGGGTGGTGCACGCGGGGACACGGCCTTGCTCACCCACCTGCACTCCGCCCGTGGGCTCCCACTCCTCGTCCGGCAGGTAGGTGCAGGTGGCGGAGCTGACGTGGATGCTGCCGGGGGGGCAGGTGCTCTCCATGCGGCTGGCGGTGTTCTGCGCAGGGGGGGGGTGAGGACGGTGTGCATGCGTGGGTGGGTGGGTGGCGGGTGAGAGGCGTGGGTTGGAGGTGCGCCCGTGCCTGTGTATGGGCGGAACATGTGCACACACGTACTAGTAACATGACACGAATGCACCAACCACCCCACCCCACCCCACCCACCACGGTGTCCCCGAACAGGCAGAACCGAGGCATCTTGGAGCCCACGATGCCGCTCATGACGGGCCCGCTGTGCAGCCCGATGCGCATCTCCACCGCCTCCCCCGTGGTGGGCAGCCGCACCTGGGAGGCCTCGCGGAGCATGGCCTGAGGGCGGGAGGGGGGTGAAGTGGGTAGGGAGCTAGGGAGCTAGGGACAGAGGCGGGACAGAGACAGGTAGCATGCGCAGCGGGACAGAGGCAGGACAGCATGCGCAGCGAACCCGGCAGTGGGCGGAGCTAAAACGGCGGGTGAGGGTTTGGGGGGGAGGGTCAGGCTGGGCGGCTGGCCGGGTGCGTGGGTGAGTGGAAAGCGCCTGCCGAGTATGGTGGCAAGGCAGGTGCCGGTAGCTGCTGAGTGAAGGCGCTGTAGCAGGCAGCTGGGCACTTGTTCGCCTCTCCGCGGGTCTCTATTCGTGGCTTGCGAGGGGTACCGGTACCGGTAGGTGCTGCTTGCGGTGGTGCACATGCGCGCGTGTCGTCCACGGCCGTTAGTTGCAGCCGTCGCAGCCGGCCCCACCCATCCACCTTTGCAAAGGCCATGGCCTTGGCTGCATGCAGCTCATCAACGCTGTCGGGGCCGCGGACCGTCATGAAACCGTCCGCATCCCGAACCATGAGGCCGCCCGCCACCATGTAGCAATCTGTGGCGGTAATGAGGGTAAGCGGGGAATGACAGTAAGCAATGCCTAAACAAACGGACGGAGTGAGTTAGGTAGCAGTGGGCATCCTCTGTTTACACATGGCCACATTGGGGTGCTAGAGGTACGGTAGCGGGCGCAAACGTGCTGTGTTGTGTTGTGGATAGAGGGGTGTGTTCGGCGCTCATCAGGCATGGGAATGGGCGTGGGTTCAGGGCACCATGTGCGCAACAGCGGCGCCAAGGAGTGGTGTGGGGATCTCAACTTGTTTGATAGTCATGCGGAGACGCATGCATGTCATCTTCTTTCTTCTGGTAAGGCGCGGCAGCGACGCTCCAGAACAAGAAGCCTAAAACTACCAAAGCGGTCGCTCATGCCCCATGTAAACTCCCGGATGGATGCATGGAACTGTGGAGCACCCCGCTTGCCTAATGGAGCACCCCGCACAATTAACGCCACATCTCCCCAACCCAACCTCCTCATGGATGAGGTGAGTTGCGGTGTAAAGGAGGAGCCAGGTGGAACGCCGCACGCAGCTGTGTGCACAAGTTGCTGTCATCCCTCACGCACCTCCAATGGTCTCCACCTTGTACACTCCATACACATCCAGAAGCGTGTCTGCAAACGCAGGCGTTGCAACAGCATGATGAGCACAAGGAGCCACTCGGTCATTGTCCTGACTGTACTCATCACCCCCACACTCGGGCGTGGCACGGTTGCGGTTCTGTGGGGACTTCATCTTCCGGCAATAACAGTACGTTTCTACCTACTCGAGGCCAGTTTTCTTAATAACACACGCGCCCTCTGCTGCATGCATGTCCTCTTAACGCCTGCAGCAGTACCCCCCGCCCCACCCCTCGCCCCCGCCAAGCAATCCACAGGTGTGCCCGCTCACCCAGTCGGGAGTACAGGTGGTTCAGGAACTCCATGACCCGCGTGGCGGGGATCTCGTGGCACAGGCTGGTGAAGCCCTTGACGTCCGCAAACAGGATTGTCACCTGGCACCCGCGGGGGAGGGGCAGGAGGGGCAGGAGGGGCAGGAGCGGCAGGAGGGACAGAAGAGAAGGATAAAGTCAGTTGTTGAGTTGGCCAGCACCCCCCAGCAGCCAGCACCCCCCAGCAGCCCCCCTGCCGCAACGCACCATGGGGTGGTAGGTGGCGATGGAGGCGCTGTCACGCCCCAGCGGCAGCTGAGCCAGCCGGTACCGCGCCGCGCCGTCCTGCTTCCCCGCGCCCTTGCGAGCCGAGGCAGCCAGCTCCAACACGTGCCTGGGGCGGGCGGGGGTGGGGTGGGGGTGGGGCATGGTGTCAGCATCGCGCCCGGGGGGAAGGGGAAGGCGGGAGGAGAGGTAGGGCGGCACCGCATGCCAGGTGTGTTAAGAAAACTGGCCGCGAGTAGGAACAGGTGTGGGAGGACGCAAGGCATACCGCTTAGCCGCAAAGTTGTGACGCTGGTAATACGGCAGTGCAGTGCAGAGCAGTGCAGTGAGAAGCAAGCAGGCGACGAAGGCCGCCAGCCGGCTACATGCCGCTGCGCACGGCAAACAGCTCACCAATAACAGCGCCGCCCGCCTGCTCGGCGCTGCTGTTAACGCACCCGCCCGCCCGCCCACCCACCCACCTGGGGAAGATGGACTCCAGCAGCTGGTGCTCCCCCTCCAGCGCCTCGGCTATGCTGCGCTCAGCGCGCACGCGGGCCGTCACGTCCGTCTGGGGAGCGGCACACGGGGGGAGAAGGGTTAGACGGAGGAGGTATGGCACATGGGGGAGGACCACAGGGAGGTACGAGGCAGCCAGGGGGGCATAAGGTACCGGTAGCAGCAACACCGGCAGCTGGTGGAAAGCTGCCCCTGCCTCTTGATGGAAGCGCAACTCGGGGAGCTGAACGAACCGCACCGCGCCTGCCTGTGTGCATGCACAAGTGCACGCACACGGACAGCAGCGGCAACAACAACAGCAGCAACTCCATCAACCCCCGGGGGTTCCCTCCTTCCTTCCGTGGCTCCTCCTCTCCTACTTTCCCTCGCTTCCAGCTTCCAGCCTCTGCGCCCCACCCCCCACCCACCTGCATCACCAGCAGCATGGGTGCACCCGAGCTGCCGCCGCCGCCGTCGCCCACAGGTGTCACCGTGACCTCGTGCCAGCAGCTGCCGTCGTCACTGGCGTCCGACACCGCCACCGCGTCCACCACATGCCTGCCGCACAGCATGGGAGCAGCAGTGGGGCAGCAGCCCCGAACAGTGATGGTGTGCGATGGTAGCAGCAAGCACGACAGCAGCAAGCACGACAGCAGGCATACAACACCGGTATCAGCCCCACACCTCAGTATACGCTGGGACGTCCATGTCACCGCCCACAAACACAACGGCCAGTTTTCTCAACACACCAAGACAAAGAGAGCACATCAAGGACAGTCCGGCCTGGGTGCTACTGGAAAGGCGGTGCTATCAAGTCATCCCCGACAGGAATCGCCCACGTTTTTTCCCCCGGGGGTACTGTGCCCACACCACAGCAGACAACACCGCTTGAGCCACCCCGCCGCCCACCTGTCCTCTGTGGAATGCTGCTTCGTGTTGCCTGCATTCCGGGGTGACACATAGCTGAAGCTGCCTGAACCCGTCTCGGTGCTGGGGCTCGCGTTGAGATGCCGCCCCAGCGGTGACGCCTCCGGATGCTGCTGCTGCTGCAGCAGCAGCCGGTGCGCCGGCGACGCCAGCGCCCGTGGCGATGCTGCTGACCCCACCGCCGCCGCAACGCCATGCACGTCAACGATGCGCGGACAGGCCGCCAGCCCCTCATGCACCGCCGACTGCGCTCGGCCCACCACCACCGCCTCCTCCGCCGCGTCTGCTGCATAGCCATAGTCCGGACCGCCGCTGCTGCCAGCTCGCATGCGAAAGGACATGCACCCTGCTGCTGCCGCACCGCTAGGCGACGACAACAGCGCTAGCGCTGACCCAGGCACCCCGCCGTATGAGGACGGTGAGAAGGTGGTTTCCACGGGCGGCAGCGCCCCCGCAGCGCTCACGGACAGCCGGGACGTCACACGACGGGCTGGGATCACCGAGATGAAGGCCGCCGTACTCAAGCCGGATCCCGAGGGCGCCCGGTCAACCGCACAAGGCGCGCTTCCGGGCAATCCGTCCCCCTCGATTGGCATGACGATGCTGTTGTGGGGGTGGGAGCGGCCGGCTGCGGCTGCCGCTGCTGCCGCCGCTGCTGCTGTGAGCTCGTGGTTGAGTTCACCTGGGGTGGTGCCCGTGCCGGGAACGGAGCGTGCAAGCGCGCCCATGCAGGTGCGTTGGTAGGGCTTGGTGACGGCGGAGGAGGAGGGCTCGATGCCGGATGAGGTGGAGACGGAGATGGAGGGAGACCTGTGCGCCAGGGTGTGAACCGCGTCCCCGGGGAGCTGTGGCTGCAGCTGCCCCGCTCGCAGGACGGCCGCTCCGAAGGACATGTGACGCCTGTTGGGGCGGGGCGGAGGTAGTGTGTTAAGAAAACTGGCCGCGAGTAGGACCGTACTGTGATAGTGAGGAGGTAGCGGGTGTGCACATGGGGTTACTTGGCAGGGGAAGACGAACGAACAAGGGACCGGAGGAGGACAGCGATGGGAGGTAAGGGTGCAGCGAGGGGATACACGTAGGAAGAAAAGAAGGAGCCCACGCATGCCCCGCTCGCATGAGCGCATGCAGCACAAAGGTCCCTGTCTCTCCAAAACCTCCAAACGCATAGTACAACTAGAGGAGCAAAGCGCGGCGCATAAACACATGACATTTGCGGGAACACTGACAACGAACACTCACTTGACCGACTTCCGGTGCCCAGCCGCATCCGCCATCAGCCCCCAAGTGCTGGTGGACAGCGGGTTATCCTGGTGCGTCTTGGCGGACTTGCCGAACGCGGTGCGCCTCAGCTCAATGGACTGCCGTACCGCCGAGTTCAGCCCCCGCATGAAGCTGCTTCCGGAGGCGGTGGCCGCGGTTGCGGCGGTGGTGGTGAAGGCGCTGCCGTACCCGGCCGTGGCGCTGCTCGCATGGGCCAGGATGGGAACCCCAGCGCCCTCCTCCGGGCCGTGGCCTGCTGCGCCGCAGAAGCTCCCGCCCTGCGCATTCCTGGGCCGCCGCGCCGGCAGGGAATGGTACATGTTGAGTACGCGGATCTGGGATGCCCCGTCTTCACACACGGTGTTGCTTGCGCAGCTGCGAGACGTGGCGTGCACGGCACTCAGCGACTGCGCGCCGTCGTTGGAGGGAATGGGACGTCGCAGCCAGGGTGGTGAGGTGGGCACCTCCGTCCCCTCCGTCGCCGTGATGGTCGCCGCCGTCGCAATGGCGGAGTGCTTGAAGGTAAGCGAGGTGTTGCTGGCGTTGCAGTGCGGTGTCGTCAACCAAGGCGATGACGCGCTGCCATCCGCGTCAACTGGCACAAAGCCGCCGCCCTCAAATGCCGTCATGAAATCGCTGCAACTTCCCCGGTCATGGCCCGCACCGGCCGCCGCCGCCGCCGCCGCGGAAGGCGCCGAGGCCCCCGCATGCTGCTGCTGCTGCTGCTGCTTCCGACCGGCATCTCCCTCCGGCACTGCGGGCATGGAGGACCCCAGCGGCGACACCTCAGCAAAGGCGCCGACGCGGTTCCGCAGGGAGTGCAGCGACAGCGGGGACACACGCAACGTCGGCGCCTCCGAAGCCGCGTTCACCCCAGCAGCCGCCGCAGCCGCGGACCCCACTGCTGCGCCACCGCGATCCATGCTGCGGTCGTGCATGGCGTCTGCTGCTGCGGCAGGATCGCGGCAGGGGGGGCTGGTTGAGGGCGAGCGCTCCGGTGCGGTGCTGCCACCGCTGAGGATGACGGCACTGGGGGTGGCTATGGGCGGAGCGGCGGTGGCGGTGATGGGAGCGGACTGCAGCGTCAGCTCCTCCCATGTACCCCGGCAGTCCAGCAGCTGCGGCGGCAGGTGCGGGCGCGGGGAGGAGTGCCATGAGACATGAGACATGAGGCATGTGGGGGTGCGGGTTTAGGAAAGGGTAATAATGGAGGCATGCAGGTATGCGATACCGGTAGGTGCACGGTAGTCAGTTGGTGCTTACGTGGGCGCTTGTCTGGTGGGACATGGCGTGGTTTAACCCCCCCACCCCCACAGTTCCCACTCTCCATTCCCAAACAGCCCGCATGCAAAACCCAACCACGTACCACCGTATCCCGGCCGTTCGCTCCTCCGCTGCTGCCGTACGGCGACAACCACTCCTCCGCCACAGCACTACCACCCCCTGCCGGCTGCTGCTGCTGCTGCTGCTGTTCATGATGGTGCTGTTGTGCCGCCTCGCACCGGGTCAGCAGGTGCGGCACTCGCACAATGCCCTTCCAGGGCCGCCGCGCCTCCAGCTCCCGCGCCACCTCCGGCAGCTGCTGCGGGCTCAGCGAGAACAGCTCCCCCAGGTAGCCGCCCTGCAGGGCGCCCAGCGGCCGGACACTGCCGCCACCACCGCCGCCGTCGCCGTCACCATCGCCTTCAGCGTCGTAGTCGATCATGAAGGACAGCGCCCGGTGGCGCTTGGGGCCCGCCGCGGCCCCCTGACGCAGCCCCATGTAGCGCATGGATGCTGTGTTCTGGTACAGCACCCGGCGGCCCGCACCCGAGAGCAGCGTGACGATGCTGGGCAGGCCCGACAGCGCGGTCAGGCAGCGGGTCAGCTGCTCGTGCATGGCAGCTAGACCCGAGGACAATCGGTACCGCAGAAACACCGCGGCAACCACCTCATGATGTGCCGAGGCCGTACCACCAGCACCCTCACCCACAGCTGATGCCGTACGCGCATCTTCTGCGCAGCGGATGGAGCCGCCGCCAGGAGCCCCAAACGGCGCTGCCTTGCTGCAGCAGCCAGCCGACACATCAGCCCTGGACGGCTGTCCAGCTGATGCGGGCTGGCGCACCAGCACGGGGTGGATGGTCAGCGGCAGCAGCGTGCGCGTCGCGGTGTGTGGCAGGGGGTGGTGTACGACAAGCGGGTGCATGCGGGCGAAGGTGGCTGCGGCCGCTGCCGCCGCGCCCGTGCCCTCCACCAGCGCCACGAAGCAGTCCTGCAGCGCCTCCAGCAGCAGCGGGTCGGAGGCCAGCAGGTCCGCCAGGAGCAGCTCGTAGTGGGCCGGCGTGGGGCAGCGCAGCAGGCTGCGCAGGGCGCTGTTGGCGTGGCGTGCGGAAAGCCTGGCGGGAAGAGGTGCGGTGAAGGCGAGATGCATGTGCCGGAGCACGGACTGTTTGGTATCAGGAGAAGTTATGTAATTAAAGGTGGGTCAAAGGGAGTGTCATGCGTCAAGGTGTTTCGGTCCAAACCCTAGGGACAATGCACATGCGGGTCAGTAATTCCGGGGCACGCTTGCCTTCCGTGTTGGCCCCTGCCCGTTCCAACTGAACATACCTGACAGCGTCACAATTGGCGTATGCTGCGCGCAGGCTTTTAGCTGAAGTATGCTGATGGTCAGCAACGTATGGGATTTCATGAGATAAAAGGCCTCGGAGGTCAATATCCAGCAGTAGATGGCTCGAGCGACCGCAGCCAGGTCCACGGACGCCGACAAACTCCAGCAACACAACAGGGTCGGGCCCATTTAAGACTTCGGCCCATATGCTGTCGACAGTTCCACCATCTGCGCTCAAGGAAGCCTCAAACGGCATGACGGCATGCACGCCACGTCAGACAAGTTGTGCTTTACCGCAGCAATTCTTACCTTGTCCTACATACTCATCATCATCCGGATGGCCGGCTACCCTCCGTAAGTACCGAGACCAGAGGTCTACACCTAAACTGCTGTTAACGCCTCCAGTTTCGTGGTGCTTTCGTTGGTGCTGCTTAGCACGCAAATCTTCATCTTCATTTCTCAATACTTCCTTTGTCGAATGTCCAAAGCAGGCGCCAAGCAAGTTCCTAAAGTAACCCATACCCTCGTCGTGTAACCCCCGTGTTAGCACAACCCATATGCATAACTATATTGATGCTATGTCGTTAAGCTATGCAAACTGCGCTGACAAAGCCGTACACATACACTTCGCAAGCATCCATAAAAGTAAGGTTAAGAGCTATCTTGAGGCAAATAACTGTTGGCGTCGGTAAGTTATATAATGCCGCAAACAATTTAACAATGAAACGTTAAATAGTCGTGCCTTAGGTCTTGGGCGCAGGCGAAAAATGCCAACGATGGCTTAGGCTTGCAGACATGAAATACCGACTTAACAGGTAAGATGTATGAAGATGTAGAGTCGTCATGCATCTTAACAGGCAAGCTGCATAAATGAAGCGTGTGCGCCGTATCGTTTGCTGTGCCGTACAGGAGATGATTAGCGCCTTCAGCGGGCGTGGACTCCACATTGCACTCCCAATATGGACCACACGAAGGATGGAATTGTATATTGTTGCAGCCCCTTAGGTAACCACGTGAACATGCAGTACACTCACTGCGATGCCATTCTAGTGGAAATATATTAGCAGTACCAGGAATATCTGTGAAACTGCGCCGTTAGTGTTGCCATGCACCTGCATAACCTCTCTATTAGTACCGGGGTGTTCGTGACATTTAAAACAGCGCACAACTAGGGCGCTTGTGTGATAGGGGCCTTCTCCAGCGTTTTTTTCGTTTTCGAGGGGGTATTTTTCATCGCTGCTAGAGCGATAGAAATCCAGCCTGGACAATTGCTTATCGCTTTTTCAACCAGCCAAGCCGAGGGGTTTCGGGGCTTATCCTTTCCTAAGGCGGCCTCCTGGGGTCACACGTGCCCATAGCCCCCTAAACCCCAATGCGGAGGCGCTTCTCACTGGTCCCAGTGCCCTCCTGGACCCAAATCCCTAGCATGTAGAGGGTCTGGCACGGGGGGTGTGAGCGATGAGATACCCTGGGCACAGACACCGTATCGCTTTCTCACAGCCCTAGGACCAATTATTTATCGCTCAAAAAGCGATACATCGCTCAAAAAAACTCTGGCCTTCTCACCAGGCAGGGAAATGGCGAGCCACTGCAGGGACCCTGAAAACGCTGCAACTGTAGTCACATGATAACGCAATAGGAGTTGGGCCTTGACTGTTACAACAGGTTCTTTGCCTTTACTGCACTTCCTGAACACATGTATATTTGGTTGCTGTCATTGGGTGTTCCAGTATTATTAACTAATGACGTTATGGCGGTGGTTCACCGCATTCTTTGGGTCTGGACAGGGGCCTTTGCCGCCCTCAAGTACCGGTATGTGCGGCAGCCTGGTTAACGGCAGATCGGACGTGGATTGCGCCACTTCATTAACGAACGCTCGTTGCAACTGTGCATGAACAGGGCTTTGTAAAGGTTTCCAGGCCTTCCCTGGGTACGGATAGACCGGCCTGCAGCTGTGGTTACGGCCAGGGTGGCTGCCTCAGTCCATTCCCTCAGTATGGGACTCCCTGCACGAGCACGTCTTCAGCTCTTGCACATGCCACCTAACGAATAACCGCCCTGCCGTTCACGCGGCAAACGTACCTGAGGACTGTCTGATACATTTTGTATTGCGGTATGGTACACGCTGCAGGGTGCAGTATGGCAAGACGTTTTGCTTCCCACTCGGCGAGCTGACAGATGCTGGCTGGTTACCGTGCAGGGAATGTGCGTCTGGGGTGTGGTAGGCGCCCCGAACCTACCGATGACAGGGCTCGATGGGGCGGTGCAAGGAAACGCGACACCGGTTAGTGAACGCCTACTTCGGAACTGTTGCATCAAACCATAAGCATTGTTTTGCATGGCAACATGGCATGTCCCTGGGCATTTCCCAAGGGCGTGTCTGGCCTCTGGCCGTCTGGCGGGGCGCCCGATGCAAATGCGTTCTTGTACGACCGGGATGCACGAAGTAACTTACGGCGAGACCTTTCATGTGTTAGTTATTCTTTAATTCCTTGTAGCATGTGTTGTTATCACCTGTTTCAAACGCCTAGGTAATAGGACTATGCAAATGGTCGTCAACGCTCTTTGACATGAAGCCTGGAAGCTGTTTTACAATGCACGTTGCGGGCAACGTCTAATACATGTATCCAGGTTTTCAAGCTACCGAGTGTTATCCGTAAACGCGTTGGCGAGAGGGCCGCTGGCCCGTTGCGTTGGCACTTTTCGAGGCCTTTTAGCCCTTATCGGCGAGTTACTTAGGTCTAGATGGTGCTCTTCTTGCCATTATAGCTTAAGGCCAGGCTCAAACTGTGAACCGGGCCTTTTCGTGTTGGCTGGACTGAATGCCACTGCGCTGGGCGTCTTGCTTGTTCCGCCCATCTGGGGCGGCAACATCATCCCTGGAAGTGAACCCAGCTGCATGCCCCGTGGAGTTACAGGAGCAGCTTGTCACGCGCGGAACATCTTGCTTGCGGCCTCGCGGTTCCCAAATCCTGTATGAACGCTTTGATGATGCTGGCCAGGGCGCGTTCACGCCTCCGGTCTTAATCTACCTAAAGCGTATGCACTTGAGCAGCGGCCTGGAAGTGTGCGTCAAACGCACCCTCATTACCCACTTCATCGGCCGCGCTGCTCGAGAGGCCCGGCTGCAGGTTCAGTTGCAGCATCCGCACCTGCTGCCAGCCTTGGCTAGTGTACGTGGCCGTCATCACTACTACCTTGTCCTTCCAGCTGCTGAAGGGGACCTGTGGGCTGAGGTGGAATCCAAGCGACAGCGTGGCAGCGGTTACAGTGAAGAGGAGTTACGGGATGTGGCTCGGCAAATGCTTCTTGGCTTGGAGCACCTCCATGCCAGCCATCTGGCGCATCGTGGTAGGTTGTGGGCTGGAGTTGGGAATGCTTAGGCTTGTTTGTTGTGGGTGGTGGGTGTTGCTGGGTAACTCCTTACAAGTTCGCCCTGCGCCTCCGGAGGGCATGCAAAGGCAATTGCAACACGGGTTGGATGCTGGTGGTGACTACCACTCAGTGGCATTGTAGGGCATGGCGTGGCGGACCCAGCGCAAGACAGCGCCATACTTCGTGCTCTGGCCCTAGTACGCTTCAGGGACCAGGTCGCCCTTCCAAACTAATACCTCGGACATGTCCCCTGCACAACTGTGCAACCTGCTTGCTTCTTGACCGACTCACTCCTCGCCATACTCCCAACACACGCAGACATCAAGCCCGCCAACTTGCTACGCATGTCGGATGGCCGCGTGGTGGTCGCGGACTTTGGCTGCGCTGACGGCTGTACGGCGGGCTTTGTGGCGGCAGGTACGACACAGTTCCAGCCGCCCGAGTGCCGCCGCGGCTCGGGGTCGCAGCTGGCAGTGCTGCCCAAGGGCTACGACCAGCGGACCCAGGACATGTGGAGCGTGGGCGCCACCCTTGGGACGCTGTGGTTTGCGCGCATGCCTGAAGTCACCCGGGGCGGCGGTGTGACCGCCGCTACCGCCGCTGGCGGCAACAAGAGCGGCTCGGCCGGCCTCGCCGGGGCGCCCAACTGCTCACCCACCTCGGCTGCTTCCCTGACCCCTGCTGGCAGCCGCTGTGGCGAGGGTGCCCTCCAGCTGGCGTCAGCGTCGGCCACGGGCCCCACCACCTCCTCCTGTGCCGCAGATGACGAGGACACGGCCGCAGCAGCCCCTGCTCCATTATCTCCGTCCCCGTCCGGCTCATCGACTGCCGCTGCGACGGGGCCAGCGGAACCGCCGCCACCCCTGCCCGCATTCCTCGCGGCGGCCGGCTTTGCGTCATGTGGCTCCACAGTCGGCGCATGCGGGGAGCCCATGAGTTTGGAGCTGCTAGACCTGCTGGCGTCGCTGCTGAGGCTGCGGCCAAGCGAGCGCGCTACTGCAAGCCAGGCGCTGCAGCATGCGTGGCTGACGTCGTCGTCGGCGTCTTCATCGACTGCTGCGTCAGGGTTGTCAGCAGCACGCCAGGCAGCGCGATCGGATCAAACGGCGGGGGCGGGCAGTCCCGATGTGAGGCCGGCGTCCAGCCGTCAGGCGGAAGACCTGGCGCCGGCTGCGTTGTCGCACTCGCCGACGCCGACGCCGCCTCGACGGCAGTTGGAGGCGCGGTCCGCCCGGTCTGCTGGCGCAATGCAGCCGCTGGCATCGTCTGCGTCGTCGCCGCTGAAGCGCCTGCGGACCGCGGAAGACCGCTTCCTGCACTTCTTCTCACACCAGCAGCTGCTGCTTCCCAGGACGTCGCCTGGGGAGCTGAGGCCGGGGGAAGGCCAGCGGGAGGTGCCGGTGGGGCAGCTGCAGCCGCCGCATCCGCAACAACAGCAATTACGACAAGAGCTGCCCCGGCCGCGGAATCTCGGAATAGGACAGTACCGCCAGTCGACCTCAGCGTTGGAGCACGTAATCGGCGGCTATGGTGCTGAGAAACGCGGCCCTCGTCAGCAGGCGCGAGATGCGCTGCGTCAGAGCCATGACGGGGAGATTACCCTGCACTTCTCACAGCCTGGGAGCTCCTCTGCGAAGCAGGCGGTGGCGGAGAATCGGGTTGCGCAGTCCGCGGTCATGGATTCCCCGGAGCACCAGCAGCAGCTGCGGCACCTGGAGCAGCAGCTGCAGCAGCACCTATGGTTGTCTCCGACTTCGCTGCCGCAGCAGCAACAGAAACACGGCGTCAAGATGACGTTGAGAGTGTTTGTAGGAGCGGGGGCTGAGCCTGCTAACAGCAGCTAGAGGGAGGGGTGGAGTCGCTAGTGCAGTGCAGGAGTGCTGTTGTTGCGAAGAGTTGTTGGCGTCATGTTTTGTTGCTAAGCGGGTTTTGACCCTTTTCCAAAGGGTCTGGCCACCTCTTTATCTCCGGCCCTCGTGTCACGCTTTGTGTCAGCAACCTTGCTGGATGTTAGCTGGCGCAGGGCCTCTCAATTCATTGTGCACAGAGCCCAAGGTCGCGCGGTTTTTTATTAGCGGATTGCAACTCGCATTACATGCGCTTGTGTTTGCACGCTCCAGAGCGGCTAGCTACCTGGGCGCATGTGTGCAGGTTTTGGTCCGACGCCTGTCTATGTGTACGCAAGTAAGCAAACGGAAGTAGCCAGCAGTGTTTAGGCGCAGCCTTTCCTCAGTTGCATGCTCAGGTTATCTAGGAGGAGCAACGAGTTGAGCGCTTTTTCGGATGTGAACCGTATTTCGGGTGAAACGCATGCAGGTGCTCGGGACTGCACCCGTGCGCATTTCAATGATTAAACCCTTTTCAGTATTCCCCTCTCTCATGCGTTCGTTGCAGCAGAAACTACACCGGTATGTTGCGGGGTTTACGTGTGGCCGTGATCATGGCAGGCTCAGGAGGCGAAACTTTGTATCTTGCGTTCCCGCTTTCTGTTGCTTGCTTGGTCCAATTACTGTACTAGAATGCAGACAAAGTGTACCAACCGGCTTACTGTGTGTGTGAATAGGGAGATCAAAGTACATCATAATGGATCGCAGTACGCGGATTAGTACAGATAGGCAGAATATGGTTGGATTGTGGGTTCATCCAGAATACGGAACTCCCGTACGCGGGTTTAGGCGTTGTCGTACAGCGTTGGCTTTTCTGCAGGCGTTGTTCCAAGCTGTTGCGTTGTAGTTCATCTAGCCGTATCATGCAGGACGTCTTTTACAGGGAAGCAGTATGTCGTAGTATGACGTAGGTGGGTAATGCTAGGGCAAATTGCAGTAGTGCCATGGGCCGGTTGGAATTAATTGCGTGTGTTCGGAGTTTAGCATTGTGTCCCTTTGCATAGTTGTTTTTGTGTGTGCAAGAACGGATCTGAGTTTGCTGTGCCTTCATAGTTGCAGGGCATGGATTGGCTCTTTTTTTGCGAAAGTTTGATAGCAGGCTAACCCCTGCAGGTGTGGTACCTGTCTGACAACTCGGGTGCATAACGTTTCCTGGCGGAGACCGCTTATGTTCTGATGTCTGAAGCTTTTTAATACATACTGGGGACAGGTTGGCTGTTCTTTTTAATTGTTCGACTATGTAACCCATATCTCCTTCCGTACAGTGCATGTTGACCTGGCTTCTGTATCATGCACATCACAACTTGGTTAATCTACATTTAGGAAGACACCGTCCCTATGCAAAGTCTTAGGACCCCCACACATCATCTCAAACGCCGATACCAACCGCTACCCCCGCACGGCCAGCAAGCGGGATAAGCCCTCACCCCGGCGCAGCTGCTTCAACCCCTCCTGTCGGCATCGTAAGCCCTCACCCTAAACGTGGACCCTTTTCAGTTTGTGCATCAATACCAAGCGTCCAAAAGTCACCTCTGCGCGCACTGCCATGCAGAACTGCCCGGCACGGGTCCGCATGCTGGGCAGCCGTGGCAGAAGCCACACAATAGCCACTTAGGAGGAGATACACTGCAGCGTCGGCACATAACCCCGCGCATGGTTGCGCTCATGGTTGCGGTGAGCAGCACTTCACTACCCTCACGGCAATAGCCGACAAAACTCGCCATCACCGCCACTCGCCAAATCCGATGGCTAAAAGCAGGCCTACGCTTTCCCCACCACTGCCCCGGGCCCAAGTAGCCCAAAGCGTCAACAGAGTAAGATACTCACCAAGGACCAAGCCGCATGACGTCATGAAGGGAACTCGGTATCCTCGTTACCAGCTGCACCAGCCGCATAGCCATATGCCCGGCCCCCAACCACACACACACCCGGAGCCACCACTGCGGCACACTGCTCACCGCAGCTGCCACATAATGTGCATCACACCGCCCCGGTATTACCACAGCGGCACAACACCCCCCCCCTCAACTCTAGCGTCCCAGCATTCAGTACCATGTCCCGTTCCACGCCTCCCTACATCGCCCAATCTCTCACCCCCTGCCGCACACCCCTGCCGCCTCTATCTAGTTGATCGGCACCACCCAGCCGAATGTGTCCTCCGCGCGCTCCGTCTGGATGTCCGTGAGGTTCTGGTACATCTCCAGCGCCACCTTGCCCGCCTGGCCCGGCTCCGTGTACTGCTTGCGGGTGCCCCGGTACGTCATGCTGCCCACGGAGGACACCACCACTGCCGTACCGGTCGTGAAGATCTCATCCGCCTGCAAGCGGGGTGGGGCAGGAGAAGGGAGCAAGGGGACACAGGGCAGGTTTGCACAGGTTGCACCCTTTCACCCCACCTCCAACGTGCACCGCATACGCGTTATCCCTTCATCCGCAGCACCGCGACCCGACTGGACCGTGCTCACACGCCCCGCCCCTCCCCCCCCGGAGCTCCCCTCGCCCGCCCCCCCGCACCTCCATGGCCTCATGCACCGACACGGGCTCCTCATGCACGTCGTAGCCCCGGCTGCGAGCCAGCTCGATGATGGAGCGCCGCGTCACACCCGGCAGGATAGTGCCCTGGGGGGGGAGGGGAGGAATGGGACGGGGGTGATTGCGTACACGGTCACTTGTACGGCAAAGCGGGGGTTTACAAGATCGCGAGTTAGGCCTGAAACACGTGGCAGCGGAGAGCGGAGGAAGCGCCGTTCGTTCAGGCCTGAAGGGCATTGCTACAAGAAGCCCATGCAGTTGCCGTGCTGAAGGCTGGGGCTCAGGCCGCGGCTAAAGGCCCGGGCGCAAGCAGCGGCAGGTGGCGCACCTGCAGCGGCGGTGTGCGTATCGTCTTGCCCTTGACCACAAAGATGTTGCAGGAGGAGACCTCCTCGAGGTAGGTATCCGTCTTGGCATCCAGGTACACCTGAGGTCAAGGGGGGGAGAGGGTCGGCAGCAGGACCGGCAGCAGCAACCGGGTGACGATGATGATGAGGAGGAGGAGGAGGGCGTGAGGAGGCGGCAATAGCAGCCAACATTATGACAGCAGCCCCGGGGGAGCTGCAGCAACGCATGGGAGGTCTGACAGGCTGGGAAGCCCACATCCAGCTCCCTTTCACCTCAAAAAACGCAGATGTGCAACACCCACCACGTCAGAGAAGCCGTTCTTCTTGGCCTCCAGTTGGGTCACCAGCACCTGCGGAGGAGGAAGTGGGCCGGGGAAGCAGGCGCCAAGAGCGTGTCAGGGGCTCTCGTGCGCTCCGCCGAACCGAACCCGTCGCGCCAGATACTGTCGCTAAACTGAGGGGCTGGGACCATGGGGCACGGAGCGCCAGGGTCCAGCCCTACGACCGCAACACGGCTGGTACGGCACAGCTGAGCGCAGCATGTGAGAACTTCCCAGTCCTTGGCCTTGTACGTCCATTCAGCTCCTGCACTACCGTCCTGATCCTCCCCGCCTCCCCGCCACTGCTTCAGGAGGGGACCACGGAATGGTACTCACCGGGGAGTAGTTGCCCGCCGCCTTGGTGCCGCCCATGCCGCCCGGCGCAGCGCGGTGGAAGCGCTCCTCCACAATCAGGTCGATGGGCGTCAGCTGGCCGCCCTGCAGCCGATTTGGGTCAGCAGTTGGGGTGACGCAGGTGACGAGGGGGGTTACGATGGGTGGTGCTTGCGGGCTTGCCAAGGAACGCAAGATGCTCCCAAGGGGAAGAGAGCCCCATTGGACGCGAACGGTGTAACTCTTTCAGCACGGTGGGCGCACGGCACATCCAAAGTACTGCAGCAGCAACAGCAGCAGCAGCTGCAGCTGCCCCATACAGGAGGTGCAGCCCCTCTCCTACAGACCCCAACCCCCGTGCTGCTGCGCTGCTCCTGTGCCCGGGGCCCCGCCCACACCTTAAAGTAAGCGCCCACAGCGGCGGCGAAGATGGCAAAGGTGTAGCTGGGCGCCGGGCCCAGACCTAGAATGGGGCCGGTGCCTAGCAGCAGCGGGCGCATGTAGAGCGAGCCCTTGCCCATGGGAGGCACCTGGGGCGGGGCAAACAGGCGCCGGGGAAGAGGGTAAAGTCGGTGAGGGGCGGCGAGGGGCGCGCTTGCGTGTGGCGCAGGCAGGAAAGCGAAAAAGAGCGGTAGGGAACACGGCTGTACGGCATGCAATGTTAGGTTCCGGTGGTAACATCCCTGGCCTCAGTCAGTATTGTTTCTCATCGCAGCGAACGACAGGTTACACGCCTGCCGAGCGCTATGTTTGTTGCAGTTATGTATTGCCATCCTCGGCTGGGATCATAATCCATGTGCGTTCAAAGCAGAATGGAATGAGGAGTTAGTGAAGGGTTTTCTGGCTTCAGCAAAATGTATCATCCGTGCACCACATCAAGTGGGCTATGTTTGTTGCAGTTAAAGTATATGTTGACCATCAGCAGCGAGGATTGCGTTTCATGTGGGTTATGTGCGCAATGAACAGACGGCAGACACGAGGGCTACAAACCCACATGCCAAGGCGTGCGCGCTCGCCTCCCTTGCAGCCAAGGGGCTCATTTGCTCCCCCTTGCTGTACCTCACTTTCCACCCAACAAGCCGCGATTCCCTCACCTGCCTCGCCGTGTCCTTGCATGTGACCCCATCCCCGCGTGACCCCACCCCTTCCGAACCCTCCAATGCGGAATGCGGAAAATGCGAATATCCACGCCCTCATCCAACTACTTCAGGGCCCTTCCCAACGCCCTGCCTTACGTAATCTAGGTTGGCCGCCACCGTGGCCTTCACCGCCTCCACGTACTGCTCCTCGGGCACAGCCGGCATGCTCATGCGCGCAGCTCCCGCCTTGAAGCGGGCCGCGTTCTGATCGGGCCGGAAGACCACAACACGCCCCTTGGCGCTCTCCTGCGCCTTCATGCCCTCAAAGATGCCCTGCCCGTAGTTGAGGACCTGGGCGCTGGGCATCACGGAGAGGGGTCCGTACGGCACCAGCTTGCCCTGATCCCAGCCTTTCTCCGCTGTCCACTCCGACACGTACATCGTCTGCGTGGGACGATGTGCATGGTAAGCTGAGGCTGGGTGGACGTCATGCCTCTCCGCGTGGCTACGCCCTTCACGAGGCTGCAACCCCTTACCGCAGCAACATCCTTAAGTCCGAAGCCAAGGGTATCCCAGTCGATGTTGGCCTTCGCCCTGTGGAGTTTCGGCAACGTGTATCAGATGCGACGCATACTACCGGTATGTTCCAAGTAGCTTCTGCAGCTATTGGCCTCACCGGCGCTCCCCAGTGACAGCAGCGGCGGAAGCAACAGTATGCAGCCGGGTCCTTGCAATGCGAGGTGCACAGCAACGCCCTAGGCTCCTGCATGAGCGAGCGGACCTTGCATAAACATGCTTGCGGCGGCGGCAATGGTATGATGCTCTTGTCCCAATAATTGGATACCATTCACGTCGCACGAGAACCGTATGTGACAGCTCAGGAAACTTACTGAGCCTTTGATTGCAGGAGTGGGCGATTCGACATCTGCGTAAGTATCATAAAGCGACCTAAGAAAATTGGCTAATAGACCAGGTGCAGCTTTATGACTGAAATACTAGCCATTATTCATACCTTTGGAAGCACGCTAACCAAAAGATGAAGGCCACGACTCATACAGCAATTTCCGTCAAAGCCACCGGCACCGGGCTCGGCGGAAACTGGCGTACCACTTTGCTTAAGACAATCTATTAACAGAAGTGAACGCTCGGAGGCGAGTGCCCGGGGTAAGAGCCCTGCCCGTAGGGTTGGTACGAAGCTCAGCATGGGGTTCATCAGGCGTCAACTGTAAGGAAGTACTTTATGCATGATGTGTGTCCCTTAGGAAACTTTCTTGCGCCTAGTTATAAGTTATACTACCATAGGCTGTCCTAAGTGAATTTACACAGACCAAGAATAAGGTTTGGGCTCGTGTGAAAGTTGCACCCAGCCATGAATACTCGTCGGGAAAGCTGCGCGTCGACAGAAAAGTCCAAGGCTAAAGAAAATTGGACATTACGTCCATGACGCAGACGCCGACGCAAGCATCGTCTGCAACCTGCAGTACCTAACTAACCCGCCTCACTATTACCGCTATAAGGCAATATGCGCAGAGACCTGTACACAATTAGTTCTATCTACCATGACATACCTCACAAAGCGCGAAGCTATTAAACCACGGACCTCGCCACTTCTCCACCCGTTGCCCCGATAGCAACCCGCTTCCTAACGTTCTAAGCTATAAGTACACAATGCGTCGCGACGAACCAAACGACTGCGAGTCTACATGAAGGCCGCAATCTCCTTGGATGCCCGCTGCAGGAGTGTGAGCCGCTTCTTGATGCTCTCGCGCTGCTCCGCGATCTCCTCGCTCTCGTTTATCAACCGGCGGAGTTGCGGCTCCTCCTTTCCGGCAACATCCTCTTGCAGGTCCAGCAGCAGCCCGCCCTTGGCCGGCACAACCTGTTGCAACGCGAGGATATGGCGGAACCAGCGTTCACCTCTCTGGCAGCGATACTCCTGGTTATGCAGCATTTCAGGAGACTGGAGGAAGGTTTACTCCCTACCCCAACTAGACCTTACAATAAATAAAGCGGATCGCACATTCACCTGGACCCCTTAAGGTATTTCTCGTAATAACCACCTAGCCACCTGTAGTCAACAGTCTCCGAGCCCCATGGTCGCCACATGCTGGCCCCATCTGGGTTACGCCACTCCTGCCCCCTGACGGCCCCACCAACTCGCAACCTCACCATGCAGTGTACGATGGCCTTCGGCACCGTCGCCAGCAGCTGCCCCTTGACGATGGCCAGGTAGGCGGACACGTGGTCGCTGATCTTCTGCAGGTGCGCATCCGCCGGCGGCAGGTTGTCGTACCGCTTCTCGAAGCTGCAGTGGGCAGGAGGGTAAACGCAACCAGAAAGTGTTGAGACCCACAGTCTTGTACCACCCAAACAACGCACATAGCCATGCTTGCATGTTCTTGTGTCGTGCAGGCGTGGCCTCAGCACCTTGGGGCATGCCAACGAAGTCGAAGCCAACTCAGGCCAACTCACAGGTTTTCCCCGTTCAGCGTGTAGAAGGCGGGCCGCGGGCGCGACGGGTCGTACGAGTATGCCTCTGCCGCCACGATCTCGCGGAAGAAGCTGGCCGACAGGTAGGACGCCTCCATGTCCACCAGCGTGCGCACCATGGCATCGGCCTCCTTGCGGAGCCGCTCTGCGTACGGCAAGCAACACAGTATTGCGATTGGTGAACACCATCGTCATGGGTAGCTGCACCGGACCACAGCTATGCCACACATTCAACTGAAACGGGTATCGGGTGCAAAATATGATATAGGCATGAACCTACCCAGGGTGCTTGCTGCGTGGTTGATGACTTCTGATTTAAGGTTAAAGAAGCGCGCCAGGTCGCGGCACTCCGGCGTGTTGACCGCAAGCGTCACGATGGCTTTGAGGATTTGGTGTACCTGCGAGCATGCAAGCGTGTTAAAGAGAACCGGTAACAACGGAACGACGACTGGCCAACCATACCACTTCGTACACCCTACTCCAGAGGAGGAGAGCTGCTAGGAAAGCGCACGTCCCTGCCTACCATCTCCACAGCGTTGAAGGCGGGGTCACGCAGCAGCGATAGCCCGTCCTCGATGAGGCGGCGGTAGCCGTTCTCGGGCGCAATGATGTGCGGCTGGTAGCCGTCCGCCTCGTTGACCACCATCTGCACGTTCTTGAGGGTGAGGATCTTCTGGAAGGGCAGCTTGTTGATGGCCTCCTTCAGCTTGATCTCGAACACGTCCAGGATCTTCTCACCGCCTGTCGTTGTTGTTGCAAAACGATGGCAAATGTTAGCATCAAGTGTGACAGCAAGCAGCGACATGGCTGCAGTTGAACCGCCTCCCCGCGCTTATAATAAACCAAAGAGCCGCCGCTCAGCCAGGTCCCCTTCCCCAATTTTTTCCCCAACTTACCATCCTTGCCGCCGTCCACAATCCGCTCGAAGGCGCGCTCCATCTTCTGGCACAGCTGCAGCACCATATGGAGCATCGCACCGCGGCTGTGGCTCACGTCGCCTCCTAGCGCCTGCGACCAGCAACCAGCAGGTCAAGCGCAGGGCAAGGTGCTTTCCGGTTAGGACAGCATTAGGCCCTAGGTTGAGATCCCTCCCCTGCTGCGTCTGCGTGTCCCTGGCTGCAGGCTAGTACTGCCAAGTTTGAAGTACGGCAGGCTCGTGTGTAGGAGATAGATGCGGCTAGTTACCGCCAGCGCTAGGATGCCAGCACATGGCAGAAAGGGTGCACAATGTGGACAGCACTAACGGCTCAATGCGCATGGGCAGGGCTTGGGCTTGTCTTACGTACACCTACGTCACCGTGCCGCCCCCCGCTCCCAGCCCCATGCGCACGCACCTGCAGCTCCTTGGTCAGCTTGGCAATGGTGCTCTCGATGTACGACTGGATGGAGGGCAGGCTCTTCATGATCTCGTTGATGAGGTGCGCAGACAGCTTGTCCGCCAGGAAGGTGGTGCCGGTGTTCTGCAGGTCCTGGTACTCGGACTTGGACTGGAAGAACTCGCGCTCGCGGGCGCGGGCGTCCTTCATGCTCACCTGGGGGGCCAAGGGGCAACAGTGAAGGCGATTGTTGTTGCAGTGCAGTGCGGAATGGCTTATCAACGGCCAGGTATGTGCCGCGTGGGTAAAGACGCCGACCCACATGACTGCATTAAGACCCACGTCTTAACAAAGGTGCAATCATACTGGCCTAAGCTAGAACGGATTGTGATGCCCCGCGAGGGCATCGCTTCAACCCGATAAGAGAAAATGAATGCTACTGGTTGCAATTTTAGGCGGCTCCCATGCTACACCGGCCACCACACGGAGGTGCTGCATGCGCCCACCCACCCTGCTGTTGATGTCCGCCTGGCCGCGGTTGACCACGGCCACCCAGCCGTGCTTGAGCCGCAGCGTCTTCCCCAGCAGCACGTCGCGGCAGTCCGTACCGCGGTCCATGATATCCACCTTCGTCAGCACACCTGCGATCCGTACGGCGAGAGGGAAACGGTCAAGTACTACGATGATACAAGCTCATGACCGGCTCGTAGTATTGCCGGCATGAAAGGCCCAAATCGCTACTTAGCGGACGAAGCCAATCCTGGCCGCGTATCCTCCATAGGGAACAGGAGGCCCCCACAGGCCTAGCTGTAGCAGCCATAAGCCCACATACATGCAGAATCCTGTTTTCCCCGGTTTGCGTCGGCATGTGGGTCACAGCAACCGTCCTTCTACGGCCGATATATCGAAATGGGCCGTACCGCAACCCCGCACACCCTTCAAAAAGAGGACCGCTAGCCACCACTTGTTTTGTGGCACCCCGCCACCTCCTATCCCCATTGCCGTGCCCTAACTTGTGGTATCAATTGGTTTGGTCTCTCTCTGACCCCTTACCAAGGGTACGGTCGCCGCTGGGGTCCACGTCGCGAGCCATGCGCAGCGCATCCGAGGTTGCCAGATCGGCGTTGGCGGGCGTGACAGCCAGGATGATGGCGTTGTCGGACTTGACGTACTGGCGGGCCATGTCATCGAGCTCCTGCACGATGCTGGGCGGCTGGCCGTCGATGGGAACCTTTGTAAGGCCTGCAGCGGAGGGGTAACGGGAAATGGGTCTCTCAATTGCTCGAGTGAGAAGTATTCGCTAGGACGCAAGGGGTCGGACAAGGGCTCCCCCGAGGAGAGACGGGATTATCCTTTGCATTGAGCAGCCACCGTGGTACCGGGTCTGCTAAGGACGTGCTCCATCCGGCTTATGGCCCGTCAAGTCGTAAATCCATATGGGTCATAGTCGCATAAATAGGTATTGCTCTCTTGCCCCATGCACCCGCAACACCTTGCCATGAAATGGTGGAGTTGCTGCGGTCACATGCCGCATGCAGCAGGGTCATCTAATCTATCCGTCCAGGCGCAGGCCCTCGCAATCCTGCCCACCTGGCATATCCACCAGCGTAAGGTTAGGCACGTTGTTGGAGTAGACGGTCAGGTAGATGGGATCGGGTGACACCACCCTGTTGCCACCCACACGCTGCAGGTGCCGCTCCGTCTCCTCCTCAATCTCCTTCCGAATGTCCTCTGTGCGAAAGCCAAGGGTTAATGTAAGCCAAGTTCCGGGGTAGGTACCGTACCACAACGGCGTTCACTTCCCCGTTCCCCAAGGGCCCCTTCCCGCCAAAGCATGCCCCTCAAACGCCTAGCATCATAGACAGTGTGCTAAGCAAGGTCTCACCAAAGTTGAAGATCTTGCGCCCCGGGGCGTGCGAGAACTCCCCATAGTCCTGGGCGTTCGGGTCTTCCGTCTTAACTAGCTGGAGCACCAACGGCCGCCTCGTCACAATACCCGTTCCACGAGGTAGGAAGTCCCTGCCAACTACAGCCTCCAACACCGAGGACTTGCCCGAACTCTACAAACAAGAGCAGAACTTCGGTGTGGATCCAGGTGTTAGAAGACGACTGCAAATATTACTCGAACTATAACATGATAACGCAATCTCTTTAGAACGCAATCTCTTTAGAACTGTCCTCCAGTCTGTCTTAGACCTCAGACCCCGGTTGCAAACCACAGCATGGCCCAACTGCCTTCACATTCCTCCCAGAACAAGTTTCAGGCCTAGCCCCACCTGGCCTCCAACAACAACGATGGTTGGAAGTTTGTTCCATAAGATGCTTTGAGGACTGAGCGCGTTGTCTCCAAGCGATGTGCAAATCTGCTGGAGTTTGTTCACAAGACCGATCACACGCTCCATCGCGTCCTACTTGCTTATGTGCTAAATGGAAGTGCTCTCTTTATAAATTATGGCAGGTGAACTGAGAAGATGGGCAGTCAGTCTGAGGTATGTACCCTTGATAGACAACAGCTACAAGTAACAGGAACACTCTGACTACGCCTGCATGAAGTCAACATATATAACATAATGATGATAGCTTAAGCCTAACATAACAGCGAAACGGTGTACGAATGTTGTGATGGTTAGGTAGAATAGGTACAGAAATGTAGCTTCTCCGCATTCCATGGCCTTGTGTAATTCTATGAGGACTGTGCGTTAGCACCACAGATGCAATTGACATACAGTGATCAAGCCATCTCGTTCTCACTTGTCACTTGCACTATCGGATGGCAGCCATCTGGCCACAATCGAGCACCAAGCCACACAGGTACCCTGCTGAGGATTCCCCCTCCACTTTACAATCCAGCACAATCAAAAAGATATCAGACACGTCCAGCTGACATACAACTCCAAGGCTTGCAAGTGTGCACAGACCTGGAGGATCCAGGACCTGACGCAGGGCCCTTGAGCCACCGGTACTTGGATCAGCAAGCCACCCCTACTGTCAGTGCTTGCGGCGAGACCGTATTGCTGAAGGCAGAGTACCGTATTCATCCATACATGTTGCTTAAACCGCCACACCATCCCTTTTGGAAAGGGTGTTCACGATGGCCACCTGTGATCACACATTACAGTTTACCGTTTCCGTACAGGGCAACACCGCCCCCACATGTGAATGATGAAGTTCATAATGGATCCGAATCCCAAAGCAAGCAGCCCCATGCCAAACCGGGGCTTATATGACCAGGGACGCCATCTGAGCCACTACGCAGTTTGTGCTCGGTGAGCTACCCGACGCAGGCCCTGTTGCCGCTCCCTCGCCCGCCGTCGCCGCGCGCCGCCGCTCCGCTGCTGCTGCCGCCGGCCCGCAACACGCCTTATACTTCTTGTTCGAACCACACGGGCAGGGCTTGTTGTTGCTGACCGCGCCAACGCCTTTACGGCCTTCCGCTTTCCTCCTAGGCGGTGCAGGTTTCTTGCTAGTGCCATTCGGCGCCTTCTTGCTGCCTGCCGTCGCCTCTGCCGCTGCCGCGGATGCCTCCTTAGTTCCATCGGCCGCAGGCGGCCCAGCGTCTTGCCCTGAGGCCGCTGTCGCGCCCGCGGTAGCGCTGCCGCCGCTACCCTCCGCCCCGCCGCCGTCCGCCACTGCTAGGCCGTCAAGGTCAGCTGCAGGCACATCCTCGACTGCTCCTCCCGGTTCCTTAGAAGCGCCGGTTGTTGGTGCTGCTGCTGCTGCAGCAGAGGCAGTGTCGACATGTTCCTCTACCACGGCAGCTGCCACTGCTGTGGCATGCTCCTGCTGCGGTCTGTGCTGCACACACGGCTGCTGTCCAGCCGCTTCCGCACGGATGCTTGGCCCATCTGCCCTTCCTGACCCTTCACAAGCCACTGACCCCGCCGCTACTGGATCTCGCTCGCCCTCCGGCGTCTCCCTCGCCCCGGGTACCGCAGCCGCCTCTGCTGGCCCCGCCTCCGACGCCTCCGCATCCTCTGTCTCCGCCGCCGCTAACGCCTCAATCACGCGCTCAATGGCGGCCTCTACGTCGCCACCCGCCTCCTCCAGGGCCCTACGCACCAGCCCCAGATCCGTACATGCCGTACTCGCTGCCACGCGCCGCTCGTCTTTCTCGTCCCAACCTCCATCACCACCCTGCCGCTGGGGCCGAGCCGCTATGGTCCCATCGCCCCGAATGACCACGGGTGCCGGAGGTCCGGTCCCGTAGTCGTCGGCGCAGCGCACGCTGTTGTAGTGCTGCCCGTCGTGGTACGATAGGTGCAGCATGGGGGCTGCGTCTTCCGGGTGGTTGATCACGCGCCAACGGGGCTGGCCGGCCTGCGCCGTACGGCAGCAGTGTACGAGGGTGATACGGTTGTACGGCGATGTGGGTTGGCGTGATGTACCGTGTTGCAGGGTGCCCCCGTGTGGTTATGAATGGTGCCGTCGAACAGAGAAGGAAACGGAAGGGAAGTTTGGTGAATGACTGGTAAAGGCTAGGCAATGGCATGGACTGGAGGTTGAGGGCCCTAAAGATGGAGCAAGCAGCCATCAGCAATGCGCCACCGCAGGCAATGTAGGCGCCGCCGCATGAAGAGGAGTACAGTCGTCTTGAGTGTGTCGGCAAACGTCCCGAGCGTTAGGCCTCCTGAGCCGTAGTGCGAAGCGAATACGGCCGCCTTCCCCAATGACCCAGATCACACACGAGCTCCATTCCCAAAGCCACCCGGGTGCCCCCCCGAACTCGCCTGGTAGATGGTGAGGTTAGCCCCAAGGCAGCGCGACGCCGCCACCACCTCCATGTAGCCCGCCCACACGCCGTCCTGGGGGCACCCGGGCGCACGGCACGAGGAGGCAACAGAATTAGGTGTTGGTGGTTGGCACCCTGCCCGCCCTGGTTCGGTTTCAAGCAAAGCTCGCCGCATCCTCTCCGACCTCAACTTGTTTACTTGCAAAGCCCCCGTGCCAAAGGGTCTACCCGATCGTGACTTTCCAGCCCCTTTCAGACACCAGCCCTACCGCATTTCCCTGAGCGTGCTCTTCCTGACCATGTGCCTCCATACCTGCATGCATGCATGCATGCATGCGGGTGCGCACCTCCCGACCCACCTTCTTCATCCTCGCAACGTAGGTTCCAAAGCTCTCATCGTCCTCCACGAAGGGCGCAAAGTCCTCCTCGTGTTGCTGGATGTATAACATGATGGCATGCCGCAGCCGCACGTGCGCACCCTCGTCGCCCTGCCCCGGTGGCGCGTGGGAGGGAGGCGATGGGGAGGAGGAAGGGTTGTGGGGGACGAAGACGAGGGGGCGAGGTCCGTGCCGAAAATGGTGAAGCGGAGAGGGCAAGGAGGCCGCAAGACCAGTGTAAATGGGACGAGTGTTTGTGCACAGGTGGTCTCAAGGTAGTCAAGGTGGTCTCAAGAGGACTGAAGGGAGCAGAGCAGGATAGGGCAGCCAGGCAAACGGCGGTGGCGCGGGGTTATTGCATAACGCCGCAACGGCCCGGCGGCGATGTGGGTCGGACCGAGTTTGAAGTACCATTATGGTAATTGTGGAGTGCGGCAAGGCTTGCCTCTGGCGCAATCGCCACATTCGCCACAACCATCGCACCACACCGTACCCTCCTGACACCCAGAGCAGGTGCAAGTGCAGGGAGCTAGCCCACATTCCGCCCCATGTAACACCCATTCCGCCTGCATGCCTCCACCCGTGCATGGCTGCCTACTTTCGCCGTTCCGGATCACGCAACCCACATCCGCACCTCTAATTGATCCCCCAAGGCGCGGAAGAAGCAGTTGCCTGCGTCGCAAGGGGGATAGCAGGGTTCAGAATTGAGCGCTCCAACCCAAGCGGTCTGCAACGCAGTCCCGACGCCCCGGGCAAACGCGCCTGCCGCAGTGGCCCTTGCCCCACCTTCATCCAAGTGGGGGGGATACTAGGGCCGTGTGGGTGTGGGTGTGCTAGCGTTGTGGCATAGCGTGTTTGCCTCATACATGCGACAGATGTACCGGTGTTGCTTCTTACCATCCCCCGTAATGTCCTTGATACGGAGTCCCAGGGCAGCAAGCTCCGCACCCAGGTCATCGCCAACCGTTCCGTCATGCCATTTGCCCTTGCCTTTTGAGCGCTCCTGTCGCCAAGCCATATTACACCCAAATTCGAATTCATCGTCATATTACCAGGTGTCTGTGGGCGCTTATTGTTGATTACCTTTACTCCCTTCTTGCTCTTCCCAACAGAGTCGCTTGTCGCGGCATCTGGTTTTTTCGCTAAAGAGACTCCTTTCTTCACTACAACCTTCTCTTTCTTGGCCATCGCGCACTATACTAGGCATTCCGTTTTCCGTTCAATAGCATGCAACTATTGGCTTCCAAGTGCACCGCATTTGCAGGTAAAGTGTCCGCAGTAAAATACTAGTGCTTACTTGTTATTGTATCAAGTTAATCAAGTAGCTTGCGGAAGGAACCCGGTTAAGCAAGCCCCTGCGCCCAAACTGGCCCTATGGTGTCACTGAGATAGCACATTTTAGCTTTTTTGCTGAAGATGTCTTACCGTGTATCCAGTTATACCTTAGGAAGTTACGTCCCTACTTCCCCTAGGATTTCATCTAAGATTTCATCTGTGCCTTAGTACAGCTATCTGTGATTCCGGTGAAATTCGGTGCTAAGATGTGATTATGTCTTGATTAGTGCTGCTAATTGCCAAATTACAATAGAGGTACCTAGATTGCGAAGAATGCGGTGACGCGGACCCAGGGGTCGAGGCGCATAAGCCAGAATAGCACTCGAACGTTCCGACGGCCCCACGGCCCCCAATAATTACAAACGACCAGTCATGGTGAACCTTAACAGAGTTAACAGGGAAGGAAGTAGTTGCGGCAGATACTCGCCGAAACCAGGTAGCCCAACCGCCCACTTGCTCAGCCAGCAAGGCTCAAGGAAGAATGGTACTGTAGTTCTTTTCCGTAGTCAGACGGCCTCCTTATGCTGAGTCAAACTTGTCCGACATGCATTTCCGTGCCATGCAGCTGAATTGCACGACATTGAAGGGCCCAGCAGGATGGAGCCAAACTACATAAGCATGCTTAGCGTACAGATAACACCACTTCTAGTCCTACAATTGTATTAACAGGGTAGCAAGCAGCTTTCCAGCGCTCAGGCGCTGTGATCCCCACATCGTGAGCCGTGACCCTAACTATATCTCTCCTGTGTCGAGTCAGCCTGCCTGCGGCATAATCAGTGTGCTTCAAGTCTCTTGCTGTGTAACCTGGTCGTTGCTGAACACGGCGGCTACCTTGCAACTCGCGAGGCGCCCAAGCAGCGAGGCCAACGCCGTAACAGCGCGCTTATTCGGTAAGTGTCGTTAATGCGGTCGGGCTGCCGCGAAACTGCTGCTCCTTATCACGAGCTCTTCCTGCACATCCCAAGCTATGGTCCTGATGTGCTCTTTCTGCTGTGCTCTTTCTGCTGCTGTGCTCTTTCAACAGCGCTTCCAAAACACCTCGCCGTGCTGCTGCCATTTGGTTTGGCAGCAGCTTGCGTCGCAGCACCTCCGCTGCATCCCCAGCTGCATCCTGCCAAGGCAATGTCTCGCATCCTTCATATTGTTCCCTCAAGCGCGCCCTTTTCGCTGTCATTCCCTCCCATTCCAGGCGTTTGCTTCCGCTAAGCGACTTCGTTCGCGGACACGCCTTCTTCCGAACACTCATCCCTTCCTTCAGTAGCGCCCACAAGACCTTCAAGTGTTACGCCAAGCCCTATCCTAGTACCAACTGTCTACGTTTTTAAGAAACCCTTCTACATCTGCATCCTTCCTCAACACGCAAGTTCCCTCCACGGATCTCCACATCCCCAACCATGCCTTCCTCATCCATAGCAACCACCAGCGGAGGCAATCCCAACCTCGCCGCGCCCCGCCAGTCTGACCCAGATCGCCACGTAACCACCATCGCTGCCCGCAGCAGCAGCAGCAGCAGGTCCTCCGCTCGCAGTCCCGCTGCCCTGACAGCGGTAGCTTGCTGGCTGCTGGCTGCTACCTTCCCTGGTTGCGTGCTGGGGTATGACGGCACGTGGCACAAGGGTCGCGGCACCCGGTATGGCGGTTGGGACGACGGTTGGAACATCCATGAAGGCAGCTGCGGCTACGGTGAGAGGGCGGCGGGAGAAGGAATGAATCGTAAGCGCTGATGTGGAGAAGAGTCAACAGGCCTACCTTTTTGCCCTCCCCTTTCCCCCATGTCCCCATTCTTGCAACTTATTCCCTTACCACTCCCTTTCCGTCTTACGTCCTCAGGCTACCTGGATCGCGACCGCTCCACCGGTTGGGACATCGCCGCCATGAGCGACAAGAACTGGGACTTCCAGGGCAGCTGCGGGTGAGGAGGGGAGGGGGGAGAGATGGGAAGCGAGAAGAAGAACCATGCGTGGGAGGGGGAAAAAAGAAATTCCAAAGTGTGGGGGGCCGCAGCGGCGGCAGGGACCCGGTTGCGATGTGTACCGGTTGCCATTCGGACCACTTTGTAAGCCCGGCCAAACCTCAAATCTGCAGAATTGCAGCAGCTGTCATGAGTGTGAACGCTACCATACTGGATATCGCACTACTGGGTGACGCCGTCATCGACGCCGCAAATCCTTACCGCAGCCTTCCGACACTTCGCTTCCCAACGACCGTTGCGTTTCCTGATGGCTGTTTGTTTGTTTGCCTGTTTGTGTGCTCCCCAGGCGCTGCTTCGAGGTGCGCTGCGACCCCACCTGGCTCTCCGACAACTACGGAGAGAAGTTTGACCGAAGCAATGTGTGCCGCGACCCTGACGCCAGCGTCGTCGTACAGGTGAGATGGGCGTCGTTCGACACATAGAGCAAATGCAGTTCGATTTGGATGGCCACGTTGTCACAAGAGGGAAGCGCATGTGAACGCAATTTGGGTCACCAGGGGCCTTGTTACTTCCAGATTCCCGTTTTCCCATTTTCCCCGCTTGTCTCATCACCCGTCTCATCAACAACCCCCACACCCCGCTCCTCCCCCCCCCCCGACCCAGATCACCGACTCCTGCCCCTGCTACTACCCCACCAACGCCTACTCCAACAAGCGCTGGTGCTGCGGCGACATGTACCACTTCGACATGTCCACTTGGGCGTTTGAGAAGCTGGCGGACAACAAGTGGGGCGTCATCGGCATCATGGTGCGACCCGTGGCGTGCAACTACCAGCCGCAGAAGCGCGCGCAGACGCCGCCGCAGGGCGAGTCGGCGCCCAACACTCGCATCTCTCGGCCTTGGGGCTGGAGCGACAAGCGCCCCTGGCCTTGAAGTCAGCAGCAGCAGCAGCAGCAACAACAACAACAGCGTGCTTATGCCGTTTTGCGCGCGTGGGAGTCCTGCGTGCACCGTCTTACTTGCGTGGGACTCTTTTGTCCCAATCGTGCAGGCTAGCTCTGGAAGGTTGGACGGTTGGCTCCGAAAGGAATAAATGGGTGGTGTAGGATGGGAAAGAGCGTGCGTGTGCGAAGATTTGCGAAGATGCAGAACGATGTCATGCGGGTTTTTCGATGCAGGATGATGAGTTGTAGGAAGGGCATTGTGTATAGCGTACATTGTGTGCGCGTGTTGATTGGAGGATAGGTGAGGTGTGGAAACAAGTATGCATGCTTAAACCCAAATAAAAAGGTGTGTAGCCAGGGTGTAGCGGCTGATGCTAGTCGTCTAACCTGCAATCAGGTAGCACCTTTAGGCGAGCAGATTGAGCACTGCTGGGTGAGCTGTACGGCTGTGCACGGCACAGGAGAGGCTCACCTAGTCTGTTGAGCTGGGACCTTACTGTGTATTTTAGACCCCTCGTGGGATGTACATTGTAAATAAATGCATAGCAGGGCGTACAACAGCTGTTGCGCTACATATTCCAGCGGCACACCAAAAGCACATCCCGGCGGCTAACGGTCAGCATAACCGTATCAAGTCGCGAATATTGTTCACATACCCACAACAATCCGGCACCTATATGCGCTAAAGCCCCCGAAGGAGAAGAAGAGTGGCCGCGATGCCGATAACCTTTTGTCGTGTTAACACATTCCATTAAACAACAGCACGACGACTAACTATCAGCATAAGTCTGCTTGTCCTTAAGTTGGACTACCAATCGTCGTGTGGCCTGAAGTCAGTCAACATTCAATCAACCGCTTAAAGTTTTGAACACGGGCTCCCAAGGTCTTCACATGTTAACTTCCGCACTTCAAAAGTGCACAGTAAAAGGGTATCGATCACCATTAGCCGCACCCAATCTATAGCCCAGATTTCGGCATTCGGCTGCAGCGGCGGCAAGCAACGCGTGTTTCGGGGACCTAGCCGGCGCTACTTAGAAGCCCCTATTGCTGCAGCAGCTGCAAATCCTGTCAATGAGGACGGCTCACGGCGTCAACGTGCAGACACACACGGCGTACATAGCCGCTCTAAGCTTGCAAACTGCAAGCACAGGCAAGGCATCTTGTCCACTCCTGCAAGCACCTTCTGTTCCTCTGGCATGACGTGCACGCTGCATGCCGCGCGTGTTTCTCCACTCATAATTAAGATGCATGAGCCGTACGCAGCGGCGCCTTAATTCCCAACTGCGAACCACCAACAGCGAACTGGCTTCCCCTCTCCCCGCCCCGCCCCGCACCTCCCTCTCCCCTCTCCCCCCTGCTATTCACATCCAACGCAATGGGAATCCTTCTTTCCCCCCCCCCGCCCCCCAGGTGGTGCTCCTGATCGACGCAGTGGACGAGGCCGACACCCCCTCGCAGCTGCCCCTGGACAACCCCGTGCTGCAACTCATGCTGCACCAGCTCTCCTGCCTGCCCCGCAACGTGCGCCTCATCACCTCCACCCGCTCCGCGCCCCACCTGCTCGCGCCCCTGCGCCGCAAGTTCAACGGCGCACTGGAGCTCACCCCCTCCATGGTTCGTAAACACGAAACCACGCTCACGCAGCTCAAGCGCCGGCTGGCGGTGCGGTTCGGAGCCGAGGCGGCGGGGGCGTTGGTGGCGGCGGGCGGCGGGGAGAGTAACCTGGTGTATTACAGCGTGGTAATGCTCTTGGAGCCGCCGCTTGGGGGGCAGCAGAAGGAGGGGGGCGAGGAGGAGGAGGGCGGGCAGGCGCCGAGGAGTTTGGGGGAGTGTTATGGGGCGGTGTTTGGAGCGGCGTGGCCGAGACTGACGGCGGCTCAGAGGGCGGAGGTGATCAAGGTGTTGCAGGTGAGGCGGGGGGGGTGAGGGGGGGAGCACGGTGGTGGGGGTTCAAACAGGAGCGGTCGTGTAGAGTCGCTGTGAGGGCGGGGTGGGGGGAAGGGTATAACTCAACAATCCTGCATCCCATACATACATCACGTGACTTAGCCGCCTCTCCATGGGCCGGTCCGGTGTACGATCGTGTCTCTCGTACGGCAGGGGGGGGCGTACCCGCGTACCCGCGCTGCTCCACATGCTGCTCTTTCCGGTCCACATGCCCGTTGCTGCCCTCGTATATGTTGCTACAATCCTTACCCGGTGGTGTGTGCTGCCCTCCTGCGTCATAATTGCTGCCCTCCTGCATGTGACTTGCTGCCCCCTCAGGTTCTGATGGCAGCTCGGGAGCCGCTGCAGCTCTCCCTGCTGGCCGGGCTGGGGCTGGAGCACGTGCTGCAGCTGCTGCCGGGATGGGGCACTCTGCTGTACGAAAGGGAGTACAAGGTACGTACGACAGAACCCGTACGAGCATACCATTGTATGCCGTACATCAACGACCACTTGCGTGTCCGGTTTCCTATCTGAGTTGCATGCAGTAACCCCGCATTTCATCTTGCTCCCGCCCCCAGGTCTATACCCTGCACAAGTCGCTTCACGACTGGCTATCCGACCCAGCAGCAGCGGGGGAGTTCCACGCCGACCCACGGGTCGGTCACGCCACGCTGGGTCGCTACCTCTTCAACGCCGCGCTGCCGCTGCCTCAGTACGGCGCCAAGTACCTTGTGAGCCACCTGCTGGCCTCGGGGGAGCAGCTGAGGGAGCTGCTGGACCAGGCGGTGACGGACCTGGACCACCTGGAGGTGAGGGGTGGCTGCGGGAGGGAGGGAGGACGAGTGCGGGCATGGGGGCAGGACGTTTTTGCCCAGTCTACCGGTAGTCCTGTACCGAGTCAAGATGGTACACAGCACATGGCCATGCAACCTCCTCCGCACGCAGGCCGTGTGTCGGGTGGGCTACGTCTTCCGCCTTCACGCCGAGCTCGTCTCCGCACCCGAGCCCAAGAGCCGCGCCGTGGCTGACGTGGCCCGCTGGCTGGGCCTCAACTCCCACGTGCTCTGGGCGCACCCCTCCGCTGTCGTACAGCTGGCCAACCAGGCGCCCAACACCTCGGCATTCATGGCGGCACTGCGCCGACCGCGTCGCAGCAGCACCATCAACACGGAGATCGTGGCGGCGGGAGCCGCCACGGCGGCTGTCGCCGCCGCCTCCGGCGCCGCAGGCGCCGGCAGCGGCGGCGGCTCCGCCGCCGCCGCGGCTGCCGCCGCGGCGGCAGCCGCGGTTGCCGCCTCCACCTCCCGCCCTCCCGTTCCCGTTACCCTCCTCAACAAGCGCCGCCTGTGGCCGCCGCAGCTCTCCATCCTGGCGCAACACCACCGCGCGGTCAACAGCGTGGCGTTCAACCCCGCGGGAACGCTGCTTGCCTCCGGCAGTGAGGACCGCAGCGTGCGGCTGTGGGACCCCCTCACGGGCGAGCAGAAGGCGGTGCTGTTCGGTCACCGGGGCCAGGTGCTGGGAGTGGCCTTTGCACCCAATGGCGCACTCATCGCCTCGGGTTCCGTGGACTCCACTGTACGGCTGTGGGACGCGAGTACGGGCGAGGGAAAGGCGGAGCTGGTGGGTCATGTGGATTGGGTGCGAGATGTCGCATTCGCGCCGGCGAAGCCGGCGCAGCAGCAGCAGCCTGACGGCGGCGGTAGCGGTGGTGGCGGCGGTGGCGCCTCCACCCCGCACCTCCTCGCCTCCTGCGGCGACGACAAGACTGTAAGGCTGTGGGACCTTTCCGGACCTGGACAACCCACGTTGCGGGCCACGCTGGCCGGCCACACCGACGTGGTCTACTCTGTTGCCTTTGCACCCGACGGCGCTCTGCTCGCCTCAGGTTCCGCGGACCAATCCATCAGGCTCTGGGACACGGCCGCATGCCGCCAGGCAGGCCGAGCGCTCGTCGCGCACAAGTTCCCCGTAACCTGTGTTGCCTTCAGCCCCGCAGGGGGGCTGCTGGTTTCCGGCTCGCATGACAAACTGATCTACCTGTGGGACCTGCCGAGCTGCCGGGACAGCGGCGTGCCGTCGGGGGAGTTTGCAGGGCACACGGACAAGATCCTGAACCTCGCCTTCTCGCCCGATGGCTCGCAGCTGGTTTCCGCTTCCGCGGACGGGTCCATGCGGATTTGGAACGTGGGCAATCGACAGCTGCAGGGGGTGCTGTTGGGCCATGCAAGCGGGGTGGTGGCTGCGGCCTTTGCGCCGTGCGGCAACGTCCTGGCCTCCGCGGCAAGTGACAACACGGTGCGGTTGTGGGATCCGCGCATCGCATGTGAGGGTGGAAGCGTGGAGGAGGCTGCTGCCAGCCACATGGATTGCGTCACGTGGGTGGCGTTCAGCCCCAGCGGGGCGATGGTGGCGTCGGCGGGGCAGGACTGGACGGTGCGGCTGTGGGACCCCGAGGATGGGAGCCACAAGGCGTTGCTGCAGGTGGGTGGTGGGGATGTTTCCCGGGGTTTACCCGGGTTAGGGTGGGCTTTGGGGCTCCGTAACTACCGGCCGCACAGCCCGACCTCTGCTCTCCTCAAACCTCCTCACCCCTCCGCTTCTTCCCTTCCCAGCCCTCCATGTATCCCTATTCATCCCTCCATCTCCCTCCCTCCCTCTCCTCTCCCCCTCCCCCCGCCTGCAGGGCCACACCGACGTGGTCCGCTGCGTCGCCTTCAGCCCCAGCGGCCACCTGCTGGCCTCCGCCTCCTCCGACTGGACGGTGCGCCTGTGGGACCCGCTGGCCAAGCTGGAAACGGGGGTGCTCACGGGGCACTCGGACCGGGTGCTGGCGGTGGCCTGGGCGCCCAGCGGCCGGCTGCTGGCGTCGGCGTGCCATGGCGGGGTGGTGATGGTGTGGGATGCGGTGTCGATGAATGTACGGCTGACGCTAAAGGTGAGGGGGGATGCAGGGAGGGAGGGGGAATGGGGATGGCGCGGAATACGCGGAATATGTCACTAGGCTTTTGGGAGGCACCCGGAATACGGGATTTGTGGTTGGGGGACGAGAAAGACGTTTCCCTCTCCCTTTCCTTCTCTGTGTCTCATGCGGCTTACGCCCCTCCCCCCGCTTTCCCCTCCTCCCTCCCGCCTGCAGGGCCACTCCGCACCCGTGCACGCACTCTCCTTCGCACCCAACTCCAAGTCCCTCGCATCCGCAAGCGCCGACCGAACCGTACGGGTCTGGCACACCACCCCCTCGCAACAGCTCCAACAACCCTCAAACGGGGCCGACCCACCATCTCCGGCTGCTGCTGCCGCAGCGGCTCTCGTCATTCGCGGCCATGCGGGCGGAGTCAACGCCGTAGAGTACGACAAGAGCGGCAAGTTCCTGGCCAGCTCCTCCCTGGAGGAAAAGGCGGTGCGGGTTTGGGACCCCTCCACCGGTGCGCTGTTGTGCGTTATCGCAAACGCAGCACTTTGCGCTCCCGGGGCATTCTCCATGTACTCTCTGGCGCGCCACGCGCCCTGCGTGAGGGCGATTGTGCTGAAAGCCAGCGCGAGTGGTTGCGGCGGTGGTACCGGCGGTGGCGGTGGGTGTGGGAGATCGGATGGCGGCGGAAGCAGTAGCGGAGGAGGACGGGGCAGCGGCGGCGGCGGCGGCGGCGGAGGGACAGGGGGCCCCATGAGCCCTGCGTTGGGCCACATGACCTCCTTCACCCCTCAGCACCTGCTGCAACCCTCCATGACGCTGCGAATGGAACGAAGCTCCCAGAACGGTGGCGGGGTGGTGATTGGTGGTGGAGGCGCGTCGGGGGACTACGCGGGGTGCAACTTCAGCGGCATGATTGCGAGCGGCGGCGGCGGTGGCGGGGGGTTCGGAGGCGGTTTCGGAGGCGGTGGCGGGTGCGGTATCGGCGGCATGGCGGCCGTCCCTGGAGGTGGTTTGAACGCCAGCATGCGTATCAGCGCCGGCGGTGCTGGCGGCTTTGGTGGGCTTGGCGGCATGGCGTCGACTAGTCCTCGGGATGGCCCTGGCGGCGCTGTTGGAGGGGGCCCTGCGTCTCCGTCTCTGCAGGGCGCTGCGACCATGCGCCGAGGCAGAGAGGATGCGGCTGGGGGTGGTTGTACGACAGCCCCAAAGGCGGTTATGGAGCTGGTTTCGGAGGCGGATAACCCGATCGTGCCCATTTACACGCAGTTTGTGAGTCCCAAGTGTGTCACGGTGTACGGCAAACGGGTGGTGATGTCGGATGGGCCGCACTTGTATTTCTTCGAGTCGAATGAGGGCAAGGTGGTGGGCTGGAAGAACCGGGTGCAATCGGCGGTGCCTTGATGGTGTGTGGCTGGGTGCTCGTGTTGAGAGCCATGACGGACGCAAGGTGCGAGGAGCTGGCATACGGTACAGAGGTGCCGAGCTGTGTGTGGGCTGATGAGGGCACTGCGTAATGAGATGCGAGGTGTAGGTTGAGGTGGTTGTGAGGTGGAGTGTATACGCTATACGGATGCCGCAAGAGGAATGACTTGGCGAGGGCAAAAGCGGCATGAACCGGAACTAACAGGTGTTGGTACCAGAACCCAATCATTGAGTTGCTCGACGTGTTTGACGTTTGGCTGTGTGGATTTGACGTGTCTTCTGTTAGGACGAGAGGTTTGTTACTACTTGGCTAGGATAATGTATATGCTATGATTCGATCAATCGCTGTCAAACGTCATCCCGTCGTGGGATGACTCCAGGAAGGGCAAGAACGCCAGGCTAGTGCGCTGCAAAGGGGCGCAGTTAGCCGGGCAGGGGGAGGGAGTGGGAGATTCGGACCGACGGGCTAAGGCACGTTATGTGTCGTACAAATAATGATGTGAAGGTGATGGTGTCGTGTATGTGAGCATGTTGCGTGCATATCTGCGTGTGTGGCCTGTTTGATGTGCAGGGTTGAGCGGCGGCGCGCTGCTGCTGTGATAACTAACCGGGAAATACACTCAAGGAGTGGCAAGGCAGGATGCATGAATGGCCGTTACAATGGTTCGCTAAAAGGGAACATGGGTGGATGGGCGGTAATCGCCCCGCGGTTCGGTCGTTGCCGGCTTGCTAATGAACAGGGATGTGCCTTTGCAAGTCGACAACGTAACGTGATGTGGGCTTTGTACATATCGTGCTGCTGCCGGCTATGGCCGGAGATGTTGGCGAAAGCGACATCTCTTTTTCAAATTGTTTCATCTGCAGATGTATGTATATGCCCGTACACAGTCATTACGGTGAGATACTAATGGCCTTTTATGCTGCTAAAACGTTTGCCCTGAGCTTGCTAATCGTAGGCAATGAAACGACTTCGTAAGCTGACGCAGGCGGAAGGTGTCTTACAAGTGCCGTATATGTCAGCACATGATGTACAGCACGTGAAGTACCGATACTCCGCATACGCGCTGAAACCAAACTGGCCTTCAACCAGTGCGCCACCCCCGTGATGCTGCACAGCAGGCTCTGTGTGCTGCACGGATTGGGGTCTAAGGCAAAGGCCGCATGCGACCGGCCTGGAGGCATGTTTAGTACCTTGCCATGGGATCTTCGCAATGGAAATCAAGTAGCGAAGTAAGAATGCGACTATTGCAGGGTAGTCAAGTTGTGAAGTAAGGATAGCATCGGGTGAGTTTGCTCGTACATTACTGTGTCAGCAACTCCCCCGTCCGACCATCGCCATCCTAACGTGTCATCCTCTGCATACGTTGTAGTAATTTGCGTGCGAGGTGCGCTGTAGATACTTAGTCGGCCTGTACAAGAAATCCAAATTGCCGTCCTCGCGCACAAACCAACAGACACGACATGAGAGGAACGCTTATACTCTACGTCAAACTGCCGACGATAGTCCAGAGTACCAAAGTATCTTGCATAGACTCGTTACTGTCTAAGTAGAGGCTGGAACACAGCAGGCCTTGCACGCCGATGAGCTGGAGCGCTCAGCACCGAGCCCGTCTGGGTTTATATAGTCATAGTACAGTGTGTCGAGTAGTATCGTGGGGCACTAAACCTCTGAGACCCTGCCGGTTAAGGGTCTGGTCCATGGCGTCGTTAACGCTTGCATGCTCATCAGCATCCCCGTCCCGAGCTGGAGCTCCCTCCCAAGTCCTCGTCTACTGCGGTGAAGGCGCAGGACATCAATCCGCACGGAACACCCTACACGCGCTCAAACGATGCCTTGCGCCGGGCGTTGAGGTGCGAACTGTTGTCTCCTCATGCCTGAAATGTCACCAGACCGGCAATACTATCTGTCAACCACCTTTGCCCACAACTCCTCCTCTGCTCGTAATTACATCCTCATCCTCACACAGGCGCGCTTTCTGGACACCGAGGAACTGCTCGAGGGTCGCTGGCGTGGGAGCTGCCTGCTGCTTGTGATGCCCGGAGGAGCTGACCTGCCTTACTGCAGACGTCTCAACGGCCGGGGCAACCAACTCCTAAGGGGTGCGTCCTTGTCGTTTACAGCTACATGCAAGCCCCGTGGAAACACACCTTGTCGCTACCTACCTTTCTCCTTTCCCTATACAACACATGAAGTGGAGCCTTGTCACATTGCTAGTCATGTCCTGTTTATCCCTCCCTCCTTCTCTCCTTCCCATCCTTCACCCTCCTCCTTCCCTTCCCTCCCTCTCCTCCTCCTCCGCAGCCTACGTGGAGGCCGGCGGCTCCTACCTCGGCCTGTGCGCGGGCGCCTACTACGCGTGCGGCCGAGTGGAGTTCGAGGTGGGCGGGCCGCTGCAGGTGGTGGGGGACCGGGAGCTGGCGTTCTTCCCGGGCACCGCACGGGGAGCCGCGTACCCGGGTGAGGGGTTGGCGTGAAGGGGTGGGTAGGGTTGGGTAGGGGCGTGGGTGGGGGAGGGTGGGGGAGGGTGGGTAAGGGTGGGGTATGTGCGTGTACATGGGTGTTGGGTGTACATGGGTGTTGCAGGGGTGCATGCTGCTGTATCTGTCGGCCGGAGCCAACTGCTTGAGGGGGGTTACCAAGGGGCTGCTATCAAAGATTTCAAAGTGGTTGCGGCGCGAGCGCTACCTTGCATGCATGCATCCGCCCTACCCTGTCCCCTGGTGCCATGAGCCCTTGCCCTGATCACATATCTTGCACCACGGCAAACTCGGGGGTGGGGTTTGCGCTCTCCCTCCCTCCCTCCTATCCACACGCCCACCATCCCTGCCTCCTTCCCTCCTGCCCTGCCTCCAGGCTTCGACTACACCTCAGAGCTGGGCGCCCACGCCGCTCCCCTGCGCTTCCGGCCACCCAAGCTCCCTCCTCCTCCTCCAGCCCCCTCCCCATCCCCATGTACCCCGTCTTTCACTACTCCTAGCCAGGCACAACACCCGCACCACCCTTGCCAGCCGCAGCAGCAGCAAACTTGCCAGCAGCAGCAGCCACCGAAACAGCAGCCGCCACCGCATGCGCAGTCGATACCAATGCCCGACCATAAGGGAGGCCCCCTGCCTCTGCCGTGCCACCAGCACCACCTGCACCATCACCAGCAGCACCACCTCCACCGACCCATATCATTGCAGCTGCAGCAGCGGCCGGAAGAGGAGCTGTCCGTCGCTGCATGCCCCTTGCGTGTCCCACGGTTAGCACCTGACCACCTACACTTCGGCGACGCAGCAGCGGCAGCAGTGGCGGGGGGGCCGCACGCAAGCCGCCCTGACAGCACCTCCCCCGCAGCCGCATGCGGCCATGTAGGCTCGTCACCGAGCGGGACCTGCAACCGCGGCAGCCCACCGGGGAACGCACTCCTTGATGACGCACCTGGGCCAAGAGGGCAGGCAGACGCAGGGCTAAGAAGAGTTGCGGGGCTGGCAACAGCAGCCGGTGGCGAGGGGGTTGCTAGCAGCGGCAGCAGCACTGGTGAGGGTTGGTGCAACGGCGCGTTGCGAGGCAGCGATGTTGGTGGCGTGCGGAGCAACCTCTTCAACGGAGGTTGCGGCAAGGGCCATGCCAAGGAGGAGGTGGCTGGGGTCGACACCGATGCCGGGCGCTGGGTGTTCTGCCGGGACTACTCCAATGGGGGCCCAGTCTTCCAGCTTGCGAGCGACATACCGGTAGCAACAGCCGCCACCGCTACTGCAGGCGCTAGTAGTACGGCAGCGGAAGCGGAGGCGGCATTAGGGCATGGCACGGATGATGCGCATGCAGTAGCAGCAGCCGCGTCATCATCATCCGCAGCCACCGCCTCCTCATCCCCAGCAGCACCAGCACCAGCACCAGCACCAGTGGTGGGGGCTGTGGAGGTGCTGGCGGTGTACCCGGATCTGGGGAACGCGATGGCGGCTGTCAGGTGCGCATGACGTCAGGGCGTTGGGTATCCCACGTTTCTAAACGTGGGAGAGTGGGTGTGATTAGCTAGTTCCAGCATAGGTAGGCACATTGCGTTTGGCATGGACCTCCTCCCCACCTCGTTCCCCCATTGTATTGCCCTAATTCATGGTTTCCTATGGTTTGGTCTTTCTTTAGTCCCACCTCGTTCCTTCCCAAAACAACACGTCGCTCTCCACAAACAAAAACCAAACACACAGGTGTCGTGTGGGCCGGGGCGTGGCGGTGCTATGCGGTACGCATCCCGAGATGCCGTACGAGTCACTGTTGAATGCCGTATTGCCGTACGACGCACGACAAGCACGACACGTGGCGGCACTTGGCTCGGAGCTAGCGGCCTGGGAGCGACAGCGGCGGCAGTTTTGGATGGCACTGTTGTTGGCATGTTGTACGTCAAGCGCTGCTGCCGATGATGATGATCCGGGATTACCGGCGGCGGCGGCAGCAGGGGCTGCAGCGTCATCGTCGTCGTTAGCACTGTTTGGTGGCGTGTTGTCGGCAGCGGGAGTGAGCTGCGACGCTAGCAGGAATGTGGAGGCGGTGAAGGCGGTGGGCGTGGCGGTTGAGCGACGATGAGAGGGTCTGTCAGGGTCTGTCGCAAAGTTGGGGCTGAGAAGCAACATTTGATGATGTCGCCTTTTTAATATCAGGCCGTTACTCTTCCATCCATCCATCCTTCCTTCCTTCCTTCCTATGTATAATGTTAATAATTGTACACTGTTGCACACCTAGGCTGATACCCGTTCATCCTCCTTCCCGCGTTTCCAGGCCGCTAACCGCCTTGAATAGTTTGACTCCACAGTCCACAACTAGCAGACTGTACACGCAAGAAGAAGGTTAAAGCTTGATGCCGTAACAACCCTGCGATGGCTGCTGCAGCTGATGCACTTTATGAGGGGGAACACTTTGCGGTTGGCGACGACGAGTTAGTAAGCGAGTTCGACGATACAGATGGCAGTGGACATGACTTTGGTAGCCAGGATGGAATTCCAGGGCGGGAGGCCTCGAGGCAGCACCTCTCCCAGGCGGAAACGGACGCGGTGTCAACGCGCAGCAGCATCACCAGCACCTTTTATGCGTCCTCTGTTGTTTCATCGTCAAGACCAGCTATAACGATAATCGGTGTTGCTGAAAGCTGCATCTCCGAGACGGATGGATGGCAGGGCCGCGCGAACGGAGGCATCGCGAGCCGGGGTGGCTTTGCCACTCTACTAACAACCCACCAGCACCAGCAGCACGGACCTGCTTGCAGTAACAGCACTGCAAGCATCCCACAGACCAGCAGCAGCAACGGCCCACATCCCGACAGCTGCGAGCGAAGGCCCTTTCACAGCAGTGTGCACCTCGACCAGCAGCCACAAACATTTACAGTCGAGAGCACTTGGGCTTATCATCCTCCAGCCCTTACAGCTACCGCACCATCACAACAACCGTACCAAGGGCTTCCTGCGTTGCCAGTTCCCGAACAAAGCGGACCGGGCGGACCCAGCACGCGACCCGACCCAGCTGCTAGAAGATGCCTGACCGCCTCCTTCACAGCGGAAGCCTCCTCATTCCCCTCCTCCTCCTCCTCTTTCTCCCCGTCGTGCTCCTTCCCATCAGCCCACCCTCGTGTCTGGCAACACCACCAACAACAAAAACAACAGCAACCGCAGCAAGGGCTTCAGCTCGAAGCAAGCGGAGCCGTGCACGGAGCGCATAGGCATCTGGGTCCGACAAATCCAAGCCAAAACGACCCATGGGTCACTACACCACCCGGACGCCACAGCAGCAGCAACGTCGCTGTTCCTTCCGATATCACTAGTTCCTCCCCGCCTTCCGCTCGCATTCCTCCCGCTCCGCCCATGTTTCACCCGAACCAGTCCGCTGGTTCTTCTCCCTCAGGGCAAGTGCATGCGACACCTCCACGCCGGTCCTCAGCCCCCCATGCTTATGCCGCTGCTGCTGCAGCTGTTGCAGCTCGCCATCCGCTGCCGCAGGGGGCTCCCCAGCCCTCCGCCAGCCCATGCAGCTTCGGCAGCCCCTGTCCCAGCCCTCCTGCTGACTCCGAGCTACGCCACGTCAGCCACCGCAGCACCCCTGGGGGTCGCAGCGGGGGAGGCATGTACGACGACAACCCGTACGACAACAGCACCAACAACAGCAAGACCGTTACGACGGGCTTGGAAACGTACGACAACGCATTGCAGGAACGGAAGCAGCGGCAACAACAGGAGCAGAAGGAACATTTGCAGCAGCATGTATTCCAGCAGCGGTCGCCTGCTGCTGCTGCTGCTGCGCCGCCGACGCCGACGCCTCTGCCGTTGGAACCGCGACGGCAGCAGCAGTCGCCGCTACAGTGGGCGGGGCTGTCACCGCATCAGCATCAGCAGCAGAAGCAGCAGCAACAGCAACAGCAGCAACACTACCAGCCTTCGCAATTCTTGCGGCCATTGCACCAGTCGCAGCAGCTGCAAGATCAGCTGCACCAGCGGACGCATTCCCCCACACACCCCGACACCTCCACCGCCACTGCTGCTTCTGCTGCTGCGCCCCTCCGGCAGCCTGCTGCTTCCCAACCGCACCCGCCGCCGCAATACAACGAACGACACATTGAGGTTGACGGCCACCCTGACCCACATCCCCATGCGCGCAACCACCACCGCCATCAGCAGCAGCAGCAGCAACAACAGCCCCTCTTTGCATACCTCAACATGCAAGGTAGCGCCAGCCTCCATGCAAGACCAGGCCCGGGGTTGGACCCGACACATGACGCTCCTGCAGCCGCCCCGAACGGCGCTGCTGCTGCGGCTGCTGCCCGGGGCTATCCTGGGGGCCCCAACATGTACGGCATGTACGGCAGTGCTGGTTGCTGCAGCGTGTACGGGAACAGTTCCGCCGATACCCGCGGTGGCAGCGGCACGCCGTACGGCATGTACGGCAATGCGTGCACTCTCCCCAGCGACGACAACGGCGACTGCGGTGCAGGCGGCAGGGATGGGGCGGGAGGCAGTGGAAGCGGTAGTGGCTTCGGCGATGTGGCGGCGGCTGCTCGAAGTCAGGGCGCGGAGCTGCTAGCTATGGCTGGGCGGTGGATCAGTGGCTGGCGGGAGCGGTGTGCGGCGGCGGAGGCGGCGATGGAGGAGCTGGACCTGCAGGTAGCGTGGGGGCTGGGGGCTGGGGGGGCGGGGGTTGGCACTGCAGGGAGCGGAAAAAAGGGTGGGACGGGGAGCGACGGGTGGGGGGGGACCCTGGGGCGAGGATGTGAGCAACGTGAGGTGAACCCGCGCGCCCCGCCTCTTCCCGCATGCCGGTACTGATACGCCACCTCCTCGCCTGCCTGCCGGCCTTGCGCGCATGCATGCACCGCCCACGCCTCCTGGGACTCCTATCAGGTTCGTCTAGCCCGGTGGCGTGCAGCTGAGCAAGAGAGGGCACTGCAGGCCAGGGAGGAGGAGCGGGGCGCCGCAGTGGCACGAGCGGAGGCAGCGGAGCGGAGGCGGGAGGAGGCGGAAGGCGAGTACGGGTAACTAACACAGCAGCAAGGCTTTAGGAGGGGCAGTTTGCTTGGGAGGGGGAGGTGGGAAGGCGGTAGGGCAGGCGAAGGTGCTGCCCATCTCGTGTTGGCTGCGTATGGTGGTGGCAGGAAGGTTGCTGTCCGGAGGGATAGCTCTGCAAGGACCCTGCAAGGACCAGTACAAGGACCGCATGTCTAACATGGGTGCCCCGCCCTCGGCAGGTGCTCTAGCTGCTGAGAGGGAGCGCGCGGACAGGGCGGAGGCGGAGGCGCGGGAGGCGGAGCAGCGGGCCGAGCAGGCGCAGGTGTATGGTCTGTGCTGTGTTTGGAGGGTTTGGAGTCCTTGGGAGGAGCAGGAAGGGTCCGGGAGGAGGAACTCGGGAAGAGGGGGTTGCGGGCTGCGCATGAGCGGGCAGACAGGCAGGGCTGACGGCTGCTGGGTCCAGCTACGAATGGTAATGCGGAGGAGGGTTGTGTTCATTCTTGGTGAGGATGGATGGGGTTCGTTGCCTATGTACCTATATTCTCGCCTTCTGTGTCGCTTGCCCCTGTACAGGCGCAATGCGAGCAGCGGGAGCGGGCGGCGGCGGAGCTCCAAAGGACAGTGGAGGCGACGGAGGTGGAGGCGCGGGCGGCAGTGGAGACGGCACGGCGGGTGGCCGCTGTTGTGGAGGCAAACGTGCAGGTGTGTGAAGCTGTGACGAGCTGCCCACCGCGGTGTGTGTGTTTTTGGCTGCTCTTGGCCCTAGTCCTTCCTTCGCTTTTCGGCGCCATGACCCAATGTAGGCGGCGGAGGCGGCAGTCACGCGCCTAACCGCCGTCGTCACGGCGGCGGAGGCGCGCGCATCCCAGGCGGCTGAGGATGTACGACAGCTGCAATCGGATCTCGAAAGCACTCGACAGGAGCACGAACGCGCGGCGGCGGCGCAGGCGGCGGCGGCGGAGGCCGCCGTACGGCGTGCTGAGGCGGCGGAGGCAGCTGCGGAGGGTATGGCGGCGGAGGCGAGGTCTCAGGCGGCGGCGGCGGAAGCGGCTGTACGGCGTGCGGAGGCGGCGGAGGTGGACCGTGCGGCTGCGGAGTGTACGGCGGCGGAGGCGAGGTCACGGGCGGAGGCGGCGGAGGCGGAGGCGGTTCGGCAACGTACGGAGGCGAATGAGCAGCGAAGTCAGCTGGTAAGAGAGAACCCACATGGCGTGTACGGCATGTATACGACATGGGATTGGGTTCGTGGGTTGGTATCCGGGACCTTATCCCTCTACTCCTCCAACCTACAACAATTGGAGACAGCATCCCCTAGCTGCATGCCATTCCCAACCCCGACCCCGACCCCACCTGCCCAGGAGCAGCTCACCCACCAACTATCCTCCGCACGCTCCTGTAATGCGACACTGGCGGCGGCTCTTACGGAGGCACGCGAGGAGCTGGCGGCTAAGCAGGAATTGGCAGCGGAACTGCAACGAGAGGCGGCGCGGGCGGGAATGGCGGCGGCGGCGGCGCAGGAACAGCTGGCGGCAGAGGCGGCGGCGCAGGCGGCGGTGACGGCGCGGGCAGCGGAGCTGGAAGCGGCGGTGGCGGCGGTGACGGCGCGGGAGGAGGCGTTGCGAGAGGAGATTGAGTCGCTGGGAGCCAAGCTTGTGGAGGTGTGTACAACTGGTGTTGGCGCTGGTGCGCATTGCCTTGCATGGAGCACATTGCCGGAGTTGCTGCATGCTTCCCTGCATGCATAGCACCGCCGCCTCGCATTGCATAGCATACATCACCTCCTGGCGACTCACCACCCCCGCTTGCCTCTCATCTCCCCCGCCCTCTCCTCCCGCCTGCCACAGGCTGCTGACGAGACGACCCGCCTTCAGCACCAGACCCAGGCAGCCCGAGCGGCGTCAGAGGCGCTGCATGGGCAGCTGTCGAGGCTGCAAGGGCGGCTGGAGGCGGCAGAAGGGCAGCTGGAGGGGATGCAGGGAGAGTTGGAGGCGGCGGTGAATCGCGGCGTGCAGCTGCAGCGACGTATCGCGTGCATGAGTGGACAGGTGGGACAGATGGGCGTGCAGGGCTGCTCCACCCACCTAACCCTGCCTCGTCAGTTTCCAGACTTTTACCGGTACCTCCCCCTCCTAACTTGTGGTTTCCTATGGTTCCGATATGGTCTTTGGACCCCCCCCCTCCTCGCTGCACCCCACCCCACCCCATGCAGGAGGAGGCTCTAGCCGCCCAATCCCTGGACACCCTGGAGGCACTCGCGCAGCAGGCGGAGGCGGCGCTGCCTCGCTTACGACATGCCATCGTGGCGGCCAGGGTGGCAGCGGCGCGGTCGGAGGCAGCGGAGGCGGTGGAGGCGGCGACGTGTGCGGTGTGCCTGGCGGCGCGGCGAGACACCTTCCTGAATTGCGGTGTGTGAAGACTGTGGAGGGGGGCGGCACACCTGCGCCTGTGGTTGCAATCGCTGCGAGTCCAATTGCATGGCTGTCTCGTTACGCGGGCCCCCGGGGTCCCGAGGCCATGCCCTGCTGGAAGATTGGTGGGCTGCATGGGTGGATGGACCGATTGGGGGCTAAAGCAGGCGACCAGGCTGAGCTGAGCGCGGGACCGGACGGCCGGTTGTCGCTTCGGCTGATACGCGCGCAGACGGCTGTGGCAAATCAAGCGGGCATGGCAGCAGCAGCGGCGACAGGGCTGCCTGCGGCGGACCCTGCAGGCGACGCTGGGGCAGTAGCTGCAGCGGCGGCGGCAACGGCTGGTGAGGCTGTAGCCGCCGGTGATGCGGGTTTGCAGAGCTCGGCTGCCGCCGCTGTGAATGGCAATGGTGCCGTTCCTGCTGGCGAAACAGCATCTGCTGCTGCAGCCGTTGCGGGCGCTGCGATTGACGCTGGAGGTAACCCAGCTGGGGGCTTGCCCCTTCCCTCCGCCGGCTCAGGCTCCTTAGGGGGGGTTGTCCAGCCTGGCCCGGTGCCCATCCCCGCCTCGGCCCTGACTCCCAGCAGTAACATGGGCCTAGCCGTTGAGCTAAACGACCGGTCTGTGACCGACGGCTCCATACGACTCCCGGTGCTTCTGTGTCGGAGCCTTTTTTCGGGCCTTACGGCGACCAATGGGTCGGGCTCGGACATTGTGGTACGAATGGTGGACGATACCGATGGGCAGGTGTTCCAAACGCACCTGCATGGCTACGCAAACCAGCGCGCCTACGTGACATGGGTGCTGAAGCGCTTAAGGGGCGTGATCAACAAGCATGCAGGGCGCTCGGGCAGCAGGTTGCGCATGTGGAGGGTTGAGGGTGACGCCACAGACATGGTGCACTTCCGGGCGTTACCGGGCGGTAACAGCCGGAAGTGCACCATGTCTGTGGCGTCACCCTCAACCCTCCACATGCGCAACCTGCTGCCCGAGCGCCCTGCATGCTTGTTGATCACGCCCCTTAAGCGCTTCAGCACCCATGTCACGTAGGCGCGCTGGTTTGCGTAGCCATGCAGGTGCGTTTGGAACACCTGCCCATCGGTATCGTCCACCATTCGTACCACAATGTCCGAGCCCGACCCATTGGTCGCCGTAAGGCCCGAAAAAAGGCTCCGACACAGAAGCACCGGGAGTCGTATGGAGCCGTCGGTCACAGACCGGTCGTTTAGCTCAACGGCTAGGCCCATGTTACTGCTGGGAGTCAGGGCCGAGGCGGGGATGGGCACCGGGCCAGGCTGGACAACCCCCCCTAAGGAGCCTGAGCCGGCGGAGGGAAGGGGCAAGCCCCCAGCTGGGTTACCTCCAGCGTCAATCGCAGCGCCCGCAACGGCTGCAGCAGCAGATGCTGTTTCGCCAGCAGGAACGGCACCATTGCCATTCACAGCGGCGGCAGCCGAGCTCTGCAAACCCGCATCACCGGCGGCTACAGCCTCACCAGCCGTTGCCGCCGCCGCTGCAGCTACTGCCCCAGCGTCGCCTGCAGGGTCCGCCGCAGGCAGCCCTGTCGCCGCTGCTGCTGCCATGCCCGCTTGATTTGCCACAGCCGTCTGCGCGCGTATCAGCCGAAGCGACAACCGGCCGTCCGGTCCCGCGCTCAGCTCAGCCTGGTCGCCTGCTTTAGCCCCCAATCGGTCCATCCACCCATGCAGCCCACCAATCTTCCAGCAGGGCATGGCCTCGGGACCCCGGGGGCCCGCGTAACGAGACAGCCATGCAATTATGCATGGCCGTCTCGGCACCTCTTGCAGTCGTGCACCTCGCTGCTACATGCATGACGGCAAGGTTATGATGTGGCCACCTGACGGCCGATAATACATGCCTGCCAAACAATACGTGTCTGCTGGGAACCACAGTAACGCGACCATGCATCCATTGTCAGATTACCGTATCACATGCCCGTCGAACTCGCTCCGACCCCGCCACAGGACACATCATCTGCCAGGACTGCGCGGAGCGGTTAGAGCTGTGCCCGCTGTGCCGGGCGCACATCAACCACCGCTCCCGGGCCTTCGTGTGATGGGGGCGGATGATACGCGGGCGTTCGTGGGTCGACGCGATGAGGGCTGGTGGCATGCATGCGTGCATGGGGTACACCTTGTGTCGCTGCGCCAGCCGAATATGTGGTGTCATTGCCACCGCTCCTTATAACCCTAGGTAAACAAAATTAGTAATTTGCGGCAGCGCATGATGGTTTCGGTGCGGCTGCCGTACAGTTCCTATATATCCCTGGCTAAACATTGTAGGGCCCTCGCGAATTCCAATCGTCGCTGTGCTGCTGCGCCGCTAAATCAGCCAAACAAAGCTTTATATCTTATCAGTTTTACACGTTTTATTCATTTATGTAATTGGAATAGTCAAAGTCCGCTTTTGGCCATAGCCTCGGTCTGCATGAACCAGCCATTCCCACGCAAACCACCCCAAACCTCCGCGCCAAAGATCCAACCGGGTCCTTTGGACCCACCATAACGTTTTGACATTTGCTACAAGCAAAAGCCCGCCGCTTCAGCCTATTGGGTCACCGGACACATGGTCCGAGCGCCGTACGCTTCTCAGCGAGACAGCTGATATATTGTTCTGGTCCATCGTTGCCTTTGCTTTTACCATAAATCACAATTGACCCAAGTTGACCATAAGAGTCTTAGCTTACCTGCAGTCCGCCTTCTCATTCTCGGCTTTGGCAAACAACATGCCAACATTGACCAAGCCCGCGGCATTCTACTAAGGCTATGGCGGCCTCGAAGCCATGGACTGAATTTTTGGGCCCCACGTCCTAGCTTATGGTTGGTGAGCCAGGGTTTCCTTTCGTGCTTTGTTGCATCTCAAGCTACAGCCATGCTAACAAAGGACTCGCGAAAGCCACACCGGTTACAACCATCAACAATTTAAATGACCGTAAAGAATCTTCCCTGTTGTGCAGAACATGTCCCTGGAGAGTCTCCAACCCAAATGTTAATAGCCATTCCTGATGCTTGCAGGCAGCCGGCATCCTTTCTCAGCAGCAACCAGGCACCTTTATGCCAAACGTGTCCACGCACCTACTACCTTGCCCCCTGATGCCGACGGCCATAAACTTGCGCGTCATCGGTTTGTGTTACCTGATCATGAGAACAGCTGCACTGACCCCACTTCCACCGCTGATTATCATAATGCCCACTTGTGCAACATGGGTCAGCCGCACAGACGGACAGTCAACGCTATAGTTTAAAATTTGAAATGCAGAGGTCGGGTTACTCGAATCTAGCCCAGTCACAGGGTTATACGGTATGGAAGCAACGCGAATACAGCAGCAGCAGCAGCGGCGGCGGCGGCGTCAGAAAGCCAAGGACAGCAGCAGCACAGCAGCAGTGGCAATGCATACACATCATTTACCTTCGATGCGAAAGCGGGCAGCGTGTACTAGTCCAAGCGTCTAAGCATTGCCAGCGACATTGGCCTTCTACTTCAAGTTCCCTCGCCACCATGAAGCACCCCTCAAGCATCTTGTAGAGACAACAAACGCCAACGTGTACGGTATACAACATGCAGGCCTGCACCTCCTTCCACCCACCCCTCATGCCTGCCTTTCCTCCGGCTACCATTTTTGCAACCATGGTGCCTTGGCGTACAGCTCGTCACTTTCCTCCCTTCCCCCCCCCATGCCAGCCAGCTCTCTTCCGCCCGCTCGCTGGAGGGTCAACAGTTCATCGCCACCGCGGACTCGGTATCGGTAGGGAATGCCAACCAACACTCTGTATTGTGGCACCCTGCCGCCTCCAATCCCCATTGCTTTGCCCTAACCTGCGGTTTCCTATGGTTCGGTATGGTCTTTGACCACCCCTCATGCCTGCGGGCGTCGCCCCCCGGCTGCCTCCTCCACCCGCACTCGTCGGCCCCGCATCCTCCGCCTCAGCTACCACCACCGCCGCCCTCCCCCGTGTCCGTACCAGCCCGGCTGCAACCCGACACGGGAGTGCTGGACGTGCGGGCAGCGCTACCGCCCGTCCCGGACCCGACCTCGGCACCCCCGCCGCCGCCGCCGCCACCACCCGCTACCCCCCTCCCGCCGGCGTTCACGCCTATAATGGTGCTCAGGCCACGTCGCGGTGTAGGCGCCGGCGACGAGGCCCCCGTCCCGGACCCCGCGTGTGCAGCGGGCGGCGGGGCGGAGCTAGCAGCGGCGGCAGGAGCGGCAGCGGTGAAGGGCGGCGCAGTGCTGGCAGGCGCGGAAGGACCGGCATGGGCTGCTGCTGCACCTGCACCTGCTGCCGTGGAGCCGGTGCCGTTGCTGTGATGGCTGTTATGGCTGTAGCTGTGGTCCCTGCTGCTGCTGCCGGCCCCACCGCCACCTCCATGCCCCGCGCCTCCGCCACTATTCCTCCGACTACTGCTGCTGCTGCCGCCTCCATTGCCCCCTCCGCCTCCCCCACCTCCTGCTCCTCCGTCCTCCCTCATGAACGTCAGCCTGCTGCCCGGCAGTCCCGCCATCACCTCCACCAGCCGGTGCACGTGGTGCCGCAGGTAGCGCAGCACCTCGGGGGCGCCCGAGGTGGCGGGGCGCAGCGCCGCCTTGACGCCCAGCTGCTCCGCGGTGAGGCCGGGGGGGAAGGACTCGGACAGCAGGGTGGCCTGGGCGGGGGGCAGGGGGAGGGCAGGAGGGGGGTAAGACATGATGCATGAGAAGTGCAGGGACTGTGAGAAAGGGATGGGATGGCCCACTCACACGCCCACTCCTCTCCCACACTACAACACACATGGGTGCGCTGCACACCTGTGCACACTGATGATGCAGCCATCTATCGCGCAACCTGCCATGCAAACCCCCCTCTCCATACACGCGGCCAGTTTCCCTTTTCCACATACACACAACTGCATCTCCCAGCAATCACAGTGCGTTCCGACTCGCGGCCAGCTTTCCTAGTACACCCCTATCTTCCCCCCTCCCCTCCCCCACCTGGCTCAGCAGCGCCCGGTGCGCGTTGGTGAGCAGCTCCATGGTCCTCCGCACCTTGCCCGAGGACAGCGGCTGGGAGCCCAGCGCAGCAAGCGGGGAGGCGGGCAGCGAGGGCAGCGCCGACCCCGCATCCATCAGCACACCTAGGCTGCTGCCACCACCCCCACCGGCCCCACCACCGGCACCACCCCCCGCGCTGTGCCCCTCACTCATGACGCTGCTGCTGGTGCTGGGTGCTCCAACGCTGCCCCCACCGCCACCAGCAGCAGCAGCAGCAGCAGCAGTGGTTGTACCCGGAATGACGACGGAGATGATGTCCGCACCGCTGCTGCTGCTGATGCCTGCGGCGGCGGCTGCAGCGGCGGCGGCTGCTGCCTCCTCACACCCCCCGCTGCAGCTAGAAGCAGCAGCAGCAGCAGCGCCCGTCGGGCCGGTTGCTGGCAGGCGTGGGGAGGAGGGGTGGCTAGCGGCGCCGCAGGGAGGGGTGTTGGGCCGCTGCTGGGGGCCGCCTGCTGGGGCTGCTGCTGCTGCTGCTGCTGCTGCTGGCCCCAGCTGCTGCTGCTGCAGGAGCACCAGACGCGCCATGTTATTGCACTGTAGGGGGGGTCAGAGACCATACCAAACCACAGGAGACCACAAGTTAGGGCAAAGCAATGGGGGTAGGAGTTGGCAGGGCGCCACAAGAGGGGGAGGAGGGAGCAGGGAGGCGGATGAGAGGCAGGTGGGGCAGCGGGTAGGCGGAGCAGCGCTGGGAACAGAATCCCAGGAAGGCATATGACGACGCGAGGGTGTCGGGCGCGAGACGTCCCTCCCGCTCTCTGTCTGCCCTCCTCACCCTGCCCTCCTCCCCAACCCCCATCCTCTCCCCGCCCCCATCACGACGACACCTTATCAGTCAGTCAGTCAGTTAGTTCGTTGGTTCCTCTTTACCCTGCCCCCACCTTCTGCACCGCCTCCGCCGCCCGCGCCTCCGCCTCCTCCAGCCGCTGCCGCATCAGCTCCATGAGGGCCGCCTGCCGCCGCAGCTCCGACATCTGGGCGGACGACTCGGCCTGCAGCTCAGCGACCTTGGTGGCCCTGGGGGGGGACGGAGGGGGAGGGGAGATAGAAGCAAACCACAAGTGAGGGCTTAGCAATGGCAAGGGTGGCAGGGTGCCACTCAACGCAAGTGAGGGTTAGCAGGAGGTGGACGATCACTCAACGCAAGGGTCCCCTTCTTACACCCCTCCATCCCCCCTCCTCCCAGTCCCCCTCCCACCTGGTCCCCCTCACGATCTCCTCCAGCTGCCCCCTAAGCTGCTCGCTGGTGGTCTGCTGCGCCGCCAGCTGCTCCCGCAGCTTGGTCACCAGCGAGGTGGTGGCGGAGGAGCGGTACATGCGGCTCATGCCGCTGGGGGTTTGGGGGGAGAGAAGAATACCCAATGGGGAGGGGGCAGGGAGAGAGGGGGTTCCATGTGAGACATGTAAGAAGAGGGAGAGGGAGGTGCGGGGCAACAAAGGCCAGCTGGCAGCTGCAGCGTGGTTGAAGGAGGCCTCATCGCCCATGTGGCCCATCTCCTCCCACCCACCCACCCACGCATGGTATTCTCCGCCCCCTCCACCCCCCACCACGGTCAGTGTTTCCTCGCGGCTTACACTATCAACCCCCTCCCTCTTCCCCCCTCACGTGTTGGGGCTGAGCGCCTTCTCCCGCGCGTTCAGCAGCTCCTCCGCCTTCACCAGGCTGGTCCGGCAGCGGCCCAGCTCACCCTCCAGCCGGTGCCGCTCGGTGCGGAGCAGGCGCTGCGGGGCGGCAGGGGGGGGGCCACGTCAGGGAGGGATACATGTCAGGGTAGCTTCGTTAGCTTGCTGGTCGTACAGGGCAGGGCGGCTCTTTTCAGGCAGTGACCCCCCCTCCCCTTTCCAGGACTGCCCCTCCCCTCCCCTTCCCACCCCTCCCCACCCCGCCCCCCTCACGTTCTCCTCCTTGCACGCCGCCAGCGCACTCCGCGTGTGCCTCAGCTCCTCCGTCAGCGCCTCCACGTCCCGAGGGGGGGTGCTGCCAGGCACCACAAACACAGGAGCCGCCGCCGCCCCTCCTCCCCCTCCTCCTCCTCCTCCTGCTCCGTCCTTCCCCCGACAGAACGGCCGCAGCCCCTCCAGCAGCTCAGCCATGGCCTGCCGCTCTGCAGCTGCTGCCGCTGCAGCCGCCGCAGCGGCGTTCAGGTTGGGCGCCCCCGCGCCACTGCGGTGCGAGTACGTCACCCCTCCTCCGCTGCCTGCAGCAGCCTCCCGTGCTCCCTCTCCCACGCCGCTTGTGAAGGAAAAGCGCCGGGCGGAGGGTCCAGGGCCGGGTCCGGGGCCGGCTCCGATGTCGGTTGCTGCCCAGGCTACTTGGGAAGCCTGCCTGGGTGGTCGGCTGGAGGCGGAGAGGGAGCGGTCAGGGGGCGGGGTGGAGGTGGAGGAAGGGAGGGCCAGGGGGCGGGAGCGGGGGGGAGAAGGGCTGGGTGGGGGTGGTGGCGGTGTTGTGGGGAGTGGGAGGCGGTTGGAGGAGGGGTGTTGTGGGGCGGGGTGCGGGTGTTGTGGGTGGGGCGGGTTGAGGGGAGGGCCCGAGCCGGGATCGGTGGAGGACCTGTGCGGGGATGGGAGAGGATGGGGTGTGAGGGAGGTGTGGGATTGGAGGCATGGGGGTGGCGCGGGAAGGAGTGGGGAGTGCCAAGGGGGTGTGGCCGAGGATCCGAAGAAGCAGCAAGGAGGTTCGGCTCCCTGCCTGCCGGATTCTACCCGGTCGAAAAAAGCCCATGGGGGCTGACGCACCTGGCGTCTCCTTCGGATTGGAATGCTGAGGGAGCGCTGGGCCTCCGGTGGTGCTGCAGGTGCATGGTCGATGGGGCTGCCATGCCACGCGGGATAGATAGCTCACAACTGCAGCAAGTCCAGCTGGAGAAGCAAGCCCAGTACTACTCCGTGTTCCAACCTAGTAGTACCGTCTGCATAATGGACGTGCAGGTGGACATCAGAACAGGAAAGTCGAAGAGGATTCAGAGGGTTCAGATTCTACGCCTGGAAGAAAGCACAAATGTTGTAAGAAATGATCTCACTACTATATGCTTAAGGAGAGAGAGAAAGGGCCTGGAAAGATTTGCACCAATTTCAGTCGTTGGTGGGCGCCTCACGTACTTCGATGCACCAATACGCACGAAAACTATACACTGAAACCCGATTGGTGCTAGAAAAGGTAAGACGCTGAGCTTAAAGCTGTGTTTGGGATTCGCACCTGACTAGCGCGGCTTCATGCCATAAGTCCTGGGCAGGAAGCGTCGCTACTCCATTGCAGCTAGAACTATCAAAATGGTACACTTCTCTTGGAGTATGAAGGGACTGCCGCAGTGGTGAAACAACTGAAACGTGCTTACCCGCCAGCTAGGACATTTTATAAGCGAGCCTGAAACGTTAAGTGCCTAGGTGATGCTCTTTATTGGTTATCTAGAAGAGTATAAGCCTGTCGACGTACCGAGTGACGGTTTCCTACACGATGAGTACGGCGATCGGGTTTTCAATCCGCGCGCAGTCAGTTTGGGGCCCGCCACACTTACAACCCAAGGTGCCTTCATATTGTTCCACTCCCCTATCCGATCCTTGCATCAGGCCTGACGATGATTGTTCTCCCTCCTGGCCACACATACACTCTTTGCAACCTTCCCGCAAAACGTCCCGCAGAACGTCACTTCAGCAATGACGCAAGTGTGGACGTATAAGGCTGTGGGAACAGCGTGTCAACATACGGACACGGCGGATGGGCGCCATGGCGAACACGGCGGATGGGCGCCAATGCAAGCTCGATACATAACCCCGAAGGCGCACAACGCCGTACAAACAAGCACCGGCGCGCCCGTGCCAGCGTCGAGGCCGCAGCAGACATCTAATGTTCGTTAAGGACGGTGGTGCAACAACGACACGACTGGGGCAAAACAAGCTACCAGCTACCGGTATTGGTAAGGCATGCAGCATCTGACAAACGCCCACACACCCCAATACACATTGCTTGCTCTTGTTATACTCCACTACTCACCCCAATACACACTGGGCTAACAACAACCCATGGCCAGCCACGCCAACCGAGTCCAACCCTAAGCAGGGCAACATGCACAGAGGATTCCCGGCTTGCTTAGGCATGCATGCATGCATGCAGCCGACAAGAGCCCCCACGGGCGTGCTGACAACAGCAACTGCCCAACGCGGCGGATGGAGATGATTGCATGTGCCCATGCTCGCTCGCACCAATGCACAAGCTATGTCATCACTGTATATGCAGATACGACATTCGTACACAGCTAACTACGACATCCGCCTTTGAACGAAACGGAATTCAAGGGCTGATATATGCCGTATACATTTTATTTGTGTGTTTTGGGACTGCTCGCTTCCAGTCAACCATTACGCACGCTAAAGATGTAGAAGTATGCTAAATACAGCACTAAAGGTACGGTAGCTGGATGTTGACCCACCCTAGAGCACTTCGTCCCTTGGCAAACAAGGTAACCATGAGCCTCGGACCCCTCCCGTGTCCCACGTTGCCCGCAACGTCGCAACTGAACACCTAACGAACCATATTCCACGTTTAAGCGCACATTCGGCGCATGGTAGCTGCTGCAATCCTCTGTAATATACTGCAAAATTGCGAGTGAATACAGCTTTGTGCCAAATCACGACCCACAAACCACAACACACGGTGGCATAAACCCTTACTTCTCGCTCGCAGGCCTAGATACCCTAAGTAGCAACCAGTGTCTTGCTTCCAAGCCACACAAACCCCACAGCCCCCATCTACCTATCCACCTATCACAGGTACACAACCGCCGTCTGCGCCGTTCCGTTAGCCGCGGGGAACCTCACCGTCCCGCTGAACTTCTTGCTTCCCAGCGTGACTTCGTAGACGTACTTGCCGTAGAAGCCCCGAGTGGGTCCGTACACCCCCTTGCTGGAGAGCGCCACATTGGTTGCGGTCGTGGTGGTGTTCCAGGTGCTGCCCCACAGCGAGGCGACGGTGGCGGCGGCGGCCTTGGCGGTGCCGTTGGCGGTGTAGAGGCCGCCGTTGCGGATCCAGTTGGAGGAGTCCCAGAAGCCCCTGTGGGAGGAAGGGAGGGAGGGAGGGAGGGAGGGAGGGAGGGAGGGAGGCCGACCCATGGGTCGGCAGTGGCTCCGCGGGAAGACGATGACTGCAACGATTTGTCGTTCAGAACTTCAGACAGGGTAAAGTCCAAGAGATATCGTACAGTACGTACCCCAAGCCGGGAGGCTGCCCCTGCCGCCTCCTATCACGTGTGGTTTGTACCGGTGTTTCTTTTACCCCCACCCACCACATGAGTATTCCCTTGATGTACGGCACGCTAAACCAGAAGCGCAGGTACTCGTCGTACAGGGCTGCATGCTGCGCCTGCGTGCCGCCCCACACGGGAGTGTTGCCCTCCCAGCCGGTCATGAAGTTGAACTCGGTGATGTAGATGGAGAGGTTGAGGGAGGCGAGCTGGTCCAGACGCGGCTTCATGTAGGCGGGGGTGGGGCGGGGGACCTGGCTGGTGGAGGTGTAGGCCTGCGGGAGGAGCAGCGAGAGGAGGGGGATGGAGGAGGAGGAGGGGGCGCGGAAGAGGGGCCGCAATGGGATGGGATGGGTGTGTTGGCCGCAGCTAGCGTCCTAGGGGTGTTAAGGCGAGGCTGAGTGCCAGCGGGCGGCACGACAACGGTCCACAGGGTCCCACCCAGCAGGCAACACCCAGCACCCCTGCACCCCTGCACACGGGGAAAGCGGGATTACCCAACCCCCACCCCTCCACTCCCCTCCCCAGCGCGGGTTCACTTAGCAACCCAGTGCGAAGCCTCGTCATCCAGTTCGTCTGTTTTCCTTATTTTTCACCCCCGAGCTCATCCCCGCCCCCTCCCCCTCGCCTCACCTGCACCCCGATGCAGTGGATGGGCACCTTGTTTGCGAGCATGTCCTTCACCAGCTGCAACATGCCCTGCCAGTCGTCACCAGTGATCAGGTCGTATTCGTTGAGGCACAGCTGCGCGGTGGGGTCGGCGGCGGCGGCCCAGCGGAAGCCGTCGTACAGGATGCCGGGCCACATGCCCGGGCAGTCGGACACGAACTGGCGGGTGTGCAGGACCTCATTGAAGACATCGTATGCCTGGAACTTGCCCCTGGGGGCAGCAGATAGATGGAGAGGTGGTAAAGAGGAAACAACTACGGTAAGTGACTGTGTGGTAAGGAGAGGTGGTGGGGTTAATGTGTGGATAGGGTAATAGCCCTAATAGGTTAGTTGAAGGTGGATGAGGTGGGGTGAGCAGGAAGGGGTGAGGTGTGCGTCCCCCAACACGTTCCCTCTCGCTCCCTCTCCCTCCCCCCCCCAACCCACTTGAAGAGGCTGAGCTCCCGGGTTATGCGGTTGCGCAGGTAGGTGCGGTAGGCGTCGCAGCCGTCCTGCGGGGGAGGGAAGGGAAGGGAAGGGAAGGGAAGGGGGAGCGAAGGCGGTAAGGCAGCAGGGAAGAGGGAAGAAGGGGAGAGCCGATGAGAAGCAACAACAGAGGATCATGGGAGTGGAGAGCACGGCCCTCATGCGACAACTTGGGCGCGACGATGCAGCTGCAAGATCCAACTCCTTACCCCGTGGACCCGTGTCTTCATCCTTACTCCCCGTCCTCCACTCGCCCAACCCACCCCACCCCCACCGCACGCAGCCATGCGCACACCTGGTGAGACCAGTGGTTGACGAAGCCGGCGTCATCTAGGTACCTGAGGAGGAGGGCGAGGAGGAGGAAGATGAGGAGGAGGAAGAGGGGTAACGCAGCAAGAATGGCACCCACTGGTGTGAACAGCAGTGGTAAAACCCGCGGGGCGGGGGCGCAAGTGGCAATAGGTAGCTAGCTGCCGATGCAAGTTAGCTCGCCCAGCCGACACATAGGCGAGGCGAGGCGCACACCACTGCACAACTGCGTGAGTCACAGCATGCATGCATGCATGCGTATATTTAGGATTGCTAACAGGCTGCGAGCGCAGCAGGCGCAGCAGCAGCAGCAGAAGCAGCCCGAGGGCCGCCGCGTGGTGGTGGTGCGCGTGCGGCTCACCATTCCAGGGTATGTCCGCGCGAAAGCACAAAGTCGTTGGCGGTTGCAAACTTGATGTGGTTGTTAATCAGGTAGTTGTAGGTGTTCTGGTACTGGCCCTTAACCGGCTCGTACGCCTGCAGGGGCGCACGAGTACGACAATTACACCTATGCGCCTGCGGACACTGCACACACTGCCGTACATACGGACACGCAGCAGGAGCTGACAGCAGCTGAGCTGTTCCCCTTGCCCCTTCCCTTCCCCTTCCCCCCCTCCTTTCTAGGATAGTGTCTCCGAATGCACTCACTGCATGAGTCGGGATATGGGATTGGGACTCTAGTAGTTGCAATTATTATAAAATCCCCCCTTCCCTCACCCCTCCTGCTCCCTTCACCCCTCACCCCCCCCTCACCGGCCACTTGAAGCTCCATTCGGGTACCATCGCATTGAAGTGCTTCTTAGCGGTGGCCAGGTACCAGTCCAGCTGGGCTGCGGGCACGCCCCACCACTCCATCGCGCTGCCGAAGGGGAAGTCGTGCTGCGATAGACGCAGCTTCAGAGAGGCCAGCTTGCCGGTGATGGGCTGCAGGGGGAGGGAGGTGGGAGGTGGGGGAGGAGCAGGAGCCGGGTGAAAGGGCGAGGTAGGGAAGGGTTGATGGCTAGGAAAGCAAGAGGAGAGGTGGACCCGCATGTTGGCCATCTGCGCATCATGCACGGGAGAGCAACAGGACCGGCGGCCTAGGAATGCTGTAAGGAGAGGTGGGTTATGTACGGTATCCAGCCGCTGGCTGCTGCTGCTGCGAGTCTCATCACCCTACGCATCCAACGCTCCAGCCCCCCAGGTGCAGCAGCTTGGCTTCGTAGCCCTGGTCTCCGGGGCACACCCTGCGACCCACCTTGTTGGTGGTCTTGTTCACAAACTTGATGGAAAAATCGCCCTTGCGGTACTTTTCAATGCGTGCAGCCACATTGGTTTTGTTGACGTAGTTGTTGTCCTCGGCCGAGCTGTCGGGTCGTGAGGTTAAGGTAAAATCGTCGACGTAGAGAGTGCCCTGGATGAGACCCAGGTCAAGGGTGTAGTAGACGGTGGATCCGCTGGGTGGTTGGAAGTCGTTGATGCAAACCTGCTGCCAGTTGGTTGCTGCCTGGGCACCAGGACACACGAAGGGAAGACAGAGGGTTGGGAGTCAGGAAGGAGGGAAGTGGGAAGGAGGACTTGTGCTGAAACAGCAAAGGAACAGCAGGTGGGTCAAGGGAAAACCGGAGCGCGGAAGGAGCATCAAGCCGTGGGCACCACAAGCAAAGGGCAGCAAGCCGTGTTTATCCCCTCGTCGGAACGGCATTCGCACCAGGAGATTTGCACCGCGAATAAATACGTAGCCAGCGAACTCAAGAAGGCTCATGTGAACCGTGGCGCTTCCCTTGCTGGTCCGAACCCAAAAGCAAGCCGTGTACAGTTTGCTTGCAGACAGGTTGAACTGCGGGGACTGGAGCTGGACGTGCCATCCCTGGGTTGCCGTAACCGATATGCTGACAGCCACGCCGGCACTCCCGGTCCGTGCGGCCGCCTTACTCGCCATGTTAACGGAGGCCGTCGGACAAGGACATTCCGTACTTTGAATGTATTTATCCCACCCACTAATCGTCGCTGCTTTGTCAAAGCTAGTATTGTACACGACGGATTGCGCGTCCGAACTGGCAGCGACCATGGCCAACATGGCAAAGATGGTGAGCAAAGCCATACTTGCTACCCGCAAGGCTCCTAGGAAGGTATACAGCGAGCAGAATGTAGTGCAAGTATGTATTTGCCTGAAAATCGCTTAACCCACGTACTTAAGGCTAACGGTACGGAAGGGGTCAGGTTCCCAATGCCTTCCGCAGGCTAGGCCAAGAGTAGTTATTACCACAGCCCGTATTATTAGCAGTCGCTGAGGTCTACAACACACGCAAGGACTAACTTGACCCAATACAGTTGATACCGTACGTACCAGTGTTGTTACTGCACCCTGACAGCTCAGACAGATCAGTGCTTTACGGGATTTTTGGCGAGGGGTTTGCTGACTATGTTGACGCTAAGGATAAGTGGCTCCCTGATGCTATGCGCGCTAAGCAGCAGACTCCCCATGCGGATGGCCGGCGTATCCCGTTGGAACTGTATGCCGACGACCTCAGCCTTTTCGCTACGACGCACAGACGGCTGATTGTGTTGCTTGCTGATTTGAGAGAGTGGTGTGAGGCCTTTGGGATGCGGGTGAATGTTCGTAAATGTGAATTGATGATTTTCCACCCTCGTGCCAATATCCGCGAGGCTTTTGCTGCCCTTTGCCCCGTGGTGTGGACTTCTATTGAGGGAAATGCGCGAGTACCTATGGTTATTCCCTGGGTACAACGAGCCCGTTACCTTGGTTTGCACTTTGGTCCTGGCACACCGTTTGTTTCCTGCACAGAGGAACTGTTGACCTCTGGCCGACGTGCTATGTTTTCTCTTCAGCGTAAATTAAAACGCCTAGGTCTTTTGGTCCCTGCTGTTGCAGTTAAGTGCTTCGACGTGCAAGTCCGCTCCATCTTGTCGTACGGTGTCCAGGTGTGGGGGCCTGATGTGGTGCTGAAGCTAATGACGGACTGCGAGAATTCCGCGAGGTACTTTGACAGATCCTTGCGGGACCCAATGGTGCAGTTACAAAGGGAATTTCTTCGGGAGATTGCGGGTGTGAAAGTCTCGCCTGATAAGTTGCTGTTTAAGGAGTTTAACCAGCGCCCCTTGCATGTCTTCTGGCTGGAACTGTTTCTGAGGTTTTGGAATGACCTGGTCAAGCAGAAGGACACGGTCTACCACCAGGCGTTGCGAGGTGAAATTCGTTCGGCTCTCAGTACTGAGCATTATGATGGCTGGGGTTCTAAGGTGTTGAAGATTCTGAAAATGTTAGGGACGGATTTGACGGCCTTGGGGGGTGAGTTGGACTTGAATGCGCGTGTGGAACGTATTGCTGGCACGGAGCTAAATGTGTCTGCTCTCACTAAAACGTTTGCTGATAGAATGGATGCGGATTGGGAGGATAGGAGTTTGGAAGATGACCCGCGGCTTTTCAACCCAGTAGACCCCGTACCAGGGGTTGGAGTTAAGATGTGCAGGTACAAAAATTGGATGGGTGACCCGGTCGACAGGGGGTACATTACTCAGCGGCAGCATGTGAACCTGATGCGTTTTCGGCTGTGTGTGTGGGGCATTGAAGCCAATCGCCCTAGGGGTAGGCAACGAGTAGCGCGTGTCTGTCCTATGTGTGCCGTGCAGGGGTCGCCGGGGAGAGTGGAAGATGAGAAACACATCCTCATTGAATGTCCCGCTTACGATGATTTGCGTGATAAGATATGGGAAAGTGGTGTCTCACGGGATGCTGATATGATTGCTGTCATGGGCATGGAGAATCAGGCATTGCTTGCTAGCGTAATCACTAGCATGCGAAGTCGCAGGATTGCGCAGACAGGGTTTATCATATGATTAGCGTTCTGTTTGTTGTCTCTTTTGTTTACTTTTTTTCTTTTGGTTGTTTTCGCGTTTTGTGCTCGCGATCCATGAGCCTTCTGGCTCGGACGGATCTTACGAGCTCGGTACGAAGCTTGTAACACATACATACATACATACAGTGCTATACAGACCACAACTAGGTGAATAAACTTTATCTATTTCATGAAGAGGGGCTATCGTTCCCAATGACTTCAGTTTGTGGCATGGCCTATAAGGCCCATAGGGTTGTGCGTCGTGCGAGTCTCCCGCTTGCTTTTACCGCGTTTAGGTCTGACATTCTCTTTTGAGGCCTCTGCTTCAGCGCGGCACGTCCTTCCTGCTGATAGTCGCTTTCGTCGCACCTCTTGACCGCAATGGTTCGTGGGGTTGTGCGGTAGGATAGGGCAGGAGGGCCCTACACCGTATTCACCGCACAATGGCTCCTGCGTCACCGTAAGACTCACTAGCATAACTCGCTTCGCAAAGACATGTACGTACTGCAGACAATGTCAGTCGATAATCAACCGTGCAAGGTAATAGTCCCTGGCAAGCATACATGCGGGCCCTTTCACCGTCACTAACGTACTTCAGCCGCTCCAATTACCGGTAGTCTCCTTGGCAATCGTGCAGTGCACTGGACCGTGTTAGTCCATTCACCATATTCCCTTCTATCACCACAATGCATGGTCAGCGCCATCGCCGGGCTCCTTGTGTCCTTGGGCCCCCTTGCTCGTACGGACACACTGTACACGCGTACAGACTGTAACTGTAACTCTAACTACTCCTGGTAGTGCTTCCCCTCCCCGGCTGCTCTCCTCCCGTCAGCATCGCGTGATGAGCCACTTTGCCACGTGCGTCACCACCCTGCACAGCAACGTAAAGACACAGTGAACGTTTCACCAGCCACTTGGCCATACAGGAAAGGTCAAAGCGTGCATAGACGCTCCGCAAGCCCCCTAAGCGCTTCTCAGTTCTAGGCCTGGCCCTTCCAAAGACAGCCGCGGCCTTGCCCTCGTACGACCGTTTGCACCTTCCCCAACCTCTCCATCCGGAGGAAGCTTCCTCCTCGCTGCCTCCCCCCTCCGACGCCTTATCGCACGGTTCGTTACCGGTAGTTGTTTCCTCTTTACCCCTCCGAGGTGCCTCCCCCACCCACTCCCACCTGGCAGTCACATCCGGCTGGTCTTGAAACAGCATGTGACGGCCCTCCGGAACCAGCTGAAGGCGGGGCCAGGGTTGGAAAGGGGGTTTTGCTGTTAGCCTGCTACAAGCCTGCTAATCCTCAATTGAGGAGATTCGTGGTGGTTCCGGAGCGGGTGCTTACGATGTACATGTAACCCCCTTCCTTTCTGACATCTTTCTGGAAGTATGCTTGTTTCACCACCGCACCCTCTCCCCAACAGCACGCATGGTCCTATCCTGCTTCACACCCACCATCAGTTCCTTGTCGCTGCTGGCCGCTCGCTGGAGCAGCTCCCGGCTGCCCGCCGCGCATGTGCGTGGGTCGTCCGGGGAGTGGAGCACCTGAGGTATCAGGACGGGCGCACGGGTGAGGTACAAGGGGGCACAAGGGCGCGTGCAGCAGAGGACGGGCAGGGAAGCATCACAGGAACACCGGGACTGAGGCGTAAGGTCGGGCACTTGGCTTTTGTCGGCGTAGCAAATTAGCAATAGGGGCCAGTCCGTGCCTTAAAAAGGTGTGCGTGCAGGCAGGGCCGGCAGGCAGTCGAGCGGCTGGCAGACGGCAGCAACCAGGGGTGTGTTGCGAAGGAGTCAGGGCGGTCAGACCCCAGGGTAGGGCGCAGCGTCATGTAACGTCACGGGATTGGAAGCCGCACACGTCTGCGCAGCAGCCCTAGTAGGGTCTGTACGGCATCAGGCTGCCACGCTGCCGTACATCCCCACATCAACTCATGCGTGTCCCACATGCCTTGCAGGGCGGGTGCAGTCGGTGAGCTCGACAACATGCGCCGCGACCCACCCGCCCAGCCGCCCACCGGGAGCCCTGTCGTGTGGTTACGGTAGCTACTTCCCCCTACCCAACCCACCAGGAAGGGTGTGGTGATGTCCTGCAGGTGCGAGTGCAGCTCGTCCCACACCGGCAGCAGCCGCAGCAGGTGCAGCCGGGGGGCGTCTAGTGTGAACTGCGAGGGCCCATGCAGCAACAGGGGGCGGGTGGAGGCGGGCCGTGGAGTGGGGTTGGCGAGGAATGGAGGGGAGCAAGGGAAGTGGCCACCGACACCGACACCACCCCGCACGCAGCTTCTGCGGACTCTTGACAGTTAGCTTCACTGCCTAGCTAACTGAAGGGGGCAAGGGACCGACGCCTTCCGGCAGACCCGCTCAGCAGATAGCGCCTTTCAGTCCCCGGGGGCTCGCACGCAAAGACATACCAGGGGGTCGGTGTGGGCAGCCTCCGCAAAGCTAGCGTCCCCGAAGGCCGCCTTCCACTGCTCCAACTGCACCGCGCTGCTACCCGGTATGCGGCCCCTGGCGTGTGGGACGAGTACGGGTGCACGACAACGTAACGTACGGCATGCGGCGGTCACATGCGGCGCGTGGGAAATGCCAGCCTCCTTGCCCCGTTTGCACTTGCCCTTCGCACCCAGCGGTTTCCCACCCATGGGTGGGAGGCCCACCTAGGGAACAGCACGGCGGCGGTCTGCAGGAGCGGCAGCAGCACCTGAGGGGCCGGAAGGCATGAAGGACATGAAGGGCGTGAAGGGGATGGGTGAGCAATCAAGTGATCAACCTCTGAACCGCGGTACGTGCCGCTATCCAGAGCTGTAGGTTTTGGGCTCAGCCCATGGCCTGAAACCTACAGCTCTGGATAGCGGCACGCACCGCGGTTCCTCCCTTCCTACCCGTTCCCAGCCCCTCCCTGCCCCGGCCCCCGCCCGCTCACCCGGGGCGGCAGCAGTGCAGGCGGCAGCTGGATGAGCGGCGCCATCAGCACCAGCCCCCGGAGCTGTGCAGGGAGGAGAGGGAGGGGGCAGCAGGAGGAGGCCGGGTTAGATGAGGGGGTTAGGATTTGGGCTGCTCCGCACAGGGCTGGTACAGTAAAGGACAATGAATGAAAGCGGGAGGCCAAGGTAGAGACTTGGCGACACTTAGCGACTAGAGACTTGGAGACACTCAGAGACAGGGCGGTTGTCCCCCCATCAGCACACCACGACAGTCCAGAGCACAAGCCCCTTGCACATTCTCCCGGCCCGGTCAGAGCTGCAACCTCCACCTAGCATCATTGAAGGGGTGGTTTCCTGAATAGCTTTGTCTGAATAGGTTTACCAGTATGCCTATCTTCCCTACCCCTCCACCGTCCCCTTTCCCCAGCTCCCCACCCACCCTGCTGCTGACGTCCGGCCGCCTGGCCGCCTGCAACACCACACTGCCCCCCAGCGACTCGCCCAGCAGGAACACGGGGGCGCCTGCAGCAGCGGGGGCAGTACGACACGTGCGCATGAGGCACGTACGGCATGTGATCTGTCGACTGTACGACATGAGTGCTGCATGTCAGCAAGGTGAGGAGGGTTGCTACTGGCCGGCAACTAATCCTCTCACGTCGTACGTAAGCAAGCCCCCAACCGTGCATGCATGGCTGCTGTGCAGCTGGGATCCCGGCCCCCTACTGCGCCGAGACAGCCGCACCGGGGTGCCGCCTCGCAGCCCACTCCAGCACCTGTGAGCACGTGCGCACGCAGGCGTGGAGCACATAGTAGTCTTAAGCTTATACCGGTAAGGACCAGCCATTGTCATTAGTGAGTGGGAGGGAGCGGTGGGGTTTCGTGGGATAGCCTTGGATGCTTACAGCTACTACGAACCGGTATCTATCGTACCGCCAGCGGTAAGAAGCCCTAATCACCCACCTGGACGGCATCCTCCACTAGGTCGTTGAACTGCCGTACGTAGCCCCTCAGGCCTTGAAAGCAGTCCGAGAGGCCGTGACCTTGCTGGTCGTACGACACAACCGCCAGGCCTTACGTAGGGCCCGGGTCGGGTAGCGGGTTAGCAATGGGGGGGTGGAATATCAACTCTTGAATATCCCGCTCGCTGCCTTCCTCAGGTGGCTTCCCTCCTCTGCCAGAACCGTTTCCCTCCTACCCGTTATCCCTTCCTGCTGCGGATTTTGCGGCCTCCACCTGCCTTCCTCCTCCTCCTCCCACCTCACCCACCCTGTGCCACGAGCTGCATCGCCACGCGGCTAAACGCGCCCGAGTGCATGGTCAGGCCGTGCACCATCACCACCACACCCCGAACACCGGACTTGCCGCCTGATGGATGGATGGCGATTCGGAGGTTCGGAAGGGAAGGGAAGCGCGTATGTATGAGCGGCTAATGAGCCAATGTAGGAAGAGACCGGGCGGCGGGAGGGAAAGGGCAAAGGGCCGGACAAGGTACTGGCAGGGAAAGGCCGGCAGGGGGATGATGCACGGGGTGGCAATGAGTTTCATGCTCCCACATTATTTTGCGTTGGGGCGGCGGTGACGCGTTTAAAGTGCATGCCATTGCAATGTGGGTGTCACTGTTTGCTCGCAACATGAATCACTAGCAACGCAGGTTGGTGGGCTATGTCTTGGAAGTGAGAGGGGCAAACGGCGCCAAATCCACCTCGTTGAGTGCGGCAGGGTTGAATAGAAAGTGAAATCACACCCGGAAGGACGCAGCGAGGTGGGTGGAAAGTAAGTAGCATTTTGAGGCCAGGTGTGGTATGATTGCGCACGTGGGTGGTTATGCTACTGGCTCGGGCGCTTTCCGTGACGCACCCGGTTTTGGATGCCAGTGCCGAACAAAGAGCTTTAGCCCCTGAGCGTTGCAGATGACGGCTGTAGTGTTGGCTCCGGAGGTGTCCTTCAACTGCGAACCCGCATGCATGTTGTAGAGGTCATTGCACCGTTTTGCTTGCGTAGCTGGCAGAGCGATGTGGCGCATTTTTTATAGGAGACAACGCTTGGGAACTCTTGCCTTGTATTTGGCCCGCGCGTTGTCCATATCCCGGCGATGCTTGCAAACGCGTGCATTATCAGCCCAAGTAGCCCACGCCGAGCCTATCACCAGCGCGCTGGCCGCAATGGCTGCAGCTGTAGCTGTAGCGGCTTGACGCGACAATGAAGGCAGAGACATTGTGCGAAAAAAGGTAGTGTTGCGGTGTTGCAGCAGCTGCATGCTGTCCATTGGCTGCGTTCGCTGCGAGGATACTTGACTACTGTATACATATGACTACTGTATACTCATAACTGTCGCTATATGGCGTTATCCACTAGTCTCTAATCCCATGCTTACGCTTGCGGGGACGAGTCTTCACCACCATACCGATTCTCATACGATGTTTCATGCATGTCATGCGGCTTCTGCACCACACCGAACAAATGCTATGCTGTATATCGGTTTTGCCTGGACGGACCGTAAGCTTGCTTGGATCAACGGTCAACCATCTTTTCTTCTACCAGAGGCCAAAGTTACCAAGATTGCCGCCATATGGGCGTAGGGGGCATAGAACCGGTACCAATTTTACAAAGCACCGCTACCAAAGGTCAAGGACGGGTGACCCATTTCGACCACCGTGTAAGGCCCCTTTGCCTTCTGATTCAATCTCCTACCAGCGCTTGGCCACATAGACCGGTAACACTATTGGCTCTTTGAGACGACAATTTAACCATTGCATGCACCTTCATTAGGAAGTGAGGGCCTAGAGTTTGGCCGCGAGTAAATTATTGCGTAAATTATTATTGCACCTTCCTTAGATCCACTTTCACCTCTTAATATAACAGTACACATTCAGTTAAGATAGCAATTGAGGCGCCTGGATCAGTAGGTCGGAAGGATGAGGCTTTGCACGGACGTCGCGGGGCCAAGCACCTCGCATGTCAGTAGGAGACGCAATGCGTGGAGGGCTTTTAGCGGTGTGAAGAATGTTCAGCCAGTTCCGGCAAGGGCTGCGGCCATCCACCGGAAACAGCGGCTGCTTTGCAACGCCGTCGCTGAGCTTACCTCAGCCGAGCTACGAGGTGTGTACAAGGTTATAGAAGAAGCTACTCAACGCTTAACACGCAGCATCATGCTTAAGATCCACTCATGCCGTCCAGAATATGCAAGTTTGTTCCTTGCTTGCGTCACGAGCCGATGGCTAGGAACCTTAAACGAGCCCATATCGCCTACTGAGAGCAATCTCAATTTCATCACTCCGTTAAGCACAGTCGCTTCCTCAGCCAAGATCCGGGTACATACCTTTGCTTCCTTCCCATCGCACATTCCTCCTCCCGACCAGCCACACCCCTAACGCGCAAACCACCACATCCACCACACCTAGCTGCTTACACGCCTAAACCTCTTTCCATGCCTGCTCCACTCTCCCTCCACTTTCCTTTTCCACCCCTTTCCTCCTTCCCCGCTTCCCCCCTGGGACTCCAGTTATTTGCACTTGTTACAGCTTATTATATTATTTTTCCCCCTCCCCCCTCTCAACAGCCCTCAAGGTCTCCGAATCCGAGTCCATCGGTTTCGACGCAGACGTCTCCACCCGCCTTGCCCGCTCCTACCCTCTCGCCGCCGTGGTGGGCCAGGACAACATCAAGCAGGCGCTGCTGCTGGGTGCGGTGGACACGGCGCTGGGCGGCATCGCGATTGCGGGCCGGCGCGGCACCGCCAAGTCGGTGATGGCTCGCGGGCTGCATGCGCTGCTGCCGCCCATTGAGGTGGTGGAGGGCAGCTACTGCAATGCGGACCCGGAGGACCCGCGCAGCTGGGAGGTGAGAGGTGGAGGGGTGGGAGAGGGAGGGGAGGGGAGGGGGAGGAGTGAGGGAAAAGGAGGAGTGAAGTCCGAAATCCCATGTCCCGACTCATGCAGTGAGCGCAACCACGGCAAGTACTTTGAGAGACGCGACACGCAGGGGAGTGGGAGGGGAAAGCAAGTGAGAAGTGAAGCAATGGAAACCCAATCCCGTGCCCATGTGGGGGGGGGCCGTGGCTTAGCATGGCAGGCGAAGGAAGGGATAAAGGGTGGTGAAGCGTGCCCGGGTGGGGGGTTGGAGCTCGGAAGAGCAGCCGCTCAGCAAGCGGGTTGCTGCCGGGGGAATGGTACGGCACGACGCGGTACGGCTGCACGTGGTACGGCTTTGTGTTTGACGGAGTGAGCGAGCGGTGGTATGGGGGTCGAAATAGACCGGAGTGGGGGGGGGAGTGGAGAAGCCGATGGCAGCAGCGGGGAACCGCGGGTGTGGCGGGTGTGGCGACGGAGCGCGGCTTGCAACACGCGACTCTCGACTGCCCGGAGGAGAGGGAAGGGGCAAGGGGGGAGCGAGACATGACGAGATGCGAGGACAGAGAGGTGGAGGGACCTCAGGGCTCATGCGGCTGCATGAGGCGCCTGCTCGTCGCATGTGTGCAGCAGCAGCAGCAGCAGCTGGTTTCCCTCGCGGGTTGGTGCGGTACATCAAGCCATCATACGGTTGCACCACACCACTCTTTCTCACCTCTTGGTTGGGGTTTGCCCGCCTGCCCCCCTCCTTGCACCCAGGGGACGCCTCTTGCCGCTACACCAGCACTGTTCGTCTTCAACTCCTCTCTCCTACAATCCATCATCCTGCAAGCTCGTCGCGATTAACCCCACCAACTCCGCTTTCCCCCTGCCCCCTCCCCTGCAGGCCGGCCTGGCTGAGAAGTACGCGGGCGGCCCCGTGAAGACCAAGCTGCGCTCCGCGCCCTTCGTGCAGATCCCGCTGGGGGTGACGGAGGACCGGCTGGTGGGCACGGTGGACATCGAGGCGTCCATGAAGGTGGGGGGGGGTGAAGGGGTGAAGGTGGGGGTGAAGGCTCGGATGGTGTTGATCCCCTCCTCCCACCACCACCATCACCATCACCACCACCATTCCTCTCCCCACCCAGCTCGTCAGTTCTTCCTCTTACCTCTCCCCCCCGGGTGAAGACCTCGTCATACAGTTCGTCCGTTTTCCTTATTTTCACCCCCACCACCCCACCCCTCCTCGCCTCTCCCCTCTCCCCCCTCCCCCCCATCATGGAGCTTTATCACGGTTTGTACTTTGTGTGCTGCTACTAACCCAACGAATATGATTATGCGCAATCCTTAATTCCAGCTTAATGCGGAATCTTCAACCATATTAATCCCCCCCATCACCCTGCAGGAGGGCCGCACCGTGTTCCAGCCCGGGCTGCTGGCGGAGGCGCACCGCGGTATCCTGTACGTGGACGAGATCAACCTGCTGGATGACGGCATCGCCAACCTGCTGCTGTCCATCCTGAGTGACGGGGTGAATGTGGTGGAGCGGGAGGGAATCAGCATCTGCCACCCGTGAGTGACAGGGGAGGGGGAGGGAGGGAGGGGAGGGGGAGTGGAAGAGGGAATGGGAGGAAGGGGGGGATAAAAGATAGTAGATAGAGCAACTTACAGCGCTGGTTAGGGCAAAGCAATGTGGAGGTGGGGGGGCGGGGGACTCTCCTGTCCCCACCCCTATCTACTGTACCGGTACATGTTGAGCCCGGTGGCAAAACCCCCATACACACTACTTACCTCCCCCCCTCCTCCTCCTCCCCCAGCTGCCGCCCGCTCCTGATCGCCACCTACAACCCCGAGGAGGGCCCCCTGCGCGAGCACCTGCTGGACCGCATCGCCATCGGGCTGTCCGCGGACGTGCCGGGCAGCTGGCAGCAGCGGGTGGAGGCCATTGACGCGGCAATCAAGTTCCAGGACAGGCCGCAGGTGGGGGTTGGGGGGAGTGGGAGGGGGGGTAAAAATAATTGAGAAGTGGAGCAACTAGGGGGGAGTTGGGGGGCAGACAATGGGAGGGGGCAAAAAGAGAGAGTAGTCGTTGCGTTGACTGGTAACAGCAACACCTCTGGGGGAGGGGGGTAAGGAAGGAAGAAGGCCTGCTTGCACCTGCACTGCACCGCTAGACCTTGCCGCCGTCTCCAATCTGTCCCTTCATGCTCCACCTCCCGCCCCCTGCCCGCCTCTTCGCTATGGGCAGGACAACGGGTAATGGGATTCGGGTGACGCATCTTTGCCCCCCTCTTCGCATCCATTTGACTCCCACCCCTCCCTCTCTAGCTTGTCCCCTAGTTTTCCATTATCAATCAACACATTGGGTCTTCTTCTTTCCACCCCCCCTACAACCCCCTGCAGGAGACGATTGACGAGACGGCTGAGCTCACGGATGCCCTGCGTACCTCGGTACGGGCCGGGCTGGGGGGGGGAGGGTAAAGAGGAAATAAGTAACGGACCGTGTGATAAGGCGTCATCAGCAGGGGGAGTGGGAGGGGAGAAAATATAGATAAGTGCATCAACGGAGTCCCAGTCCCGAATCCCGACTCATGCAGTGAACGCATTCGGAGACCCTATTTCTTTAATGGTGGGAGGGGGAGGAGGCAGTGTTTTTTCTCGGGGCTCTTACCGCGGGACTCCCATCCAAGCCAGTCAGTGTCAGTGTTTCCGCGGCTCAGTTTATCTAATCCAAGCCCATCCAAGCCCGGAACATCTAACCTCATTCCTCCGTCCCCTTTGCTTACATTCCTCACTCCCGCCCCCCCTTCTCCCCCACCCCGCCCCCCACTCCCCTCCCCCGCAGGTCATCCTGGCCCGCGAGTACCTGAAGGACGTCACCATCGCCCCCGAGCAGGTGACCTACCTGGTGGAGGAGGCGAGGCGGGGCGGCGTGCAGGGGCACCGGGCGGAGCTGTATGCGGTCAAGGTGGGCTGGGGGTGGGGGAGTGGGGTGGGGGGTGGGGATACGGTAGGGCATGGGTGGGCTCGGGGCCGTAGCTCATTGGGTATCCTTCTTTTCCCATCACCCCCCACCCATACACACACACGCACCCAGTTTTCTTAACACACGCACCCACACCCCCAGGTGGCCAAGGCGTGTGCCGCGCTGGAGGGCCGCGAGCGGGTGAACAAGGACGACCTGCGGCAGGCGGTGCAGCTGGTCATCCTGCCTCGGGCGACACTGCTGGACGCACCGCCGCCGGAGGAGCAGCCGCCGCCGCCGCCTCCCCCGCCGCCACCGCCGCCGCCACAGGTAGCTGGGGGGGATGAGGGGGATGGAGGTGGAGGTGCCGGGCGGGGTGGGGTTACCGCCTCTGGGCTAGCAGGTGGGGGGCAGCTCCACCCCGGTTGCGGGGTTTGGGGGTCGTGTGGGTTGTTAAGGGGCTTCTCTATCACCCAACCCTCACCCCCACCCACCCCCGCACCCGCCCCTGCCACACACATCCCACCCCCCGCACCGCACCGCAGGACAACATGGAGGAGGAGGACCAGGAGGAGAAGGAGGAGAAGGAGGAGGAGGACAAGGAGAACGACAACCAGGACCAACCAGAGGTGTGGGGAGGGGGCAGGGGAGGGTGTTTGTTGGGTGGTTCGGTGGGTGTTTTGGGTGTTCTCCATCTCCCATGGTGAAGCCGCCTCGTCATACAGCTCGTCCGTGTCTTCCTTTCTACCCCTCCCCCTCTCCCTCTCCCCTCCCCTCCCCCACCACACCACATCACATCACACCACACATTGGAATTTCTTTTTTCCCCTCCCCCTTCCCTTCCCTCCTCCCGCCCCCAGATCCCGCAGGAGTTCATGTTCGAGTCGGAGGGGGTGATCATGGACCCCTCCATCCTCATGTTTGCGCAGCAGCAGCAGCGCGCGCAGGGGCGCAGCGGCCGCGCCAAGACACTCATCTTCTCGGATGACCGGGGAAGGTGGGAAGAAGGGGTTGTGGGGCGAAAAACGAATGAAATGTGAAGCAATGGACAAACAGGAACGGGCTAATTTTCGCGGCTCGGTTTACCTAATTTCCCCCTCCCTGGTTCCCTCCCCCCCAGGTACATCAAGCCCATGCTGCCCAAGGGTGACAAGATCAAGCGGCTGGCGGTGGACGCCACCCTGCGTGCGGCGGCGCCCTACCAGAAGGTAGGCAGGGACGGCGGGGCGGGAGATCCCGGAGCAGCCCCACTCCGGGGCAGTAGTCGGTACTACCCCTGGGTGCTGTCCCTTGGGCTTTCCTGGGGGCTGTTCCCTTCCTCCTCCCTTCCTGGCTTTTTTTCTTCCCACCCATCCCCGCCCCCCAACACATTCGATGTGCTTCTTTTCTCCCCCACCAACAGATCCGGCGGGCACACCAGCTAGCCGAGGGTAAGCCCGACAAGAAGGTCTACGTGGACAAACCCGACATGCGGCAGAAGAAGCTGGCTCGCAAGGTGGGACTTGGACTGGGGGCTCGCGGGAAAAAAGATTCCCAATGTGCCTATTGAACAAAGGCAAACTAGGTGACACGCCACTGGGGCTCAGGGGGGAGGGGGAACTAAACAGAGATACAAAGTCCGCCTTAGGAGGGGGGAGGGGGCTGCATGTATGCCGGCTGTGCGCCGGGGGCGGAGGCGAGACGGCAAGCGGGGCTGGAAGCGGCACATCACTTGCTTCTACGGTGTATACTCATAAGACCCTCTGCTACCCCACACCCTACACAACCGGTTGTGTTTTATCCCAGCTCCCTGTGCGGAGTATCCACATCCCCTCCCCGCACATTCACCCCTCCCCCACCCCCCTTGTCTGGGGGTGTGTGGGTGTGTGGGTGCGCCGGGTCCAATGAAGCAACCCATGATGAAGCCTCGTCATACAGCTCGTCTGCCTCCTTTCCTGACCCCCACCCCCCGTCTCCATGCCTCCTCCCCCCCCTCCCTCCCTGTCAGGCTGGCGCGCTGGTTATCTTCGTGGTGGACGCCAGCGGCTCAATGGCGCTCAACCGCATGAGCGCCGCCAAGGGCGCCTGCATGCGGCTGCTGGCGGAGTCGTACACCTCGCGTGACCAGGTCTGCCTCATCCCCTTCTACGGCGACAAGGCCGAGGTGCTGCTGCCGCCCTCCAAGTCCATCGCCATGGCCCGCCGCCGCCTGGACTCCCTGCCCTGCGGCGGCGGCTCGCCCCTGGCACACGGCCTCTCCACCGCCGTACGAGTCGGCATGCAAGCCACCCAAGGTGGCGAGGTGGGTCGTGTCATGATGGTCCTCATCACGGATGGACGAGCCAACGTCAGCCTGGCTAAATCCAATGAGGATCCAGAGGCACTCAAGCCGGACGCTCCGAGACCTGGTGCAGAGCAGCTGAAGGATGAGGTGCGAGACATGGCGAAGAAGGCGGCGGCGGCGGGGATCAACGTGCTGGTGATCGACACGGAGAACAAGTTTGTGAGCACTGGGTTTGCGGAGGAGATTGCCAAGGCGGCGCAGGGGAAGTACTACTACCTGCCGAATGCCTCGGATGCGGCCATTGCGGCGGCGGCGAGTACGGCGATGGCGGCGGCTAAGGCGATGTAAGGGGTGGAGGTGTGAGGTGGAGGCGGGGTGGGGGGTGGAGGTGGAGATGTGGCATGGGGAGGGGGGCGGAGGGTGGTTGGGGTACGTGGGGTATTTTTGGCGTGATGGTGGTGGATTAGATGTGATAGGTATGATCAGGAGTATTGGAGGAGGCAGACAGGGGTGATGATGGGGTTGAGGGAGCGCGATAAGGGTACAAGCCGCGGTCATGTTCTTGTGGACGTGACCGGGTACGCAGGAGGGATGGTGCAGAGGGGTTAATGAGAGGGGTTGACAGGGGTTAGGGAACGCTGATGCGGGGACCGCATATGTATCCCTGCTTCATGTGTATACGTCTAGCGATGAGGTGACGAAGGATAAGAGCGATTAACTGACACGATATACGATGCAAGGCGCAGTCTTTATTGCGGTTCCCATCAAGGTGCCGTACAAACGGCGCAGCAAAGCCGCCGTACAAACACAGCAGCTGTGGAGAGAGATGCTGCAGAGGGTTCCAGGTGGACGGTGGAAAGTTGGGACGTCCTAGCAACTGTTGCGCTCCATATGCGCATGATATGAGAAGGGCAAAGTCCCGATGCATGGGGGCAGGTGAACACACGGGTGCGTGGATAGGCTGTGACGTGACGCCATGGCTGCTTGTACACCCGGATAAGGGCTATGGATTACGGAGGAAACTCGTGTGTTGCCACGTGTAGTTTTGTAGCTCGCTTGATCAAGAAGCCCAACTTGTAAATGTGGGTGACGTCGTCAAGCAGGAGTTGGTGGAGAGAGGTAGAGAAGACGTACGGCCCAGAACGAGCTCCACTTTATCGGTAATCAGCGGTTTTGTGAGTCATAAAACTAGCAAACCGCCTAGCATGCTTTACATACTGCTTCGCCCCATAAGCCTGATATACGGTTCAAAACATGTGCGCAAAGCAACTGGAGTCTCGTTACAGGAGCTGCCGTTAAGCAGACACACAGTCAGTATTCAAGTCGTGGTTAGATGTCAAAAGGTAGAAAGCGATGAAACGTAGGCCTTTCATCACAGCGTTACGAAAGTTGCCAAAACGTCATTCCAACGGACGCAAACAGCCCCAAGCAAACCACAACAGGCAATCGGCACCCGGGGATCCTAAGCAGGCACGACCTTGCTGCACCGAACCCCTTCTGTTCTGTGCCCCAAGATCCGCAAACGAGCAGTCTGTAAGCCTCAAGAAGGGGAACAGGGCCGCTCAGCGAAGTGCGCCTGCCCCACCTCCTCGATGCACACACACTACACGAACGAACCCGCCAGGTGCACCTCAGCTGCCGCAAAGCCCCTTTGGCAGCAACAAGCGAGCGCGGCTGATGACCTAAACAACGCGGCATTCGTTGTTGTTGTTCGAGGTGTGTTGACCCTCCCGCCACGCTGCTTGCTGCTTCACCTGTGAGGGGTCTCACGCAACCCACTCTTGACGCGCTCCATGCACACCCCAACCCGCTACCTGCTGCTGCTGCCATACCGCTGCTGCGCCCGCCAGAGAGCCATTCACCGCTTTATGCAGAGTTGCGGCCGCCAGAAAGCAGCCACAACCCAGCACCCTTGCATGCCCCCCTTCTCCTCCAAATGCACACGGCTACGTTGCTGCACCGCAGGGCCTTACGCCAGGTCCACAGCGAAGCCGTACTTGACGGGCTTGCTGAGGTCGGTAGCCTGCAGCTGCAGGGAGCCCGCGATCTTCTCGCCGCTGGTCAGCTTGGTCTCGTACAGAGCGGACAGCAGGCCGGTGCCGTCCAGCTTGACCTTGGTGAGGGCGCCGCTCTTGAGCTTGCGCGCGTAGGCGAGCGCGAAGGTGGTGTCGCTGCTGGACAGCTTGCGGGTGACCTCAGCGCCCACGGTGCTGACCGGGGTGAGGTTGTGGGCGTACGACAGCTTCAGGGTCTTGGCCTGGTCAGCCAGGAGGGCGGCGACCTGGAAGTCGGCGGCGTGGTAGCCTGCGCAAAGTCGTAGGAGGGAGGCAAGATTCACCAACAGGCTGGATGGAGGGTGGAGGCTAGGCATTTTGTTATGTGCGGCGTTTTTTCGGATGCGCAGAGTACCATTTTAGACGCGTTATTGGGTGGTTGCTGTCAACGTTATCCATTTCAGGCAGAGTTGGTTTGGGCCGCTTGGCTGGAATCATCATCTAACAGCGCAACAGTTTCCAGGCCGTCCATTTACGAAGCGCATAATTGTCTGAACCTCAAGATAAAACAAGTCTTTAGCTTACCAAGGGCGACGTTGTACTTGGAGAGAGCAGACTTGGCGGTGTCGTAGCTCGTCTCGGCGCCCAGGACGAAGGATTGGTAGCCAGTCGAGGCAGCCAGGTCGACAACGGGGGTAGCCGTGAGGCCAATGGTCGACTTCAGGGCCAGGTAGGGCATGGAGTAGTCCAGGGTCAGCTTAGCGGTCTTGGGGTCCGGCACAACCGTGGACAGGGAGAGCTTGATGCCGGGCGCGACCTCGCTCACGGAAGCGGAGGCCGTGACCTTGCTGGACGGGTCAATCGCAACATCCACGGAGTACTTCTTCGTGGAGTAGGCTGCCTTCAGCGTAGCCTCGACCTTGTCAGCCTTCTGGGTGGCCGACGCCGTCAGAGAGACGCCAGAGCTGGTGGTGCTGCTGACTGAGACCTTGGGGTCAAACTGGAAAGTGCCAGTGGCCTTGTCGCCACCCAGCAGGCCCTTGGCGGCCTTGCCAATATCAGCGAAAGCGACGACGGGCATGTTTGCGGAGTGATCGGGACCTGCTAAGGTACGTTTCAAAGCGCAGTGGCTAGGCAAGCAAGGTTTAAACAAGCTATGCCTGAATAGTTTATTGATCCGGTGAAAAGCGGTACAACACGAATGCCATGAGGCCTACCCATGTCGGAGGGTCCCAACTCAGCTGCACTTTTTATCAAACACCCCAAATACAACTTCTATTTGATATATTATATTACAACGTATTAAAAGGTCATCTGTCATGTTTAGGTCTCGCATGCCTTCGCATGAAGCCCTATTTTCCTAACACCTAGCCTCGGCAGCTAGCAGTCTCATGGTTATTGCATATTGTGGACGGTAGAGGGTTGGTTGGGGTTGGTTTCTTTCTCGAAGGACGGACGTTGGAGTTGTTCGCTCGCGGGTTTAGCCCGCGCGTGCGCTGCACATGCTGGTAAGCCTACCTGGTGCGTGCGCTCCAGGCAACTGCACCCCTGAGTACCCGGCACTCAGGTAGATCCCCGGGGTATGAGTAGGTGCGTGATGGACATCACGTGAGCCCAGGCTGAACCAAAGCAACTACTGCTTCTCCTGGACAGCTCGTGCCAGAATCTCCAATCTAAAGTCGCCCCAGTCTGCGATTGTTGGTATACACGTCTGAAAAAAAACCTGCCTGTGATGAGGCTTACCATGGCCTGGCTGGTTACCCTGGCTTGGCTGGTTACCCTGGCTTGGCTGGTTACCCTGGCTGGTTACCCTGTCTCGGCTGGTTACCTGCTGTATAATGCGCCACAGCCGCCAGACTGTGTTGTTAAGCGCGACCCCAATTCGGAGAACCGAGCATGCCGCTTACGTAGTGTGCTTACTGCAAGCACACTACACAGTTACCCTACCTCGTTGGGTTTTAGCGTGTTCACAGGTCAGCTATGGCTTCAAGGAAATGGATGCCAGGCCCAGACGCGTAGTCATCACGGGAATGGGTATGCCTTAGTGGACGCGAGGGTTGCTGCAGTACGGCGAACCACAAGGGCTGCAAAGCATCGAGCCCTTGCAAAGAGCCGACGGAAGTAAATGTAGCTTACTGTAATTGTACCTTCATCAGCAGCATAAAGCAGTTGTTGGTCGAAAGACCAAGGCAAGTACAAGACAAGCTGACATTGTCGTACACTTGGCTTCCTTGTTACTGAACGGAGCGCAAAGACCTGGAACAGAACTTATCAGAGCAAGGCTGCACGTATCTATATATACTTAACTGATAACGACTTAAGTTCGATTATGTAGTGCTTATTCTGCCGACCGCCCATTCACCTGCCTGTAATTGCGACCTTCGAGTCTTCGAACTTTTGCATATACAGAGTTCACAACACTCGTTGGCGGATATTGCATATAGGACAAGCTGTTGCCCTTGACAATTTGGGACCGTTACTCCTACTTCCGCGCCTCACCGGCAGCAGCCGGGGCTGTGAGCGATGGGCTGTGGCTCAAGCAAAGGTGCATTTGTTATGGTGGAAGGCTGAAGGTTGGCAGTTTGCTCATCGGCATGCCTACCTGTTTTCCATTGGCAGGCGCTGCAGAGGTTACACCAACTGCGCTGCGAGAATTAGAGCCTGAACCAGGGACGGAGTTTACGCCAGAGAACAAGCCACGGTGAGGTCGTTCCCCTCTATTGATGTGCGCGACCGCCGGGGTCCCTTAATGCTTAATACCTTTGGGCCCTTTCCTTAGGCAACCAGAGCAATCAGATGATCAAGTCAAGGTGAAAGGTGCGATCACCAGCAAGGTTGTAGCTCGCGTGAAAGTCGCATGTAATGGAAAGCGCACGGCCCGCTGCCTATGTCCGCAGAGTCGAGGGAAGTAGCCAAGCGTGTTGACAATATCGTGAAGTCATCAGGCGTCAGTGCCTTTGATGATGATGGAGACGCTAAACAGGATACAACGGTAAGGGAACGGCGTGTTCTTTTCTGGTCAAGTCAAGCGGGTACTGGGCGACGGTTACTGGCTCGCGTTTAGCTCTAGGGAAGGGCAGCCCGCCGCCTCGTTTCAAGCACCCCTGCTCTGCTTCTCTTCTGGCTGTAGGCGACGCCGGTGGTTGTCAGGGCTGTCGCTGCACAGCCACCCCCTCCCTCAACACCCCCCGTCAGCGCCTATAAATCCCCCGCGGAGAAGTCGCAATCAATGTAGGTCTATGGTGGGGCCGAACAGACGTTATAACAAGAGGCAGTCGAAAAGCACGGTTCTTCAGTGTCACTGCCTGCCCTCCCTGTCCTTCCTGTCGAACGCTGCCCTACCTTTGGCGCTCGGGTCCCTTGCAACTTTCCTTCCACATCATGCTCATTCTGCGCAGGCGAAACAACTTCATCACGCAACCGCCGGGCCCAACAGCAGAGGAGGCCCTTGACTCGCCCTACTTCCCCGAACAGGCAAGTGCCATGAGCTGTGCTGCACTGCGCCGCCTGCTGGGGTTTTGGGTTAGCGGGCTGTTAAGGGCTGGAGCGCTGGACGCTAAAGCACAACCATGTGTAACCCACATCCACCAACCCTTCTTCGCCCCTCATACCTCCCTACACACCCGCCACACTGCCGGCCCGGGCAGGTAACACTTGACGTTGGGAGCTGTTCCGGCGGCGCTGTCCCCAGCCCAACTCAGCCCCTGGCGCTCGTGCCAAGCGCCTCCAGCAGAACCCCCTCCAGCAGAAACCCGCTCCCCGCGCCCCTCACCGTGGAGCCCCAGCAGCGGCCCCAACCCGATGATGACTCGACCTCCGGCGCCACCGCCCTCCAGCCCTCTACCTCCCTGCAGCCCGCCACCTCCCTCCAGCCCTTCGAGGCCCCCCCGGAGTCCGCATCCACCTCACCCATGCCCACCGCCTCCTCCGCGCGGCACCAACACGCGTTGCAGCCCCTGCCCGAGTCCCCACAGCTGCCGCAGCAGCTCCCGGACCCCCGACCCCCACCACCCCTGCCCCAGCAGCCAACACAGTCCAGACCGCACTCCGGGCGGCAGGGCCCAGCGCTGCTGCCGCCGCCGGCTGCTGCACAGGAGGAGGCTGCTGCGGCGGCCCAGGCTGCTGCTGCACCTCCCCCGCCTGCTGCTGATGACCCCTGGTCCAGCCTGCAGAGCCAGTACCGCATCCGGCAGCAGTCGGGCATAGAAGCTGAGCCCGGGCGCCCAGGTGGCGGCGGCGGAGGAGGCGGTAGTGGTGGTGGCGGCATCAGGGGCTCGGCGCGCGGTCGCGGAGGAGCCCTCCGCGGCATCGCGGAGAGCAGCGGGGAGATGCTGGTGCTGGGCGCAGATGATGATGACTTTTACAGCGGCGGCGGGGTTGGTCGTGGAGGCGGCGGCGGCAGTGTTAGCATGGGGCTTAACAGTACGGGCCGCTCCGGAGGGCGCGGCGCGGGGCCGCTGACGAAGCCCGGGTCGCAGCCTAAGAAGGGCGGCTGGGGCACCGGGCAGATGGCTCGGGCAGGGGAGTTGATGCTTGGGGAAGACGACTGGTTGGAGACGGATCGGCCGCCCCCGGGTGTCGGCGCGGGTGCTGCGGCTCAGCAGCAGGGCGGGTTCAAGGCTGGGTCGTACGGCGGCGGAGGATACGGCGGTGGCGGTGGAGGCGAGGATGCTGGCAATGAAGAGGATGATGAGGTGCCGGCGCCGCAGCTAGTCAAGAAGCAGGGGGCCAAGGTGGGTGGCTGGGTTTCACGGTGGTGTGGGTGGACTTTCGCAGTCCCTAGGTTTCAGAGGAGCTCCGGTGTTTTGCGGTACTGGACAGAACATATTTCGCCGCGAAAGAAGATCATTACAGCGATGCCCGTGCTTCTGCCACCCACCCACCTCTTCGTTGAGTCTCTATTCTCCTCCTCCATGTGCCCCTGTCCCGCCCTTCCCGCTCCCTCCCGCCCGCAGGACGACGTGCAGTTCGAGGACATTGAGGACGTGGACACGCTGCTGGAGGATGAGCTGGAGGTAGGCTGGGGGGTTGAGGGCGTCCAGGGCTTTGACCGCACGCCTGGGGTGGGCACCCAGCTGAGTTGGAAAGTAGACGGCGGGGTCGGATGGTGGTGGTGTGGCGCTGTCATGCCAGGGCATGTTGCGCGAATAGCGGCGGCCAGGCCAGGGGGAGGCTGCAAAGAGGTGTGGGGCTAGTGTAGCTGTATGACCAGGTGGAGGGTGCAGGTCCTTGGCTCCTTACCCAGCGCCTCAGCAATGCGCCATGCAGAAGCAATGCAGACAGCTGGTACCCGCCGCTTAGAATTCTAGCCTTCCCAACTGACGTCGTCGCCTGCGTTTCCCCCTCGCTTGCCTCCTTGTGGCGTGTTTCGCTCCCGGCCTCCGGTTCTTGCCGCCCAGCAGAAGCAGGGCATCAGCAACAAGGACCTGGCGTCCAAGCTGGCAGCCTACGAGGCGCAGTTCGGGGATGACGATGACCAGGACGCGCCGCCGCCCAGAAAGGGCCCCAAGGCGCCGGCTGGCGGGCCTCGCACCTGGACCCATTGACATGTCTGCGCCGTGGTTGGAGGCGGGCATGTCTGTCCTGCCCGTATTTTTTTCGTTATGTTTGTCACTGTGCATGCGTAGATAGACGTCTGCATGGAGCACATGGGGTAATGCTGATGATGTTGGAGCCGTACACGGTGTGTTGCTGTACATTTTTGGAGATGCGTACGACAGCGATGACAGGGCTAGGGTCTGGCGCAGAGCCCCAGCTGGTCGGGTCGGTGGCTGTAAAGTGATTGAGGCTAGGTGCGGTACAGGCCGGACGTGAACGACTGGTGTGATGGCCGGAGCGTTACGGAGCGTTGCTGTGGGGTCTTCAGGAGATGGGGGAGCGATAGGCTCGGCAGGGGATGCATGGGAGCAGTGGGGGGAGTGGGGGCAGGCGAAGCTCGGATGAAAGTGGTGGTGGTGGTACTGGTTGCATCCAAGGCGGGTGCGCTCTCATGTGTCCTGCGCGTGTGCCTATGGAATGGTAGCGACCAGCGGAGGAGAGGGACTGTACGCGCCTCGGAAGGTAGATGTTTTGAGTTGTTATTCGGAAGCGCGGTAGGTGTACGGAAATTTAGGCGCTCCGGTGTTGCCAGGTCTGGATAGCTCATGGCATGGCAGGTCGGCGAGGGAGGAGTCGCGAGAGGAACATAAAGGGCATATGAGGGGTGGCTGGTGGCTTGCATGTGAGTTTGCGCCACTCTATATGGCGATACCTGTGGTCATGTGTGGCGATCCGCGCATTGTGCGAACCCGACTCGCGTGCATTGCTGATGACGGCTTTGGTCCGCTGTAGCAAGACGACTGCCGTGTACGGCAACCATCGAAGGGGCTGTGCTAGTTTCTCTTGAGGACGTGGGCCCAAAACGGGCCTACGCAAGTAAAGCGGCAATGTGCATGCGGCGATGGCTGGTAAGTATAATATGTATGGCAGGTCTATGTTGGTTGTGTGTTTTGCCTGAATTGTACATATACTAGGGGCTGTGTCTGTCTTCTCTTCGTTTGAGGTTTATGTGCTGGAAGCAGAGAAGGCATCAGCACAACCTGACATGTAGTCGGTAGGTAGGTAGGTGTATCGTCCTCGGCCGGAATGCCATTGGCGTATAGGTAATTGACCGCTGCTGAGATCGTGCTTTTACGTAGCGAGCGAGCAATTGATTCTTATGACGTGACGTTTGTTTTTTGCGTCGATGCTGTTGTACCCTACTTCTTGGCCGGGTCCGGGCCTGACACGTCGGATCAACCGTTCTCGCGAAAAACACGAAGCACACGAACAATCGACTGTAAATAGTATTTGAGCTCCCTACTGTCTTTGTATTCTTGGTGTATCTATATTACACAATAGGCGGGGAAGCTGTCTGGCATTGCAAGCACCGAACCAACAGTTGTCGACGGCAAGTTCTGACAGCAGCTATGGCGCGCAAGAAGATCCGGGAATATGACGCAAAGCGCCTTCTTAAGGCGCACATGAAGCGCCTTGCTGGCATTGACCTGCCCATTCAGGTAGGCCATGCCGCTTGGAGTTTGCGGGGAACGTGCGCTCGGCAGCTTTCGGTCGTGGGCTGAAGGTTCGCACTTAACTACAGGTCGTTCAATTTACAGCGGCTACAAACCCGTCGGACTTGCTTAACGCCAACCCATGGATGGCTAGCACCCGACTTGTGGTCAAGCCAGATATGCTCTTCGGCCAACGCGGAAAGCATGACCTCGTCGGACTTAACCTTGACTTTAACCAGGCAAGTGGTTGCCCGCTGATAGGTATTTCTGCAATACTTACCGAAATGCCACGCAACATCCCGAAAGTTGACCGAGGACCCAAACGCCCAAAACAAACCATTTACCAACCATACTCCCGCCCACATGTTCTTCTCCCTTTCTTACTTTTGCCACTCTTGCAGGCCATCGAGTTTGCTAAGCAGCGCCTGGGCCGCGTTGTGACGGTCAGCGGCTGCAGCGGCCCCATCACCACCTTCCTCATCGAGCCCTTCGTGCCGCACAGCTCCGAGTTCTATCTGTCCATCACCTCCACCCGCAGCGGCTGGGAGGTGGCGTTCAGCGAGGCGGGCGGCATCCACATCGAGGAGGTAAGGAGCGGGGCGGAGGGTAGCTGCCGTGAGGTGCGAGGAGAGATGGTGAGGGAAGGGGAGAAGCGCCAAACTGTGCAGCCATCCATAAAGATTCCCTTGAATCCCCTTCTCCTCCTCTTCCGTCCCCTTTCAATGTACCCCTTTCAGCCATTCTCACTACTTTTCGTTTCATGCGTCCCTCTTGCCTCCCCTTACCGCAGCACGGTGTTTTACACACTCCTACCCCCTTCCTCTCCCCCTCCCCTTCCCACCTCCCCCCGCCCCTCCCTCCCCCTCCCCCCCCAGAACTGGGACAAGCTGCGCACCGTGGTTCTGGACACCTCCGACGGCCCGCTGGACGGCCCCCGCGCCGCCCCCCTGCTCGCCTCGCAGCCCCTGGAGCTGCGCCCCTGCCTGGAGCGCTTCCTGACGGCCGCCTTCGCCGTGTTTGACGACCTGGACTGCAGCCTGCTGGAGATGAACCCATGGTGGGGCGGGAAGGGGCGGGGCGGGGCTGGGTGGGGCGGGGGGTGGGGCGGGAAGGGGGCATGGACCCGGGGTGGATGGGCGGGGCCGGGGGTTTCTGGAAGGGGCTATTACTGGTTGGGATGGGGTGGCACGGTAGGCCGGCGGTTGACCCTGTCCAGTCGGTCCACCCATTGGGGCAGTGGGCCATGTGGCGCATGTGGCGTCAGCGGTTACTGCTTACTGCCATACCCACTCTCCCCTTCTCCTCCCCTCCTCCTGCCTCCTGTGGTTTGATCCTTTTACCCTCCTCCTGCGCCCCCCCTGCCCCCCCTGCCTCCCTCCTCCTCCTCCTCCCCCCCACGTAAAACAGGACTCTGGACGCCTCCGGCCAGCCCTTCCCGCTGGACATGCGCATGGAGCTGGACGACACGGCGCGATTCCGCAGTGCAGCCAAGTGGAACCTGCCGGCGGGGGAAGGTGAGGAGGAGGGGGGGTGGGGGGATGGGGAGGACAAGAGGAAACAACTAACTGACTGAGGGATAAGGCATCAGGCGAGGCGGAGGGGGGGGAGGGCGAGGGGGAGCCATGTGTGGATAAGTAGATGGATTGCGAGGTGATACCAGAGGTGCAAGCCTGGGCGGGGAGAAGGCGTGTAAGGAAACCTGATCACCCTGCCCTAATTCTTGGTTTCTATGGTTCGGCCTATCTTGATCCCCCACCTTCCCCCCACCTAGATGGCGAGCCTCAGGAGCTGGAGTTCCCGCTTCCCTTCGGCCGCCAGCTGAGCCCCGCGGAGGCGGCCGTGGCGGCCCTGGACGAGGCCACCGGCGCCTCCCTCAAACTCAGCATCCTCAACCCGACCGGCAGGTGGGGGTGGGGCAGGTGGGGGGGTGGGGCAAAAATAAGGAAAACTGACGAACTTGGGGGGTGGGAATGGGTACGGCAGGTGGTCACGGCAGGCACACATGGAGACACATGTACGGCATGCAAATACACATTTGAGACGGTACGACACATACCCCGTACAGTACCATGTTTTAAACGACTGCAATGAAACGTCGTCCATCGGTCCGTGTGCCCTCCCTCCTACTCTCCACCACCCCCCGTCTCTGGGACCAGGGTGTGGCTGATGGTGGCGGGCGGGGGCGCCTCCGTCATATACACCGACACTATCGCCGACCTGGGCTTTGCACAGGAGCTGGGGTGAGGGTGGGGGGTGGGGTGGGGGGAGGTGCGGGGAGGAGGAGATAGTGCGGAACGAAACGAACAGTCATGAATCTTAGGATACTTGGCTGGTAGGTTTGGGGGTGTCACTGGGGTCGCTGGCACTGAGGAGGGGGGGATGGAGTGGGACGCCGTGTCGTCAGGCATCGTCATTGCGTACCGGATCCTGCCCTACCCCCCGCCGCCTCTCCCTCTCGGCCACCCAATCCACCCTCCCTTCCCCTCCTCCTCCCATGCTGTTCCCTCCCTCTCCCCCTCCACCTCCCTCCCCCCGCAGTAACTACGGCGAGTACAGCGGCGCCCCCACCACCGCCGAGACCGCCGCCTACGCGCGCACGCTGCTGGACGCAGCCACCGCCGCCCCGGACGGGCGGGGTCGCGCGCTGCTGATCGGGGGCGGCATCGCCAACTTCACGGACGTGGCGGCCACCTTTGCGGGCATCATACAGGCTTTGAGGGAGAAGGCGGCGGCGCTGAGGGTAGGAGGAGAGGGTGAAGGAAGGGAGGGGGTTAGGGGGAAGGGAAGGAGGGGAGGAGGGAGGAGGGAGGAGTGTTGTGGATAGGCATGGGAAGGGGAGGCGGGTGGGATGTACAGCCCCGTTCTTACATCCCAGGTATGGGACCAAGGCTTGGGAGGGCAAGGAGTTGGCCGACTGCTTCCTCGGCCCAACCGACACCACGTCACGTCCCCCTCCTTCCCAACTCCTCCGCCCCCCCTGCCTCCCCCTCTCCCCCTCTCTCCCCCTTCACCCCCCCTTTCCCTCTCCCTCTCCCCCCTAACGCTCACCAACATTTATTTTGTAGCACCCTGCCGCCTCCTATCCATTGTTTAGCGCCAACCCGTGTTTTCCTGCGGTTCGGTATGGTGTTTGTCCCCCCTAACCCAGGCTGCCAAGGTACGCATCTTCGTGCGCCGCGGCGGCCCCAACTACCAGGCGGGTCTGGCGCTGATGCGGGAGCTGGGTCCGCAGCTGGGGCTGCCCCACCCGGTGGCGGTGTACGGCCCCGAGGCCAGCATGACGGGCATCTGCAAGGAGGCGGTGGAGTGGCTGAGGGGGGAGGCGTGAGTGGGTGGGTGAGAGGAGTGAGGAGCGGGGGGCCAGGGGGCCGCGGGAGGGAGGTGGGGTGAAGGAGCGGTACAAGGTGAGGTGGCAAAGGGGGCGTTGCAGCCGCACCATGGATGGTTGCTGTTGGAATAGCACGCTGCTGCGTAGCGCTCGGCAGCATGGGGTCGTTGTTTTGTTGGTCGGTGGCACAAGATGCCGTAGCGCGGCAGTGTTGGCTGTTTTAAGCGTTGACTGTTTGTTGTGGTAGCAGCATGAATGGGGCAATGAGGCAATTGCGGAAAGGTCAACCGACGAGAAAAAAGCCAGTGCATAGTGTAACTTCCAACATCCATTTGACCACTAGCTCGTTTGCATCTTCGAACTGGAAAGGACCTGATGATGATGATGATGACGATACGTATTTGGTGCTAAGGAGGGTTGAACGGCGCTACTTGTAGTACAAAACTATGTACCGTGTAAGATACCGTAACTTGCCGTACCACGATTATGTGTGTACACTATTGCTTGTTGGACACCTCTGCAGGGGGCGGGCCGTCTCGAGGGCCGTGTTGGTTTGTGGTTGGTGTGTGCCGGCAGGACAGGGTTTAGGCAGAGGAGGCGCGTCCTTGTGCCCACTTTATTTTGAGCCGCATAACGGGTAATGGTAATGGGTGGGTGATTGGTGGATAGGTAGGGCTCGCATGGCGTGGGGCAGTTGCTGCAGCGAGGGTCGAATATGGCTCGATGCGTTTAGGGCGCGTTTGGGGTAGTTTGGGGTGTCATGGGGGGAATGCCTTTCGCGGATCGCTCGTATGGAGCCGTATGTAACCTGGCGTTACACCTGGCGAAGTTTTGTAATGTAACCGTACCTTTTTTATTTCTCTTCCACTGCTGCGGCAGCAGTGGCTACTGTGCGTGCTAGAACGGCTAAGCAATGTGTTCGCTGCATACATGCAGCTGGGCGGAAAGGTGACCCATGGGTCGCTGCTGAGTTTTTAGTTTCGAGAGACAGCCATCTGAGCGGGTATGGCCACTCCAGGACAGGAGTTCCTAGCACCCCGCATACAGCCGTCGGGAGTGCTACTTGATATAGCACCAGCGCACATATCGCCACGCAAAGGCGGCCGGGGGCTGGTCAAGCCCAAGCCGGTCACATTGCACAGACATTGAGGCCTAAGTGGGTCGTCGACTAACAATTGTCTGCGGTATGAGGGCAGACCATGTAACGAGCAGCCTGTAAGCCTACTTTGTCTTTGTGTTTCGCAATATGTGAAACATGCGGTATTATGCGGTTGCCCCGCGTTACCTTCAGCTGCCGAATGCCGACGATGCCATGCGGTGTGTGATACCGACCGAACCCTAAACTCGTGTCTTCGATCGCTTTCACCAAGTAATTGAGAATGTAGCATATCGTTTTCCCGTCAATGTGGCTGCAAGAGCCAACTCACTCGCATACTGCTCGTCAAGCGCATAAGTTTTGATTCCTTAACATTGGGATCTACCGGTAATCGTGTAGGTAGCATACTTCAAAAAGACACTAGACACAAGGCCGTATCTTGTGAAAGACACGAACTTAGCGGTGCTCACTTCGCGCAAACTAAGGAAGATATGTTTGAAGCAGAACTGTTGCTCAATACAAAGAAATCCTGGAATTAACATTGTATTGATCTGTTCATCAATGCACTAAGTGATAGCTTTTCAGCCATTTTCGCACGTACATACATGTGAACGGCGGGCTTCCAGCCCAACAACCCTCCTATTGGCATGTACGTATCTGTCCTCCGCTAGCCCTGTATCAACTTTGTTATTGTAAGAGTAAGCACACATACCTTTTTGATCCAGCGGCTAGCGCATAAGGGCCTGGCCTTGAAAGCAATGTTCAGACCATCCCACTCGACGTGCCCCACACAGACGTGCGAACCCTTCAATTAGTCACCATCGAAACAAACTTTCAGCGTGGGAGCGCGCGCCAGTGGCTGGTCGTTTGCCGGGGTGGCGAGAGCAGGCAACAAACGCTCACTGTGAAGGATGATGGCATCTGCGGCAGCCCCCGCAATCGTCTCTGGCTTCGGCTTTGTGGTCAGAGGGATTGCCAGGGCTGCCGCCGTTGCGTCTCGCCCAAATGTCAGCGTGCGCCTCATCGACTCATTCAACAAGGAAGTAGTTGACGACATCTTTGCGCACGCGCTTAAAAAGCAAACTGGCGTCAGTCTCAAGTACATGCTGGATTTCGGTCAGAACCCTATTGAGAGGCAGCTCTTGTTGTCGGCGCAATTTCTGCACAAGGAGCTTCCGGTCCGCCTTGCTCACCGCGTTGCCGAATTGGAGAACCTGCCGTACGGTCTTTCGGCCAAAAAGCCCATTCTACAGGTGCGGAATGGGGTTGGGGTGTGCCGAGCTGACCGTCGGGAGGAGATGAATGTGTGTCAAATACCCAAAGCCGTTCGGCTAATAAGGAAATTGGGCGTGCTGCCAAAGCCTACACCCCGCATTTTCGTGTCAAGAGGGGCCAACTAACATCTTCCTTCACTTTCACGCGTGGATCCAGTGTGGATCCAGTCTGATCTGATGAGCCAAAGGAGGCGCTTCCAGCTTCCCTTCTTCCCTTTCCCCTCAGTTCACAGCACCACCTAACCCCACCTCCTCTCCCAACCCCTCCTCTTCCTCACCCGCCCCCTGCCCCCAGGTCCGCGACTGGTACGTGGATTCCTTCCGCGACCTGCGCTCCTTCCCCCCGGTGAGGGACGCGGCGGACGAGCAGAGCTTCACTCTCATGCTGCGCAAGATCTATCGCAGGTGCGGATGGGAGGTGGGGGGGTTAGCGAGGTGGGAGGTGCGGGTGGGAGGGCTAGCGAGGAAACAACTAATTGACTGTGATAGGCGTCATGAAAGGTGGGGGGGAGGGGGAGGGGGAAGGGGGGCTTGGGGTAAAGAGGAACCACCTAACCTTCATCATGAGGGGTGTGGAGGGGGGTGGACAGAGGAGAGGAAAAATGGCAGGGTGGAGTTGGGGTTTGGGATTGTGACTCCGTTGCTTCACTTTTCATCCCCCCCCCTCCCGATCCCCCATTCCTTCTCCCCCCCCCGCCCCAGGCACGCCAACGCGGTCCCCGTGATGGCCAAGGGCGTGTCGGAGCTGCGTGAGGAGCTGCGCGCGCAGCAGCGGCTGAGCGAGCTGCCCGAGATCCACCAGTTCCTGGACGGCTTCTACCTGAGCCGCATCGGCATCCGCATCCTCATTGGTACGACATGGGGGGGGAGAGGGGGGGAGTAAGGAAACTGACGAGGGGTTGATGGTGGAGGGGGGTGCTTGCGGTGGCGTCTGTCCCATGCCGTGCATTCCCACGCTATGTACGGTTCCCTCGGGTGCTCCTCTTCTCCCCATTGCTGTGCCCTAACCTGTGGTTTCCTATGGTGTTTGGTACCTGGTCTTTGACCTCCCCAGGCCAGCACATTGCACTGCACGAGCCGCCCAAGCCCAGCTACATCGGCCTCATCTGCACGCGCTGCTCGCCCGTGCTGGTGGCGCAGGACGCAATCAACGACGCGCGCTCCATCTGCATGCGCGAGTACGGGGATGCGCCCGAGGTGGGGGCCGGGAGGGTAAAGAGGAAACAACTAACTGACCGTGTGATAAGGCGTTATTGTGGGGGGGGGGAAGGGAGGGAGGGGAAGGGGAGAGGCGGGAAGAGGAAACTGACGAGCTGGGAGTGGGTGGGGAAGGAGGGAAGTACGCAACAAGCTGACAAGGAAACACGCGGGAAGGGACAGCCGCCCCTGCACTTTTCCTTCGGACGAACCGCAAGCACCCCCCTCCTGCAACCCCCCGCCCCCACCCTTCCCCCAGGTATCGGTGTACGGCAGCCCCGACTTCACTTTCCCCTACGTTCCCTCCCACCTGCACCACATGCTGTTCGAGCTGGTGAAGAACAGTCTGCGGGCGGTGCAGGACCGGTTCGGGGACAGCGACGACCCGCCACCCCCCATCAGGTGGGGGGATTAGATAAACTGAGCCGCGGAAGCACTGACTTTGGGGGGGAGGGGAACGTGGTTAAAGAGGTCGGGATTCCTCCGCATTTGGCTGGAGTTTGGGGGGGGCGGGAAGAACACGGTACGCAATGTGTTGAATGATGATGGCAAATAAGATGATAAGGGGAAGGCCGTACGGTACCGGGTTCGACCTCTGGACCCCTTTGTTACCCCCCTGTCCCCTCCCCTTCCCCCCCGCCAGGTTGGTGGTGGCGGAGGGCGGAGAGGACGTCACGCTAAAGGTGCGTGGGGGGTGTGGGTGGGGGTTGGTGTGTTTGTGTGGGGGTTGGAGGAGGAGGTCGGGGTGGGGATGGGGAGGGCAGTGGGCTCCGCAGTCCGCACACACCTCCATGTTGTACGGCACCCCCGGGGAAGGTCCGGTCGCTTCTGCCATGCACCCCACCCAATCCCCTCCTCCTCCCCTTCACCCCCTCACCCTTACCCCCCCGCAGGTCAGCGACGAGGGCGGCGGCATCCCCCGCAGCGGCCTCGCCAACATCTGGACCTACCTCTACTCCACCGCTAAGAGGTGAGGGGGGAGGGGAAAGGAGGAAGGGAGGAGGAACATGTAACCCACCTCCCCGATCCCCCACATGGCAACACACGCCATCACACGGCCCTTACCCCTACCCACCTCCCTACCCACCTCCCTACCCACCTCCCGCATCGTTCCTCTTCTCCCCCCTTTTCCCATCTCCCTCCGTTGCTTCACTTTTCAATTATCCACCCCTCCCCCCCCCAGCCCGGTCGACCCGCGTGTTGTGGATGACAACGACAGCAACGGCGGCCCGGTGGTGCTGGCGGGGTACGGGTACGGCCTGCCCATCAGCCGACTGTACGCAAGGTGGGGGGGTAAATTATAAATAAGTGCAACAACACAATCCCAATCCCGAGTCCCGACTCATGCAGTGAGCGCATTCGGAGACACTAATCTAGAAACACGCATCTCAGAGACTTACCAATTGCTTACCAGAAACCGAGGTGGGGGGGTGGGGAGGTAGGGGGGTCAAAAGACCATACCAAACCATAGGAAGCCACAAGTTAGGGCAAAGCGATGGGGATAGGAGGCGGCAAGGTGCCACGGGGGAAGGGCGGTTCCTTATCGTCCTCAGCTCCATCCCTCTCCTGCCGCAAAGCCTGCGCGTCTATGCGTCCATCGTCCTCCTTTCCCTCCCTTTCCTCTCGGCCCCTCCCTGTCGGGACGTACGAAGAGGATTGCCCGCAGCGTTGGCAGCTGATTGCAGGGCTCTCCTCCTTATCATCCTTCCTTTCCCCTCCCCCGGTACCTCTCCCCTCTATCCCCTCATGCTTTGCCCTGACCTGTGTCGTATCTCTGACCCCCTTTCTGCCCCCCTGCACCCTCCGCCTCCGCTCCCCTCACAACCCCCCCCAGGTACTTTGGCGGCGACCTGCAGATCATCTCCATGGAGGGGTACGGCACGGACGCCTACCTGCACCTCAACCGCCTGGGCACCAGCCAGGAGCCGCTGCCGTAGAAGGGGAGGGGGGTGTGGAAGCTGGGGGGAGCCGCTAGGAGGACTGGAGGAGGGGGGCGGAGGTTGGCAAGGGGGTCATGAGGCTCTAGGCAAGGGCTGGGTAGGGTTCATTGGTCTGTGGCTTATTCTAGCTGTAGGGTAAAGTAGTGCCACCAAGAGTAGATCCCACGGGCAGGTAGTGGTAGTGGCGGGGAGGTAGGGAGGCAACATGCGCGGTGTGGTCGGGCAGGGTGTGGCGGCGGATTGAGCGACATGCAGCAGCTGCTTGTTGGGGTGTTGGAAAAGGGGGGGAGGCTCTGATGGCTGTCGTGCCAAGGTGTGGCTGATGCGTGTACGTGTGCGTGTGGGGAACGACAGCGGCTTTTCATTTTGTTTTGATATCGGCTCTGGGGATGGCTGGGGGTGGCAATATCGGAGGCGGGAGAGGCACGTGGGGATGCTCGTCGGCTCGACAGGTGTGCCGAGAGATCCATGGGCGGGGCTGTACGGCAGTGTACAGCTACTGTACGGCTGAGGAGGCTGATGTAATAAGGGGGAAGGCCGAGGGTGGGAAAGCAGGGGCAGGAGCGTGGGTCGGTGGGTCAGTGGCGATCATCGTTCGGGCATTGCGACCCGTGGGTCGATGGGGACATGCAGATGGTGGAACATGGGCTGCGGGGCGGAGAAGATGAGGCATGGGCACGAATGGAAGTGCTGTTCAGGGGGAAGCCTCTCTGCTGATGGAAGGAGCATGCGAGAATGATGATGGAGAAGGTTGCAGGTGTTAAACAGGAGAGCTGGGCCTGAAGACTTCTCGGTCTATACTGGTATAGCTTTATATGCAAGAGGCGCATACATATACCGGTACATGTTGGGACATTCGTTTGCAGGAGACACCAGCGCTGCTACTACTGCTGCTGCTGCTGCTAGCTCCCGCTTGCTGCTGCTGTTGTCTGTAACATATGTGGTACGACACACCTGTCGTGCGAACGCCGTACACTGTAGCAACAGCACAGCAGGGGGCATGCACTGCCGTGGTTATTATTAGGTTGGTGCGCGGTAAGGGGGGCCGGGGTGGTGGCAGTGCCGCAGTGGAGGAGAGCAGCAGTGGGCGGTCTAGCAGACCGCAGGAACGATGAAAGAATTCAACACACCGATAACACACCACCAGGGGGGTGGCGAATGGAGGTTGTGATGGGTCCTTGAGACACTGTAGGTGCCCTCTGGCCGTCCACAGGGAGAGGCATGAGAGCAGGCCCGGCGCGCCTGGACGAGTTAACTGGGACGTTGATGGTCGGTAGGGGATGGCTGAAGCAAGTATGAAAGACGACCGTTAACCTTTCTTTCCTAAGTGTACAGAAATTGATAAAAAATGATGTGCGGTTCGGGAGCCAGTGGAGCACGCGTAGTAAAGAGTAACAGCATTGTACGACTGCGGAGAGGCCAACGGAAAAGGCCAGCTGCGCTAAGATCAACCCAGTAGAAGCATAGGGGACAAGTAAGCATACCGTATTAGCTGAAGTTAAACAACATCCTAGCTCCTGCTGCAATCAAAGATTTTACTCGTCAACGACTAAGTTACACCAAGATCGCTGTTGACGCGCAATGGCGACATTACTAGGACGCGCAAGCAGCAAGTGTGCGTTGGTGAAGAGCGCGCCGGCGCCTTGCTTGCGCAGCTCTGGCCTGGCGCCGCGGCGGACCGTGCTCATTCCTAGGCACGACGCTGTCCAGCAACCAAAGCAGCTACGTGCTCGTGTGCGCTCAACCACAAATGAAGCGGCGACAACAGTTCCGCTGCCAGCCGAGGTAGGCGAATGGCAAGCACTTGTCGCTTTTCTTGTTTCCAACGTCTCGCGCCGTGGCATGTTCAATGCATTTTTGTGTCTTGTTGGTTTTTACAGGCGTACAAGAGCGCGGATAGTGCTGCTGGCAGCATCGACGGTAAGGAAATGGCTGACCTGGCATTGCTTGCTTAGCTCAGGAGCTTGTATCTACAACTGTAAAGGTCACCTTTGTGTCTTGCATGTATCTGAATGCGGCATATCAGCGTGCTATCCTTCTGCGCTGCTGCGTTTCGCGCCTACATGTACATTTATGGTACATGATGGGCATCATGCCTTGTCAACCCTCCAAACCTCACCCCCAGGTGGCCTGCTGGAGCTCACAAAGGATACCTTCTGGGAGTACCTGAAGCAGCAAGGGGACACCCTGGTCGTTGTGGACTTTTACACGGTACGTTTTCCCAATTGAACCCGGACGCGTCCTCCATGACAAGAGCCATGCACTGGCTTCCTCGCGCCCATTCCTCAACTATATCTTCCCCTGCACATTCTCCTCTTCCCCCGTGCATGCCCATGTCCATTTTATGGAAACCCCGCTGTGTTGCTATCCCGCCCTTGCTCTCTTCACCTTACCACACACCCTGTGCTGTCCGCGAACCTACCCGCCACCCGTCACCCACCCATCGCCCACGCATCCATCCTCTCATACACCCGCGGGAGGCCACCACTGCCGCACACCCTCGCCCCTTGGATCCCCCACCGCCCCGCTCATCAATGCCCAAACCCCGCGCCAAGGCGTCGCTCCCGCACATGAGAGTGTTGTGTAGTACCTTGGCCCCGCTACTGCCGCCGCGATGCTTCCCAAGGGGAAGCCGTGTCATACAGCCTGTCAGTTTCCTCTTTACCCTACCCGCCACCTCTTCCTCCTACTGCTGCTTCAATGCGCATTCCTGCCCCTGCCCCTGCCCCTACCCAGGACTGGTGCGGCCCCTGCAAGCTGATCTACCCGGAGCTGGTGAAGCTCTCTCACGAGCGGACCGACGTGCGGTTCGTCAAGGTGCGGCAGCTGCTAGCCAGCAGGGTTAGCTATCGGATAGCTATGTTGCAATTAACGAAACGTGGCTGCTTGCCGGAAGCTGTATCACTGTCTGGTGCCACTGTATTGGTGTACAGCCCCTGCTGCCCCGGTTTGGCAGGGTTTGGCTGGGCCAAGTGGGGTCATGTGGCAGGCCCAGACAGACTTACCCAGACCTCAAATTGTCGCCACGCAACGCCCCATGCTAGATTGCTTTATAGATCGATGTGTTTCGATGGATCTCTTCCTTCCCTTGCCCCTCGCTCCGGTTCGAGCGTTGTTTGCAAACCCAGCCACATAGCTTTATGCTTTTTCCCCGGGACTCTCTCGTTACCACCATCGCTACCGCCATCGCTGCGTCCCGGTATTTTGTGTGCAGGTCAACTGCAACAAGAGCAACAAGGAGCTGGGTATGGGGCTGGGGATCAAGGTGGCCCCGACCTTCCAGGTTGGTTGGATGGCAGGTGGTTGGTGGGAATCCGATGGGGTCCTAGGGTGAAGGGGCGACAATAGGTGATTAGCCATATCCCAAAAAATATGTCTCTGCCACGTCCTCTCCGACGTATGCGTTCCCAGTTCTAGACGTGTATAGAGGCTTCTTTGTTTCCCGACCTCGCCCTCATTGCGAGGTAACACAAGCGCTTAGTTGACCTTTGCCGATTTGCTCACCGCCTTTGTCCCCCTCCTCATCTCATCAACAGCTGTACCGCAACTCGGTAAAGGTTGCCGAGATGACGGGCGCCAAGATCGACAAGCTAACCGCCCTGGTTGACGAGCACCAACCGCCGGCAACCAACTAAGCACCGACAAGGCGCTTCGAGAGCTGCTGTCGTCCTGTCAGAAGATAGTTCTCCTTCTGATCTGCTTAGCGGTCTTGGGAAGCGGCTATCGCGCAAAGGACTTGTGATTTCGGCTTGAGTTGTGAGAATCGGGTGGGAAACAACACCTAAGTCGCAAGCCAACTACTTGAAGGAATAAAAGCTTTCTTGTCCTGCCTGGCAATATACATGTTGCCACATGTTGGCGCCTGGTCTTTTGTTGCTTGTGAGGTCTGGGTGGCTGGCTGGTTGTCACTATCAGCATAAGCACGATGATTATTGCGTGTCATGCTTGCTTGCTTGCTTGCTTGAGTTGCTGCTTCAATAATACAACCTGCAGCGCCGTCAGCACACCCCTGCTCCTCCTAGCGTCCCGTCCCTTTCTGACAGTTGTTTCATGCCGCTTATTTTGCTTGCGCGCCCTGAGGGATTGTGAGCTGAGTGTGTTGTGTGAACTTTACTGGCGATTGCAAGCTGGCAAGGGGTTCCGGGCTGTTGCACGGCTGTACGGCGCCTGGGTGTCGTGATCGCATCCCGTGGATGAGACGTTTAACACATGCGTATCAAGCGTGTGTGCTGTTGAGGCGTGAGTTTGTTTGAAAAAGTGCTGAAGCATGCGGTTGCTGATATCTTGGTTTTAAAACGGCTGCGGCTTACAATTTTGAGTGTGCTGTTGTGTAAGCAACTGCTTTCGGACACAGGTAACGTAACCAAATGAACCATGGGTCAGTTACCCCAGAGAGTGTTGTGGAGTGTTCAGCCCCTGGAAGTGCAGTCGCTAGCTTCCTGACTTGTTCTCCAGAAAGAAATATGTAATGGGCCGATGCTTTCCTTCATCTTTCCTAACTCACTACTCCACACACCCGTAGGCCTCGGGCCGCCCGAAGCACTTCGCCGGCAGCTGCTTTGCCCCCCATTCCTTTCCCCCCCAGTGTATGTCCTCCCCAGCGGGCGCATCCCTCTAAGCCAGCCCCCTAGGGATGTTATGACATGCAACATGGCAGCACGGCGCCCACCCCACTTCCATGCGGAACGTGGTAGGTGTGGAGCATAGCTGCGGTTGCGACGCCCAAACATGCGGAATGCAGATTCACCAGCGGAGACCAGAAAGTGAGCGGCGCCCAAAAACTGCATTACCGGTTAAAACAGCATAGGACGCACTGCTTCATAAGGATCCCGGCCGCCAACCTCCAGGTCAACTACCGCCAAGGAAAGCCGCAACTGCCTCTTTCAACAGTCCCCACAACCACAACAAGTGTTTATCCACATCGCAACACCACCCGGCCATGAAACAACCACCTCACATGTTGTGCACATGCATCATGCCGTCAAGCCAGACAGGCGGTCGTGCACTGGTGTTGTACATATCACCGTATGTTGTTGTCAAGCGATCGGTCGTCTTGCTGCTGGCGCAGCAGCCGTAGCGGGCAGTCTGTACCGCATGCAGCCAACCGCCAACAAACACCAACCGCAACTGCAACCCAATGGCTACGGTGCATGCAACACATCCATGCGTCGCCCCCGCACGAGGCACCACGGCCGAACAAAACCCCGCCCCAAACCCTGACCCCAAGCCTGCAGTTTTCGGAATTCCCACAATGAAGGTTCAGGTCAAGAGTCCAAAGTGACCACGGGTGTCAACGTGCCCAAGTAGATGCCGTATCCCCAGTTCCCCACGTAAGCTTTTGCATTGCAATGATTGAAGTGCTGGCACACCAAACCGGTTCATGTCACCACTTACGTACCCGCAACCTGACAGTGCCCACGTAGACACAAAGAATGCCCCGTTGGGGTTGAGAAGGTTGAGGCCAGGAAGTCAAAGCCGTGCGCCATAACAATCCAAACCCCCACGGCCATAAGAACAACCCCAACACCCGCACATCAACACCCTCTTTACGTACAGTTTTATGCAGTCCAGTGCGCCAAACACACAAACACGACTCGTGACGGCCAGTTGTTAGCAACGTCCCACAACATGGCGCCTCTTTATCGACACCCATTTCCGCGGCCAGTTTTCGTGCACGCGAACACCTTTGGAGGGCAAGGCAATTCCGCTTCTTCATACGGTTTCGGTGGCTGTTGCTGTTGTACCACCGGTTATGTGCAGCGCTTCCGCCGCCATCCCCACCCAGGGGCTGCGTACCATGCAAGGCTGCAACCGCGGCAGACACTTCACCACAGTGCCGTTTGTAACATGGGCCCCGTGAAAAGCAGCTTCAAGCGCTACCACCTCCTACTCCTCCGCTGGTGCTAATGTGCGCTCAACGCCGGTGCTCCTGAGGCCATTGAGAAGGCCCAATAGATGGGACCACCACTCGAGACGACACGGACAGCGCCATCGATTGACACAAACACAAACCGTCCTCCAAACCAAGCAAGCTGGATACCACACAGTTCAACCAGGTTCAACCGGACAATAATGCGGGCTTGTTGCAGCCGGCGCCTCTCATCACCGAGAGGGGTGCTTTGTCGCACAACCCTGACAAGGTACGCCCCGGATGAAGTCAGTCTAGGCAGCAGCGGCTACCGTATATAGGATGTCTTAAGTACGGCTGCAAGGTCCTGTCGTACAGCAAACGCACAAGCACCGCGCCGATGAAACACACACGCCGTCATGCGTCTCGCAGTAACTCCAGGCATCCTACTGCCTTGGGTCAGTCTTGGTCCATCCGTCGGCGGGTCAGCTGTCCGGAAAGGGGCTTCTTTCCCGCGCCATTGACTGGCGGAAAGCTCTTGTGCAGTTCCAGCCGCAACTGTTGCAACGGCCGTTAAGCCAGGCACCACCAACCACCAAGAACCACCACCGTCATCAACAGGCGAAGTTGGCGCGGACGGCGCCCGGATGAATGCATATGGAACAATTGATTGGCATTGATTGCGTCCCTCTTTTTAAATGACCCCTGTGCAGAAAACGCTCCTGCAGGAGGATCCGTCAAACAAGGTCTCTCAAACACTCCACCCTTCATTCTTTAAGAGATTTCCCACGCCTTCTCTTGTTGTACAGACACTCAGAAGAACCACGTTTGTATGTACGACCCCCCCTCCTCCTTCCTCCTTCCCACACAAGTACAACCGCATGCCATGCACTCGCGCCGCAGCAACCGCGGTCTGCTGTCCATACGCCAGGAGTGACGCGCGTCAACATCAACATCATCACCTGAAGAGCGGCAGGGCCGTGGTGCCCCCTATCAGCTCCGCCAGGGCCTGCGGGCGGGCGGCGGGAGGGGCAGGGAAAGAAGGTCAGAGAGGTGGAGACACAAGACATGGGCGCATGGCAGTGGACACATGGTAAGGGTTGCAGCATTTCATTATACCGGTGTGTTTAGGCGCCGTATCCACAGGCAACACATGGGCGGGATGCGTTCCCATTGTGGCCCCGCTAACATGCCGCATTACAAGAACAGGCGACGCTGCCTCTATGCCCCGCAGCCAAGCAGCCAAGAAAACGAACCGCCACGTCCCCGGCGCAGTCCTACTCCCGACATGCTGCCGCCACCCCCCCCCCACCTGTTGTGTCCCTCCAAACGGCGTTCGGGATGCAAAGAGGTTCGCCACCACCTCAACACTCGGCAGCGCGGCGATCAGCGGGTCGGCAGCCGCCCCAGCCGCCCCCGCATGCTGCAGCGACCCCAGCTCGCATGGACCCCCGTACCAAGCGGAATGCAACCCGCCGTGCCCGCCAGACGGCTGTGCCTGCAGCCATGCATGATGACACTGCTGCTGCTGCTCCTCTTTGGCATGCAACCCGTCAGGTGTGAGGTGATGTTGTTGCTGTCGGTAATTAAGGTGCGGCTGTTGCTGTTGCTGATGTTGCTGCTGCCGTACAAAGGCCACGTTGTCGAGCTCCATCTGTGCTCGCAACGCGAGTTGCTGCATCACGGGCTGATTCTCGTACAGTAACGAACCGATCGCATCCAGAACTCGGCAGCCGGTAGCCAGGCTGTTACCGTTACCGTTACCGCCATGTACTGCTGCCGTCGTACATGCCGTTGGAGTCAGCCCTATCAGCGCGTCTGTAAGGGCCTCGCCGCCAACATTGCTACGGTCCGCATACGCAGTGCTCCCCCCAGCAGCGGTGGCGGGGTCCTCAATGGGTGCTGCATGCATCGCGGCGCCGCCGTTGCAGCCGGCAGCAGCGCGCCATAGGTTGAAGCCCTCCTCGCCGTTGCCGTTACCGTTGCAACCACTAACCGCCATGGAGTGTACGACCATGCCCGCTGCTGCGGCGTTGTTCAGACCCTCCTCGCCGCTACCCCCGGAACTGGCTCTGCGGCCGCATGCAGCCATGTAGACATCCATCGCCACGGATGTGCGCTGCTGCTGGTGCTGCTGCTGCTGCTTGTGCTGCTCATGGTTGTAGTGGTAATAGCGATGATGCTGCGCCTGGGAATGCCGGGTCTCTAACCCAGCACCCCCGGCGTCGTAACTGCCGGGTTCTGAATCCCTCCGCTGCAGCAGCTGCTGCTGCTGCTGCGCCTCCGCGGCAGCTCCATCCACGCCGCCTCCACCTCCGCCCATGCTAGCAGTGCCGCCGCCGCCACCACCCGTTGCAGCCGTACCGCTGGTAGTCGTTGCCAGCTGAGCCTTCAGGGAAGCAGTGGTCGACAGCGCGGGAAGCTTCGGAAGCACGCCGCCGGGGCCCAGTGTGACGGACGGCGGCCGACCAGTACGGCGAGCGCGACTGGGGGTTGTGGGTCGCAGATGTACGGCCGACGGCGGAGGGGGACTGCCGCCCCCTCCGCATTGCAACTGCGGCAGCCCGGCGGCGTTGCAGCCCTCCCCTGCCGCACCGCTGCCTCCTAGCATCCACGCGGGTGCTGCAGTCGTATTCGTGTTGCTCCCATGCCCGGCTCCCGCGCCCTTGACCTCCTCTCCCAGGCTGTGGTTGGCGCTGCTGTCAGACAGCGCCACATGTGCAGCATGTGCAGGCATCGGGTGCGCCGCCGGGGCGGGCTGGCCCGCCGATGCAGCTGCTGCACCGGTGGCAGGGGTGCCGTCCACTCTTGCCCCCTCGGGTAGGTACTGCAGCATCGCAGGGTTATGCAGCTGCTGGCATTGTTGTTGTTGTTGTTGCTGCTGCTGCTGTTGTGCATGTGACTCATGCACCGGCCTGTGGAGTTCCTCCTGCTGCTGCTGCTGCTGCTCCATGCGGCCACTGCCGTCGTGTTGCTCTTCACCCCCAGCAGCCGCAGCAGCCTCCAGCAGCTCATGGCCTCCCAGCGCCGCCTCAAGCAACCCCGCGAGTCCACATGGCATCATGCCACCACGAGCTGACCCCGGCGCTGACCCCGGCGCCGGCTCAACCGCACCTCCACCCAGGTTACAATCCAATTGACCGGAGGGGCCCCAGCCGCCACCGCTCAGCATGAGCCCCCGCCGGGCCTCAGCGCACCCACCCACGGCGACGTCTGCGCCAGCAGGTCCAGGCCACCATGACAGCTGATCCCCCTCGCGCGGGCGTTTAAACGCCGCTACTGCCGCAGCAGCGCTGTTGGCGGCGCCTCCGCCGCTGCCGCTGTGGCGCCGGCCGCCGCCGTTGCTGCCCACATGGCTGCTTCCGCCACCGTACCGTCGGCCGCTGGCCGCACCCGGGAAGGGCGGCAGGTAGTCATCATCGCGCTCGTGGTCATCCGGCTCGAACCCGTCATCGGGTGAGATGCCGCCCGGGTCCTCCTCATACACCTGCAGGTACGGTAGACATGTACGGTAAGCAGGTGCGGTAAGCAGGTACGGCAAGCAGGTACGGTAAGCAGGTACGGCAAGCAGGTACGGCAAGCAGGTACGGTAAGCTGTTACAGTAAACATGCACGGCAAGCAGGTAGAGGTTTCGGCGCGAGGTCACCGTGAGGAGCTTCACGGCGGCTGTCTGAACCCATGACAGCCCCCACCAAGTGAGCCCGCTCGGCAGCAGCATGATGAACAGAGGCAACAGCACCCCGGGACAACCGCATGACATCCCTTACACCATCACCACCACCACACGGCCTCTGCGTTCGCCTCTTACCTTCCTCCGCTTGTGTGGCGCCGCCTGGGCCCCCCGGTAGCCGCCGCCCGCGCTGGGCCTTCCCTGGTGGAGGCGGTGCCACTGCTGACCGCCGCTGTAGCCGCCGTCTAGGGCAGGATTGCAGTGCTGCTGATGGTGGCCGCTGCCGCCATGCTTGGCAGCTGCACCCCGCTGCTGCTGGGCTGCTGCAGCTGCTGCCCCCTCCGCCCCGGTCTCAGGAGCGGTGGCGGGGGCAGGAGGGGCGTAGTAGAGCTTCCGCAGCGCCTGCGGCATGCGCGCCCAGGCGCTGCCCTGCATCTCGCACTCGCCGTCCCAGTTGCACCACACGTCGCCCTCGCCATCCATGCGGGAGCGGGAGGGCTTGCCTGCGCAGCCGAAAACAGGGAACCCGGTTGCGATGAGAACCGAAGCGAAGAGCATGTCAGTCCGCAAGCTAAACATTTACACCAACGGAGTAACACTAGATCATATTAGCTTAATATCACAAAATTTCGGGGGTTAAACGTTCGGGGATAGCCATGTCGTCAGGCCTGGCTACGAGGTCACCACCAGCCCCCACCAGCCCCTCCAAGCCTCGCTACCGGCAAGCTTCCACAACCGCGGCACGCCAGCAACCGGGTAAACCTGTCCCCGCCAACTCACCCTTCCGCCTGCTCCGCTGCTGCCCCGCAGCGCTCTGCGCTCCCGCTGCCCCGCCGTCCTGCCCCTGCTGCTGCTGCTGCTGCCAGTGCTGCCCGGCGTCCCCCCAACCCGCGTTGGCACTGCCAAAGTGCGCGGGGGGCTGCTGGGAGTGCCCACGACTGCCTCCACGTTGGCTACTGCCGTACGCCCCACCACCCGCTGCTGCTTCCCCAGTCACCACGTCATCCAGCGCGCTGCTGCTGTCGCCTCCGTACAAGTGGTGATCCGACTTGGCGCCGCCACGTGACCGGTGCAGGTGGTTGTGGTGGTGGTTGCCGTGCCGCGGCTTGCTGACGCCATTGCTGAGGCTTGGGTGGGCCATGGGGTTAAAGCGGTCCCGACGCGGCGGCCGGCGACCCATCATGATTTCCTCAAGCTCCTCCTCCTCCGCCTCAGCCTCCGCACGCGCTGCCGCCGCCGCCACCGCCGCAGCCCTGGCGGCTGCACGACGCCGGCCGCCCATGTACGGCACACCCGTGCCGTCGCTGCCACGTCTGCCTCCGTGCTCTGCGTCCGATCCCGTCGCCGCCACGTCGGCATCTCCTGCCGAATCGTCACCGCTCGTGAAGGCCCCATGCTGGTGCTGGTAGTGCTGCGCCCTGTGCTGCTGCTGCGGGTGCTGCTGCTGGTGGTTCACATGCGGTAGGTCCAGCAGCGGCAGCAGACCTTCCAGCGGTGTGCGAAGCGGCTGCCGACGCGGCCTGGCGCGCCTCAGCGCATGCGTGCGCGGGAAGGCCCTGCCGGGCTCCCAGCCGCACCCATCCTCACCCGCCCCCTCACACGCGCCAGAGCCGGAGCCGCTCGCACCGCTTGCCTCCGCACCCATGGCCCGGGGCGCTGCGTTGAGGGCCTCCTCACCCGCAACCAGAGCTGCGCTTGCGCTCATGCTCGCCCCGGCGCCTGCTCCCTCACTGCCTCCGCCCGTCGAGCGGCCACGGGGCTGCACTTCCGCAGCCCCGGCATCAGCCGCAGTCATGCCTTCTTGTTGCTGCATGGGCGCCTGCGCACCGCTGCTGCCCTCGCCCGCCGCTGCAACGGCACCGCCGCGACCGCTGCTGCCCTCCGCCGGTCCAGCCGTATCCCCCTCCCCCACCTCAGCCTTGCAGACCCCTGCAGCCGGGACCTCCTCAACCGCCATGTCCGACCCGGTCACAGCAGCGTTGCATGCGCCCTGCATTGCAACACCCGCAGCTGCCTCGGCTGCTGCTGCTGCGCCGCCGCCGCAGCTGCCCCGGTCAGCCGGGCCTTCCTCCGATGGTGGTGGTGAGGAGGCGTCTGGCGCCTGCGGGGAGCCCTGCCGCTGAGCGCTGAGCTGGGTGCACCCTGCGTCCGGGCCCTCCGCTGCTGAGGAGCGCTGCGGGCACTGCTGCTGCTGATCGGGCTGGCCCTCCTGAACAGGACAGCGTTTGTGGGGGCAGGTGGGGAGGGCACAATACGGGTTAGCCAACAAGGACAATGGGGACCGGGACACCCGAGCCGCGGACGCAACGCAACTCCATGCACCAACCCCTTACCTCCTGCTCCTCCTCAGCCGCCTCCTCCTCCTCCTGCTCAGCCCACTCGCGTTCCCGCTTGGCGCGAGCACTCACGGAGGCGTCCCCATCCACATGCGCGTCTCTGCCACTGGCGCCTGCTGCCGCCGCTTCCTCCGACTTCAGCTCTTCCTTAAGTTCTCCCAACCCTTCTGCTGCTGCAGAGTCCTGGGCCAGGGAGGCGCCCCCACCAGCGGCCCAGGCCGGTAGCGGCCGCGGCAGCCCATTGGAGGAGGAGCCCAGCTTGCCGCGCTTGAAGGCGCCGGGCTTGGGATCCCAAGCACCATCACCCTGCGAGTGGGCAGATAAACACGGCAAGCGTTAGGGCATTCAACGTTTGTCCAAGCTGCAGCTAACAAGCGCCTCCACCCAACTAGGACCCCCATGCCAACAGGGCGGGCACACAGACAGCACACCACCATCCCTAATAACTCCCCACCTCCCAACATGCCCCCCATGCACCCTACCAGGTACTTCCAATCCTTGCCCTTGTATGAACCCCGCCAGATGCGGTCACTAACAGCAGGCAGCCAAAACGGCTGCTGCTGTTGCTGGCTGCTGCTGCCGCCGCTCCCGCCCGGGGTCCCGGGCGCCCCAGGCACCTCCACCAGCACTCGCAGGCCGTCGGGCGACTCCCGCAGCAGCCGGCCGCGGTACCAGCCCCGGCCCGCCCGGATCATGGGCAGCTTCGGGACCTTCAGCGGAGCCACTGCGCTTCCAGAACCCCCACGTGGGGCGCTGCCCCCAGCACTGCTACCGCTCCCAGCGCCGCTGCTGCCGCTGGGTCCGTGCTGCTGCTGCTGCTGCGCCTCCTGCCCAGCTGACCGCTGTTGCTTGAGCTCCTGCTGCTGCTGTGATGAAGGTGGGAGAGCCGGCGGCAGGGATGGGAGGCCAGGCGCGGGTGCAGCAGCCGTCTTGGGCGAGGTAGCGGACGGACCCATGGCCGCACCCGCACCCCCACTGGCCGCAGCCGCGCCGCAGCCGGCAGTCCCCCCATCGTTCTCTGTCTCGTCCGTGGCACTGCACACCCCCATGCCGCCACCCATGGCAGCAGCAGCACCTGCTACTGCTGCCACTGCGGCGACATTGGAGCCCTGCAGCGAGTTCCCAGCCGCATGGGAGGCCGCACCCGCGACACCATCCCGGTTACAACCACCACCACCACCACCACCACCAGCTGCTGCTGTTGCTTTGCTGCCCGTCAGGGAGTGCGACCGGCATTGCGACTGCGAGGGAGTCTGGCGGCTGGCGCCGGCCAAGGACTGCCTGCTACCACCGCTGCCGCCGCTCAGCAGGGAGCCGCCCGAGGCGCCCCCGGACAGCACCCCGCCGGGGGTAGCACCTCCGGAACCAACATTCGCTGTCGTGGCAGCGGGGGTGGCGGCAGCGGTGCTACGACCTCCCGAGGCTGTCGCGGCGGGGGCGCCGGCAGCGGTCTGAGGGGGAGCCAGGTTGCTCAGGCCCGCCATGTAGCGCTGCTTCAGTTTGGGAGGCAGCAAGGACGGAGGTGAGGGCAGGGGCGCGGAGGCGGATGGCCGCGGCGCTGGTCCCGAGCCGCCCGCCGGTCCGGCTGCTGCCGCCGCACTCGCCCCACTGTTGGACGCACCCGCACCCGTGCATCCGCCTGGGCCCTGACCCCGACCCGACGCCGCACGCTCTGAGTCCGAGTCGCGGCGGGACACCGCTGCGGTGGGCGACACCGGCGCGTCGGCTGCCATTCCGCTTGCAGAGGCGGTGCCGGACTGGTTGGCGGAGGGCTGCGGGTTGCCGCGACCGCCGCCCACGACACTGCCGCGGGCGCTGCGTGAGGGACTACGCGCGGCTTCAGCCTGAGGTGGCGGTGGTGGGATGGGGGGATTGGGGGGGGGGGTGAAATGAGAGGGTGCAACAAGGCGCCCGTCAAGGCAGTACGATTTGCGGATTTCGTCCCCCGTGATAAACAACGCCAAGCGCACGAGCTAGAACCGCCGAGGGCTCCCTCGCGACCCAAACCCTCCCTCGGTAATACCCCATGCCCCACGCACCCTTGGGGTGGTCGAGGAGGCCTGCTGCAGCAGCAGATGCAGCTCCCGCGCAGGCACACTGTTCCGCTTGCGCTTCACCGCCGCCTCGCCCGCTGCTGCTGCTGCCGGTGCCGCTGCTGCTGCATCCCCACTCGTGGTGGCGCTCGCCACCCCGCTGGCCGGCCCCCTGCCCACGCCACCGGCACCAGCAGCACCCGCCAGTGCAGGGCCGTCCGCCGCTGCAACCGGAGGAGGCTCAGGGGCAGAGCGGGGCCCCGGGGGAAGTGAGGTCTGCGCCGCAACGGCACCACCCCGGGCCCCTGTTGTTGCTGCTGCTGGGGGTGCTGTTGCTTTGCCCGCGGGGCCTTGTGTGTCCGCCTTTGCGCGAGCGTGCGGGGAACCCGCAGTCCTCGCTGTGGGGGAGAGGTGTGTCTGGTCCTGTACAGGGACAGCGGCAGGATGGGATCATGGAGGGGGGTGCATGGGGGGAGTCAAGTAGCACAGCAGTGAACGGGGTAGGAGACGCCACGGTTGAAGGCACTCCCTGCTGTGCAGCCAGGCGGGCGTGCCTTAGGCCAGCAGGCCAGTCCGCAACCCCAACGTCCCTCCCTCTGCCAACACACTCGACACGTGCATGCCATGGAAGCTGCTCCCCTAGTAGTACGAGCCCGACGGACCTCTGCCACAGCCTTGCTTCCGCGACGCGACACCCGAGTGCCATTCAGCTCCTCGTGAAGTCGACGAGCAAGCTGTTCATCAGTTTCTATTGTTGTTTCTGATAGCGTCGGGCTGCAGATGGACAGCGCCGGCAGCCTGGGTGAGAAGGCACCAAAGCCGCCTGCGTCGCCATTTCCGAGGAGCAGCTCAAGCTCGCTCCGCTTCTTCTTGGGCCTTCCCGCATCCATCCTGCAAAGTTACGATGCAAAGGGCTTCATCGCTTCCAGCACAGCTATTCACGAGGGCACCAGTTGATCATTGCCAAGCGCAGGGTGGGGCCAGTTGCAGCTCGCGCAAAACGTGTAACTGATAACACCAAATATCGTAAGCGGAAAGGCCTGTGCTGTAGACCTTACCGAGCAACGCGGTCAGAGCAACAACGTTTGTCCAACACTCGGGAGCTATAGCATAATAAAATACATCTACAGAATGCAGAGAAAGATAACAAGTCCGTTGCACATAGACCCTGCCATAATAATCCAGGCGAGGGGAGGACTAACGCGCAAAGGTAGTAAAGCCCTGCCCCACTAATTATTATAGTTAGGCAGTGCCTGTGCATCAAGTTTCAACCCCAACATAATATTTAGCCTTGTAGAGGTGCTTGTCGTCCCTGTCGACAGTCCACACGCCAGCTTCCAAGCAAACCTCACCCGCGGCCAACGACTGGCGACACGTACCTTCTTTCAATGTATATGTAGCTGTCCTGCACGCCCTCCCAGTCCGTGCTCCAGCTCCCTTGGGAGAAACGTTCCTCTCACTTGTTCACAGCCTCCATCCCCGAAGGCAGCTTCAGCAGCTATGCTACTACGAAGCTAGGTATGCAGGGTGCTTGCCAAGAGTCTACAATGTAAGTTTCAACGCCAGGCGCGTTATCGCCGATCTACCATTGCGCTGCTAGAAAATGTGCACTTTCGCGTTACTTGGTAGGTACTGTAGGTAAAACCATTTCTTCGTAAAAGTGTTTGTATTATAATAACCATAGAGCGGCGACTGCACAACGATGGAAGAGCGACGTTGTTGATTGCATTACGGCTTTTGCGGACGTATTATACATGTCAACCGAAAGCCGGCAACGCTTACAGAAGTATATTCTTGACTATGTGCTATTGTGGGCATCAACCTAAGCGCTCCTAGAAAGCTGACGTTGACTGTGAAATGACATGCAGTTAACGCCCTGCCATGTCGCTGAACCGGGACCATCTGGGTAGTTTCAACTTCGCTTAGAAACTGCACATCAAAGCAATTGGGATAGCAAGCCCGGGTGCGTCGGATAGCCCTCTGCGCTGGTGCAGCATACCTGGAGAAGGGTGCCAGCGATTGGGCCCCTGTTCCATTCCGCCATACCATGCGTGCACGAGGGATAAGCTGCTGGGTGGAAATGATGCCAGCCCTGGTATTACCGTATGATTCTTGGTAACAAACCACCTGTGACTGACCACATGCAGTCCAGCACATGTAGCGTAGGGCCATCATTAATCCTGGCCCGTATGCCCACGTCCCCTACGCAGCTACAACTCCTGCACGATGCCCAGCCCCGCGCACACATAACCAAAGGCCCTACAAGGCTTCCCAGCCGTCTGTTTTGCCAGTCTGACACCGTCCAAGAGCGCACAGGCCCTGCTCCCGCCTCCTCCCCTCGACCCCACCCCTCCTGTTTCATGTTTGCCTTCACCTCCGTACCTCCCCCTTCCACCCTTCCATCCAAGCAACCAAGAAAGCCTGCACCTACATAGCCCCGTCGAAGCCAAGGAGGCAGCGCAAACTCCCCGTCCGCACTCCAAACACTCCCATCTAGAGCTGTAGTCGCCCCTCGCGTATCAACACAGACAGCTCCGAGCAGAACCTGAGTGGGTAAAAACAAGGAAAACTGAGTGGGTGGGGGCCCGTTTGCGGGGTTGCAGGCAAAGGGGTGGTTCGGGCGAGGCTGGGGAAGTGGGCTGCTTTTTTGTGCGAGGCGGGGGTGGGGTCAGAAAAGGTAGACGGGCGTTGTTGATTGCAGCGGGACCTGCGCTGGGTTACCCCGGGGGGTAGGCAGGGAGGGAGGAGGGAAGCAGTGGTAGGGTGGAAGCGCAGGCGAGTAGACTGCTACCCCCTACCGTCCTAAACGCACAGCACAGACTACCTCCATGCCCCTCAGACTGGGCTGTCCCGCCCAACCCACCCCAACCCATCCCACCTGTGCACCGGGAAACCGACGACGTTGAAGTAGCAGCCCTCCAGCCCCACCACAAAGGCGCCCGCAGCGCCCTGGATGCCGTACGACCCGGCCTTGCCGTACGGCTCACCTTTGGAGTGGGGGACGCATGGGGGAGGGGGAAGGCGGGGGGAGCAATGGTGGGTTTGGGGTTCCGAGCAGTGGTAGAAGAAGAGGAGAAGAGGACGGAACAAACAGTTTGTATAGATTACCATGACAGCTGTTGCTGCCGGTACACCCCCGCAAACCAAGCTGTGCTTGCAACTCCAGAGCACATTGCTACACCACCTCGCTGCACTGCACCCGTCGCACCCACCAGACTCGATGTACGCCCGGATGGCCTGTTCAGGCAGCTGGTCGAAGGTGACGCGGGTGGTGGAGCTGAAGCAGCGCACCAGCGGGGGCTGACCCGTGGAGGGGTCTGAGCGGGGGCAGACGGAGGGGAAAGCGAATGGGTTGGTGGGTAGCGTGGGTTGGTGGGTAGGGAAACCCTGTGGTAGACACAAACACGACCCCCCCCCCCGCCCATGTCCTCAACATGTGCATGTGCATGTGCATACACAAACCCGCACATGTGTACGACACGTGCACGGCATGGAGGACAAGAACTATGTGTACGACACTTATACGGCAGGTGTGTATTGCCGGCACCGTGCCCGCCCCACCTGGTTCCCCGGGCAGCACCAGCACCACCCCGGTGTGCACCTGGTGTTGCCGCCCACTCAGACTGACATGCAGAGGGGGGGTGGGAAAGAAGAATACCGGTACCCAATGTGTTGAATGAGGCTAGCAAACAAGCCGAGGGGGAGGGGGAGCGGGCTATGATGGAGGGGTTGGGAGGAAGGCTGGGGAGAGGGGCTGGGAAGGGATTTAAGGACAGTAGAGCCGCGCGGGCGCCAGGAAGGGGTCCATCCGCAGGGTCTCGTCCACCGTCATATAGTTGGGTGCCGCGTTGGGTGCCGCGTAGACCGGGCCTACGTCTTCATCCTGGTCTTGCCGCCTGCCCGCGGGCGAGGTCATATGCCGGGGACTCAGCCGCTCCCGCCCGCCCGGCAGCGGCCTCAGCAGCCGGCGGAGACCCTGGCTGGGCCCCGGCAGCGGCCTCAGCAGCACCCGGTACCACTGACGCCGCCCCACCACGGCCTGGTCCTGCACTGGCACCATCGGCTGACTGTTGCTGGCCGTTGGAGCCCACGATGGACCAGGCCAGCCTAGGTGGGGCGGCGTCCCCGGTTCACACGCGGCTTGGCTTGAATACAACTCCTCCCGCCCAATGACCAGCAAACACAATACCGGTGATGACTAACCTGGAAAGCATCTGGAAGGCGTGTTCCGCGTCATCCGGCTTTTCAAGGATGACACCGTTAGCTTCAACAACCTACGCGGTTAAGTACAGATGGCCGCGGTTGGCCGTTTGTGGTTACGTTCAACGAAAGAGAGCGGTACTTGGCGGCTGCTGTGTCCTTGCTCGTCCTTGTTCGTCCCGCCTCGCGCAGCCCACCTCCCTCCTCTGGCATCCCCCTACAAGCATCCTTCGATGAGCCCTCACAGCGAACAATGCGGCTGCCAACCGCCTCCACCTCCACCTCCGCACCTTGCAGCGACCCCCGCCGGGCCCCCCCCCGACCCTTCACGCGGCCCACCCCTGCACGCCCCTCCGAAGGGCCTTACCCAGCCGGTGGCCAGGACGCCGCCCGCTCTTGACCCCTCCGTCCTTCCCCTCCCCGAGCCCTCCGCCCCTCCCCTCCCCGAGCCCTCCGCCCCTCCCCTCCCCGAGCCCTGCGACCCCACCGTATCCGCCGAGATGATGAGGTCCACTGGCCGCTCGGGCTGCCCCTGCCCCTGCTGCTGCTGTTGCGGGGTGCTGCGGACGCGACACATCTCCGCCACATCTAGCGCTTTATGGCGCGCCGTCTCCAGCGCATAATCGCTGCCGCATGAGAAACGATCTTTGGGCAGCTTCTCATCAAAGGTAGAGACGAGGACCTGTATTGGTTACAGAAGATGAAGACAGCAAGACGGGACGGCTAGCTACCGTGACTGTAGTCACGCGTCAACGCAGTGCAATTATGTTTTTACTAAGTGCGAAGCAATTACAAACGTTTCGCACCTCAAACTTCAAGCCCAAATTTCCTAGCAGCTCGCGGCGGCGTGGGCTGCCAGATGCAAGGACGATGCGCTTTGCATTGAGCGCCGGCACATGTTGGAGTATCATTTGTAAAGCTTAATTGCAAGTTTTATACGACTGTGCTGTAAGAGACTGACAGCACCACGCTTGCGACAACCGCGAGCAGATGTTCTTTTCCCGGGGGTTGCAGTAGACGTTACTGGAAGGACTTTGCTGGAAATGCGCGTATGCGCTGGCTAAGCAGATACATAAGCAGGCCGGAGAACAAGAACCAGAGGCATGACTTCTGAATGCATTTGCAGCGCGTCCCGTGCGGAGCATGCCAAGCAAACTAACTAACGGATTGTAAAGCGCGTTCAAGGGCTGACCAACATGCAAGCGCTTGGGCATGAAGTGTGGATTGGACATGAAAAGGCGATGGTTTGATTGTCAGGCATCATTACAGCTCGTAAACGACGTATCGAATCCACCGCGCGGCCATCTGCCACACACGGTCACATCCTTATCCAAGCAATCGCGCGCCCGTTGTAGAGTGCGTAAGCGAGATGGCACTGCCATACATAAACGACAGCCGACGGCAACATTCACCAACGAAACATCCTCCAGACAGCTTCCCGTATCCAAACAACGACTCCCGTAGATCCGGATGGCGGCAGAACAACCTTCCCACTTCAAACCCACGAAGCATAACTCAAGTCGTGCGCCGTAATCCCTTAAACAAACAGGCCGCAATAACCACCATTGCAGGCGTTCAGCCGTACTTGGTGAATCCAGGCTGCGCATCCGTACGGAATCCAAGTATACGCCAGCAAAAATGTTTTCACCGCCAAACATCACCACGCCTTACATCACCGGCGCGAGACGGGTCGACAACCACAGAAGAATGCACAGAGATCATATCATTGCAGAGCAAGTGAAGAATTAACCAACTGCCAGTGGTATTCAACTAGCCAGCGATGGGGGCAGGGCCCTCCTGTGTCCGGCCGGCGTGTTACCCCGAAACCCTGATAACAAAGTCCAACTTCGAACCCTGTACGTTCATTCTATTCTCCTGACCCCTCCTCTCACTGGATACACTCTGAAACGGAGTCATGGCGCCAACATTTCCTGTCAGGACGCACTCCCAAGCACGAACACGCCAGAGACACAAAAAGGGTTCCGAGGGAAATCGCGGGCACCTGTAATCATATTAACAGCATGCGACGAGGCAAGACCTTTCTACAGAATTCTGCCGTAAAGCCCTGCTTGCCCGTATGTGCTTACAACTCTAACCCGTACACCTTGCCGTACCCGAACTGCCTAAATCTTGCAACCCACACGCCACAGACGACGATTCGCCGCAACCTCACCCAGCCTTTTTTGATATGGGGCACAACAAACCTTTTTACCAATTTTTGAGGAAGCATTTTTAGCAAGACGCGCACGAACACCACAAACGTAATGGCACATTTCACATGTAATGCCGACTATATGCATCGTAACACGAGAAATGTATTTTTGCAAGAGCAGCAACAACATGTTTCTCAACCAACACAGCACACCACGGCACTGCAAAGCGTGAAGTGCGAGCTCTTACTCTCCGCACTAATGGCGCCGTTACCAGCAAGCCTCTCACACATACGTCCCGTACATATCTACACACTTTTGGCGCCAAACTCTTTGGCAAATTGACAAGACAAAGCACACAAAGCAAGCCCAGAGTAGCCAGAGGTACTCAGCCGCCGTCCAATAAAGTCAAAAGGGTACATGCCACGCATGCTACGCGACAGATAGCGGAGCCAAACGCCAGCGCAAAGCACGCAAGGCGTGGACTCGCAAACACACAAAAGCAACCTGCGTGGGAGCGTGCGTGCATGCATCAGCATACCACCAGCGGTGAACCAGCATGCTGTGTTTTATCCTCAGGCAGACTGCTGTGCCTATGCACAAGCGCCCCAAGCCGTAACCACTACCGTGCCGTATCTACCATTCCTCTCACCATACTCGGCAGTATATACAGTACAAGTACGACACAGCCATATCGTACCAACCATCCAACCCACCATGAAAACCGCGTCTTGCGTGTAGTGTTTTATTGTTGTTGTACCGAGGTATAAACATATGACTTTTTGTTGTTTTGAAATTCAGAAAGGTGTACACACGACAATGTTGTTGTACAGCACTCTTTTCTGCTCATGCCAGCTCCCATGCATTACGGCGGAGAGGCAAGGCGACCCTCGGCCGTATACTGCACCTCACGATACTGCACGGAATCATCCAACCTCACCCCACACACCGTCGCTCCTCCCCATTACCACCAGTACAACCACCACAAATGGCGCCATGAGGATCCAGCCCAAGTTGCCTTGTGCATAGCTCTCGTCGTCATCATTAACGCCGCACTTCGCCAGAAGTGCAAGACCCCAGTAGTAGCCGTTGGCTGGCACTTGCTGCTGTTGCAGCTGCACACAGCTAAGCATGCCCCCAGCCCAACTGAGCCCGACTGAACATGCAACAACAGCCAAAAGCACTGTGACCCACATCCCGCCGCACGCGCACGGAGGTCAAAGGACGCAGGCAGGCGGACGACTAGGACAACCCACATCATCAACGTTGGCACCTTGTCAGGCATGCACGCCACAAAGCAACAACAAACGGTAACGAAAAATGGGTGGGATAAACGATGGATGGGTAGTACCCCATTGCTGTCAGCTCACCATCCAAACACACCACCATTGAGCCCAACAGCCCCTCAGTCGGTACTCATGGCGCGCTCTCCCACCGCAATAACATCAGATGTAAACTTACGCCCCCTCACGAAAGCCGCCTTCCCTTCCCTTGAGCTGCGGAGGCAAAAGCCGCTCAACCCACATTACCATAGCCCAACAGCCGCCTAGCGTCGCCGTACACATGCCCCGGCGGGATCCACCAGCGTGTTAACCCTCCTCAGTAAGAGGACGCCGTGCGACCGCGTTTGGCGGTCGAACCGCCCCACGACGAGCCGTCGCGCTTGCAGCCGCGACGGCCTGAGGGGGCCGGCGGCGCAGCCGCCGCAGCGGCGGCAGCGGCAGCCGCCGCAGCAGCGGCCGCAGCAGCTCGTCCGGCCGGCGTGTACGGAGCCGGGGTTCCCAGCTGGTTGGTACGACGGTAGCGGGTACCGCATGCGTTGCAGAGCATGGGCTTGGCGGGCGGGCCACGACGCCATTGTGGAGACTCTGAGGACGAGACGGGGGGAGGAATAGGGGAGGAAACAGAAACAGGTAAGGAACAAGGCCTCACTAGCGCGTGCATAGCAACACGAAACCTGAAGAACCAGAATAACGGGCGTTACCACGATAAATGACAAAACCCAGATGAAAAAAGAGGATCAAGATTGCAGCGGCCATGCAGTGCGCACACACCAAGCTCGCTGACCCATTCCCAGGTGACCCAAATCCCCAGACCAAGTGAACAGCTTGTGGCAGGTACACAGACTACTCTAGGGGGCGCACCTGTAGCTCCGCAATGGTCGCAAGGTCCGCCGGTCTTGTGGTGGAAGGCCTTCGGAAGGGGCGCAGCAGGCACCGGTGCAGCAGCCGCAGCCGCAGCATCAGCAGCCGCAGAAGGCAAGCAAACCGGCAGCTGCTCCCCCACAGCTGCCGCAGAAGCAACGGACCCAGGACCGACAACGACAGACGCAAACACATCTGGCGGCGCGCCGACCACGCCGTACGGCTGGTATGGGTACGGTTGGTACGGCCAACCGTCGCCGCCAGCGTGACTGCCGTTGCCGCTGGGGGCCTGTACGACAGGGCCCATGACGCCGTTCGCGTTGTTGACGGCCACGTTGTTGTTGTCAATGCTGCTGCAGCTGCTCCCAGCGCGCGGCGGCATGGATGAGGCGGCCTGAGCTGTGTTATCAGTCACCCCACCGTCCACTACGCGACTCCCATCTGGGTTGTTGTTGTTGTCGTTGCTGCAGCACTCGGGAATGTAGTTGGACCCAGCGGCCGGTCGGACGGCCTCTGTGCCTTCGTAACTAACGCCCGCATTGAAGGGCTCGTTAAAGCAGTCAGCTCCTCGCATGCCGGCGACAGCTGTGGCGGGAGGAGAAGGAGCCGGAGAGCTGCCGCGCTCAATAAAGTAGAGTTGTTGTTGTTGCTGGTCGGAATCCAAGGCAAGGTGCGCAGCAAGGCTGCATGGAACCTCTTCCGTAACCGAGCCAGCACAGTGGTACGATTGACACCGATCGACGTGCCGTTGCTGCTGCTCCTGGTGCTGAGGAGGAGCCATGGAAGGCCGCTGGACCAATTCCAGAGCCAACGCGGCCTTCTCAAAGCACACCGACGCGGCCGCAAACTCCTCGTCGCCAGCCAGGACGCCCATCATGTTCGGGTCCAGCATGGCGAAGGGAGTCACCAGGCGAGGACGCGAGCAGGAGGCCGTGATGGAAGGGTGTTGATGGCGAGGTTCTTGCTGTGAGGTCCCGATGGGGTTCAAGGCGGGTGCCGAGGTCGGGTAGGGGCAGATGGACCGTCCGGAGATGGAAGGCCCAGCCGGAGCGCACGGAGCTGCGCAGTTTTCCTGGCCCGGCATGTAACTATCTTCAGGAATTAGGAAGCACGCCTTGTCAGGAAGGGCCATGCATGCGTCCTCTGCATCGAGGAAGGACTCGCAGCGACGAAAGGCCAGGGCAGCAGGCGCCTTGCTGAGAGCGGGGCAAATTGCGTTGCCGTTGCAGTCCCTTTCTGAAAGAGGAGCTACTGTCGTTGTAAGGAAGAACGCAGACAGCACAGACTCATGAGCTGAAGGTGCTGGCGGCATTGTTACCGCAACTTGCGCTTTTCCGCGGCGCTTCAAGCCTGAAGGAGCAAACATTTCAAAATGAGGAGAAGAATGCAATAATAATTAGAGGCTAAGTTTTCCCGAGCGGTACTCGAAAGAGCGCGGTCGAAACCGGGCAGTCATTCGCGCCAAGACTTGACACAAAAAGATACTCGTGTTAACAATGGTGACATGAGGAAGGCGTCAAGTCCCTCAGCATCAACGCGGCCTCAAGGCCAACCGCTGCCTGCCTACCGCGCACCGCCCGCAGTGAGCCAAAAAACGATAAGCATGCAACGATGGTGTCGACACGTGGGTAAAACAATGCACCGTGAAAACGATGGTTTGGCAGTCATGCCTCGAGGGTGCCGCGCCTCATTATCCGCGCCAGTCATAAGCGCCAAATATTTCACATTGCGCATGACGCGAAACCGTTTCTGAATCAAATACCGAACTCGCCTGGAAGAGGGTCTAGATACCGCAGCCGCGCTCCTAGGCGCGTGTGCCGCGTAGAGGAAGTGGTGAGACGGTGTTAGTCGAGCTGGCAAAGCTTGCCAAAGGCAGCGCCCAAGCTCTGAAGAAATGAGAACTATGCAAAGAGGACGAAGGCGGGCATTCATTGAAGATGGATAGGCGCGCTCGTAGATTGAGTTAGGCCGGAAGTTTTCGGAGCCGGAAGGACACGTCTTGAATAAACGCCACCTTCCACCTGCTATGCAACTACTTGCATACCTGTGAAAGAAAATTCCTTGCTACATCATGCGGCTTCTGCCGGTTGCATAAGGGGATAGGCCAACTGTACCCTCAACAGTAGGGGCATGTTCCATGCGTTTCCGCTGTTACTGCTATTACTGACATTACTCGCACACAACGTATTGGGCCACTTACGGAAACATTTGCATTACATTGCACTCGTGACGTTGGCCACAACCGGAATACCAGCTGAAAGTGTGTGCTTGATGGAAGGTTAAGCGCAAGGGCCATGGCCCTCTCGCGACCAACCACATTGTCAAATCTGCGTCACATCCAATACATGGCAACTCCGCAGAGCCCCGGCGTTTGCAAACCGACTACTTGGGCCAAGTTTTGGGTTTTGTTGCAGACTTGCGCACAGAGCATGCATTGTCGCGCGCAAAGCTGGAACATACCGGTAACTCCTGTTCTTACAGAACGTAGGATTCTTGCGTGGGTAAGGCCGAGGTTTCGTGTGTTGCGACACAAGTCCCCACCCCACTTCGTCAGTCTTGTAGCCCTAGATGCGACGTTAGGTAGTGAGAGCTGTGAGACGCAATGGAGACGCCAGTCGATCTTAAACACACTACAGCCTCGCAAGCCACCATGCCTGCTACCACAGGCCCTACATATCACATTGCCTCGTACCGCAGAAGCACTTACCCAGCAGCAGCAAACCCCTGTGGCAGCATGACTGAGTACGGCAATTTATGTCTCAATGGTAGCCAGTTGCTGCCAGTTTAGGCCCCACTTTTTCGCCTCCATTCCATGGCCTCTGCATTACCGCACACGCGCACGTCCTCCACTCCTTATGTGTCACATCATTCAACAACGCTTCACTTCTGGGAGCCTCACTCGCAAACTCAAGGACTCACGCCCAGGGCGTATGCGGATGTCTCAAAAACTGCTCCCAGGCCAGGCTCTGACCAAGCAAACACAACTACAAGGTACCTGGAAAACTGCTCCTAAGGCTCGTTAGGGCGTGCATACGGTACGCGTCTTCTTAACACGGCCAGAGGTCATTCACCACGGCAGGCCCTACCAAAGGCAGGACAAATAAAGTCAACACACAAGCAGTAAACGCAAACGTGCAGCAATCCCTCGAGTGATACAGCCCATGCCCGGAATGAAACCATGCCGCCTGCTGTCTCCCTCATTCCCTGCCTGCCCTCGTTTAACCTCCATACACCTTCCCCCACACAGTGTCACACACACGTCCCCACACCAACGTGAAAACATTTATTACGTACTACATACTTTGGCAGCGCCTCCTACTTCACAAAGGGTCAGGGTCAGTCCTGCAGCTCAATTGGCTTTTCACACGTTTAACGACCGTCACGCTTGCAGCCCTCCAAGCCACTGAACGAAGTAGAGTCCTCATCGCTCGCGAGGTGCGCAGACGGGCATAGAAGCGCTTAACGAAGACGACACAACACAGGCTAGAGACTAAACCTACCAGGCAAAGCTATAGAATAGGCAAAGCATGACGCCAATCGCAGGGGTTCCCTTCTGGACGCATCCATCCAAAGTTCCAAACCCCAGGTCCTGTCAGAACCCTCAGAAAGCTTCCAGCTGCCGCATAGTGCCGTACGGTGCAATGCCGCACACTCCCGCGTCAACAGCACTTCTCCGCCTGGCAGCTCTGAGGGCTCAACATCCCGCATGCGTTGTTACCGCTTTGCCTTCCTTTTGCACATTGGTCTTGCCTCCCACTCACACGCACAGTTCCCCACTTAACGCGCAGCACTTTCAAAACTGGTTATGCCGGGCTCGGCACGCAACAACAGGGGTAAAGCACTACCGTTGCAACCTTCCACCCGACTACGCTGCCTGCTGCTCACCCAGAGAAGTCTGTTAGCCGGAACGCAGCTAGCGGGGAGTTGATCCGTCATGACACGGAACCAACCGACCCGCGGGTCTGTTGTCCTCTCCAGGCTCCGGCCCGGGAAGCTTCAGCTTAGCCCCTCAGCGCAAAGTTTGCCCTCAGCTGCGCATTAGCCACACACCAGCAGTGACCCGTGGGTCTTCCTACGAGGACTGAGGATCTCTGTTACACACCTTTTCGAGCCCCCACGCCATCACCCACCTGCTGTACATGTATCGCCAAAAGGCGCCATCCATGTTTCTGTTCAGTGCCTGTTCCCGTGCCTACCTGCCTGCCTCCTACTCCAGCAGATACCTCCAGCGCACCTCAGCAGCGCCACGACAACGCCGTGTGACCAGCCGCCAAGACCAACGACCGCCCAATAGCGTTTTCCGCTCATTCAAGTCCTGGAACACACACATACAGTACCGTGGCAATATCACGCAACCCCTACTCAAGCGAGGAAAAAACGAGAGAGCATATAGATTATTAAACACTAAACATTCTTGCGGACCCATTGGCCCCTACTCCTCAATATGGAGTCGCCATCCGCCATGCAAAGACACATGGAGTTGGCAGCGGCGTGCAACTCAATGGGCACTGGGCTCCCTCCTCTGGACGTCCCGGCTCTCAATCACGACGGTGCCCTCCTCACTCCTCACGACAGATCATTTCACCGAATGCATTCCTGGAAAACATAAAAAGCAAGGAAATCGGGATCCAACCCCAGAGCACCATAGGGGCATGTCTACGTTTAAAGCAGCCTAGACGACCCATGGGTCATCCAAACTCGGAGGCTGGTCAATTCCGCGCCGACGCAGTTAGGTAAGGTTACTCGAAACAACCAACCCAACCGCCAACAGCACCACGCCTCGCCTCTCCCTCGACCACAAGCGCGACAATGCTTGCCCTCCCTCTCCGGCACACTTCTCCTCTCACTGTCAGAGTAAATCACACTCGTACCCTTGATATGAGAAGTGACAGCTTCTTCGCTTTTCATCACCCCGCGACCCTCCCTCACGTCACACACTCTTCAGCTCAATAGCGCAGCCACCAACCCAAGCAGGCATTGCGGGGTGGGGCACTGACAAAATGCGCAGATAGCAGCAAGGCCCGGCAAGCACCAAAAAACGCTGCTTGGCATGGCACCGAGTAGCACAGCCTAGCACGGAACACGATACATCAGTGGCGCAGCAGCATCGCGCAAGACGCATGACACACCTCTCCCTACGTAATCACCAGCCTCATGCAGCCGCATCAGTGGCCCGCTCTCATACCCGCACTCCCGCCGCCTCCGATGCACTCCCGACTGTAGCAGGACACAGGGCCCAGGGCCCTCATGATGATGAAGAGATGCAGGCGCTCCTCCGCGGCACTCGGCACAGTGCGTACAATAAAACCTAAAATTGTCCTCAACTACAGTCAAGCAATAGAAGCAGCAATAGCAGCAGCAACAGTAGCACCAGCCACCTCTCCTCTTTGTGCTTGTGCCTCTCGTCAGCAAGCCCCCCGCCTAGCAGCGTGCACTCATCAGCAGCAGTGGATGCGCTCCACATGGCAGCAGCCGGGCGCCAGGACACCACTGACCCGTGGAACGACCCGTGGGACGCTCCAAGCCGCGTGCCTACGAACAACAGCTGCGGCCCAACCGTGGTCAACACAGCGCCTGCGGCAAAGCGCAGCACCAGCCCCTAGACCACACGCGGGACACGCCCCCATCAGTTCTTCAGCAGGAAACTGAAAAAGTCATCCTCCATGACGACCCCCCGATTTGGGTCGGGCACCGCCATCAGCCCTCCGCTGTCCCCAGCCACACCCAACATCCCGACCGCTCCCAAATGATGCCCGCGAGGACCCCCGGGCATGGCTGCTACCGCCATTGCGGCTGCGTTAGTGCCGCCGCCGCCGCCCGGACCGCTGCCTCCTCCCGCGCCGCCGCCATTGCCGTACATTTCTTGGAATACGGCAGCAATGTCGGAGGGATCCTCACCGTCCAGCAAGATATTGGTGTCCACGAGGCCGGGTACCGTCCCATGGGTCTGTTGCACCGATCCTCTGGCGCGAGCTCCAAAACCATTGCTGCTGACGTTGCCCCTGCCACTTACATCCATCAGCCCCACCCCCATCAGGTCCGAAGGCAGGCTGGCCTGCGCCGCGGCGGTGGCCAAACTGCCGTCTGCATGGACAGGGTGTTGTGCTTGGAGCGAGGCTGCATGCAGGGCAGCGGCAGCGCCGGGCATGACGCCAAGAGTTGAGCTAAGCTGCTGCTGCTGCGACTGCTGCTGGTGTTGCGAAAGCTGGGGCAAGGCGTGGAGGTGTGGTGATGCTCCTGCGGGCGCCAGGCTGCCGTGCTGAGCCTGCTGGAGTTGCGGTGATTGGTGCTGCTGTTGTTGTTGCTGCTGCTGCGACTGCGGCTGCTGTTGCAAGGACAAGCGGTTCAAAGACGTCTGATGCTGCAGCTGTTGAAGCTGCCGTTGTTGTTGTTGCTGCTGCTGTATAGACAGCTGTTGTTGTAGCGAGGCATGTTGCTGTAACGACGCTTGCTGCTGTAACTGCATTGACAGCTGCTGTTGCAGGTTAGCTTGCTGTTGCAACTGCTGTTGCTGCTGTTGTTGCTGCTGCTGCAGCTCCGCGAGCTGTTGTTGATGCTGCGGGGGCAGCATGGGCTGCTGGTGGGGCCCGGGGGTCAGCCCAACGCCTGTGCATGCAGCACACGGAAACAAGGGCGGCACGGAAACAGCACGTAAGGACTAAGGAGCTGGGAACCTGACCAGATGGCCACGACTCGATCAGTCCACGGAAAGCAATTGACCATACAAAGGCCAAGCCAAAAGACCAGCTGACGCCCCGATGTATCCACACCCGTGACGCTCGCACAGCGTTCCCATGCGTTGTCTGTGTGCGGCATTACGTTTGCGCCCGGTCATCCTACTTCTCCTACGAAGCAAACAATGCTCGGGTGACCCCTACCCCGCCTCACCTGGCAAGGGCCCCATGAGACCGTTCACCGCCAACGCAGGGAGCTGAGCCATGCCGCCTGCCATGCCTGCATGCAGCCACAGCAAGCCGGGGAGCAATAAGGTGGCATCACACTCTCGGCCCAAGCACGGCCGCAGGAGTTGCTGCTACGGCGGTGCGAGGACAACGCTGCTCGGGCTAGTGGGTCAACGAGGCTGCGGCCCCTCTCTCCTCCAGGGTTGAGTAGCAGGTGGGTATGTGAAGGGCAAGGACACCTAAACAACCGCCACGATACGACCAGGATGGACTGCGAGATAAATGTGAGACCGAACCCCCGGCCCCCCCGCATAGCCCCTCGCACCCCCACCCACCTTGCATGAGGTTCGCTGCTGCCATCTGCTGCAGCCCGCCAGCCATGGGGTTCATGGGCAGGCCGCCCGGCAGCGCTCCGGGCAGGCTAGCCAGACCAGGAAGACCCATGGGTCCAAGCTGACCCATCCCAGGTTGCCCCCCGGGACCCGCCAAGCCAGGCAAGAGACCTGCAAACAGCCGGCGTATACACAAGCAGCTTACCGCGCAGTCCGGTACGGCAGCGCTAACAGCATATTCCTGCACGCACCCCCCCGCTCAACCTGCGAACCCCAAAGACGCATCAACCGTCATAAAGACATGCAGCCTCCTCCTTTCTGCTCTCCCGCCGGCTCCATGCCCCTCTCCCCCACACCAGCTCACCTAGTGGCGGCTGCATGCCGGGCAGCGGCAGCCCATTCAGCGGCCCCAACGGCCCCACCCCCAGCGGCCCCACGCCCAGACCGCCCATGGCCCCCAGCAGCGGGTTCAGGCCCGCAGCCGCGGCCATCATGGGGTTGGCTGCCAGCAGCGTCGCAGGGTGCGGCTGGTGCTGAGGCGGGGGGTGCGGCTGGGGCTGCGGAGGCGGGGGCAGAACAGGGAACGCCCCAGCCGCCGCCGCCACGGCCGCCACTGCCATGCTGTTCACACCGTCGTCAGCGCCGCCGCCGGTCATCTGGGCCATGCTGGGGGCAGCTCCTGGGGGTTGCGGGCCGCCGGGCTGCTGCCCACCCCCCGCCATGGCTGCTGCTGCAGCTCCTGCTGAAGGACTGACACCGCCGTTGGCTATCTGCTGCGATGGCTGCTGCTGCTGTGGCGGCGGCGGCTGCAGGCCGGTGGGGGCCTGCATGGGCAGGGGCTGACCTTGCGGTAGCGGCGGCGTGGGCGAGGACTTGGGTGGGGGCCGCGTCTGGTGCCCCGCATGCTGGTGCACCCCCGACACGCGCCGCAGGTAGAGGCGGTACTTCTGCAGGTGGCTGGCGACGTTCTCGCGCGTGAGGCCGTCCACGCCCATGATCTCCAGGATCTTCTTAGGCACAGCCTCTGCGTGTGTAGCGGGGGTGCGGGTGGGGGTGGTAAGCAGGGTATAATGGGTGGCTGCATGAGCGCTTGTTGGAGCGGAAGCGGGAGGGTGGACGTGGATGGGCGAGATGATAGGGGGTGGAGTAGGGCATCCGGCATCCAGTTTTCCCCTCTTTTTTTGCTGGACTAGGCGAGCGTCCCACCCCTCCTCCCGCCCTTCTTTCCGCCCCCACTCACTGTCTATCCCCAGCTGGTTGACCGCATTCACAAACTTCTGGTGCATCTCCACGCTCCACACCACCCGGGCCTTCTTGTTAGACCCGCCGTCCAGCCCCAGCTCGTCCGCTGCGCCCGAGCCCCCGCCGCCGTTGAGGCCACCACGATACTGGGGAAAGGAGGGAGGGAGAAGGAGGTGGAGGGAAGGGGGAGTGGAAGGGGGCGGTGGGGTGGGTTGCGCGGAGGCATGCCCCCACGGGAAAAGAGGGAGGGGGTTTTCCTAGCTGGGTAGTGTGTGTGCTTAGGGGGGGCGAGCGGGAGAGCATGACTGCTTGGAACAGGCTTGGAACAGATCATGCTTATGGGTGGCTGGGGTGGCCTTTCTGTCGAAAAGGCGGGGCATTGGTGCGGGGCATTGGCGGGGTGGCGTACCTGGTCGTGTAGGAAGCCAGCTGCGTCCGCTTTCCGTTTGTTGCGGCTTTGATCCTCATCCCGCTCCTGGCTTTGCTCGTCGCTGTCCACCTCCTGAGCGTGCTGCATGAGGGTATCAGGAGGTGGACAGGTGGGGACATACGTTTGGAGGGGGCATGGTGGAGAGTTGTTGGTAAGCATATGCAGATTTGGGATAGGGGTCGAGGGTGGTCCCGCAGGCAGCGACTACTGTAACGGCATTGTCCGGTCTTACCTGCCGACGACGCCGAACGACATGCTGCCAGAGGTTTCTGAGCTCCTCTAATCGTACGGGCTTGATAAGGTAATCACAAGCGCCGTGCGTCACGCCCCGGAAAACATTGCTCGTGTCACCGTTCGACGACATCACTGCGGCATGGGTAACCCAAACGTCTCAGGACCATGCATACGAACGTCAGTAGGGTATCCGACAACTTACTTATAACGGGAAGATCCATCTCCAAGCCCACTACTTCCAGAAGCTTGAAGCCGTCCATGTCTGAGGTAAAAGGGTCATCCGCAATTCACCCTTGTACTCCTTTAAGCGCAGGCAAGCGAGCAGTGTCAATACGCACCTGGCATATAGACATCAGATAAGACAAGGTCGTACTCTGTATTCTTCTCCCGTAGGAGCCTCAGCGCCATGGTGGCGTTGGCGCAAGTCGTGACTGCGCGGGGACAAATTGTCAAACATCCAACTCTCTCCTAATGAAGTGAAATTACAATCTCTGACGAGCGCTTACCCTCATAAGAGCACTTCCTCAGCATTTGCTCAACCAGCTTGAGGCAGACCGGGTCGTCGTCCACCACCAGCAGCCGAAGACCCGCAGGAAAGTTCTGCCAGTGATTTGGCGCATGTTCGTCCTGTTTACCGTTCAAAGGGGCATCTGCTCGCCCCTCCATGGTCCCGAACCACCTCCTAAACTAAAGCATTCCAAGCCAATCCCGGGCGTGCCGCAACATTTGTTGTAGCTATGTTTTTATGCCTGAAAGTTGCTAGCTGCCTTGCCCATTTGCCACATGAAGGCACCTGTTAATGAGAATACACTTGCCAACCTGTACTGTAACCCTGCTATGAAATAAGAACAGCAAACAACTGAGCTTCGAGGTAACGGCCTGTAAATGATCTCGCATGCTTGGATATGCAACCTCTTTGCATGTCAGGGCAGGCGTACGTCTAGCGCACGGCAGGGCTCTTCGCAGTTCGCACTCGGCAAAATTCCCAGTCCACTCGTCAGATTATTACACAAGACGAAGACGATCACTGATGGCAATTGTTTCTTTGCACGTTCATCTATGTTAACCTAACAAGAAACCTGTAAGCGTCCCCTAGGCCACTATTTAGCATTGCACCTCATCTTCAGGTGGGCCGATTGCAGCTATAAAAATCGAACATGTTTTAGGGAGGCACATCGGTCCCTGTTGGAATGCCCCAAACGCCCTCATCCTGCACCCGCAACCCCCAAGCCTCAAGGCCCTAGTCCCCCTCCTCCTTTTCCTGGCTGGCGATGACACCCAAGAGCTCCTCTCCCCCACCCCTGCATGCACCTTCCTTTCCCTTCTGTTTGCACGGCCTTTAACTTACAGCACCTATTACTCCCTACCTACACCGGCCCCCATCACGTCTTCCCTACCTTCCCACGTTGTTCCACTCCACATGCCCCACCTACAGCAGCAGCAGCGGTACCAGGAAACCTGCCGTCGTCGAAGTCAGCATCAGGAGCAGCTCTGTACCAGCTCAGTAACAACCAGCAGCAGCAGCAGCAGCAACGAAGCGCTACACCAGAAGCCGCAGCAACCGCAACCGCAACCGCAACCGCAACCGCAACCGCAACCGTGAACAACAGCAACAGCAGCAACCGCGTGCGAGCATCCTCCGCGGTCCGACTGCCAGGGGAGGCCACCTGACCTGTTTGCAAAGCACGCAAGGAGCCCTGCCGCGTCCCCCCTAGCGAACCAACAACAACAGCAGCTTGGGCTCCTCCAGTCCTAGGCAGCGCACTCACCCAAGCAAGACCAGCTGCAACACCAGTACGACAAGAATCCCAGTAGCAGCCGCATAAGCTACGGCCTGCTCCCCAGTCCCGACCGCTCTAGACCCACACGCATGATAGCAACGGCGCAATGCTGCGGTCGTATTGGCAGTAGCAACAACGACACGAGTTTATAAGCAGTGTTAGCGGCAGGAGCAGCAATATACCCTAATATCCCAACACCGACAAAAGAATGCAGACCACCACAACGGCGCTCGCAACCGCCCCCGAGTGGGTGGTTGCCAGTTGCGTGGGGCAGTTGCGGCAGTTGTACGGCACCCAGACGGTTCCCTTCCTGGCGCCCTTCGCGGACTACACCTCCGAGCTGCAGCGCTCCAGGGAGCTGGAGGTGGGGGGTCAAAGACCATACCAAACCATAGGAGAAGGAGAAGGGGCCGGGTGGATTGTACGACAGGACTTCGCCAAGGGAACCGGGTGGGGTGTGCAACCCGCGGGTACAGAGGAGGGAGCAAACCGGTTGGGTGGGTGGTGGTGCGATAAGCGACAAGGGGGGTGTGAACAGATGATGGGGGGAACACGGGGGAGTCGGGAGGGAAGGGGCGGGTGGGCCGGGGTTCGTTAGCGTTTCCTCTTTACCCCCCTACCCCCACCCCCACCCCACCCCACCCACATCTCTCCATCTCCCACCCCCACCCTACCCCCTACCAGGTGCGGCTGCTGCAGCTGGAGAAGGAGGCGGCGGAGCTGCGGGACGAGGCGGCGGCGCTGCATGGCCGGCTGGCGGCGGCGGATGAGGCGGCGGCGGCAGCCACAGCGGCGCAGGTGAGGTGTATGGGGTAGGGAGGAAGGAGAAACGGACGGGCTGTGTGGGACATGTATGAGGCTTCTTTACCATGCATGGGGTGCAGACATGGTAGCCGGCCCGTCCCACCCTGCCCGAATTAGCCACAACCCAAAATCCAAACAACGAAAGGAACAACTGGACTGACCTATTTATGCCCCCTCTCATCCCGCAGCTGGAGGAGGCGCGGGCCGCTCTGGTGCGCGCTGAGCGGGAGCTGGGGCAGCTGTACCGAGACAAGGCGGGGCTGCTGGAGGTGGGGGCAGCATCAGGGGGTGGTGGAGGTGGGGGCAGCAGGGGCAGCAGCAGGGGGGAAGGGTTGGGAGGAGGTGGCTTGGAAAGGTGGGATTCCCGTATGCCCCACGCAACGCACACCCTCCTCTGCCGCTACCGCCCGCCTTGACACATTCGGCCCCCCACTGCTTCCCTCCCCTCCTCCCTCCCTCACCATCTCCCTCTGGTTTGGTCTATTTTGAACCCCCCCTTACAGGAGGTGGTAGGTGCCAACGCGGCCCTCACCACCGCCCGCAGCGGCCTGGAGAGCGCCAACATGCAGCTAGCGCAGGTGGGGAGGGGGTCGGGGTGGGGGGTTGCGAGCAGGTGGGGGGAGGGGAGGGTGCCGTTCTTGATGTGTCCCTTACGTATTAAGATAACTGGCCGCGAGTAGGAACGTACTGCATTGTCCCCCATGTACGTGTTATCCCTTCAATGTTCGTTCATTCATACCTAACAACAGGCCCGTGCGGAGATCTCGGCGCTCCGAGACCAGATGTCCACACTGGCCGCCTCACTGGAAGCCGAGCGGTCGGCGCGACTGGCGGCGGCGGCCGAGGCGGCGGCGGCGCTGGCGGCGCGCGACGGCGCATTGGTCGAGTCGGAGCGACTGCGGCGTGATAATGCGGTGCTGGTGCGGCGATTGGTGGAGTTGAAGGTGGGTGGGTGGGATGATAAAGAGGATACAACTAACTGGCCGTGGGTGGAGAAGAAGGAGCCGTGAGGAAGTGTAGGGAAGGGAAGAAGCGGATACCCGATGATGATGAGCAGTTGTGACACAGGCATAGGACACGTGTGAGCGACATGGAAGATGCGGAGGAGCTTGTCTTCCGCGCTTGGTGTGACCCATGGGTCACCCATCCACGCTCCTGATGTCCCTCCTACTTCCCCTGTTTCCCTGCTGCTACTCCTCGCCCACCCCCACACCCGTCCCCAACCCCTTCCAACCCCAGGAGGGCGAAGCGGGGCGCATGAACGACCTCAACCGACTGCACGAGGAACTGGTGGGGGGCGGGGGGGCACTGTGCGTATGTGTTAAGAAAACTGAGGGGGTATCATAAGGGGGATTGCAAGGGAGGGCCGCTGCAGAGGGGCATGCAGCTCATGCTGGCGTGCTCGGGTGGGACCGTGGCGTGGTATTGGAGTGACAAGGGAGCTGCGTTTGTTAAAAACACTGGCCGCGGGTGGTGTGTTATGAGCTGACGACCGACCGGTCGGCGACTCTTTACCTCCTTCCCACGTAGCAAAATGCCCCCCTAAGCGTTACCCGTCCCCCCCTTCCCTTCCTCCCCGTGTCTCCTCCTCTCCCCCTTCCCTTCCCTTCCCATGATTTGGTCTTTCCTCCCCCCCGACCCCCCCAGTTGGAGCAAGCTGTCCGCATGCGGCAGGAGGCGGAGCTAGACCGGCAGGCCACCGAGCTCATCCGGCAGCGGGCGGTGGCGGCAGCACTCAGCGGGGCAATGGCGGGCGCCTCGGCAGCACCGGCAGGAGGAGCTGGAGGAGGAGGAGGAGGAGGAGCAGGAGGAGGAGGAGGAGGAGGAGGAGAGGGACAGGTAGCGGCGCCGCCAAGTGCCGCGGCGTCGGTGATGATAGCGCCGCCGCCAGCGGCGGCGGCGACAGGAGCATTTGCCGGCGGCGACTGGGTATCCGACGTAACGCCCGCTGCCGCCGCCGCCGCCGCAGCAGCAGCAGGGGGACCGCTGTCGGCACAGCCGTCGCAGCCGCTGTCACCGCCGTCGCCGCCGCCAGCGCAGGCGAAGCAGCCGGCGCCCGCTCCTTCCTCCTCCTCATTCGCAGTCCCCACCAGCCTCAAAGCAGTGATGGGACTGCTGAGGGCGGGTCACGCACGCGGCGGCGGTGGCGGGGGAGGTACGGCAGCTGCTGCTGCGCCGCCGCCGCTGCCGCAATCGCCGCCGTCAGCGCCGTCGCCGGCTGGCGGCGCGGGTGTTGTTCTGTCGTACGACGACTTCTGCGGTGGCGGCGGCGGTGGTGGGTTCTCAGCTGCGGGTCGCCCCCCGGAGCTGCGGGTCCCCAGCCGGGTGCCGGTGCGAGTGGTGGCGGGGGCGCATAAGGGCGGCTGCAACTCCCTGGCTGTGCAGGCGCCGGGTGAGGGGGCGGGGGAGTGGGGGGGTCAAAGATGGACCAAAGCACCAAACCATAGAATCCACAGATCAGGGCAAAGCAATGGAGGTATGGTGATGGGGGAAAAAATTATATAAAAGTGAAACAACAAATCCCAATCCCATATCCCGACTCATGCAGTGAGCGCATTCGGAAGCACTAATAACACGCATCTCAAATGGTGATGGGGGAGGAAGGGGGGCTTCCACGCTTTTACTCCGTTCCCTTCTTCTTCCACTTCCCCCCTTCCCTTCTTCCCTCTTCCCCTCACCCTGGCGCCTCCTCTTCCTCACCCTTGGCCTCATTTGTGGCCTTTCATATTTTTTCCTCTCCATCCCCCGCCCCCACCCCCGCTCCGCCTATGTCGTATGCCCCAGGCCACTTCGTCGCCTCCTGCGGCGCCGACCGACCAGTAGCGCTGTGGGACGTGTCGCTGCTGGTGGGGCCGGGCAGTTGCGGGGAGGCAACCGCGGCGGCCATGGCGGCGGTGGCGATGGCGGGAGGGGGAGGGGGAGGGGGAGGGTTGGTGGGGGCGGCGGGGGCGGCGGCAGGCGGCGGGGGCCCCGCGGTGGTGCTGCAGGGGATGACGGCGGGGGTGAATGACGTGGCGTTCACGTGTGATGCGGCACAGGTGGGGGAGGGGGGGCGGTTGAAGGGGGAATGAGAGTGAGGAGGGTGAGGGCGCGGGTTTGCATGTGTTGAGAAAACTGGCCGCGAGTAGGAACGTACTGTGATTGTCGGAAGATGAAGTCCCCACAGAACCGCCGCACAGAACCGTTTGCGTGTGTGTGTTGAGGATTGCCGCGAGTCGGAACGTGCTGTGATTGCCGGAAGATGGTGGCCACCTCGCGCCCCTTTCCGTACATACACAGTGCCACTAACCCTCCCGCCTCCTCGCCCCCCTTCCTCCCGCAGGTTATCGCCGCGGGTTGCGACAAGTCGTTGCACGTGTGGGACGCCGCCTCTGGCCGCCACCGGCACACGCTGACGGGCCACAGCGCGGGTGTGAGCGGGGTGGCGGGGTCGCCGCTGGACGCACGGCTGGCGGTGTCCATCAGGTGGCGGGGAGGGGGGAGGAAACGACGGTGGGGGGGGGATGGGAGGCATGCTAAAGATGAAGAAACGAAGTAGGGAGGTGGGTAGGTAAGGGGGAGGAAAAGGGATAAGAAAGAGCACGCCTTAGCTCCCACTGCCCGAAACCCAGCCCAGACATCAGCGCTCACCCCCTCCACCCCCTACTTCACCCCTCCCTCCGCATGGTCACACAACACCCTGAGTATTCTTCTTTCCCCCTCCTCCCCTCCCCCCCGCAGCGAGGACCGCTCCTTCAAGCTGTGGGACCTGTCGAAGGGGTTCGCGGTGCGCTCCGTGCCTTGCGCCAAGATGCCGCTCAGCCTGGCGCTCAGCGGGGACGGAAACACGGTGGTCACGGGTGAGCAGGGAGGGGGGAGGGCGAGGGCAGGAGGAGGAGAGGGAGGAGGAGGGACATAGCTCACCCGTACAGCTCGCCCATGACATAGCAGCACCTGCCGTAGTAACCCGGAGTGACAAGTAAGGAGCACTGTGCAGCATTCCTCTACACCTCCCAGTCCGTCTTGCCTTCCAGGCCGTTCATCGTTTCCCGGTCGCCACTGACCACATCGTCCATGGGTGGGCCCTCCACTGACCCATGGGTCGCACGCAGGTCACCTGGACGGCAGTGTGCTGTTGTGGGATGTACGGCAGTGCAGGGCGGGGGCGGCGGCACCGCTGCTTGAGGTGATGAACGGGCGGGGACCGGGCGGGGGGGAGGAGGCGCGGCGGTACGTAGCTATACTACCGGTATACTGTTTACTATGCTGTCACCGCTGCTGTCCTTTACTGTGGGCTGCTATACACAAGCTCTCCCTTCCCATCCCTCCCCCTCTCTCCCCTCCCGTCTGCAGACCCGCGACCAGTCGCAACCCCTGGTGGCCCTAGCCACGCTGCCCTCCCACGACAGCTGCCTGCTGCTGGCGGCGCGGGATGGTACCGTACGACTGTGGGACTTCCGCGGGGCCTCACTCATGAAGCTCGTACGGCACCCGGCGTTCGCGGTACGACAGGGGATTAGATGAACTACGGCAGGGAGGGGGTTAGGGGGAGGCAGGAGCAAGTCGGACGACAGGGGAGGGAGGAGAAGGGGCAGAGGATGGGGGGAGTGCGGTAGAGCAGTTGGTGCGGAAGGGAGGGAGGCTGGCAGTGTGATGTGGGCAGGGAACGAGCGACAGAGAAGGGCACATGGAGGGAACGTGGAGGCGGGCGAGAGGGTCACGGGTAGGGGCAACGCCCTCCCCCTCTCCCGCCCTTCCTACCGGTAACAAGCACAGCGCTCCTTTTCCCATGTACTTCTTTCCTCTTCCCTCGCTCCCCTGCGGCTAACTAATCCAACAAGTCTGACAATACACATTCCTGTAATCCAGCCTCATGCGGAATATTTATCCCCATTATCCCTCCCCCCCCCTCCGCAGTTGGGAGTGGCGGGCGGGTCGGGTCGCCCCCGCTGCCGGCTGGGGGTGTCCCCGGACGGGCGGCTGCTGGCGGCGGGGGGAGCGGACGGGGGCGTGTGGGTTTGGGACCTGAGGCACGCGGGAGGCAGCGGGGCGGCAGCGGAGCCGCGACAAGTGAGTGGCGGGCTGGGGGGTGGGGGTGGGGGTAGGGGTAGGGTGCGGGGGGGATAGGGAAGTAGAAGTGGAAAGCAGGTGGGACTGAGGAGCTGAGAGACCGGGGGGAGGGGCAGGCAGGGAAGGCTGGTGAGTGAGGGGGCGGAGGGGTACACGTAGAGAACGGTGCCGCTTCCCAATTGGCTTTCCCATCCTTCCCCCCACGTCTTCCTCGTCTCTCCCCCCCAACCCGTCCCCCTACACACAGCTGCGCGGTGGCCGTCACTCGGGCGGGGGCGGAGGTGGCTCCCCCGCTGCCGGCGGAGGCGGTCCCGTGGCTCACCGCGAGGCGGTGGTGGCGGCCGCCTTCTCCGCCGACATGAGCTGCCTGGTGTCGGGGGACAAGGGGGGTGGGCTAGCATTCTGGGCCATGGAATGAGGGGGAGGCAGGGAGGGGACCGGGGGTAAAGAGGAAACAACTAACTGACTGAGGGATAAAGCGTCAACATGGGTTGCAACATGTGAGCCAGCCCGACCCGCCCAGCCCGAATTAGCCAAGCCGTGTACGTGTCGGGGATCAGGGGTGGTGGTGGTGGTGGGCTTAATTGAGATACCGGTACATTTACCGCATTAGGCAGGATTATGTTAGGGTGGTGGCCGCTAACGTTTGGTCAGTGGCTTTGTGCGGTCACCGGATGGCGAGTAGTTTCGCTAGCTAGCTAGCTAGCCGACTAGGCAGAAGGATGAGGAAATAAAGATCCGTTCCTTCCATTTACTGGAGTGGGGGGGGGAGTGTTCTTTCAGACTGAGGGGGTGGTTACCGGTATCGGGAGACGCGGAGACCTGCCTAGTCATCCGGGTGCACACCGGCAACGTAGGAGGGCCCCCTGGCCCCCAGGCTGCTGATGCTGCGCTTCGTTGCATCCGCCCAGCGGCTCGTGATGAGGTAGGGACCTCCTGGGGGGTTTGTCCCGCTAGCGTGTTTCGCATGCCCCATACTCCTCATGTTTGTTACTTAGAAGCGTCAGGAGAGCAGCTACTCATGTGTAAATTATGTAAAAGGTAAAGCCTCATCCCACGGCCACCCACCCGCCAAAAGCCACTTAGCACGCTGTCTACCCTGCTCGTGCGCGGTGCATGAACAGGTCTGACCCACCATCGCGCTTATGTATAATAGCATGGCAGGGTAGCAGATAGCGGTGGCCATGAGCTCCACAGACATTTCATACCTTTCTCGGCCTTTTGGCTCAGATCATGTGTAGTATCTGTTCTTGTAAGTCTAATCGCTTACATGGTCCTCATTGAGGACCTGCGATTAACTTCAATATTTTGAGGGGGTGCGGTCAATGGGTGCGCTTGCGCATCCGACCCACCAGCATGGTTGCGGTCTTACACTACCGCCGTAGCCGTGCACCCTACCCATTGTATAAACAATCTATTCTTTCTTAATTGACTCAACGGCCGCTGACACAGCGAAGTAGCCTTGCATGGTGCCTTCATGCATGGTGAAACGTAGGACCAGCGTTTTTGGCCTGATGCAGGATGAGCAGCATGTGATCGAGGTCGTTACAAGGAAGGTCCTCTCAATGAGGCCCCCGCTCCCCTGCCCTCCTCACCAGTCACCACCGCAGCACCGGAAATGCCAACCCCGACCTCCCTCTCGCCTCTCCGAAAGCACGCTGTTGGTTAGCTCGACATTCACACAGAAACCCAGGTCAGAGTGGATTCTGCGGCGGCGTTCAGTCAACTAGTGCCGTTTAACCCCTCCCGTTCAACCCCTACCTCCACCAGCCCGCCCCACACTACCACAGCAGAGCACCACCTAGCACCTGGATTCGCGAACCCCCCCTTTAACAATGAACCACTTTTTACCACAACACCCTCCGTGCGCCCACCCACATCCTCCCAAATACCTCTTCCTCCTCCGACCCCACTGGGACCGTTCCCCAGCTCACCCAACCGCCATAGCCACAGCTGCAGCCACCCATGTTCAGCCAGCAGCCCCCGCGTAAACCGTACCCCTCCCCCCACCTTTCTACCTCCCTGACCTTCCCTTATCTTCTCTCCTGTCCTGTCCCCATCCAAACCCCTCCTCACCCACAATCCTCCTCCCCACCCAGCAGCCCTAGCCGCCTGTCAGCCGCACACCCCTCACACCTCCAGCTGGTAGGCGAAGCGCGCGCGCGGCCTGCCCGCCCCCGCCCCCGCCCCCGCAGCCCCCAACCATGCGGGCGAGGCGCCCTTGCGGCTCATGACGCCCATCAGCGGCGCCACCACCCGGGGGGTGAAGCTGGAGGAGCGGCCCCGGGACTCGGTCAGCACAATCTGAAAGGGGAGAAGGGGAGGGAGTCCAAGGGTTAAGGAAGAAACGACTCGAATTTCCGCTTCCCCCGAAACCCAACCCAGGACAAAGGGGCAGGTGAAGGGGTAGCACGGGGAGAGGGACATAGGGGGAGAGGGACATAGGGGGAGAGGGACACCTTCCCTTCCCAGTCGCAAAATCAGCCCACCCTCCCTCCGCTTCCTCTCCACCCGCCCCCCTACCCGCAGGTGGCTCTTGCGGGCGACCTTGCGGCCCGCGGAGCCCTTGCCCATGGGCTGAATGCCCTTCTCGTAGATGCCCTTGGTCACAAAGATGGTGCCTGCAGGAGGGGTGGGAACGGAGGATAGGGAAGAGGGGAGAGCGGGGTTAGCAACATGGGTTTCGGAACAGGGGCCAAGGTGGGGTAGGTAGATACTGAGCCGCGAGGAAACACTTACCCTAGAACAGGGTAGGGCGGCGACGACACGACGGGTCGCATGGTCGCATTTCCTATCTTCCTTCCCATTCCCTAACCCCACCCACTCACCGACCACCAGCTTGTCTGCCTGCAGCCCCTTCTCCTCCGTCGCGTCCTCATGCGCCCGCTCCAGAGCCTGGGGGGGGAGGGAGTGTGAGGGGGAGCGTGGGAAAGGGGTTGGAGAAGGGAAAGGGGTTGGAGAAGGTGGGTGAAGAGTGGCGAGGAGCAGCGATAGCGGGGCAGCGGCAGTTGGGAGCAGCCGGTGATGTCCGCATGTAGCCCACGGGAAGCCACAGCAGGCTGCGTCCATGTCTGAACATGCGTGCTAGGAGGAACGGAGGAGGATGACGCAAGCGGCCGCAGAACCCACCGCACACCGCCACCACCTTCCACATGAGACAACGACATTGCAAGCACACCTCCCATCCCTCAGTCGCCTCCCCAACTTTCCCCCATGAACAGAAACACATGCAAACACGCACCTGCAGCACGTATTTTGCCGCCTTGTGGGGCACCAACTGGCACTGGGCCACCGCCTCTTGGTACGGCAGTCCGCGGACCTGCAGCAGCGGGGGTAGCAGCGGGGGCAGCACGATCAGCAGGAGGGAAATAGGGGTATCGAACAGAGCCGCGGTGAAACCAGCGCCAGCCACAGCAAGCATATGACATCTGGTCCGCGTCTGCAGCAACAGCAGCAGCAGCAGCAGCTCCCATCATCCAGATGGTCCAACGTGTCCCCTGCGGAGACCTCTTGGTGCTGTTTGCTTTTACAGCAACCAAGCCCGCAGACCTGAGCTCCGTGAGCTGACACTAACGCCCTTTTGGCGGCGGAGGGCTCCTGGGCCCCCCCCCTTCCCTCGTGACGGTATGTGCGCGCAATCCCGCACTGCCTAACACCGCCTCCCATCCCAGGTGAAGGCCGGTGGAGAACCCAAGCACTCGAGCATTAGACCTCTTGGTTATTCGCCCCTTCCTGCCAGGACCAAGAGCACTGGACCCATTTCGGCCCCCTTCCTTCCTTTCCTCATGCTCCTTACCACGCCACCCGGCTTGTAGGGGGGACAAAGGCCGCAGTTCGCTACCATGCAAACCTACGCACCACCGGTACTCCTCCCTGCCACTCGTGTCCGGATCGGGCTTGGGTAAAATCCACCTCTCCCGTCCTCCAGACCCGCAGACCCCACCCAGGGAGGCAGCACGTACACGACCGCACTCCTGCTAACCCACGCCACTCTACCACACCCACCAGCTTGACAATGCGCTGCATCTTCTTCATGCTCTGCGGTACGTCCAGCAGATGTGCCGTACCGGCATTGCCGTACTGCGCCCGCTGCCGCTCCTTGGCGCGCTCCTCCCGCTCGTCCGACTCGTCGTACCACATCCAGTTACGAGCCTTCCGCCGACCCCTGCCGGCAGCGCCGCCTGCTGCTGCTGCTGCACGCAACGTCCCCGACAGGGCCTCGCCGCTGGTACCGTCTGCGGCGGCGACGCTGCCACTGGCTCGGGCAGCCTCCGCTGCTTGGAGAGCGGCCTGCAGGGGGTTCTGAGCCGGCTGGGAGGGAGAGGAGGTGGAGGCGGCGTCGGAGGAGGCTGCGAGGCTGCTGGTGTGGAGGGATCGGAGGGAGGATGGAAGGAAGTGGAGGTGGGAAAGGGCAGGCTGCGAGGAGGAGGGAGATGTGGCGGATGCGCCGGTTCCAACGAGGCGGCCCTGCGGTGAGGTGGGGGTAGCGGCGTTAAGCGTTGGACGTAATGGATGCCCAGCACTCGGCAGAGGTAGGATTGCCACGGTATGCGCGGGCCAGAACGTAAGAGCGGACTTACAGCGTTCCCCCGGAACAGTGCTCTGCTAGAGGACAGCGTCAGCGTCTCCAGCTCTGAGCAGAGTACCCGCTGCGGCGCGCAACCTGCTGCATCATCAGCCTCGCTTACGGCCGAGCAGGTCTCGCTGCTGTAACTCCGTGCTACTTGGTTCGCTGCTTGCTGAAAAGCCCGAGCGCAAGCAGATTCAGCAGTGAGAGGAGCTGCCCCCGAGAGGAGTGCCCGACAAGCTGCGCGGCCGAGCGACGCAAACTGAGCTTGCCCGATCACCATTGTTCAGTTAAAAAGCTTAGCAAAAAAGATAAAAGGTAAGAACAAGCTTCAACGCTTAAGTTGTCCAAGCTACCACATTGATGAACAAAAAGCCATAATGGGATGAGGCAATAACAGTGTTGCAAGAGTCCGTAGTGTTTCAACACTAGGTGCAGAGGGACTGCGCCAGTTCCTGACTGTCGTGCGCGCCGACCAACAACTTACGACAGGCACGATGGAGCCAACCACCTGTAATTGTTAATATAGCACGGACGGCATATCCTGCATAGGCGTTTTGCCGTTATCTCTTTTGGGCATCTAACAACACAAGCAGCCGTGCGTACCACCCATCATTTTCCTTCCGGGTTTCCTATATGCTGCTGTTAGTCACTATTTGTTCTCTATATTAAGTATCCAGCTACGGCGCTGACAATTGACGGCTTCACAAGCAGCAGTGCCGCCGCCCAAGCATCCCACATCCAACAAGCGCTGGCATGAGCCTCCCAACACCCGCCAGCAGTGCGCTGGAGCTCCCTGACGATGTGGAATTCCAGCTGGGGGAATTCAAGCGGCTGCTTTCAGAGCTCCAAAAGGCTCTGCAAGCAACCCACGCCATGGTGCCAGGCCCCGCGGACCTGTCAGCCGTTGCAGAGCCCTTGGAGCGCGCCCGGCTTTGCATGGCCCTGGCCAAGACAGTGAACTCACTCCACCACGTTTACCTCAGGTATTAAACTGGAAGAACACAAAAAATGCCACATTTTGCTCCCGAGGCCATCCATCCATCACGTCATTGCCACTTTCACGCCTGCAGGGCCCACGGCCGGGACCCTTTCGCGCCGTCCTCTGGCGGCGCCTCCTCCACCATCTCTGTGGGCCGACAGGAGCTGGATCGCATACGGCAGTACGACAAGAAGTTGACGCGTGCCGTACAAGACGCCGAGGTTCGCGCCTCCCGACCCGTGCTGAGCCTCAATGTGGCCGCTGCCTCTCGCTTCATCGACGCCGCCATCCCTGACCTTACAGAGGAGCAGCGAGGGGCGCTCAAAAGAGCGGCGCAGGTGGGGAGTGAAGAGTGAGGGCTTACCAGTGTGAGGGTTTACTGCTGGTAACTAGGTCGGGAATGACTCTCTTTAAACAGGAGCAGTCAGACCTGCTTTCGATGTGGATCACGGACGACCTGGATACTGAGAGGCAAGTTTCCAAAGTGCGTTCTCACGCATACACTCGATTGAATTGGACGCCCATGAATGCAGCTAGTTAATAGGGCTAGTAAGTAGCTTTGCCCAGCCGCCGTATCGTGCACGTAATACCAAGGTCGTAACACCAAGGGGGGGCCGTGCGGTTGCTGCAGGCGGCGGATGCGAAGCGCGGCGGCAAGGGCGGCAACAAGAAGCCGAGAAGCGGACCAGGCGGAGCAGGGGCAGCAGGCGGAGGAGCGAGCGGGGGCACTGCTGCTCCGGCGGCAGCGGCGACTGCGGCTCCGAAACCTAAACGCAAGGCGGCGGCGACAGTGGAGGTCGAGGCGGAGAGGGATGCTGTTGAGAAAGGTGGCAACAACCGTCTTGAAGGAGGGCCGGAGGACTCGGAGGCAGCAGTAGCAGCAGCAGGCAGGGAAGGGGAAGGGGCTGCAGGAGAGGGGGGAGAAGGGGGATCAGGAGGGGCCCGGGCGGCGGCGCAGCAGTTCTTGGCGTCCTTTGCGGCTGCGCAGGGGTTGTGATGGGTCAGGTGGAGACCAGAAACCGAGTCAAGACGCAAGTTAGGGCAGGAGTTGTAATGCAATTGGAGTGAAAGAGGCGATGCGAGACGGGGGACATGGCGGTAGGGGCGTTGGGGAGGTTAAAAGGGAGGGGTAGGATATGTGCATGCACAGACATTGGTAACGGGAGCAAGTAGCAATGGCGGTGTGCAATCCAATCACTCTAACAACCTGTTGGCTGCCTACCGGTATTTGGCAGCTTTGTATCATGAACCACGCATGACAGTGCACGGGATGGTGCCCGCCAATAGGTGGCAGAGGCGGTCCTTCATGCAACTAATTTGCCAGTGTTTGCTGGCTGTTGTGTATTTCAGATTTTCAGAATGTTTCTGAAATCTGCGTGTTTGGACCCCCGTGGATTGACACGATTCGCGGAAATGCTACTGACCAAATGTGCCTTTGCACATTTTTACATGTACGATAGGTTGCGTAGATAACAACCACCCGCCTCCTCCGTACGTAGAAGCAAGCTACTACAAGAACACAGGCGCATAAGATTTGGCAATCCTGACGGTTACTGGTTACCATGCGGCCTATGCACATGCAACCCCATCGAATGACCCATGGTTCAGTCGTTGCCATCTGTCCCATGCATGAGAACCACACCGCTTGTACCCGAAACGCACCCATGGGTCCCCACCCCGCGTTTCATGTTCAAGGCCCTTAGCACGAAGCCTAACTTAGCACAACCCGAAAACATTAACTTCATAAAACTACGAGTCGGCATCCTAATGCCCTCCGTCAAGACCTTGCCCTGTGGCTTTCGTCGTTTTCATCGCAACGCCGCGAGGAGCTTCCAACGGCTGCTCGCGAGTCAACAATAACAACAGCACGCACAACTGCATCATCACGCACGCTTGGACTTGACACGGCAGTCTCGCACGCGCTACACACCGCACGTGCCGATCGTACCCCACATACCGTACGCGCATAACAGCAAGCACCATTCGCATTCAAATTACACAAATGAATGGAAACGGGATGCTGATGCTGATGAGGCCAGAATGAAACACGAGGGGGGCGCTATTTCAGCCCCCCGGCACCCCCCATTAAGCTCTCATACACAGACCATGTAAGCTAGATAGGCCACAACACAGGGAGAATTCAATTCCCCGCCCAGGTCAAAACGGTCAAAGAGCACCCTGCAAAAGAGAGTAAACCAGAGTACACCGCCACAGGTTTTCAAGCGGTTTCCAAGCCAAGCCAAGCGCTCAAGTACGTAAACAGTAGTGACCATGCATCCCCACATGGCCCTGCGAAAGCAGGTACGACAGGGCTTGCGAATCCGTACTGCATGCCTTGCGTGTGGCGGTAACGGTAACGGGAACAGCAACTGGAAATTAGTAATTGAATCCATGCTCGCCCATAAAACCACGCACCCAATGGCACCAATGTGCTCCGCCAACAACCTCGCCAACAACTTACTACACCCACGGGGGTCCCGACCGCATGTACGGCAGCCGAGTACGTGCAGCTTCACACAAATGGCGCTGGGAGTAATTCCCAGACATTTAGCAGCATGCTAATCGGACATCCTTCACATGCACGAATGCCCTCCCTAAACTTAACCTCCTCCTCCTGCTTCCACAAGCATTCACAAGCATATATAAAAAAGCGAGACGCTAGTTAAGGCTCTAGACGCGCTCTACGGGTCATAGCAGCAGCAGCAGCAGCAGCAGTAGAGCGGTACATCGGTTCGAAAGCAGCACAAGCGCACGGCAAACACCGGAACACCGGAGCGATGTCATCAACTAGCAGTTATCAACCAAAGCACGTGAGGAGCAATCAATAAGTGTGTACTAAAACGTGCGCCGTCAGCAATTGCCTGCTACTCGCCTGCTCATCACTTGCTCGCTCTCCCGCTCGCACAGTGAAGGATTTATGCCGTAACATACCGGCCCATGTCGTACTGTCGTACAGCGGTCAGAAAAATGGTACGACAATCAAAGCCTTAACCCAAAAGAGTTAACCTCCTAGCAGCCACGCAGCTTTACACTCATATGCGGAAATCACCAGGCCAAGCCCCTCCCTGCTGCTTATATAGCACCCGCTAGCAACAAGACCACATAACTTTAACCGAGAAAAGCAGCAATCGTCACACCTCGTCGTCCCCTCCTTAAGAGGGTCTACCTTTAGTCCTCCCCCCTCATCCTGGGCATCCATTCTTCTTTGATCCCCTTCATCTCCATACCACAGCAAGTGAAAATTGACCGCATACATCGCCCTTCCGGCTTCCCGAGTAACCCCTTCAGCCCAACGCGGCTGCAGTAACCGGCCTAACCGCTCTTCCGTTTTACGGATAATCATATCACGTGTTTTTCCGCATCTGATCGTAAGAATGTTAAATAATTCAGGGATGGTAATCAGCGATTACGGCAATAGGCGCACATGTAAGTACGGTAGTGTTCCGAGGGGTTAGGACTGGCACCGCTGAGCTAGCGGACTACCCTATCTACTGCTTCAGGCAGTTTAGCAGGCGGCGCCAACTTGACACTGTGCAAAGCATCCGGCTGCTACAGAATGCCAACGCGTTCAGCGAGCTGCTCCATCTCGGTACGGCAGTCTGCTACAGCCCTGGCTACAATTCCGCAGTAGTCTGCTACAGCTGGACCCGTTGAGCTGAAGCTTTCTTGGTAGTGGGGGTGGAGGAGGCGGTAAGGGGGGTAGAAGAGGTGGGCGGCGTGGGGCGGGGGCGAGGCGCAGGGCGGGGGAAGGGCGGCGGCTGGCGAAGAGCTGAGGACGAGGGGGGCGGAGGTGGGGAGGGAGGTGGGGTGCGAGGAGGAGGAGGCGTGGGGGATGGTGGTGGGGGCGAAGGAGGAGGTGGAGGAGGCGGTGGCGGAGGTAAGGGCGACGGAGGGGGTGGAGGAGGAGGTGGCGGTGGTGAGGGGGGTTTGGGGGACGGCGAAGGGGGTTTGGGTGATGGTGAGGGAGGCTTGGGAGCTGGCGAGGGAGGTTTAGGGGGCGGTGAGGGGGGTTTGGGTGATGGTGAGGGAGGGTTAGGTGAGGGGGACGGCGGTGGCGGTGGCGGCGGGGACGGTGGTGGCGGCGAGGGCGGAGGCGACGGTGGCGGAGGCGAGGGCGGAGGCGAGGGCGGAGGCGACGAAAGTCGAGGAGGAGGCGGTGGCGAAGGAGGCGGGGGCCGAGGGGGTGGTGAGGACTTGGGTGGGGGCGGCGGTGGAGGCGAGGACGGGGATGGAAAAGGTCGCGGGGACGGTGGAGGCGACGACGAGGCTTGGGGCGGCGGCTTGGCCTGCGGAGGCGGTGGGTGGCGTGCCGATGATGCATGCAGGAAGGGGAAAGCAGATGGGGGGCGGATCAGGTGTGCGTATCAAGTGTGCGTGTGAAGGGGCAAGCTGACTGCAAGTAGAGGACTGGGAAATCCGCAAACGCCGTGCTCAGGATCCGTTAGGAATCTGCGGTCAGACAAAGCAAGGGACGCTGCAAGGCAAGGCTGTAGAAAGCAAGCAAAAGCACCTTGCTGTTGTATAAAGCGTCGATAGCCCAATACCCGAACGGGAGTGCAAAACCTCCTTCCACTCACTTGTTGGGACTGCTGCAGCGGCTGCTGCTGCTGTCGAACATAAGCCGGATTCAGCTCCGAAACCAGTGTGCCGTTGACGTGGCCAACCACCGCAACCGAAAACCGTTGCGGCATTGCCGCATCATATCCGCTCATGAGCACGGAGGGCAGGTTGGTTGCCTTGACGCGAATGGTGAGGGGGGCGCCGGCTGGCGGGGAGGACAGCAGCACTCGCTCCACCGTGTTGACTCGGTCAGCAACCTGGGAGGCTGCGGAGGCGGGTGGTCAGGGGAGGGGGAGGAAACGAAGTGAGGAAGTGCAAACAATCGTGGGAAGAACAAGGAGGCGTGTTCAGATGTAGAAAGAGGAAGGACACGCAGGACAGGAAGGGCGAGATCAGGGAGCGAGAGAGGAAGGGTGTGTTTTGGGTGTTTTGATGCGGGATGCCTCCCATCTTCCCTAGTCGTCATCCAGGCGGGCTTTCCAGGAAAGCGTCCAACCATAAAAGCGCCGAATAGCACAGCACAGGCCTTGACAACAGCATAACGGCAAGTACACAAAACCTGTACGGCAGCCAATCGGGTACGCAAATTATTACACGCACCCGCATCCTCCGCGTTGTTTCCCAGGACCACAGTCGCCGCTGCTGATGCTGTTGCCGACCCAACCTCCACGGTTAGGTCGAGGTTGTTAACCAGTTGCGTGTCGGAGTTCAGATCAGCCGGGTAGTCGTACCAGCTGAGTACGACAGTGACGGGCCTGACGCGGGGTGTATGTCGTACAGTGTACGGAACATTGGCAGAGAGCGAGCAAAGACAAAGGACAAGGAATCCGGATGCCCAGGCGAACACAATGGCCTCCTACGGAATCTGCTGCCAGTTACTTGTGAAGGAAGGAGAAAAGGAATCAAGCCATGCAAGCCGTGCAAGCCATGATCCATGACCCACGGGTTACTTCCTGTCCCTCCCTCCTTCTATTACCATATCATCCCCTAGGTTTTTCCTTCTATTCCCCACGCCCCATGCTTTGTACTCACCCAGTCCCCGCCGCCACCAGCCCCCGCAGCACCACCTCCTGGCCGCTGCTGGTGAACTGTCCCCGGTCCGCCAGCTGGAGAGCGACCCGCGGGTCGGTGACGCCCTTGAGCGGCAGGCTGCCTGCCAGGTTAAGGCGGCCCCAGCCTTGGAAGCCGTCAGGCGGCGGACCCAGAGTTTGACCCAGGGCGAAGCCCAAACCTCCCTGTAGGTTACAGAAGGCGGAGGGGCAGGGGAGGAGGGAGGGGATTGGGGGAGTGAGGGAACTTCTCGTTTACTTTCGTTTTTCTTGGTTGGGAAGCAAGGCTGGTATTGGATACGGTAGGAATTCACTCCTTGAGATAAAGGCTATAAAGGGGAGCCATAATATAGATAAAAGCTATGAAGGGAGCCATTTCATGCCCCTGCATGTGCCGCTTGATGACCCCTCATGCCCCTGTATGTGGCGCTTCATGACCCCCCATGTCCCTTCCCGTGACGCTTCCTTACCCCTCATGCCCCTTCCCTATGCCACTTCCTGACCCCTCATGCCCTCTCCCATATGCCACTTCATGACCCATCATGCCGCCCCTTGTGCCACTTCGTGACCCATCATGCCGCCCCTTGTGCCACTTCATGACCCATCATGCCGCCCCTTGTGCCACTTCGTGACCCTTCATGCCGCCTCGTGTGCCACTTCGTGACCCATCATGCCGCCCCGTGTGCAACTTCGTGACCCTTCATGCCGCTCCGTGTGCCACTTCGTGACCCATCATGCCGCCCCTTGTGCCACTTCGTGACCCTTCATGCCGCTCCGTGTGCCACTTCGTGACCCATCATGCCGCCCCTTGTGCCACTTCATGACCCATCATGCCGCCCCTTGTGCCACTTCGTGACCCATCATGCCGCCCCTTGTGCCACTTCGTGACCCATCATGCCGCCCCTTGTGCCACTTCATGACCCATCATGCCGCCCCTTGTGCCACTTCGTGACCCTTCATGCCGCCTCGTGTGCCACTTCGTGACCCATCATGCCGCCCCTTGTGTCACTTCGTGACCCTTCATGTCACTCCCACACCAACTCACCGTGAGCGCCTTGGCTCCAGCTATGAGCAATGCCTGAGAGGGAGGAAGGAGGGGCACAGAACATTGCACAGCACTTCTTAACGGTGCACGACAAGACATATTTTTCACATGCACGTCCCAAAACACATGTGCTGGTCCCTTCCCCCCCCAGCCAACCCCACCTTCATGAGGGGCCCTGAGGGCACAAAGGGCGCCGAGGCAGTGTCGTTGGGCGACCCAGTGGGGTAGAAGCCGGCCCGCAGGTAGTGTCGCAGCAGGGCAGTGTGACCGGCGGCCTGCAGCACGTGCAGCAACATGCACAAACAGGCCACAGGGTAAGTACAACTCAACGTTGGGTAGTTGGGTAGTTGGTTGCATACATGCCACACGCGTCATACCGAAATTGCATGGCATTCCATACCTCATGCTCCTGCACTACACGTCAGTATTCGTGGGCTGCATGGCTCAGCGGCAGCTGTGCGAGGCTCAATTGAGAACTTAAGCCGCGGTTCATGCATGGTGTTGATGCTTGGCCGTCCCCTTGCCTTGCCCCCCGAATGCACTGTCCCCGGACGCCCCCACCCGACCCTTCCCAACCTGGGGTGTGGCCATGGAGGTCCCACTCATGTTGGCCTGCAGTGAGGAGCATAGACCACCTGATGGGCCAGGGGGGGCGGGGGAAATACCGGTACATGAGAAGCGGTTGGGTGGAGGGGGGGTGAAGGTGGGGTTGGCTATACCCCACTATCCCTACCACCAGCGTACCACCACCCTGCCCTATACGATGCTGCTACCCCTCACCCGTGACGCCCCCCTTGGCCCCCGCCGAGGTGATGGCGGCGCCCGGAGCCACCAGGTCGGGCTTGATGCGGCCGTCCGACATGGGGCCGTAGGAGGAGAAGGAGGGGATGCTGTCCACACCGACAGGCAGCTGGGAGGGAGGGGGAAGGAGGGAAGAGAGGATGCCTTAGGGCGTGTATGTTGGGAGGGTGACGTGCACAGGGGGTCGAACAAGGAAGTAGCCGCAGTAGGGGGGAAAGCGCGCATGTATACGACGAAGTGTGACTAACAGGATGCGGTGCGAGGGTATGTGAGTGTAGGAATGATACGTGTGTTTTCCTCTGCACACCTCGCCCCTCCGCACATCCCGCTACACACCCTCTCCCACAGCGCCCCAAAGCAAGCAAAGCCTACCACGGTGGCCGTCAGTGTGAGGCTGATGAGGCCGGATGAGATGTTGCCCAGGAACCAGGCGCCCAGGCCCTGTGCGGGGGAGGGAAGAGAAGGAGGGGTTAGACTGAAAACCATGCGTGGATTGACAGTGGCCGGAAACATCGTCCCAGGTTATAAATTTATACCACTCCTCCCTTCGTCAATTCGTGCACCTCTGGTCCCTGAGGCCCCAATGCTGCTTTTACGCCTCCCGACCCCCATGACCCACACCGGATAAAACACCTAAAGCTCTACATCCTTCAACATCCGTACCCACCAACCTGAGAGATGTACGACACGGGAATATACGCCGCGGCCGTTGCCGTACCAGGTATGGTAATATCCGGCCCATCATCCGGCATGAGCGGTACATTATTAACCAACACAACCGCCTTCACCGTCGTGCCTCCCTTGCCGCCCGCCGCCGCCAGCACCGCCTGCACCTTTTGGTACGGCAGGCAGTTGCCTCCCGCCATGACAAGAACGATAGCCCCCTGGAGGGAGGCGGCTGTGTTTGTGAGGGGGGAGCAAGCGGTGAGGGGGGAGGCGGCGACCAGCGGCACCTGGATGGGGCAAGGGACCGGGAGGGGGGAGGAGAGGGGAAGGGAGGGGTAGTTAGCTGCCGAAACCCATCCAGGTGCGTGCCCTTGCACGTACCCGCCACCATCGCTCCCAACCCAGCTCGCTATCCACATCCCACACCCCACCTTCGCCCCACCCCGCCCTAGCCAAACCCCAACCCCCCCTCACCTCCAGCCCAGTGGTCAGCACGTACGAGAGGGTGGGCAGGTACAGGTTCTCGCGGGGATACACCTGTGGACAGGAGGGGTAAGGCAGGGGGCAAAGAGGAAGGCAGGGGGGTGTTAAGGGGTCAGAGGAGAACACACCCTCCCAAACGTGAGGGACAGGGTGCGACAGGTAGGACACCGCCACCTCCCTCTCCGCTCTCCGGTCCACCAGCAGCGCCACCCGGACACCGCATCCTTCCAGGGCCCCTCCGTACACCCCCCCCCCGCCCCCACCCACCGCCACTCGCCACGCCTCCTCCCTCCCGCTGCCGCCGCTCCTCCAGCCGCGCACCAGCAGCGCTCGGTACCCCATGCGCGCCTCCACCGGCATCCGCACCGAGGCGCCCACCGCCACCACACTCTTAGCCGTGGCGGGGGAGCCGATGGAGCCGCCGGGGGTGAGGGCGTCGGTGCCTGGGGGAGGGACCGGAAGGGATGGGCGGACGGGTGCGGACGGGGGAAGGGAGCAGGTATGGGGAAAAATTATATAAAAGTGAAACAACAGGTATGGGGAAGGGGTGCGGAGGAGTGCGGTGGGAGAGGGGCGCTAGCGGCACAAGCGAAAGTTAGGTTCAACGTAGATGCCTTTTGGGCTGCCCTCATGTATGGTGCGACCTACCGTTGTTCCCGGCCGCCACAAAGGAGATGACGTCCGGGTTGCGCCAGAGGAAGGTGTCGAAAGCTGCACACGCAAAGTACAGCGTCGGTGTGATACCGATATGCCGTTAGTCAGTTGGTGTACGGTTTGCTCAGCAACGCTGTAAGACGCTGCCGCCGTACAGCGACACCGTACAACACTGCCGTACAACACGCACCTTGGGCATCAACGTCATACACGTTGTACACGGAGCCCCAGGAGTCACTGGTGATGGCCGCGCCGGCAGAGGTGTGGATCTGTAGGGGGGAGCAAGTGTGGGTGTGGGGGTGGGTAGCGGGTAAACAAGGGAAACCATCCATGAGCCGCGCTCTGACCCACGGCAGAGCACTACCATGCAACAAGCCAATTGCAACCCACCTGTGTGGAACGCCTTACCCCTCACCCTACCCCCCCCCCTCCCTTCACTGCATGAGTCGGGATTCAGGATTGGGACTCCGTTGATGCACTTATCTATATTTCCCCCTCCTCCTCCTGTGGTTCTGGTATAACTCTGACCCTTGTCCCCCTCACCCTAACCCCGCCCCCCCTCCTCCCCCTCACCGGCAGGTAGTTGAGCTCCAGGGACATGGGCACATGGAACACGCCATCGTCCCCCCGCCCGCACATGTCCACCATGGACACGCGGGCGCGGGGCGCGGCGCCGCTGCCGCTGTCCTCGAGAAAGGGACCCGCGGGACAGCTGTCGTCGGCCAGAATTGAACCGGCGACCGTGGCAGAGGTGTGGGAGCCGTGGCCGCCTGCCTCCAGCGGGTTGTCGCCGAAATCGGAACCTGATCAGGACGGTCACGTGTGAGGACGTGAGGATGTGAGGAGAGAAGAAGACACAATCACGTCAATAAGGGGTAGGCAGGTATATGCAGACCCATGGGTCACACATAGGCGCAGCGCAGAGACGTTCACTCAGAGAGACGTTTTTCTCCCACCCACACACATTGGGAGGGACCCCTGGCTCCAGCCCAGCCCAAGCCAATCCACGAGGCCCCTAACAGCTCTCTCCTCCAAGCCTGTTTTTCCTTCCCTTGTTGGCCCCGCCTGGGCCGTGCCCCCTCCCATCCTCATCCCCTGTCGCACTGTCGCACATCCGCAACCGCACTCCACATCTTCACCTCCCCCCCCCATGTTGGCAGCGGTGCACCCACCTGGGGCCAGCCAATACTGCGCCAACTTGCGATGCCCCGGCAGCACCATCCGTTGCGGGTAACCGCTGAGCAACGACTTGTAACCGCCACTTGTGCTACCGGCTGTTGCGTTGGCCAGCCACACGCCGTCAGCAAAGTAGCACGAGTCTAGATCTATGCCGCTGTCGCCCAACTGCACCACAGGTTTGGAAGGAAAGGTAGTGGTGGTTGTGGGGTGAGGGGGAATTGAGGGAACGAACGAACGATAGGAGAAACAGCACGGCGTCCATTTTGGTGGGGACATCACCTTCCGGCAATTCAGTACATTTTCACGGCGGCCAGTGTTTTTAACACAGACTCACCCCCACCACCTCCCCGCTTCCGTCTACTCCCGCAGCCCAGTACGGCCGCCTCGAGGGGTCCGCCCCGGACAACCGCGACCCAATGGGCTCGTTGTACTGCGCAAGCGTCAGCGAACCTGCACGGGTTGTCGTTGTGCGCAAGTTGGGTGTTACAAGCAAACTGTCCGGGCCGGGAGCCAGGACGTACAGAGTTTTATTGGGATATACTGGTGTGTACCCCTTTCCCTCCTCCCCAGCTCCTCATCCCTTCCCTGCTCCCTCCAGCCAGCACCTGTTTGCATCAGGATGGAGGCTCTCGCATTGCGGCGGCTCATTCGCGGTCGCGGAGCCACCCACCGCACCACGGGCTGGGCAGCCAGCCACTGCACACCCCCAGCCAGGTCCTGAGGGGGCCGGGAGGAGAGGAGGAAGGCATGAGAAATTCCGGTAATACCGGTAGGTGTTCGTACGGATCGTGCCGTTAAACATACTACTCGCATCTCACCACCCTCGCACTTCATCAAGGCAGTGTGTTATGCGGCAGGTACGGGCACTCGGTGTTGCCTTTCATGGCTTTGGCTTTCTGGGCTCACCCACCCAACCCCGCCCCGTACGGACATCCCATCAGCCACTCTTGGCTGACCCACAGCTCACCTTTTCGCACATGAACACTTGCAGCCAGGGGCCACCGCCGCCGCTGCTGCCAGCTATGATCTTCCCATCTAACCCTCGGACAGCGACGACCAGCGGTAAACATGCGCCGCTGCTAATGCTACTGCTGCCATCGCTGCTGACGTTTCCGGATGTCGTATTCTGGGCCGCTGGCGCCGCCGCCGTAGCGCTCGCCAGCGCCGCCGGCCAGTCGGCTTCCGCCGCCGCCAGCGCCGCCGCCGGCAGCCCCGGCAGCATCTGCACACTCAGTTCGTACAGCGGTGGCAACGCGGCGGCGGCCCCAGAGGACGCCGCCGCCGCTGATGATGACGTCACCTTCGCGAGCCTCCGCCGCCGCCGCTGCTCGTGCTTCCGACCCCCAAACACGGCTTCTGGATTGAAGGTTCGCATCTGTGCTAGCAACGCCGCCCTGGATGCCACAACTGCTGCTGATACGGCGTCGGCCCCGCCTTCATCTGCCGTACCGTGCACGTTGTACAATGTTTCTACGGCACTGCTGCTCCTGCTGCCCTCGCCGCTGGAATCTCCTTCCCTTTCAGGTATCACGCCGTCGGCGGTGCTGTCCCTATGTACGGCTTCGGATGTCTGACTGCTGCTGTCGCCGTTGCTGCCGTGACTGCCGCTGCTGACGTCATCAAGACCGTTGTAGATCCCAACCGCTTCCGCCGATAAGTGCCGTAGAGTGTCCTGTACGGTTTGCAGGTGTCGCCGCTGCTGCCGTCGCCGCTGCTGAGTCGACGGCGGCGGCGATGTTGTGAGTCCCGAACTCGTATCGCTGTTGCTGATGCTGCTAATGCTGTTGAAGCTACTGCTACTGCTGCCGCTACTGGCGGCAGCTTGCAGCAGCGGAGCCCACTCAGGTGCAATGCAATGTTCCGGTCCGTACTCGACCTGCGGAAAAGCAGGACAGTACGGCACGGGAGAAGCGAGGTAAGATTGCAAGGAGTGCGAGTTGGGTGTGACGGAGCATTGTGTGAGCCACTGCTTGTGGGATGGGCTTGCCAAGGCCCCTAACAACGTAACCGGTTTGAGCCGTTTGACAGTTATTGCACGCAAACCCTGGCATGCTACCCAGTCGTCCGCCCTAGCACCTTATCCCATGGAGTTTAGCTGGCCCCACCTACCGCAGTAGCCCCGGTCATGTTGATTGCCCGCTCAAGGTCCTTAGGACGTGCGGCAACCAGGAGGGTATTCTCCGGAATGTACGACAGAATACTTGCGTCGAGCGACAGCAGCGCAGCCCGTACTTTGCTGCCGGCTTGCTGTTGTGCTGCAGCGACGTCATCGGTGCCGTACGATACAAGGTATAGGCGAAGCGAGGGCGTCTGACCCCAGGCTGCCCGAGAGCGATAGGCCAAGGCTTCAGCTTTGGATATGGACGAGACATTAGCGCCGCCGTTGTTGTTGCCACCAGCGGAAGCCACGGTTGCGCGTTGCGCTGTCCGGCTGCATAACAGGAAAGGACGGGCCGTTCATGACAAAGCTGACATGAAAAGGTGCATGGGCCATGGGTCTGCAGCTCTGCACCCTTGACTAAACGGTCAAAACGCATGATGCGGGGGTATAGACTGGGAGTGTTCATGCATATCGTTTTCATGGCGCAGGTGACACGAATCGTGTTGGCCGCCCGAGGATGATATGGCGCGAGGTCACTGGCAGACTCCAGACAGCAGACGTACGCGGTCTTCAAAAACTAGTCCGCTAATTTACCACAAAAACAAGGAAAAAACACTAGGACCCTAGCGGAGGTTTGGCAACGCAACGCAGCAGCAATGTTTCGACGAGGTTCGCTGTTGCGCGCACTCTGTGGTTATCTAAAAGGGGTCATTGCCATACCCGTAAAGTGCTTCATGCACTATTTTTACGTACCCGACGTCAATAGTTCCTGTCCGCAGGCGCACTCGGCGTGACTGACCCAACTGTCCCAGCAACGCAAGAACCAAAAGAACGGTCAAAATAGAGGAGCGCTGCATTCTCAAAAAAGCCATCATACTAGCTCAAGCATGGTGTTTTGGGATGGTATGCAAAAGAGCAGCTGATGCTGTACTGTACGTTCAGCGTGAAATTATTCACAAAATTATAATTATAGACATTCCTGCGTGCTACATATACTTACAGTAGCGCACCTGACATCTTCCGTCTACAGTACAGGTATACGAGCAGTGTGTCAGAAAGTGGGCGGAACGTTAACTTCAGGCTCCAAAGTATGGCATTCAGTCTATTGTTAAGCAACATGTGTGTCTGTGTAATGTCGCCCTATGCTGGCCTACGGTGCCTCTCATTAGCGGCTGGCGGTTTACACTGATCGTATAGCATTTTCAAGGAATGCGGGGTAAATTATGCTTGAATATGGGCAATGCGGTAGGTAAAACCATGCTTTCTTGGCCTGTTCGTGATGCCGACAGTTCGCAACATGTGAAGCGTCAGCCGACAAGCTGTCGGCTGCTACGCCTTTTGGTCGGTTATTAGATATTCTCACCCAGGTTGTTCTAGTTGTCAAGCGCAAAAATGAAGCTGCATAGTGACGGCCGTTCCCAGGGCAAAACCAAGAAGTTGTCCCTTTCTGCGAGTAGTCGGGACTGTTGGGGAAGCACACCGCACAGAGAAGCCCTAGCATGCACTCCATTTCAGCGTGATCAAATAGGCCTACGTTCGCTGGCGCTAGTTGTAGATCCAGTCCCGCTTGTTATGTTTACGATTAGATAACACGCAACGCAGATCTGCCCTTGCATTTACAAAAACCTTCCGATGTGATCAGAGTGAAGGAAACAAACAGGGATGAAGCCGACTTGTTCCTGTTCCTGGCTTGTTTAGAACCTTTTGAATGCGTAATGGACGGGAACTCCAGGGACCAACCAACATCAACCTCTTCACTGCCCCCTTCACTTGAGCCCGGAAACCGCAAAACGTTGCATTAGCTCAGATTAGCTATCACTAAAACCAACTGCCAACCACATTCAGCTGTCAGTGCAACATCAGTATTTTTACTCCAATGGGAGAGTGCAACTGCCAACTGGTAAGAAGTATAAGCGTCCGTATGTGCATTCATGTCATCACTGTTTGGTGGTGTCGTTGTCATCAACATGCCGAATCCTCGCCAACGTCAACGCAATAATAAGTTACCCAGGATTCACGCATGGTAAGCACAAATGCATCCTGACCACATATCCACACGCACTGCATGTCAACTACAGCCATATACGATCACCAACTGGCAGGCCAATGTAATCAAAAGCCGATTCACGTTACTACACGGTATTAGCATAGCCGCAGCATTACAAAAGGGCCTAAAAGCCACGTCACGCCCTGTACGATTGTCCGCTGCTGCTGCTCACGCTGGCGTCCAGCGACGCCGCCTTGCTCTGCTGCTGGTCCCGTCGCAAGTCCTCCAGGATCACGTTGATGACGGTGTGCAGCTCCGTGCGCAGCGCCTCCACCTTCTTCTCCAACGCCACCACCACCGGGTTGTTGACTGCAGCGCTGATGGCTGCAGGCAGGAAGATGCGAGCAGGGAGGTGAGAGAATGGCAGGAGGGGACCGAGTGTTAACAGGCTGCAGTCGCGGGTAGGGTATGAAAGCCCTTCGGCTAGCCAGGGGTCAATCCGGAAGGGCAGTAGCACCACACAAGCACCTTTGCTTTTCACCCACAGTGAAGTGTAACCAAAAGGATCGCAACCTACCCTTGAAGGGGTTGGCAGTTGACTCCGCCTGTATCCTCGACGCCGCCGACAGCGCCCCCGCCAGCGAGTCCAGCGCCGAGCAGGTCGCCTCCAGCCGCCCGCTCACACGCCGCTCCAGCGCACGGACCGCACTCGCCACCGCCGGCAGCGACGTGCCTGGTCCCGGCGCAGGAATGACAAATGGGCGGGGACTACCGTGGCTGCTGCTGCTGCTGCCGCCCAGCGCCAGTGCCAGCTTGGAGCCGACGTCAGCCAGGCGGCTCTCCGCGTCGGTGACACGTGGCGCCAGACCCCTGAGGGCTGCCAGCGCGTGTGCGGCCTCCAGCGCGTTTGATTCTACCGACAGCAGCTTGATCTGCAGTTGTGCTAGCTCGGACTGCAGGGGGAAGAGGCAGCCCGCAAGGGAGGTTGTGATGGCTAGTCGTCAGGGCTTTGATACCAGGGTCTAGCAAACTGTACGTTGGATGATGCATCCAAATGAGGCACGCCCAGACACAGGTCGATTTCCTAATCCATCCAGACCGTAACCAACTACAGCAGCACAGTCACCGCATAGCTCTTCTCCTCCCCCCACAAACACGATCGCGGCCAGTTTTCTTAACACGCACACACCTGCAGCTCACGCAGGCTGGCGGGGTCCGCGCTGCCGCTGCCCGAGCCGCTGACGCGGGAGCTGGGGCCGCCCGCCGCGCCCTCCAGCGCATCCACCCGCCGGTGCAGCCCGCCTAGCGCCACGTGCATGTCCTTGATCATGCCCTGCGCAGCACAGGAGGGTCGAGACGAAACAAAACAACTTAAGGTATCCTCCTCCCAGGACTGAAGTTGCTACGGCCGGGCACAGAAGGACATCACGCTTGTTAGGCAGCGAAAGCTTAAGCCCTTAAACACTCCGGTCCGACGACCCTCACACATCCTCCTCCCAACATCCCCCGTCCAATGCGCACCTGCGTGCTATCCACATACTCCTGCACCGCCAGCAGCCGATTGCGCATGGCCGTTGCGGCCGCATGCAGCTGCGCCACCTTGCCCTCCAGCGCACTCACATCGGCAGCGGCAGCAGCACCACCACCTCCCGCCCCCGCCGCGCCGCCGCTGGTGCTGCCGACGCTGGTCGCCTCCGCCAGCAGCTCCTGACGCAGGCTGTCCATCCGCGCGGATAGCGACTCATCCAGCAACCGCACCCGGGCGGACAACGCAGCCACCTCCAACGCGGCAGCGGTGGCAGAGCCGGCAGATGCGGCGACAGCACCAGCGGCGTCCGGCGCAAGTGCAGCAGGAGCGTCTGGGTCGTCGCTGCTGCTGCTGCCGCTGGCGGTGGTTGCAGCTGAGGCGCTGTGCTCGCGGACGCTCTCCGCAAAGGACAGCATGGAGCTGACGGCCTGGTCCAGGGCCGCGTGCTGGCCGGCTAGCAGGCCCACCTCGGCCTCCAGGCGGGCGACGCGGGAGGACACGGAGGTGACCACTTCGGCGAGGTCAGAGACGGCGGCAGCGGTAGCGGTAGCAGGCTCGGCACCGGATTGATGAGCGGGTGGCGCTGCCGTCGTGGCGAGGTTCTTGAGCTGCGTGGCGATCTGCAATTCAGGTGGGGAATATGTAATAATATGTGGTACAGATATGCAACACAGGGCATTCGCATGGACGAGCGGCATGTGACTATGTGAGTCCATGAGCATGACTAGCCACCCGCGTGTTACATTCACTACGGGTAGAGTTGCTCCGTCCTAACTACGCGTGCGGATTACGAACGAGAAGGTTGAGGACGAGCCCAGCAGTATCAGCCCTGCACCAGCGTACTAGCATGCTGGCAAGCCGACCCCGCCCAATACCCACCGCGTCCAGGCGGTTCTCGTGTTCCAGCACCATCTGCTGCACCGCCGGGTGCGTCTGGCTGCCTATGTAGCGCAGCGCCGCCACCTGCTCCAGAACCGTCACCAGCGTCTCAGCGAAGGCGGGCGAGTTGGCGTCACGCACGTCCGCCAGCCGGGCCTCAGCCTCCTCCAAGGTGTGATCAACCTGTCGTGGTTGGACAAAACGGTGTGATAAGAAAGCTGGTGTGTAAAGAAAACTATGTATGACGGTAGGAGACAGGGATACCGCTACAGGCACGGCACGGTTGCAAGCAGGCAGGCACCCCAAGTACGTGGCAAGTCCTGCAGGGCAGAGCACGCAGCCCTATAGGACGCGCTTCCAGATTTTCCAAACACCTGGCCCCCAAGCTCACCTGTGCCAGCGCAACGCCCGTCTCCTCCGCGTCCGTGTACTGCGCATGCAGGCGGCTGCTCTGTCGCTTCACCACCTCCACCAGGCGAGCCAGGAAAGCAGCCTGCTGGCTAGTGCTGGGCTGCGGGGCCGGCTGCCGGGCGGCGCGCACCGGTGACGCGCCGGCGTTCGGCGACTTGGACGGCAGCACCCAGGCGGTGGCTGCCGGGGTGAAGATGCTGGCCACTGCCGCGGCGTTGGGTGTACCGCCGCCGCCGCCCTGTTGGGAGCTGCTGCCAGCGCCGCCGTCGGCATCCGGGGCGACGACACTGCGGATCTGCTCCGCCAGGGCCTCGAGCTGCGAGGTCATGCAGGGACGAGCAGGGGCGTTTCAAGGCATCTCAGGCATCGGGGAAACGCCTAACCGGCACACAGCATTTGCAGCAGCCGCGCGGTACTTAGGTACCGAAAACCTGCTGAACTTAGTGTCCATGGCAGCAAAGCATTCACCCCAATGCCGGACCAATCCGCAACCCCAACCCCCTTTCCAACCCGCCCGGGCCCACCTGGTCACGCAACGTGTCCAAGTCGTTCATCCTCTCCGTCAGTACCTCAACAGCAAGGCGGATGTCCTTGGCTTCAGCCTCAACCCGCCGTACTCCCGCCGCAAGCTCCTCAACCGGTTGCACCCCCACTTCCACCGCTGCTGCTGCCGTAGCCACAGAACCCGCACCACCCTGTTGCAGCCTCGCCAACGCCGCCCCCACCTCCTCCGCCACCGTCTGCCGTACAGCACCCACAGCCGCCTCCGTAGCCGCCGCCACGGCCTCCCTTGCCGCCTTCTCAGCCGCCTCCCGCGCCGCCACCGCCTCCTGTGCCGCTCCCCGGACCGCCAGCACAGCCTCGGCCGCGTCCCCCGCCGACTGCCCCGCCAGCTCCACCAACGTGTCCACCTCCTTGCGCTCAACAAGGCCCGTGGCCACCACCTCCTCGCGGAGCAGCGCCACCTGTTGCTCCACCAGCCCCGGAATGGCCTCCAGCACCACCTGGGAAGCCGCCGCCCCCACCTCGTCCAACGCGCCAGCCGCCTCCAGTCCCTCCACCCGCCCGCCCAGGGCGCCCACCTCCGCACCCAGTCGCTGCACCTGCGCCTGCAGGGCCGCCAGCTGCTCCTCGATTTCACGAGGTAGGACGGGAACCATGAGACCCAGCGCCGGTCCAGCCTCTTCTTCCTCCTCCTCCTCGCCAGCTTCTTCCCTCACAACCGCGTCGTCCGCAGCGGGGTCTGCACCGTCAGCTGCCGCGCTTGCGCTTGCCGCCGCCGCCGCCACAGCAGCACCACCACCGCGTTTCGGGCTGCGCGGCGACCGCACCACAAATGCCGACTCCAGTGAATCCTCCATGGCTTCAACCCGGGCAGCCAGCGTAGACACGGCCCCCGCCAGGGCCGAGAACTCCTCCGCCTCCGGACCCGCCACATGCACCTGCAGCCGCACCCGCTGGTGCTGCTGGTCCGTGGCCAGCGTCGCCACCACCGCCGCCGTAGACGCCATGGCATTCACCTGCAGATCCACCCGCTCCTGCAGCTCCGAAACCGCCTCAGTCAACCGCAGCCGCTCCGCAGCCTCCGTCGCCAGGCGCGACTGCAGCTCCTCGCAGGTCGAGGAGAGCTCCTGCATGCTGCGCTGCAGCTCCTGCACGCCCCCGACGGCGGACGGCGCCGCTTGCAAGTCCCCAGAGGAGGCCTCCGCCGCCGCAGGAGCATCCAGCAGGAGCTGCGACAGGGAAGGCTCGCCGGATTCCCCAACAGCGCCCTCCACAGGCACCTCCGCCTCCTCCTCCACACCTGTTGCAGGCGCCTCCGGCTCCGGAACTGCTGGCGGCTGTGCGTCCGCCTCAGGCTCGTCCACGGCCAGTCGTACCCGCACCGGGCTGTTCGCGTCTGTCAAGTCCTCTTGCGATAGCTGCAGCCGCACGCCGCCAGCGCTGCTGCTAGGAGACCTGCTGCAAGCGGGCGCCCCCGAGCCGCTAGCTGCTGGGGCTGCTGCAGGCTGTGCAGCAGCAGCAGCAGTAGGGCTGCTGCTGGCGGCCAGACTGGCCTCAAGTGCCTCCACCCTCGCACGCAGCTGCTCCACCGCAGCGTCAGTCGCAACAGCGGAGGGCTGCTGGGACTGGGGCTGCTGCTGCTGCGATGACTGCTGCCGCCGGAACTGCATTTCCAGCGACATCATGGCTTGCTGCACGCCCGCCAGCTGCTCCTGACGTACGGCGCCATCGGAGCGGTACAGCGCGAGGTGTACCTGGTGCTCCAGCTCGGCCTGCTTCGCACGCAGGCCGTCCAGGGCTGATGCGAGGCGAGGGGACATGGGGCGGCCGTCGCTACGAGAGTCGGTGGACGGGCTTGGAACCTGGGTTTCGACGTCGTCCATGGAAGCCTGTGTGGAGTTAGCAAAGAGCACCGGGCGTGTAAGTGCTGCCGGCGAACAGACACAAGGGAACGACAGGAGGGCTCAGGAAGTAGGTACAAGTTGTGGAGGTGGTGCAGAAGAGGATCTTCATCAGAGGAGAGCGTGGCAGAGGAGGTAACACGCACCTCTCGGAGCATGCGCCCGGTGTCGAAGACAGACCCCAGCACGTTGACTGCGCGCTTGATATCGGCACGTGCTTGGAAGATTGCCCCCAGTTGCTCCCGATTGATGTAGTCGCGGGCGACACGGGCCTGTAGTCAAGAAGCGACGTGTGAGGGTTTGAAAGATGCCATTGAGGGGCTCTATAGCTGCATGGTGCCACTGTTGAGCCCGGTAACATGAAAGGACAACCAAGTGTAGGGGACGTCAACGGACCCGACATGATGCGCTCTCTCACGCAGCCCAACCCCCGAGGACTCACCGACAGGGCGGACACGGCAGCAGACGTCTCCTGGAGGCGCGCCACCATCTCCTCCACACGAACCTGTCCACGTGGACAAACCAAGAAACGGAAGTCAGCGGGCGTACTGCAGCAGCCGCATACTGAACGGTGATCGAAGCTCAAATTCCATGGCAAAAAGCATACTGGTCAGAGTAATACACACGTATCAGGGAGCCACGCGCCCATGCCCCATTCACGTCAACCGCCGGCGTCTGTCGTCAGTTTCATCAGTTTATCTCGCACCTGCTGCTCCTCCACCTGCGATGCCAGCCCCTCCGTCGCGACCGTCTGGTCCGCCACGCGCTGCTGCAGTGCGGTCGACACACCCACGATGGTCTCATAGTTGGTGGCCACCAGGGCGACACGGCCGTTAATTCCGTCCATGGTTGATGTCAGGCCTTCAAGGTCCTCAAGGAGTCGAGTTGTGGCCTGCAGGTGTAAGCAGTGGTGGGAAAGCAGCGTCAGCGTCAACGGGGCGGCACTGCTTCCACCATCAGATTAAACAATTCTTTTGCGAAACCCCCTGGGTTGCGCATCTAATGCACAGCGCAGTGTCAACACCCATAGCGCATGACGGTGCACGTAGACGCAGATCACCAGCATGTGAGCCCAAGCACTTCTCAAAGCACTGTTCTCAAAACCACCTGCTGCAGGCCGGCCGCCACGGACACCGCGCCCTCCAGCTCCGTCACACGCGTCCTGAGCTCCGCCACCAGATCCAGCAGCCCACCGTTGCCACCCCGCCCAACAGGAGACGCGCACGCACGAGGACTGGCACGTGCTCCCTGCACCGCGCCAGCATCAGCAGCGTCCGGGCTCCGCAGCCCCCCCGCTCCTCCTTCTCCCTCCACATCTGCCTCCCGCGGAGTCGATGTGGGCGCACTGCGTGCGGTGCTGGCTCGCGGGTTGACCCCCACCGCCGACTCTAGCGTCTGCAGTCGTGATTGCACCACGTCCTGCTGCCCGGTCAGCAGAATGAGCTCCGAGCGGCACTCGTCGATGGAGGCAAGCGCCAGCTCCACACGCTCCGCGGAGTCACTTGCAATGGCTCGGACCTGCTGCAGCGCCGCCTCGAAGTGCTCGGCGCGGATGGCGCCACTCAGCTGCTCGCTCAGCGCGGAGACCTGCAGGTCCATCTGGGAGGCGGCAGGAGTGCACAGAGCACAAGGTAAGACAGAGTCCGAGACAGCCCGTTTCGTACCTTGGAGCCGAAAGCAGTACTATGGGAATACACGCCATGCATGTTAAGACCGGGAGTGAGGCACTTCTCACTGCGAGCACTAAACCTCAAAGTCTTAGCGTGCCGCCTTCCACACACACACGCACCGCTGCTTCCTTCCAAACGTCAGCCCCCGCCCCACCCTCGCACCCCCACCACACCTGCTGCATGGCCTGCTCCACCCGCTCCTTGAGGTGCTCCATCACGTTTGCCACCTGGTCCCGCAGCTCCGCCTGCCGCGCCTCCGCCGCCGCCTGCTCCTGCGCGCAGCTGGCGGCCTGCAGCTCTTGCACCTGCTGCGCGCAGCTGACGGCGTCGGTGGCGGCAGCGGCGGCAGCAGTCACCTGCTCCTGCAGCTCGCCCAGCCCGGACGCAATGGCGCCCTGCTCCTGGGAGAGCTGGCTAGCAAGGCTGGTGAACTGGGCAGAGGGAAGGGAAGGGGTGCCGGGGTGGTGTGTTTTAAGGCGTGTGCGGCGGGTTGATGGGTTCAACTTGACGTCAGCAAAGCCAAGCAGGAAAGCTTGAAGACGAGTCTAGCCCCAAGCACACCCTGGGGGTGTCGCAAAATCGGAATACAGCTTCCCATAATGCTTCACCCAGAAGCATTATGGGATCGCCACCACCACCACCACCAAGGATCGCATACCTGGTCCTTGAGCGCTGCCTGCTCCTTCTCAACAGCTTCCACCACGGCCCGCACCCTCTCCTTGAGCTCCTCAGCCGTGCTGCTCGCGCCCTTCTGCCCAGCCGCCTCCGCCGCCACTACCGCTGCGGCAGCGGCCGCCGCCGACTGCTCGCTGCGTTTAGACGCCGCATCCGCTGCCTCCGCCGCCAGCTCCGTGCGGTGCCTCAGCTGACCAAACCGCTCCTCCAGGTTCGCCCTAGCGGCCGAAGCCACCTCCGCCGCCAGCACCTCCGCTGCGGGCGCGCGCGCCTGCATGGCCGTGGAGAGCTTCTGCAGCTCCTCCAAGGGCGCAAAACCTTCTAGCCGGGTATCCAGGCGCGCCACTTGCTCTCGGACCTCCGCAACTGCGGCAACCTGCGACGCCTGCTGCCGCTGCTCCTCCAGCCCGCTGGTCAGCTCGGCCAGCTGCTGTGTGGCCTGAGCGGCAAACTCCTTGAGGCTCTTGTTCTCCTCCACAAGCGCAGGCACAACGGACATGAGGTAGGTCAACTGCTGCTGCATTTCCGCCGCCGCCTCGGATGAAGGCCTGCCGCAGCGGCAAACGTGACAAGTGCGGGATTCGGTGTCAGGAGGCAAACGGAGCCAGCAGGGAAGAGCAGCGATGCCGCGCGGTGCCTGCTACCTGCCCTGCAACTGCGACTACGTAAAGCCCCTTTGCTCATCATCATACCAAGTCGCCCATGGCCCCGGTCGAGTAACAAGCCCTAACCCGGCAAAGCCTTTCGATACCGCGTGCCGTACGTACCCGCTCGCTTTCTCTTGCGCATGCTGCGTCAGCGCCTGCAGCTGGTCCCGCAGCTCCTGCACGTCGCGAGTCAGACCCAGCAGCAAGCCCCGCTGCTCTTCCAGTGCTGCGGATAGCTTTTGGGCGGACTGGGTGGCGATCCAGGAGACGCATGAGGCAGCACCAGCGCGCGCGTTAGTGTGGGTGCAACTCATCAACTGGAACTGAATAGGACCCCGGCAGGACTACATGACACGGTTTGCCACAAGCGTGGGAGACGCATACGGATGTCCACGGAGCATATATACCCACGTTCCAAGCTGCGCCTAGAGCACATAGGCAATCAGAGGCCTCGTCCTGCACTCACCGCGCCCGATGCCGCCTGGTCGCCCTCCGCCCCCTCCTGTGCCTGCTCCCTGCCGCCTCCAGCCTCCGATGCTTCGAAGCGCCCCGCCAGCGCCTCGATGCGCGAGGTGATGGTGCCGAGCGCCTGGTCGTGTGACACGGACCGCTTGTCCACCTTGAAGAGGTGGGAGCGCAGCTTGTGCACCAGCTCTTCTAGGTCGTGCACACGGAGGGACACCTCGCTGGGGGCGCGGCTGTCAGCCGTGGGCGAGGCGGCGGTGACGTCACGAGCGACCTGGAGAGGGCGGAGTAGTACCGGTAAGGGTTCGTTTACCGGGATTGGGATAGTTGGAGGCACTCTTGGACAGCGGCTCCGTCGAACACCGCGAGAAACACAGGGCGGAGAAGCCGTGTAAAACCACGGTCTGCCCGCTCTCAGCAGGATACCGTACTGGGACTTCCGTACTTGCAACCAGGTCAACAAGCTACACCCTCACCGTAATGAGCTGTTTCTGCAGTCCCTCGACCGCCTGGTCCTGCCGGATGATGTGCGCCTCCAGGAAGTCAAGTCCCGCGATGAGCTTGTGGATCTGCGCGGCGTGCTGCTGCAGGGTGCCGCTCAGGTGGCCGGGAACGTACTCCAGCGCTGGCAGCGGGGAGCGAGCCGAGGATGAGGGAGCTGCGGGCGGCGGAGTGGAGGGCATGCCGGCGGGCACGTACGGCCGTGACCGTGAGGCCATTCCGCCGGCAAGGCTGCCGCTGCGCGTGTTGGGTGAGGTTCCGCGGCCGCCGCCTACGAAGTCCACCTGTGGACCGCATTGGGATGGATGAGCAGGAGGGCGAACCAGTCGGGAAGGGTGTTGCAAGCATATTGAGCGCAGGACAGAGTCTATGCAGGACTTAAGCCCCGGCACTTATGGACGCACCAGGCGTGCCGTTTCATTAATGGTGCTTGCAGAGAAGTGCTGCAGGTCCTTAATGTGCCGCTCGCTGTCCTCAATCCGAACATCCACCTTCTCCAGCTTGTCCGTAAGGCTGGTATACAAGCCCTCAATGTTATTTAGCTTTGTCGCTATGTTCGCAAGCACTCCGTCGAGGCCCTGTGCTGAAGGACCGCTCACACCACCAGCGCTAGGTTGGGCGCCGTTCGCAAGTGAATTTAGAGTCTGCCGAACAGTGTCTAGTTGCTCCCTCATAGCCTGCCTTTCGACAGAGCTTGTTACACTAAGATTACCAACCTGCAAGGACAGAACGCGAGGAGTTATGGGAGTGACTTCCGTTGGTCAAAGTATCATGGGCACCAGCGATACCGAATTCCTTTGCAAGGATTAAAGCGCGTCACTAACTCACTGATTCAGCGTCCATAGGAGGATCAGTCAGCCTCCATCCAGTTCTCCCAGCTGTAAGACCTTGCATCTCTAGAATTCCGGCACTTTTACCTTGCGACCGGCGAGCTCATCGCCAGCAAGCAATGTATAATTACAGTGAGCTCAGTTCCGCTCTAAGCAGTGAAATAGAAATTCAAGGGCGTCTAACCAGTTCCAGTTCAAAAGAAGCGTACTGAATATGTGGACGACCGCCGAGACTAAGTCCTTTTCAATCCCATTAAATGTATACCTACATATATAGGCGAGTGTGATAACCTCTGATGACCGGGCATCTCTCGCGCAGTTGTCAAACCCGCAAGTATACGGCAAAGCAAGCAGATGCGCGTCTCGAGCTCTCGACATGCCAATACTTCCCCTCTCCGACACGTTGCAACCCATATTACTGTGGGGATGCGTTTACTCCCTAATAATTTTACTTAATATTTAACCTAAGATGACGCTAACCTGTTGTTCTTTGCTTCAGAACCATCCCTAACCCAAATTCAACCCCGACCGCCAATCACCATACAGGCAAGCCTTCTGGAACGCCTTTGGAGATCAGGCGCCTAGTCCGCTCATTATGACCCTCAGCAGCCGTCCGTAATTGTACTCGGGGAGCTGAATGGTACGAAGCGCCGAGATAGCAAAGCAGCATGCATGTGACGCGGGCCCCTTGTATAGCTGCCTCGGTTATGGTGTCGTAGAAGGGCTAGCGTACCCAGTAACGTCACTCCTCTCAAAGGGATTGTTTGGCTGCGATGTCGTACACAACTCCTGAAAGCAGGCGCTGGTGTGCAAGTGCAGGTATGGCAAGCGCACGTAAGGCCGTGTACGATGCATAGCCATCTGGTGTTCCAGGCACGCAAGCATGGACCAGCAGCTGTAAGGGACCGGCTGCTGTATAGCCCCTTTCTAGGACGGCAACCGTGCGCACTGAGTGACGACAGTGTTAACATGCCACGCCTCCATAATGTGGCATAGGTGCTATCCTAACAGATGACCCACGCCAGTGCTGAGGGCAGGCCAGAAAACTCTCCCACAAGGGAATGCAGGCTAGCCAACCAGGCGCAGCAGTAGCGACAAGGCTCCCCTCCTCGCCCTCCGCTTCAGGCTGCCGCCGCCGCAGCCCTCCCTCGTCCTCTCGTTCTGGTCTGCGGCTTCCCTTGCTGCAGGAGCCTGGTCAGCGGATGCTGCAGCACGCGCCACAGGGCAATTGGGTGACGAGCCTTCTCCGGGCCACAGCCTTCCAAGGCATCTTCTAAGGTAACAAAAGTTTCTGATAGGGGTACAAACAATAACGAGTGTGAGTTGTTTTGCAGGAAGGCATGTCCAGATGTGGAACGTGATGCGATCCAGTCCAGCATCACGGCAACGCGCACGGCACGTGGCACCCTGCCTCACGAAGCACGCAGCACGGCGTCACACTTTCTTGCAGTAAGGCGCTTTTTACTTGTTCTATATAGTGCGCAACCCAAGACGCTTTCGCGTTAACTATGTGGCAGTTTTACAAGCTAGGTAACCATTCGGGTGATGTCATTGCCTAAGACGCGGCGAAGCTGTGATGTGTTAGTATAGTTGAATATGTATCAGCGAGATTTACTATTAGTCTTTGGGTACTCAGGGTCTGCTTCCACGGAGCTCCCGTTGCTCAGCGACTTGCCTGCGCGCACATGCACATTCCCAGCATCAAGGTCTCAAACTCATCGTCCTTGTCGTTGGGCGCTTCCAGCCCAGTCATGCTCGTGGGGAACTGCCACAGTCTTTTGCACGGAGCACGCACGCCTACTGACTCTGCAACCCGAGTTCGCCGAGCATCCCGCATCGCAGCTGCCGAAACGTTCCCACCCACTAAGAGACTACCAGCAGCAGCCACAGTTACAGTCACAGCTAGGGAACGGGAACGTAGCGCGGTCGCCACAGCATAGGGTCCCAGCTGCCGCTGCGGGTGCTGCCAGGTCATCGGCATCAGTCGGTTGGAACCACAGCTTACTGTGTCGAGGAGATGATGATGCAAACCAACATGACGGCAGCGGCAGCAACAGCTGCTGCTGGTTGAGCGGCGATGGCAGCGGCGCTGGGTGCCATTGTAGCGACGATGATAAGACACAGGCGCCACTACGGCAGTGGTTGCGGGTACGGCTGCCGGTGCCTGGATTGCGGATTGTGCAAGTGGCCGCGGGTGGGTAGTAGGCGGGTGGGGGATGGGCAGGGTGCCATGTGAACCTGTTTGCAGTCAGGCGGCATGACTAAGAAACACTTGCTTGTTTAAAGGCTCACTCTCGTTGATTGGATCCAGCGATTGTGGCCATGCATGTACATTTCCGCCGATATACCAGTACATGTACGGCACCCTCATTGCAATCCGCAGGCCAGCAGCACTCCCTGGCCTTAGACCAGGCAGGCAGTGTGTGGGCCTGGGGGGCCAACCACAACGGTCAGTGCGGCATAGGGCCCCATGCTGACGTCACCAGGCAAAGCTGTAAGACAGCCGCCCGAGCTGCGGCAGCTGCTGAGACGGTGCAGCTTCTTCCTGCAGCCGTAGCTGTCACGGGTGCAGGCGCGCTGGAGCAGGAGGGTGAGGTGGAACGGAGCTCAGCAGCAGCAGGTGCAGCTCCCATGGCATGCGACGACTGCAGTGGCAATGGCGCAGGCGGCAGCGCTAGCTGTGGTGCAGCCGTTAACAACATGTGCAGTAGCAGTAGCAGTACCAGCAGTAGCAGCTGGTGTGCTGTACCTCTTTGCGTGTTGGGGCCGGGTTGCGCTTCCGGCGGCAAGGCAACCTCCGATGGGTTGTTGTTAGCTCCAGGAAGGGAAGGAGGCGGGCCGGAGCAGGCCAGTGTAAGGCGGGGGGTTCCGGAGCTGCTTCCTGTACGGCAGGTGCGCTGTGGGGGAGCAGGGAGACGGGGAGATGAGGTAAAAATAAAGAAAACTGACGAACTGGATGAACGAGGCTTCACCATGGGGAGGAGGGGGAGGGAAAGGCATGGGAGCGGAAGGTGTACACCTCTAGGAATGCACTCAACAGTCCATCACCCCCCTCCTTGCGGCTCCTACTACACCCTCTATCCCCTTCCCATCCTCAACACCGGTTTACACCATTCTACCCATTTGCCTCTGCCTGACCCGCTGCCTGTCCGGCTGCCCGTCCCCCCACCATCTGCCTCCCTGCCCCTCTCCCCCCCGGCCTGTCCCGCAGGTCTGCTGCGGCGCCCGCCACAGCCTGGCGCTGGACGCCGGCGGTGGCGTGTGGGCCTGGGGCTGGAACGGATACGGGCAGTGCGGCCGGCCCCCTCCCGGACTGGCGGCAGGAGGGGCCGAGCAGGGAGCTGCTGGTGCGGGTGCGGGTGCGGGTGCGGGTGCGGGTGCTGGTGCTGGTGCCGCCGGCCCTGCAGCCCCTGCTATTGCACCAGCGAAAGCGGGATCGCCGTCGGTGTCATGCCTTGCTCGCGGCGACGTGTGGGCCCCTGTGCGGGTGCAGTGCGGCGTGTTGGGCGGGGTGCCGGTCAGCCAGGTGGCGGCGGGGCTGGGACACTCGCTGGCGCTCACGGGTGGGAGGCGGGTGGGGGGGGGGGCGGGGGGGGGGGAGGCGGAGGGTGGGTAGCAGGCCATCATGTGAGTCCACACAACACACAATAAGCAGGCCTCCTTGCCTGTTGTGCTAAAGTGTTCGCAACCCTGGCAAGACCCTCACCATCGCCTCGTGTAGTCGTGTTGTGCTCTGCTACCGCTCCTAGAAACCCAACCCAACCCGAGCCCTACCCCTACCCCCACTGCTGCTCTGTCCCCCGCCGCTGCTCCCCGCCTCCCTCAGAGGCTGGCCAGGTGGCTGCGTGGGGCTGGAACGACTGCGGGCAGTGCGGCAGCCTCCTGGGAGCAGCAGGGGGAGCAGCAGGGGGAGGGGGAGCAGCAGGGGGAGGGGGAGCAGCAGGGGGAGGGGGAGCAGCAGGGGGAGGAGGGGGAGCAGGGGGAGGGGGAGCTGGAGCACGCAGGCCGTACAGCATGTGCTGCTGCCAGCCCTGGGAGCCCAGGTTGGTGCCGCTGAGGCCGCCGTCAGCATGGCAGCAGCAGCGGCAGGAGCAGCGGCAGGAGCAGCAGGGGATGGTGTTGGGTGGATGTTCTGGTCGCAAAAGGAGGCGAGGCGAGGCGGGCGGCGAGGTAGGAGAGGAGGAGGAGGGCGGCTGTGGAGCTGCGATGGATGATGGAAAGGAGGGAGGGCGTTTGACGAGTGGGGAAGCTGAGGAGGAAGAAGAAGAAGAAGACGAGGAGGAGGAGGAAGTGGTCAAGGTAGGTTACCGGCCGGTAACCTACCTTGGTACCAAGGGGCCAAGGGGCTGCCCCTGGTTGGTCAGTTGGGGGTTCAGGCCATTCCACCTCATATCGCATCCTGCACCTCTAGCAGCGCCCCGCCTGCCTCTAATACACACACCTGCCGACCCGAATGTGCCCCTACCCATCCTGCGGACAAATTCCACGCGTCCAAACCTTGACAGGATTTCAACCCCCGGTTAGTTTGTTGTTTCCTCTTTACCCCCAAACCCATACACTCGCGCACCCCCCCCCCTTGCGTCCCATGGTGGATCCTTGCCATACAGCCCGTTAGTTGCCTCGTCAGCTTCCTAACTTTTGCCCCGCATCCATCCGGCTGCTGCCACAGGTCAGCTGCGGCGGACGACACAGCCTGGCGCTGACCGCCTCGGGCCGACTGTACGGCTGGGGCAGTAACAGCCGCGGACAACTGGGGCCTGCAGCTGCAGCTGCTGCTGCTGCTGATGATGCAAGGACTTACAAGGCTGAGGCTGCTACTGCTACTGCTACCGCAGCTTCGGGTCTTCGAGGCAGCAGCAGTAGCGTTGTCGGTGCTGGTAGCAGAAAAGGAGGAGGAGGTGTTGACGACGTTGCAGGCGGCAGCAGCACGAGCGGTAACCGTCACAACGACCACCACCAGCATCACCACCACGAACCCCTGCTGCTGCTTCCCCTGCCGCCATGGGTGCTGCGGTCGTCATTTGCATGCATCGACCTGCTGCCGCTTGACTCGTGTGCAGTGGCGTTGTATGAACTCATTAAGGAGGAAGACGAGGAGGAAAAGGTGAAGGAGGAGGAGGAGGATGCGGTGCGTGTGGGGGACGGCTGCGGAGGCGGCGGTGGGTTGGTAGGCGGCCGCTGCGTGGTAGGTGGCCAGCGGTGGGGGGTTCTGAGAGGGTCTGCACGCGCCGCAGCGCTGTCTGCCCTAGCTGGGGGTGGCTGGGGGAACTGCAGGGGGGGTGACAGGACTGACAGTGACAGCGGTAGTGAGGGACATGCAGCAGGGGTGGCGGGCTGGGCGGTGGTGGATGTGGCGGGCGGCTGGAGCCACACAGGGGTGCACTGCAGGCTGGGGGGGGGTGAGGTGCTAGGAGGGAGGTGTTAGGAGAGGGGATTCCTAATAGGCATACATATTGCATAGTCTCCAAACCAGGAGCAACATTCGTAGTACACAACAGGAGCCATACAAAATTCCCGCAATGAGCAACCTGCCTGAAACAAGCACACACACAATGCCATTCTCGGCTACTTGCCTGCCATGGGCCGATACGACACTGTCCGCCCTCACACTGTACGGCATTGCTGCATACTGCTAGTTATAAGAGCATACGTTTGCTCGGGCTGCGACGCCCTTGCTGGCACTAAACACTCCCACCCTGTGCGGAGTGTCCCTACCAATGTGAGTACCTCCACCCACAACAACAGCCCTACCGCGTATACAAGGCTTTAGCAGCACCTTGGTGAATACCTGTATCCAGCAGCAGCAGCGAGCAGCAGGCCTCAACGCAGCCGTATAGAGTATTCTTATCTTCTCGAGCGACAGCCACAGCCGCTACCAGCCTTTGATAATAAGCCCCAGCTGCCCCCCCTGTCACTCCTTTGCCATACCCCCCTACTTGGCATTGATGTCCCCATCCGCGCTCCTCCTCCTCCTCCTCCTCCTCCTCCTCGCGCCTACTTCGCCACACAGCCGTCGCTGCTACATGACCCTGCGCACCCCGCCTCACACCCCGACGTCGCCGAATCCCTTACTTGCAGGCGCCTCCTGCCCCTCCTGCTTGATCAAGCTCTGCATGTCCCCCAACAACTTCCTGTAAAACTCGTTGTGCCCCCCCAGACGCTCGAAGTACGCCTCCATGCCCTGCTTCGAGGTCACCTTGCTGCGACCTGAGGGAGCCTCCCACCGCCCCCCCTGCTCAACAATTCTCCAGTCATGCGCCACCGCCGCACCCCACAGCAACCGCCCCCACCGCCCGTTCCCGGGCCCCTTCACTCCCAGCTCCCCAAGCGCCCCCACCAGATCCGCCACTCTGCTGTCCTCACAAGCATAAGCCGCCATCACACATGCAAACGCCTGCACCCGCCGCACCGCCAGATACCAGGGCACCACCTCCCGCATGTACGCCTCGCGCGCCGCGTCTCCCTCCGGGTCTCCGAAACCGTGCCTGCGCCCCGGCGCCGGCCGCAGTCCCTTCGGCAGCTGCACCCGGCCCTTCTGTCCCGGCGGCCAGAACAAGTCCTCCATGAGGGCCGCCTCAGACAACACCCGAGCGTGCAGCAGCACCTCCATGTCGTCGTCGAGGCTCACGCCGAGCGGCAGCGGTGGCTCCGAAGCTGTGAACACAGGCCGCAGCGCCTCCGCCAGCCGGTGCACGAGTCCATCTACCACGTCGGCCGGGTACCATTCAGGCAGGGCCAGCCCGCCCACGTTGGGGACGAGGACAGGGTCCAGCGCGTCTAGGATGGCGTTGAGGTGCGCGAGGGGTGGCAGGTCGCCCGGGGTGAGGACCAGGGCGTGCAGGGCGCCCATGTAGAGCGGCTGGAGCTGTGGGGAAGGAGGTGCGTGTGGTTGGGGAGGCAGGCAGGCAAGCAGGCGGACGGGTGTGATAAGTGGACGGAGTTCGGGGAAAGGAGATCAACGTGCACTAAACCGCCCTACCACCTACCACACCCGGTCACTATCACGAACCCGCAATGAGCCACCACCCCAACCAGGATTCATATCATCTTCTGATGACGAAAACAGCCGCCAGTGCTGCGCATGCAGCCCTTTTAGTAAACAATCCCCCGTACACATCTTGTCGTATACATCTGTGGTGTCCATCTGTCATACACATCTGTCGTGCACATGTGTCGTACCTCCGTCCAGTACGGCTTCAGCTGGATAGCGCGGAATCGATCCTCCAGGTCGATTTCTAACAGCTCCTCATGTTGGGGATGGAGGGCTGCCAAACCGAACAAGATACCCAGCTGACGACATGTGAGCCGGCCGCCGGTGGTGGCGGCAGCAGCAGCCACGGCGGCAAGTTCGGCGGCAACGGTGGAAGCTACGGCGGCAATGACTGCGTTGATTGTTGACGCTGTTAGGCGGTTTGGCACCCTGTCCAATGTCGTACCGGTCCACAGGTAGTGCACCAAGTTGAGGGCCTCGCTGCTGCGGAGGAGGTAGATGCTGGATCTCTCAATACTGGCCTGGAGGACGGTCCACAAGTCCTGCCACTCCTGGGAAGGAACCCGACACACGTTATCCTTGGTGTTGAAATACACAGCAGGACCACCTTTATCGTCGTCATGCTTAGCAGCAGCAGCAGCAGCCGCATCGGCACCAGCAGCCGCATCGGCACCAGCAGCCGCATCGGCACCAGCAGCCGCATCCGCACCAGCAGCCGCATCCGCACCAGCAGCAGCACCAGCAGTGGCGACAACATCACCTGATGTGCCCGCTTGCTCCGGCGTAACAGCGGCACATCCTGTGTTCGCTTGCGGTTGCTCTGCTCCTTCAACTTCTTCTCCTTCGTCTCCTCCTTCGTCTCCTTCTTCTTGGGGCTCGGGCCCATCCCACCGGACCTCCCAAACGCCCTCCACTTGAACCTTGGGAGCCAATTGGTAGCGCAGGAACTCGCGCGTGACCATTGCAGGTCCTGTTGGATGAAGCGGGCGATGTTGGGCCGGGGCCCGCGCGGCAGGGTTAGCGATGCCAGGGTATGTATCATGGTGTTCATGGGATGTGTAATGTGGAATTCCCAGGCGGGGGTCAAGCAGACAATGCTTTATGCCCTGGAGCAAGCAACGAAGCTACGGCTTGTACGGTGCCACAGCCCCCCCGTGTAGCTTCGCTGTGATCCGCGCTATACGGGTGCCGGTACACGGCAACCGTTGCTAACGGCTGTACATCCTCACCGATATCACACAGCGCGTCCAAGAAGTCCCACAACATGTTGGTGTCTTGCGCTGAAGTCACGAAGTTCGGTTTGCGCATCGAGGCCTGTGACTCCCCGATGGAGGCCCGCAAAATGATGTTGTTCCTGTGGCTCCAGCCGCCCATGTCGTTGAACCTGTTTTCGAGCAACCGCGTCTGCTTCATGGCCTCCAGCGCCTGAGGCAGGTGTGCGGAGTTGAGCACGCTGTGCCCAAAAGTGTTTATGAAAGCCCCCCGAGCGATTTGCTCGACCCCGGAGGCAAGCGTTGGGCGGGGATGTGACACGGCACGATCCTGCAGAGGGGGTTGGGAAAGGTGGTTGGGAGGATGTTAGTCACGGGTTGCAGTCAGTCGGTTGCACCCGTAATCAATGTGTTGTTGGTGGTGTTGGTGGTGTTGGTGTTGGTAATGGTGGTGGTATCAAGTCCATGTCATCATCATCAGCGGAATGGAGCGCTGGCGGGGGCAACTGATCCAGTGTCTACATTGTAAGCCAGCAGATGTTCGACTACCAAGTGGCACACACTGCCCCTAACACCTCATTCCCGCCAGACGCGCATCCCTGCCCCTGGAAATCTTGGACACCTAACGGGTTCAGCACCCAACAAGGCAGGTTCTGATCCGCTAGTTGCTTGCCGCTCACGACCCACATACCGGGTACCCGTATCCCCAGCATACGTGCATGCCCCTCCCCGCTCCGAAACCCATGCACTCACCACCAAACCCGACTCGTATATTTCGCGAAGCACCCGCACCGCCTCCGACATGCCCATCGTAGCCACTTTCCGGTACGAATACTCGCCCACAATCATCTCCTGCGAAAATGCAGCACTCGCGCCGCACCGCCGCAGCAGCTGTGTCAGCCCCAACGGAGACGCCCCGCTGTTCGCCAGCTGCAGCCGCCCCCGCAGCCCCAACGCGATGTCATCTGGCAGCATCAACACGTCCTCGTAACACGACAAACTGCGCGACACGAGCCGTTCCAGCAGGGCGAAAGGTACAGAGCCAATGACTTCCGGTCGGCTGAGCAGCCACACCACAATGGCAGCCAGGGGTCGGGGAAGCGGCTGCTCGCCGGCGGTGTTGATGAGGGAGGCGATGAGCTCCGCCGCATCTGTTGCTGGGAAGGCCGCACCGGCATCGGCCTGGCCGCCTGTGGTGGCATCATTTCGTACTGGCAAGCTGCGCTGCGGGCTGCGTTGTGGGAGTGCAGGGGCAGCTTCCGCTGTCACCGCTTCCGCTGTTGCTGCCGTTGCTGTTGCTGCTGTCACCGCTTCCGCTGTTGTTGCTGCTGCTGCTGTTGCTGCTGTGCGCGCTCCTTCCTGTGGTCCTGAAACCAGCTTCCCCTGCTGCTCCTGCTCCTGCTCCTGCTGGTGGCCTAGTAAGGCAACCAGAGCAGCAGCCATGATTTCCGAAGCAGCATTGGCTGACTCACACAACAGCGGGAAGCTGCCGTTCTCCGGTTCCAGCTCCGAAACCACATTCTTGGCCGCCGCAGCACCCGCACTGCGCACCTGCCGGCTCAGCCGCTCCTGCAGCACCTGGCCGCCCAGCCGCTCCTCCGCCTGCGGGAAGAGCTGCTGCAGCAGCGGCAGCACGGCTGCTAACACGCGGCTGGGCTCGACAGCAGCAGGCCCTGCCGACAGAGATAGCAGCGCGCGTACGACTTGCACCGACCGCTGTAGAGGCCAGGAGAGCAACACGCTCTGCTGCCCCTGCTGCATGTGCTGCTGCGTTTGCACTGCAGCTGCGGCGGTGGCGGTGGCGGTGGCAGCAGGAGCAGCAGCTGCCGTCTCGGCGCCGGAGTCCTGCTCCTCCTCCTCCGTTTCCCTCACCTTCCACCCGTCTCCTCCCAGCAACCTGCCCGCAAGCAGCTGCAACAGCTCCTCTCGCAGCCACCAGCCCGACCTGCCCTCCAGCACCAGCACCACTGCCGCCACCTCCTCCAGCGGCAGCACACGGAGCCCCGGCTCCGCTGCCTTTGCTAGTGCTGCCCCCGCGGCCCCCGCAGCAGCACCCGCAGTAGGCAGGAAGTGCACAAGCGCGCTTGCAGCGGTAGCGGGCGCCAGGGTTTGCGTGCTGGCGGGAGCTGCTAGGCGCTGGAGCAGGCTGTTGGCAGCGTCCGGTGACACCCGGCCCGGGATCTGGGCGTATATGGCCACCAGTTGGGCTAGCTGGGGCGGCAGGAGCAGGTCCAGGGAAGCCGCGCTGCCAAACACAGCTGCCCAGTCCTGCTGCTGTTGCTGCCCCTGCATTGCTGCCTCTGCTGCCTCCGCTGTTGCCGAGGTACCGGTACCTCTCTGCTTACCGGCGGTACCCAACGCGCTACAACGGTGCGCCAGCCACAGCCGCTGCAGCGCAAGGAGGGCCGCCAGGGCGGGCGTCTCCACCCACTGCTGTGGCGCGGCAACAGCCCTCTTCTGCTGCCGCCGTAGCAGCCGCCCCAGCAGCCGCTGCGCCACCTCCTCACCCAGCCCGCACCCGCTAAGCTCCAATCCGTACCACACCGCCACCGCATCCCCAACCTCCGCCGCCTCCACCACTCCCTCCAGCTCCCGCTGCTGCTGCTGCTGCTGCTGTTCCATGCGGCCCAGGAACTCCTCCCGCAGTCGCACCCACAGCACCTCCTGCTCTGCCGTCTGCTCCACATCCGCCGCCAGTCGCCTCGTTTGGCTACAGTAGGTTGCCAGAAGCCCCAGCTGCCGCATGCTGGCTGCCTGCAGCGGCACGCGCAGCAGCACCCGCTCGCGCAGGCATGCGGCCAGCTCGTCCGACGGTGACCAGGGCAGCACCGGCAGCAGCACGGTTGTGAGCGCAACTTCCAGCTGGCTCCACACCTCCTGCCACTGCTGCTGCTGCTGTTGTTGTTGTTGCTGATGCTGCTGGAGGGCGGTTTGGGTGGTGTTCTTGTTGGCCTTTCTCTTGCTGGGGGTGCTGCTGCCGGGGCTGCTGGTGGCGGTGGTGGTGGTGTCGTTCTGGCTGCTGCTGCTGTCGAGCTGCGCCGCTAGGTCCCTGCAGAGTCCCGAGCAGTAGGCTGCCAGTGGAGCCCCCAGCCGCGTGCAGTCCATGCCCGTGTCCAGAACGGCACGTAACAGCACCTTCCAGTCCACAGTACTCAGCCCCGGACCGCCGCCGACTCCTCCGCTATCCTCACCGCCCAGGCTGCAGCTGCTGCTACCGGTCCCAACCTCCGCCCAATCGCATAGCGAGATTGCTACATACTTCAGTAGCCCATCCAACCGCCCTGCACCGCCACCTGCCGAACCCGCAGCCGCCCCCGCTGCCGCTCCCCCCTCCTGCCCTTGGCCACCGCCGCTGCCGCCGCTGCCACCGCCTCCCACCAGCCTCCGAATGGAGCCATCCGCACAGCCTGCCACCACTCGTGACGCCACGCGCAGCAAGTCCACAAGCAGACCGGGCGACGGCAGGAAGGCGGCGGAGGTGGCGCCAAAGCTGAGAAGCCTCCGCCGCCGTGCATCTAGCAGCATTGCCGCAGCCGCCTGTAGCCACTGCGGCTCCAATCGGCCCATGAAGTCCGTGTCCGTGAGGGTTACAGCGGCGGAGGAGCCCTTCCCTGCGCCGCCCTTGCCCGCCGGCCCCTTGTTAGCACCCTTGGCAGAGCCCTTACCACCGCCGCCGCCGCTGCCGCCGCCGCCACTGCCGCCGCTGACGCTGCCGACGTAGGCCCGCGTCAGTTCGTTCGCCGTCACCGCCGCCACCACCATCTGCAGCTCCGCGGGCCTGTACGGCGGCATGGTGCAGCGGACAAAGGTGATGTGTGCGCGCTGCCACGCGCGCTGCGCACTGCTGCTTAGGGGTGACGACGATGACGCCGAGGACGATGATGCCGACAAGGAGGAAGAGGCAGCTCCCGCAGCTCCGCTAACCCCAGGGATTGACTTGTCGCTGCCGTTCCGCAGCACATGCGCCGCGCCCAACAGCAGCCCCAACTCATAGGCGCTGTAGCGAGCCCAGATGGGCGTTCCAGCCTTGAATCCCGGCGGCGGCACCTCCGGCGTCACTCGCTTCTCCGCCTCCGTCAGCAACGTATCTACGAAGGATGAGCTCTTAAGTACGGCACCCAGTAGCGCCAGGCCTGCAGCCGCGTACGACAGATCTCGAGTAGACAGCTTGGGGCTGGACATAAAGCCCTGCACCAGATTGCCGTACGATTGTAGCCAACGGTCGGACAGCGGCACCCCCAACAGCGCAATCTGCCACACCGCCTCCACAAGCAGCGCGGGCTTCTGCTCAAAGACGGGCATGGCGGCGTCTTGCAGCAGGCTGGCGGCTAGGGCTTGCAGCAGCTCCTGACGCGCTTCGAACAGGGCAGCAGCAGCCGCGTCGGTAGCGGTGGGTGAGTTTTGCATGCGCTCTTCAACATCCACATCCGCAGAAACGCCTACAGCGCTATTAGCTCCGCCGCTGCTGCCGCTGCCGCCGCCGCTGCTGTTGCTGAGCTGTCCGATGTTCCTAGCCAGGCTGACCAGTACCTCCGCGGGCGCAGTGCGCAGGGAGGTCAGGGCGGCGCGGTACACCCTCGTCAGCAGCCCGGGAGGCGGAGTGTGGTTGCAGGCAGTACAGGCGGTGAGCAGGTAGGCTGCGGCCTTGACGCTGAAGCCGCCGCCGGAGGCGCTGCTGCTGCTCCTACTGCCACCCTTGTCGCCGCTGCTGCCGGCTTGCTGCTGCTGCTGCAGTTCAGAGTCTAGCTGTTCCAGCATGCGGCGGAACAGTCGCTGCCGCCGCTGTCGGACCTCCCCGCTAACGGCAGTGCCACTGCCGCCGCCTCGAGGAGAAGCAACAGCACCAGCACCAGCACCCCCACTGCTGCTGCTGCCGCCTGCTCCGCTGCTGCTTGCGTCCGTGCCGCTGCTGCTACCGCCGCTGCTGGTAACGCTGTTGGACCACTCCAGGGTGACAAACAGCGCATGTGTGGTGGTAGCAAGCAGCTCTGGCCCCGGCTGCAGTGACAGCAGCCGCTCCGCAGCGGGCAGCAGCAGCGGGCCGGCGGTGGGCGCCGCGGTTTCCTGGGGGACACAACGAGTGGGGTGAGGAGGAGGAGGAGGAGAGGAGGCAAGGCGAGGCGTCTGGAGGGGGGGATCCCGGGGTCGAATAAGTATTGCCGGGCTGGGTGTACAAGCGACAGCCAGCAGATGTAAACCCCCGGTGGGCTTGCAGCCCTTCAGACAACTGGAATCTTCGCGGCGGTGCCCGCAGCTCGTCTTGCAGTTCCTTCCCTTCCCCCCCCACCCCTTGTACTGTTGCGTTTTGCTGTCACCTCCAACCCACAGCCTGGCCTGCGTGTAACCCTAACCTCGCTCATCACCCCTCCCTCACCCCCACCCCACACACCCCCTCCGCCCCTCCGTACCGCGACCGTCTCTCCGAGCTTTGCGTCCTTCTCCACCTGCATCTTCACCGCAGTCACCCGCAGCGCCCCCGCGGCAGCGGCCAGCAGCTCCCCCAGCTCCCCCGGGCCCTGCAGCCCCTCCTGCCCCTCCTCCTGCTCCTCGCCCCCGCCGCCACCTGCGGGCGGCTGCTGCACGCGCTCCCCCACCTTCCCCGCCTCTGCCACCTCCACCTCCGCACGCAGAGATCGCACCAGCAGGGCGTCCACATCCTGCGTGCGTGTGCGGGCACCCACCGGGGACGTGTCCGGACATCATGGCACAGTCGTTCCTACACGCGACCAGTTTCCTCCCTCTTTAACACACGTCTCCAAGCGTTGAAGCTCCTTCTTCCTCAAGGGCGAGCTGGGTAAGTTGCCGGTAGCCCAGCACTTACTACCGGCATGCCCTCTGTATGTAACTCTGGGCAACATGGTTCCATCCCAGTTGCTCGGTACACTGGGCACGCGTGCTGAGTGTATTGCTTAGCGGCTTTGATCCCCAACCCCAACCCGCCCCTGCTCCCAGTCCCCACCTCCCGCATCTTGATCCGATGGTGCCAGCCCCGCGCCCCCGGCACCGCCAGCCCCCGCAGCAGCAGCGCCGCCCTGCGGGCACTCCAGTCCGGGAAGCCCCTGGCGCGCCAGTGGTGCAGCGCCGCGAAGAACACCTCGCTCTCCGGGAAGGCCTGTCCCAGCTGCGCCAGCGGCAGCACAGCGCCCTCCAGCAGCTCCCTCAGCACACGGTCTGATGAGAGGGAGGAGGCGGTGGCGGCGCGGGCGGTCTCTGCCTGTGGGTGGGTGGGTGTGTGACAGGGTGTTAGGGCAGGGTGGGACGGGTGTGGGCGGGTACAGGGGCACGGGTGCTTGCCAGCAGTTGAGGTTTGACATGTATGGCAAGGAAAGGAAAGGCGGCAAAAGAACCCAAGTAACCGGGTTCGGCCAAGCCCCCGCACAGGAAACACAGGGCGCCTGGTTGCTGCTGCTTTCCTCCCCAGCCTTGAGGTGTGCAGGCGGCCACCCACCTTGAACCTCGTCGACTCGAACAGCGCCGATATGAGGCCTGGTTCCATCCCATTCACAACCTGCCGTACAAACACCTCACACGCGCGTGCAATCGGGCCCATCACCCCCTCCGGCACCGACACACCCCATGCGGCGCAGGTCCGCAGCAACCCCGTGATCAACTCCAGGGAGGCGCTGCCGGCCGCAGCCGCTCGGCCCACGTTGGCGGCCAGCGGCTCCAAGACGTCTGTGGGTTTGGGGCCCTGTCGGGGTGCCGCGGCGCCGAATGCTTGCGTCGCCGCCAGCAGCTGCCGGGAGTCCTCGGGGCTGAGTTGCATCAGGCGGGGCTGCAGCAGCTGTAGCGAGGTGGAGAGGAGCTCACGTGTGGGGGAGTGGCGCATGCGGGCCAGCGCGGTTAGGGCCTGTTGTGGGGTGGGGGTGGGGTAAAATTATATAATAAGTGCATGAGTGTGTGGGGGTGGGGAGGGAAGGAGCGAGTAGGGAGGGAAGATGCGTTCAAGAGGGGCTCCAGACGCACCAACAAGCACGGTAACAGAGTTATAGTAAGGGCAGGGTAAGAGCATGTGTTGTCTTGCCTTACAAAACAAGGATTTCTCTCCAACCTGTTGTCTGCGCAAACTACGTTACGTAAAGCCTTGTGAACGGAGCGTTCCTGATCCAGATACCGGTAGACCGTCCCCCGCGAGCTCTCTCAATGGACAATGGCGCAATCCCCCGGGGCCCACGCCTACCTCCAATCCCAGTCAACCCACCCACCCACCATAATGAGCATCTTGGGCAGTCCCGCCATCGCCTCCAGCCTGCCCCTCAGCACCGCCTCCAGCACCTTGGCGCCCTTGCGGCTGCACCGCTCGCCCGCCCGCGCCGCCACCGCAGCCGCCAGCTCCACCACCTGTGCCGAGGTCAGCGCGGCTGCTGGAGGCTGCTGCAGGCTGAGGGCTGCGGAGGCTGCTGGGGAGGTTGCGGCTGTGGTCGAGGCAGGTGAGGGCCCGGCTGGGGTTGCTGCGAGCGGGCCTAGGCAGCGGAGCTCCCGTGCGATCTGCTGCAGTTGGGCAATGCTGCTTGCAGCTGTGGCAGCCATAGCAGCAGCAGCAGATGGCGGGTCGGCACCGTTCAGGATCGCCTCCAGCAGCTCCTCAGGATCCTGGGAGCCATCTGAGGCCGCAGCAGCAGAGCGACGTGACTTGGACGCCGTACCCTTCCCTGCCGCCCGGCTGCCCTTGCCGCCGGCGCCCTTGTCGCCGCCGCTGCTACTCCCCTTTGACCTCTGCGGGCCCTCCTTCTCCTGCGGCTGCTGGTGCCGTCCCCTCTGCAGCTCCGCCACGCCCTCCACCAGCTGCTCCGCCAGCTGCCTGCGCTGCTGCTGCACGCCACCCTCCTGCGTCAGCCACACCTCCTCAGCGACGCCCGCCAGCCACTTCACCCAGTCCACTCGCTGCCGCTGGGAGCCCTCTGGGCGGCCCCTTCGGCCCGCCTGCTGGCTGGCACCTGGAGCCGCGTCGGATGGGGGTGTGCGACACCACAGCACCAGCAGCCGGACCAGGGGCACCAGGTCTAGGCGCTGCGTTGGAGCGATGAGGGTGCTGACAAGGTGCGCGGGAGTGGGGGAGGTTGCTGCAGGTCCCGCTTTTGATGGCGGCTTGTGTGCGTTTGTAGGAGCCTTCTTGCCGACTTTGGCGCGCTGGGCGGTTGTTGTGGTGCGGGTACTATCATTGTCGCTGCTGCTGCTGCTGCCGTCGCCGCTGCTGCTGTCCTTCTCTCCAGAGCCGCCTCCCTCGGGCTTGGCAGCCGCCGTGTCAGGCGGCGCTAGCAAGCCCTCCAGCCTGCGGGGAACGCACACGCACACGCACAAAAGGGCTCGCGGCCAGTTTTCCGTAATACGCAAAAGGAGGCACACACGCAAGGTGCCCCACAGGGAACATCATAAGCAGGGGAACCCCATCGTGAAAAGTATGCTGCATGCACAGAGGCTCGTCTTGCTCCCAATGCATCTGCTTGGAAAAGAACGCACATAACTTGCACAATCACTACTACAACCGCACGAATGCATTCCATTGCGATTTGCCCCCTTGCCACAAACGCACCCAGTAGTCTCTAGCTCCCGCGGATAGGCATCCTGGATAAGCTCATCCACACGCCCGGTAACGGCCTTAACGAATTCAGTTGGTTGTTGCAACTTGAATTGCTCCACGAGGGCAACCGCCGCTGCCAGATCAGTCATGCTGGCATCCCGCCGTAACCGTTCCGTACATCCAGGCCCCTCCACAACTGCCGTACGAAGGTAGTCGCACAACTGCTGTCGTACCTCGCTCGGTAAGCCATCCCTGTTGTTGTTAATGTTGCTATTACTGTTGCTGCTGCTGGTAGTATCTGTGTAAATTTGGAGGATAGCAGAGAAGGCTACTTCCAAGTCGGGAAGGGTGGGTGGCGAGGTGGCGTTTCGGGCGGCTGTCACGAGGGCCGCGCCCAGGGTGGTGGCGGGCGGCGCGCGAAGCCGGGGAAAGACGGTTATTACGGCAGCGAGGCTGGGAATGACGGTTGTCAGTTGCTGGAAGGAGGTGAAGCTCAAGCGGTGCGTCAGCTCGTTGATCAGGCTGGGAAGGCGCGCCTGAGGGAATGGTAGGTAGGTAGGTAGGTAGTAGGTTCGTTCGGAGGTTAAGGCCGTCAGAAAGGGTACGGTATGAACCGCCATCCGCACAACGATGGCTATGGATCCGGTACAGAACACATGTGCACATGTTAAACACGTTAATCCTTATATTTCATGGCTTTGACGACGTCGTTACGCTGTATGATTGCAGCCTGGTCGTGTCATGCAGGTGTTTGGGATCCACACTAGGTGAGGACCCACACAGCTTCAGCCTATACAAAACCCCTCCTCCTCCCTCCTCCTCAAGCCCTCTCCCACAGTCCCACTACCCCAACAGGCCTCCAACCGCCACCTCACCTCCGCACGATCCCGTTCTCCGGCCGTCGCGGACTTCCCGCCCCGCCCCAGGCACCTCGCAAACGCTGCCAGGAGCTGCACCTGGTAGAACCCGGCAGCGGCGCTGCTGCCGTGCTTTGCGTCAATGCGCAGTACGTCCTCCACGCTTCCGGCGCTGTCCAGCTGCTTTAGAATCAGGCTGCTCGCTGGAGAAGCGCGAGGAGAGGTGTCGGTTTTTGGTGCGACATTCCTGGCAGGCTGCTGTGGTTGTGGTGGTTGCTGGTTGGGCATGGATGGGCCACTGCGTGGTGCTGCTGGGATGGGACGTCCACGCGTTTGTGAGATGGAGAAGAGTACATGTGGACGTGGTCTAAAATGTGTTGGCGGTTCCACGGTGATTGGGGTTTGAGAGGAAGCCGAGGTTCCGAGTCGGCATGCTCCATGCGGGGCCGCCGGAAGCACCGACGGGCGATCCTGTTGCCAGCGAATAGGTAAACTCAATTACGAGAGCATTGTTGCATACAATTAAGGCGGCAGGATAGCGCCCAGGCCCACTACCGGCGAAAAGGCACTCGCAAAGCGTGCGATTGCCGGCCAACTTTTCCAACCAGAACAAAAACAGGTGTGCGACTGCTCGTAACGAGTAAGGCTGAAGGTAAAGCTACGTTTTCAAGTGAATTTACAGCTGCGGCGACAATCTCTTGTCGGTCGACAAGATACAGTCTCACCAGTGGCAGGGCAAGTCCGCGCGGTGTCGCCATCTCTAAGTTAATCCCAGTATTTGCGTGTATCAAATGGGCACTGGGATCAAGCGAAAGGATCTAGCATTTTTCCTGGCATGTTACGCTGCAAGCGCCGAGCCATTCGGGCTATCTATGGCTAGTATCAGAGGCGTAACGCAAAACGAATTGCCAAAGTGTGCAAAGCGCTCATTCGATTATGGTGTGCAAGGAACCCGAATACCGGTACTGCATTCAGTTCACGATCCCATTCGTGGCCCGAAAGGTGTCGCGGGACCAGGCGAAGTCGTCCATTATCGTCAAACTACGGAAGCGATGACCCCACAATTAACACATGCTGGCGATTGAGATTCGCCGACTTCGGCCGGCGGTTGGCATTCCAACGACGGCGCGTGTTCCAGCGGGTCAAACTGCTAAGCACAAACTAGCGTTCTATAGTGTTCTGTTACCCTACCCACGAGTTAGGCCTAGGATATACTATAGAATTCTGGGGCTGGGCCGGCTGTAGGGTTCCAGTTCGTACCGGAACACCGCCTAGCAATGCAACATACGCCAGCCCAGCTATCCTGACAGCCACCAGCGCTCGTGTGCGGCAGGTCCCATGGCCTGCCCACTTTCCAGTGCTCGTGTACCGCATTTGCTTTAATCCCTAGGACCGAGCGTCACCAGCGGCACGCCCTCCGCTTCCGGTGGCGTTCCCAGACAATTCAATCCAATGAATTCAATGCCAGCAGGTCAGCCCTCACCGTCCGCATCAGCACCCGTGCCTGCATCAGCACCCGAGCTTGAAGCGCGAAACGCCAACATGTTGCTCGCTTGGCTCCGTGACAAGCAACGCAAGGTGACGACGCTTCTCCTCTTCCCATCATTGTATGACAGACGAGCAGGACCAGCGCTCCCTTGGGGTCTGAAATGGACGGCTCCCTGGATAGAGGCGCCTAGTGACATTCATCATGAGCAGGAGGAAAGAAACAAAGAAAGGAACAGATCGGTGCCCATGTGCCGCCACTTTTGAGCCAAGAACAACGCTAAAGCATGAAGCCTTACCATGCAGCAGTCCTAGGTCCTGCCTGCATGTGGGATCCATTTTCTCCTTTCCTGAACAGCCCTCAAATGACCCATGGGTCCATCCAGCCTACATGCCAGGCAGAGGAACCCCAGCCGCTCATCCAGACACGTAGGAGGAGTGCGGGTAACGCGGGCCACCAAGGGCGGAGACCGCATAGACGATGAGGGACAACAGCAAAGTGCAGAGTTTAGATGTGCGAGCTGGACAGCTGTGGTTTCTGCTTTGCCTGGACGAGGGCCTGAAGTTGCAGCACCTGGTCATCCTTCCCAGTGCAACTACAGGATTGTAAACGGGCACGGGTTACTCGGGCATTACAGAAAGCGCCATCCTCCGTGGTGGCTCCAGACAATGGCCTGCAGCCAGGATAGAACTAGTACCCCTTCACCTCATGTCCGTGAAAGTAACAGTTGCCAGTTTCCAGGGTGGCGGAGCTAACTCCACAACTCGCACATCTACATCCCGAAACCTGAAACCGTAACTACACGACCATCGTCATGAGCGGCAATGCTAGACCACAGGACCACACACCACTCGCACCGCTCGTCGCATGCCCGCCCAACATCAGCATCCACACACATCTCCCCACCCGAACAACATTGCCCCAAACCAGCTGCCCCCTCCCCTGAAACCCACACGGTCACTAATCCTCCATTGATAACCCGGGCACGCCTTGATCTTCACCAATCCAAACATCCCGCTCTTAGCTCCTGCCTTCACCTCCCCTCTTCACTGATCCAAACCCTCAAGCCGACCCTCCCCTTCCTCCTCCCTGCACCGCCACTCTCACAGCCCCTTTACTTGGAGCCGGCGCGCGCCTTGATCTTCACCACCTCATCCAGGTACTGCACTCCGTTGCCGGTGTACGGATTGGGCTTCCGTACAGATCGGATCTCGGCCGCCACGCGCTTCAGCTCGTCCAGTTCCAGGCCGTACAAGTACAGCAGAGTGGGCTTCAGGAAGAAGGCGCGGATGTGGGGCGGCAGGGGGTAGACGGCGGTGCGGGAGTAGCCGACCTGCGCGGGAGGGGGAAGGGGGAAGAGGAGCGGAGCAGGGTTTTGATGAAAATTGGAAGGGAAGAAAGGGTGTGGGGGGAAGGTACGAATGACAGCTTTTGCGGGAGGGCTGGGATGTAAACGCAGGGGGGATTCGTATGTTAGGTGTTAGGTGCAACCAGTTGCTGCAACGCTCCGCACACGCCCCAACGCACATTCCACATTAACTCGGACATCTCTATGCGCCAAGGAAGCACCCAGTCATGGGCGGGATAAATGCAACCACCTGGTGGGAAGCCTACATGGCACGTGGTCACCTCCTTCCTTCCTCTTTACCCACCCATCACTCCTCCCCGCACACCCACACACACTCACGGCCGGTTTTCTCAACACACACCCCTTCCACGCACCTTGAGTCGGATGGCCGAAGCGGGCTTGTTGTAGGGGAAGGCGACGTTCTGCTGCTTGTCGCCCGCAGCGCCCGGAGCCTCGAAGTAGTAGGGCTTGGGTGCGGCGCCGTCGGGGGCGCGGGAGCGGCGAGCCAGCTGCGTAGGGCTCAGACGCACGGAGCGAATCATGTCCTGGGAGGGAGGCAGGGAGGGAGGGAGGCGGGAGGGCAGGGCATGGGGATTAGACGACTTGAACCGCAGTGGGGGGGCAGCGGAGGGAAAAGGGCGCGAGGAATGGGGAGAAACGGGAGCTCCGGTGCCGCACAACGCTATAACATTGATACGAGTTTGTAAGCATGGAAAGCTTGGGGGAGCCTACGACAATTCGATACCGGTACTTAAAAAGGTTGTGGGCTGGAGAGACGCGTGCCCTCCACCAGCGCCTCCCTTCCGCCCTCCCCCCTCACCTCCGACACCTCCTCCACCGGCTCCATGCGGTAACCCACTCCCTTCACCGTAAGGCCCAGCAGGTATCCCGCCATCACCCCGCGGATGGCCTTGTTCAGCTCTCCGCCCAGCGCCTCGAACCGCCCCTTGTGCGGGCTCACCACCACCAGCATGCTGCGGCCGCCGGAGGGGGAGGCGGAGGCGGGGGCTTTGGAGCCGGCAGCTGGGCTGGAGGAGGAGGTGGAGGGAAGGCGGAGGAGGCGCAGCGCGATGAGGCCGGTGGGGTCCAGCGCCTGAGGAGGGGGCGGGGTGGGGGGGCGTTGCTCAGAGCGTGAGCCGTTAGCAAGGCATGCCGCCCTGCACCCTAACCACTACCAGCCCCTAACCGCACCTGTCGTACCCCGCCCTACTGCCACCCTCTCTCTTGCATCACCCAGGCCTCACGGAACTGCAGGGAGAAGGAATACCGCACCTGTAGGCTCAGACGGATGGTCCCCGCCTTGCCGCTCAGCACCAGTGTGCGCCCTGGCTCCTGCGGCGTCCCCTCCTGGATCTCAACCGCCACCTCGGGAGGGAAGCGTACGACACTGCGGTGCCAGCGGATCTCGCCGGAAGGAGCCTTCAGGCGTTCGAGCTCTGGGAAGGGCTGGGGCGCGGGGCGGCCGGTGCGGACCGAGTAAGGCACCTTTGGCTGCAGTACCCGGTTGGGAATGCGGTAGGCGCGGAGCTGCTGCAGTTGGAGCTGAGGACCGTTCATGATCGAGCAGCTGCTGGGCATGGTGAAGGCCATCGCCGGCGCGCTGTCGCAGCGCGGGTGGGATTGGAGATGCGAGTAGGATGTTGACGGTGAGCTAGTCCCATCAACATCAACGCTGCTAACGGAGCATGACTCCGTGCATGAGTCCCAGCATGTGACGCCTGTGAAGGAAGGAGGCCAGCGCACAATCAAGCGGTCGATGATGAAAGGCAGCACAACACAGACAGGTGGACTCTATTTCGAAAGTTGCCGGGTGATACCTTGAGAGGCCGACCAGCCTTGCTGAAAGAGCTGCTGCAACGGCCTCGCCTGCACGCTTCCTGGCAGTCCGCCGGAGGCTGCTCGCGCTAGCCCAGACAACATTCTTGTTACGCTACAGAGCTTGAAGCTACACTATGGCAACTCTATTTATAAGTAATTGATTATAGGAGAAGCTCTCGTGTCGCCGAATGGTTGCGGAAACGGCTATCGGTAAAGCATTGCGCCCGAGCGAAATATCTTCCAACTTGAGAATGTTTATATAAGCAGTGCTCAAGACAGCAGGTTGGCGTTGAGTGGCCACGTAGATTGGCACGACCTTGCACGGCGGGATGGGGTACGTATCCGGATGATCTAATATGCTTATGGGCAACCTGTCCGACCTAATCCACTGAACTTATAAGCTGTGTTATTGCTTGCAAAGTGCATGCCAGTATGCACGGCGACTAGAGTCATGCTACACCAGAACGGCCATTTCGTTTGCCGATTGCATTCTGACACATGAAAGCGAATGCTTGTTGCGCACAAGTTGCGCAAAGGCGAATGCCATAGGCGTGAGCTCATTGTGCAGACTCCTGGCCGGCTCGTCATACCTCGATGGAGCGGCCTATCGTAGCGACGCAGCCCGCCCGCCTTGGGGATGTTGCGATGTCGTCACCGGGCTTAGCTAACTCGTACTTGCGCAGCGGCGATGGTTGCCTCCGACTGCGCTCCGCGACGCCGCTGCTGCTGCCGGGGAGGCTAAATGGCGGGCCGTTATTCCCCGGCCCTGCACTTCCAGCACCAAGGCTGTCTCTGGCTAGCCGTGAGTCGCATGGAGACGCACCTCGCTAACTGTGGCAAAATGAAAATCCTGCAGACTCCTGACTACCACCGTCTGCCACTTCTGGCCCTGCTAGTCCCGTCATAGATGGCGTACGTGCTAATCGCCAGCTGCTGATTCGCTGTCGTGGCGTGTTGCTGCCGCTGTTCCCCCTTTCCTACTCCTCCGCATAACGCGCCCGCAGGTCGTTGCTGGCTGCTGCTGCCCGCATGCCACCGCCGTTTCCTGTCACCGCCTCTGCACACTGCTGGGGCGCCTAGAAGGAGCAGCTGCAGCAGCGGGTGCAGCGGCGGTTATGGGGCCCACAGCAGCTCCAACGGCAGCAGCAGTTGTGTTGGCGTCAGCAGTGGCAGCAGCAGCAGCGGCGGTGGTGGTGGTGGTGGTCGGCTGGTGTGCACCCGGGCTGGAACGGATGCGGGGTCGGGTGGGGTGACGTCACCAGGCGACCGCAGCAGCAGCAGCGGCGATGACGATGACGACGGCGGCGGCGGCAAAGATAATGACGACAGCAGCACTGGCGGGGATAGCGAAGGAGGAGGAAGGAAGGCCGGGAACGAGGCAGCAACAGCAGCAGCAGCTGACGTTGATGCACCTCCACCAGACATTGTGACCACCGCCGCCGCTGCCGCTGCGGGCCCCGCTGCTGCTACTACTGGTGGCAGTGCTGTTTCGGCTGGTGGTGTTTCGAAGCCGGAAGTGGCCCGGGGGGACCGCACCCGCCTGCCCGGTAGCACCGCCACGCCAAGTAGCGGCGGCAGCGGTGGCAGTAGCAACGTAGCTGCTGCTGGTACTGCTGCTGCTGCTGCTGCTGCTGCTACCAATGACGAACCCCGCGGCAGTAACAGCAGCAGCGGCAGCCTTGACATTTCCGGCAGTAGCGGCAATGAAACCACCACCACCACCACCACTAGCTCGACCGCCAACAGCGGCGGCGTCGCCTTGCCATCCATGGGCCCTACACCCGCCTGTGCTTCCTCCTCCTCCCCCTCCCCAGCCGCCCCCTCCCTCCCCTTCCTGGCTGGCTTCCGGGAGCGGGTGGGCGACCTGCGGGAGGTGCTGGTGGGGGCGGTGCAGGGGCTGGGCAGGTCGCTGGATACATGGTAGGGGGCCGGGGGAGTGGGAGGGGCGCCAGGGGGGTAGGGGCAATTGAAGGGGCACGGGGATGGCGTCTGGGGGTGAGAGGAGGTGTAGACGAAAGAACCCCGGCGGTGCTGCGGCTCCTGTCCTGCAATGGTGCTACCGGTATGTTCTGCCGCTGTCTGAGCCGCGACCACTCACCTCCTGCGCGCTCACCTGCCATCCATGCACCCACCCACCCACCCCGCCTCCAGGTACACCCGGCTAGCGTTCGTGCTGGGGCTGCTGTGCGTGCTTGTGACGGGGGTGTTGAATGCGGTGCTGGTGCCGGTGGTCAACGTGCACGTGCTGCCGGTGTGGGAGGCGAGGGCGGCGGAGGTGATGCAGCGGCAGGTGGGGGCCGGGCGGGCGGGCGGGGCTGGTGACGGTTTCTTTTTTATGCGCTTCACACCGCGTCGCATGTTACCGTATTTTCACTTGCATGTGCTTGTTGACATGTGGATCTTTAACCTACCCCCCCACTTACACATCCAACTCCGCCAACCCTACCCCATACATACACTGAGCACCTTGCACCGCACCGCAAGAACAACAACCGACAAACCGCACCGACCGCTTGGAACCACCACGACCGCAACCACCAACCACCACCAACCGCCAACCGCCATGCAGGTATCCCTGGGCCGCATCCGCTGGGTGGGTCTGGGCGGCGTGACGGGTCTGGTGCCGCTGGTGCGGCTGGGGCCGGTGTGGGTGGGTCCCCGGCAGGGCGGTCAGGAGCGCTCGCACCTGTCCGCCCCGCTGCTGCAGCTCTACCTGGAGCCGCTCAGCAGCGCGCTGTATCGTCAGGCGGTGATGAGGCTGCATGCGGAGGCGCCGGAGGTGGGTAAAGGGGAAACAACGAACTGGCCGTGTTATAAGCGGGGGGTGTTAAGGATACCGATAGCGGTAACCAGAGGTGGGAAGCCCTCATACCCGCACCGCTCCTCTTAACCTTAACCTCTCAACCAACTATCCCAACCCGTACCACCACCCTCGCCTCTCTCGCCCCCAATCCAGGTCACGCTGGTGCAGGGTCCCAACTTCTCCTGGTGCGGCTACCCGGAGGACACCCAGGACAACGCGCGCAACTTCGTACCCGGGCTGGCAGGCGGGGGAGGAGGAGCAGGAGGTACGGCAGGAGCAGGAGGAGGACGGGGGTTGGCAGTGTCGGCGGCCAGGGGTGCAACACGTGGAGCAGCAGCGGCAGCGGCGGAGGCGGCGGCGGTTGGACAGGGACAGCTGGCGGCGCCACGTCAGCATCAGCATCAACAGCAACACCAGCCGCATCAGCAGCATCAGCTGCTGCAAGGCGCACACGTTACGAAGCCAGCGGCTCACTCGTCGCCGTCGTCGCCGCCGCCAGCAAAGCCGCCGCTGGCAGCGCTGGTGCACTCTCCCTTCCCGCCGCACCACTCTTCCTCTTCCCCTTCCTATTTTTCCTCTGCTGCTGCTGCATCCTCGTCCGCTGCTGCTGCTGCTGCTGGCAGCTTGGATGCATGGCCAGGTTGGAATGGGGATGCATGCACGGCAGGCGCGGCCAGGGGCAGCACGACTGCCCTTTGGCCCTTTTGGGCCGATCCGTATGTAGCTGCTGCTGGTAAGGAGGGGCAGCAGCAACAGCAACGACCAGAGTTAGCACAGCAGCAGGGGCGGCGGCCGCAGCAAGAAGAAAGGCGGCCTACGATGCAAGGGGACGGGCAACAGGGGTACCTGCAGCAGCAGCAATTTGTACGGGAACTGTGGCTGCTACGGCTGCTTGATAGCGCACAGGAGCGATTGCAAACGGCCGTTTGTGAACGGTTGCTGGATCTACCTGTCGTCGACTGGATGCTACAACCGTTGCAACAGACTCAGCAGTTGCTACAGCCTCCGCAGCAGCAGCAGCAGCAGCAAGCGGCAGTAGCAGCCGACGCGGCTGCTCCTCATGCAACATCCGGGGTGGCTGCTACAACCGCTAACGACCTGTACGGGAGCCCCGCTGCCACTGACGTTCCCCGCAACCTCACACACGCCCTTGCCAGCACCAGCAGCAGCAGCACCAGCAGTAGCACCAGCAGTAGCACCAGCAGTAGCAGCAGCAGTACGACCACAGTGTCTTCATCATCGTCGTCATCGCACCACCACAACCGCCGCGGCCGTCAGCGACCAAACCCGCCACTGACGTCATTGCGGTCGACGTCGACATCATCGTCAACCGCGCCGCCGCTGGCTAGCGTCAGTGGCGCCGCCGCCGTACGAGGTGCCGTACAAGCGCTCCTTCGCGGCGCCAATGGCGGCGCCGCCGCCTCTAGCGGTAACTTGCCGTCGTCCGCCTTACACTTCTCGTCGTCGTCAGCTTCCGCCGGTTCTTCTTCCGCCGCCGTCGCCGCGACTACACTGGCTGCCGCCGACGCGGAGGAGAGCTTGCCGCCGGTGGCCCTTGGGTCGGTTACGATTCGTAACGGCAGCCTGCGGGTGTTCATAGTGGGTGAGTGGGCGGTCTCTGTGTTCCGGTATAAGCACGACTGGGTGGCCTCTTGAAACCAACGAGCTGCCCTTAGATTGAGACCAGCAAGCATGCTCGCATTTCCATTGCCCATCCCTCGGTGGGATGGGCCGGGTCCGATGTAGCAACCCATGGTGAAGCCCCCTCGTCCTATAGCTCGTCAGTTTCCTCTCTGTACCCCCTGCCTCCCCCCCCCTCGCCCTCCCCCCCAGGCGAGCTGCTGCCCCGCCACGTGGACTATGTGAGCGGCAGTGCGGTGTTCGGGCGGCGCTACCGCAGCCTGGAGGTGGCGGTGGAGGGGGACGCGAGGGAGCGGCCGGAGGAGAGCGCAAAGTGCACCATGGTGGGAGGGACAGGGACGGGGGGAGGGGTGGGGGAAGAGAAATACCCCGCCGAATTAGGCGAACTAGGTGACGTCCTGGTGAATGCTTGCTTTTTGCTTAAGACTAAGCACGAGGTACCCCCCCTCCCTCAATGTGCCGCTCCCGCCTCCCGCCTCAGGTCAACCCCAGTGCCAAGCGCCACCTGCGTCACGTGACCCCCGGGTCGGCCGCCGGTCCCTCGCCCCTCCGCCGCTTTGGCTGCGACAACCTGCCGCGGGACACCTCCACACGACTGCACACGGCACCGCCCATCAGCGAGCTGGCGACAATTGCAACTGCGCCAACTGCGAATGCAAATGTGACCGCAACATCGAAATCCACATCGAAATTCACATCAATGCCCACGTCGACGTCAGCCAGAGGTACGGCAGTTAAAACGTCGCCTCCGCCGCTGTTGGAGGTGTACAGCAGCGGCAATGGCAGTGGCGGCGGCGGCGGCGGCCCAACCACTGACCCATGGGTCGCTCGCTACAGCGAGCTGGTGCGCCCCCAGCGCGGCAAGTTCAACAACAGCAGCAACGCCGAGGGGCCTCAGCAGTACCGGCTCCGGACGTACGGCATCCTACAACGGCCGGAAGAGCTGGCGAGACAGATGAAGGCGACGACGACCTCAGATTCTACCTCCGCCCCTACCTCGGCCGCCAGCGGCAGCCGCAGCAGCGGACACGTGAAGGTAGCTGCTGAAGCGGCGGCAGCGCCGGCGGCGGCGGCCAGAGGTGCTTCGATAACGGACGAGGGTGGTGGTGGTGGTGGTGATGGCGTGGGTGGTAGCAACAGGAGCAGCGGTGACAGCACCAGCAACAAGGGTTCAGGTCGGGAGGCCGAGCAGGGGGATCGGAAGCAGGTGAAGGAGGCTGCTGTTGGTGGTGGCGGAAGGGCGGCTAAGCGAAGGCAGCGAGGGCCCTCCCTGCAGCCCACAGGTCAGTGCCTGTCAGGTGGTGCCTACATGTCTTGCCGGCTGCCGTACCTCTCACTGCGCTGTCGCTCCACCTAGAGCCAGGTGGACTCGGCTAGCCCTTTTGCTTTCCCCCCCCCCCACTTCTCAACCCCACAACTTGGCCTCCATCCACGTTACCCCACCAACCTCACTCACTTCCACGCTCCCCGTCCCTCATTCCCCCGCACCCGCACCCCCCAGGCGGCCACCTCTCCGTCTCCCTCACCGCCCGCGGCCTGGGCGGCCCCCCTCCCGGCAGCACCGCCAGCTCCTGGCCCGACCTCTCCCTCACGGTGCGCGGCGGGCGGCTGCACGGCCCCCTGCTGGAACGGCTGCTGGAACTGCCCCTGGACATCCACGCGGGGCGGGTGGACGGGGAGCTGAGGCTGCGGTGCCATGATGCGGCCAGCTGGCAGTTCCCGGAGCTGTACGGCAGGATCAAGTGCAGGGGTGAGGAGGGGGGGGGGACGGGGAGGCGGGGAGGGGAAAGGGTGAGGTGGGGTTTTGTACGCGCACAGTGTGTGTGTTTTGGTGTATGAAGACACGTGCACGTAGGTTTCAGTTTGCAGCTGGATGGCGCTGTCCTGTTTTCTCGACACTGCCGCTACCTCATCCGTGCCCCCTCTTCACCTCCCCCACCTCGCCCCATGTTTGCACCCCATGGTGAAGCCGTGTCATACAGCTCGTCAGTTGCTTCGTCAGTGTCTCATTGTAGTTTTTACCCCACCTCGCCCCAAGGCGCTGACTTCCACTTCTGGGACGCCCCTGACGACATCGTGGGTGCTGACGTGGACCTGGTGCTGGAGCGCGGCCGCATGTACCTGCTGGGGGCGGTGGGGCGCTTCGGGGCGGTGCCCATCAGCATCACCGGGGACATGGACCTCAACCCGGAGACGGGGACGTACAGGTGGGGGGATGGGGAGGGGGCTGGGGGGCCTTTTGTTTCGTAACAATCTGCTTCCCTCTATCCGCATTGCTTTACCCTAACCTGTGGTTTTGGTATATGTCTGAGCTTGCCCACCCTCCAATCCCCGCCCCCGGCCCCCAACCTGCCCGCGCAGGCTGCAGTCCAACGTGCCGGGTGCGGGGGTGGAGCTGAATGCGCTGCGGGCCTCGCTGGGGGTGCGGCCGCTGCCGGTCAGCCTGGCAGGGGCGGTGCGGGGGGTGCTGCACTGCACGGGACCGCTGGAGAGACCCATTTTCTCAGGTGGGGCGGTGCGGGGGTAGGCGAGGGGTAAAGGGGAAACGTAGACGACGAGCTGTGTGACGAGGCTTCACGATCTAAGCACCGGAGTAGCACTGAGTATGTGCATGTACCGGTATGTGTGGGGTGCTGGTGGTGGTGGTGGCTGCAGGCAGTGCGGTGGCGGTGCGCCCCTCCCCGGAGCAGCTGGCAGCGGGACTGGAGGCGTGTCCGGCGCTGGAGGCGCTGGTGACCCATGGGTCGGCGGTGGGCGCGTATGACAAGGTGCCGCTGCTGGGGGCGCAGGTGAGAGGCGGGCGGGCGGGTGGGGGAGTTAGGGGTGGGGAGGTGGAGGTCGGGAGGGAGAGAGGATGTTGTGAAGTGAAGTGGAGAGGTGTGCGGACCTGGACTGCCCCTCTGCGGCCGGGGTGTGCAACCGGCACCTTTCTCCTGTCATGCTGACACCCCCGTTACTATTCCTTGCAATCCGACTTACCGGTACCCCCCTCAAAAAACCACTCTCCAACCACCGCCACCACCACCCTCAGTCAGTTAGTTGTTTCCTCTTTACCACCCCAGGGTGTCTTCACGCTGGACATGGCTACCCAGATGCTCAATCTCCACTCCGTCCAGGTGAGGGGCAGGGCGACTCTGCTCGGGCATACACATACCAATCACAGTACGCTCCTACTCGCTGCCAGTTTTCTTGACATACCATGAGCGGTACCTGGCATGTCCTCTTGTGGCAATCACACTTACTGCTGTCTTCCTTCTCCCCCACTCCCCCCTAACACCACCCTATACATTCCCTCCGACCCGCAGGTCACTCCCGACGGCGGCGGGTCGCTGGTGGGCAGCGGGCGCATGTGGCTGGCGCCCGCCGCGGAGGCCGACCCACGGGCCATCAGCATCAGCGGGGAGGCGGCGGGGGTGGACCTGGACCGACTGGCCCGCTACTACCTGCCGCAGGTGCCTGTGTTTCAGTGCGGGTCGCTACGTACCCTCCCCTTGTCATGTGTCACCATGTCGCCTCATTCCCCCTCATTCCATTGTGTTGCCCTGCTTCGTGCATCCCTGTGGCTCGGTCTATCTTGAGTTCCTGGCACCCCCCGCTCCCCCAAAACACACACGCACACACGCACAGGACTTGGTTCTCCCCGAGGGTGTTCGCCTGGGTTCCGGAGCGGCGCGGGGCGCGCTGGCCGGCAGCCACCTGGCCCCCGAGGTGCAGCTGAGCGGGGAGGCGCCGGGGGCGCGACTCAGCGCGGCAGCGGCGCTCAGCCAGACGGTAGGGGGGGGGAGGGTGAGGGTGAAGGAGGTAACAGGGGTGGCCAGCTGGGGAGGGGAAAGGCTGTGTGTGTTTTTGGGAGGTTGCGTCCTAACATACGGGGTGGTGAAGGGGTGCGCTCTAGCCCTGTCTCTGTCCTTCCTGCCAATGCCGTTTCCATGTGGACTTTCCCCTCATCCAAACCCCCTCCTTCCCTCACCCCCCCTCCCCCGCAGTCCATCTCCCTGTCCGCCCGCAGCCCCTCCTTCTCGCTGGACGGCTGCCTGCTCACGCGGGTGCCCTTCCTGCAGCAGCTGAGGGCGGCGGACACGCAGGTGGGGGGGGGGGGTGTTTTGGGGGTAAAGAGAAGGAAACTGACGAGGCAACTGACTGGGGTTGGGGTTGGGGAGGGGTGTTTGGGGGAAGAAAGGGAAGGACGGCATGGGAGGCATCTGTACTGCAGGGTAACGAAGTACGGCACACCACCCTTGTGTCATACTACCAAAGCACACACCGGCCGCCAACACGCCTGCGGAGCATTCATCCCCTACATCCCTGACTACTAACCACCATCACCCCACACACCCGTACCTACATGGTTAGTCAGTTCTTCCTTCGCTACCCCACCAGGGGCTTTGTCGTCTGGTTTACATCATGGTGAACACTTCTTTTACCCCCACCCGCTCCCCCCTCTCCCCCAGGCTGAGGCCACCTACTACGCGCGCCCTCGCTTCCGCGGCGCCTCCCTGCAGCTGCACTGCCCCTCCCCCGGTGTGGACCTGCTGCCCCTCGCCACCGGCCCCGCCACCCCCCCGCCCTTCGACCCGCTGGCCGCCAACCAGCCGCTTCACTGCCGGGTGGCGGGGCACGTGGGGCTGCAGCTGGGGCCAGTGGGGGGAGACGTGGGGGAGGAGGGGGAGAGGGGGGGAGAGGGAGGGGGGGAGCGGGGGGGAGAGGGAGCGGGTGGGAAGGTTGGGGGAGTGGGGCAGGGGAAGCGGCAGGCGAGGAAGCAGCAGGGGCAGGGAGGAGGAGGAGTGAAGGGAGGGTCGGTGTCAGCGGCGGCTGCTGCTGCTGCCGCTGCTAAGCGGTTTGAAGGTGAGAGGGGCGGGTGGGGGCGGAGTATGGGGCGGACAGCTGGGTGGGTGGGGGGTGAGAGGCAAGGAAAGAAGGCAATCTTAGGGAAGGAAGCGCAGGGAGGAGGGGCGGGAGGGATTTAGCGATACGGGGGAGTGGAACGTCGACTACCAGCGGACGGCATCGTCAGCCTCTTCCTCGCCCTTCCCTTCTTCTTCCTCCTCCACTCTCTCATCCTCCCCACTCCTCCTCCCCACCCCCTCAACCACCCCAGGCACCCTCACCCTGTCCGGTGTGCGTATCAACGGGTTGGAGCTGGTTCGCTCGCTGAGTGGTTGGGCGGCGGTGGACGGGGGGGCGGGCAGGGTGGCGGTGCGGGCGCGGGGGGGAGCAGGAGGGGTGGGGGCCGGGGGGCAGGTGGGAGGTGGGGGTGCGGCGGGGGTTTCGTCGTCAGCAGTAGCTGCAGCAGCGGATGCTGCTGCGGCGGGGCTGGTGCCAGGAGGAGGCGGCGGCAGTGGAGGAGGAGGAGGAGGGGCAGCGGCAGCCGCCCCTTCCTCCGTGTCCACCTCTGCGGGAGCGGGAGGAGGGGATGTGTTGGATTTTGAGTTGGCGGTGAGGGGGGTGAGGGGGTTACAAAGAAAGGCACTTACTTAACCGTGTGAAATATAGGCTCCATCTGCGGTGGGATGGGCTGGGAGGTGGGAGGTGGTGACGGCGGTGATGGTGGTGGGAGAGGAGGCGGAGGGGGTCTGAGACCGCAACCCCCTTGGCCCCGTCTGTCAGTCTGACAGCAGGAAGGGAAAGGGGACCTCCTACCTCCCTCCCTCCTCACATCGCACACCTAACATCGCACACCCGCATTCATGAGGCCCGCCCGCCTTATCTTTCTGCTGCCGATCCTCGTTTTGAGCCTGCACCCCACCCCACCCACTTCCCACCCCTCCTTCCCTCCCTCCCTCCCTGCAGGTCCCCGACCTCATCACGGCCCTCAACCTGGAAGCCTCCCCGCTCCCGCCGCCCACCATCATATACCACCCACCTCCTGCCCCTGCTCCTGCTCCTGCTGCTGCTGCTGCTTCTGCCAACGTCCGGCCCGCAGCGGCTAGCCCCGCCAACGCCACCTCGGCATCCGGGAGGCAGGCGGCTGCGACGCCGGCAAGCAGCGGGAGTGGTGGCGGAGGTGGTGGTCGTAAGGGCACCGCTGTACTCCCCCCGCTGCAGCCCTCAGCACCAACACCAGCTGCTGCTGCTGCTGCTGCTTCATTGGAGCCTGCAGCTGCAGCCGGCACCGCCGCTGCCCCCGCTGCTGCCCATGCAGCCCCTGCCCCCGTGGAGGGAGCGGACAGCCGTTTCCTGCTGCGGAGGGGTCCGCTGCTGCTTGAGGTGAGCGGTGGGGGGTGGTGGAGAAGGATGGGGGAGATGGGGGGAAGGGAGGCAAGGGATGGGGGGGTTTGATGGGGGGATGGATAGGAGAACGGGACGGGAGGGGACGGGACGGGCCGGGAGGGGTGCCAGCATGTGCGGAATATGCACCTCCTCTTAATCCCTCCCCCTCCCCTCCCCAACCCACCAACTGCAGCCCCCCCCCCTCCCGTCTCCTGCCCGCACAGGCTGAGGTGGTGAACGGAGGAGCCGAGATCTCCATGCGGGTACGGCACACGGGGGTGGGGTGGGGTGGGGTGTACGACACGCATACACATTCCCCCTTCCCTCCCCTTCCTCTTCCCCCCAACCCCCGCTTCCTCTCCCCCCTCCCCCATCCTCTCCCCCCCACCCCCCCAGGTAGCCAACCTGCAGCTAGACGACCTGGAGGCCGGCTCCCTGCGCGGCGCCCTGCGCTCCGCCTCGCTGGCTGCAGACGTGGCGGGGCGGCGGGGGCGGGGGAGTCTGGCGGCGGAGGGGCTGCGGCTGAGCAGTCTGGCGGTGGGCGGGTGCAGCGGCGCAGTGCGGTGGGAGGGCGACATTGTGAAGCTGGAGGAGACGGTGCTGGAGCAGGCGGGGAGCAGGTGGGGGGAGGGATGGGAGGGGATGGGAGTAGGTGGGGGGGAGGAGGGGAGGTGGAGGCTGCGGCTCTAAAGGGAGGCTTAGGCATGCGGCTGGGGTTCAATCAGCTGGGAGGGGAGGGGCATGGGACTTGGGACTTGGGACTTGGGACTTGGGTTGCCGTACAGGTCAGCAGCTGGGCGAGGTAGGGTCGCCATTGAGTTGGGGGGGCGGGGTAGGCTCCTTCGCCCTTACCTGTCGGCGGCTGCTGTCCCTCCCCTTCACTTCCTCACCGCTGCCCCCGCTCCCACCTTCCCTCTGTTTACCCACCTCCCCCAGATACGAGCTGTCAGGAGAGGTCTTCCTGCCCGGCTTCGGAGCGCCCAACACCACCTCCAACACCCCCGCTGGACCCAACACGCCAGCAGCAGCAATAGCAACACCAGCTACCACCTCCCCCACCGCCTCCACCGCAGCTGAGCGGGCAGTTGGGACGGCGAACCGCACAAGGGCCGCCACCACCGCAGCAGCAGCAGCTGACACAGCAAGGCGAATGGAAGCTGTTTATGATGGGGATGTGGAGGAGGAGGAGGCGGCGGCGGGAGGGGAGAGGGGTGTTGCCGTACGGCAGCAGGGTGCAGCGGTTGCTGACGGCGGCGGTGTGCTGCAGGAGGGGCGGAGTGAGGAGGAGGAGGAAGGGGAGGGGGTGGAGGGTGTGGAGGGGGGGGGCGGCTCAGCGGAGTGCAGGTGGAGGCTGCAGGTGCGGGGGGCTGAGGAGGGTTAAGAGAGGGATGAGAAGTGAAGCAGGAGGAGATGGGGGTGCATGAGGGTACAAGGGGGGAGGGGGTAAACATTATGGGAACTGACAGTGCAACTAACGAGCTGGCCACCTCTCTTCCCCCCTCTTTCCTGCCACCCACTTCCCTCTTTCCTCGCCTTCCCCCTTTCCGCACCCCCCAAAACACACGCACGCGCAGATCCACGTCCCCTCCGCCCAGATCTCCGATCTGCTCCCTGCCGTACAGCTGGCCACCAGCGCCACCCGCCCCGGAACCGACTACGGAGCAGCCAAGGCGCGTTTCCTGGAGGCGATACAGGTATGCGTGTGGGTCTGTATGAAACCCACTTCCTTCCCGAAGTATTCTGTACCCCAAACGCCTTTTAGGATCATAGTTGACGTCAATGTTTCCCGGGTGTCTGTTTTGCATCTTCTGGAATGCTCTTCATGCTCTTCCTGACGACTTCCTTGCCCCGTCTGCTCCCCACTGACCCATGGGTCCATTCCCCACTGACCCATGGGTCGCACAGTCCGGCGCCGCCTCCGCCATCAGCCCTCAGGACGTGCGGCTTCAAGTCGACCTCTTCAGCAGCCTGCCCCCGGGGGACCTGGCTGCCGCAGCCGCTGCCAACAACGCCGTCATGCGGGGACCTGCACTGGGAGGGGCAAACAGCAGCAGCAGCAGCAAGAGGAGGAGGGGGGCAGCAACAGCCCTGTACGATATCACCTCCGCCTCTTCCTCAGGCATCAGCAGCAGCAAGGGTACCCTGCGTGGCTTCGGAGCCAAGCGTGCTGCTGCGGATTCCGCCACCTCCCTCTTCCCGGCTGCTGCCCTCTCGACTGTCGTACCACCACCGCATGCAGATTCGGCTGTAGTAGCAGGAGCAGGAGGGGCAGCAGGAGGAGGGGGCAGTGGCAGTGCGATGATTCCCGCGTTGTCAGAACTCACGGGGAACTGGTCGGGCAGCATCCAGGTGCGGGTATGCCACGGTTACATCCCCGCCCCATAAGACTCACACACAAGTGCGTACCTGCTCTCCCTTTTTCTCCACCTCGTCCCTTGCACTCTAAAGAAACACACGCACACGTTTCTCCCCCCCCCCTCCCGCCTGTGGTTTTGGTATACTTTTGGTCCCCCTCCCTCCCCCCCCCGTCCCCATCTCCCAGTTGTACGGCGGCCTGTCCGGCCCCAGCGCCCTGGAGCTGTCGCTGCAGGGTCGCGAGTGGCGGTGGGGTCCGCGCTACCGGCTGGACCGGCTTGTGGTGGCGGGAGGGGCGGACGGCAGGGAGGGGCTGGCGCTGGAGGAGCTGAGTGTGGAGGCGGGTGAGAGGGGGGGATCAGGGGCCATACCAAACCTTAGGAAACCACAGGTTAGGGCAGGGGGGGCTTAATGTGTGTAGGGCTATCGCTACTTGTAGTGGGCTGTGAAGGTTGGGGCGTGTGGGAGGGAAGGCGGAGAGGCGAGGAAGGGGCGGGGTTGCGGGTGCTTTCCCAGGCTTGTGTAGGGTGTTTTACAAGACACGCATGTGTAGCGTCGTGTCGCCCTCATCGCAATCAACGCTCATCCTCCTGAGTCGATCGCCGCCCCTCGCCCTCCCCTGGCATCCCCCCCCTGCCCCCCTTCCCTGCCCCCCCCCCTGCTGCAGGTCCCGCCCGCCTGCGTGCCTCCGGTTCCCTGCTGTGTCCGCGTCAGGAGGCCCGCATAGCGCTGTACGACTTTCCGTTGGAGCAGTTGGCGCCGCTGACGTCGACCGCCTGGCCGGCACTGGAGCGAGCGGCGGCGGCGGCGCGGGCCCGTGGGTCGGCGCAGACGTCCCCACTGGCGGGTGCGTGTCTGGGAGGGAGGGGGGAGGGAGGGAGTTGTCGGGAGCCGGTTGAATATGGGCATGCAGGTGCATGTAGGTGCAAGATGGAGACAGGTTTTACAGTGTTTCTACTCAGCTAACGGTACCTCCTCCCATTGCCCTGTACGGCCATCCTGCCCTCCTTCCTTGAATACTTGCACTCCTTCTCCCTCCTGCCGTCCCTCCCCGGCCCCACACCCCCCTCCCTCCCGCAGCCCTGGGTAAGCGGCTGGACGCCACATTGCAGAACCTGGGGCTCAAGCCGCCGGGGGCAGCCGACGGAGGCGGCGCGGACGGGGGGGATGGCGGCGGCGGAGGCGGCCCTGCCGTACTAACGGCGGCGGGCCCCGGCGCCGGCGGACCGTTGTCCGGTCGGTTGTTCGTTGAGGGCAGCCTGGGGGGCAGTGTACGAAAACCGCAGGTGGGCAGGAGCATGTGTGGTTGTGTTTGGGGGGGCGGGGGTATGGGCTGTGGCACAAGGGAAGGCTGGTGGTGATGTGGCTCCACCTCTGCCCGAGACTGCCCCCTGTCGTACCCTGACACGGCCCGGCTGTCGTACCTCGTACGGGGCTGCAGGCTGCCGTACGATTGCGAGTGGAGGACGGCGCCATCGGTGGTGCGCTGCTGGGCCGAGCGCAGGTGCGGGAAAGAGGGGAGGGGGAGGGTTGGTACGGAAGCAGGTGGCTGCTGGGTTTGGGAATTCAGGTCCTGGAAACCCACTTGGGTTTGTCGTTCTTTCCTCCATCACCCTCCACCCCTCCGCCTGTTCTCCACCCTTTCCTGTTACTGAGCAAACCCATATGCATCGCCCCTCTCTCCCTCCTCCTTCCTCCGCCTCCCCTCCCGCCTCCTCCCCCCCAGGCTAGCCTGTTGGTCGACCCCGAGCAACGGCTGCATGTGGACGTGGACCTGGCACCCCGGGGGGCCGCTGCTGCTGGGGGTGCTGGGGGTGGTGCTGCTAGTAGTGCTGCCACTGCTGCAGCTGGTGGTGCTGTCAGTGCCACTGCTGCAGCTGCTGCCAGCACACCGGCGCTGGCGGGTGCTGCGGCGGAGGCTGCGCAGCTGGGTCCTACTGGCGCCTCCTCCTCGGCCGGAACTGGCGGCGGCAGTAGCGGCAGTAGTCCAGCAGGGGGTTATGTGAGGCTGGTGGGTACGGCCAGGCTCCCTGCAGCAGCCGCAGCAGCAGCTGGTAAGAAGCCAGGGTCAGGCGGAGAAACTGCAGCTGCAGCGACAGCTAAGGCCCCCAGGAGAAAGGCGACCACGCGAGGTCGGATGGTTGCTGGTGACGGTGCTACCTCCGCTGGCGGCACTGGGGGCCGCGGTGGAGGCGGTGGAGGTGGCTTGCAGTGGCCCCTTGGGTCAGCTCCTGCTCCTGCTGCTCCTGCTCAGCACCAGGAAGAGGTGGTGTACGACAGCGCTGGTGAGCTTCATGTTGCCTGGGCGGAGGCGGCTGGAGAGGCGGCTGGAGAGGCGAGGGGTGGGGAGGGAGAGACGGCGCGGCGAGCTGGGGATGAGGGGTCTGCAGCAGCTGTCGGAGAGGAGGAGGTGGTGGGTGCAAGGCGGGAGGTCGGCGCAAGGACGGAGGAGGACACCTCGTCGTCCATCTCAGCGGCGCATGCAGAGGAGGGGGAGAGGGAGGGGGCCGCTGCCAGCGATGCTGGTGCCGCTGAGACTGCTGGCGCTGTCAGGAGCGTGCAAAGGGAAACCAGTGCAGCAGACGGCGAGGCGTCAGCTGCTACTGCGGCGGCGGCGGCAGACGGGGTGACACGACCTGAAGGCGATGATGCCTGGGGAGCGGATAGCAGTACCGTGGGGGCCGAGGAGGGGGAGAAGGGTGCAGATGCGGCCGTGGCAAGGGCAGAGGGGATGGCTGGCCCAGAACCCCCGCATGCGGCAGCGACGCAGGAAGGGGAACGGCAGGGAGGGGGCCTTCCGCGGTTTACTGAGGAAGATGTCAGGGATGCGGCGGCGGCGAAGACGGCTGCGGAGGCGGCGGCAAGCGGTGCAGCGGATGCGGATGCTGCCACGTCGGAGAGTAGCCTTCAGGAGTTCGAAGCAGCATGGCAAGGCGTGGAGGAGAAGCGAGATACGCAGCAGCCGCAGCTGCAGCAACAGCAGCAAAGGGCGGAAGAAGAACAGGACGGGGAACAGACCGTTGAGGAGGATGACGGGGAGGAAACGGAGCAGGCGCAGGCTGAAGAAGAGGAGGAGGAGTTGTTTGCTGAGTTGCACGTGCGGGACGGTGGCATGGGGTTGCTGCTGGCGCTGCTGCCGGGGTGCGAGTGGCAGGGCGGCAGCGCGGCGATGGACCTGAAGCTGCACGGCAGGCTGGCGGCGCCGCAGGTGGAGGGGCGCGCGCGGGTGACCCGTGGGTCACTGCTGAGCCCGCTGCTGCGCTACCCCGTCACCAACCTCAATGCGGACGTACAGGTGCGGGGGGTGTGGGGTTCTGCCTGGTGTGTGTGTGTGTGTGTATGTGTGTGGCTTCCAATGGCACGATCAGAGCTTCATTGCCGTACCTCGTCCATCCTGTGTGGACCTTGTATCTACATAGCCCACCAGCTTCACTTCCTATCTCCTACGTTAATTACGCATGCCACGCATACACAGCGACTCCTCCCCGGCCTCCACCCTCCTCCTTCCTGCAGTTCGACGGCACCACCCTGCACGCTCGCTCCCTGGATGCCTCCCTGGGGAAGAGCGGCTCCGTCAGGGTGCGCGGCGCGCTACCCGTACAACCGCCACAACCGTCACCGCCGCAACCGCCTTCATCGTCATCATCATCCTCAGCAGCAGCGCTACCACTCGCACCGGCGGCGGCTCCGCCACCGCCAACAGCGGCAGCAGCGGCGGCGGCGGTGGCGTCCGCATCAGCCTCCCAGTGGCCCCTGATGGGCGCTACTGCCGTACAGGGGCCCCAATCGGCAGCTCCGTATTCCTCCGCCTCCTCGGTACGGCAACCTGTCGGTAGCAGAGCGAAGGGTGGCAGCGGTGGCGGAGGCGGCCGTGATGGTTACACAACGGGTGCGGCAACTGGCGGCGCCGCGGGCTCCGTACCCCCGGCGGGAACTGCCGCCGCAGGAGACAATAGCGGGTTTGGCGACGGCGGCGGCGGAGACGCCAGTGGCGGCGGCGGCGGGTTGATTGTGGAAGTGGACGGGGCGGAGGTACGGGCTCGCGGGGTGTACAGCGGCCTGGTGGATGGGCGGTTGGTTGTACGACGGAGCCTGGTGCAGCCGGTGGTTGGCGGGCGGTTGAGATTCAGCCGCGGAGTGGCGTTCCTGCTGCCGCAACAGGTATGGGAGGTGGTGGTGTGCAATTGGGAGTTCGGGTTGGGTCGGTAGTGAACCGTGGGTCGGTACCGCATACCGGTGTCCACGCATGTGATAAGCTGATAACTTGACAAGATTCTTCCCTTTTCCCCGATTCATCGCCCAACTTGTCATCGGATCGGCCCCTTTCCCTCCCACAGGGCCCGGCTGCTGCCGCCGCCTCTCCCTCCACCTCCTCCTCAGCCTCGGCCGCCGCGCCCTCCCTGGACGCGCTGCCGCCCCTGCCAGGCTCCTCCCGCGGTGCAGCTGCCGCCGCAGACCCCTTCTCCACCTCATCCTCCTCTTCCTCTTCCTCTGAGGCGGAGGTGGTGCGCACCTCCTTTGCGCTGCTCAAGGCGGGTCGCAAGCGGGCGTTGCTGGCGGCGGGAGCGGGGGCGGCGGGGCGGCATGGCGGCATGGCGGGGAGCGGAGCGCTGGCGGTGGAGGCGGTGAGATAGAGATGGGTGGCAGCGGCGAGGGCTCTAACAATTGCAGCTGCTCGTAGAGGGAGACGAGGGGCGCACAGCTTCTTATGGAGGGAAGGCTGTCTAAGAGCTGCACAGTTGAGGGGTTGGGCTGCGTTCGGTGTGGTGCTGTGCAGTGGCTGCGGCCATGTTGACCCGTGGGTCACCGCATCAGATGGAACATTGGGGTTTGCACATTTGCTACGGCCGAACAAGACTGTATGATACGGCCTTTCACCCACCTGTCCCAACTCCCTCCCATCCCCTCTCATGTACCCACCTCCCTCCCATCCCCCCCCATGTACCCACCTCCTCCTCCCCCCCCAGGACGCCTCCTCCTCGCAGCCCGGCGGCGGCGGCTCCACGCCCCCCGGCCCGCCCCTCATGCTGTCGGGTCTAGAGGTGGCGCTGGGTCCCGACCTGCGAGCCATCTTCCCCGTCGTGCTCAACCTGGGGCTTAGCGGCTCGGTGAGGGGGGGGGGGGGCGAGGGGCGGATTGGGAGTGAATGGGGCTACCCGGAACTGTAGCTGCAAATGGGTTGTAGAAGTGGGCGGTGAAGGGGGCGGGGGTAGGGGTAAGGGTGTTGGGTGTCATGGGAAGCTTCCCTCCCTGCATGTCTCCAAAACCGACCTACCGGTACCGTACCTGCCCCTGTTTCCCGCCCGCCCCGCCCCGCCCCCTTTACTTTCTGTTTTGCAAGTAAGCCACCCTGCCTCACCCCCCATCGCTGCAGGTCACCCTCAACGGCCCTGCTGACCCCGAGCGGCTGCAGCCGGTGGGGGTGGTGCACCTGGACAGCGGCACTCTCAACCTGCTGGCTACACAGGTACGAGGGAGGGAGGAGCAGGGGGGGGACTTGGGGGGGCTAGCAAGGGGGCGGGGCAGGGGGCGAGGCGGGCCAGGAGAGAGGGCATGTTAATGCTTTACGTATAGGGATTGTTGCTATCCAGTGTTAGTTGTTTCTGTTATGTATGAACCAGGGAAGAGGACTGTCATCATTGTCTGCACCAATGTACTCCGCCCCCCTCTCGCAGTTCGTTCTCGACCGAGAGCACGACAACCGCATCGTCTTCGCCCAGCCCGACACCACCTCCCTACAGCAGCAACAACAACAACAACAGCAGCAGCAGCATGCAACCCAGCAGCATCCACACCACCAAGCAGTTGGCACCGCAACCGCGTCCAAGCAGCCCACCGAGCTCGCGACCAGCCCGGCTAATGCCGCCACCACCACCACCAGCACCCCTGCAGCAGCAGCAGGGGCCGGCTCCTCACCCTCCTCTCCTTCCGCTGGGCCGCTGGACCCGCTGATAGACCTGGTGCTTGTCAGCGGGGACCTCCGGGCGTCCATTCAGGTGGGACACGCATACACGCATACGTGCATACGTGCGGCCAGTTTACTTCACATACATGCACATACTTGGTGGGGGGAAGGGGGGGAGAAGACCCGATTTATAGGCGGGCTTCTGGCTCCTACTCTCCGTGTCATGTGGCGAGCCGCACTACTGCTCACTTGGGCCGCAAGTAGACCTCAGCACCCCCGTCTATACGCGCACCCCACAGGGTCGCAGCAGCACATGGCAGGAGGGGCTCTCGCTCACGGCGTCAGGCACGCCGCTGCTGGGAGGGGGCGGCGGCGGCGGGCCGAGTGGCGGCGGCGGCGTGGGGGTTGTGGGGGGCCTGACGGGCAGCGACTCCCATGCCACGGCGATGCTGACGGGGCAAGGCGGGGTTGGCGGAGTGGGAGGCGGCGCCGGCGGCGGTGTGGGCGGCGTGGGCGGGGCTCCTGGGGGTGGCGTGGGTGTGGGTGTGGGGGGCGGTGTGGGGGTGGGCGGCGTGGGCGGCGGCGGCGGCGGGGAGTCGATTGGCGAGGCTGCTCGTGTCCTGGAGGAGCGGCTGGCTGACGTATTGCTGGGTGAGAGTGCTGCTTGGGTTACCCCCTCATGGTGGTCTCCTCACATCTGGTTTGTGAATACCCACCACTTTGCTGCTGCTGGTGTCTATGGCCTTGAAATGGGGGTGTTGGTCCGCATGCTTTGACACGTGTTCCACATTACCTTTATTCGTGCACTGGACAGCCCTCTGACCCCCCTGCTACCCCACCACCCCACCTGCCACCCCACCTACTACCCCACCTGCCACCTGTCCCCCACAGGCGAGAAGGGTCAGCTAGCGCTGCGCTCGCTGGCTCGTTCCACCGTCAGTTCGCTGCTGCCCAGGATTGAGACACGAGGGCAGGTGGGTGGTGGGGTGTGCTAGGAAAACTGGCCGCGAGTGTGAGGGGGGGGTAGTGACCTTGTGGGTATGTGGATGGGTGGGGAAGGTGAGGGGTGCTCCGCGGCCGTGGGAGCTTGCATGGGATTAGCAAGGGCGTTGGGCAGGGCTTGTTTGAAAGGGTTGTAGGGAAGGGGACGCTACGGGGGTTGAGAGGCCGGGGGAAGACAAATAAGGAGAGGAGAAGGGAATGACCAAGAACAACCATGCACCTAACAAGTGCACGCGTCTCTTGTGGTCTGTTCCACGCCTCCAGCTTTCCCTCGCCTAAGTCCTTTGGGGCATGTGCCCGAGTGGTCCTTGTTTGTCATTACGCTGCTACTTCTCCCCTTGTTTCCTTTTCTGGCCCCTCTCTTTCATCATAGTTACCATGTTCTTGCGCCCTTCCGTACCCTCATCCAACAATCCCAGTACCATGCATACCGGTAACGTACGACAACCCTTCGCACCCCCCGCACCCTTATTAGGTTGGCCACGCGCGCTGGCGGCTGGTGGGCGCTCCCTCGCTGCCCTCGCTGCTGTCGCTGCCCGACCCGGTTTCGGAGCCCTCCCGCTTTCTGTCCACTCTGGCCCTGGGGACCGAGGTGGAGGTGGCGTTCGGGAAGAGGCTGCAGGTGTGGGGACATAAAAAGAGGAAACAACTACCGGTAACAATCCGTGTGTTGGGTGGGAGGGGCGGAGAGGGGTCTGCAGTGGGCCTGCAGTGCGGCTTACTGCGGCGTGTTTCCTTCTTCTTTCCCACCCCCACAGCCCTTCTCTCTACCTAACTCCCACCCACCCACCCACCATCCCCCGCCCCCTCCCAGGCCTCTCTCAGCCACAAGCTGCAGGAGCTGGGTCGCAGCGGCGCCGAGCTACCCGGCGGCGGCGGCGGCACTGAGGCGCGCCTCACCCTGCAGCTCAGCTCGCGGCTGCGGCTGCAGGCGCACCTGGCACGGGGGGCGTTGCTGCCCAGCGTGACCCTGCAGTACAGCAGTGAGGGGGCAGGCGGCATGGGGGCAGCAGCAGGCGCAGGGGGAGGAGGGGGAGGGGAGGTGTGGGGCGGTGGGGGGGAGGCAGGGGGTGCGGCGGAGGAGGGGTTGGCGGCACCGGCGGGGGCGGTGGGGGATACCGCCGGTAGTGGGCAGGAACCTCCGGAGCAGCAGCAGCAGCAGGTGGGGGAGCCAGCAGTGCAGCAGCAGGTGCGGGAGCAAGAGTCGATCTGAAAGCAGTAGGCAGCAAAGGAGAAACGCTCTTTTAGAAGTAATCGGCCATAGATGGCTGGCGGCAGCAGTGGGGCTCCCTCGGAGAAGAGATATGCAGAAGTACAGAAAGGTACACATGCTGGCGACATGCTTGTGTAGAGGATGCGAAGGCACACGCGCGCAGCAGCAGCCGCAGTTACCTCAGCATTCAAACTCGGAGTGGACGGGTGTTGAAAGGCGCAGCCACATAGGGCAAGGATAGCGAACCATCGGCAACGTTACACCGGGTTCGGTTGCCAACAATCTGGCGGCTGGTCAGTGCTTAAAGCATCAGTGGCAGCCTTGGTTTCCATTAATGCGTTTTGTGGCGTTGCAGGGTTGAGAAGATATGTGACACATACAGGCAATGATTTGTCATGGTCGCAGCAGCCTGGGTGGTTGTAGGGGCTTGGTTGGGGTTGCGTGCGCGATCCTTGTTTGCCACATGCCGCGCATTTATCGTGGCTCTTTGACGAGTTGTTTCTGTAAGAAAGGCAGGCGATGCGGTTTTCCGTTGGGTCTAGCAACTCGCATACACCTGCCAACTGCCACACGCTCTCCTGGCGTAGTTAGTGATTCAAGGCTCGCACATGGGCACACACCAGCGCCTCACGTCACGAGGAGCATCCGAAAGCATAAAGTAGTGTGTAGTGTTCCCTCGTACGCGTGCTAGGCTTCGTATCTTGTACTGTTTGGCACGTTGCGGTCAAGCAGCCACGCATGGGGCGGGGGAGCAGCCGTTAGATATTAGTAAACGACAATGTCCTTGCTAGTGGCGCTGTCTGTTCGACCGCCAAACAGCGCGCAGCAGCTAGGTCCCATCCACCTATCTCTGCTGTCTAGCTGCGTTAGTAAAGGGGCAAGACACATGCGCAACGGTCCCAGTAGCACCTCCCGCACGCACATTCTAGCCTACCAGCTGGGATGGCCTCCTCACCCCTACACCCCCTCTCACACACCCACCACAAACGACCACGCCTCTGCCAATGGGCATACCCATGGATGGGCATACCGGTACCCATGGATGGGCATACCGGTACCCATGGATGGGCGCTGCCTAGCATCTCGCGCTTGCTAGGACTCCCTCCTACATACCGGTATATTCCCCTACTCCCCGCCTCTCCTCCACGCACCCCTCAACAATGGGCGCCGCCGGGTTCCTTCCGGGTTCCTAACCAGCCCTCTACCTCCCATCTACACCTCCCCCTCCCCCTGCTCTATCTATCTCACACCGTGCGCCTCAAACCGCTTCACACCGCCTCACACCGCCATGCACAGGCTGATAGCCCTCTGCCGCAGCAGCCTAGCAGGGTCCTGCAGCCGCACGATGGCGGGGTTGCTGCTGCCCGCGCCCCGCACCCGGAACAGCACGTAGCGCTCGCCCTGCTGCTCCGCGAATAGCAGCTCGGAGAGACTGATCTCGAAGAGGTCCTTGGCGGTGCTGGCGCTGGTCTGCAGGAAGGGGAGGGGAGGGAGGGAGGGGTGAGGTAGGGGGGGAGGTAGGGTAAGGGATGGTCAGAGATAGCAAAAGGGATGGCAAAGCAAGGGAGCCGCGGGAGTTGGATGTGAGGTGGGTTGTGGGGGTGGGTGGGATACCGAGAAGGGGTAGTTGAGAGGGGTTGGTTTGGGAGAGTGGGCTGTCAAAAGGCGAAAAGCGGGAGGGAGGCATGCGTAATGCAAGGCGAGCTATACTTCTCGCGTGTTAAGCGGCAGGATGGTATAATGCCCCACGACAAGGAGATGAAGGATAAGACGAGCCATCCCATAATGTTGGGAGTCCCCCATGCAGAAGTCGCCCCACTTGACTCACCCCCATTCACCCACCCACCCACCCACCTTGACCTCGATATACGTTATGCTCTCGTCCGCATGACTGATGTACATGTCGTACGGCAGCCCGCTCTCTCGCTCCCGATTCACCCACACCACCCGGTCCACCGCCACACTGCCGGCGCGAGCAGCCACCAGCTGCTGCTGGGTCCCCCACTGCCCCTGCTGCTGCCCCTGCAGTCGGCCGCTGGCAGCACCTGCTGCTGCTGCTGCGTTGCGTCGCTGTTGTTGCTGCTGCTGGTCCAGCTGGGTAATCAGGTGGCGGTAGACCAGCTCCTCACCCCAGCGACCGACGGCCTGCGTGTGTTTGCATTTGTGTGTTAAGGAAACTGGCCGCGAGTGTGAGTGCGTGCGTATCGGGTTGTGGCGTCAGAGCAGATAGGGAGCTTCGGGTTTAGCTTGGGAGAGAGGGCACGGAGAGGAGTGCAGGCACATGGAGGCAGTAGCACGAGTATGAAAAGGAGGCAGCAGCTGACACGTGCCATGTGGGGTACAGGCGGTGTGAGTAGGCAGCTGTCCTAATAAGACGGAATGCATGTAAGGGGCTAGACTATTCCTATCACATATTACGCCGGCCCAAGTCCTGGTGTGTGTTAGGGAGGCAAACCAAGTATCTGTTATCCGGTGGGAGGCTGTACGGTAGGGTTTCATGGCAGTAGACTGCAGCGCTGGATCTGCACCCCTGCGCGCCCTGCACACCTGCACTCGTTGCTCCTCCTCAGAGGCCCCCGGTCCGCCCTCGCCGCCCCGTCGCGCCCGCGCCCGCTCCAGTCGATGCTGGCTGCGAGACCACCACTGGGAGGCGGCGCGCATCTGGGGTGGAGCAGCGGCAGCGGCAGCAGCAGCAGCGGAATCAACATCAGCAGCGGCAGCGGCAAAGGCAACATCATTACCGGCAATATTTTCCATCATTGCATTATCATCAGAATCGGGGAGAGGACATGAGCATGAGCAAGTGTTCCCAGAGCAATTACATGGAACGAAGGACCAGGTGTCCTAACCCCTGCCTTTATCGACAGTTACAGACATACCCAAGCCCCCCCAACCCCCACCGCCGGGTCTATCTCCCCGCTCACCCGTTCCAGCGAGCTCCGATCCGCCTGTTGCTGATACGACACCCCACCAGCAGCGGTGGCGGCGGCGGTGCCGGAGGCAAGGACAGGCGGATGGGAGGGGCCGCCTGGGTACGGCGCCAGGGGCTGGTGCATGGGGTGCGGTTGCTGCTGCTGCTGCTGCGGTTGCGGTTGCTGCTGCTGCGATGGGGGCCCCGCCCTGCCATCCATGCCAGGTGCTTGGGAGTCCGCAGCGTGGTCGCGGTCCTCGTCGCCTGGGCCCTCATCTGAGGTGTCTTCAGAGGAGGAGGACGACGAAGAGGAGGAGGAGGAGGACGAGGAGGAGGAAATGGACATGGAGGAGGAGGAGGGGGACGGCGAAGGCGGCGCTGGTGGTCTCCGAGCGCCACTGGCGCCGGCAGCAGCAGCGACGGCGGCAAGACTGACGCGCGGCTTCTCCTCCTTTTCTTCCTCCTTTTTCTGGTCACTCTCACCGCTGTCATCGTTGTCGCTGTCACTGCTGGTGCTACTGCTAGAGCCGTCGCCACTAGTGCCGCCACTGTCCGCGCTACTGCTGCTACTGCTGGTGCCACTACTAGTCCTACTGCTGCTGCTAGCATCCGTGTTTGGCTTGTCACCACCAGCTGCTTCAGCGGCTTCACCGGCAGCATCGGGAGCAGCAGCAGCGAGCGCAGCCGCACCTGGCGTGACTTCACCACCACTGCCACCGTTGCCGCGGCTCAAGCCATCAGCGCGCTGCCGTTTCCTCTGCGTCTGCTCCTCCGTACCCGGCACCGACTCAGGCGGCTCCTGCTGCTGCTGCTGCTGTTGCTGTTGTTGCTGCTGCTCCTTCCCGCCCTCAGCAGCGCTGGAGCTGCGACCGCGGACCTTCCGTTTGGACTCTACTGGCTGCTGCCCGGGCGCCGCTGCTCCCAGGTCCTCACCCTCGCCACCGTTATCCTCCTCTGGCCCGGCATCGCCCTCACCTCCCGCACCGCCCGAAGCAGCTTTACGCGCCGCCTTCTCCGCATCCTCACCCTCCGGCTCTACCCGTGACCGCTTACGCTTTGACTTCGCCGCGGCCTTGCTCAACGGCAGCTCTGGTGGTGGCGCAGGCGGCGGCGGCGGCGGAGGTGCTGGCGGCGGCGGCGGTGGGGGTGTCGGCGGCGGCAGTCGCCAGCGCTGCTGCCGTACAGTCGCCGCCGACGCAGGCGACGGCGGCGGCATCAGCGGCGGCGGCAGCAGAGGTGGCACTCCCTGGTGCGTCAGCAGCTGTACGACATCGCCCCCCGCCGCCGCCGCCAGCAGCGCCGATAGCAGTCGCTCCGCCAGCGCCAGCCAGGGTCGGCCGCCACGGAAGAGCCGACTGAGCTCTCGGCTGATGGCCGGGAAGTTGGTGACGGCATCCTGCCGTACATACAGTACGGAACCAACCATGAGCGCAGGCGGTTGCACGGGCAGTTGAAACTGCGCTGAAGCAGCAGCCGCTGACCCATGGGTCGGTGTGGGTTCAGTCGTGGGTTCGGCCGGTGTGTGGCCCGTCTGCAGCGGTCCGGTGCTGGTGATGTGCCAGCCGTACCATGGCGGTTGCTGAGGTGGTTGCTGCGTTGCCCAAGTGTGGTGGGTGTTGTGTTGTTGTTGGAAGTAGGGGTGGTAGTGGTAGAGGTGCTGAGGGTGGGGTGCATACGGGTGCGGCGGCCTATGCGGTTGTGACAGTTGTGACGGTTGTGGTGGAGGTTGTACGGCACCAGAGAGCGCCCCTCCATAGTACGGCGCCCGGGGTGATGGTTGGTGCGTTGCTGCTGCTGCGGGGTGTGATGAAGGCGGGTGTCCTCCTGCAGGACCTGAAGAGCTGGAGCCGAGGCTCAGGGTTGCAGTGAAGGAAGGCACCACAAGCACCCTGCGGAGGGGAATGCGGGGTTGCGTAGCGAGGTTAGGTGGGAAAGGTCACAGGAGTTAGTAAGGTTAGAACCCGTTGGTCAGCGGGATTGCCAAGTCCAGTTCCTTTGAAAGTCCGTCCTCCATGCAAGCACCTCCATGCAAGCTGGGAAAGCTGCATAACGGTGATTTTGCTGACAAGTAAAAAGGGCTCCTAGCGCAATGCATAGCGGCGTGTCCTGATTGCTTTAACCCACCTGAACCCAGGAAGTGCCCTCTCCACAGCTCCTGGGGACATCATTAACATGTGGAACGAGGGCAGACACGTCAGGTATATGTCAGAATGTGACGCAGGGGCTCTGAGACGCCATGCAATACCGGTACCGTCAGCCACAACCCCGCTCGACAAGAGCTAGGAGGGCAGGCCCTGTCCACAAACGGGCAAACCACCCCTTCGCGATATAGACACAACCGCTGCGCCAGAGGCTATATCTCAATCCCATGACGCCGGTCGCAGGTCCCCCGGACCGCCGCACCCTCCCACACGCACAGCGCTCACTCACCCTGCACCGCAGCAAACTCCTCATCACTCCGCATGATGGACGAAAGGTAGGACTCCGCTGCCAGCACCGCCTGTCGTACCGCCGCCTCCACGACACTGCCATGGGCGGCGGCCCCTTCAACCGCCACCCTGTACGACACACAACAAGACAGCGGCCGTACCCCCAGGGCCTCCAACAGACCCGCGACGGGGCCCTCACCGGCGTCCGGAGGGCTGCCGCCGCCTCCGTGGGCGGCTCCGCCGAGTGACTGCATGCGTCGTTGGGAAGATTCTCCCGCAGGCAGCTGTGCGAAATCCAGGTCTGCATGTCCGGCAATGGCCTCAGCGACCCATGGGTCGTCGTTCAGCAGCACGTCGGGGCCGAGGCGCCGCCAGCGGCCCGACACGCACGGCAGCAGCGGCTCCGACTGCATGTCGTGCCGTACGGCAGTTAGGCTCTCAGGAGTTAGGGAGTGTGTCGTACGTAGGCCTGCCCAGTACGACAGAATGCGAAGCGCGGCGCCAACGGTGACGTCATGCCCAATGCTGACGGCACCGCTAGCTGTGTACGGCAGCGTGGCTCGGCCGCCTGAGACGTCCACCGCAGACCCTGCGGCCCTTGAGAGGAGCCGCAGGCACAGGAGATAGTCGGACACCGAGGGAGCTGCGGCGATTACAGTAATTGGACTTCCGCCTCCACTACCCTGTCCGGTATCACTGCCATTACAGCTGCTTGGAGCGCCGCCGCCATCGCCACGTTGGGGCAGTTGATCCGCGCTTCCCCCCTCATCATCATCACTGAGGTCCAACTCAATGACGTTGTCGTCCTTTATGGCAGCAGCAGCCGCTGCTGGTTTCGCCCCCGCTGCCGCTGCTGCTGCCGCCTCGCGACCCGCCGACAAGGGCCCTGCTGCTGTGCCCACCACTCCCGCGTCAGCGGCCAGCATGCTGCTGCCGCCACCCATATGCGCTTCTACTTCACGTGCCGTTTTAGAAAGCCGTGCGAAGAAAGCCCCTGCAGTGGCATTCCCCAAGTGATGCTGGGCGTGCTGCTGGGCTGCCGAGGAGGGCTTGGAGGGGGCGAGCTGGAAGGCCGCCGGCAGCAAGCGAGGCGGCTGCTGCTGCCTCTGTCCGGCTGTCGAGGACTGCTGCCCCGGTGCTGCGGCGCTGGCTAGGCCGCTGCTCTGCCTGCTGCTGCTACCGCCGTGGGTTTTGTGAGGCTTTGCAGCAGCAGCCTCCGAGGAAAGCAGCGTCCAGAGCTCATCCAGCACGGCTGCGGAGTCAGAAGCGACAACCTCGCTGCACCGGTAGAACCTGCCCGGCGCTTGAGCCGTCGCCGCTGCTGCCGCTGCTGCTTCTGGTGCCCCAGTGGTTCCTCCAGTGGTGATGCCGCCGACCCGTGGGTCATCTGGCAGCCAAATGAGCGCCTCCTCCTCAAACGCCCTCAGGACGGCCTGCAGCAGATCCTCCTCTTCCTCCGCATCAGCACCAGCAGCGCCCTCCGTACCCTTACTACGTGCGCGGCTACCAGCGGAACCACCTCCTCCAGCGGCAGCACCCGCCACCAAGGGCGCCATCAGCCCCCGACCCCCTGCGGCAGCCGCGGTAGCTGCCTCGCCCTCGCGGCACTGCAGGTGCGCCTCTAGGAAGCCGTACAGCCCCGCCATCACAGCCAGCGAGGAGGTGAAGCACGGGCGCGAGTGCAGCTGTGGATCGACCTGCACTGGCTGCTGCTGCTGTTGGTGCTGCTGTTGGGCCCACGCCTGTGAAGCACCAGCATGAGCTGTGCTGCCAGCCGCATCGAACGCAGCAGCCGTCTTCGCGGAGGAGGCAGTGCTGGGGGCAGCCACCGCTGCATAAAGGCCGGCGTCGCCTCCACGCGACCAGTCAGACAGCAGTCGCAGGACACATGCCGGCGTCAGTTGTGATCGCACCCCAAGCTGGTGAAGCATCACACCAGGCCATCCGTCCATTCCACCACCGCTGTTGTAACTGCTGCCGCTGTTAGCGCCATCAGCTGCTGCCGTACTTCGCTCAGCTCCTGCTATGGATGGTGATGTCGCAATGCCGTACGCGACACCCCCGTACGGCAGGTCAACGTACGGCACATGGTCGTGCAGTAGTCGCCGTACATGTGGCAGCGGGGCGTAGGCGTCAGATGGCCGTAAAAGCGCACGAACTGCTGTGTTGCTGTTGCCGTTGTTGCCAGCACGTGGGAGGATTGCTGGCAGCCAAGCAGTGTTCCGCAGAACCATAGCAAGAGTGCTCGGACCCAACGCTGCAGCGGTAATGGGCGCTGCCGTCATCGTCATGCCCCCCAACGCCCCCGAAGCAGCGATCAATGATGCCCCAGTTACTTGTACGGCAGCAGTTGGTACAGCAGTGGCTGAGTCAGCCCTGCCGTCGCCGACCCGCTGGGGATCTCCCTCCGTTGCAGCCTCTACCAGCCGGGCTTCCAGGGCGGGCGTGCAGTGCTCCCAGTGAGCCGCCAGCAGCTGGAAGAACCTAGGGTGGGAGCGATACACACAAGTCAAGGGAGTGCAGCCATGCAAAGGAGGACAATCTCAGCTGGAAACGGGAAGCATACGGGGGTACTACACGGCTACATGCGAAATCGCTCAGTGACAGCAAAGTGAAGTGCAAGTAGAATATCTTAAAGTAGAAAGCGCGTACCTGTCAGCCGCCGGCCCCGCCCCTGCCACTATCGCCTGCCTCATCAGGCGCGTCAGCGGAGGGCAAGACCAGTCCAGAACGACCCACGGGCCACCCGGCCGCGCCGTCAATGCCCCCACTGCCGAGCTGCTGCAACCCCAGGGGCTGCCCGGCAGGTCAGCGGACGTGAGGAGCAGGCGTCGCGGTGCGGGTCTCGGGAAGGTGAAGACGCCGAGCTGCTGGAATAGCCAGTGCCACTGGGCCGCGAGGCCTGGGTGGTGTTGATTGGGGGAGCATGGGGAGGCGGGCGGGCAAGCAGAGTGGTTGGCACATGTAAAAAGACATATCAAGCAGGTGGGAAACCGCCTATGCGTAGGTTACCTGCATCTGCCAAAGGGTCATACGCGCTCACATTGTCGCTATTATCAAGTGAACGATCGTGGCAAGCCTTCTTCCGAGCTCAAACTGGCTCAGAAGTCAGTCCTCACCAGCCTACGCAGCCACCCACCTGGAAACGCCCTCACATACACCTCGTCCAGCAGCGGCCACTCCTCTTCCCCCTCCTCCGCCACCGTCACTGCCGCCAGCGTCTGGCGCTCCTCCGCTGCACCAGCACCCCTCTTGCCTTTCCCCTTGGCCGTGCTCCTCTTCGCACCCCGCTTCCTCCCGGCGTCCGCCTTCTCCGCGCCAGCACCCGGGCTCCGCAACAACAACGGCAGCAGCTCTCCAATGCTCGGATCCGGCCGCCCAACACTGCCAGGCGAGGCTGGTGACGCACCCGGGCCAGTGATCGCAGCAGCAGTGACAGCAGCCGTCATGGCAGCAGGCAGGTACAGCGCCCTGCTGCCACCGCCCGGCAACTCCGCCAGTTGCTGGTCGCTGGCCACAGCCTCAGCGTACGGTGTTGCCGGCAGCACACCTGCAGCACCTCTGCTGCGTGCGTCTTCTTGTGGGTGCTGCTGCTGCTGCTGGAGCGCATGGGACTGAGGCGGCTGCTGTGGTGGCAGCAGCACCCCATGGCTGAGCACCCGCTGACCGCTGCTGGTCAGCACTGCACAGCGCTGCCGCAGCAGCTGTAAAACCTGCTGGCACGACTGCTGCTGGTGCTGCAGCTGCTGGTGATGCTGGTGTTCCTGGTGCTGTTGCTGTTGCTCGTGCAGTTCACGCCGCTTCTGTTGCGCATGGTGGCCTGCTGAGGCCCCTCTGCCACCCTCAGCGGTGTAGGTACCAGCTGAGGTTCCAGTGGTGGTAGCAGCGGCAGCGGCAGTGGCGGCTGTCATGGGTGTGTTTGGGGGCCAAGGAAGCAGCATGCCCGCAAGCAGCGGCATAGCCATGTACGATACCAGCAGGGGTGCAGGTTGGCCGGATTCGGCGGGAGAAGGAGCTGGGGTGCTAGGTGCTGGCGAGATGGAGGAGGTTTCGGAGGTGAGGGCGGGGAGCGCGAGTCGGAAGACAAGGTCTTGGGGCGTGAGGTGCTGCACGCCCAGCTCCTGAGGAGGTTTTGCGAGAGGGAGGAGCGGGGGAGGGGCGGGGGCGTAGAGCAACGTTGGATCGTACTTTGGTGATGTGGTGAGGAGCGAAGGCTCCCTTAGCTGTTATCAGACGGAGCAGCTGCCCTTCGTTGTTATAAGGCAGAGCCGCTCAAAGAATTGCATTGGTGGTCCCTTTTTCATATCCGCCTTACCCTCACCCCTCACGCCTCCTCACCTCGAGGCCTGTCAGTAGCACCCGCCGGCGCTGTTCCCCAGCCAGCGACCGCTCCTCAACGCTGGCCTGGCCGCCACCACCATGCGTCGCCGCTACCGCTGCAGCCGCTGAGAGTAGCCGCTCATCCAGGAACAAGAGTGCAGGCCGGTCTGGCTCCCCACGCCCTCCAGCCTCGACGCTAGCCCCGGCTGCTGTGCTGCCGCTGCGGCGGGCTGAGTAGATATGGTCGGCGGGCAGCCCACATCGCCGCAGCAAATCCACGGCAGCAGCAGCTGATGCAGCAGCTGCAGCACCGCCGTCGGGTTTACCGTTGCTTGCATGGACGTGGATGGATGCATTACCATGGACCGCCGTCGCTTGCCGTACGGTCTCTCGGTTGCTTGGAAGAGGGAAGAAGAGCACGTCTGCAAGTCCTGCCTCCCGGACCTGCCCCTGCTGCTCCTGCTCCTGCCGTCCTGCTGCCGTAAGGTCATCCAAGGAAGCCCAACCGCCGCCACGGAGCGGTAAGACGGCCAAGCCGCGCAGCTCCCGCAGGAGTGACCCGCGGGTCAGCTGCGGCCCCACGGCGTCGCCGCCGTAGTGATGCGGCTGCAGGTGGTGGTGGGCGTCGGAGCCGGAGGCGGTGGCGGCGAGCAGCGCGGAGAGGGCTCGTGCTAGCCAGGGCAGCCCCACCTCCCCTCGCGCCAAGCCGCCGCTTCGAACGGTCACCTGGGTATCACGGTATCAAGAAGGCATGGGAAGGGGCAGTGGGCAACCCACCCTACACACCAACAATGGTACATGCACATCCTATGGTAAGCGGTTGGCTGGCTCACAATGAAGGGGTGTCGGCGGTCGTGCAACACCCCGCCGCCAACACCCCCTGCCGATGGTACCACATGCTCCACACCCGCACCCAACCCACGCCCCCGCATAAGCTTGCCTGTCCGCCCGCCTGCCCGCCTGCCTGCCCCCCTCCCCCCCTTCCTCACCCGGAGCACCTCCAGCAGCTGCATGGGACCGAACTCCCGCACCCCCAGCAGCGCCCGCAGCGGCCGACTCTCGTACAGCACCCTGGGACACGCGTGGCAAGCCGCCACACACGGCCAGCGGTCCTCGTCAGTTAGGCAAAGAGGTGTTGCCGGTGAGGGTTGCGGGGCATGCAACGGCTACCAGTGTTGCTCGATACCTGCCTACCTGGCTGCTTACATAGCCAACACACTTTGCAGAGACGTTCCGGCTTTCCTTTATAGACGTGGTCAACACCATACTTCGTTCGTAAAACACCATGCTCTCATGCATGAGCAGGACCCCCCAACCCATCCCCACCCACCTGGCCTCCGGCGCCACCAACCGCAGCCCCAGCACTGACAGCGCCGGCCGCCCCCGCTGCTGCCCACCATCCTGCCCACCACCGCTGCCATCCACCTGTCCTCCAGCCTTGCTGCTGCTGCCGGCACCGGCACCCCCACCAGCCTCAGTAGAAGCAGTCCGCGTCTGGGCAGCACCAGCAGCACCAGCACCAGCCGCATGTGTCCCCGGGGGCAGCATCAACATGAGGTCCAGCAGCTCGGCTGAGAGGGCGGAGGAGGAGCACACGGCGGTATCGCCGGGGGCCGCCCAGCCGCCGCCCGCCAGGGGGATGCAGGGGGCGGCGCGGAGCAGTGTGGCGATGCTGCGGAGGCGGGGAGGGGAGGAGGAGGAGCAGCAGCAGGGGGTGCTGTGTTGCGCTGTGCAGTGGCGATATCATCAAGCACGCATTCGAATTCCAACGTATCCGCTTCCATTCCCACCCTCCACCCCACCGCACCCCACCTGTGCGGCAGCCCTGCAAAGAAGCCCTGCGCCTCCCCCTCCAGCGGCACACAGCGCAGCCACTGATCCGCCCAGAACACCTCCGAACACGCTGCGGGCGCTGCGGGTGTGGGTGCGGGTGAGGGTGTGGGCGTGGACGATGGCTGCTGCAGGGGTGGCGGCAGGCGCTTGAAGACGTCCAAGGCCCTGCAGAGGGGGTGCCAGGTAGAGAGCACCGGGGGGTGGGGAAAAGAGGAACAGTGATACTAGCATACTACTGGTGCTGCTACAGAAGGCACTGCACGCAGGCTGGCATTGACACATGCTCCCCTTCCGCCCCACCTGAGGGACAGCTATGTTGCAAACCGTGATGATGCCCTATCACACAGTCAGTTAGTTGTTTGCTCTTTACCCCCACCTGAGGAACAGCCCCGGCAGCTGCGCGCGCAGGTTCTGGTTCCAGGGGCTGTCTGCGTCCAAGGATTCCCGGCTGGAGGGAACCACCCAGTCGCCCTGGGGAGGTGGGAGGTGGGGGTATAGAGGAGTTAGTAAATGTTGCCGTTGTCTTTGGGTGACCGAAGACACCATACCAAACCATAGGAAACCACAGGTTAGGGCACCACGCACCACGTACCACACACCTGCACCACAAAGCGCAGTCCGTAGCTCCGAAGCGGCAGGAAGGCGAACACCGGCTGCTGCGGGGGCCGCCCGCCCCTCCAGCTGGGAGCCAGCAGCAGCGGGGGGCTGCAGGCCCCGCCTGCAGCAGCCGCATGGCTGCCCTGGGGTTGGCTGTTGGTGCTGTTTGGCTGGTAGACCGCCTGACCCAGGCAGAAGGCGAGGGAGACGCGCGTCTCGCTGACCGCCACGCCGGCCCGGGGCAGCTGGGGCTGCAGGCTGGCTGTCACCACCGCCCACCTGGGGGGCGCAGGAGAGGGGAATGGGGAATGGGAAAGGAGGCGGGTTGAGAAAGGCGTGGGATAGGGCGTTTCTGGTATTGGAGCGCCTGGGAGTGGCAGCTGAGATGAATGCACACGATTGTTGGCTTGGCAACCCTCATGTCGTTTCGTTTTTGGGAAACCTGCCCCAGGCTAGCTGCAGCTATTGGGCAGCTGAGATTGCTGCAACGACTCACAACAGGAACACACCTGGGCAACAGGGCTGCATGGCTTTTCACACCAGCATGCACCATGCCTACGAACCTACAAAACCTACTTAACTACCGGTATACAAACCAAGCAACCATGCAACCCCACTTACGTTGTAGCACTGGTGGACCGGACCGCACCAGCTGCTTCAGCGGCTGGACCAGCGGCCGCCGTGGAGGGCGCAGCTGCAGCTGCCGCTGCCGCCGCTGCTGGTGCCCCAGCTGGCAAGGCGGTGGAATTGTGCACCAGCAGCTGCACCAGGTGGGGCTGCCCCGCCACACCCCGCCGCTCCATCTCCACCACCCGTGCACCATCTCCACCACCAGCCGCACCCGCAGCCTCCCCCGTCTCATCCCGTACAGTTATTCGCTGCAGGCGCTGCAGGAAGAGGAGCAGTGTGGGCGACAGGTCCGCAAAACGCCGTCGCAATACGGCTCCCCGCTCCCCACCGCCACCGCCACCGCCAGCAGCACCACTGCCACCACCATCTTCACCACCAGCAGTGGCAGCAGCAGCAGCACCCGTATCCCGTCCATGTCCTGCCATGTCGTGCCGTAACGGCAGCACAATGGCCGTACCGTACGGAAAGAACTCCTCCGAAAGCTGCAGCTCCTGCTGCTGCCGAACGTTTCCGCTAATGCTGCTGCTGCTGTCGCCGCCACCGCAGCCCAGTCGTGTGAGTGCGGCCGCGGCTCCGGAACCCGGTGTCAGCGGGCACCAGTCGGGCAGACAATAGCCCAGGGAGCCGTGGCGGGAGAGGTCGAAGCAGACATGGAAGTTGCGGGAGTGGACCTGAGCGGGGCGGGGCGGGGCGGGGCGGGGCGGGGCGGGCGGGGCGGGGCGGGGCGGGGCGGGGCGGGGCGGGGCGGGGCGGGGCGGGGCGGGGCGGGGCGGGGCGGGGCGGGGCGGGGCGGGGCGGGGCGGGGCGGGGCGGGGCGGGGCGGGGCGGGGCGGGGCGGGGCGGGGCGGGGCGGGGCGGGGCGGGGCGGGGCGGGGCGGGGCGGGGCGGGGCGGGGCGGGGGCGGGGTGGGGCGGGGTGGGGGCGGCAGTGAGCGGGGAGCAGGAGGGAGGGAGAGTAATGGGAGGCAACTGGCGTGCTGGGTGGTCTGATGGGTATTGGTGAACAGTGAAGAAGGGACGGACACAGGTGCGGGCAGCGCTTACGTGAGGTGTATGTGCCTGATGAGTAATGCAATGGTACCTACCTGGGGCGCGGAACTGACTCGGAACACGCTCTTGAAGCCAATGCCCTTCTGGCCAATGTAGCCTGCAAGGCAGGAAAGCGGGAGGGGGAGGAGAAAGCAATACGGTGTGTGGCTTCATCCTCACTTCCTCAGCTCGCAGCTGCCGATAAGCCAACCACAGCCGCCACTGCATCGTCCGAAATGCGCAGCTCTGTCACAGACTAAAGGAAGACACATTCGTTCGCTCCTACCTTCCGCGCCATTGCCGCACAGCCCACCCACACCCACACCCCACACCTGTGACTCGCGCCTTGGTGGATGCGCCCACGTCGCACAGAGCCCGCAGGTGCTGCGGCGCGAACCCCGCCTCGTTGTTGGCGGCGGTGATGGCGCCCCGCTGCAACAGGAACTCCAGGGAGGGCACCACGCCGGGTGGGTAGCGGTTGTCGTCCGCGTTCTGCAGCGGGTTCAGCAACAGCAGCGGGTTCAGTGACAGCAGCGGGTTTCGGAGCAGCAGCAGTTGGTTTCGTAGAACCAGCAACAGCAGCAGGTTCACAAGCACCCCATGTGCGGTGCGATGCGTGTTACACCGTATCACTGGCTGAGATGCGGTATGCCCTCCAGCCCAAGCGCAATGATCCGGCCAGTGTGTTTCCTCGCGGCCTACTATCCTCCCCACTGCCCGCACCGCCCCCCCCACCTGCACCAGCTCCATCACAAAGTGGCTGTCCGAGGAGTACAGCTCCGCAGCCAGCCGCTGCAGCGCGCGACCCGTGCGGGCTGCCAGACGGCCGCTCAGCTGGGCCGCCTCACCCGCCAGCGGCACACCCACTCCGAACTCCTCGCGACGAATGGACTCCACGAACCGCCTGTAAGAGGGGTTGCGGACGGTGTATGACGGTGACAAGGACGGACAGGTGATGTGGCTGGCGTGGGTGAGGAAGCTTGCTGGGAGTTATCAGGGTTGGGGTCGGGGTAAGGAGGGGCTGCTGTGGTGTGGGGTAACAGAAGAGGAGGTGGATGGGGTGTAGGCCAACGGGGTAGCCTGGAGAGCACATGAAGTGTGGCAATCCTCTTATGCCGACATTGGGTTTCAAAAGCTCAGTGTCATGCGCTTTTGAGATGCCGGTGCCGGTGTCAGGCTACGGGAAAAAGCAAGCCCACCCAGTGAGCTCCACCCAGTGAGCCCCACCTGCACTCCTCCTCATCCATGGGTGCCTCCAGCTGAACCGCAGCCTGCCCGGCGGCACCGGCAGCCGCGGCAGTCGCAACAGCAGCAGTGCAGCTCGGCAGCACCGCTCTGGCACCACCTCCAGCGGCGGTCTTGGCTATGGTGGGTTCAAGTTTCTTTGCTCTCTGGACGGATGTTGGCCGCACCTGCACCTGCTGCCGCTGGTTCATTGCGCTGGTGGCAGCATCTTCCATAACGACATCCTCCATCTCGTCAGCAACCCCAGATGTGGACTTGCCCCCAGCATCAACCTGCTCATCAGCACCGGCATCCGTCGCTACTGTGTCGTTATCCGGCAAAGCCAAATCAGCGCCGGGATCAACAGCGGCGGTTGCATCACAACCGCCATCGCCACCGCCACTGCCGTACAACTGCCGCCAGTCCTCCTGCCATGTCTCCACGCCTAGGCGGAACGCCAGGTGATGCAGACAACTGCGGGCTACACTGACCCATGGGTCAGCCGTCGTCGCCGCTGTCGCCTCGACCTGCCGTAGCAGTGCAGCATGTACCGTTTGACCCACGACCGCCGACACCGCCGGCAAAGCACCAACCGAGCTGCCAGCCTGGTCGCGCCCTTCAGGGTTGGTGCCGTACAGTTCGAATGCCGTCGCCAGCGCCGGCAGTAGCACGGATTCCGCCAGCGGGGCCAGCAGCGGAAGCGGCAGGTTGACCAAGACGCGAAGCACGAAGCGGCAGGCGGCTGCTGGGCCAGGGCCCTCGGCTGCGGTGGCGCCGGACTCAACCACAGAGTGACTGTCGACAAGCTCCGACCTGCGGGTGTACGGCAGTGCACGGGAACGCAAGTCCGTACAAGTTGTACCCACCAAAAGCTTCAAAACTGTGTTCCAGTGATTCATGGATTGCATTCCACATGTTTCAGTGTTGTTTGGGCGTTTAGGAGTCCTAAACCGTGTTTCAGTTGGGGCCAATGCCAAACCAATTCAGGAAAGTGGCAGCCCCTTCTCACCTTCCAGCGGCCTGCCTGGCAACGTCCGCAAGAGCCTCGCCAAGGTGCCTCGCCAGCAGTGCAGTCGGGCAGCCGCCCATGCCGCCACTCGTAGCCACCAGCGACAGCAGCGCCGCCGCAACGGCCCGTGGGTCGCCGGCGGCGGTGCGCGACACGATGTCGGCGGGCGTTACGCCGTACGGCAGCTTGACGAGTCGGCCGCCCGCCGCGAGCTCCAGGGAGGGACCGCCCATGGGAGGCAGCGGCAGCTCCAAGGCCGCAACACCTGTGTTGTATTGTACGGTAAGACACATACAGACACGTGTATGCGCATGTTGGATACGGCGCCTGGGAATGGAGTATTGGAAAAGCATGTGGGATGTGACGCCACTGAGCCACCAGGTCCAAACCTGTTTCTAACCCAAATCCTGCACGCCATCCGAAGCTTCCCATTGCCGTCAACCCACCAACAAGGCAAGCCCCTCGCCGCACGCAAGCCCACAGTCCCCGACTCAAGCTTCAAGCCCCACACAACACCGCAATGTCATCGCAGTCAACCCCGTCACGCACCTGCTGCCGCTCCCTCAGCCCGAAGGAACTCCTCTAGCGGTCCCAGCTCGCTCCGAAACACCGCATCCCACTGCGTCGCCAACCGCAGATCCGACAGCTCGGGAGCAGCGCGCAGCGCCGCCAGCGCCGCCGTCCTGTCGACGCCACCCAATGCGCCCACCATCGCCGCCGTCACCGCCGCCGGCGCGACACGCGCGCCGTCTCCGAGGGCTGCACTGGTGCCTAAACAGGACGCATTGACAGCTGCTGGGTCCGCAGAAGCGCAGCTGGGTTGCGGCGGTGCGAGTGCGACTGCTGTGTGCCAGCCGAGCGGCGGCGTGGCTTGGGTCTCAGCCGCCAGTCGGAGCAAGTGACCCACGGGTCCGTGGCCCAGGCATTCGACACGGGCCACACCGTAGTGGCTGCACAGCGCTGTGGCGACCGCTGCTGCATGGCGACTGTGATCCCGCGGGGCGGCAGTGCTGGTCTCGTCGGAGTCGTCGTACATGGTGTCGCTGCTGCCTGCTGCCAACCGGCACCCACGCAGCACTTCAGCGACTAGCTCGAGCACCTGCGCGGAGGAATGGGCGGCATAGCGGATTCGTAGCGAATCCCGGGCTGCTAATGAGTTCAAGCCAAGTAGCATGTAAGCCCTAACCCCTCCGCCATTCTTATCGCCACGTATCCAACTACCGGCGCTAGCAATAGCACTCCAGCCCTAGGCCACCAGCACCCACGACCATGGAAGCAGCAACAATAGCAACAGCAGCAACTGCAGAGCTACCGCACTACATTCCTCCGCACACGAATTCCCAGACCGCTCTCTCACCTGGTACAGCAGCGCCCGAACCGGCCCCTCCGCCCCTCCCGCTAGTGCCGCCGACAGCTCCGCATCTCCCGCCGCCTCCAGCGCCGACAGCAGCGACCACCCCAGACCCAGCGATGCAAACACACGACCCACCCCGCTACCTCCACTCGCACCGCTGCTGCTGCCGCTGCCGTGGACCTTTTGCATGGGACCCGCCGCATCAACAACAGCAGTGGCACCATCACCGGCACCACCTGACCGGGGCAGCAGCTCCTCCGTCAGCTGCTGCTGCTGCAGCTGACCCCCCCGCCGCCCCAGCAGCAGCAGCTGCTGCTCCAGTCGTGAGGCGACGGCGCGCTCCAGGGCCGCCAGGGAGGCCAGCGAGCAGCCGGTGCGGAGATCCAACACGGCGCCACGTAACGCTGCGAGGATGTGGGCTGCAAGTGGAGGAAAGGAAGGAAAGGAAGGAAGAGGAGGAAGAGGAGGGTCAAAGGAATACCAAACCACAAGGGCAAGGCAAAGGGCAGTCGTGCTTACCGCGTGGCAGCTGGCAAGCCGGCAGCTCTGCAGGCGCCTCCGCCGGTGCTGTGGGTGCAGGGTTGGAAGCACCCTGCTGCTGCTGCTGTTGCGGCCGTTGCAGCTGTTCGTGTTGGGGCTGCTGTTGCTGCTGCAGCTCCTGTGGTTGCTGTTGTTGCGGCAGTGGTTGCTGCTGCTGCTCCGGAGCCGCCTGCGCGAGCTGCCCTCGCACCATGAAGTCGAAGAAGGTCGCCAGAGCTCGCATCCTGGTAGTAGGTAGGGCAGGCAATCGGGTGCCGAGCAGCCATGTAAGACAATACTGACATGTTGTGGGTTGCACTGCACCACTTGCATACACATGGTTCGGTTTATCAGACATACCGTGCTGTCAAGAACTCATGATACCTCATGATACACGTATGAAACAAGGCTATACATCCCTTCCTTCGTCTCTGCGAACAGCCACGCTACTACATGCAGTTACACAGCTTGCACGGCACGGCCCCAAAACGCAGGCAACCTACTTTGCAGAGCCAAAATAAGGCCCAACTTGCTGGCTGCCCCTTCCGCCTGCCCCAGCAGCAGCCCCCGCATCGTCTCCGCTCCCGCCTCTTCCACCCTCACATTGGAAGAGGCGTGTGCGCAGACAAGCGAGCGCCTCGGGGGTCCAGCCGGCAGCGGGACGGGCGGCCACCAGCGCCGCCTCCACCGCCAGCAGGGAGGACACGACACCCTGCTGGGCTGCATGGGGGAGCGTGGAAGGGGGGCATGGAGGGGGGGGCGTGGAGGGACACAAAGACATGCAAAGATGCATGGAGGCATTGAAGAGGGCATGACAATGGAGGGATAACATGAACGTCACGCTAGCAGAAAGAGCGCAAAAAGCAGTGCTACACAGGACTAGCCACGTTGCGTGCGTTGTTATTGTTGTTGCGTGCAAGCCTCACTGACAAGCTACTGACAACATCAGCCAAGCAACCCAGGTGCTCCCCACCAACCCCGCCCTGGAATCTCCAATCCTGCGTTACCCCTATCATGCACACTTCTCTTCCTTCTCCTTCCTCCCTCTTCCACAACCCTACCACCCAGCACCTACCATTGACAGAAATGACTGCCGCTGCGGCTCCCTGCCCGCCACTTCCTGCCTCCGCTGCCTTCTTCTGACGCCGCTTCCCAGCCCCTCCCAGCACCCCAACGCGCCGGCCTTCCCCAACCACCTTCCCTCGTAACGCTGCTCGTCCCGCCGCATCTCGAATGTACGGCGCATCCCCATCATCATCTTCTTCCTCACTGCTACTAATGCTCTTCTCAACGCCAGCCTTAGCTGCTGCTCCTCCCTTCCTAGGCGCCTGCCCACTGCCTCTTCCGCCCTGGCTCTTTTGTCTTACGTTGGCAGTAGCAGTTTGTACGACAGTCGCCTCCGCCAGCGCTACAGCCTCCTTGTCGTACTCCCGTACGGCTGCCATCTGGGCCTCATGCACCGGCATGCGGCCGCGCATGGCAGCATGCAGCGCCCTCAGCAGCATGTGGATGAGGGGGCTGGCGGAGTATTTCTGCTCTATGTGGGCTACCTTGGCTGCGAGGGCCTTGCGCCCCTTGGGTTGGGCGGACTTGCTGCCGGCTTGGGCGCGGATGATGGGGGCTACAAGGGGGTGGGAAGGGGGGCTCAGCAGGTAGTGGGTAGGAGGGATTTTGAGGTAGGAAGTGTGGCATGTGTGCGATCATACTTGGAAGGAAGGAGCGCCCGGTGCTGCGAGCACTGTGTACCGGAATGACAGCGCAGATAGGTGTGGTTAGGTGAAAGCTTTGGCAAGTACTTCGAACTGGACTTTTGAACGGAACCCTGCCGTACCGTATTGTAACCAGGTTGGGGGCAACCAAACGACGCTTCCTCAGTCCTCACCCCAGTAGGCCCACAGAAACCCCTGAAGCGCACTCGGACGTTGTCACCGGTATCCCAGGGGTATCCTCTCCGGACTCCCAACCCTGGCCCCTCACCCACGAACTGCTGCACCAGCAGAGCCACCACGGAGACGTAGAAGCTGCGCTCGGGTTGCGCCTGTACCCGCGCCCCGCCCAGCACCTGACTCAGCAACCGCTGGAAGGCGGCCTGCAGTACGGCAGGGGGTGTGTACGGCAGGGTATGTACATGCGCTGCTTGCGAGGTACCGGTGTGCATGTGGTTCAGGCAGGTACCGGTACAAAGCAATCAGGGGGTGCCGTAGGGTGCATGGGAACGTACACGCTCCTGAAAGCAGGCTGGGTATAAAACAACATGCAGGCGAGTTCCGTCCGCCCGGGCATGTACAGGTGGTTGCAATGGCAACCCATTCCAGCGGCACTCCCCCTGCCCCCTCCACCTCGCACCTGCAGCTGGTCCGCGTTGTAGTTCGCGGGCAGGCCGTGCAGCTGGCGATGATGCGGCAAAGCGACGGGTATCAGGGGCGGGGGAGGGACACAGAGGGAGAGGGGGAGGTCATAGGGCTATGGTTGCAACGGTGGTGGTTCTTCCAAGTGGTTTGGACGCTACATTATACGAACAAAAGTTTCATCCCTAACAATTTAACTGCCGATTGAGCTACCGGTATAACACAGACGCAAAGCCCCTTTCCCCAGCATCTTTCCCCACCAGAAAAGGCTCCGCTCCCTCCCAGCATCTTCTCCCAGCATCTTTAACCCCAAACCTATACACATGGGAGCCCCCTGCCACCCTCTTACCTTGCCCAAGCTCTGTCGGGCCTCCGCACTGCACTCCAGGGGCCCAGGCACCCGGGGCAGCTGAGCGCCAGGGTTCGCCAGACCTCCCAGCAGCAACCCTACCTCATCACCGCCGTCAGAGCCACCACCATCCTCCTCCTCCTCCTCCTCCTCACTGTCATCGCCGCTGCCCCCGCGCGTTCTCCGCACGTTTGCTTTCTTCTGGCTGCTCCTGCGCGCGTCCGAGAGCTGTCGGCGCTTGCCCCCACGGCCGCGGTCACTGTCGCTCTCGGCTGAGGTGTCACTGTCATCGTCGCTGCTGCTACTACTACTGCTGCTCGACTCCTCATCGCTACTGCTATCGCCGCTGCTGCTGCTGCTGCTGCTGTCACCGCTACTGCTGCTGCTGCTGCTTTCCTCGTCACCACTGTCACTGTCACTGCTGTCATCCTCCTCGTCGTCATCAGCCTCCAGCTCCTCCGCAGTCGTGACAGTCCTGGCAGCAGCTGCAGCGCCCGCTCCCTCCCGCTCCTCGCGAAGGGCCGCAAGCGCATCCGACATGCGCCGCGCTGCTGCACCCGCCGGCGGGGCGGCTGGGAGCTGCTGGTGTGGGTGTGGGTGCGGGCCGCGGCGTGTGCTGGGGATGAACATGTCCTGTGGTGCAAGGCGCGATGAAAGTGATTACAGTGGTGTTGGGATACAAGCGAGGCATCACATGTGAGGAGACGAGAAGAGGCCATGACAGTTTAGGAAAGGTATCTGTAGCTAGGGTATCTATCAAGTCCGAAAACCCAGCTGCTCAAGTCGACTTCATGTTCCGTACCGCACCACCCAACCCCCTCATCTTCTACCTTGAGCTGCCGGCGGCTGAGGGCTGCCTGCTGGCTGGGCGACAGGAAGCCGTAGTGCGACGGATCCACCAGCAGGGGAGCAGCCTGCGGTTGCACCCCCCTTCGAGCTCCACCTGGATTCGCCGCTGCTGCTGCCGTACCAGCACCCTGCTGCGGCTGCTGCTGCGGTTCCTCCGCTGCCCCCTGCAGCTTCTTCTTTTGGTTCTTCTTCTCCTCCTTCTTAGACTTCCTCCTCGGCCCGGAGTCCTCCTCCTTTACGGCCTGTGCAGGAGCCGACGCAGGCGGCGGCAGCGGGGCCTCCTGCCGTACAGCACCCGCAGCACCCCGCAGCGCCGCCGCCTGCTCGCCTTCAATGGCAGCTGCGGCGATGTTCACGTACAGCAGCAAATCGAACACTGCCACCCCCAGCCGCCATGCCAGCGGTGTGCAGGGCTGCTGTGGAAGCGGCTGGGAGGCAGAGTGGCCGCTGCGGGGAGCAGGACCCGCTTGGCTTTGCTGGCCGGGGGGGTTGCAGTTGGAGGCAGTTGGTACGACAGGCATGCCGGCGGCGGCCGCAACGTCCTCTAGTACGGCAGACACCAGGGCTGCGCCCTGGGCGCTGGCGACCCCGGCGGCGGCGGCTGCGCGGCAGGCCTTGACGCCGCGTACGGCGAGCTGGCGTCGTACGGCGGCGGCGACGTCGAAGGCTGAGATGTGGGGAATGGCGGCTCCTGGATCTTGCGCTGCGGGGGTATGGGGTGGGGCTGTTGTTTCACAATGGCCTTCAAAAGCACATTCACTTCAACATTTGACAAAAAGTGTTGTTTGAAGATGCCTACGGCCCTTTCGGCGCCCAGCCCTACCGTACGCAGGCAGCGGCGGCGCGGAGGGCGGCTGTCCAGGAGGCCCCCCTGCTGCTGCCGCTGCTGCTGGTGGAGAGGAGAAGAAGACGCGGCGTACGGCTGGGTGGGCGGCCAGCGGCCCCAGCCGCAGCCTGCCGTACTCCGGAACCACCTCCGTGGTGCAGATGTGGCGCTGCAGCTCCCACAGGCTCACCACACACCTGGGAGGGAGGGCATGTGTGTGTTAAGAAAACTGGCCGCGCGCGTGTGTGTGTATGGGTGCCGTTGGAGGGCGGGTGGGTGGGTGGGTGCTGTGGCAGACCCGCAATGCCCGGAGCAGCCTCACGGCCCCCCTTCCCCTCTCAACCGGGGCCCCTTTGCCAGCCCAGTCCCACGCACCTGCCCGCGCAGAACGCCTCCACTGCGGCCCCCACCCGCCGGTCCAGGTGCATCAGCTCCTGCAGGCCCCGGGGCGGGGGCAGCCCGTAGGACTCTAGCGGCCTGCAGGGGAAGGGGAAGGAGGAGGAGAGGAGGGGGTCACACGGCGTGCGGGGACGGGAGGGACGCAAGGGGCTATACCAGAGCTGCAACTCCCTGCCCTCCGCCCTGACTAGGCCCCAGTAGCAGCTGTGAAACCCTGCCTAACGCTCCTGCACGCAAGTAGCCGCTGGCAGTACCCATAGACGTGCGCCTACGCGCGTCAAGCCGTCGAGATGCGCCGCGTCCTTACACAATACCCCAGGCAGTCCCCAAAGCCCCCAAACGGACTCGTTTTAACCCTTCCTGGAGCTAACAAACCAGCACCCCAGGCGCACCAAGCACCTGTTAGCCAGGTAGTACTGCATGGCTGACAGCACCAGCTCGTACGACACATGGCGCCCCTGCTGCGGCTGGGCCCTGCCATGTCCAAGTGCATCCGCGGGCGGCAAACCCTCCACCTCCGACCGTACATACTCGAACAGCTCCTCCACCCCGGCGGCCGTGAGGACTGCTGTGACCCGGTACTCGGGTGGGGGCCCGATGGAAGCGGCTTGTGGCGCCGCCGCTAACAGCTGAGAGCATGACTGATACCCTAGTAAGTGGGGCAGGAGTGGTACGCCGTAGGCGACCTGCCAGTTATGCGGCACTAGGTGTATTGGCAAGCCGTCTGGGTGAAAGAGGAGCAAACGCCGCAGGCGATGAACGACTTGCGGGTCCATGGCTGGCGGACAGCCAGAAGTGGAAAGCTTGCTCTTGGAAGCGATAATAGTCTACGAGTTTGTAAAGCATTTTAAAGTAACTGCTGTGGATAAACTGTTTTTAGCTGATTTGCAGACGACGGTCAGCATCGCAACTGTGTTAGACTCAACCGCCTGGGCTGTATATAGGCTACTATGCTGGTGTCTGTAACCGCAGACGTTACAGACAGTATTATCTAGCGCTTTGCCTAGCGACACGCTAGTCAATGAAAGTTGCTCGTCCAGTGTAGTAAGACTCAAAAGCGGCAGCTGGCACCAAACCAGCTTCACTCGCAACGTTTATCACTAGAAGTAGCAGGTCGCCTGACAATCTTTGGTGTTGCGTATCTACTTATGCATGCTGCGCGCCGCGTCGTTGAGCAACATACATGCAGAGCCGGCAGCACCGAAAGCAGCAGCGAAAAACACCATCAAACAAGATTGCGACTGCTATTGTGCACTAGGTTTCAGAATAAGCATACTGTTTCCGGCTTTCGCTGAGTACGCTGTCTCCAACTTCCCTTCCGGGGCCGGAAAACACTCACGATGTTTGCCCCTTATCAATTACGCAATGTGGACACAGATAAAACAATATAACGTGACTGTAATTTCCTGATTCGGGCTTCGATGACTTACGCCACCAAAGGATGTTGCATGCAATCTGACAACACATTAGGCTGCTTAGCGCGAATCTTTCCTTTGGCTCGTTGTTTTTCTCTAACCATAGTGCCTGAGCTACGCACCGAGACGCTTCCCGTTGAAATGTACTTGCCCATCGCGGTGCATTCATAGCCGCGCCCTCATAGCCATACCCTGTCTCCGGCACCACGCTCGGCGTTGCTCTATCAACGCCAGACGACGGCCCGCTTGTAATAGGTGACCTAGCCGACCTTGTTAACACCACCGCTTTCCCCTTGTTCCCACCCCTCGCGCATGTCACGTTCGGATTGCTCTCCAACGCCTGTATCGGCATTTCCGACAGCTCTATGGCGCATCACCTGTAATGGCAACTTGGAGGCCCACGGGTCAGTTCTTGGGGTGCGAAAAGCACCCGCCCCCCGCAGACATCAAGTGCTTATCTTCTGCATCCGTGTACGGCAATCCTCGCACGCTTTTCGCAGCTACGCAGCAGGCAGTAGTGAGCGCTGGCATTGTGCCTGGCTGGGTGCCAGAGCATCGGCGGGCGTGTTTGCTAGGCGGTCGCGGCTAGGCTGTCCCGTTGCATGCTGCCGTCGTGTCGTTCCCAAACGCTGGCTTGGCAATCCAAGGGATAATGACACTGGCGTGTGACTAGCCACCTAGCTACTGCTCGACTTGAATCCGGACACTAATCGGTACGACATGACAACCTCAGTGCTACAACCCTTCATGTGCTTTTGCCAGTAATAAAGTACGACATATCTTTTCAGCCTTAGCCAAGGGCAGCTTGCTCCGATGTCGAACAGCTAACACAGAAAGCCAATAAAAGCGTCTTCTAGCCTGTACACTCAACACCTCACCGTAAGGGGAAAAGACGGGGGTACGGTACCTACTGTAGAAGGGAGGGGCATATTTTGCATTCGCTGCACCTCGCTGAACTTGCCACGCCGTTGGGTTCTCCTTATTGCGAGATACCATTAGTCACTGTTACTACAATGGTTGTGTACCTAAGGGTCTGGACATCCACGCCTGTTGCCTGCCATCCATCGACTACCGGTACCGGTATCCAGCGCGTATTTTCCTCAGTTCGCATACTAGTTAGGTAACAATGATACTGCGGTTATATATACGACTGCCAGCTGTACAAAAGATATGGCTATGGCCCATGAGGATTCGCTCCGTGACCGCTGTTGGGCCGTATCTGTCCGTACGGCAACACAAGCAAGAAAGCGAGTGCAGCTACATAAGTTCATGCGACGTTTTATTTAAGCAATAGTCTTCTAAACGATAACTTCCTGCCTTTAACGATAGAAACTCCGAGACCCGGTGCAACTGTTTCGTATTGGGACGTGAGAGCAGCGCCAGTCACGGTTATAAATGCGCTGTTACAACATGCATAGCATTATTAGCAAACCGGCAAAGGCGGCATTGCCTGCAAGGTAAGCTTCCCCCCCTCGCGCGCATGAGTTGACGACTAGTCCCGTGACACAGTATGACACAGTAGGAAAGGTGTATAGTCGATGGCCTACTATACTGGCTGAGCTTAACGGTGTTTGGAGACTCCTAGGTGGTTGATGCACGTTGACGCAATTACTTCCCGCGCTAGGCGACTTGTTGCGTGCCAGCGCGGCTACCATACGCGCACTCTGACGGTCCGGGCCTGGTCGACTGGAGAGAAGGCCAATACAAATATTCATGAGAACGGCGAACGTCGTGTGCGGAGGTATGAGGCAGGTGAGTGGCTGTCGGGTCGGCATTTCGCGCGCTGTCGACACATGAACTAGCTACTTCATGAACTTCGAGAGGGCTGCCAATTGTCGTCTAGCCGCACCATGCGTATCACGTATATAAATGCTTGGTATTGCCCAGTAGCTGTGATATGCGAGCCCTTTTGGCACGTGCTCATCTGCACATCTTACGTTACGTCACTAAAATAGTCACCCCCGACTTAAGCGCCCCGTCACTATGAAGTTCCCAAATACCACCTGGTTTTGGATTTGTCAAGCTTGATGCTGCTAGACCCAAAGGCACAATCAGTGCCGTGATTGCATCCCTCCCGTGCACCGCTATCCAGTCTGTCTGTCTGCCGTACTACTACCATACAGAGTTCAGGATGATGTCCGGCAGACTAGCCGGTGTCGTACATCAAGCAGTATCCGCCGCCGTACACTCGAATCGCGACAAGGACGGCGGCCGCGCGCCTTCCCGGGAGGTCCTGGAGGCGCACTTTGCGGCCCCGACCCACGCACACGCGGCGGGGCCGACCCATGGGTCAGCGGCGGCCGCTCCGTCGACTCGTGACGAGGTGGAGGCGGCGGCGGCGCATGCGCATGCGCTTCCTCCTTCGCCGGGCACGCCCGCGGGCATGGCATCGGCCTTCCTGCGCTGCTTGGAGGCTCAGCTGCAAGCCAGGAAGTACATGAATGCAGGTCAGACTGGGGGGGCTGGGTTGGGGAGAGTATTAGGTTGGGGAACGGAGAAGATAAGTTGTAAAAGAGAACCGCAGGAGCTTGTCACCTACCGGACTGTCATTCAACACACGGCATCGCATGGGTCTTTCCTCCTCTTCCCCCTCCTCCAGGTGACGAGGCGGGCGACGTGCTGGGCAGCTTCCCCAGCGCCACCCTGCTGTACTACCCGGGAGGGGGGCTGCAGGTGGGAAAATTATATAAAAGTGAAACAACGAATCCCAAACCCATAGCCCGACTCTGGTGGGGGGGCGGGCTGGTAGTGGGGGGGGGCAAGGGAGGACAAGGACAGGGGGGCTGCGACTAGGGGCATGGCAAGCAGCAGCAGCAGCGCCGGGGCTTTCCTGTGCGTCACTTGGTTAGTACTTAGTGGCTTCTCTCTGACCCTCCCTCCCCTACCCCTCCCTCGCAGGCAGTGGTGGAGGAGGTGGCTGCCGCTGCTGCGGAGGCGCACGGCCCCGCGGGTCCCGCGGCAGTGGCGGTGCTGAGGTCGCTGGCGGGCGCGGTGGGCCGAGTGGCGGGGCAGCAGCAGGAGGCCGGGGGGCAGCAGGCGGACAAGGCAGCGTCGGTGGTGACGTGTCTGGTGCGTAGCTGCGTGTACGACCCAGGCGACCCTGCAGCACCTTTTACTCCTGCGCGCGCTCTCGCTCTCCATTAGGGCTGGTTCCTCTCCCCTTCAACTCCGTTGCTTCACTTTTGATACCGGTATGTTTGCCCTTCTAATCCCCCCCTGCAGCTGGGTACGGCCGAGGCGCTCGAGGGCGCCACCAAGACCCTGTCGCCCTCCGCCGCCCTCACCTCCTCCGCCCTCACCTCCTCCGCCCTCACCTCCTCCGCCCTCACCTCCACACCCGCACCCGCCACCACTACTACACACCGCCCTGCCACCCGCACCTCTGCTGCCCCCGCCCCGGGGTTGTACGAGGCGGCGGCGGTGTCTGCGGTGGCGTCAGAGGCGGCGGAGCTGCTGTGGGAGGTGGCGGGGGTGTTGGAGGGGCTGGCAGGTGGGGTGGGGGGGGGAGAGGGAGGGGGAGGGAGGCAGGCGGGGGTAATGGAGCAGGCGAATGGAATGAGGGACGTGCGGGCGGGATGCGAGTGGGGAGGTGGGGGTTTGTTTCCCATGTAGGCAGCCGCCTGGTGTGTTTTCTGTGACTGCTTCCTCCTCCCCCGTCCCCTTCTCACCCCCAGCTCTGCCCCAATTCACACACAGCGCCGCACTTCCCGCCCTCCCCTCCCCTTACCACTCCCTCTTCCCCCTTCCTCCAAACCAGGCTCCCCCTCCTCCTCCCACACAGCCGAGGGCCACACGCGCTCCCCCTCCGCCCCCGCCCACCCGCTGCTGTCGGCGCTGGAGACCCGGCTGTACGGCAGCGCCACCTGGCAGCCCGACTCGCCAGCTGAGGTGGGGGGGAAGGGGGGGAAGACATTCGTAGTAAAGCACTTGAATTCCAATCTCCCACGTGGGGCCTAAACGGGTAACTTGTATAGGGTTACTCGGAACCGGGAAAGGGGGGAACGGGGATGGGGTGTAATTGGTGGGTGGGTTAGGATTGGGCGAGGTGTTTGTTCCCGGGTACTTCTCACCCTCTTCCTGTCTTAACCCCCGCTCCCCTTCTCCCAAACCCCCCAAACACCCCAGATTGCCTCCTCCCTGGTCGACACCCTGGCCTCGCTGCTCGCCCCCAGCCACGTGGGCAACACAGCGGCGCAGGGCGGGGCAGCGGCCCGTGGGTCGGCCTGCGCCGCCCTGCACTGCATGGCTGGGGCGCAGCGGGGGCTGGCGGGGGCGCTGAGGAGCCATGGGGCCGACCCGGCTGCCGCGAGCAGGTAGGGGGGTTACGGTAAAATAGGGATACATTTCCACACTAAGGCTGGGGAGCCTATAGATGGCTTCAGCTTTCTTCATTCCTACGACCCTCTTCCTCGCTCCCCCCTTCCCCAACCGGTGAAGCCTACATGTCGTACAGCTCGTCCGTTTCCCTCTTCTCACCTCCCCCCTGGACTGTGGTGTTCCACTTATCCAATTATAGATAATTTCCCCCTCTTCTTCGTATGCGCTCACTGCATGAGTCGGGATATGTAATTGGGACTCCGTTGCTTCATTTTTCGTTTCTTCCCCCTCCCCTCTTCCTTCCAGGCTGCTGTCCGCCCTGGCCGAGGCCCTGGCTGCCGCCTGCATCACCCGGGACGCCGCCGACCCGCAGCGCGGCCCCCGCCCGCTCACCATGTTTGGAGAGGCGCAGCTGCTGGTGGGGCTGAGTCGCATTGCGGCAGCGGAGGTGAGGCGGGGGGTAAACTGACGAGGCGGGGGGGGGTCATTACCGCATGCCTCCCGCCTCCTATCCCCGCTGCCTTGCCTATAGTCTCTCTTGCGTAGCCTCATCGCCGCCTCTGTCTTTCACCCTCCTCCTTCCCTCCCTCCGTCTCCAGGGCCCTTCCGCCAGCACCCCCGCCGCCACCGCCGCCGCCCAGGCCGCCGACGCCGCCGCCGGCGACGCCAGCAGCGACCCTGCGCTGGGCGTGAGCGACGCCAGCCTGGTGCTGGAGGTGCTGGCGGGGCAGGCGAGGCAGGTGGCGGCGGCGCACCGGGAGCACATCGCGCAGGTGCTGCAGGTGAGGTGGGGGGGGGGAGCGGGGGTACAGGTGCTGTCATCTTCCCTCACCCTATACACACACTAACATACACGTACTTACACTTAACACAAACGCAACACACGCTGCCCTCACCTGCAGGACCTACGTGACGTGCCCCGCAGCCTGGGGGCCCTATCCCAGCTGCCCGAGGAACTATCCACCTCCACTCCTGCCCACCAGCGGCCACAACGCACCGCTGCGGCCACCGGCGGCGCCGCCTCCGCAGCAGCAGCAGCAGCTTCGGTGGCAGCGGAGAATCAGGCGGGGATGACGTCGGGGGGACGTGTGAGGCCCCGCAAGCGGGCGGGGTTGTAGGGAGGAGGTTGGGTGGTGGGTGGTGTTGCACATAACGCCTGGAAAGCTCTTTACACAGATGGCTAGGGACACCGAAGAACTACTATAAATGATATGCGGCTTTACATGTCGCACTTCCGCACACCAGTTCACCTGCGGTCTATCGGTAGAGCTTGCAGTGCTCACAAGTGCAGTATGGCATGCTTGGGTTGTGTCCGGGTTAGCTATGAGGCATGGCATGGCATGAAGACGTTTGTGCAGTGTGTAGGAAGCGGCAGGGGCGGTTGTCGTTGTCCGTCTTCCGGTACAGTTCACAAGTCGTGTAGCGTAGAACCGGTATGTTGATTGTTGTGGATTGTTAGTTGATTGTGCATCGTACATTTCTACTTGTTTTATGCTGATGGGGATTTCCGGAAACGCACGTTCATGCAGGTTGATGTGCTGTGTTGGAAATTTGATGTTGTTTCGTAATGTAGTTTATGCATGTATCCTTCTGGGTGATTTGGTCAGTTTGTTTTGTTAATGTTTAGTCGAACACTTGCTGTGTTCCCTTCACGCCCCCTTGCTCCTTCCAAAGGGGTGCGAAGGGAGCGCTCCAATAGTGCCGAATCCCACACGGGCTGCGGGGTAAGGTGTCCCGTGCTCTTGCCGTACGATAGCCCCTGTTGCATGCCATACGTGTCCACGGCATTTCGTAGCCTATGTGCATGCGCATGTGTTGTACATAGTAGCAGCTGTTTTCCGCTCGAGCCGTAGCCGTTGTTGTTTGTTGGTGTTGTCGCTTTGCATGGCACGGGTTCGTTGCAACGTTGTTCCCCTATCTAGCAAAGGTTCCCAACCCCTTTGTTGCGCTGTTCCCTTACTGGAGAGTTTATACTTCCCACAAATTAGCTACTTACGGTCTTGTAAGGAATGCAATACCGGTGTCCGTTGCGCGTGGACACATTGACACACCATGCTAGGTCAAGCCGGGTCAGGAAACAGCGAATGGCGACAATTGGGGAACAAGCTGAATAGAGGACGGCAAACGATTCCATCGTCTCCCCCACGTTTCACGTATCGCGATGGGTCTGCGCAAGGTGCAGGTGCACGAACATGGCAAAGCACGCTAGGCGCTACGCATGCCTGCTAGGGATGGGTTAGGAAGCGCTGCAACACAATGGTTGTGCGCAATCCTTGGTATACTGCTATAGTTGTTGTCTTGTCGCTGAAGTCTCCATTTGCAGCGAAATGGGGTTTCGGGGCACCTGTACGTATGATAAGGTTCATCGGGTAAGGTGCTTCCCACCGAAAGGCTAAGCTAAGGGAACGACAGGATGAAGCTTAACAGCAGAATCCCCTAGGTTGTAAATTGGTTTGAATGGAAATGGTGGAAGGAAATGGACATTCCCGTAGTTAGCTTGCTGGTGCCGCAAGGGCAACAGCCCACTGATCGGGGTCACAATGCCGGGATTCAATCAAGTATCGCTGGCACGGCACGCGCACGCGCTCCTCCTTGCACTTCAGCAAATCCAGCTTCGCGCACCGCAAGGAGGGCGCCCAGTTCCGCCGCTCCTGTATGAACATGTCGGGAACATAACGGCGGCTCTTCAGCGTCTGCATGAACAGTTTGCTCTGCTGATTAACGGCGACCCGTTACGAGTGGATGCCAGCATCCGCCCCGACGACTTGCTGCACCTTGTGCGTTGGTGGCAGGACGGCCGTCTGACGCAGCTGCTCCACAAGATTTTCATTTCAGCTGTTCGTGATGTCGCAACGATTTGCGTCAAGGCTCCCGGTGGCCCAGCCGCAGTCAGCTCATTGCGCGGTGCCTCGCGCTCAGTGCCCCGCGCAAATCCCGGTCGAACCCACGCTGACCACGTCCGGGGCCAAAAAGCCCAGGCGACGTATGAGCAGTACTTGGGCTCAGCCAAGGCCGCTCAATGCGCCGCATCCGTGGCTGTACTCCACGGGGTGCTGCAGCTGGTGATCGATGCCCTGCAGCTGCTGCGCAGCAGGCCCGCCTCCTCCCTCTACCCTCCACCTCCGCTGCCGCCACCGCCAGAGCCGGAGACCAACTCGGAGACGCCAGCGGAGACACCAGAATCCGCTGCTGCGGCTGCTGACGCAACCACCCCAGCAGCACCTCCGGCAAGCGACACCCCCGCTCCTTCCAGCGACCCCACAGGTTCCCCTCCCGAACCCGCAACCGAGGCAGCTGCTGCTCCCGCCGCCGAGCCCGAGCCCAAGGATCCCGCTCCTCCCGCTGCTGCAGCCCCCGCAGCCCCAACAGCCACCAAAGCAGCGGCCGCGCCAAAGCACCGTGCAGGCAACTCCAAAGCCCAAGACAGCTCCGCCTCCTCCTCCACAGCCACAGCCAACAGCTCATCCAGGCCATCCAACGCCTCACGCCTCGCCTCGCAGAAACAAACAACGCCGGCTGCCGCATCCGCCTCTTCGGCAGCAGCCTCCTCCTCTTCTCCCCCGCCTCCGCCGCCTCTGCGCCCGGAGGAGGAGCGCTACCAGCGGCTGTGCGCGCGCCACCGTGCCGCGGAGCGCTCCTTCCTGGCCTGGTCCGGGCTTCAGGACGCCGTACTGGGCCTCATGTGCAACAGCCCGCTGCTGCTCAACCTCTCCGAGCTGCTGCGCCACGTAAGCGCGCTGCTGGGGCAACCTTCCGTAGGCAGCGGCGGAGGCGGCGGCGCTGCTGGTGGCGGCGGCGGCGGCAGCGGCACGCCCGCTGCTCCGCGAATGACGGCGCTGTGGCGACAGGTATGGTCGGTGGTGCCGCCGGTAGCGGCGCTGGCGCATTCGGCGGTGGCGGCGGCGTGCGCATCGCTCCTGCCGGCAGCGCAGGCGGGGGGAGCGCCGGTGGTGGACCCCTCGTCTGCTGCGGTGCTGCTGACGGCGCTGTCAGACAGCGCGCTCATCCCGCTGTGTTGCGATGTGGTGCTGTCGGTGCCGCGGGGGGCGCTGCTGCACCAAGCCGCCGCCAGGCAGAGTGTCACTCTGGCGGCGCAGCAGCTGCTGGTGGCGTCTGTACGGCTGTGCGCGGTGGCGGAGGCGGGGGATGCGTTCAAACCGCCGCCACCGAAGCCGCCGCCGCCGGAGGCCGCTGCTCTGGTTGCAGGTCCGACGGCCGCTGGGGAAGAAGAGCCTGCTGCGGCTGTAGACGGAGAGATTGCAGCGGCTTCCTCAGCGTCGGCAGCGGAGGATAGCGTGGTTACGGTAGTTGGGGCTACGGAATCTGAGGGAGGGCAGGGAGAAGGCGCGGGGTCGGACGCCGGTTTGGCAGCTTCAGTGGCAACCGGCGATGCTGTTGCTGATGTCGTGCTGGCTGGGGAGGAGCTGATGGGGGGTGGTGCAGCTGCCGAGGCCGGGGGCTCGGCTGCCGGTACCGGCGACGGAAGCGCAGGCAGCAGGCGGCAAAGTAACTCAACCAGCGGCGGAGCTAGTAGCAGTCTTGCGGGAGGTGCTGGAGGGACGGGAGACGGGGCCCAGCGTCGGTCAAGTACCAGCACCGTCGGTGCTGTCGGACTTCCTGACGCTGCGTGTGCCAGCTCCGGAACCGGAGCAAGCGCCAGCACTGACGGCGGTGGTGATGGAGCGCCAGCCCCGGCCTCAGCAGATGGAGCGATGGATGCAACCGCCGCCGAAGCAGCAGTAGCAAAGGTCTCCGCGTCTGGGTCGCGTACAGCCAGCGGAGCTGGTTCCCAAGAGGGCGGAGTTGCTACGGAGGCAGCCGCGGCAGACGTGGCAACGGAGGGTGCGGCAGGAGAGGCGCAAGAAGGCGCAGCGGTAGAGGCCCAGCCGGCGACGGAGGCGCTGCTCGATTCCGCAGCGGAGGCAGGCTCACAAGCAGGCAGTGATGCGCCGGTGTTGGCGGGTCCGGCGGAGGCGGAGGCGAAGCGCTCAGCGGATGGCAGCCGCGCCTCAGCAGCGGGAGAGGCATCGGCCACCACATCAGAGGCGCCGGCGACGGCGTCGCCTGAGGGTGTGCTGGAGGCTGAGCCGCCGGCGCCGTCGGATACCCTCCTGGCTGATGCGGCGGCGGAGGGGGCGTCGGCGGGCCCAGCGTCGGAGGCTGCATGTGAGGATGGAGTCGCGGGGTCTGAAGGAGGCTTGACGCTGGTGACGGCGGCGGCTGATGCTGTGGAGGGACCAGGGGCTCCGTCGGGGCTCCAGGAATCCGAGCCCTCCTTGTCCGCGGTAGTTCCAGCTGTAGCGGAGGAAGCCTCCTTGTCGGCAGTAGTGGTGGTCACCTCGCCGGGCTCGCCCACACCGCCAGGCGGCGATACCGAGAGCGGAGACCCGGAGGCCGTATCCGCCGCGACCCCCCCGCCGCCGCCGTCGCTGCCGCCGCTGGAGGCCGCCGCCGCCGCCGCGCTGGCGGTCCTGAGCTGCCCTGCCGTACAGTACTTCATGTGCGAGCGCCAGGCCAGTGCTGTAGCCCAGACGTACGGAGATCTGGTCAACGTGATCGGCAGCGGCATCGTCGCGCCGCCGCCAGCGTCCGCCGTCGCCGCCGCGACGCTGACCACATCCTGGATCGTCGCGCCCATGCTGGCCGGCGGCTCCTCAACGCAGGCAGTGCCGGGCCGGCCCACCTCACCTACCGGCTCCGGCGGGAACGCGGTGGGCATCATGGGCTGTCTGCCTCCCGCGGAGATACTGGAGGTGGCTCGGGGCTGCGGCTTGGACCTCCTGCCCGTCCCCGTGCTGCCCTGGTCGGTTCCTGTGGAGGCAGCCCTAGTGGCGATGCCAGACCTGCGTAGCGTGCAGCCCACCGGCAGCAACGGCGCCGCCGCTGGCGGCGGCGCCGCCGGCGCTCAGCATCTGCGATCTGGATCCAGCGGTGTTGGTACGGCAGGAACCAGCGGTAGGCCGTCTCTGTCGTCCATCGCCTCCGCCACGGGTCAGCTGACCCTGGAGAGCCAGCTCTCGCGTCGTCGGAAGGACACTCAGACCCCGCCGGCGCCGTCGCCGCCAGCCATTGCCTCGCATGTGAGCCTCCCGTTCGTGACGACGGTAAGCACCGGCTCGGGGCCTCCGGGAGGTCCGGCACCCGCAGCGCCGAAGCTGCCGCCGCTGCGCGCCACCATCAACTCGGATTCCGAGTTGCGACGTCGGGAGCAGCAACGTGCGCAGCGGCAGCAGGAAGCAGCAGAGCGGGAAGCGCAGCTCGTGGCACTTGTAAGGGCGACGGCGCTGGCGTGGCAGGGTCTTATTGCCGCCGCCGCCAGGTCCGCTGACGTTCCCGATGCCGTACAGGCAGCATCAGGCGACAACGCCGAGGCTGCTGCTGCGGCGGCGGCGGCGGAGCCTACGCGGCCCCCCACTCCTCTGGGCTACGTGCCCAGCGCCAGCAGAGTCCTCGTGCAGTTCGTCTCCGCGGCGGCGGTATGCCGAGTGGCCAGCGTCGTCGTCGCCGCCGCCAGTGGCGATTGTCAGCGCAGCCGCGGCGGCGGCGGCGCTGCCGCCGCCGGCAGGTCCGTCTCCCCTCCTCGCGGCAGCCGTACCTTCATCGGCGCTGCTAACGGTGGCGGCGGCGGCGGAAGTGGCATGGTGGTTGCTGCCGCCGCCGCCGCCGCCGCGGGCGCCGACGACGCTCCCGAGGAGGGCCTTGCGAAGCTGCTTGCGGTGCTGGTGGGCAACATGGCGGCGGCGCATGCGCTGTGTTCGGAGGGGGAGCGGGCGGCGCTGCAGCGCCAGTCGTCGGGGCTGCTAGTGGCGGCACTGGCGGCGGCACAGGTGAGGGTTGGGGGGTGGGGTTGCGGAGGTAGGGGCGCAGACGGGCCAAGGTAGGCCAGGTCTAATATCGTTCTAGTAACGTGGTTCCTGTGCGCGTTCCCCGACCTGTGATTCCAGTCCTGTCCGTTTCTTCTTCTTCTACTTTACCCTCAATCTTTGCTCCGCTTCCTTCTTTCCCACCCACCCTCCCTCCTTGCTCCCCCCTCCCTCCACAGGAGCTCCTCACCCGCACCGGTAACCCCGACGTCTCCACCCCGCTCGTCGCCATCCCAGAGGCCTGTCTGAGCTGGATGGCGGAGGCGGAGCGGCGGCGCGAGGCGGAGCACGCACACCTGGAGTCCGAGCTGTCCGCTGCCGAGCTGGCGGCGGCGGAGGCGGAACACGCGCAGTTGGAGCGGGCACTCGCGCTAGCGGAAGCGGCATGCGCGGAGGCCGATGCCGATTACCCGGTAGCCCGGACGGGTGCTGGTGGAGGGCTGATGGTCCGCGGCGAGGGTGGTGGCGAGGATGAAGATGACGCTGAAGATGGGGATGAGGAGGGTATTCTTGGCGCTGCGGCGTCCGCCGCAGCGGAGGCGGTGGCCCGAGTGGCGGCGGCGAGGCTGGCGGCGGCGGCGCGGGATGCTGCACGTCTGGCGGCTGCGGTGTCCATGTGCGAGGCGTGCGTGCGCTTCCTGGTGGCGCACCACCAGGGCATGGTGGCGACGCTGGTGCGCGCGGGGCTGCTGCGGCCGGGGCTGCGGCTGAGGCGGGAGCACACGAGGCATGCGGAGCTGCTGCAGCAGGTGGGGGTTTGCGGGGTAGGTGGGGGGTGCCTGTTTTTTGGGAGTACCTGCCTGTGAAATCGACAGTCTCAGCTGTTTGCGGTAGTGGACGGCGACTGTGCCGCGTGGTGGAACTGAAGCCGGCTGACTGAAGGTGGTTTGCTGCCTTTTGAGCCTCAACCTTCGCATTGCCTCGCTCCACATCGCCCCTGGCATGCATGCCGGACACTCTTTCCTAACCCTCGGCCCCCTTCTCCAACTCTCCCCCTTCTCCCTCCACGCCCCCCCCCCCCACTTCCCACCCCTGCAGACGCTCTCTATGCTAGCCCACCTCGCCAGCCGCTGCGCAGCCGCCATCGCCGAGGCACACGCCCCCCGCCCCCTGCACTCCGCCGCCGCCGCTGCCGCCGCGTCCGGCCCCCCCTCCCGCTCGCCCGTGGCCCTCGCCGCCGCCGCGCATGCCATGTCCGCCCACGCCATCGCCGCCACCTACGCCTCCGTCACCACCTCCCTCCACAGCGCGCTGCTGTCCGTGCGCAAGTGCCTGGCGGTGTGCTCGCAGCAGCTCGCCTCCGCCGGCGGTACGGCACTGTCCCTGGAGCCCGTCACGGCGGTGTGTGCGGCGCTGTGTGCCTTCCCCGGCAGGCTGGCGGCGGTGCTGCTGCCGGCGCATGAGCTGGCGGGGCTGAGGCCTAGTCGCATGGGGGATGAGGAGGGTGAAGGAGAGGGGCTGGTTTTGGGCGGTGGTGTTGGTGGTGAGGAGGAGGAGGGGACGCTGGCGTGCGGTTCGGGCGGCGAAGGTGGAGAGGGTGCGGCGGCGGTGGTAGAGGGAGACGCGGGCGATACTTCTGCTTCCGCTGGGGAGGCGGTAGCCCCGGCTTGTGAAGAGGAGGCAGCGGCACCGCCGCTGGCGGAGAGGTCCTGTTCGCCAATTGACATCATCGCTAGCAAGCAGGATCAACCCTACAGCAACACTGCCGCGCTGCTGTACCCCTTCGGCTTGGAACCCATCGCAGAGGCATCCGAGCTCTCGCGCGAGACCTCCTCCAACGTCAGCCTGTCGCCCGCGCAGCAGCAGCGCCGCAGGCAGCAACAGCAGCAACAGCTGCTGGCGGCTCAGAGGGGCAGCGATGGCAGCGGTAGCGATAGCATGGGCGGCTTCCGCAGCGGCGGCGGCAGTCCGACGCCTGGGTACCCCATGGACACGGTGGATGAGGAGGAGGCGGACGCCGCTGCTGCTGCCGCTACCGGGGAGGAGGAGGAGGAGCCCGTCAGTCCTACGGCGCCGGGGCTGACAGGAGCGGAAGCTGCGGCTGTGAAGAAAGCACAAAACGAGGACGCCGGAGAGGAAAAGCAGCAGCAGCAGCAACAGGAGCCCAGACACGTCCGGGCGGCCCGGGCTGCCAGGGCGGTCGCCTCCGTGTCCGCGGCCATTCCCTACGTCGCCCGCGCCATCGCCTCCAGCGCCCTGCACACAACGGTCCTGCCCGCATGGCGCGTCTTCACCACCCTCTTCCTGCAGCTGGCGGCAACCGAGCTAAACAAGCCGCCGGCGCTTCCGGCCGCGGCCCCCACGGCGCCGTCACCGACGCTGTCGGAATCCGGTCCCCGGCTGCTTCCGTCGCTGTCCGCCCGGCAACTGCAGCAGGAGTCCACTCCGTCCTTCCTACCGGCCATCCCGGGGCTGGCGCCGCTGCCGCTGTCGCCGGTGTCCGGCTCCCGAGCTGCGTCACCGGAGCCGGTTTCACCGCCTTGGCAGCCGCCCGCCTCATCGCCGCCGCTGCCACCGGTGCCGCAACCCGCGTCTCGGTCGCCTTCGCAGAACTCCCGGGCTGGGACAGCAGCGAGTCAAGAGCAGCAGCAGCAGGAGCAGCAGCGGCAGAGGAGCAGCAGCAGTGGGGCGGGCTCGGCTCAGCCTCGGGGAGGCTCAGCTACTAGCGGTGAGGAGCAGTTGGGAGCAGCAAGCCAGCCTGGAAGCGAGAGCGGTTCGCGCCCGAGTAACGAAGGTGGTGTCCCTGATTCTGCTGCTGCTGCTGCTGGTGATGGTGGTCCTGCTGGTGATGGTGCAGCCGCCGTTGAGGCACAGGACCAGCCCATGGCACCCGGAGCAGCAGCAGCCGCTGAGGCGGAGAGCGAGGCTGGGGCTGAGGCTGCCGCAGGCACGCAGGACGGGAGCGAGGCGGCTGCGGGCACATCCTCAGCCTCTTCCGCAGCCTCCTCGCCTTCTCCTTCTTCGGTAAATGTCGCGGGGGCTGCAGATGCTGCTGCTGCTGAGGAGCAGGCGACGGAGGAGGAGCGCCGCGCCTCCTCATCAGCGGGCGGTGTGGCGCCGCCTGCCGCTGCCTCCCACCCCTCGCCACCGGCCTCAAAGCGAGCCAGCGACGCGTCATCCACACAGCCGGCGGCAGCCGCTCAGGAACCGCAGCAGCAGCAGCAGGAACCACTGCCGGGAACAGATGGAGGGCCTGAGGAGGCGCAGCAATCCCCAGCCGAACCCGGTACCACACCCCGCTCCGACCCAACATCCGAGGCACTCCAAACCCAGCCTCCCCTGCTCCAGCCTGACCCCCAGCAGCTACCACCTCCCTCACCGCAACCCCAAACCCAGCTCGCTGCTCCTCCTTCACCACCCCTCACCACCGCCATGCCCCCCAGCGCCCTGACGCCCGAGCAACGTGCAGGACTGTCGTACGCTACCACGGGTCTGTGGGACCTGCTGCATGTGCTGCTGGCGGTGCACCGGGGCGGGGGACCCTGGCCCGCAGCCGTGTTCGCACTGCCGCGGGAGAGGGAGATGGAGCTGAAGCGGGTGGCGGAGAGGCTGCAGAGCCCCAGACAGCCCGCAGCGCAGCGCCCTGAGGAGACGACGGCGACGACTACGGTTACTGCTGGTGGTGGTGATGGCAGTAGTGGGAGTGGTGATGGTGCGGGTAGTGCTGATGGTACTAGTGGTGTGGGAGAGTTGGCAGGAGCAGGAGCAGGGGCAGCAATTGGAGGGGAAGGGGAGGTGGGCGGTGCGCGTGTGAGCAGCCTGAGTGGCTATGGTGTGGGCGGCAGCATGGGCAGTTTCAGTGGTGGTTTTGGGGGTGTTAGCGGCAGCGGCAGTGGGAGTATGGGCGTGTACGGAGGGTTTGGGAGTGGCAGTGGGGATGAGGAGAGGCTGGGTAGTAGCAGCTACGGAGGTGACGGAGTGGGAATGGGAGTGGGAGGAGGTGGAGCATTCTTCTTGACGGCAGTTGACATCAACGATGACTGCGTCAGCACCGTCGAGTCAGCAGCACCAGCCACCACCATCACCACCTCTGAGGCTGTGACTGCTCCTGCTGCCTACACAGTCCTAACAGTCAGCGACGATCCCCAGGGTGCCTGCGCCGGCAGCAACGACGACGACACATCAACAGCCCCAGCCCCAGCTCAGGCCGGGCAACCGGAGCAGCAACCTCCACAACCGCAACCCGAGCAACAACCGGAGCCACAATCGCAGCTACTGCCTTCCGCCACCGTTGCCGTACCCGAGTGGCGAAACGCGGTGGAGCTGCTTCAAACGGTGCTCAGCATGCAGGCCGCCTGGGCGGAGCTGCAAGCCATGGAGGCGGCATTCGGACCCAGCCCGCAGCCCAGCCTACCCACGCTGGGCACCAGCATACCCGCCGCGCTGCCCACCGCAGCGGCGGGCGCAGGCGACCCATGGGTCGGCGGCAACACGGCAGCGGGGGCTGCGGCAGGCCCTGTGATGCTGGACAGCGGCCCCTCCGCTGCGCAGCTCCTGGCGTCCTTCCTACGTGACGGCAGGGGCGGCAACAGCAGCGGCTGGATCAGCGGAGGCGGCGGCCGGCGTGGCAGTAGCGGCGTCATCAGCGCTGTCGGCAGTAGCGGCGGCCCCCACGGTTACTACTCCACCTACGCCACCGCTACAGGCGCCCATGCTGACGCCGCCCCGTCCGAGGGGGCGGCCTCCTCCTCCTTTTCCGGCTTCCCGCAGCTGCCCCCCGCGCCTCCCGTGCTGCTGCTGGATCCCGCGGAGGCCGCCTGGGTGCTCATCGGCTCCTCCTCGCCCGCTGCCGTACACGCTGTCGTACATGCCGCCCATGCAGGCGGGGGTGGGAGTGGTGGTGGTGCATGGGGTTGCGGCTACCCTGGCTGCACCAGCCTGGCGGGTGCGAGCGAGGTGGGTCAGGGTCGGCGGGTGGTGTGCGGCTGCCAGCAGGCGAGCTACTGCTGCTCCACATGCCAGATGCTGGACTGGATGGGCGGGCACCAGCAGGTGTGTAGGAGCAGGCGGAGGGGGGCCGGGACGGGGGGAGGAGCGGGAGCGGGAGGCGGAGGGGGTGCAGGGGGAGGAGGAGGAGGGAGGGAGGGCGGTGTGGGTGCGGTGAGTGCGACTGGGCAGTTGGCGGTTGCTGGGTCGGGGGTGCTGGGGCCGGTGGGGTCGTTTGCGGCGGGGGTGCGGGGGCAGGTGCCTCGGCGCAGGTCAGTGGTGAGCAGGCGGTGAGGGGGCGGTGAGGAGGTTTTCTTTGAAGGGGTTGGAGGGTTTGGGTGGGAGGAAGGCGGATAGGTGCGGGTGGATGTTGGGGGCGTGTTGGGTGTGTGTTTTGGATTAGCAGTCAAGTAAGGGAGGCGAGTTCGCCTCGCGCAGGGAGGTCGCTGGAACTGACGCTAGGTAGCAGCCTGGAGGTTGTTTGTTAGGAAGATTGGCCGCGAGTCTGTGATTCCCCACAGAAACGCCACAGGTTGTGTGTGTGAGCGGTTAAAAGCGGGCTGGCTCCGCCTTGTTGTGAAGAAGGGACGCGTGAAGACAAAGCTTGTATACGTTTTGAACGGGCGCGGAAATCGTGCCGCCGGAAAAGACACACGGTTGCGGACGACCCACATTGTCATGGAGTAACGCGTTGATTGCTGACTTGCATGTTTCGTTCCGACATGCGGTACAAGCAAGAAGGGGATGTACCATGTGTGCTCATCCTTGGTGATTGCGTGCGGCAAGGCTGCGGCTGTAGGGGGCCTTGTGAATCCCGCTTACCGGTAGCAGGTGAACCATCAGCCCTTGGGCGTACGGCATTCATCATGTGTTGGGGTTTCGGAGGCCTGCGGGGACTAAGCGGCGGCGTCCCGCGGCTACCCCTTCTGTGATTGGGGACCCTGGGCTTACGTGATCGCACTCACACACACGCGCGCGCTACGAAGATGTGAGCCATTTATGTCTAGTGTTCATCGTTGGCACGTTGCTTGGTTGTGACATTCATGGCTCTTTATGTTATCTATTTGATAACAAGTTGAATCGTCAAGTTGTTGGTACGATTGCTGGTAGAAGAGCCCAGTTCGCCGCGTATTTGGCCTGCCCAGATCTCAGGTTGTTGTGGTCTGTGCTAGTGTGTTGGAACTCGCGTGGGTGAAGGGGCAGCAGGGGACAGTGTAACCGCTGGAAGGGGGCCGTTCTTCCTCTTTTACCACGCTTGCTAGGCAAGCGGGATGCAACCGGGTAGAAACGGCAGTAGCGTGCCTGACCTGGCTGCGTGGAGTTTGCGGCGCTGCGCACGTGCGGCGTGTTTGTTGCGGCATACGTGGGCAAGCGAGGTAATGGAGCCAGGGTGCTTATCATGTAATGCTTGAAGGGCGCAGTGAAAGACACATGCAACCTTTGCCCCAACCAGCCACCCGTAGGAGCAGCCCCCGTGGCCGTTATGAAGCATATGGTAGTGACAGAATAAGTGGTCCTTCGCGGTGTAGGAGGGCGGCATGTAGGAAGGGTGAATCAGTACATGGTTGAATGCCCAAAAAGAGAACACGGGTGATGAACCCTAAAACCCTACACTGTATGCCGTTAGGGCAACGGGGCAACCCATACCCCCATCTCAACACCCACTGCCTGTTAAGCATAACTTCCGTTTTGCACCTCCGTTTGAATACTTTCGTCCAGCCCCAAGCGGCCATCAGCAGCGGCGGCAGCCCCTGCAGCCTCCGCTCGTTGATGAATGCGTTATGGCATACTTTCTTGTCACGAGGGGGGGGGTGTGCAAGCGTAAGGGGCCAGAGTAGATGCCTCTCACATACCTCCCAGTCATGAGGTAAAAGGCTAAGCGCGAGTCGTACGACGCTTTGGGTGCCGTACATGGCTTTTGCGGGAAGCGCAAAGGGGGTTGCTGCTAGCACTGTGAAAGCCCTAACTCTTGCGCCTCTCCCTACATTATACCCTGTACACTGAGTGAGCAAAGAAAGGAGTAAAGAGGAAGTAAGGGCTTTACGGCTGTAAACATGAAGCGCTTGCAGGCTATTGAACAGTTACACAACAAAACAATCTTTTATTACTGTTGATCTACTTTTGCGACACACCAACGTACAGTACAGCCTAGGTACCGGTAATTGTTAGCATTTGGGCCCAAGCTGTGCGAGTACACAGAATGCAGAACCCCATTAATGCACAGCAACTAGTGGCCCAGTATGGAGCTTTACCTATACCGCAGCAAGTAAGTTACCGGACTAGCTTGCAACATTCCTTTGCTGCGGTCTCTAATTCCGCTGAGGCCCGATCCCCACGCATGGCAGGCTGCGGCCCTCAACCCTCAGATGGTCGTCGTACCGCCTACGGTCGCAAATGCAGCCGCAGCAGCTCCAGCTGCTGTTGGCGCCGTTCCATCCGTAGCCGTGGGAGCCAATGTCGTGCGACCGGCACTTCCGGTCCCGCACGTGGGAGCGAAGACCAAAAAGCGGAAATTCGGGCAGGAGCGTCAGGCTGCGCCGGAGAAGGCAAGGCTGGGGGGGTTAAGGAGGTGCCAGGCCATGTCCATTGTAGCATGGAATGAGTGTTGGATGTGGACTGGTGACTCAAGTCAGACCTCCCCCTCCTACCTTGTCGCGACACAAGGATACGTGCTTTCCGCGTTGCCTTCTGTTGCCTAAGCTGCTGCCTGCTACAAGTCAAGCAAATCGGACAACTCTCCTCTCTCGACCACCGCAGGTTTCAACTGCCATACCGGAATCCGCGTTGTACAACCAACTGCTTGACATGGACCGCCACGTAACCGACATCATCAACCGCCGCAAAGCCGACTTCCGGGAGCCCTTCCCGCCGTACCATGAGCCGGTCAAACGTGTACTCCGCATTGCCGTACAGGTAACCTTTGCCGTAGCGTGGGACCAACCTATAGCCGAAATGGCAGCTCCCACCGCCTCTCCCTCTCTTTCCTCTCATTCCCCCTGGCTTTCTCCGCTCCGCGATCCTCCACCCACCCACCCCCAAACCCCACCCATTCCTCCCCACCTGCCCCCAGGCCTCCTACTCCCACCAGCCCGCCCCGCCCAAGCCCCCTCCCGCCCCCGCCCCCGGCCTCCCCTCCAACGCCGCCGCCCTCGCCGCCGCCTCCTCCGCCATGTTCGCCCGCGCTCCCTCCGCCACCCCTACCGACCCCGAACCCCCCTCCTGGGTCCTCCACATCTCAGCGCATCTCGTGGACCCAGCCGAGCAGCTGGTGCGGGCAGCCCTGGCGGCGGCCGCAGCCGCGGCCGCTCGCGGCGATCCGTCTTCCGCCGCCCTTGTGCTGCAGGCGCAGCAGCTGGCGGCGCAGCACGCAGCGCAGCAGGCGGCGGCGGCGGCAGCGGGTACGGCAAAGCAGAATACGTTGACGTCGGTTGTACGGCGGGTTGAGGTCCAGTTGGATCCGGAGCAGTACCCCGGGGAGTCGGGGCGCATGGTGTGGGAGAAGGGCAACCACACAGGTGGGGCCGGGGGGGTACAAAGGGCGCCTGGGGAGTGGTGTATGGGTGGTGTATACGGTATGTGTATACCGTGTGTGTATGGGTGGTGTTAAGGAAACTGGCTGCAAGGCGGGTGGGGTGGGTGTTAGAATTGTTGGCCGTGTGTGTGTGTGTGAACCTAGTCCCTCGATTGCTTTACTCCCTCCCTCCCCCCCTCTCCCCCCTAGGCCCCCCTCGGGACGTGTTGGAGGTGCGGCGGCAGGGCTCCCGCAGCTGCCGGGCGGTGGTGCTACTCGACCCGGACTACCAGCCGGAGAGGTGGGGGGAAGGGGGGAGGGAGAGGGGAGGAGGGGAGGGGAGGGGGGAGGGGAGGAGGAAAACCCACGGTGGATCCGGTTGCTGGCTGGCTGGCTGTCCCCCTGCCTGCCTGCCTGCCTCCCCTGCCCGGCGTCGCGGCAGTAGCGTGGGGTCATGTGCAGTTGGGTTTGGGCCCTGCCTGTGAACCTCGCCCTGCATCACCCCACCGCTCGCCATCATGCTGCTTCTCCCCCCTCCTCCATACTCCTCCCCCCGTAACCCCCTCCCCCCCCCCCAGGTACGTGCTGCCCCCCCTGCTGGCGGAGGTGCTGGGCATGATGCCGCACGAGACGCGCTCGCGAGTCATGGTGGCGCTGTACGGCTTCATCAAGAGCAGGAGGCTGCAGGTGGGGAGGGGGTAGATGAACTGAGCCGCGGACTCCCCCTCGGTGGGGGGGAGAGGGGGAGGGGTGGTGGTCTTTGACCCCCCCGATATCAGCACGGTATGGGTTCCGAATGAGCGCACTGTACCCTACCCCCCCCTCTCCTTCCCCTCCCCTTCCCCCCCAGGACCCCAAGAACCCTATCAACGTCAACCTCACACCGGAGCTAGCACAGGTGGGGGGTTGGGGCAGGTGGGGGCGGAGTGGGTGTTTGTGGTTGCCAGGAGCTCCGGTGCGTGCGTGGGGGGAAGGTGGGGGGTACTGGTGCAGACGCGCGCCTCTCCGTGTGTGCACGCCATACACAGGAAGCACACCCCGCCACCGCCACCCTTCCCCCGAGACTGGCAGGCACTTTCAACATGTAGGTCATTTACAGCCCGGTACGGCAACCCTTAACCAATTACCCCTCCTCCCCCCCTTTCCCCCCTCCCAAAGGTGTTCGGCGTGCGCACGTTGAAGCTGTCGGAGCTGGGCGGGCGGCTGAGTGCGCTGCTGGCGCCCGTGCCGCCCGTGAGGCTGGAGTACGACATAAAGTAGGGCGGGGGAAGGGGGGGAGAGGGGAGGGGGAATGGGTCCAGAGAACAGTACGGTAAGAGGTTGGCATGGGTCGAAGGGACGGGTTTTCCAGGGTTTGTATTCATTAGGGTTTGGGAGGCGGAGAAAGGGACACAGGGAGAAAGGGACACAGGGCGTGTTGGTTGGTATACCGGTAGGTTGCAAGTGCAACCAGGCATACCGATAACGAGTACGCCACCATCACCATCTCCCTCCACCTCACCCCCCCCCTCCCTGCTACGCAGGCTGGACGCGCTCCGCCCTCCCCCCACCCCCCACTCCTCCTCCTCCGCCGCCCCCCCCTCCACCGTGTCGGGTGTGTGCGAGGTGGCGGTGCTGGATGTGGACTTCTTCACGCCCTCCCCGCTGCCGCACCAGATGGGGGCGGTGCTGCAGAGCTACTACAAGGACAAGGAGGTGGGGGGGAGGGGAGGGGGTACTTGGCTTCCACGCTACCAAGTGCTGTGCCTGCTGCTGCTGCTGCTGACCCCTGACTCCTGCCACAGCCGCCGCACCTCCCCACCCACCTTACCGGAAATCCAATCATCTCCCCCCCACACCTCCGCCCCTCCCCTCCCCCCCGCCATAGATCGAGGCCATGGATGCCCGCCTGCACTCCCTCATCCGCCGCCTCAACGAGTGCCGCCGCCGCCGGGCGCTGCTGCAGGGATTCGCGCAGCACCCCATTGACACCACACATGCACTGCTGGCGGCACAGGTGGGAGCCGGGGGGGGGATGAGGTGGATGTGGGATGAGGGTGGTGTGGACTGTCCGTATCCCCATTGTTTAGCCCCAACTTCCGGTTTCCTATGGTTTCGTATGCGGTCTTTGACCTTCCCTCCCTCTGCTGTTTCCTTCCCCGCCCCTGTCCCAATGGGAATCCTTCTTCCCCTCCCCCTCCTCCCCCGTCCACCTCCTTCACCCAGGCTCGCGACGTGCGGCTGGCTCGTCAGGGCAGCGGTCGCGACTACGAGGTGGAGCGGCGCACCGAGGTGTTCCGGCAGCGGTGGGTGGAGGACGCGGTGGTCAACTACCTGCACAAGAGGCTGGGGAGGCCGGAGGGGGTGGTGGTGTAGGGGGAGGAAGAGGGGGTGTTGAGGAGGGGGAGCGAGGGTGTGGCTGAGGTAGGTGGGGGGGGGCGGTGTGGCGGGGGTGCTTGCAAGGTGGGGGAGGATGCCTCCGCGCGCCTATTCGCAGCAGCCGCACTACCAATGTAATGTTGTAATTGTGCTAGCAGCAGCAGCAGCAGCAGCAGCTGGGACGTGGGGGCAGCATGTGGATGTTGGGGAGGCGGGCAGGTGTGAGTGGTGGTGCCGGGTGTTGCCGGAGGTGCAGGAGGCGAAGACACTACTGCGGGAGGGGAGGGCAAACGGAGTTCCGCAGATTGAGGAGTGGGGCTTTGTGAAAGGTAGAGAGACTTGCAAGTTGGTGGTGGAGCAACAGGGCGCAAGGACAGACTGCCTCTCACACAGCGCGGGCAAGAAGTAATTCACAGCAGTGCTGGATTACCGGTATTATTTGTAAACCGCGTGTACCGTAAAATCCGGCTTGCCTCAGCTTGCCTTACATGTATGCCTGCCTGCCTTATGAGTAGCGTGAGCGCGTCTTTCCTTCCCTGCTGGTCAGACGGGGGGCTGGGCTGCGGGGGGCAGGCCGCTGCGATGACGGGCGCCACCTCGGTCTCCGTACCCTCCTCCTGCTAGCTAACCGCGCCTTACAGCTAGCGTTGTTGGCTCAGCCGATGTGACAAAGTAGAGATGAGAATCTTGGCTGCTTTTTGAAAGCACCACCTTTTTCCTTGCTGAATTTTGCTGTCGAAAGGCCTGTCTGCTCCGCTGAGACCGTCGGAAAGCCGGCTCCCTGACCTCCCCGGGGTGGTCGCATCCCATCACACACGGCAGCATACCAAGCTGCTGCTGCTGATTGCACTTCCTCTTGCAGCTGGAGTTAGCGCCCGTTGGTAAAGTTCAATCAAGTACGGTTTGTGATTACATCATTTTCCTGGACGGCGTCCGAAGCCAGGAAGCACCCGTACCTGGCGCGCGCCCCTCCATTAGATCGTAAGCAAAGCCGGAAGCATATTTAGCGAACTATAAATTCTCTCTCCTACACTTCCTTCTCCACCGCTCTCTCATATTGCACCATTGGGTTCTACCAACCAGCGCACAATAGATAGACACATCCAGACGAAGAAATCTCTACATTTCCTCTCTTCGCCGCTTTATCGCTTTTCATCGCAAAGACAGCAACGAGCAAGGCTGCAAGCGAGGCTGCACAATGGCCTCCGCAACCGCCGTCAAGCCGCCAGCCACAGACCCCGACTACCGGAAGCCCCTAGAGCCCGCCGGACCCCCTCCCGGCCCCTCCCGCGCCGCCTCCACACCACCTCAAGCTGAAGCGACTACGTCTGGGCCCTTCGCAGCCGCAGCCGGGTCCGGCGCTGCCGGCCGACCCACGGGTCGCGCTCCGCCGCCTCGCCGCATCAGTGTCATCCTGCACGGCAAGCGCGCGGACGAGACGGATGTACGAGCGGCGGTGCGGGCGTTACGGTCGGAGGGGGTGCAGGTGGACGTGAAGGTGACGTGGGAGAGCGGCGATGTGGAGAAGTTTGTAAAGGTGGGGAGCGGGGGCAAAAAATTAAATATGTGAAACAACGAGTCCCAATCCCATATCCCGGCGGGGGGGAAAGAGGGAGGGGGGGAGGAAACCTAACCGGAGCTGAACGGAGGAGAAGCTCGATACGAATACAACTAAGGTTGCTCAGTGTGGTCAATTGGGTTTGTCGTATACCCGGCCCGATCCTATTTAGACACAGGTTGTCACTGGGACCACTGACCCATGGGTCACTACGAACACCTCCTTCCTTCCCCTTTCCCCGTCCCCCATCCCCTCTCCCTCCTTTCCCCCTTTGCCCCCCAGGACATCGTTCGCGCCCGTTCCACGGACACCATCGTGGCAGCAGGCGGGGACGGAACCCTGAATGAGGTGGTGGCGGCCATGATCAAGGTACTGGTACACGGGGGGGGGCTGTCCTTCGTTGGCGTGCCGGTTACGTGTACGCATTGCACCATTTTACCCCCACCTCTCCCCCTCCCCCCCAGGTTCGCGCCCCCCGCCACATGGCTGTGGGTCTCATGCCCATGGGCACCTCCAACGACTTCGCGGCGGTGGCGGGAATACCGCATGTGGGGGGCGGGGGAGGAGGGGAGGAGGGGAGGGGGTAAAGAGGAAACAACTAACTGACTGAGGGATAAGGCGTCAACATGGGTTGCAACATGTGAGCCAGCCCGACCCGACGGGGCTAGCGGCGGCCGGGGTCGGGCTTTGGTAGATTTGCATGTTGATTTCCCTGTTCCCCTCCCCCTCCACCCCCTCCCCCAGGACCTGGAGGGCGCGTTGCGGCTGTGTGCGAGGTCCGACAACATGCGGCCCATTGACGTGGGGCTGCTGAACGGGGAGGTGAGGGGGGCGGTGGGGAGGTGGGGAGGTGAGGGTACTGACGATGTGAGGGGAGAGGGGGGGAAGGCGTTTTTGCTGTGTATGACACGTGCACCGTTGCTCTATTCCCCCTATCCCTTACAACCCGCTACCCCCATGTACCTCCCCACACGTATCCCCCCCCCGTTGTATCCCCCCCCATGTAACCCCGCATGTAACCTCCCGCCCCCGCCCCCAGGTCTTCATGAACACCGCCACCCTGGGCGCCTCCTCCGAGCTGGGCTCCGAAACCAGTCATGAGGCCAAGAAGCTGCTGGGGCCGGCGGCGTACCTAGTGAAGGGTGCGTAGGGGAGGGAGGGAGGAGATGAGGGGAGGGGAGGGGAGGAGAGGAAGAAACTGGCAGGCTGGGCGGCAAGAGAGGGCGTGAGGAGGCTGGTGGTTCGCACGATGTGATGTTCCCCGACTTCTGAACAACTACAATTATACGCCAACCCAACCATCCAGCCTAAACAAAACATGTATCCCTGTTAATCCCCCACCCCCACACCCCCTTCCCCTCCCGCCCCGGCTTCCTCCCCAGGCATGGCCCGCCTCGCCGCCTACACCGCCGTACCGATACGCATGCGCTTCCCGGCTCCCGAGGCGGGCTTCTTGTCGCCCCCGCGCACCGCCTCCGTGTCCCCGCCGGGGGGAGCGGGAGGGGCAGGGGATGTGGCGGCGGCAGCAGGGGAGGGGGGACGGAAGGAGCAGGGGCAGAAGGCGGGGCAGCAGCAGCAGCAGCAGCAGCAGGCGGCAGAGGGGCGGAAGGAGAAGGGGCGCAACAAGGGAGTTGTGGAGGTGAGGTGGAGGGAGGGGGGAAGGAGGGGTGGCGAGGAGGGGTTGCTGGGAAAGGGGCAAAGAGAAACCAGCCCACCCTAATGGAAACGTACCGGTATCAGTTACCCTCCGGCGCACACCCCATAACCTCTCTAAACCTACTGCCCCCCCTCCCTCCCCTCTCCCTCCCTCAGCTTCGCGAGGCGGTTCTCAACCTGACAGCGGGCAACAATCGCCAGCTGGCGAGCATGGTGCAGGTGGGGAGGGAAGGTGGGGGAGGTGTCCGAGGTTAGGCACCGGTCTTATCCCTATGCACCTCTTCCGCCCCTCGAGCCCTGCCCCCCCTCATCCCCCCCCCAGGCCTGCCCCGACGCGCTCATCGACGACGGGCTGCTGGACATCACCTACGTCACCGGCGGGGCGGCGGAGACGGCTAGCAGCGTGGTAGGGGGGGGGGACATAAGGAAACTGACGAACTGCATGTATGACGCGGCTTCACCATACGGGGATACGAGGGGTGAGGGGAACAGGGAGCTGCTGCGCCCGGTGAGGATTGTGTCCAAGGAGGAGGGCAGTTATGAATGGAGCACAGTTCTAAGGGCTGTAGTGGGGGCAGTTGGACTTCACACCGCAACAACCCGTGCATGCACGCAGCGGCCACCCCCTCGCCCCCCCCCCCCGCCCCCTCGGACCGGCAGGTGGGTGAGATCCTGTCCCGGGGCCTGGATGACGCGGCGCCCTCCACCGTGCACATGCTGCGGGTGCCCTGGCTGGACGTGAGCGTGGAGGCGGAGGAGGAGGGGCTGGTGTGGCCGGGCAACAGGGACGGGGAGGCGGTGCCGCCGGGAAGGAGGTGAAGGGGAGGGGGGGGGCGGCTGCGTCGAAAGGGGGGGGGGAGCACCATCTTGCAACCATGGTGGTGGACTCGTTGTCAGACGACAGGGACGTTTTGCCTTTTCCTCCATACCCATCTCCTCCGCCCTCCCTCCCCATAATGAAGCCTTGTCATACAGCTCGTCAGTTGCCTCGTCGCCTCCTCGTTTCTACCCCCCTCCACATCAGGTTCCTGATGGAGGCCCTCCCCCGCCGCATCACCATGCACCTGCCCGACACCTGCCGCCCGCTGCTGGCGGAGGGCGCCGACCCGCGGGTCAACGCGCCCGTCACCAGCATCAACCGCCTGCGCAGGGGGGCGATGAAGGCCATGGTGGCGCAGGTGGGAGGGGGAGAGGGGGGGCGGGGGGGGAGGAGGATGTAGACAGCCGGGCAATTATATGAAGGCCACATACTTTCCCTTGCACCATTACACCTCACACCTCCTCCCCCCCCTTCTCTCTCCTCAGGTCACTCGCTTCCGCCGCGTCATCCCCGGCACCCGCCCCGCCTGGCAGCAGGCGGCACTGGGGCTGCTGACACGCGCCCCCGCGCTGGCGGCCGCGTTCGCAGTGGGCTACCTAACCGCCAACCGCCGCCTCGCCAACGACCACAACAACAACCGCCAGGGGGCGTTGGATGCGGGTGGTGATGTTGCTGGTGGGGGGGAGAAGGTTGGGAAGAGGGGCCGGGGCCGGGGCTGGTGGCGGGGTAAGGGTAAGGGTAAGGACAAGGAGGAGGCGGGAGGGAGGAAGGGCGGTGGGCGGCGAGTGCTGCCGTCCTTCTGGCCCGGAGCCAAGGAGCGGCGGGGAGGTGATGTGGGGTCGGAGATAGCGACCGTGGGTCGCGTGGCGTAGAGACACAGGGGTGGCAGGTGGTGCCTATACTGGGCGGGCGCGTGGGGCTGTGCGCAGAGGCTAATTAGGCAGTAAGAGCATTATCGGTATGGGTGAGACGATATTGTGAAGGTTGAGAATTGGGTGAGAGGAACATGTGTGGAATGGCTTGCGGTGCGAGGTGAGACGAGCACAGCAGGGAATGCATTGGCGTGGGGGGTGGGGGTTCTACATGTATGCATGCCGCGTCATTCCCCAGCAAGGTGTGGCTGTGTGTTGCGTCCGGTGTTGGAAACCAAGAGAGCTGCAGACCCGGATGTGACATGCGGAGATGAACCATGGGTCGGTGATGGGGGTCGGGGGTGCCTAAAACCAACTGGGCCGGGAAGTGTACTGGCCGCTTGCGCTATTAGCGGTTCGACCATATGCGAGTACACAGAAGGTGGCACCGATGTTGAATTGCATTGTGGTTGTAAACCCGTCTGCTCACGTGTTCTCGTAGTGTACATTGTTGTTGTACATGGCTCACGTATTGTTGTTCGTACACTAGCAGGGACGTGCATGCAGCAACTCCCCTTGCTTCCCTCATCAGCCGCCTACCCCTCGCTCATCGCTCAGACAGAGAACAGAAAACAGTGCTAACAGTGTGCACGCAGACACCAGCCGCCGCCAAGAAAGAGAAGAGCCACATGAAGGGAATATACAACGCCAAGTACCGGTATCAGCATTTAATATAGTACAACCGTAGACGAGCCAAAACGTGCGGAACCAAGTACGCGACAAGTATGTTGTTTGTGCGCAGCTTTTAGCCCCACACCACCTCAAATTTCATTCATATGCAGGTACGGCACAGAAGCCAGTTCCGCGGTGCGGCCTCAGTGGTGCTGCCGCCCGAGAGGGGTACCAAGAGCTACCCCAAAGTTGTCACAATGGTCCGAATTCCGACGTCAGACAACAACCACGACGCCGCGCCCTACGTGGCGAAGCAGAGCCAAACAAAACCAACTCCCGCGGTGCCACTCGGGTGCGAGTGCGAGTGGCCGTAAGAGCGTGAACACTTTAAAGAGGCACATACACACCCTCTGTAGCCATGGCCGCCAGCACACCCCCACCAGTGGACCACCACCACACTACCGTATCGTTTGCACCTTGCAACGCCGTACAGCCCGGGAACGGGGAACGGAGCTATCATCGCTTAGCACCCGCCTGGTCTCCCTAACGTGGATGCGTGCCTCGAGGTGTCAGAAGCGGCATGTACCATGCCACCCCTGCCATACCTGCCAACCAACCAACCAACCACAACCGTAACCGCATCATCGCCCGCCTTTCCAGGCGGCGAGCAAAGAGAACAGCTCCGAGAACTCCAACATCAGTGTTTGCATGCATGAGTCAACGTGTACGTTCCTCTAACAAAGTACAGCTGGTTATTCCCGCGCCCGCCCAGGCCATCTACCTGCTGCTCCTGCGGCACTGTACCCCAGCAGCCCCTGCGGCCCCCGGCGCCTCTTACAGCGCCGCCCAAACAAACCCGTTGTTCAGCAGCTCACCAAACATCCAATCCAAGTGACTAACGTAGGTCCAAGTGTGTAATCCGACGACACCTTAACGCCGTCATAAAGACAAGGAACCGCTCTCGCGAAGGTTCGATTTATACAGAGCCGAAACACTCGTCTATTGTTCTTCGTGTCGCCCTTGTTCTCAGGGCGCTCCGCGGCTTTACCCCTCCCTGCCCCCCCCGCCTGCATGGGTAGTTGGGTACCCAACCCTCGGACTCTCGAACCACACGTACCGCACCCTCAACTGCCACCTCACCCACCTCCAACGCACGACAAGCACGAACACCACCCCCGCCAACAACCCGACCAACCATCCGACCAGGGAAACAACAAACCCCAAACCAACTCCTCCAGCATCCGCCGGCCCTCAACTGCCTACCCCCGCCCACCCCCCAGCACCCCCACCACCGCCCGCCCCCACCCCGCCACCCGCCACCCCGCCCTCCTCCACCACCTCCACACCGCCAGCTGCACATCCGACTTCCCGGTCGCCTCCCGCTGCTGCTGCAGCCACTCCCTGACCCGTGGGTCATGCCACCAGCCCTGCTTGCTCGCCCAGATGGCTCGCCCCCAGTCCACCGGGCAGCCCTCCTCCAGCAGCCAGGCCAGCACCCGCAGGCTGCTGCTCATCGCAACAGCCCGAGTGAAGGTGAAGCCGTCCGGGCGCCAGGGGCAGCCCAGCCGGCGGAGACAGCGCAGTACGGCAAAGTCGCCGACTCGGCACGCCAAGACGTACGCCTCGCCGTCGTACTGCGGTTGGGTTGAGATGGGGAGCACAGGGCGTGAGGTGGTGGGGTATGCCTGAAGGGAAGTGGTGGAACGGGAGGCGGGGCATCCCATTGTTTTACATCGAATATTACATCCCACTCCTGCCGTACCAAGACCCCGGTCCTCTCCCTCTCCCATGGTCCCGCCCCTCCCCGCACCTCCCTCCCTTACCCCCATGGGGCAGCCATTCTCCGCCAGCCACTCCAGCATCTCCACATTGCCGCACTCCGCCGCACCCCGGAACACCAGCCCGTCCCACCAGCAACCCAGCTGCCGCAGCCACTTCAGCAGCTCCAGGTTACCCGACGCAGCAGCCGCACGAGCAATCTCCGCCGGCAGGAACCTCCTCCGCACCTGCTGCATCCCGCAGCCAACCCCAGCAGCCCCGTTGTTTCCGGCCACCCACGACTCCAGCAGCCACTGCACAACATGCAGGTGGCCCCCCGACGCCGCAGCACGCACCCAGTTAAGCCGGCGGAAACCGTACCCCAGCTCCTCGAGCGCATGCAGTACGGCAAGTTGGCCATTCCGTGCTGCCATTCCAATCACCTTGGCCTTGTGCTGCTCGTTTTGTAGCGCGGCTGCACATCCCGTCTCCGAAAGGAGGAACCGTACGGCAGCAATGTCACCGGAGTGTACGGCCGCCATGAGGCTTCGGATGTCGGGTTGCGGATGCAGGCCGCGTTGCAGCAGCCACCGCAGCCGCTCGAGTAGGAGGGGTGAGGCATCATGGTTGATGACCACCCGCTCCCACAGGCTCACTTGGAGGGGGTAGCCGCGGGCCAGCAGCCACTCCACCTTGTCCAGCCAATCCGCCGTACGACTGAATACGGCAGACGTCATGATGTGGCTCGTCTCGTAGCTTGAGAGTTGTGCAGGAGTTGGGGGCGGTGGTACGGCTTCGGCGTGGTTAGGGTCGCGGTCGTCGGCGTCCATGGCGACATTGTCTGCAACATTCCTGCGTCCGCTGGTGGCCAATTCGAAGAGGTAATCGTGCAGGCGCTGAAATGTTGAGGCGTCGCAGCCGAAAGCGATAGATGCCAGTAAGCCCGTGTCCGGAGGGCTCTGCCGCTGGAAGTGCTGCTGGGACAAAAGCCAATCCAGCATGGCGACTTGGCCTGCACTTGCTGCAGCACGCAGCACGCCGGTGCCAGGTTCGCGCCCAACATTGCTGATAAGCCATTCGCAAACGTGAACATGGCCTTTGCCCGCCGCAGCGACGAGAGCGCTGTAGTCGAACGGGCACCCGCTTGAATGCAACCATTTGCAGAGTTCTAGGTGGCCCCCTTCCGCAGCCGCCCTGCCGACGGTTTCCCTCCAGCGGCAGCCCCTTTCCACGAGTAGCTCGCAGGAGCCTCGCTGACCAGCGCCGGCTGCGGCATCTAGCAGAACAGCGGACGTGGCCTCGCAACCCGTGGCCTCGATGGCGAAAGCGAGGTTTGAAGTGACGCCACTGCTGGCTGTGAGGCAAAGCAGCTGGCGTCTCTGTTTGAAGTTGAGCTGACGTAGCAAGTTTGGCTGGCCCCAATGTCGCTCAAAGGCGTGGATAGGCACAGGTTCTGCCAACCGAACTGTTGTGTACTGTGAGCCGCTGAACTGCTTTGAAGCTGCTTTGTTGATAAGACGCACTGTACATGTTACCTCGTTTAATGGCAGGAAGCTTATGATGCGAAATGCTAGCTCCGGTGGAAGTTGATGCCAGATGCGGAAAGAACCGCAAGAACCGGGTTGTGGCGTCATTCTTATCCAGCCATAAGCTAAGTGGAACACGCTCGAAGGCGTTACCGAGCATCCGTTTTGCGATGGACGTCAGCACAAGTCGTACAAGACACGGATTCCCCACTGTGGCAGTTCGCAGTTACGCGGAACTTCCTAATATGTGTCCCTCTAGGTAATGCCTATATAGCGCATGCTATGTGCCTTGCTAAGGCTGCTTGCGCGCTTGCGTGTATCGGTGTATGGCAGCAAACGTACAGCATCTGCTAGCTAGCTTCCGCGCCCGTTGCTACAATACTGCGCAGCAAACGAATGGGTCCTTTTGGGCCCTTGAAATATGCTACAGCAGTATCGCGTTTCGTAAAAAATCGCGACTTGTGTATGGCTGTATGCCCTCGTGAGCAGTGCTGTCTACACAACAGCCAGCACATGTGTCAACAGCCGCATCTGCAGTGGTCGCCCCCATCACGTGCCCCAGTCTGGATCAAGAGAACCCAAGCTATCACACAGCACGCTAGAGCACAATGGCTGGGACCCTAGCTGGTAAAACACAAGGGACATCCCAATCCCCCATGTGCCTCAGCATGACTCAGGCATGCGTCGTCTGTAATTGCACCGATACCCAATAGCAAACGAGACGCACATAAATTGCTACACTGCGTACAGTTTGCATACACATGAATCCCTGGCGGCATGGGATGTCATGGCCATCCCAGAACAAGGCAACACTCACCCGCAGTACCAAGAGCACACCTTTGTCCAATCTCATACTACCGTGCTTCAGGACGGGTCATCAGTCATCAGCCCTTTCCCGGCTGCTTACTGTCATGCGGCCTTGCAGCTATTCACAAGTCAAAGCGTAAAGAGCATAAGCCGGTTCACATGACCGTCGTATCTCCGTACAACACTGTACGACCGTCCATGAATATTCTGGACATTTCTGAGCATCGGCTAGCGTTGATGTAGCGCAGTTGGGCATTATAGATGCCACAAGGCTACAGCCCTTCCACATCCTACGTAGAATAAACGCTGTGCTTACCTCCATTCGTCCATATCCCACGCCGTTCACAATGACCCCATGAAGCGCTAGAAAGAGAGTACATAGCAAGGAGAGGGGTAGACGATGCTGTCCCGAAGGACGTTCGGCCGGCATAAGGTAAAACCCCGGACATGTTCAGGCATTAACACCAAGCTTAAGCACACTCGTACATCTTTTGCTTGTTTCATGTACCGGTAGTGGGACGGCGTGCCGGCAGACACACGCAGGACGCAGCCCAAGTTCTTATGTACAACTTGATAACCGCAAAGAGTTGTCACGACCTCACAAATGAGTACGTTCTTACCACGGACAAGAGCTATTGCTGGGGTTTTGTTTGCAAGTCCCCTAAAATGAATACGACAAATATACGGTTTCATGGGTTGACTCATGTACGTCGTATAGTAGTAGTAGCTTGAAGTACCCAGCGCAAGGCTGCCAACACCACCAACACACCGAGCACTGCAGCACTCCTGCTTCCCCGCAGCAAACCACCTGCCCCTGCCCACTGCCTCCTGCTCCTCGCACCACCCTTCCAACCAGTACTCCCACCATGACCAACACTCCCACGCTCACGCCCGTGTGTGCCAGTTAACCCGGCCATCCCGCAACCCACCCGCCTCTCGGCGGAACTGCGAATTGCCACCTTCCACCAGCCGCAGCGTAACCCCTGCCGTAACGTTACCAACAATACCGGTAAGCAGTTCGTAACCCTAAACCACAGCCCGCCCTGAGCCTCCCTAAGTCTCCCCGCCTGGTTTGGCTGCGCTGCTGTTGCTGCAGTTGCGGTACAGCAGTACCGCCGACCTGCTGGTTCGCAGCAGGTTGAGGACGCTGGGGGGCAGGGGCCCTCGGCCGTCAGGTACCTGCGGGGCGACACGGACAGCGCACGTCAAGGTGAGGTCTGCGACGGCACCAATGCTCAAGGGCCAGCAGCTAGCTGCCATCCGAGGACCGCCTTCCTTTCTGCACCTTATCCCCGTCCACTGTACCATACTCCACCGCCTCTCCGCACCAGCCAATCTCCAACTGGATCCCTACCACCCCCTTGCCAACCGCACCACACCACGACCACCACCCAGCACCACGCTATCTGCGGTTGCCCTGCACCACCTCACTCCTCCTTCGGGCCCCATCCCCCATGTTAGCCATTCTCATTCAACGCGTAGGGTATTCTTCTTTTCCCCCCCTCCCCCTCCCCCACCTGCAGCGCCACTATGTGGCAGTGGTCCGCGTCCACCACCCGCGGGTGCTCCGCCTCGAAGGCGCCCGCCACCATGCGCCGCACCACCTGCGAGCTGTCGAAGCGCCGGTGCGAGGTCGCCTCCTCAGCCAGGTGGTCCAACACGCGGCGACTTTGAGGGGCAGGCGAGGGGGAGGGGGAAAGCAAGGCAGCAGGGTTGGACCAGTGAGATGTATGAAGCGGGACACATGAATTTGCCATATCGCCCGTCGGTTCATTGACCCAGGGTTTCGGCGGCCCGAGGCATACAGCAGGAGCGTCCGGCCTTAACACAGTACGCAGTACACACATGCCGTCATGCCCCATGTCGACCCCACCTGCTAGTCAGCTCGTTCATCTCCTTGTCAAACGCCTTGCCGCGCACCAGCACCAGCTTGTCCCCCCGCCCGCCGTCCAGCACCCGCGTCACCAGGAAGCGAACCAGCGGGCGGCAGGAGGGCTCCGCGCACACCGCGGCGCGCAGGCAGGGCTTCTTGCCCACCTCGTAGGCCGACTCGGCCAGGCGGGCGGTGGGCTGCGGCGGAGATGGACACAGGCAGGCAGAGGCCGGGCACGGCGTACATCAGGGTGAGCAGCGGGAGGGCCCCGTGCTCAATTGCCGGGTGCTTGCACCCATGCATGCAACCCCACCATCATGCAACCCGGCGGACCCGTCCCGCGCCACCCCTGCACACACGCACACATCCCTCGCCTCACCTTGACTACCAGTATGGGTCGGTTGCACTCTCGCGCCACACTGAGCGCCACGCTGCCCACCACGCTGGTGCCCCCAGCCGCCGCCGCCGCCAGGTTCATGCTGCCCGTCACCAGCAGCGCCGCACCCACAGCCTCCGCGTAGCCCACAATGTCCTCCACCACGGAGTGCCGCTTCACCTGGAGCACAACAAGACAAGACAGGGAGCCCACAAGGCGCACAGAGGACACAGAAAAAGAGTAAGCAGCTAGAATGTAAAGAGGGTACGTGGCGGGCACGCTTTGCACAGGCATGGTGTCCCAATGCACCTCACTTCGGCGATCCTGCACCTTGTGTACCACAGGCATCCCATCCCAACTGCCATCCAGAACCGCCAACCAGAACCGCACCTGTACGACGGACTTGACGTCACCCAGCGTCGCCGACGCGAGGTTCTCGAAGCGCTCCGCCAGCGCCCTGGCGGCTGACAGCGCCATCACGGAGGGGTCCTTGGCGATGGCCAGCACGTGCAGGCAGTCCGCGCCGGGCTTCATGATGGCCATGGCAACACGCACCTGAAAAGGCCCAAGGTGCATGGTGATGGTTTTGGAGGTGGGGGGGGGGGGTGCAACCGGGTTGGTTAATTTGCGTTGTGGGTAGTACTCCGATTTCGTGTTCGATGCACATGCCACATGTTCGAAATCTGGCACATGTGCCCACTGCGGTATCCAAGGAACCCCCGGTGACAACAGCGCTTCCCAGCTCACCGCCAGCTGACATGCCGCATCGTCCGCCACCGCCAGCACGATCACATGCTGCTCCACCGACCTGCCGCCTGGACCGCCCGCACCCACAGCAGCCGCCAGTCCGGCGGGTGCATGCGCCGTGACGCGCGAGCGCGCGGTGTTGGTTGCGGACACTGCGGCTCGGAAGGCGGCGTTGTTGTCCTGGTCGCTCGCCACCCAGAGCAGCGTTTCCAGGTCGCTGTCATTGGTAAGCAGCCGGCCGCGCTGCAAGGCGGCTGCCGCGATGGATGCAGACGCCATGGCGGCGCTTGCAGCGGCGCTGGAGCCGAGGGCGCCGGTGGCTAGCGTGTGGCCGTTGCAGAGGCGAATGGCGCTGCCCGGCCGGCCGCCGGCTGCTTCCAGGGTGGGAGGCGGAGACGCGATTGTGGGGACGCCGGTGATGGAAGCGGGGCTTGGGAGGGAGGCGTTGGTTGGTGCGGCGGCGGCGGTGGAAGAGGAGGAGGAGGCGGAGTTGTCGGCGGTGGTGCAGGGGCGGGGCGTGTATGATAGGGCGACGCAGCGAGTGCTGGGCTGTGCGGTGATGTCAGACGCGTCAAAGGTGACGTACACGTAGCCCCCCTCGCCCACGCTGATGCATGGCCGGAAGATGGAGGGTCCCGTCAGGATGCCTGGGCAGGGCAGGGTAAGGGTGCAGGTAAGGGTGCAGGGCGGCGGCGCAAAAACAGAAAACAGGTTGTGGCCGTATGCAACATAAGGGAATGCACACATATCCCACCATCGCTGCCCGACTAGGTTGCTAACGTAGGGCGAAGATCAATGAGGTAAACGGATTAGCACGTAGCAAAACACAGTAAACACCGCGCATGGCGAGCACTACTCACTCTTCAGGCTTGGCACGTGATACGTGTACCGCTTGATGGAGACCGCCAGGCGGGGCTGGCTGCCCGACTGCACAGCCACACTCTCCACCAGGTGCTGCATCGCACCTGCAGGGTGATGCACACATGCAAGTACGGCATTGAGCAACAGACGGTAGCATGAACATCAGCCCAAGAGCGGTGGGCATGCAGCATACCCTCTAGAAATACGGCATAGTCTTGGTATTAGGACAGGGTTGATATCCCTGTTGTCCTACCATAAACCCCGTCATCACTTACTTGCTAGCGCCGGTGTCTGCACGTCCGCCCACTTGACGTCGCAAGCAGCCAGCGGCCCACCCTCGCTGCCAATGCCGCCCGCCCGAGCCCCAGCTGACGTCACCGGCCGTCGCGTTGGTGACGCCCCTGCTGTCGACAGCCCGCCTAGCGGTGTGCGCGGGGAAAGGCCAGACCCAGGGCTCCCACTGCCAAACGTCGCCGGAGGGGCACTGTACGGATGCCGTAGCGGCCCCAGCGTGTGTGGTGACCGCGGGGAGTGCGGCTGCCTGAGGCCGGCGGTGGCAGCTGAGGGCGGAGAGGCGGGGCTGGCAGGGTCGTTGGTGCGGCGGAGCAGCGGCGAGTTGGAGGTACCCAAGGTGGGGCTAGGCAGCGGCGCGGGACGGCCCTTCTGAGCGAGGACGATTCCAGAGCCGATGCGGTTGATACCTTGCAACGAGTCAACCAACTCCACCTGCATCGGCCATATGAGTATTGATAAATGTTTATAGCAGCAGACCAGGGCAGGTGTGTTCGCAAGGACACAGTATGGATGGCGAGATCAGCGAGACATGGCCATCCTTGCTCGCTTCATCAGCCATCCTAATGCAACCTTAGAACCGGCGTGTGCTAGCAGGTCCCCATGCGGTGCCCATGCATGCTGCTACCTGCATGCTCATGTTGGCGTCCATGCTGTCCGCTAGGGCGTACGACAGGGCCAACTGCTCGAGGTTGAGGCACTGCTCGGGCGAGTAGTGCACCAGGTCTCGGAGCCGCCAGCTGGACAACCACTGCACACCCCTGTGGTGAGGAAAGGTACGGTAAAGAAACGCTCCCGGTGTAACCGGTGAAGTAATTGTACCGTATCTGCCAAGGCACCGTACACACGATGCAACAGAGCTTTCCCAAGAGCTGCATACACCTATGCAGCCATGATGCAGCCATGCGCAACAGCTGCCATGCAAGCACACCGCCGCTTACCTTTCCGTGAACATGTCAAGCGTGCTGCGTTCCAGGGGCGTCCGCTGCGACAGCTCAGGTCCGGTTAGCCGGAATGCGTCCGCGCCCGCCCACCCAAGCGCCAGCAGCGCATAGCCCGACCCGGCGGGTCGCGGCGGCGCCTCGGGTGCGGGAACGAAGGCGTGCTTGGCGCGGTTGTACGCATGACCTGGCGTCCGTTGTTGTACAATGATGATCACGTTTTCAGAAGAAAACCTGTCAAGGACAGCAGCATGAACGCAAGATAACGTTAGCTATAGTATTCAGACATCTCCATGCAAAGACTTCATACGTCGCCAACTGCAAACGTGTTAACTCCGGCCACATGGGCACCCTCCCACCTCTACCGGTATCATCCCACCCAGCTACCGCCCAGACAGCAAGCCCCGCCGGCCTACCTGCACATCTTGCGCGCTGCCAGGTCCCGCACCACCTCCTCCACCTGCCCCTCATGGCATGCCAGCACCACCGGCATCTTGGCCACCGCCTCCGCGCCCACCAGCGACTCCACCGCCGTACCCAACGCCAGCAACTGCCGTACACCCATACCCAGCCCAACCAGGTGTGCCGTGGATTCCGTACGAGCGGGATGCGTCATGGAGAGCAGGTGCCAGGGGTCGGTGGACCAAAGCGACACCAGACCCAGACGGGAGCTGCTGAAGGTGTCGTCGTCCACGTGGATCTGTGCCGTACCGCACGTCAAGACACAGGCGTTAGTGAAAAGTTAATTGAAGCGACGATGTGGAGGGCCAACTGCCATTAACGGCTAAAGGAATATGCTGGTATTATATGCCGGTATAATATCAATTGATTCTCATAAGAAGGGGTTGAGGCCAGCTGACGGACGGTACCCCGGTTCCCTTGCCGTGTGGCCTACCTGCACCGCCACGCGCCCCTCTCGCAGGTCCTTCAGTACGAGCTCCTTGTACCGCTCCGCCTGTCTCCGTACAGCCGGCATCGCTGCCTCATGCACCGGCGGTAGCGTCCACTGCTGCTGCTCCACCCACCGACCATTCGCCCTGCACACAAGCCAGGCATCCCCCGTGCTAAAGCCTCCATTGGAAGTAAGATAGGCTTGCAAGCAAGACAAGGCACGCATCCCATTAATGGACGTACTCAAGCCAGGACACGCTCAATCACCGACAAAATGAATCCCCGATCGTACCTGTTGCAGTACATGTTCAACAAGCCCGATGCCGTCTGCAGTACCGATGCGTTCTCCTCGATGGCCTGCACCAGCTGCTGTTGCCTCAGCACGTTGACCGTCTCCGCCTTCCGTAGCGTCCGCAGCTGCTGCTTGGCGGCGGCCTTGAGCGGCAACCCCACCTTGCTGGACACGCGCTGCGCCATGGTGCCGATCCGGTACTCCCCAGTGGAGGTGGTGGCGGTGTCGGCAGAGCCCACGCCGGCCGCACGAGGAGGCTCCCTGTGGGAATGGTCAAAGATGCAGTGAAGGGTAGCGGCATGCAGCACCGTGCGTTAGGTTTCCGATTTGGGTCGTGAGCCCCAGTTAGCTGGTGCATGTAAGCGTGCGTGGGCTAGGCAGCAAGTCCACTTCCATACGCCGTCTCGTGTTGCTCTTGCCATGAGATTGAATAGCAGCGGTTTCGGAAGCGGCATCCAAATCCCATGCTCACCCGACACGTACAACGCGCCGTTTGCCGTTTGGCCCTACGGACGGTGGTCGCGGCGAAAGAGCCGACCGCATGGCCGATTTGGGTCGTGGAGGTGATGGCTGTGTTGCCGCTGCCGGCGGGCCTGCTCCGGAACCTCCAACCGCCGGCCCGGGTACCGCCGGGGGGCTACTCTTGGATTGCGGCTGTGCCGCTGCCGCCGGACCCAGCAACCGAGACAGCAACGAGGCTGCCGGCCGCGAGGGCCGCAACGCCCCACAGGCCTGACCCGAGAGGGTACTTGACGGCGGGTGGGCTGCTGGTTCGCTGCCGCCACATGTCCCCGACGCAGACACTGCGGCAACAGCAGCAGCAGCAGCAGCGCGGGATCCCAGCAAGTCCGACCCGCCTGTGGCTGCACCCGACCAAGAGGCCCGCATGGCGCGGCTGGTGGAGCCCGGACCTGACGGGCTGAGCCCGCGGCCTGGGCTGACGGACACGACCGGGGTGGGTGCGGCCGCGCCCGGGGGCGCTGTAGTCGCCATGAGAACCGGCCAGTTGGCGCTCTGCGTGAGCTGCTGTGGGCTGCCTATGCTGGCGCGCCGGCGGTTGTGCGGGACCACGGGTGCAGGGCCCGCTGGGCTGGCGATGGGCAGCGGGGCTGTGGCGGGAGGGGTGCTGACGGAGCGGCCGGCCGGTGCTGAGGTGCTGGATGCCGCTGCTGGAAATTCCGCTGGGGTGGAGGTCGGCGGGAGGCATCCGGGGAATGAGGGAAGGGGTTGGCGGGTAAGCATGGAAGGGCTGTATGGCATGCCGGACTACTCTCATGTGCGTTTACACCAATATCCCACATAATCAGCAACGCATAGCATGATACAGCCAAGACATACGGCATGCTGGCATGTCCCACTCTGCACTCCGGCCCCGCAGTCCGCAATACACACACCTCGCTGCCGGGGCGGCGGCGACGGCCTGGGTTTCTTAGCAGTGAGGCTGGGAGGTGCTCCGAAGCCGCCCCCCCCATGGCCCCCACCACCGCCACCAAAGTGCCAAGCAGGCCTATTGCTGCCTGCCTGCTGCTGCTGTGGATGGCGCATGGCAGCTGCGGCGGCGCCTGCTACCGCCGCTGCCTCGTCCGCTTCTAGCGCGTCATCGTCGCATGCGCCCTCCGCATCCGGCCCCTCGTCGCTGCTGCTGTCCTCTACGCCATCCACTGCCAGCACGGCCTCCTGCTCCACCGCTAGCTCTCGCATGTCGCCCCGCAGCTTCTCCAGTTCTGCCTGTTGTGGCGGGGTTGGAGAAACGCCGTTAGCTCCATCAAGGGTTGCACCCTGAAGTGTGAGATAACAAGAAACCGAACTCGAACAGGTATGGTACGGCTTACCTTCATAGCTGGCAGCTTGTCCCGAGCTGCCGCCAGCCGCTCTCCCTCCTCTACAAACTTGTGCATGCCGTCGCCCAGCTGCTGCTCGGCATACAGCCCAAAATTGTCGATGCGCGCCGGCCCATTGCGCTTCTTTCCCTGAGGGTGCGTAACAGGGGCAGGGAAAGCATTGTAAGAGTCCAAACTACAAGCCGTCTGTACGTTGTTCAACCCCACGCGAACTGCACCCCTCCCATAAGTTCCTGTCTCTGGACCCTCCCACTACCAGTATCCATGCCTAGAGTCCCCAGAGCTTACATTCATGGCCACATACGACCCCACGGCAAGGAACGCCGTCTTCTTGGCGTGCTGCACCGTCTGCCTCCAGCGGCTGTTTGTGTTGCCGCCACCACCAACCACTGCTGCTGCGCCACTGGGCTCCACCGCGGCACCACTTTCATGCGGCGGCTTGGGACCTTTTTGGGTTGCAGTGGGGGGGGGGGGGTATTGGGGCATGGGGGCACGTCTCAGTCTGGTCGGGAAAGCTGGAAGGCCGCTTCTAGGGTACATCTTGGGTGTAAGGGAGGAAGTGACAACGACCCTGCCCAAGAGAACACTGCTGCCAGCCCACACTCCTACCTGGCGCTTTAAAGGATGTCGCCGCATGCTTGCTGTACAGCCGCTGCAGCGTTGCGACCTTTTCCAAGCTCCGGCGAGCCGCCTCCCTGTGTACGGGGCAGCGGATAACTATCAAGGAGTCCGGTCTGGGAGAGTTGTTGGGGTTGAACCGTTGCATGGAGTGCACCCAGGCACCCTTGGGCGGCTAGGGGGGCCCAAGGTGCCCTCACCAGGGGGGTCTGGTGCCCTCTCTCGACAAGCTAAACGCGGCTAGGATCACCGCCACAGCTGCAGGCCCTGCCGACGCAACCTACCCCTGTGGGCTCGTCTGCTCAGCCAGGGCCACGGCAGCCGCTGCGTCCGCCGCAACAGCCGCAGCATTGCGCAGGATGGGAGCTGCGCCTAGCGGCCTGCATTGGGCGGTGGTTAACGGCCGAAATGAAGGATGGAGTTGGGATAAGTAGATCCTCGTGGCAGCAAGGAAGGCGGCCACGGTGTCGTACAACTTATGGGTGGTTGCATGCTAGCCCATGTATAGCTTCGCAATGGCACCCAGGCCGTGTTAGATGACGTCAAAAGCCCCCCAACGGTCCCATCGGCTGTCTTCCTAAGCATCACAAGTAGCATGTGAGGCACGTGCGCCCTCCTGTTGAGTCCAGACGCCATCCCTCAAACCACCCAACTCACGGCCGCTCAAACTGCTTTTGCTTCAGGTAGAAGTCTGCATATTGCGAGTTCAACTGAATGTCTCCCTGTCCCCGTCGCAACGCCATTAGCTGCCTCCGCTTGGCCTGGGGCAGGGAGAAAGCAGTGCATTCAAATCATGGCGACTCAGAGATAAAGCCTAAGGCCATCTACCAGGACCTACCAAGCCTATTGCACGTTTTTGTGCGGGGGGTAACCTTGTTAGCGTTATGTTCGCCAATGTATTGCAAGCTCGTTAACACGGTTGGTTGTGCGTGCTACAACCGCATGCCCGTGTCGCCTCCCTGGATCCACCTACCTCCTTTTCCAGCTCCCGCCGCCCCGCCTGCTCATCTTTCGATAGGGCAGCCTCAATTTGCTCACTGGCTTTGCCGACTTGAGTCTGCACATTGTAGGAAGGGTACCGTGTGTGTCAACGAACAGTGGATGGAAACGCGAACAATGCAAACCCACGGCAGCGCGGAAGGATCCGACCATGCACATGTTGCGTTACAAAGCCATGGAAGCCACGAGGCAAGATCGGTGACCGTAAATCCCCCCGTAACGAAGTGAAGGGGAGGATTGGAGGACAGATCACAATTAAATCATCTCCGTCCGTCTGTCTGTCTGTCTGTCTGTCTGTCTGTCTGTCCACAAAAGTGGTGGCAACGACCTTAAGGCGCTGAGCGTTCAGTCCTGTGCTGAGCCAGGCGGAGGTCTCCAGTTCGAGCCGGGTAGCGACCTCTTGGCGACTTCCTCAGCACCCTTGGAGATGATGCCTGGGCCTATGGGGATGGTGTTCTGGGAGATCTCCAGTACGACAACACACTGTACGGCAGTAAACTGTACGGCACAGTTGCCATGCTGTGTGGTGACACATCATGTGGTGTACGACATGTACGACAATGTACGACAGCTGTATGGCAGTGTACGACAGCATACGACAACTGTCGTACGCTTGTACGGCATCTGTACGGCATGGGTTTTGACACGCCCTCCCACCCCCCTCCGTGCTCCCCACTCCCCTCATCACCCCCTCATCACTCATCATGCCTGGCATCATCAGGATGGTGTCCTGAGATGTGGTGTCGTACAGCAACGCAGTACGGCATGGGTTTCGACACGCCCTCCCACCCCCCTTCATGCTCCCCACTCCCCTCACCACCCCCTCGTCCCTCCAGCACCTCTGAACGCCCCTGCATCACCATGAGCCGTACGGCATCTATACGGCATGGGTTTTGACACGCCCTCCCACCCCCCTCCGTGCTCCCCACTCCCCTCACCACCCCCTCACCGCTCTAGCTCCTCTGACCACCCCTGTCGTACAGCGACATGGTACGGCATGGCTTCAGGCACCGCGTACCACCAATCTTCTTGTTGTAATATCTTGCATTGTGATCTTGACTAAGCTATAACTGAATTAATGAGCCATTCGCAGTTTCTTGGTTACTTTCCAAAATTAGCGTCAAACTGTTTGGTGACCGTGACCACCCCCCTCCATGCTCCCCACTCCCCTCACCACCCCCTCGTCGCTCTGGCTATTCTGATCACCCCTGTCGTACAGCGACACGGTACGGCATGGCTTCGGGCACCACGTATCACCAATCTTCTTGTTGCAATATCTTGCATTGTGATGTCGACTAAGCTATAACTAAGTTAATGAGCCATTCGCAGTTTCTTGGTTACTTTCCAAAATCAGCGTAAAACTGTTTGGTGACCGTGACCACCCCCCTCCATACTCCCAACTCCCCTCACCACCCCTTCCTTGCTACAGCTCCTCTGAACACCCCTGTCGTACAGTGACACGGTACGGCATGGGTTCGGGCACCGTGTGTCGCCGGTCTCCTTGTTGTGATGTCTTGCATTGTAATGTCGATTAAGCTATAACTGATTTAATGAGCCATTCGCAGTTTCTTGGTTACTTTCAGAAATCGGCGTAAAACTGTTTCGGCGACGGATATGGCTTCGGCAAAAGTAAATCGGCGCAAGTTGCAAGCTGGTTTCGGCAAGAAGCGTGGTTGTGAAGTCGGCGCGTCTTCTGAAAAGCGCCGATTACTGATCGCCGAAAACTATGGGTGATCGGCGGTCGCTGATCGGCGAATGCTGTCAGGGGTGGTCGCCGTGAAAGCTTCTTAGATTTCGGCGCAATTAGCCTGGCATCGGCAAAAGTCTTTCGGCGCAATTTGCAAGCTGGTTTCAGCGAGAAGCGTAGTCGTGAAGTCGGTGCGTCTGCTGAAAAGCGCCGATTACTGATCGCCGAAAACAATGGTTCATCAGCGATCACTGATCGGCGAATGCTGTCAGGGGTGGTGGCCGTGAAAGCTTCTTAGGTTTCGGCGACGGACACGGCATCGGCAAAAGCCTCTCGGCGCAATTTGCAATGCTGTCTTTTTAGGTTTCGTCCCCCGTAACGAACTGGAGTCACATCCCACCGACTTCCTCACGCTGCTCGTCTGCACTGTGATGTCGACTAAACTATAACTGAGTTAACGAGCCATTCGCAGTTTCTCGGTTACTTTACGTAAGAAAGTAATCCTGCCCTTCAGCGAAAGGCGACCTATGCCTCGCGACAGATGCCTTACAACCAATGCTTACAAACAAAACTGGCACGCCAATGTTGGGTCCGCCGAACCCGCCTGTCAGCGAGTGTAGCAAGCTCACAACATTTGTCACTGCACCGACATCAGGTCCACCGACCCTGATCGTCGGCGAGAGGCGACCTATGTGCCTTACGACAAATGGCTTACGACTAATGCTTTCGAATATGAGCCGCACGCTGACATCAGGTCCGCCGACCTTGCTTGTCTGCGACATGAGCAAGCTCATAACACTGGTCGGCGCGCCAACGTTAGGTCCACCCACCATGCTCGTCGGCAAGAGGAGCAAGCTCGCAGCACTGGTCGGTACGCCGACTTCAGGTCTGCTGACCATACTCGTACGACCAATGTTAATGAACATGACTGGCATGCCAACGTTAGGTTCGCCCACGGTGTGCTCGTCAGCGACATGAGCACGCTTGCAACACTCGACAGCTCACCGACGTCAGGTTCGCAATGTGTGTGCCAAAATCATGCCGGTGCGCATCACCAATCAGGATTTACGGTACCCCCGGCCGCGGCGACCACGACGCGGCGCTATTGGCAAGACCCGTGCCGACTTCCAGCACGGGTACGTGGCATCGAAAATCCGGCTGTAACCGTATATAAGATTAAGCCGACAACCGCCTGACATGCCTCTCTAGCTCAGTGGTAGAGCGCAAGGCTTTTAAAAAAAGCAAACACTCGCTGGTGTAACCTTGTGGTCGTGGGTTCGACCCCCACGAGAGGCGGAATGAAATTTTGGCAACGACGTGATTTTGTATCATATAGTATTTTGGAGGGAGCAGGGCTCGACAGAGGTGAAGATGGATAGCTAGAACATGCAGGTCGTTACCGCACTACCGGTACCTCAACCCGGTGCCGTCCCATGCTAACCCCACCATACCAAGTATGCCAACACTACAAGCATGCACATCTAAACGATTTCCGCTTAGAGGCGGGCAACTTTTCCGAGAGTGAAATTAGGGAGACCATATCGGGAGAACGGCTGCGGTAAGGCGGCAAAGGTTTCCCAACCCCGTGCCCCCCTCCCAGTCGTACCCCAAGCCAGTCAAGTCGAGCCGCGAAACTCTGGTTTCGTGCAAGGGCTGGCCGATCATAACCTGTAATACGAAAGGTAAGGGCCTCACAAGGACGCAGCTAAGTTGCAAGGCAAAATGGCCATCTATCCAATGCAACAGAGCAAACAATTTGGAACATGCAAAATAGCTATAGCCTCAGAGACATTCAAACCTATTACAACATAAGGCTATGAAATTGGTGTTTACTCCCCTCGGACTCTGCGCCATACTACTAAATACTTAGGGAACAGCTGGCGTGAATCAGTAAAGAACCCTGTAATATAAGGACATCCCTAAATATTTATAACAGAACAAAGAAAATGCAAAGCTACAATGCTATAAACGAGGCACGAGTCTGCACCTCCATGGAGTTGCCGCATCCAACCCTCCAGCCCTCCTTGCGTAGGTACTTTGTAACATGCAAGAACTAACGGACCCCAGACGCTCACCTCCAAGTTCATCAAGCTCCTTTGCGACAGCTGTTCTCGGCGCATTCGCTATGAAGTCTTTGCTCGCTGCGCCACCCATGCTAAAATGCAAGCATCTCCTTATGTAAAGGTAACTAACAACAGTAACATAGCGTCAATTCTTCCTAGAAAGACATGCCGAACTACGGGTAATGTTTTTAGTAAGCACAAGTAAGCGTTTGATACGCCTTTACTGAAGAGGATGTAGTAGATACGGCGGTAACGTTTCGCTACTTTTGGGAGTTGCATGCTGCCACGGTTCCGGTCACCACGCATGGTTCCAGTGACATGACCTGCAGTACACAGCGGTTGGCCAGCCCAAGACTTCTTCACGTCTACCTAGAACCTCCCTAGGAATGGCCGAATGGCTTCCTTATCCAATGAAATGGGGTATACATATATATGCTCGTTCTTCTGTGTGTGTGCGTTGCGCCCTTATCAAGTGTAATTTCGTTTGTGCTCAGCGCTTGCGGCAACTCCCGGATTCTCTGTACGTAGAGGCCAGTGATCAATTCCCTGACTTAGACGCTTCATGTGACACACCGTCCATACCCTGTCTTGGGCCTGGCTTCGGCAACTGCCCAGCCGGCCTGCTGTCCACACTTCTGCACAAACCACAAGACGTAGCCTATACCTACACAAAGCTGAGATACTGAAGCTTTAGCGAAGCGAATAGCTCTCTTAGGAACATGGGTAACAAGAACAGCGGCAGGGCCGATGCCGATGACGACCCAGACGCGCCGGCCGGACCACAGCCCACGCACCAATCCATACCTCCTGCACCTCACGCCATATCACCCGGTACTGCAGCCTCCCTCACAGCTGGGCCCACCTCCGCCGCACCTGGCACCGCCTCCTCCACCACCGCGTCCATTGCCGCCCCTGTGCCCACCACCGCTGCGACACCCCTTTCCGCTCCAACGACCCCTTCCCTGGATATATGGTGCTGCATAGCCCACGCTAACGTTCATTACAGCGATCGCCTCGCTGTGATTGACTTGGGCCCACCAACCAACGGCACCAGTGCTGCCGCTTCAGCACTAGATGACCGGCTCTTCACATACTCACAGCTGCATGATCGCTCCCTGTCTGCTGCTAGCGCGCTGCTTGCTGCGGGTGTACGGCGCGGCTCCCGTGTGGCTGTGATGCTGCGCAACTGCAGCGAGGTGATGGAGGTGCACTTCGCAGCTGCCGCACTTCGCGCTGTTGTGGTCAACGTGGTGGGTACCGGTGGTCGCTAAATAAGGTCCGGGTCAAATGCATGCTTCCACGGCTAACCATGAGACTCTAGAAAGGGATAGGATGGAAGGTGTGACAAGGTGGTCAGCCCAATACAATCGTAATAAATAACATTTACGATATCACTAATATCATTGATATCGGGTTGCAAACCATTCCCAACAAGTCCCAAACCAATGCGCTCACCCCTGAACTGCCATACGCGCTCACCCCTGAACTGCCATACGCGCTCACCCCTGCTTCTTCCATGCGCTGTACGACAATACCCAAGAACGTGAACCTGGCGGCTCCGGAGCTGTCGTACATCCTGCGTGACTCGGAGGCTGAAGTCCTCATCACCCATGCGGCTGAGTTTGGCCCGCTCATCGCTGCTGCGCTCGCTACACCGCCCCCCGGCGCGTCCACCTCCGCCACCACTCCCTTCCGCCTTCACACCATCTTCCATGTGGACGACGAGGGCGCCGCTGCTGCAGCAACTGCCGCTGCAGCAGCCGCCGGCCAGCCCTCCCTTCCCGCCGAGCCCATTCACATCACGTCGTACCATTCAGCGCTGGATTCCGCACCACGCGGCCGTACTATGGTCGAACTGCGTACCGCTGCCATGTCCGCCTCCGCAACCGCAACCTCTGCCGTTGCCGCTGGGTCATCTGGTGTGAAGTTTGACGCGCCTTTTGGCGGTGAGATGCAGGGTGCTGTTGACCCAGATGATCCGTACCACATGTACTACACCAGCGGTACGACAGGACTGCCCAAGGGTGTGCTGCTGAGCCACCGTATCGTCATGCTGCATGCGCTTGGAACCATTGCAGGTGGGTGCGAAGGAGAAATAGTGGGGATTAAGTAAATGAGAAGTGCAGCAACTGGAGTCCCAATCCCATATCCCGGAGGTGTGAAGGAGAGGTTGTGAACACGTATGTAAGAGGGTTGGCGAAGAGAAAGTGGTTATGGCCAAACGGGATGCTGGTTTCGTGGGATGGGAGGGAACAAGGAAGAACGTGTTGTTTACGATAAGAGGTAGCAGAAGCAATAACAAGGGTGCGGCATGCAGATACCAACCCCGCCAGGGTTACCTCAGCATGTGGACCGGTATCGACAACCAGTTCACAACAATGATGCCCAGTTGTCACTGTCGCTCCTTCACTTCCCCAGTTTGCCCTCCAGCCACGCCTGCTGCCCACATTACCATCGCCTGAACTCACCAAACTGCCGTGACCTAACCTCCCGTGACCTACTTTCCCGTTCCCACGACCTGCCTCCCCACTTCCGGTACGGCTCACCCGCGCACCTCCCTGCTTGCTGCAGACATGCGGCTGCACGGCGGCGACGTGTGGGGCCACTTCGCTCCCCTGTTCCACCTGGTGGATGTGTTTGCGGTGTACTCGCTCACCATCGTGGGTGGGCGCCACGTCATCATGCGCACCTTCACCCCCGTGGACGCAATCCTGGCTATTGGTGGGTGCGATCGACCAGTGATGAGGAACCTTTCATCCGGGCGTTTGTAGGGGGCAGGTGCAGGTGGTCCGATCCCAGAAAGTTCTTACCTATGCTTGTATGTTCAAAAACCTAGCCGTGTGTCAGTTTGTGCGTGTGTGTGAACGTGCTCGCTAGTGATCTGGGTCAAGCCTTCTGGTCACAGCCGAACACGGTAGTTCCAGCCGCAGCCGGTGTTACAATACCTACACAATACATCTCGCTCCATTCACCCCTGCTCCTGCCCCTATTGCCTCCTCGTCCGTCCCATGCACGCGCGCAGAGCGGGAGCGTGTCACCGCCACCAACGTCGCCTCCACCATGCTCACCATGATGGCAAACAACCCGCTGCTGCCGCTCGCCAACACCTCCAGCCTGCGAGTGCTCAGCTGCGGCGGCAGCCCCCAGTCGCCTGCCATCCTGTCACGAGCCGTGGCGGCCATGGGCTGCGAGATCTTCCTGTCGTACGGCATGACCGAGTGCTGCGGCAAGATCTCCATGAGCATTCTGCCGTACGGATGGTGGAGAGGGCGGCAGCAGCGCGCCAGCAGCGGGGTAAGCGGTTGTACCGTTGGTCAAGAGTTGGCCGTAAATCAACAGAGCGGCTGGGTTTTCGGCATTCTGCATTCTGCTCATTGGCCCTCCGCGTGCATGGATGCGTCCCTGTAAGGTTTTACAACATGCGTATTGCTACGCATTTACCGTGAACCCGACTGTTCCCACAACCCCACTTCTTCGCCACCGCTGCTGCCAGGTGCCGTCTCAATCCGCCGCACCCGCACCCGCACCTGAGCCCCCGGGTCCCTCTGGCGGCCGGCTGTGCGCCTCGCCCTCCCTGGCGTCCGCCCTCAGCGCCGCGCAGCTGGTGCAGTTGGTCATCAGCAGCGGCCGCCCCTTCGTGCTCATGCAGGTGTGTGTTAAGAAGAACTGGCAGTGTGTGTTAAGAAAACTGGCCGCGAGTAGGAACGTGTGTTAAAATAACTGGCCGCGAGGCGAAACGTACTGTGATTGCCGAAAGAACGTGTGTGTGTGTGTGCGGGTTGGGGGGTATGGGCACAGCGAACGATTTATCACGATGCACGGTGTACACGAGCTTCCATCAACGCGCGTGTACCGATAGTTGTACAGCCAGCACAGCAATAGTGTATGGTTTGTCCATTAGGGCAAGGCATGAGTGCCGTACAATTGAAGTGCATAAGTGCCGTACATGCCGCCTGCCGTAACGCACGCACGGGTACTGCACGCCCCAAACAGGTTCGTGTGGTGATGGAGGACGAGCAAGGCAACTTCCAGGATGTAGCCCCGGGGACAGGGGAGGTGGGCGAGGTGTGGTGCCGCGGCCCCACCGTATTCGCAGGTGAGGAAACGCTTACTACCCTGCAAATCTTGAAACCCCCTTCTACCGCCACGTTACCCTCGCATGTACTGTCTAGACGTTGAACCTTCCATGTGCGTATTCTCCAGTTGCGTGTTTCAAGTGCAGCCTCATACCTAGCTGGCCTCGGCCTCGTCTTTCAATATTTGCACACCCTTCCCTGCTTTTGTGCAGTTCACCCTTTGTTGTCGCCAAAGCTTACCCTGTCACCCTCACTCCCCGCATCTCACCCTCACACCGCATGCAGGCTACTGGCGCCGCGAGGAGGCCACTCGGGAGTCCTTCGCGCCGGGCGGCTGGTTCCGGAGCGGCGACCTGGCGATGATCGAGGCGTCCGGCTACATCCGCGTGGTGGACCGGAAGAAGGACATGGTGGGTTGGGAGGGTGGGAGGTAGGTAGGGCACCTCCTCCGGTGCTGCTGGGGGCTTGGGGGAACTGCACATTTACGAGTTGCTGTAAGCTTGCAGTACCGGTACCATGCCGTGCAAATAGCTTGTACTCGAAGTATGGATATGCTGGTGGTAGGCATGTACCCTGCCAGGAGCCTAACAGCGCCACTGATCCCCGTTAGACAAATGTGATATAGCCCCAGCTTTGCTACCGGTATGCTACCGGTATGTCTGGGTCAACATTTCATGCGCCCAATCCCCCCTACACATGCAGATTTTGGTGGGCAGCGAGAACGTGTACTGCAGTGAGGTGGAGGCCGTACTGCAGGCTCACCCCTCTGTCGTACAAGCCGCCACTTTTGGAGCACCCAACGCGCTGCTAGGGGAGGTGGTGGTTGCAGCTGTCGTACAGCGGGAGCCGGTTTCGGAGGCGGATTTGCTGGCCTGGTGCCGAGAGAGACTTGCACACTACAAAGTTCCATCAAAGGTGGGTGACGTAACGCCTTTTGCTGGCCCAGCTGGCCCTGCAAATAAGTGCTACCAGTGGTCGTAGATGCACATGTGCCAGGCATGCGCTGCTGTTTACCCTCCCTCCTAACAGCTGTGGGTCCTGAATGCTTTGGGTTGCGAGTCCTTCTCTGCTTGGGTCCTGTGAGGGAAGGGCTGCACGTCTCAATCTTCGTCACGATCGCCATGCCCGGGATTAGCTACCGATGCGTCCTGCCGTACACCTCAAGACATTCGTGTTGCGTTGCGCTTGCAGATC